ATTTGGATGTAGGAGTTGACAGAGCTGCTGTATTACCACTAGAACTGCTAGCAGCAATCGGGGCAGCAGCTGGACAATCCTTAGCAACGTGGCCTCGTTTCTGGCATCGGTAATACTTCTGCTTATTAACATAAGGCTTCTTGGAAGTAGCCGCAAATACTGAACCCTGCGTAGTAGGAACAAGATCCCGCAGAGTGTTCTCAACCGCTGACAACGTAATGTTCGGAGTTGACACATCTAAGACTCGAGCATTCGCTTGGTCGGACTTAAACATCCTTAAGTCAAACAAACCCATCACTTGGGTAATTTCCGAGGAGTGGTTGAAATGAGCACAGATATCTCTGAACAAGGACAGAGCACTTTCATCACCGGCAGACTTACTGACCGAAGCATCACAAGCTTTATTAACCATAGCATACAATTGGCGTGATGTAACCTGGGAGTAATCACGTCTAATCAACATAAGTAAATCAAGTCCGAACGCATTATCAGACTGATACTTTAACAACACTTTTGACGACACAGTATTCAACAGTACAACTTGAATCGCATTGTTCAAGGCAACTTGGAGCTGCATAACTAGAGTGTCGTCTATCGGTTCAGCTGGAGGTAACATCATATCTCCAGTTGTAAAATAAATATCAAGGCCAGCACCTTGAGTGGCAACAAGCATACCAGTGTAACTGTTCCATTTAGGATAGTTCATAGACGAAGAAAGCTTCAAGCTCTCATCTCTAGGGCAAGTGAGAGCGAATTGGCTCATAACCTGTTGTAATCTAGCTATTCTATTATGAATATCCATTGTATATGTACACGTTTTCTTATGTTTGTTACTTAGTTAAAAACAACTTATACAACTCTTAATAACTAATGATTCTAAACACAGATAGGAGACAAAACCTCTCCTATTTATACACTCATGACGTCGGCTAATCTTTCCAGTTTTAGATTACTTGATGCCTTGTCATTACAAGGCTCTTTTCTAATGCCTTGTCTTTAATAAGCCTCTTTCTCTAATTTATTGATATTGACTTCGGCATCTTATCTCAACACTTCGGCATCTTATCTCAACACTTATCACTCAATCCTTATTGGCCTCGGCATCTTATCTCAACACTAAGATACCTTATCATGATAAGATTCTTATCTCTTATCCCTCGATCATGATTGGCTTCGGCATCTTATCTACACTTTTATAAGCCTCTTTCTTTAATTTATTGATACTTATTGACTTCGGCATCTTATCTCAACACATGACAGAATAGCTAGAGTTCAACAGATTTTTATTGCGTCCGTCATCTTATCTTAGCAAATTTAAGTGAGTACGTAATGAATATTTCTTCACTGGTAGCAATAAATTTGAAATAAGTTAACTCTTTCACTCCTTGAAATCAACAAAGGCGCAAGTGGTTTAGTGGTAAAATTCAACGTTGCCATCGTTGAGCCCCCGGTTCGATTCCGGGCTTGCGCAGTTATTTTTTTATATTATTACATAATATTCTTTTTTGAAGGGGCAGTGGAAAGAGTTACGTTATGTGGCTTTGAAATCATGGAGGGAGGTGTTCCACCAACTCGAAGCGCTCTTTCACCCTCTTTTTGCTTCTTCACTAAACTTAGAGTGTTGGTGATAAGGAATCCGCTGTTGAAACTCTCAGCTGAAAGTACACAGTATTGCCGAATGATTTCAAGCAAAGCTTTTTCTTCGGTCAAGCCATTGGGTCAATTCAGAACGATAGTTACCTTCAACTTTGCACTTCTATCTAAGCATAAAGATGTTAACGTTGTTGGGAAATATGATAAGAATAATTCAACTGAGGATGGTCAGCCAAACTCAGTGTTAGATATGTTGTCGGGAGATATCAACTTAACAGACCACAATATTGAAAAGGTTGTCCGCAAACAAGTCACTGAACTTGAAAGAATAAATAGATATCATGATCGAAACGTAGTACGATTGGCTAATAAACTTTCGTATATACAGGAAAACATAGGACTACGAACGAAATTCAGCGATGAGAAACGGACTAGGTTATTTGCTAGCGAACTTATTGATATGCCAATAGAAAAGGTTGTTGAGATGGTCAAAACGCTAACTTCTGCAAAGTCTAAATCCGGCTTGAAAGTAGAAACTGATTTAACTGTCTTACTTTCTCATCTTGTATTCAGAAATTCGTTAGATGCGAATTTGTTTTCAAGGATTGTTGTAAAGCTTGGAATACCAAACTTAAAACAGGTTCAAAATAAACTAGCTAGTGATCCTGAAGATTTTATACAGGGATGGAATGATGATGGGAGATCAAGAGTTAGATGTGGAATGGCGTTGGCAGCAAGATATAAGATGCTCAAAGACTTTAAGAGTGCACAAAGCTTAATACGCAGTGAGTTTCAAACAGTGTGGTTGAAGACTTTAGTTGAAAATGAGAAAATTTTAAATGGTAGTGATATAAAGAACATGATCAATGTTGTCGATGGTTTGATTGAGTATGGATATCTGGTGACATGTGCAGTACGGACTAATAGCTTTAGGGTAATTTATTCCTTTTGGGAAATACATCCTAATGATGGATTGATAAAGGAGTGGTTGGAAAAAGGAGTTGGAAAAGTTGATTGTATTGATAGCGACATTGGCCCTAATGTTTACCAAAAATTCATTTTCGAACTATACTCGAATCCTGCTATATCGACTGTCAATAAATGGAAAGTTAAGGTGTTGAATGTTTCGAGAAAGTTAAGGTTAGGAATACTAGACGTCCATCATATTAACGAGGATAAGTTTTTTGCGTTCACGGAACTATTATTGAATGAGATGGAAGACGAGATGGATAATGATGTTGAAAGGAGAGAATATTTCGACAACATCAAGTTGAAATATAGTGAGTTGAAAAGGGAGCTAAACAACAAGGAGATTTGTTGTGCAGATCAACACATTGGGGAGGTTGTCAAAGCATCTGACATATAGGCCTATTTTTATAAATTTTTCAATATGGGACAAAATTATAATACTAAAAGCAGTAAACTACGCAAAGCTAGAGGAAGGCAATGAAGTTTGGGATTGCCCAATGAGTAAGTGAATAAACGATCGGGGAATTAACTAAAAAGAAAAAGATTAGGAAAGATTTGTGAAAAGAGAGTTGAAGAAATAAAAAAAAAAGACCCATGACTTGTAGTCAAAAACACTTAAACAACAAACATGGGCCTAGGTAACCATCAAGAGAAAAAGTTAAAAGATAAGGGGAAGAATATAATGAGAAAATCAAGGAGAGGGAAGAAGGGTCCCGGCAGAAGAAGGGAGAAACGCAGAAGTCAGAAGTCAGAAGTCTGGGAAGAAGTGACCATATTCGTCAGGTACGTTGGATATTCCGTAATCATACCTGTCCTCGGGATATTTTTCGAATTGAGAAGCGTCACCGACACCGGCAGGAATGTTGGGTTCGTATGGTGTCTCTATATTGCCCTGCAAAAGATTTTCCCAGATAACTTCGTTAAACCAAGGGTGGTTTTTGATATCGTCAACGCCGTTTTTCAAATTACCTAAACGAAAAGTAATATCTTTTGTGATGAGCCCATGCAATAAATCTATCACGTCCATTTGAAAGTGATTGGGATAAACCACTTGACACTTAGTGATGTTTTCGTAAGTTTTCATTGGGGACGGGTCATAAAATGGAGTTGTACCTGCAATCATTTCATAGATCAAAATCCCAAAGGACCACCAGTCCACTGCTTTTGTGTACGGTTGAACTGCAATGATTTCTGGAGCGATATAATCCGGCGTACCACATAGGGTGTAAGTTGTAGTTTCCACTTGCTTTGCAAAACCGAAATCTGCCAATTTGATGTGGCCTGATCTTGATATTAGGATGTTTTCTGGTTTCAAATCTCTATAGATGATGTTCTTGGAATGTAGATACTCTAAAGCCAACAAGACTTCAGCAGAATAGAATTTTGCCACTTGGTTGGGAAAAATCTTAGATTTTCGTAGCAGAGAAAACAACTCACCGCCTTCTATGTAGTCCATAATGATGAATATCGACTTACAGTCCTGGAAGGTCCCCCACATTCTGGTGATGAACGGATGTCTGCACATGGCCAGGATTCTTCTCTCATCGTTTGTATGCTCTATTTGCTTTGCCTTGACGACGTGAGATTTCCTGAAAACTTTCATCGCATAGTAGCGGCCATTGTGTACAGAGCACACCAAATGAACACGACCGAACGACCCTGTACCTAGCGTTTGGATCAGCTGGAAATCGTTCAACGAATACTTGCCCTTAGTGGTAGGAACTGCCGTAGGAACCGCCGTGGTAGTTGGATTTGCTGCTACGGTGGAGGAGCTTCTGCCGTTACTGGGGAGCGCTGCTGAACCGGTGGGAGTGCTGTGGGGGACATGGGTGGCAAGCGTGGTTTGTTGCGACTGGCCACCTTGGTAGATGTTTGGGCGGTCAGCTGGATTTTCCGAAGCCGGAGCTTGATTACTTTGTTGTTGTTGTTGTTGTTGTTGGGGGAGCGGATTGGGTATATGCTGACTTCCCACGTCTGGACTGTCTGTATTTGGTGGGGTGTTTGTGCTTTGGTGCACACTCTGGCTGCTTTTCGAAGCGCTGCTGACTGGAGTGGCACTACCTCTCCGGTCGGCGTCACGACCGTTCGCAGTTGCGCCGTTTGGTGCTGTCACACTACTCTGACAATACAAGCCCTCGGCACTTTCCGAGCAAGAAGGCAGCAGCCCTGGGCCCGCTTTCACCCCTATTCGCTGGCTTTCCTCATCTTGTGGTCGTATATGCTGTTTGTCCTGCTGCTGTTCCCGCTGCTGCAGAAACGAAACGTCCGGCACAAAGCTGTTGGTGGACATAATGCTGAATTCCTGGACTAGCTGCCTGCGGATTGAGTCGGTTGTGTGTGTTGCTGGGTATGTGTGTGTATGGCGAGATCTGGCTGTGTGGAGAAAACAGTATTCTGTGTCTCCAGGGGGCACGAGAGAAGAAACTTACTTAATACTGTGAGATTAGGCACGCATACATAAAGAGAAAAATGTGTCTTTATGAGCCTGTGTGTCCGACGGTCCTGTATGCGACGGGCGGGTACAGCTATGTTGTGGGTCGATAGAAGACTATGTAGCTGTGTGTGTGTGTGTCGTGAGGTGTACAACAGTGTGCGGAGAGCCCCGTGTGTATGCGTGCCAATGTGCACTGGACCCCTGCCCTGTCCGATAGCAGAGTGATATGGGTCTTTACACAAGTGAAAAAAAGGTTACTTAGCTACTGCCTGCCTACTCGCCCCAACGGGGTACAGTGTAATGCAAGGCGGAACCGCTTTTAGCGAGAGGGATTTAATTTCTTTCTTTTAGCTTTTTTTCCTTTTCGTTTCTTTTTCCGGCGGCAAAGGCCGGGCGCTGACATAAGCAGGGGTGGTGTCGGAGTGCTATATAGAGTGATAGAGTGTGGAGACGGGACCGGACAGGTGGAGCTAGAGCTGGGCGAAGAAGGTGTAGAGGGTGGCTGGGATGGAGTGGAGTTGGGGCAGAAGGTGGTCGTCGAAGTCCGGGTCGGTGGCGGCGAGCTGGCTATATCGCATGGCGAGGCGGTAGAGGGCCAGGGAGAGGATGCGCAGCAGGCGGAAGGTGCTCTGCAGCTGGTGCACGAGGTTGGTGGTGATGAGAATGAGCTGGGTCTCGAGGTCGAGGTCGCCGCCGGGGCCGTTTTTGCTCTCGTCGAGCACAAGCACGACGCTGACGGCCATGTAGACTAGGTATGCGAGCAGCACGAGCTTGAGGATGGAGCGGAGCGTGGAGTAGAGCGAGCGCACGGCGAAGCGGGCCACGCGGTAGGCGGTGAAGGCCACGAGCACGTAGCTGAGCATGCGGTAGGCGTCCGGGTAGTTGTGTTTCAGGTGCTGCGAGGCCTGGTACGCGTTGTGGGCGACCAGCCGCAGCACGAGCAGGGCGGTGTTCAGCAGGGAGGCTGTTTCTTCTGTCATGGTTGTTGTGTTGGCGGCGTGTGTGGATGGCGTGTGTGGATGGCGTGTGTGTGTGTGTGTGTGCCGTGGTGTCTCGACAGCCATCTCTTATCCCGCCTCCCGCTGTGCGCAAACATGTCCGGCGCAGAGGCAAAGTTGCCGCATCGGGGCATAAGGGCGAAGGGCGAGGGCGGGAGACGACTCTCGGGCCGGGGAAAAACAGCGTTTGAGAGGTGTTGATCGGCGGCGTCCCCGACGGCGGCTCTTCCTCCCGGACAGCACCAGGAGGGAGTGGGAGACAAGACACACACCCACACACAGCAACAATGGCATACGCTAAGACAAAGGTGCTCACGCTTTACAGATCGCTGCTCAGAAACTCGTACAAGTTCGACCACTACAACTTCCGCGAGTACTTCCTCAGGCAGACCCGCAGCGAGTTCAGAAAGCACAGGCAGGTCCCGGACAACGAGGCGCTCGTCGAGGACGCGTTGAAGAACCTCGCCGTCTTGAAAAGACAGGCCACCATCAACAAGATGTACCACTTCGACAAGCTAGTGGTTGAAAAGCTGGACAAACACCATTTGGAGTGAGCAAGCAAGCTGCCTGCCGCCCGCCCGCCTCCACGACTCTCACGACGCCCTTCTGACCACGCCGACACTCCATGTCGACACCTCCTGCTACATACCGTCCCTGCCAGCCCTTTATCTCGACCTCTATAGCATACTATGTACAGAGAACTACGCAGTGCAATAGCAACCGTAGCACGTGCTTACGTAACCGGGACGAATAATTCGCCCCCTTCGCGGCTTTCCTCTCTTTCTGGACACCCTGGCTATATTTTTCCCGTCTACGTGGTGGAGCTTGTGTTGATCGAAGAGATGGATGAGATCAGCTGGAATCTGTACTCTGGAAAAAGAAGCAGTCGAGTCTCCCGTGCCTTCTCCCTGCAACCACCCTGATTGCTTCTATCCACACAGCATGTCGAATAGAAGAAGAGCATACCCACAGCCAGCCTACAACCCAAACTTGGGGGCGGTTCAATCCAACCCCGGCACTCCGCAGGCAGGAGGAGTAGCTCCAAATGGCTTCCCCATTGTGAACAATAACAACAACAACAACCTGCTGAGTAGCAACACAAATGCACCATACCAGGCCTCGCCTTACGACCAATTGAACCAGGGAATGGGTGCGATGTCCTTGAACAACAACGGCTACCAGCAGCCAATGCAATCACAGCCTTTTCTTCAACAACAGCAACAGCAGCCATTGCAGCAACAATCGGTTTATTCTGCAGCTCAACCTGTAAATACCAACGCGCTCAATACCAACCTCCCATATGGCGCACAAGCCCCAGGCATGGCGGTCGGCATCAACGGGATGCCAAGTGGCCAATTGGACGTCCAGATGAACGCTTTGTACTCAACAGACGTGATGAAAGACTTACCTCCTCCAATTCTTGACTTGCAATTCCCTCCCCCACCAATCAACTTGCCAGCAAGTGCTACAGTGACCTCTTCTCCCGAATCAAACGTCCAGCCAGACTTCATTCGTTCAACCTTGAACGTCGTTCCCAGCTCCAGCTCTTTGTTGAAAAAATCGAAATTACCTTTTGCATTGGTGATTCGTCCTTACTTATCCTTGACGGACGAGGAGTCTCCCGTTCCAATTATCAACGACGGCATCATCACAAGATGTAGAAGATGTCGTTCTTATTTGAACCCTTTCGTCGAAATCAGACAAGATGGTTTGAAGTGGAAGTGTAACTTCTGTGCTCTCTTGAACGACTTGCCAGCAGCTTTGAAGTCAAATTCACTTCTCAATAGATACGAGTTGAACTATGGTGTTACCGAATTTATGGCAACTCCAGAATACATGGTGAGAGCTCCTCAATCCCTCAACTTGGTTTTTCTTTTGGATGTCACAAGAAACACCATCCAAAACGGCCTCTTGGCCACCACTGTTAGAACAATCTTGGACTCTCTAGATAGAATTCCAAACGATCAAGGTAGAACCAATGTCTGTTTCATTGGTGTTGACAAAAGATTGTCCTACTTTTCAATTCCTCCAGATTCTGACTCATCTAAGGATATCTCGATGATGGTTGTTGCACCCCCAACTGACGACGACGATATAATCATACCTTCACCAGACGACTTGATGGTCAACTTGAAATACTGCAGAAACAATATTGAAAAGCTCTTGAGTAACTTTTCTTCCTACTTCATGAGTAACCAATCTACAGATTTAGATTTGGGTAACGCACTTAGATCAGGTCACTCGCTATTAGAGAAAATCGGAGGTAAGATGATTGTTGTTTCATCCACAATGCCAAACATCGGTAAGGGCAAATTGACCGTTAGAGACGAGGTTTCTGTTGCTGGAAAATCCAAAGAATCTACAGCTTTGTTGACTGCCAACAATTCTTTCTACAAGAGTTTTGCCATTGACTGTAATAAATCTCAAATAACTGTCGATATGTTTCTAGCAAGCTCGACTTATCAGGATGTTGCAACATTGTCCAACTTGACGAAGTTCACTGCAGGTCAAACCCATTTTTACCCTGCATGGAACGCATCCAACTTGGAGGATATCACCAAGTTTTCTAAAGAATTCTCCAACCATTTATCCATGGAAATTGCATTGGAGGCAGTCATGAGAATCAGATGCTCTGACGGCTTGAAGGGTAACGCGTACTTTGGGAATTTCTTCTCCAGATCCTCCGACTTGTTGTCCTTCCCATCTTTCCCAAGAGACCAGTCCTATGTTGTTGAAATTGGTATCGATAATGATGTCAGAAGATCCGTCGTGTATTTCCAGACTGCCGTTTTACACACCACTTGTCATGGAGATAGAAGAATCAGAGTTTTGACTTTGGCACTACCAACTTCCAAGGATTTGACCAGTGTTTACGCATCTGCCGATCAGTTGGCCATTACCAACTATTTTGCCCACATTGCTGTCGACAAGACGTTGACCAGCTCATTGGACAGTGCTAGAGACTACTTGAACAAATCCATTTTAGATATCCTCCTCTTGTACAAGAAGGAGATTGTTGCCGGCAACGTTGGCTCCTCATCTCCGTTACAGCTGTCGACCAACTTGAGAATGTTGCCACTATTAGTCCAGTCCTTAATCAAACACATCGCGTTCCGGAATGGTATTGTTCCAAGTGATCATAGAGCTGCTGCAATCAACAAGATTGGATCACTACCCCTACCAGAGCTCATCCAGTACATCTATCCAAGTATTTACAGTTTACACGACATGCCAGACGAATGCGGATTGCCATACGAAGGAGAAGATGACTATGAGGACATTATTCCAAAGATACACGGCGAGACGATTCTCCCAGAATGCATCAACGCCACGTTCAACTACTTACAGAAGTACGGATTGTACTTGATCCAGACCAACAACGAGCTTTTCCTCTACATTGGCGGGGATTCTGTCGAACAGCTATTGCTTGACGTTTTCGGCCTCTCCACCATCGGCGAGATCTTGACAGGCAAGCACGAATTGCCAGAGCTAGATAACGAGTTCAACATTAGGGTGAGAAACATCATCAACAAGATCAGAGAGGGCAAGGGCAGCATCAGATACGAGAATCTGTACATTGTTGTTGGGCCATCGAGCAACGAGAGAGCGATTGGCGGGGGCAACGAGATGAGCAGAGACCTGATTGCCTTGAGAATGTGGTGCATGAGCGCCTTGGTCGAGGACAGAAGCAACAACGTCCTTGGCTACAAGGAGTTCTTAGGACAATTGAAGAACAAGATGAACTCCTGATTCTTTTTGTCACTCAGTTACGCACTCAGTCTGTTAGTTAGTTAGTTAGCCAGTATCTAGTTGTCTACTCGTATGTCTGTTTGTTAAATAATAATAGTAATAATAAAATCATGAAGAAAGCAAGACCCAGCGACACGTGACCCTTCTGTACAATCCCGCACAACCGTGCACCCCCTCTCCGCGTCCCCCGCCAGCCAATGAGCGACGAGCATTGTTTGCCGTCGTCCGCCCTCCTCCGCCCGCGTGCCAAAATAAGCTTACACGCAGTGGCAGCGAAAACGCTGCCAAAAAAGCACTGAAACGGCCAGCGAGAGGTGTTGATGATGGATGTATGGTGTGAGATTCGATGATTAGCTAATGGCAGGTGGGGGCCGTAAGCTTACCATTTCTCCTGCTCTCTTGACTTTTTCTTCCTTTTTTCCTCTCACCTTGTGAGACTGGCGTTCTTGTTCTTCTGTGCACTTGGTCCTTCTTTTCTCCTTCTCGCTGCTTTCGGTTGTACTCCTCTGCTCCTCTTTAGCAAGTAGACGAAACTTCATTCCTAACACACACACCCAGACTCCCAAGCTCTCTTGTTCGACACACAGAACGACAGATAGATTGGCGACCCATTCAAGCTCGAACAACACTACACCTTAGAACCGGACATCCACAACAAATACACAACTACCGCACACACAATGTTCAGACAATTAGCCAAACAATCCACCTCCTCTGTGGCCAGATTCCAACAAGTGAGAGCTGCTTCCACCACAATCACCCCCGCTGCCATCTCCAACTTGCAGGGTAGATGGGAAAAGCTTCCAGAGTCCGACAAACAACACTTAATCGACGCATTGGCCGACAAGCAAAAGTTGCCATGGACCCAGCTCTCATTAGAAGAAAAGAAGGCTGCATGGTACATCTCCTTCGGCTCTTGGGGCCCAAGAAAGCCAATGGAAAGTCCAGAAGAAAGTGCTAGAATCTACAAGGGTATAGCTGTTGGCCTTGTTTTCAGCGCCACCCTGTTCCTCACGTACTACTCCATGAGAAACGTTCCAAAGACCATGAACAAGGAATGGCAAGAACAATCGGACGAATACTTGGCTTCCAAGAACGCAAATCCTTTCAGTACTTACTCTCAAGTTCAATCCAAATAGGTTTGCCTCTGATTCATTCTCATAGTTATCGTCTGTTCTAGATACGTTAGTTATTCTGACTACTACTATTATTATTACTATCACTTTTAGCTATCAATAATTAGTTAAACCATCACTATTATTATTATTATTTCACTATTTTTTTTTGAACAAAAAAATTTTAACTGCCTTCTTTTCTTCTTCTCTTATACTTCTTTCTAACTCTTTTTTTTATTTCACTTCATAAATAAATAAATCAATAAAACACTCACAATACACTGAAAAAAATGACACGAAAAACGACAACTTTGACGCACCATTGGAGCTCCTATTCCGACCGGGGTTATCACAAAGTTTATGTCGAGATGTCACTCTTGGCGGATTATTACCTCTGTCTTCTCATTCGCTGGCTGCTGAAAGGCTACGAATTTACTTTTTGCGTCCTAGCTTCTACACTTTTGTGCACTCGCTGACCCCAAACTCTGTTAACTGGGCGTCAAAGATTGCAGACTAACCACTCACCTGTGCTCTCCCCCAAGTGAGCCGGCCTGGCTTTCTGCCTCAGTGGCAATGCTTGACAACTCCAAGGTGGATAACCGTCGAGAAAAAAGGTGAAAAATGAGAAAATGGGGAGAACGAGCGGAATCGTCGTGAAATCGACGCCTTTTTTGCCTCGTACCGAGCACCGGCTGGGCCACGCTACATCCGGGGCAGTGGACCGAGATTAGACCTACACCTCCGGGCCCGCTCATGGGTGTGTGGTTGTCTTTGGTTTTCCTTCATCAGATGGCATGGATTACGGCGAAAAGGAGACGGTGGTGATCCCGCAATATGCAAACAGCTCCGAGAAGGAGAGCAACGAGCTCATATCGGAGTTGTACTCCATTCTCTACACGATCAACGCGATCGAGAAGGTGTTCATCAAGAGCGTATTCAAGAGCGAGGACGAGAGGGAACAGTACTCGACCACGGTGGACGGGCTGCTTGTTCAGTGGAACTCCATCATCGACAGCTTGGACGCGGACGTGACGGGGAGGGACAACAACGACTCGGAGCACGAAAACAACATCAAACAGCTGCTCAGCTGCTGCGTGAGCGGGGACGAGGTCGCATCTCTCAGGTTCGGGCTCCGCCGAGTGAAGCTCGGCATCAACGGGTTTGAGGAGCGCAAACGGGAGCTGGAAAGGACCAGCGTAAGGGAGCCGGCGACAGCAACCGACGCAGACAGCGCCGCCGCGGAGCCCGGCAACGGCCCAGCTGCGGACAGCAAGCACCTCGCCGCCGCCACCGCGCCGGCGGGCGACACCAAGGGCAAGAAGGCCATAGCAGAGGCGACGTCGGCGTTCATCACGTTGATGGACGCCATCAAATTGAACTACGACTCCAAGGACACGCTTCACCCGCTTTTCAGCGACGTCTTGACCAAGTCGGGCCAGGTCAGCACCGACTTCGACGGCCGCAACAAGCTCGTGTCATGGCTCATCCGCGTCAACAAGATGGGCATTGCTGACACCCTCGACGAGAACGTGCTCAAGGAGATGCTCTGGGACGTCGACACGGCCTACAACGGCTTCTTCAACCAGCTCTGACCCAGGTCGCCGCTTACGTAACGCACATTGGTGACGCGACCTCGTCTCAGGCAAAGCGATGCGTATGACTCAACCACCGGGCCGGCGTCTGGCCATTCCGGGAGACGTTCCGCACCGGAGAAAGAAGAAAACAAAGACAGAGGCTGGCAGAGGATGGAATTTTCCACCCTGTCGTCTGTCGGGCGAATCATCCTCATCTCCCGCAGGATGGACCACCGTCTTGGAAGATGCTCGTAGCTATTTAGAGTTTCCGGTGTTTCCTGTACGTCTTCCAGTTGGTGGTTTTTGGACAGCTTATTTGTTTTCTTTTCTTTCCCCTCGTGTACTCTTAGACAGAACATAGTATCAAGGCATACAGATACCTATCAGCACGGATATGTCAAGCGCTTCATTATACTCGTTGAACTCAGGATGGGTGGTGCAGAAGTTCGGTGGCACGAGTGTCGGAAAATTCTCGAAGGAGATCGCCGTCGACATTGTGAAGAAGTACAATCAGAGCAACCAGATAGCGGTTGTGTGCTCGGCAAGATCCACACAGACCAAATCGGAGGGTACCACTACCCGTCTCTTGTTAGCAGCCGACTTGGCGTCAGATGACAAGGAGGCCGAGTTCAAACACACGCTGAAGTTGATCAAAGACGACCATATTGCAAACGCAGAGACGAACATCAAGGACCAGGCGTTGAGGGAAGACTTGATTGAGGACACCATCAACGAGATAAACAGCGTCGAACGGTTGTTGGACGCGTGCTGTGTCATTGGAGAAATCACGCCGAGATCCTTGGATAACATCATGTCGTGTGGTGAAAAGCTCTCGTGTCTGTTTATGACTGCGCTCCTCAACGACAACAATGTGCCTGCACATTACATCAACCTCTCGAACATCATCAACGAGCTTGACTACAACAACAACAGCCAGTTGACCAACAACGAGAGATCGTTGGACCCCTTCTTCTACAAGCAGCTGGCGAAGAGAATGGCCGACGCCATCCTCACTCTTGAGCCGGGCGTCGTGCCGGTGCTAACCGGGTTTTTCGGCCCTGTTCCAGGCGGATTGCTCAATTCTGTCGGAAGAGGCTACACCGACCTCTGTGCCGCTGTCTGTGCGGTGGGGTTGGCTGCCAATGAGCTGCAGATCTGGAAAGAGGTGGACGGTATTTTCACAGCCGACCCTCGGAAGGTGAAGAGCGCCAGACTGTTGAAGTCGGTCACGCCGGATGAGGCCGCTGAGTTGACCTACTACGGCTCGGAGGTCATCCACCCTTTCACAATGGAGCAGGTGATCAATGCCAGAATCCCCATCAGAATCAAGAACGTCATGAACCCGAACGGAGAGGGTACTATCATTTATCCGGACAACATCGGTAAGAAGGGCGAGGACACCCCACCTCACCCACCGGTCTCATTGGACACGCTACCTACAGACTACTTCAACAAGCAGAAGTTGAAGATCCCCACTGCGGTCACGGCCAAGAGCGACATTGCTGTTGTCAACATCCATTCGAATAAGAAGACGCTTTCGCATGGCTTTTTGGCCAATGTGTTTGGCACGTTGGACAGACACAAGACGGTTGTCGACCTCATCTCCACGAGTGAGGTGCATGTGTCTATGGCTGTGAACTACTTCAAGGACAAGAGAAAGAGCTTTTTGGTGGTGATTGAAGACTTGAAGCGGTTCGGAAATGTCGACGTCACGTACGACCTCTGCATAGTTTCGTTGGTGGGTATCCACATGAAGCAGTTGATCGGTACGGCCGGTGCGATGTTCAAGATTCTTGCGGACGAGAGAATCAACATCGAGATGATCTCACAGGGTGCCAACGAGATAAATATCAGCTGTGTCATTGGCCAAGACAACGTCATCAAGGCGTTGAATGCGTTGCACGACAAGCTTCTTCTGCATCCTTTCAAAAACACGAATAAATGCCTCTCGTACAGCAATGACAGCAGTGGGATGGCTGTGGATCACCGGATTGAGGACTTGAAGTTGTCGGATAACTAGAGAGGATTGGATCTGTTCACATACTGCAGTTGTACGTATATATATTAGAGAGAAGATGAGGTAAAAGAGAAGTGTATATAATTAGGATTTCTTTCCATATCGAAAGGGGACAACAAAAATCGAAAAGATATAAATCATGAGTAAAGGAGGTCCTTGAGGAATGATCGAGATCAGAACAAGAAGGTCTGGTCACCGGCCTTGGATACTGGCTTGGCCTTTTGAAAGCCCAACTCGTGGGAGGCCTTCTTCACGGAGGCCACCAAGCCTGGTGGGCCGCAGAGCAAGAGCTGGACGTCGTCGGCAGGCTCCGGGAAGTGCTCGACGAGAGCGTCCTTGGTGATGTACCCGGTTTTGCCGCCCCAGCCCTCTGGGGCTCTGTCCAAGTAGTACACGAGGTGGAAGTTCTCGTGGTTCTTGGCAAACTCGTCCAACTCTGCTCTCAACAAGATGTCGTGTTCGGAGAGGGAGCCGTAGAGAAGGGTGATCTTGGTTTTGTCCTTAGGATTCGTCAGGATCGCCTTGATGATCTGGTACATTGGCGTGATGCCGGTGCCGCCCGCGACCATGCAGATGTGGTTCAACATGTTTGGCTCGTAGTTGTAGAAACCCTTAGGGCCCTTGACCTTGATGGTCTGCCCGAGCTTAAGGGAGTCGATGTGCGACGAGAGCTTTCCGTTTGGATAGACCTTGATGAGCAGGTCAAAGAAGCCCTTGGAGTCCTGATCCAAGGAGGTCGGGGTGTAGGAGTGCATCACGTTTTTCCCCTCAACCTCGGCGGCGATCTGGATGTGCTGGCCAATTGGAAGACCCAACACGTCCGTGGGCTTAGGGAGCCCGAACCGGAAGAGGGCGCTGTCCTTCGAGAGAACAATCTTCTGGATCAACGGGAATTCCTGGAACTCGTCCTTCTTGAGCGCAGCACGCTCTTTGTTGGACGAAGACACAAAGAAGAAGATGGCGACAACGGCAGCCACGACGCCCGTGAGGGTGCCCAGCAAAAGGTGGTTTGACGACATTGTGGCTAGGTGGCAGACTATCTATGATCGACGACCGAAAACAGCAGAAGAAGGCGGTTGTCCAGGGTCGTGGGAAGTGGATCTACCAAGAAATAAAAGCAAAACAGAGCACATCACAGATACCTGAAAAGTCCAACAACCCGTTGACGCACACCCAGCATATGTTTTCGGATAAGCGACCCAAAAACGACATTTCTCTGTGGGAGCCCGAAGAAAACATGCTCTGCGGCGGCCACTGCGCCCGCGCTGAAAGCTTTTCCCCAATCGGGCAATAAGAAGAGAGCAGCCTTCTTACGTAAACAGACGCTTACGTCAGCCAAACTTATTACGTCAGCTACGCTGACGTAAGCAGCAGAGTTCTCCGCTTTCTCCGCCTCTTCCTGATTACGTCAGCGCCAGCCCCGCCCTGCCAACAAAGCCAGAAATGCACCCAGAGGAAAAAATGCTCAGCGGGAATGCTCAGCGAGAAAGCTCAGCGCTGGGCGCCCGTTGCGGCGGCGGAGTGCGCAGACGGGCCAGGGAGCGAGAGCAGGGAGAAACAGACACCCGCAGACACGCAGAACAAAGGATCTGCGACCAGACAACACGGTTTGACGGCTTGCGTAGGTTACGGGGAGCGTCACCGCCGTCAACGCAAGCAGACCCAACATACTGTTGCACACCAGCGGTGCTTATGCTACACAGGGCGCTTTCCGACCCGCAACACCCCTTCCACAACGCCAGATCGACAGCAAGATCGACAGATAGGTAGCGGGCCAAGACAAACACATGTCCTACCCTCTCCAATACACCCCGTCAGCAGCAGCGCCACACCATAATCTTGCCGACGTGTCCGAGCAGAAGAAAAAGGCGTCCGTCTCCAGCACCACCCATCCGATGACAGTGTCGACATCTGTGAACGGCAGTCTTGCGAGGAAGGGGGCTCCGCCCCCCGCCTCCACAGGCGGAACCGGGGCCGCCGACGCATCCGGCTCCAAGGGCATCTCCAAGCTGAAGCTCTTCTCCAAGTTCTCGTTTGCGAAACAGACCCCGCCCCAGCACAAGGCCAAGGCGCCACAGAGCATCTTGTCGAACTCCATCAAAGAGCAGCGACAGCTGAAGCAGAAACAGCAACGCCAGGAGCCGAAGCCGGTGCCCAAGGCGAACAGTACTGCCAGCACGGGGACGCCAGCGGCTCCAGCTGCAGCAGTACCGGCGGCTCCAGTGGCTCCAGCGGTTCCAGCAGCAGCTGCCGCTGCCGCCGTCCCAAACTCCACGGCTTCGTCTCCAAGCAGAACCATCAACGCCATCATCCTGGACGTCCCCACTACAGACGCCACCAGAACGCGGCTGGTGGCCCCGCACGCGGAGCCCGAGCATACCAAGGCTGAAACCTCGACTTTCACCTCCACGGCAACGACCGCCAACACCACCCCGATCTCCGCAAACGTCCAGAACGGCTCTTCCTCGCCGTTCCCGGCGTCCAACTTGCAGCGCATGTCGATCAACCCCACCCCATCATACCCGTCGCCGCTCGGCAACCTGCTTCTGGATTCGGATTCAGAGGACGAGCTTGACGACAAGAAGCTCAAGAGCGAGGAGGCCCTCAAGGACTACTGCCCCGGCGGCTACCACCCTACATTCATTGGCGAGAAGTACGGCCGCAGTGAAGAGTACCTGATTGTCAGGAAGCTCGGCTGGGGCCACTTTTCAACCGTCTGGCTCGCCTGGGACTCCGCACGGTCCCGACATGTCGCCATCAAAATCGTCCGCTCTTCCTCCAACTACAGCGAGGCTGCCATGGACGAAATCACCCTTTTAGAGAAAGTCAACTCGGGCAATGGCGCCCACGAGGGCAAGAAGCATGTGGTGCAGCTGTTGGACCACTTCATCCACGAGGGACCCAATGGTAAACACGTGTGCATGATTTTCGAGGTCTTGGGTGAAAATATGCTAAACTTGTTGATGAGATACAAGGACTTTCAGGGCCACCGACAGAAGGAGATCGACGATGTCATCAAGAGCGGGGAAAATGAGAAAAGAATGGAGGTACATCTGTCCAACATCCATGACTTACATATACTGAGCGAAAGTTATGGCGGCTTACCTTTGACGTTGGTCAAGCAGATCTCCAAACAAATCCTACTCGCACTCGATTTCCTCCACCGTGAGTGCGGCATAATTCACACAGACATCAAACCGGAAAACATCCTTGTTGAGATCCACGATGTTGAGAAGTTGGTCCAGCTGTTAGAGTTTGAAAGAAAAAGCAAAAAGCTGAACAAAATGCTCGAAAAGCGACACAACGACCATTCCTATTGTTTACAGCATACAAACTCCTACCCCGTTGGCCAGCTTCAATCCAGCATGACTCATTCGACCACCACCAGCAACACTAATATCAAACCTAATAACATTACTAATAACAATACCAATTATAATTCTATTTCTAACACTATAAATTCCACCACTGGTTTGGGGAACAAAAACACAATCACATCCAGCCAGAGATTTAGCAATCACTCCTACCATTCCTTATCTCGAAGTATATCAATACAAAAGTCATTATCAAACAACAATGCAAATTCAAATGCAACTACCGGCGGTATCAATATCAACACTCCAATGCGGAAAAACTCCATACCGATCAGATCAAGTAAACCCTTGACGTCTCCAGTTGAAACCTCAAGCGTTGATAACTTTTTTAGATCGTTCTCCTTTTCCCAGAGAAGAAACCCGTCGTTTTCGTCCGGCAGTGTGCAAAATAACATCGGCAATCTGACAAACAATAGCTCCACGATCAACGCAAATAATGTGTCGCCAGTGTTGAACCAGAATAGCTCTTTTGAACGGCACGGCAGCATTGTCAGCAGTACAAGCCAGTCCAAATATACTGCGAGCATACTCTCTTCCCCAGGATATAAAAGACAGGACATTGACATCATCGACGAAAAAGACGATGAAGACGAAAAAAAAGTGAAACCTACCCAAGCAAACAGTATCAATGGTCTTGTTGAGGAAGAGGAGGAGGATGACATATTTGTTGATGCGACAGAACCAATCCTTTCCATTTCGCCACATATTAAAGAAAGGCCTTCTGCCATTAATAAACAGCATCAGCAAACAACATCTCTGGCATCCATTGAAACGGTCCAAACCGACCTTGCTAATATTAACAATACTCTTGAGCCAAATGACCCTAACAGCAGTGTTTTGATTAGTAATAACCCCGTCAATCAAAAATTAGTCCCGTTCCCATCCCCAGTTGTTCCAAAGCATTCCCAAAAACCATCTCTATCAATAGACACCAGTTCTTCAACCAATGATGTGGATAATGATGCTGTTCAGCGTGAATCTTCAACAGTTTCTGACTCTTCAAGGCCTTCGATACTGAACGAATTTGAAGAAATAATCAGTGTGAAAATTGCTGACCTGGGAAATGCATGTTGGTACAACAAACACTACACACCAGATATTCAAACCAGACAGTACAGGTCTCCCGAAGTTATACTCGGTGGAGATTGGGGCTGCTCTGCAGATATCTGGTCTGCTGCATGTGTCATATTTGAGCTTATCACGAGTGACTACCTTTTTGATCCCAAGTCCTCGGCTTCTTACTCTAGAAATGATGATCATTTGGCTCAGATTGTTGAATTGCTACAGACTTGGCCATCCAAAGATTATTTGAGAACATGCTCAAGATGGAGAGAATTTTTTGACAGAAGCGGACAAAATTTTAGGAAAATAGGGAAACTGAAGATATGGCCATTAAGAATGGTTCTTATAGATGAATACAAAATGAGTGAAGAGCTGGCAACAGAAGTCAGCGACTTCTTATTACCTATGCTTGAGTTTACACCGATGAAAAGAGTGGATGCTGGCAGTATGTGTTCTCATCCTTGGATCAAAGATGTGAGTTGTGGTGCAGATCTAGGCAGAGAATACGGTCTTCATGGAGATGGAATCAAAGGATGGAAAGAAGAGTGGGAAGATTGAGGAGCGCATTTTATATAAAAGCCTTGTATATTATTTGATAATGATACAGCGAAAATTCAAAAATAAAAACTTTAAAGTGTAATATCTAAAACTAGCTTTCTTTCGATAGTGGGGTTGCCACCTTTTTTTAGAACACCAATACCTGCAAGAAATATTATCAAAAAAAAATACATCCCTTAATAATATAAAAAATTAGGCCAAAGGTTTAGGTTCGACATCATCTTTTGTATGAACTTCTTCCTTTCCATAAGGTTGGAAGTTCAAGTAGCCATCGTTTGAAAATGCATTGTAGAACTTGCTCCGATCATAGTGTGTTAGTGGCAGACCCCTTTTTAGTCTATCGGAAAGATCTGGGTTTGAGGTGTAGTAACGAGAAATACCAATGATAAGTTTATCATCACCATCAATGTTCTTTGCAAGCTTCTCCAGATGATCTGGATCAAGGAATGCACCTGCTCTGAAAAGAATACCCTTCCAAAGCAAACGAGGCCATGAAAAATTAATTTTGCTGTCCTTTTCATCCCCTTCGTTGTCACCTTGGATTCTAGGCTCAACAACCGATATATACGCTAGTTCATCTCCTTTGTCAGCCCGATTTTGTATTTCACTCAAAATGTAACCCCAAATGACAATAGGATTGACTTCAGAGTTCTTTCCCAGACCTCCTTGAATCTCGGCATAAGGAGAAAGCCTAACAGCCACATGCTTTGCTCCAACTGCTTCAATACAAGCATCAATAACTTCTAGCAAAAATCTTGATCTATTTTCAATTGATCCGCCATACTCATCTGTTCTTTGGTTAGCAGAGGTTTGGATGAACTGATCAATCAAAAACATATGAGCACCATGAACTTCCACGAAGTCAAAACCAGCTTCGTTTACTGCTCTCTTGGCACTATCTGCAAATTCTTTGACAATATCCTTAATTTCGTCCTTTGACAATTCTTTCAACTCAACGCCTTCCACTTTTGCTGCCTCCTTATTTGCTTCGTCGATATAGATTGCAGAAGGTCCAACAAAGGGTATATTGAATAACTTTGCAAGTTGAGGTGACACAGCTCTGCCAAAATGCAACAATTGAGATGCTGCATATGAGCCATTGCTATGAATGGCATCAACTATCTTCTTCTGCGCTTCAACTTGTTGCTTTGTTTCCAAAATTGGCTGATTTGGGAAGCAACCAAAATCTCTTCTCGGTGAAGTCCCTTCAAACACAATTAACCCACCATTGTTTTTAGCCCTCTCCGAGTAATACTCTAACATGGAATCGGTTGCAACACCATCTTTGGAAGCTCTTAATCTTGTACTTGGAGCGTATGCCAATCTTGTTTTGAGGACAACGTCCCCAACTTGGATTGGTTTAAAAAGGTTAGAATTGGCTAAGGATGACATGTTTTGTTTGTTTTACTCTCTAATGACTTGTTTTGCTTTTCCAAGCCACCAGCTGTTTTGCAATTGATCTACTTCCATTGCCGTAACTGATGGATTAAGCTAGCCTTATTTATAACATGCTGGTGTGCTCCAGACACTTCGTAAGGATAGCAAGTTCATCCGACTGATCTGATCGGAAATATATCTCTACTCTAAATTCCGAAAAATAGCGAACCATTTGAGGGTGGAATTAGTAAGCTTTGACGTAGTTTATTATCAAGCCACACCAAACACATGCATTTATGTTAATAAAAAGTCGCTATAGAGAAATACTATTTGTAATCTCAGTAGAAAATAAGATTTCATTGTATATTTTTACACAACAGCATGTTGATTGATTAAATTTTGTTGATAAAAAGGCAACCCCATTTTTTTTCAAGTCAACTGTTTGTTGAATTGAAAAAAATCACCTTTTGTATTTCCACAAGCTGATTGGGAGTCAATAAAAACAGGTATGAAGCAGAGTGCTTAGATTATAAACCCGTGGCTCAACTTCTGCATCGTAGGGTTTATCGGTTTCATAACGCAATGGTAGCAGTCTATAAGGTCGCTCTGCAGGTTTACGAGACTAAATATTTACGAGTAAAATTACTTTCTCTAATCGGCTGTTAAAATAATTGCACAACTTATACAAATTTGAATATTAGGCCAATGGCTTTGGCTCAACGTCATCCTTCGTGTGATCTTGCTCCTTACCATAGGCTTGGAAATTCAAATACCCATCATTTGAAAATGCTTTGTAAAGAGTGTTTCTATCATATGGAGTCAATGGGAAGCCTTCTTTCAGTCTATTTGCAAGATCAGGGTTTGAAGTATAGTAACGGGAAACACCAATGAGCAGTTTGTCGTCACCATTGATACTACGTTCAAACTTTTCCTGATTTTCCAGATCGAGGAATGCACCTGTTCTTAACAAAACCCCCTTCCAGAGCAAGCGTGGCCACGAAAAATCAATCTTAAAGTAAGTTTCATCGGCTTCCTTATCAGCTTGGGCCCGAGGTTCAACAATGGAAATATAGGCTAACTCGTTACCTTTGTCTGCACGGTTCTGTAATTCGCTCAAAATGTAACCCCAAATGACAATAGGGTTAATCTCTGAGTCCTTCCCTAAACCACCCTGGTACTCCATGTATGGAGAAAGTCTGACGGCCACATGCTTTGCCCCAACTGCTTCAATACAAGCATCAATAACTTCTAGCAAGAGCCTTGCCCTATTTTCGATTGACCCACCATACTCATCTGTTCTTTGGTTAGCAGAGGTTTGGATGAACTGATCAAGTAAGTACATATAAGCACCATGAACTTCCACGAAGTCAAAACCAGCTTCGTTTATTGCTCTCTTGGCACCATTTGCAAATTCTTTGACAATATTCTTAATTTCGTCTTTTGATAACTCTTTCAGCTCAACGCCTTCCTCTTTTGCGGCTTTTTCACTTGCTTCGTCGAGATAGATCGCAGAAGGTCCAACAAAGGGTATGTTGAACAACTTTGCAAGTTGAGGAGATAAAACTCTACCGTAATGAGCTAACTGGGAAGTAACATATGAGCCGTTGCTATGAATGGCATCAACTATCTTCTTCTGCGCTTCAACTTGTTGCTTTGTTTCCAAAATTGGCTGATTTGTGATGCAGCCAAAATCTCTTCTCGGTGAAGTTCCTTCAAACACAATTAACCCACCATTGTTTTTAGCCCTCTCCGAGTAATACTCTAACATGGAATCGGTTGCAACACCATCTTTGGAAGCTCTGATTCTTGTAGTGGGAGCGTGTGCCAATCTTGTTTTGAGGATAACGTCCCCAACTTGGATTGGTTTAAAAAGGTTAGAAGTGGCTAAGGATGACATGTTTTGTTTGTTTTACTCTCTAGTGACTTGTTTTGCTTTTCCAAGCCACCAGCTGTTTTGCAATTGATCTACTTCCATTGCCGTAACTGATAAATTAAGCTAGTCTTATTTATAACATGCTGGTGTGCTCCAGATACTTCGTAAGGATAGCAAGTTCATCCGACTAATCTGATCGGAAATATATCTCTACTCTAAATTCCGAAAAAATGGCGAGCACTCCGAGGAAGAATTAGTAAGCTGTTTATTTTTCCAACGTGTATGGGAGATCCTTTGCCATGTGGTACGCATGTTGGTTATATCCGAATATCTTACTGACCAACGATATGATTTGGTTTGGAATATTCCAGAACTAATAGAAACACAACCCAATCAGTAAAAGTATGCAGCGTTCAATAGTGCAGTTGAAAACTATAAATAAATAAAGTGAGTATAAAATAGGAAACATAAGATATGAGCATTAGCTATATATTGAGAAGAATAAACAAAACAATCATTTATGTGATTAAGGTTTTGAGTGAATGAGTAAGCGTATCAGAGATACTGGAACCTAAAAAATACCGCAATGGGTGGTGAAATGAGATTAGAAGTGAATAATGTAGGGGGTGGGGTTGCGAAACTTTGGTTTTAGTTTCGTTCATCTTCGAAGATTAGTTTTTGGAGCCGTAACCAAACAAGTCTAGGTAGTTCTTTGGCGAGTTCACGTAATCTCTCAATTTCAAAACTTCCTCTTTACCGTAAACGGTTCTGTTCTTGGCTTGAGAAGAAGCAATAATATGAGGCTTGACATATTTGTACAACCAGTCTGCTAATTCATCGCTAACAATGCCCAAATCTTTGTAAGTCAAAGCAGAAGGGTCAATTTTTTGGTGAAGAGTTGAACGTCTGTAGGTATCGTAATCGAAAGCTTCCAAAGAAGGGTTCAATTTTCCGTTTAATAGACACCAGATCTTGACAAGAAACTCTGGGGCTGGCATGTCGTAACCAGAGGCAGCTGGGAAGAAACCGTATTGGTTCAAGTGGATCATGTATTTCAGCATTTCTCTAAGTTCAACTCTGGAGTATCTTTCGTTACCATAGAGTTCGTAGGTCTTTCCTGCAGTTGAGTCATCGTAAACTATTTTCTCAAGAGCCTGAGCAACTTGTTCAACATGGGTTGGGTAAACTTCTTGTCTGTAGATGATGTTACCACCGAAAACCTTGATGGACAACATGTCATTAAGGAACTTGGAGTTTCTACCGTACATTGGAGCAGGTCTGACAATAGTGGCATCAGGGTAATGCTGCTTGACCACCTCTTCTGCAATACCCTTGGTTGCAAAGAACTCGGAAGGAGAGTTAGGGTCTGCGTTATAAGAGGAGACTTGCACAAATCTGTCGACCCCAAAATCCTTGGAGATCTTGGCAATTCTGTTAGAACCTTCGATGTTAGCGTCGGCCATCGAGAAGTTCTTGGTGTTTGTGGAAGAACCCAACAAGTTGACAACGACGTCGGAATGAGCGACAGACTCTTCGATTGACTTCAAGTTTCTGATGTCAAACTCGTGGAAGTTGACAACACCCAAGTCGCCGCAAACCTTCAAGTGTCTTTTGGATCTACCGTTCCTGAATGGCGCAATGGTGATGGTACCGTGTTTGGCCAGCTTGGACGTCAATATCTTACCCAAGAAACCTGTACCCCCGAAAACCGACACCTGGTATCCGGTACGAGAGTGACGTCCACCCAAACCGTGTGCAATCTTGGTTTTACCGGTCTTGGTGATGTTGATGTCACTTTCCAGTGGGAAGCGGTAGATATTTCTCGATTGGTTGATTTGTGCAATCGATCTAGTTGCATTGAACGCAAGCTTGGACTTGTTCATGGACAGCATGGCGTTTTGTGGATGCGTTTATGTGTGGTGAGAGAGGTGCTGTGATGACTTGTCCGCTTGGGGCTGTCCTACTTTCTTCTTTCTCTCCAAGCTTCATCTGTATTGGCTGCGATTGGTTGTGCTTCCTTCCGCTTTTTCCTCTGGCTGTTGTGCTCTCTGCGATTTTTCCCCGCTCGAGAAGAACCTTCAAATCCCACCCGTACACCGCAAGGGGCTTCCCAGGACGTTTTTTTTGCCGCGACAAATATCTGTGTTGTGTCTCCAGGAGTTTTTAATCTCCGGACATGAATTGACGGTTTTTCCGTTGTTTTGACGTGGCAGGTTGCACGGTCTCTCCGTTTTTTTGGTGATTCTTGGGATTAACTACTCGGTTGGGGCCAGGTAGAGCGATTGCAATGAACAAGACAACTAGTGCAGCATCACTGCTGATTTCAGCGGTTCTGGTTGGCTTACAGACGCCACTACAACCAATTCAGTCCGCATTGGGGTTCTCTATCTTCGGTTACACGTGCGTTGACTATCTGATACCCAAAGTGGGTGCGGTGTTCATCAAGCGGGGGATCTTCGGGAAGGACATGTCCAAGGTTGGACGGCCTATCATACCAGAAACGATTGGGGTGATTCCTGCGCTCGTTTACCTGCTAGTGATGTTCTTCTATATCCCCTTCCTCTTTGCCAGGAAGGGAAACAACGGCGGAGGCGGAGAGGCCGATGCATCGGCGTTCTCACACTCAAAACTATCGTCGTACTTGAGTTCGCTGCTCTCGCTCGAGTCGATGATTTTGTTGGGGTTGATGGATGACTTGTTCGACATACGGTGGAGACACAAGTTCTTCCTACCTGCGATTGCGTCGATCCCCCTATTGATTGTCTACCATTTTGAGTTCAACCAGACGTCGATTCTTTTGCCCAAGTTCATATCCAATGCGTTCCAGCTCTCGACCTCGGTGGACTTAGGGGTGCTGTACTACTTTTACATGGCTGCGGTGTCGATTTTCTGCCCCAACTCGATCAACATTCTTGCCGGAATCAACGGCTTGGAGGTGGGACAAACGTTGGTCATTGCCGTTCTCTTGGTGATAAACGACCTCTATTACATTGTCGGCTACTTCTTGGAAGATCACCTCATCCAGTCGGCCTTTGAAGTCCACATGTTTTCGCTTTGCTTCTTAATACCATTCCTGGGTATCTCTTTGGCACTTTACAAGTACAACAAGTTTCCGGCCAAAGTTTTTGTTGGCGATACCTGGTGCTATTTCTCAGGCATGGTTTTTGCCGTCATCGGAATATCTGGTCATTTTGCCAAAACGTTGATGTTGTTTTTCTTGCCCCAAATATTGAACTTTGTCTACTCTTCTCCTCAGTTGTTTGGGATAGTTCCTTGCCCAAGACATCGCCTACCGAAGTTCAACGAGTCTGATGGGTTGCTTTACAACTCTTACACCGAGTACGAAGACTCCGAGGAGAGTGCCGAGAGTTCTGATGGAAAGAAGAAGCAGTTAAGGCCATACTTGAAACCAGTATTCAACCTTCTAGAAAAAATGTATCTGATTAAACTCGTGAGGAATGAAAAGGGAGAAATTGTGAAGAGTTCGAACTTGACGCTGATCAATCTAGTGATTATATGGTTTGGTCCGCGTAATGAAGGAAAGTTGTGCACCCTGATAATGCAATTACAGTTTGCAGTTGGGCTCTTAATGCTAATACTAAGGCACACTCTTGCGCCAACAGTATTTGGCTTTGACAATTCATGGAGTATGCTAAACAGATTTTACATTTCTTAGGTCAAGCTCGACCTCAATATATAGCTGACCACGTCTATAAAATTATTTATTACTTTTCGCTTGCTGGTAGGATGTTGTGTTTTTTTGGAATCATAGGTTTTTCTCTTTCAATAGCTGATCTCTTTGCTCAATCAACTCATCGGCAAGTTGCTGGATCTCGCTATTCTTGATCACCTTCCTGCATGCATAGAATTCGTCCATTCTTCTCGAGTGCATTCTTTCGTACTCGAACGCTTGCACCAACAGTTCTAGCTTATCGATGTCCTTGACAATAGTGGCCTCAAGATTTCTCTGTGTTTCATAGTCGATCCATAGCTCTCTCATCTCATCTGCAGATTCAGGACAGTATTTGGAAACGATGTCACAGAGGTACAACATTGCTTTGTATTCACGTTTACTCTTTTCGGCTTTATCTATCTTTTCGTCATGTGGAACTATATCACCCACCAAACTCTCTGCAATATCATGGACCAATGCAATTCTTGAACATTTGTTTAGATCGGGAGCCTGACCTGGCCATGCCTTTGGGTCCAACACTAGAGTCATTATCGACATTCGATACATGTGATCTGAAATGGTTTCCGGATCAGGAATCCCCATGTTGATCCATCCTGTACGCTTCTGTTCCTTCAACAACGACACCAACTGGAAAAAGAAATTGAGTTGCTGGTACTTGGACTTGGTTGATAGCACACCGCTGTTTGTTTTGATGTACAATAGCACAGCATGAGGAATCCTTGATTCCGGATCCCACGATGTCTCAGCAGAGAGTACAGGCGTAGACGATGTCATTCTAGAAAAGATGACGGGTATCCGTTTTCCTCTGAAAAATCTTTTGCAAACACTATTCATTCTCATTCTGATAGGAACTTTCCCTATCTGATGTTTTGATGTTTATCCCCTATTATCAAAGTGACCAATCCGGAAAAAAAAAAAGCTCGACGGGGAGAGCCATAGTGGAGACAGACGAATGGAAAAAAGTTTCTTTAAGAAAAATCTTCTGCCTACACTTGAAACGGCAAGAACATGCAAGGTGGAAGCGTTTTTCTATATCACTGACCTTCTTCTCAAAAGAAAGAGAGGAAGAGCAGGAGAACGAGTGAGCTAAAAATGTATACGATTAGTATATTATTTTATTTATAGATTAAGAACTACAAAATGGAAAAGATGAGAGATTGTAAGTAAAGGAGTTTAAGCGATTAATTCAACAACACCACCAGCTTCTCTGATCTTTTGTTCAGCCAACTTGGAAACGTATCTAGCCTTGACAATGACAGGAACTTGTGGAAGTCTACCCTTACCCAAGACCTTACCGTAACCGGAAGCCAAAGTGTCGATGACAATAGCAGCGTCCTTGGTGGAGGAAGCGACCTTTTCGTCCTTGTTTTCAACTAAAGACCATAACTTGTCTAAGTTGATGACTGGCTTCCAGAAGTGGTTTCTTTGTTTGTGGAAGTATCTCATACCAACCTTACCGAAATAACCTGGGTGGTATTTGTCTAAGTTGGTTCTGTGGTGGTGTTGACCACCGGCCATACCTCTACCACCTGGATGCTTTCTGTGCTTACCAACACGACCCTTACCCGCTGTAGTAAAATAAAAAAGAAAAAAATGAGACCTTTATGTTAGTATACTGAATCCGTAGGGACCGCTATTTGGGCAAAAAAACTGGTTTTGTCGATCTTTCACTGGGGACTCACCCCATGGCCATCTTGCACTCTGTGGAAGGCGTTGTGTGTGTCCTGGATGCTGCTAGACTTGCATTGCACAAACGGTGTTGCGGCTTCGCTGGAACGATCCTACGCATATTATTCATTCAGCATGAACTTGACACATCTGTTTTGGCGCTGGGTGCACTTCGGCCCTCTCCATCGAGCCTGTTCTGCTGCTCTCACTTGAGTTGAGGTTTCAAACTGACTTCTTCATTTCCCTCCTGTGTCAAACAAAATGCACGTCCTGTATCCAGCACCGTTACAGCTTTCTCATCACAAGTTGATCTTTCCGCTTGGTCGCTGCTGTGTCTATCCAGTCATTCGTTCCTCACATGGCCCTGGGTCTGCCTTTCAGTTTCGACAATTCCTTTCTTCATAAATACTTCATCTTGATTTGCTTTGTTCTGTACATACCGCAAACGTTACCTCTGTGCTTTCTAGTTTTAGTGAATCTGGTAGGCATTGTGTGCTTGTTGTGTGTAGAGAGCTAACCTGTTCAAGATCTTCTGTACAGATGATAAAATGCTCAGCTCTGTGCAAATCTGTTAAACCACCACCACACTGAAAAAAAACTCTAGTGCCCCCCTCACAGTGTCTCTCCCTCCCTGCCGTCTCCCTGTCTCACTCCGGCTCCTCCTGGCCAGGACTTTTCCCTCCCCGACGCGAGAACCTCTCCAAAAGTGTCTTTGTGTGCGGTGCGCGGGTGTCTTGCCGCTGGCTATCTCGCGCAAAGGCGCACGGAAAATTGAGCAAAAACCTCTTCGTAGGCACGTGACTGAAATGAGAGGGCTGAGACCTTCCTCTTTTGGAAGTACCCTATCTGGATGGGTATATCTGGGGTTGATAGACGTTTCTGCTATACCATATATAACGGCCAGGGCCCCGTCGGATTAGTCGATTCTGTCGCCGGCGCCTGTACCTGTGCCCGTGGCGGCCCACACCTCGTCGTAGGTCGCACAGCCCTTTGTTTCGGGAACAAAGTTGTGCACAAAGACGGCAAACAGGACACAGACAGCGGCGAAGATGAGGTAGACCCAGCCGCCGAGTAGTGTGTTCAAGATGGGGAACATGGTTCCCACGACAAAGACACTGACCCAGTTGCAGTCGGTCGCCCAGCTCTGGGCGATGTCCTTGACCTCGACCTGGGACACCTCACTGACGATCAAAAACGGAATGGGGCCGCAGCCTATGGCAAAGGAGCCGACGTATGTGAAGATGGACACGACCGTGAGGAGCGGCTTGTCCGTGAGTATTCCTGCACTTAGGACGAGCAAGGACAGCAGCATGGATAGGAGGGAGAGCAGTAGCAACGGCTTCCGGCCGACCCTGTCCAAAAAGGTGGACGAGACCGCGGTGATGACCATGTTCCCCACGGATATCAGCACGTTGGCGAGGACGGCGTACTGCGGGAACACCTTGTTCAAGATGTCGACGCCGTAGAAGATCACCGAGTTGATGCCGGCAAACTGCTGTCCGATCATCATGAAAGTAGCGATGGTCTTGGAGTTGAAGTAGTTCTTGTCGGTGAGGTAGCACCAGAACCCGAGGTTCTTCAAATGCGGGCTGGACTCAAGCAGCAGCAGATGTCCCTGCTTCTCGACTTTCCAGATCTCGATCTCGTTGTGCACGTCCTGGGCACTGCTCGTGGAGCCCCTGAGGCTGCCCAAGATCTTGGTGCCCAGCGCCTCATCCGCGTGCTTGGATCTGATCACGAGCCACTTGGGAGACTCCACCAAGGACGTGGCAGCCAAGACGACGTTGACCCCGGCTATTATCCACCCGACGCTCAAGATGCGTCTCCACGACTCGACCGAGTTCCATCTCATCGCCAACACCTGCGCCAGCAAGATGCCGAAGTTCACACTGATTTGGGTCATGCTGCCCAAGATACCACGTAGCTCGACCGGCGACACGTCGTTCACGTAGATCGGCACGTACACTATGGCCAACCCGCCTCCGAGCCCACTCACAAATCTGCCCAGCAGTAGACTCGAATGGGAACCAGCCCTGCTCTCGATGAACGATCCGAGAATGTAACACACCGACGTAACTATAAAGCTCGGCTTTAGACCGTAGTTTGTGGAAATGTACGACGCAAAAGTAGAGGAAACCAACCCTCCGATGGAGAAAATCGCCGTGGCAAACCCCAATTGGCTCTGCGAGATCCCCAAGGACAATCTGATATACTTGGCTGGCGCATTGAGCTCAGACATGTGGAACCCGTACTGAATCGACGCCAAACAGCAGATCAATACGCACACGACAAGCGGCGGTGTCCAATGCTTCTTTCTCAAACCTCCTGCATCCAGCAAGGGGGAGCTCGACGATGGTCTAGACATGTTCAATCGTTGTAGCCCTTGTCAGAGGGTAATGTTTACAGCTCCACCGAATAAAGCTGAGCATTACAGTAAGCACAGTATTGGATAGACATGTTTGTTTTAGCCACCTCCCCACAGAGCGCCGTCCCAAAGAGGAAACCGCAGGATTTTTCCATGTCTCTGGCAAGACGGTTCGTTCTTCCCTTGATAGTATTGAGGGCTTATCTGGATTGAATGGAGAGACGGCAGAGCGTTATCACCAAAAGCGATGGCGACTATCAACCCGGACGACTTGGACACGACCAATCTTAACGCACAGTCAAATGCAGAACATATACAGGGGATTTACGACGACATACAGAAAATACACGAGGAGAGCTTCAATTCTAGACTCGGATTGCCAGCGGTGGCAAGAGTAACTCTCTTCACACTCGGTGGCGCTATAGTGGGCGGTCTGGGTGGGATGTTGGGTGGATGGACCGATGCGTCATTGAAATATCTTGCTGCCAACTCCCACCGACTACCCACCTCATACAACGGCTGGTTCTTCTACCACAAGCGTAAGACATACTACTGCACGAAGAATGCGATGGGCCAGGCGTTCCGGACGGGGGCCAAAGTCGGGGGGTTTGTTGGCATCATGTTTTCGCTTGAGGCGATGCTCGACTACGTCCGTGGGCAGGCGGATTTCGCCAATACCATGGTGGCCACCTGCTTGCCCGGCTTCACATATGCCTGGTTCGGGAAGATGTCCAAGGTGCAGGCAAGAGAGCTTATCCACAAAGGAGGGAAGATCGGACTGCTGTTGGGGCTTTCGCAAGACGCATTGCAGTACATCAGAGGGATCGACGTGTGGTACTTGAACCAGTGGTTCGGCATCAAGCCGATGAAGTTGAGCGAGAGGTTGAGACAGTATGCTGGAGAAAAGGGGAGCGTGCTTTGAATCTATCTATATACCTGTACATACTAATGAATACACAGCCGGTTATATGCCACCGGGGTCTCTGCGGCTAGTCGGAGACGTAGACGCCGTCGTCGTCCTCATCGTCGTCGTCTTCTATGTCGGGAACAGGGTAGTTCAGGATGACGGCAATACCGGTCAACTGGTCGAGCTGCTTGCCCGAGTCATGCAAGCTGGAGAAGACGGAGACCTCGCCAGCGTCGTGCTTCACCTTCTCCACGAGGTCGATGTAGTGTTTCCGCTTCTGGACGTCGTCGTTCTTGAATAGCGAGTCCGTTATCAGCAACACCTTGACTGCCCCGCCTATTTCTACAGCCTTCTCCACTTCTCTTTCGCCGTAGAAGGCCTTGGAGTCGTCGTTGTTCAAATGTCTCGTGAACTCGTCAAACAATGCGACATTCCGCTGCACCTTTGTGTCTGCAAGCTGCTTCTTGATCGTTGGGTCCTTCATCACCTCCTCAAGACCCTGCAAAAAGCCTGTACTGCTCGACGCCGTGAGGAATTTCGACTTGCACCTTATGAGCTCCTTGTCTCCCGTCTTGTCAATCTCCTGGTAGATTATCTTCATCAACTGGGCCGCAAGCGTACCGGGAGACGCGATGATGATTGCCTTCAAGTTGAGCAGGTCCAAGTTTCTGATCGCCGACAGGGCGGTGTTCGTCAGGAACTTGTCCAAGGCCTTGTCATGGGCTGAGGAGTCGCCCCTTCTCTTCTTCGGAATGCTTTTCTCTATCTTGTTGCGTAGTATCGTCATCGAGTCGGTTATAAGACACACGTGGGAGACGCCTTCTTCGAGAACTATGGCTCCGACCTCCGCCTTCGACCCCAACGAGCATGCCGCCTCCACCAGGTCATCGTAGTGCTGGTCCCAGTGGTCCTTGTGGACTTTGACGGACTCCTTTAGCATCACCGTGGCGGTGTGGTGGGACCCCAGCGGCACGTCGGCTAGTGCGTTCAGCGTCCTGCCCTTGATTCTTAGCTCCCGTTCGGACGCCACGAAGTCTATGTCCAGCACATCCAGGGTCAACTTCACAATTTTCTTCTGTGCCGGGGCTCCAGGAATGGGCACTCCGGAAGAGCCTATGGGTCTGACGTTTCTCTGTGTTTTGAGCGACACTTCGTCGTGTTTGGAGATGAGGTTGTACAGCGTCCACAGGTCGTCTGCGTCTTCGGGCACGAGCACGACGCTGCCGCCCTGCTTGTTGGTCATCTTGGATACGAGCTTCATACCGGCGGTGATCTATGCCTACGGGAGAGCACCAGACTCTTCGAACGGGCCCCTGACAGCAGCAGAAAGAGAGAGAAAAGGGCCCCAAAGAAGTAGAAACCGGGGGGACCCTCAAGGCTGTGTAGACGAATGAGGGTGACAAAATTTGTCAGTTTATTACATTAGGTGGAGTTTATAGAAAGAGGTGGCTGCTACACACGGGGGAGGGCCCATCAGCGGACCTCGGCGCCGACGATGGTGGAGCACTTGCATGGCTCGCCGTTCTTGTTGACGAGCTTGGCGTCGGGCTTGCCTTCCTCCCTGTAGACGGCGGTGAAGTCGTCGATGGTGGTGAAGTGAGGCTGGACGGTTTCCCAGATCTTCTTCTTTGGCGCAAGGACCTTCTCCGGGACGCCGTCGTAGCCCTCGAAGAAGATCTTGTCGCCCGGCTGGCTGCCTGCTGGCGGGTTGACAAACTCAACCTTGCCCTCTGGGCTGGAGGCGCAGAGAACCATGGCGCTGGACTTGATGCCTCTCATGGTGACGGGCTTCAAGTTGGCGACGACAATGACGTATCTCTGCTGCATGGCCTCCAACGGGAAGTGCTTGACGAGGCCGGAGCAGACTGTTCTTGGGCCGTCCTCGTCGCCCATCTGGATCGTGGACACGTACAAGGCGTCCGCGTCCGGGTGCTTGACGGCCTTCTCGATGTACCCGACTCTCAAGTCGATCATCGAGGGGCTAGGCCCGGCCTGCGACGCCTTGGCCTCCGCCTCCTGCTGTGCTCTCAGCTTCGCCTTGGCGGCCTTCTTGGCCTCCTTCGCAGCCTTGGCCTTGGCCATGGCCTCGGCGTCGACAGGCTTGCCCTTAGGAACAGCGGCATCGGCCGCTGCGGCCGCCTCTGCGGCGCCCCCGGCGTCCTTCTTCTTGCCCTGTGCTGCTACCGCAGCACCCTCCGCCTCCTTCTTCTTCGGCTTCTCCTTGATCTCTCTTGGCAGTGCTGCGTCCAGGTCAAGAGCGAGCTTCGACTCGCTGAGGCCAGGAACGGTGTTCTGCAGCAAGTCAATCCATCTCAAGATGTGTCTGTTCGCAGCGACGTCCTTCACCAGCGTCGCCGTCGCCAATGGCAGGACAGCCTTGAACACCTTCACGTCTGCGTCCGTGTGCACCCCCGTGCCCGCCACGTATGTGTTGGCCTTCAACGTTTCGTTGAGCTCCTTGACGTGGTCCTCGATGTGTGGCGCCAGCGACTCCCACTGGGAGACTGCGGCCTGCTGCTGTTCTTTGGAGAAAGCCATGTCTGTCTGTCTGTCTTTGTTCTGTCGGCTGTGTGCTGTCGGCGTGCTTGCTGGCTGCTTCCCACCACTGCTCCCGCCCTCCTCTCTTCTGTTCCAGCTGTCCTGCTGAGCTTAACTGTCGAAAAATCTTCGGCACACGCCAGAGCCCTCTCAGAAAGACCCGCGCGGCACCGCTGGCGGGAGGACGTGAAGATGATTTCGGACCAGTCAGGCCTGGGACGACAGAAGGACGGAAAAGAGACGGAAAGAAGACGGAACGGGGCCAGGAGAGGCAGAACATGGCCAGTATAGAGAAACCGCCGCAGGAGATGGTGACGGCGATGACGGAGGCGGAAGGAGGGCAACGGAGGAAGAAGTCCCGGCGGGTGCCAGCGAAAAAGGTGTCCCGGGCCTGTGTGCATTGTCGGAATGCACACATCACCTGCGACGACAGCCGGCCATGCCAGCGGTGCGTGAAGAAGGGGCTCTCGGACAGCTGTGTGGACGCTCCCCGCAAGGTGAAGAAGTATCTTCTAGGGGGCAACGGTTTGGAGAAGACGGCTGCGGGGCCGGGGGACGGTGGACCAGAGGGTCAGCAAGACGTCGGCGCCATGCAGAGGATGGCGGTGTCGGCGTCGATGCCGGCGACGGTGATGGCCTCCGGTTCGGAGCTGCAGACGAGGTCCGGGCGGCCGCCGAGCGTGCCGAGCTACATGGGCACGAACGTGGGCACGAACGTGGGCACGAACGTGGACATGGCGCACGTGAACTCGCAGGGCCTGATGAGGTCGCTGAACTACCTGGCGCTCTCGAACGCCAGCCACAGCAACAGCAACAGCCCGGACACGCCGCCGGCACGACGAATGGACCTCTCTACCATGTCCAGCGGGTTCATCCGACGCTCGCCGTCGCACGGCCTCCACCTGAACAGTCACAACGGCCACAGCAAAGCCGTGTACGATTCGATCGACGGCACGCTCGGCTCCCCGAGCCGCAACGACCAGGCCGAGATCAACTTCCTGTCGTCCGCCGCAGACTCGGAGTACGCCATTCTCGGGAACATCATCGACCAGACGATGTTCCAGAACGACGGGAACAGCCACAACCCCGCCAGCACGGCGACCTCGCAGAAGTACGTCAGTCCGGCTCTGAGCACGACGTCCGAGGACTTCGAGTACCTGCACTACCAGCCGTTGATGGCGCAGAGCAGCGGCAACTCGCCCATGAGCATGGGCCAGTCGAGGAGCAGCATGCGGATGGATGACGCTCCGAAGAGCCCCTTTGTCAAGCCTCTGCAGCCCATTGAGATGCGGCTGGTGGAGAAGCCTGCCGAGCTGGAGGAGGAAGGGGAGGAAAAGGAGGCCAGCGAGGACAGCTACAGCGACGAAGACGGCTACGACGGCAGCGGCCCTGGCAGAAGGAAACGCAAGCTGAAGTACTCGGACCTATACCCGGACAAGCCGCAGTGCGACACGTCCACCAACCAGTACTTCATCGGAACGATGTCCACGATCGACGGCGTCAAAACACACACCTTCCCCGAGGTGGTGAAGCAGATTGCCAAGTTCAAGAACGAGCACCCTAAGCGGTTCAGGGAGAGGAACAGGAGAAGTGCGATCTCGTTCAGCATCGGGATTCTAGACGACGTGGTTGTTCCGGAGCTCGAGGGCACCGACACGACGAACGAGGAGGACGAGCGTCGCAAACAGCAGCAGCTGCTGCAGCAGGAAGCCGGCGAAGCTGACGAAGACGCAGCAGAGAGGGACGAGGCCGGCAACGGCGTCGCCGCTGGCGGCGAGGCCACTGTCGACGGGAACGGTGGCAGATGCGGGCTGCTGTACCACGAGCCGTGCGAGATCTACGCCAAGGTGAAGCAGCCGTTCACGTACGTGAAGCCGTACCACGACTTGAACCTCTACCTCAAGTCGAGGTTCCCGAAGAGCGACCTTGTGCAGATGTCGAAGAGCATTGCGGAGTACCGGCCGTCGTTCATTGCCGGGATGATCAAGTTGAAGGAGGACGACCTCATTTTCGCCGAGCAGTGTTTCCAGCGGACGTTGCTCGAGTACGACGGGTACATTGGGATCAGCGGGACGCCCACGCTTGTGTGGCGGCGGTCGTCGCAGATTGCGTATGTCGGGGACGAGTTCTGCATCTTGACCGGGTGGTCGAAGGAGAACCTGCTCGGGAAGTCGACGTTTGCGGTGGAGATCATGGACGACCGCAGCTGCGTGGAGTACTTCAAGATCTTCTCGAAAATCGCCTTTGGCGACATGTCTGGCGACACCATCACGGAGTGCACGTTGCTGACGCCCAAGGGCGAGAGCATCCGCACGAACAGCACGTGGACGCTGAAGCGGGACGTGTTTGGCATTCCGATGATGATCATCGCCACGTTCTTGCCCATCTTGACCTAGGTGGGGCGCTGCGCCCGCGTGTGTATTACCAACACTAGTGTCTACAAAAAACTAGCTACTTACTGCGAGAGGATGCTCTTGACAAACTCGGCGTAGTCCACCGAGTTCTCGTCCGTGATGGTCACGTTCTTCAACAGCTCGTCCACCTCGTCCCCGGACAGCTTTTCGCCGATCGTGGTGAGGATGTACTTGAGCTCCCCGACCCCGATGAACCCGGTGAGGTTTTTGTCGAAGATCTGGAACGCCTTGATGTAGTCCTCCGGCTTGCCCAGCTGCTTGAACCCGCCCTCTCTGTTCACCATCTTCTTGAACGTGTCGTAGTCCACCTCGTTGCCAGCCAGCGTGTCCTGCAGGTCTGAGATCTCCTTCAACGACGGGTTCTGGCCCACTGCCCGTAGCAGGTCGCCCAACGACCCTGCCGACACCTTGCCTGTGGCCGCCTTGTCGAACAGCGCAAATGCGTCCTGGAGCGTGCGTTCGTCTGCCATTGCTGTTTCTTTGTCTGGCTGTCTATCTATCTATTTGTCTGACTGTCTGTCTGTCTGACTGTCTGCCCTTTCCAACGCCCCCTCCACCGCCACCCACTTCCGGCCACATCAACACCCCTCTTCAACTCCACTTCAACTCCACTTCAACACTCCAGAGTAAACAAACCAAACAGCTTTGGCAACGCGGCCCGCGACAGAATTGTTGTTGCAAGGGCCTTTTCTTTGCATCGTTTCTACATTGGGAACTTTTTTTTTCACCTTCTTTACAAGACTCCGGGATGTGGGGGGCAGGGAGAAGGGGAGAAGGGGAGAAGGGAGAGAAAGTGGTTGGACAGCAGATAGCAGGACAGACATGGGAGAGCCGGCATGGAAAAGACTGGGCTTGAAGGTCAAAGCGGTGGTGGGAAAGGACCCGCTAGCGATAGTGACGCAGAGAGAGGAGGGAGAGGACAAGACGGAGAGAAAGGACAAGAAGCAGGGGAAGCGGAAGGCGGAGGACGGGGCCAGGGCCAGGCCGGCGAAGGCGGCGAAGCGGGTGAAGCTGCCGAGGCAGGAGCGGCTGCAGAAGCAGAGGCAGAGCGCCGAGGAGAAGGACCAGCTGCAGTACTTGCGGCAGTTTGACGAGGACCGGGAGCACTGGAAGTTCTCGAAGCAGAAGCAGAACTGGCTGGTGAAGAACATCAGACACGTGCCGGAGAGCTGCGAGGGGGCGCTGCTGCGGTACCTGGAGAGCGTGCAGGGCGGGTCGAGGCAGCGGGTGGCGGATGCCATGGCGGCGGTGGTGCAGACGTGGAACACGATGGTGGACGAGGCGGAGGACCAGATGAGGCGGGACCTGGCTGCGGCGGCTGCCGAGACGCCCGACAAGCCCGCTGGGGCCAACGGGAGCAGCGGCGACAAGCCCGACAAGCCCAAGAAGCAGCCCGACCACGCCAGCGAGACGCCTCCGGACTACGACTACGCTGTCCGTGCCAGAGAGGTGCTGCGGGTGCTCACGGGCGAGACGCTCTTCCTCAAGAGCATCGACGAGCCGCAGCCGCAGCTGCAGGTCGACGTCGACGTTTCCGAGGAGGACGTCGACGTCGACGCCTCTGCCGCTGACGCTGACGCCGACTGAACAACCCCGTCTGACAACCTCTTCACCAGACATGTATACCAGACTGTGTACAACAAAGACCGCAGTGCGTTACGTAAGCAGCCAACCTGCCACTTTTTTTTTTCTTCGCCACTTTTGACAGCACTCTGATAACGGAGGGCCGGAAGACAGGGATGAGCCAGCACACGGGCGGGACGGGTGGCAGAAGGACGGCCAAGGGCAGCGTCAGTCTATCTGTGTGGTGTGTGCAGACGTCTTGCGTGCCGGTGACTCTGTTGTGCCTTTGAAACCACGCCTGTGCGCCATGCCCTCGTTCACAAAGCTCATATCGTCCATCACGGGCAGCAGCAACAGCAGCAGCCACGGGCTGACGAGCAGAGGCTCCGCCTCTGCTCAGTCGCCGCTGCAGCCGTCGTCGACGTTCGACCCGAAGAACAGCCGGACGGGCGGCTTCCCGTCGTTTGGCGGGTCCGGCAGCAGCAACAACTCCTCCGTCGACGAGTACCACACGGCGATATGCAACAAGGTGGTGGCGAAACAGCCGATCCTCATCACGGTGGCGGTGGAGTCGCCGCCCATCACGCTGTTCGGCAGCCCCGCAGCGTCGTCGGGCGCCTTCTTCTCCGGAACGCTGATCTTGGACATCTTCATGGACAGCCCCGACGGCAAGGAGCGGGCAGAGAGGCCGGAGAGGCCGGAGAGGTCGGAGAGGCCTCCCGCAAGCACGCCGCAGGATGCCGCCGGGTCGTTGGAGCCGATGATGTCTGTGTCGCAGCTCTCGGCGGCACAGCTGAAGCAGGACTACGTGATTGTGAAAAAGGTGTCCCTGCACCTCATCCAGACGGTCAAGTACGGCAAGCCGTTTGTGCCCGAGTCCAGCACGCTGCAGAACTGCGCCGGCTGCACGAAAAGGGTGACCGAGCTGGCCCACTGGGACATCCTGTCGAAGAAGACGGCGTTTGCAAAGGGCTCCTCCCACTCGTGCCCCTTCAGCCACGTGATACCGGGCTCGATCCCGCCCACCACCATTCTCTCGAACTTCAACACGTCCATCAAGTACGAGTTGATCTGCCTCGCCACGTTCGTGGACCCGAAGACGGGCAAGGACCAGCTCATCAACTTGGCCCAGCCCATCAAGATCTCCCGGTCCATCTTGCGGGAGCAGGACCGCAACTCCACGAGAATCTTCCCCCCCACAGACGTCACCTCCACCGCCGTCATCCCCAACGTTGTGTACCCTCGGTCGTCCTTCCCCGTGGAGATCAGAATGGACCATGTGTCCACTCCGAAGCGCCGCTGGCGCATGCGTAAGCTGAACTGGAGGTTGGAAGAGTGCGTTTGCGTCAGAGCCAACCACTGCGACTCGCATAACGAGAAGTTCTCCTCCGTCTACCAAACAATGAAGAAACAGAAGAAGTCCGTCAAGCCCAGCAAAAACAGCGGAGGCCTAGGACACGCCAACGTCAACTACTACTTCGAAACACCAAAGTCTCGACTCAACAACAACAACAGCAGCATCGCCTCCTCAAATAGAACCAACGAGAGAGACCCTGCAAACCCTCCCACCGATGACTTATTTCCGTCAACTTCTGGCTCGAACCACGGCTCCCAACCGCTAGCACCTTCTGCCTCCAACTGGTCGGTCCCTGCGTCTCCAATAAGCTCCAACCTGGGCTCTTCGAATACATTGGACCAGGTCTTGTCCTCTTCGATCTCTCAACAACAGCAGCAGCAGCAGCAGCAGCATTTATCAAATCCCGATGAAGTCGTTATGCCTAATTCCTCCTCTACAGCTGCTGCCCCAAAGAAACAAACGGAAGGCATTTTTGTTGAGGAGATACGAACCATCTCAGCGGGGGAATTGAAATCCGGCTGGAAATCAGACTTCTCTGGTTGTGGACGAATCGAGTTGGTGGTGGAGGTTTCCTTGATGAACCTTATTTCAATGGGGATAAATAATACTATCGCTTACAAGGGTTCGATCAACTCGCAAACCTGTAACCTCACCTTCAACGAGCTTTACGAAGACGCTAACTCTGGCTGCAACTGTTCAATAGATGTTGACGACCCGGAGTTGGGGATATCTGTCACCCATAACTTGATTCTGGAATTGGTCGTTGCCGAAGAGATGATGCAGAGCACCATGGCTTCTGCAAACCAGTCGGCAAAGGCCCGCCAGCACCAACAGCAAACTCATGGTCACCGTTCGGGGAATGCAGGCTCCTCAATATCTTCTAACTCTACGGCTGCAATTGTGACCGGAAATATGAACTCACAATCACGAATGCGTCCAGTTTCCTCCTCAACCTCGGATAATACAAGTGGTCAAACGGGGACCAGAACTACACTATCAGAGGAAGATTTCCCTGATGACCGAGTAGGCCCAGAGTATGCCACGGGGAATAAGACAGATGTAAGCAACCACATGCAAGGTATCCCCACCGGTGTGGCACGTGTCTTGCGGATGCAGTTCAAAGTTATACTTTCTGAGAGGTCAGGACTAGGTGTAGCATGGGACGATGAAGTCCCTCCAACCTACCACGCAGTTGGTGCCTTGAGTCCTCCAACGTATGACGATTCAGCCAGCAATGTCACCTCTCCTGCCAATTATGGCCTAGCAGTCCCCTTGGAAGGCGACGAGAGGAATGTCAACGAGATGGCAAACTTAAGATTATAGATTCGTTCTTATATAATTACTTTTATGTACGCTTTTTTCATTTTCGATTAACACGTTTATATCTCCAGCTGTCTCTTTCTCTATCTCTGTCACTTTCCCTGCCACCCCTCTCCCTGGCTCTGTCTCTATCTATCTCTCTTTCTCTATCTCTATCTCTTTCTCTTCCTCGGTCTCTTCCTCGGTCTCTCCCTCTATCTGCCACATCCTTTTCTCTGCCAACTTTTTCCCTCTCTCTGACGCCTTGTCGTGAATCCCAATATTCACGCTGAGACTTGCCGTAACTGTCCTTTTGCTTTTTCAGACTAACGCCACTGCTTGTGCCCAAATTCTCTTTATCCTTAATCTTATTGAACAAGTCAGCAGACCTTTTCTTCGGATTGGTTGCTTTCGATGTGACAGTTTCTACCTTAGCCTTAGTCTTATCCTTCTTAGACAAAAGTTCACTCAATGTCTCAAAGCATACTTTGCCATCCTTCTTCACATATACCATAATTCCAAACTTGGTTACCAAGGCTCCACATCCTGTTGTCGCATTGGCATTATCACTTGCTGCATTGTATGTTGGGAAGATGTCGTCTATTTCAGCTATTTGCTCATATTCGTCACCCTGCTGAGATATTCGAATAATGTACGCTGGCTCGTTATTGCATGAAAGATATGACACGATACCAATGCCATTGGGACCAAGGGAAACTTTCAAAACAGGGCTTTCAACATCAAATAACACTGAGTTTGTACAGCACATTGTACTTGGGTCAATGAATAATGTATTTCCGTCTCTCGTTCCAACCAGCAACCCTGCGCTGATGTCATCCTTTTCATTGATCTCTTCGTAGTAGCATATCGAAGACAATGCCGAGGATGAAAGTTTCATGGATTTTTTGAGCAGTAACTCGTCATTCATCTGGTCAAACTCATAGAGGTGCAATTGACCATGGGATCCTGCAGCTATCAAGGTGTCAGATTTGTGATTCCAATCGAGATCTTCTATGCCACTTTCTACGTCCGTAGACGTGACTAAAGAATAATTGTTCTTGGTATCAAAAATATAAATTTGGTTGATTGTATCTAAGCCGGAATTCGAAAAAGATCTTGCATGAACAGCCAAATATTTGCCTGAAGGTGAGTATTTGATACACCATGGTGAAAGCGTCCTATCAGCGGGAGCTTCCACCTCGACAATAAGGGGTGTAAATACCATAGGCCGAGAGTAAAAGCTGAACAAAGTAAGCTGGATTTTGGTTTTGGTTTTGGTGGTCGTTAGAGCAGTATCGCTCGTCTTGGATGGCGACAATGGCTTCAACGAATTTGGCGCTGAGGAGCCTAATGAAGACGGTCCCCTAGGGATTGAAGAGCCAGTCTTTTCCAACGGTACTCCCAAAAGCACCGGAAACTCGGGATGCATGCATAGAGAAGAGACAGGGGATATCCGGAGTGACAAGGACTCTATTGAATAAACGTGTGATTGTGCCGACTGCTTTGCGGGTAGCCTGTGAACGGTAAGGGTCTCTGTGGGGGGTGCATAGTGGGCAATCCACAGTCCATCTGCAGACATCGTTAGCTGGTGTCTCATGGCTACCTCTTGAATCAAAGTTAATTTTGCTTAAACAAGGAAACGGTGCTGGCTGAAGAGAAACTCAACTCTTTCCATTCCAGAGTGCAGAACCCATATTGAAGAAAACATGTTGCCGGAGCGAAGAACACCAAAATGAAAAAAGACGTGGCCTTTTATCTCTGCTCTCCGTAAAATTGTTGTACCTCTGAGCGGATACTCGTGTTTGCACCGTAGTAGAGCAAACATACACCTATACAAGTACACAATGGTATGTTGACAGAAATATAGAAGGTTTGTTGGCTTTGCCAGTGGATCAACCTTGAAAATTGAAGGATACTAACACCCAAACACATCGACGGATCAAACCCGCCGAGTTGAGAAAAATTCCACCACTTACAGGCAGTCCAATCATTCCACCAAAGAAGAGCCAACGAAAAGTTCGCCAGCAACATCAAGAAGGTCAGAACCGGAGAAAAGCAAAAGCAGAAGAAGGAGGGCATCGAAAAGGTAAACATTCCAAGATGGTTGGTGATCCTACTCTGTTTCCTTCTTCTTGGAGGTGGTATCCTCGAAATCCTTAGAATATTCTTCTAAAAGGGTGTTACATATATAACAAACCAAAGCATTGCTATCCATTGGCTTGATGTATAGTGGACGGCAGTTTGCCAGATGTGTAAATTATAACAATAACTAAGTCGAATATGCTCCCTCGTAAATCCGCCCAAAACTTTCCATCTGAATTTTTATTCAAACGAGATTTTCTTATATCTCTACAGTAACCTTCTTTCTTACCTACCCAAGCTGGTACTCCAGTGCTCTTCATCGACAAGCGCATATTGGATTAGTGATAAACAATGTCAAGTGTATCAGATGTTGTTGCTGGTGAGCACCAGCAGGCGATAAACATTCCTATCCCTGTATTCCCCCCTTTCAAGCTTCGGTCTTCATTAATTGATAAAGACCCGGTCATCTGGGAGTATCTTTTGGCAGACTATATCACGTTGTTTAAGAAGCTACTAGCGTTGACATTGTATCACAGCAAACAGAAGAGCACCCAAGTTTTAGCGGCTCCATATGTTCTTTCCGTAAACACAGTCAACCAACTCCATACTTTTTTGCAATCATTTCTTCGGGAGTCATCCTTGGAATCTACGCAGGTCTTCTCCCTTGGGGCAATCAATCCTAACATCAGAGAAAACCAGCACGTTTTGAAATTGGCCGTATTCTCATACATCAAAGCAACGAATTTGGTGAACCTAAAGATCACAGGAGCTTCCATATGGGAGTTTTGCAAGGTCTATGTCACCATGGCAGATAAGTACACCAGCCAAAAAATCAACCAAACACTGGTGACCATCCCTGTAATAAGGAAACTAGTGGAGGGATCTATGAAATCGGTGTATACATCTAAAAGCGACGATGTGAGTCTGATACGCTCTTTACAAGACTACGTTGGGAAACTCATTGCCAGTGGGAAATGGAAACAAGATGATTCCGAGGTGCTGTATCTTCTTCTCGGACAGCGTACCAAGAAGGGTGTTACAGTGGGTTCTAATGATGACAGAAATAATAGGAGGAATACGAAAAATGTGAGGCTTTCATCAACGTCGAAAAATGGTAAGACAACGGTTAGCTCAGAGTTTGCCGAAACTTTTGTGAACAAGCATTGGACTGAAATCTTAGAAGAGCTCTACGTTGGTGGTACCGGTGTGAACTCCAAAACCTGTGTCCAAATCATGGTGTTGAGCTTGTGCTCTTTGCCTAGCTCGAAAATTTTGAAGCTTTTGAAGGAGAAGCTCGAGATTGATGGTCTGGTACGACTGAAACAGTTCCACCCGTTGATCTCATGTGTTGTGCTTTCGAAAAAATTCAACGAGATGAATCCAGATTTGAAAGACATACTAGCGCCAATCCTGCTACCGCAACGGAAGAAGAAAGCAGGTCAGAGCAGCATGGCCAAGGTTTTCGATGAGGCGAAAATACGTAATGTGAGAGACATGTTCCCACAGCTGACTTCTGGGCAAGCAAAGACATTGCTACATCGCAGCAATGACGATGTGGAGCGTGCAATCAACCATGTGCTAGAGATGGATGTCGACGACATCAACACGATCGAAGACTATGACGAGAAGAAGAAAGAAACCAAAGAAAAAGACTCCAAGCCGAAGGGTAAGAAAGCTTCGGGGCCGAAGAATGTGTTTGATTTCCAGATGGACAAGGACAAGGTTGTCACCGTCCAGATGGGGAAGAAAGAAGTCAGCGACACCATTGACGACGCTGGTGAGGAGTTGCGGAAGAAGAACCTCGAGCGGGCGCTTGCAATGCTATACGAAGCAGACGAAGACGAGCCGGACGACACCTACGTGGAGAACGAGGCAAACGCCGTGCCTAGTCTCGACTACAACGAGGACGGCGGGGATGGCGCCGTGGTCGGCAACAAGGGTGCCAGTAAGGACAAGGGTGTTAACACCAGGCTCGACAAGCAGCTACTGGACATTGAGGCCAGGTTGTTTGCAATATACTCCTCTTCCCCGGAGCGGTTGGGTAGAGGGGACAGAAACACCCCGTACAGACACCAGTTGCGACGGGAAACGGGCTGGACCGACGAGCAGATCGAGGGCTGGGCACGTATTCTCCAAAAGAGTCCAAGCAGGTTCCGCATGCTGGAGGAGAGACTCGTCTTTGTCGACGGGTCGTTGAACACGTCCGGGAAGAAGTCCTCCAAGTGGACTGCTCCCAAGAGGGAGCCCGACAGCGACACTATATACGATGACAGCACCGGCCGCCATGCCACCGACAAGCGGAGGGGTGGTCGCCCGGTATTTAGCGGGGCTAAGTCCGGCGAGTCTGCTGGCCAAGCTTCCTCGACTGCATCGCCGTCTGCCAAAAACAACAAGAACTTCCGGACATACATGGAGAAGAAGAAGAAAAAGAGCGTGAAGTAGTGGAAATCGACGCAAACGGCAATCCGAGAAGGAAAAGTGGGAGAGCGCTAAATCCGATCTCCGTCGAGTGTCTCAAACCTGATGGCTGGTTCTCTCGAAGACCTGTTTCCCGGAGACACTCGTGTGGGGAAGGACGGGTGTATAAAATAGAGCATGTGTATAACTCTACGTAATGTGTTCTCTCTGCATTTGTTAGAATGTAATTGAAAGACAAGAGCGCATAAACACAGTAGCACAGAAATGCATTCGGAAATGGAAACCATCACGGGTCTAGGAGTAGCCAAGCCAAACACGTATCCAAACGTGGAAAAGATCACGTACAAGCCAGCGGAGCTAAGACCAACGGACGTGGACATCAAGATTATTGCCTGTGGGATATGTGGAGCAGATCCACATTTTGTCCGGGGCGATTGGGGCGGACCACATCTACCGATCATCCCAGGACACGAGATTATCGGACATGTTGTGCACAAGGGGTCGGAAGTGAGTGACGAGGAGTTCAAGGTTGGTGACCGGGTGGGTGTCGGTGCACTAGCAGACAGTTGTGCTAGCTGCTACCGCTGCAAGCACGGGTTCGAAAACAATTGCAGACAGGCAGTGACGACATACGGTAACCATGTTTCGATGCCAGAGAGACAGGGCGGATATGCGTCACACACGAGAGTCAACTCGAAATTTGTTTTCAAAATCCCAGACAACATCTCCACCGAACATGCCGCTCCGTTGATGTGCGGAGGCATGACCAGTTTGAGTCCTCTTTTAGCCACCGGTGTGTCAAAAGACACCAGAGTCGGCATTGTCGGAATTGGCGGTATCGGCCATATGGGCATCATGTTTGCCAAGGCGTTGGGAGCACATGTAACCGCTCTCTCCAGCTCGGAGAAGAAGAAGCAGTTGGCCCTCGATTTGGGTGCAGACCGTTTTGTCGCCACCGACGACCCAGACTTCGTGGAGAAGAACCTGGACGCCTTCGATGTTGTTGTTCATACCGGGGCATTTGTTAACAACAAGATGATCTCCGATATGACAAAAATGTTGAGACCGAACGGTCGTTTGCAGCTCATTACCGGACCGGATTTGGAGGATATGTCTCTCAACTTGAATGTTTTCGATTTAATCATGAACAACGCCAATGTCGGCGGCATTGCGTCTGGCTCTGGCGCTCAGATCAAGTACATGCTAAAGCTTGCCTCAGAGAACAACATCGTTCCTATGGTTGAAACCATCAACATCAGCGAAGCAAATGTGAAGAAGGCATGGAACAGATTGGACTCAAACGATGTCAAGTTCAGATTCGTTCTCACTGGATACGACGAGTTTTTTAAATGAACTGGCTCTTTTTCCGTTTCTCCAGGTTGTGTATTCCAATATAGCGTATTTTCAAAATCTCTACAATGACAACACCTTGGGCGAAGTACGACCTGGGTGGTTATGGTAGTTATATAGAAGACATGACAACTACAGCTTAAACGAAAATATGTTACGTAAGCAAAAAATCTGTTTTAAAACAACAGTAGCTTGTGTATAGCGCAGTCCCTTATCTTTCAACAAATTCCGATATAGTGTAACGGCTATCACGGTCCGCTTTCACCGGGCAGACCCGGGTTCGACTCCCGGTATCGGAACATCTTTAAGCCTGGTTAGCTCAATCGGTAGAGCGTTTGACTCTTAATTTGATAGCAATCAAAAGGCTGCGGGTTCGAGCCCCGCATCGGGCTTAAATTTTTCTTTTTTTCTTTCCTTTCCTTTCCTTTTTGGCAAGATGTTCCTGTGTCAATGTGTCGTGTTCTCAATATATGCTGCTATACATGGCGCCGTTATATAGAAAAAAGAAAGTGTCGTCAAACCTTGTCGTAGTAGCCCGAGGTGTGGCTGTCGGAGGAGACCTGCGGCTTCCAGTTCAACTCAAAGGCCTCGTCTTCGTCGTCCTCGTCCTCTGCACCGTGATGGTCGTCGCCATTGGCGCCGGAGTTGGCATGCTGTGTGTTGTTGATGTGTGCAATGGTGCCCTTCTGCACGAAGCCAGCGCCGTTGTTGAAAACCGCGGAGTTGGTCATCGCTAGGGTCGTGTTGGAGCCCTTTTGCGAGGTGGAGTTGTAGAGGTTGCTCAACGATGGCGTGTTCGAGAGCACGCCGTTGGACTCGTTCTTCCTGATAGCTGCGAGGTTTTGGGACATGCTGCTGTGGTTCGAATAAAGGAAAGACTTCTATGCTTGCCACAGAAAATCTAATCAGAAGAGCGAACCACCACCACGACGTGTCATAAAGGGATGGGAGGCAGCCCGTATTTATGTGGTCCGGCAAGGTGCAGTGCCGGTGGCCAATTTGATCCGAGGCACCCATCCTGCGCCGGCCGCTATGCTCGGAGTCTGGTCCCCGTGTGGCGCAGCAGCACGTCAGCGGGGGGGCGTGCGCGGGGCCGGACTAATGGGGCCGGCGTGGCGCAGGTGGCAAGGCTGCCCGGAAGGGCGAAAGGCGAAGAGCGGAGGGCAAAGGGCGGAAGCAGGCCGGCCGTGAAGGGGAAGGGGATACGGAGACGTCTGCTGTCGGCACGGCGAAAGCCAACGAGGACACAGAGGATAGAGAACCAGGGCAACGGTGTGCCGTAAATCGATTACCGAAGATATAAAGAAAGACATAAGCGTATGCATACACATCAAGTGGAAGAGAAATAAAGGGGGGAGTAGAAAAGGGAGAGTAGAAAAGAGAGCTCGGGTGCAGAAGGGCGATCGACCCTTACATCTGGTTGTGACCATAGACGTGTACGGAGTCGTAGTTGTCGCAGCTCACGGTCGGAATGAAGCTGTAGTTGTTGCCGTCGTAGTACTCGTCGTCGTCGCTCTTGTCGTCGTCGTCAATGTAGCTGATGACCTTAGACAAGCCCAAGCCGTGGACGTCGGCGGTTGCCTCGGTGACAGAGACCCGGTGTTCTCTGTCGTAGACCTTCACGTGGTCGTCCTTTTCGGCGAGCGAGAGGTTGTTGTTGACAATGATGGACATTTTGTGTGTGTGGGGGAGTGTGTGTTTGGTCTGGGGTATTTGCTTGTGGCAGATAGATAGCACTAAGAGGATATTTGAGGAAGTAATCAACGGGGGAAAAAAAGTAGGAAAACTACACGCTTTTATATCCGCCACGGACGCCCGCTCCCCGGATGCTCAGCCGATGCAGACCACTGCACCTGAATCATCCTGCCCGTGCCGCCGCCCAGGACAAACGGTCCGTTGGTAGATTGAGTGGGGGTGAGGGGGGTCTGCTCGGACTCATCGGGTGGCGCGGTGGACACACGGGTGGTGAATCACCGGGGGCGTTGGCCCGGATGGATAAACGGAGCGACAGCCGCACGCCGGGGCAGAGTGCTAAAAATGCGGGGGAGACGGGGTGCCAGCCCACAGCAGCCGTGGGAGGGCGCGATGGGCATACGGAGCATGGAACACGGCGGGGGCGCGGTGCGGGGCAGTGCGGGGCGGTGCAGCAGGCCGTTTCTCCATTGGGAAGGAGGAAAAACAAAAAAGAAACTGCGCAAGCCCGGAATCGAACCGGGGGCTCAACGATGGCAACGTTGAATTTTACCACTAAACCACTTGCGCGAATTACATGAGCGTAGCATCCCATTTTGGCTATAGTTATGTACAGACATGCAGCCAGTATGCGCGCCTGATGAAACATAGATGCTTAACGCCGTGCACGGATGGGGCTATGGCTCAATGGTAGAGCTTTCGACTCCAAATCGAAAGGTTGCAGGTTCGATTCCTGTTGGCCTCAAACCGACTATTTTTTTCATCAAGAAGCTCTGCAGTTTATTTTTTGGTAAAAATGCCTTAAGACGCAGCCGGAAAGCACGCCGGCTGGCTCGAAAGAGCAAAAAAACTTCGGGGTCAACTGGGAATTGAACCCAGGGCCTCCTGCTCCCAAAGCAGGAATCATACCACTAGACCATTAACCCTAAAGAACCGACCGGAGTGAGGGTTGAACTCACGATCTTGCGATTAACAGTCGCACGCCTTAACCAACTTGGCCATCCAGTCAATTATTGCCAGACGTTTTTTACGGGTGTCCATAATCCGCACTCAGAATTAAGTGTATACAGCACGGCACCAAAGCCATGGGAGAACAGAAGCGGCCCGGTGAGGAACCTGTGAATAATACCGCTGAGCTTGTTATGCATTAGCCACCTTCATTTGCCTTTTGCCGGCCTCATGGTGTTGAAGTCTAGCTATTCTGTTATGAATATCCATTGTATATTGTTCAATTTATATTAGATTACTTGATGCCTTGTCATTCTAAGCCTCTTGTCGGATGCCTTGTCATTACAAGGCTCTTTTCTAATGCCTTGTCTTTCAAAAGCCTCTAAATCTAATTTATTGATACTTATTGACTTCGGCATCTTATCTCAACACATAGGTTAGTGGGTAATGCTAGCATGCCTAGTATGGAACTTCCCAATGAGATGGATTGAATGAACATATAATCTGACGCTTGGTAAAATTGTGATAATATATGGCCAAGGAGAATGCCTTCACAGGACAAATTTTGGGGCCCATCAACAGTGATAAGCAGTTGTAGTGTAAAAAAAAAGCTGCAGTACCAAAATAAAAATGTCCATGCGAGAAGAAAATCAAGACCAGCGGTACTTTCAGAAGACGCGTTTGCCATTATTTTGAAGCTCATCTCCAGCATCCGGAGGAACCTCGATTTAAAAGACCACCGCATACCAGAGTAGAGTACAGCGTATAAAAAAACAAGTACGAGCACTGTCCATATGATGCTACCAAAATAAAATTTAAGAAAATACGTAAAGGCAACAGAAATCAATCAAATAATGACTGGAAACGAAAATGTATATGAAAGCATTAGCGCAAATGCTAATGATAACAGGCTCGGAGGACTTACACAGGACATAGTACAGAATAAAAGGCGAGATATACCAGTTCAGCAAACCAAGAAGAACGAATTGCTTCCCCAGTTTGAATCTAAAACTAGAAACATTCAATTATTGCATCAGTTGATCAGCTCTGTTCAATCATTCGGAGATTTCTGTCTACTTGATATATCGAGCGATGGAATGTGCTTCAGTATAAATGACGGTAATGTTTGCAAAGTGCGATTGAACTTGAATCGAAAAGTGTTTCAGACTTACACTTTCAATGGCGTTTGGAGAGAAAAAAACAACTTTTCAGCTGCTCAACTATATGCAGAAGACACGGATTTTTCTGACGCAGAAGCTGAAGAAGATGGCACGGAAAACTACGTCACAAATAGCTTTGACTGCGATGCAATCATTTCGGTAAACCTAAACATTGCCTCATTCTTGGAAACGATGAATATCCACGTCAAAGATAGGAAAGATGCAGAACAACGGGTTGAGTGCACCTTGAGATACGATAGAGAAGGAGATCCGTTTGTTATGGTGTTTGAAGATGACTCCATAATTGAAAGATGTGAATTGAATACCTACTACATTGATGATCTCCGATCCAAGGGCAAAAAGTTGAAGAAAAAGAATAGGAAGAGTAAAGAGAAAAAAAATACAACCGACAACATTGATGTTATCGAGAGCTTTGATATTGATAATCCAATCATTGATGACTCTATTTTTAGATTGGATTCAAATAAAATATTATACGACATTATCATTAAATCCAACATATTACATGACATTATAAAAGACATGAATGATTTGAACACAGACAAATTTGTTCTTTATTGCCACAAGACAAAAGGCCACGTGGCAAATGGTATGAATGATGGCAATGATGAAAAGGAGCATCGTTCTAAGCTTATATTCATATCAAAGTCAAAATCTGATACCATAGGTTTTTCAAAATTGATTATACCTCAAAGGAAACTAAATATCCCAGAGTTTAAACTTTTCAAACCTGTGATTCCAGAAACTAACCCAGAAGAGTACGAGTTTGTCGATTGTTATGATCTGTCGTTATCTTCTACGTACCATTTTGAGTATTTCTCACGTTTACTCAAGGCAATCAGACTTTCCAAACTTATCAAAATCAGAAAAGACATGGACGGAATCACATCATTGCTATTATTGCTAGGGAAAAGTACACATACCCTGAATCAACAACAAGCACAGCGGCTGGACAATAATGACTTATATGGCTCCAGTATTGAATTTGTGACTTTGGAAAGTATTTCAATCGATGAACTTTCTGCTTTAACACCTGAAACAAGAAGCCCTACATTGTTATCTAAGCTGGGCTACGGTAATAATTTTGTTGAACAATTGATAAAGGATGATCAAGATGTTCAAACAATACGTGTGGGAAATGATGGTCAATTGATAACATTAGATGATTACTTTGGTAAAGACGCCAGAGCTGAGTTTGAAGAAATTGAGAACGTTAATATCCATGACCGAGATCACGAAGGATATAGGGGCCTACCAATGGAAATGGATATAGTAGGCGATTACATGCCAGTCGAAGGTGTTCATGCTGATAAAACAAAGAACCGGCGCCAAGATGACAATATATTGCAGTTGACTGAGCAATTGACTATGTCATTGCTAGGACATGCAACGCCTACAGCAATCAACAATATTGAAGTCGAACAGAGTATGGTTGTCAATGATGAGGTTGAGAGTGAAGGGGATCGGACTCGGAAACGTTTGTCTAACTACAGAAAGGAAAAAGACACCAACAAGAGAACCAAGAACCGTAAAACTAAAGGAAGGCCCAAAAAGGGTGCTAACGGCAAAAAGAAGAATGATGGCATTGAAACTGTTGGTGGAGCTATAGAGATTCCTTTATTTATCTGAAATACTCTCTTTCAATTTGACTCAAATTATGTACCCGGGCTATTCTTTTCATTGAAACTTTTTTGAATTGGTCAAGACCATGTGGACCATGTGTCTCTGCTAGAGATTTCGAATGACCCTAGTCACATAATTGAACTGTTTTTGCTTTGGTTTGTATATCTATAATCTAATCACTGTAGGAGCTTCGCATGTGAGAATGAAACGGATACTTATTAGCATCAAATTATACATACGGCTCTATTGTTTATTACGTAATTAAAATTGTTGGTAGGACTTTCGTTTTTAAATTTTTCTAAACTGGTTTATTTTGCTACACTGACACTTGGGGACATATCAGAGTTTGTAAAAGTTGTAGGATTATGAGCTCAAAGACTATTGGATAGCTGGCTCTACTTGAATAACATCTGAGCTCTCACAATCACAAGAAATGGTCCCTTGGCCCAGTTGGTTAAGGCGTGGTGCTAATAACGCCAAGATCAGCAGTTCGATCCTGCTAGGGACCACCAGTTCTAGGGCGTGTGGCGTAGTTGGTAGCGCGTTCGCTTAGCATGCGAAAGGTCTTGGGTTCAACTCCCAACTCGTCCAATTCTTTTTTGCCCTCATTATTTTTTTTTCTTCCGGTGTTGTTGGCATCGGGCCTGAACCGGAAGATGGATTGAAACTTTCCTTGATCCTCCCTCCACGGAGAGAAGCGAGGAGGCCAGGAAAATGTGACTCTTCTGATGGCCGGTCCTGTGAACGTATTTGATACGAGCTTTTGCAAAAAGAAGATCTTATAGTCTCTTTCCTTTTGGGTTTCCGAATCTTTACAGGTGCTGCCAGACATCCATTCACAAGCATTTAATGTTGTCTAAGTCTGTGGGATTGAGACAGTGCAACCCGCTGGGTTCATTGTCTCTTTTCAGAAACTCATCATCTACTGCTGCCATTGCATACAAAAACCTACACAGAAACAAGAAGAGGCCACAGTTGCCCACTTTTGAGAACCCAACGTTGTCTGCCGACTCTGCAGTCAGCTCTATCATCTACGAAACCCCAATAGTCTCCAAGACTCCGAAAACGCAGCATGTTCTAAACTGTTTGGTGCAGAACGAACCAGGTGTCTTGTCTCTCGTCTCCGGTACACTTGCCGCAAGAGGCTTCAACATCGACTCGCTGGTCGTGTGTAATACTGAGGTGAAAGACTTGTCTCGTATGACCATCGTCCTCGGTGGCCAAGATGCAGTCATTGAACAAGCTAGAAAGCAAATCGAAGATTTAGTCCCTGTCTACGCTGTGTTGGACTACTCTCATTCTGAAATCATTAAAAGAGAATTGTTGCTCGCAAGAATCTCACTTTTGGGTTCTGAGTACTTCCAAGAGTTGGTTGCTCATCACAACGATGCTGATGTTAAGGTCTCTGAGAAATTGAGAACTGAGGTTTATCACCCATCCAACCTTCCACCTTCCCAGGCTTTGAGACAAAAGTATGAACATTTGGATGCAATCAGTAAATTAACTCGTGAATTTGGAGGCAAGGTCGTTGATGTCAGTGACAGAAATTGTATCGTTGAATTATCCGCAAAGCCAACCAGAATCAGTGCATTTATTGCTCTCATTCAACCGTTCGGTATCCTAGAATTGGCAAGATCAGGTATGATGGCACTACCAAGAACTCCGATAGAAGGTGTCGAAGATGGTACAGACCCAACTAAGGATGCCGCAGATGTTGTTGATGTCTCCCAATTACCACCAGGCTGATTCATGGCTAAAAACAATTCCCAATAAATAATTCTTCTCATATAATACTTGTTGTACTCAACCGACGTCGGTAAAAAAAATTGTTTGACTTTCATTTATCCTGTTGTACAGGAGCTTGAAAAAATGCTAAATAACTATCCAGATGCTGCAATAAAATCCCAAATGACCAAAATCGTATAATAGTAATATAAAATAAAAAACGTAAATGCAAAACAAAGCAAAGCATATCCATGATCATCGAATCTCCACGTCCAACGGAATGCTAATGCTACTTACCGGCAGGAAACCGTTTAGCACATAAACTTTAACATTGGCATCCCCTCTCAGTCTAAGTTTAGCACCGGAATCTAGCAAAATCTTCCTCAACAGACCTCGTGTTCCTTTCGCATTAGGCCAAAGAGTCACAAATAAATCCAAAGCAGTATTTGCGCCATCAACAATCTTCACGTAAAAAGGCTGGATCTCAATCTTGCCGAGCTTCAAATCCTCACCTTTAGATGCATCGTAAACAATCAGATCTAACTCATCAATTTTCAAGTTCAATCCCCTGATTACAAACCCACCTTTTTTGAAGTACTGCCTGATCCAAAAGTCGTCGATATTTGTAAAATTGTTGCTGTTTATACCACTTACCTGCAAATCAATTCCGCCCTGTTCTCCCAGACCAAGCAATCTGACGTTATCTGCATTGAACTGCGTGCCTTCCGCAACACCGACACCCAAGTTAGGCTCGACACGAACAATAAAGATTGTAATTAGACTGAAGAGCACTATACTAATAATTGCAATGGGAAGGTATACATGGAGTCTGTATCTGACTATTTCTTTCCTTAACCTTTGCCATCTTTCGGTCAATCCTCCAAATCTGCTCGAAGAACCGGTCCCTACCTCAAGCGTAGACTCAATATCTTCAAAAACCATGTTAGATATTAATTTGCTTAATTAGAAACTATCTGAAATGTATAACGTGCAGTGCCCTCAAAGTTAGAGATACAAAATGCTCCATCGATGACAACCGATTGTCACGTCCCCAATGTCTTCAATCGGGCGTCTCATTCTCAGAACATGATTTTTTCTCAAAATTTTTATCAATTTTTTTCAGCACCCCATTACTCCATCCTATCGACACCTTTGGAACGTTTTGCATAATACTACTGTTAGGTAAAGATTTGTAATTAACGTCCAACTTTTCATTTACAATGCTTTATATGATTGGATTGGGACTTGCCCATGAATCTGACATCACTGTTCGTGGTCTTGCAGCTGTTAAAAAATGTAAGCGGGTGTACCTCGAAGCTTACACTTCTATCTTGATGTCTGCAGATAAGGCAAAATTGGAAGAATTTTACGGCCGTGAAGTGATATTGGCTGATCGTGAAATGGTAGAATCTGAGAGTGACAAGATTCTTGAAAATGCCGATGTTGATGATGTTGCATTTTTGGTGGTTGGTGACGTTTTCGGAGCTACTACCCATACCGATTTGGCAATCCGTGCCAGAGATTTAGGTATAGCGGTTGAGAGTATTCACAATGCCAGTGTGATGAATGCAGTTGGTGCATGTGGCTTGCAGTTGTACAACTTTGGTCAAGCTGTATCCATTGTTTTTTTCACCGAAGATTGGAGACCAGATTCTTTTTACAACAAAGTTATGGAGAACAGAAGAATTGGATTACATACCCTTTTATTACTAGATATAAAGGTGAAAGAACCAAATATCAAGGAAATGATGCGTGGAAGAATTGTCTATGATCCTCCAAGATACATGTCCGTTTCAACTTGTTGTGAACAACTTTTAGAAATCGAAGAAAAAAGAAAAGAAGAAGCTTACACGCCAGAAACACCTTGTATTGCAGTTTCCAGGCTTGGATCTCCTAACCAATCATTCAAAGCTGCAACTTTGAAAGAATTGGCTGGCTATGATGCTGGTGAACCTTTGCATTCGGTAGTCATTCTTGGAAGACAAGTGCATGACTTGGAATTGAACTATCTTTTGGCTTTTGCCGATGATAAAGAAGCTTATAGGAAGTCAGTCATTGCTGATCAAGAGTATTTCAAACCTCCACCGCCACCTCCAGCACCGGAGGAGATTATTTCGGATGAAGAATGAGTTGAATATGAACAATTTTTCGAATTTTTGTACTTCATAACCTAAACTTGCCTTCATCCTTCCGAGCAGCAAAAATAAAGAAGTTATACTATTTACTTAATATAACAAGAAATTCCTATGAAATAATATATACTATACTTACAGGCAATATAAACCCCACTATTTGATTAGTCGATATCTAATAATGGTTTTAATTTCTTTATTAATAACCAGTCTTCCCTCGGCACAGTATTTCTGAACGCTGGATCTTTTAATGTGTCGATAGATTTTCTCGTGATGAGAGAATATAGTCCATCTTTTTCGTCAACATGTCTACCCCACGTTGGCTGTTGGCCTGAAGGAGGATCTAAACGCATTGCTACACCAGCATTGGTTTGACCTTTTCTGACAGAACTCTTAGATTCATGATTGACTTCCAAAGAAGCAACAGTTCCCAACAACATTGGTGTTTTTCTACCAGTCAGTGGATCAGGCTTAACAACACAAATTGGAGTACCATGTTTAACCATACCTTCAGTAACATCCACACCAATGATCATTGGATTTCTCTTGTTGATGATCTGGATGGTTTTCAGGACACATGGATAAATAGCAGATCCTTCATTTGCTTTTCTCTTTTCTTCCAATAACTTTTCTTGGTATGCTGTGAACTCGTCAAACAAATGATAAATAACATCAGCGTTGAAAATTTTGACACCCTGTTCAGTTGCATATTGTTCAGCTTCCTTATCAACCTTGACATCGAAACACAACATAACAGCGTATTCTTTGGCCTTATCTAACATGGCAGTGGCCTTCATGACATCTCTCTTATAAACGGGACCCAAACCGATGGACATAACTGGAATTTTCATGTCTTTCAAGAAATCAAGCAATGCTTCCAATGAACCTAATGTTGAGGCCTGAACAACCACACCTCTACCCGTTGGATCAACCGAATCCAACAAGCCGGTTAAGTCTTCCATCACATCATCCATCATTTCATCTTCATCGTCACCGTCTTTGACAACCAACAACCTTGATCCTGCAACTGCTTTTTCCAAGTCATTTGCTGCAATCTTAACACCCAAAGCTGCTTTAACTTCTTTATGATGAACATATTCGGATTTGATACGCAATTCTCTTGCTGGCGGAGGAGTTAATAAAGCTCTAATGTTGGTAGCAATTGGTCCATTCATACCGCACAAAACTATCCTATCACCTTCATGTAAAACACCATTAGACAAAATGACATCGATGGTGGTACCTAAACCTTCAATGACCTTGACTTCCAAAATAGTTGCTTCAACACCTGTTAAGTACTTCAACTGCTTACTCATTCTCTTTTGGGTTAATTCCAAAAGTAACCATAATAAATCAGGAACACCCTCACCTGTGACAGCAGATGTTGGCACAATGGAAACATATTTAGAGATGTTTGGATTTTTGAAATACAATTCACTGTTTAAACCCTGTTCTGCTAAGGCAACCTTGATGGCAGTGAATCTGTTTTCGAACTCGGATTGAACAGAAGACTTTTGGCTTGCTAAAGATTCACGGAATGAATTGTTAGGAGTAGCATCCCAACCATACAATCTATCAATTTTGTTCAGAGCAACAACGAAGGGTGCTTTTCTATCTCTCAAAAGTCTAATAGATTCTAGAGTTTGTTGTTCCAAACCATGCATGATATCAATGACTAAAATGGCAATGTTACATAATGATGAACCTCTTGTTCTCAAATTTGTGAAAGATTCGTGACCCGGGGTATCGATCATTAATAAACCAGGGACCTCATAAGAAACCTTCTCGTATTGTTCCATGACCTTTGTCTTTTGCTCAATAGCATCAATTGGGAAATAGGTAGCACCAATTTGTTGGGTAATACCACCAGCTTCACCACCTTGAACATTTGTTTGTCTGATTTTGTCCAATAATTTGGTTTTACCAGTATCAACGTGACCCAAGATACAACAAATTGGAGAACGTAACTCTTTGCCGTCTTTACTTATACTTGTAGTTGCAGGTAGTAATGCTGATTTGGCAGGAATAACAGTGTTAGTGGTAGTTTCTGGCTGTTTTAAAGCAGGGGCTGGAGAGACTTGTTTCTTTTCTGTTTCATCAGTAGGTTCACTGTTGTCGTAGTCCTTGGCAACAAAATCTTCTTCCTCTTTTTCTTCTCTTTCTTCTTCATCTTCTTCGTCATCATCGTCCAAAGCCATTTGTTCCCAATCATCTACCAAAGCCTCTTCTTCTTCCACTTCATCTGCACCTTTCTCAGATTCGACGGCTGGAGACTCAGAATCCTGAACAGAAGTAGAATCATTAGATTTGCTGTCTTTACTACTCTTCTTCTTGAATCTTGAAGCAGTTGCCTTGGATTTTGGAGTGGAGCCATTATCCTTTGACAAGCCTGCAACTTGGATATTGCCTGCTTGTAGCAAAGCTGCTCTTCTTCTTTCCTGCAGAAGCTTTTCTTGTTTTTGCTTCTTGGTCAGGTATTTACCTTCCTTTTTCAGTTGTTCTATTCTGGCCTTCTCTTTCTCTTTCTTTGCTTTCTTTGCTTCTTCCTTGGCCTTTTCTTCTTCAAGTTTCTTCTGCTCTTCCTCTTCTTCTCTGAGTTTTTCTTCTTCTTCAAGACGCTGTGCTTCCTCCTCCGCCTGCTTCTTCAATTCCAACTGTTTCTTCAAAGCAGCAATATTACCAGGGACCTTTTTGCCCTTCTTAGCCTTTGGAGCTTCTTTTGCGGCAGGTTCATCCTTTTTCGAAGATGCTTCAGATTCAGGAGCAGGAGTGGTTTCTGGAGTGGTGCCAGTAGGCTTTTGAACTTGAGATGCACCCTTTCTTTCAGCTAGCTGCTTCTTTCTTTGCTTTTCTCTCTCTTTCTTTTCTCTCTCCTTCTCCTTCTTTGTTTTAATGATTGGCCCCTTTTGCTGCTGGGCGGCGGCCTGTTTTGCCTTTTCTTCTTCAGCCTCCTTTGCCTTCTTGTCCTTCTTGGTCTTTGCCTTCTTTAAGTTGGACAAAAAGTCTACACCGGAAGATTCATCTTCGGCATTGGTGTTGGCAGGACCTTCTGGCCCTTCTGAATTGGCAGTTTCAGATGGTTCTGGCTCGGCACTCAATTCTTGTGCTTGAGGTAAATCCTCTTCGAATTCCTCATCCCAGTAATCCTGGTTGTTCTTCTTTCCCTTTTTAGCCATGGTAAACTCTAGTATGCATACCCTGGACAGTGGTGATTTTGATTTTAAGTCTTTCTCCTAAACTCGAAACAAACCCCCTTCCCTGATTCAAAAACATGTTGGCTGAAAATTTTTCAGTGTCCCACGCTTGAGTCGACAAAGGCGTGGAGCGCACCTGCTCTTGTCGTGTTGGGTGGTGTCCTACCGCATATTTTTGCTGCTCTTTCCGTCTTCCCATATTTCCGCTATAACTTCTTTTACCTGGGCTAAAACCTTTGCCTTTGTTTTCTTTCTCCATTCAAACAACCACGTCAGGTACTCTCCAGATGGACTGTTCTGCATGCTTATCGCGTTACAGAAAAGTCCGTCGTTTTAACGAGACCGCCCGCTGGAAGAGCAATTGGTTTTACATGCCGTCCCCAGTTTGAGTCTTATGCTTGTATTCACACCTGCATCGGATATATGAGTGGGAAAACATTTAATAATCTTAACGAGGTAGATATGTTACTCTTTCATTGTTTGAGATTGATTTTGGAGAGTTACATTATATAAATTATATCTCGAGTAGTGGTTTTACTTCTCATCGGAACGTTTATTTGCCCAAAGAGTACAGAACCAACTTCTTGTAATCTTCAACGGCTTGCAACATACTTGATGCAGTGACGTATTCATGATCACCATGTGCTACTAAAATTGAACCAGGACCGTACAAGTATCTTTTAAAACCTCTCTGCTTTAAGTTTGGAATATCAGTTGAGTAAGAGGCGATAATTGTTTCAAATCCATCAACCTCGTAATCTAAGGAAACTGGATCGTCAGTAACTCGGACATCAAGCTTTAAGTCTTTAGCTTTAGACTCGTGCTTGGAAACGATGCTTTGAACAATCGTATCGATCTCATCTGCGTCGACTGCAGTTCTCATTAAAATGGTGCATTCTGCGTAAGGAGAAATGACGTTTCCAGCAGTACCACCACCAAACATACCGATATTGAGAGTAGTCGAGTTCAATAATTCCGATGTTGGCCAGTTGTACGTCTCCAACTCATGCATTATTTCGATCATGATCTTATCTGCATCGATACCCATGTCTGGATAACCGGAGTGACTTGCAACACCAAAGACCTCAAGTTTTGCCAAATATATACCCTTGTGACCGGTGGCAAGTTTATTCTCAGTTGGTTCTCCAAAGATAACCGCATCCCAGTTGATACCCTCTTCGACTAGGTAGGAGTTGGCGCTTCTCATACCAGCACCACCAACTTCTTCAGCGAAAACAAACAACAAACTTAAATCATCAGTTGTCACTATTCCATCTTCTAAAAGTTCTTTGGCTGCAATGATTTGCGCAGCAACAGATCCCTTAGCATCACACGAGCCCCTTCCATGGATTTCCACATCACCATCTTCAGTTTCTTGGACAAAGTAATCGATGTAAGGTGGAACAGTGTCTATATGTGATGTTAGCAGCACTTTCGTACTACCATTTTCACTTCCGTAGGCGTAAATATTCTTACCAGTTTCATCTATTGCTAATTCCAAACCAAGTCCTAGCTGACTCAAGTAGTTTTGTAGGTAGTTTGACACAGAAACTTCGTTACCACTGATGGATTCAATATTCACCAGTTTTTTGTGAAGCTTAAATAATTCAGGGTTTTTTTGAAAAAGTGCAAACTGAGCATCGAGTTCATCTTTTTCAAATTTGTCTTCTAATTCTTCCCCCAGTAAAAGGCCCAGCTGTTCACTGGATTCCATCACCGTGGACAGAAAGGCAGGAATTAAAGCATGTGGTGCTGCAACTGGAGCTGGGGCAGCACTTGCAACAAAGGTGAGAGCAAGAACTTGTAGAGCTGACGACCAAACCATTTTCAACGTTTGCTGTTTCGTGTGCCTCTCGTTTTCGCAATCAATAAACAAATACTAACGAAGGCATCAAACAGACGAGAGTGTGTAGTTTGGTACCATATTGTGATAGGATGAATAGCCGAGTATTTAAACCCATATGAAATTTGCGGCTGAGATATATGAGAGCGGCAAGCTACCAGATTAGGAAGTCCCGACGTCTTATCGGATGATCCACAGTATGACAAAAATGTGACAAAAATTCTCAAATTACTAACCTTCGAGACCAGGAGTTATGCGATCAACCTCAGAAGTGCCACCATCATCCATGGCTGTCATATCCAACTCAGGAGCACATTCAAAAACAGAAAAAAGTTACGGGGAAAGCTAAAAATTAGATCTCAAACCAATACAGAGTTTGAGATTGAAAATATACTTAGATTAAGGTTTTCTTTCTGACTGAAACCAATTTCAAAATAAAGATGATGCAGTTGTGGTTTTGAGAAATGCACTGGCTTAAAAAAGGATGATTCGTTTACCCGCTCTTCTTGGATGTCATCTTAACCCCATCAAATTTCGTGGCTCGAAATATGCTACTATTTCGATTCCCACCACTGCTACCTCCGCTACTACTAACCCCAATACTACCCCCGCCACTACCATTACTGCTGCTATTACTTCGACTTCGCTGATGCTCCTCGATATTATCTTTTTCTGTCTGCATCATGGGCACAACGCGGTCAGTAATAACCACTTCGTCATCTTCAATGATTTCATCCTCTGTAGTTTCATCATCTGTTTCGTTTCGATCATCAAAATTGTTTACCGAACTTTTGTTTGTGCTCAAACCCACATTTGTAGTTTGACCTCTGTTCTCGCTCATATTCATATTCGTATTCATATTCAAATTTACATTGATCATTCCCAATCCATGGTTCTCAAACTTTGGAGGGCTCGGCAATATGTAACGGTTTTCCTTTGATCTGTCAAATGGCAATATCCCACTATCACTAGTGCTGCTCATGGCACCAGGCGCTGATAATGGTGGTTGCATTGTAGGAGGTAATGGTGGTAATCTCTTACTTGGTATACCTGTCAGTGACAGCAGTCTCCCATGTCCAGGCCGAGTTGGCGATCCAGAATGTTGTGGTGGAGAGGGCGATAGAGAAGATCCAGATGCTGTGTACTTCACAGGTGATGAGAGTGATATCAATGACATTATAGCATCCTGTTCAAGGGAGTCTGCTGGTTTGGTGCTGACAGATAGGCCGGTTTTTCCGTCTTCCTTCTCTTTATTTATTTTAGTCAAAGATTCAGGTTTTCTCAAAGGCGACGTTTGTAATTCAGCTAAAGTTGTGGGCGGATTTAACTGCGCTGTCGCAGCAGAGCTTGCTTGTGACATACTGACAGGCAGAAACTCAGGATTTGACGACAAGTCTGGTGACCCCTTAGATCCTCTTTTGGCAACCTCATCTAATCGGATGTTAGCAACGAAAGAAGACCTCCTTCTTCTGCGTGGAGAATGAGCGAATTGTCCCGGGCTAGCCTGCAAAGAAGGGTTCGAATTCTCGTTATTGATGTCAGTTTTGTTTGGTAAATTGTCAGTACGCAAATTCCAAAAATCTTCTAAGTTTTTGCTGTTGAGTTGTGCCGACCGTTGCGGATTGGTTGCAATTTCCTCTAAAGAATGCTCCAACTCACCTATCGACTTGTTGGACCATCCATGTTGAACTTTGACATTTGCATAATTTAACCTCGTCCTCAAATTCTCTGATATTTTCCTGATTTCTTTGTAATCTCTTCGAGGGGATTTGAGAAGATGCTCATTATCCCATTCTCTAGGCAGTTGTTCAGGCGATTTCGCTCCGCTGGTGATGCCGAATAATTCCATGGAATGCCTTTTCAATTTGTTATCTTCTGTACGCACAGCAGGTGATTTCAAAAGAGTGTAAAAGTCAGTATTGTTACTGCTGCTACCGTTATTTCCGCTACCGCCACTACTGCCCTTACGCTTTTGAGGCGTTGAAAGTAGATGTGTGCTCAAAGATGCATTAGGAGGAGACAAAAGAGGTGTGTCCTCCAGATCCTGTATGTGACGTGGTACACGTTCCGGCGTTTCAGGTAGAACCACCACCGAGGGAGACGTGAATGTGGCGCTTTTCGATAGAGACGGCGTCTTGGGCTCTTTTAATGCTGATGAACCCATACTGGAAGTATTCGAAGGTTTACCCGCTATTTCTGCCTGCTCTTTTCCTTTGCTTAGCGGGGTGTTATCTTTAGTAGAAAAACCACTTATATTATTCTTGTTATTGTAACTACTAAAATTACTGCTCTTATTATTATTTGTCGTAGTATCCGATTTTACCCTTAGCGTGACTTGAGCAGAACCGGAGTTATCAGCTGTATTGGCTATATTGGACATGGCCCGATGGCAGGCGTGAGTTTGCGTAGAGTTGTGAGTGCTTTAGATATAATGCTCCTTCGCTTCCCCCTGCAGACGGCAACATTGTAGGCAGACACGAGCAATAGCATTAACAACAGCTAAAGCGGTAACAGCACAGCTGCGTATTCTCGCAGCAGGCAGTAACAACAACAAACGAGAAAAAAAACAAACAAACCGCACCTGCTTTTCTATGCATTGCGTGGTTCCAACAGACTTGGGGGGCAGGAATTTGACTGGATTCCTACACCGACCAGGTGTTGCAGATAAGACAGACGTGTCGTTCACGTTCAAGCTTGACACTATGAACCTAAACACTCCTTTCACTCTGTACAGAAAAAGACCCCTTTCAGCACGATCGCAGAAAAGTTTGCAAAACACGTCTTTGTTGGCGTCGCCAACGGCTCAGCGACCTGCACGCAGCATCGGCAGCAACATCAACAACAATACTAACAAAGCTAGCAGCAATACAAATAACAGCAGCAGAAGTAGCAGCAGTACCAATATTTCTAAATACAATGTTTTGTACCGGAAATTCACTACCAAGAAGAACAAGACATGGGAAGGTGATGCGGTTCTGTCACTAAATTCATCAACTAATTTTGCTACAATTAGAAACGAGGACGATATTGTCATAGGCAGAATCAAAGATGCAGACAGGGTAATTTTTAAAGGTTGCTTCAAATGCTCTGGCTTTGAATTCGAGTTGGATGACGAAATAATCCATTCAAAGGTGCCCAAGCTGAACTTGTCAAGTACACCAAGACATATTCCTCAATCTGTTATAAGGGCCCATAAACCTTCCACTTTCAAATCCCCCTTGATTGCAGAAGCAGTTAGGCAACCTTCACCTGATATGATACAGTTCAATGATTTCACACATGACAAATCAGTTCAAAGGGAGAGTATTGAGAAGGAGAATAAGTCTGATGAAGACAATGCCGCCACCTACCCAAAAACCATAAGTTCCTCTGGCCTTTACCAATCTAGAAAAATAGTTGCACCTGATGCTCCGCTTTATGATATTTCCAATGTTGAGGATCCCTTGTTTATGCCAGATTTACCCAAAAGCATAGACGCGTCCGAAAAGCCACGAATGGTAGTGGTAGATCCTTCGATATCATCTAAGTTGAGGCTCCATCAACGTGAAGGAGTCAAATTTTTATACTCATGTTTGATGGGACTCAAATCGCCTGATATGAGGGGTGCAATCCTAGCAGATGAAATGGGCTTAGGGAAAACTCTACAGACTATAACTTTAATATGGACCCTTTTAAGACAGTCTCCAATTGCTGGTCAAAAACCTACAATAAACAAGGTCTTAATATGTTGTCCTGTTTCTTTAGTCAATAACTGGAAAAGCGAATTCTCAAAATGGTTGGGACTAAACCGTTTGAACGTTTTAACAATTAATAGCAACAAATATCAGAATGAGAAGCAGGATGTTGAGCTCTTTGGCAGAAATAATGTTTATCAGGTGATGATAATGGGTTATGAAAAAATGCAGTCCATGTCCGATTTACTTTCAGGTATAAGATTCGATCTCTTAGTTTGCGATGAAGGCCACCGTCTCAAAAACAGTGAGAACAAAACCATGAAAACCCTTGAAAGCTTTAATATAAGGCGGAGAATCTTACTATCAGGAACGCCGATCCAGAATGATCTTGTTGAATTCTATACAATGGCAAATTTTACCAATCCTGGAATTTTTGGCGACCTGAAAACTTTTCAGAAGGAATTTATCAAGCCAATTCTAGACTCGAGAGACCCGAACTGCAGAAATGAGAAATTCATCAAGAATGGAAAAAAGAAATCCAAAGAACTAGTTGACAAGACTAATAATTTTATACTTAGAAGATCTAACCTCGAACTGACTAAGTATCTACCCAAGAGGTCAGATTATATTATCCTCGTCCCACCAACACCACTTCAACTTCAATTATTAAAAACTGTGATCGAAACGAAAAAGTTTAAGAGTCTGATAGAGTTAGACGAATCTGTTTCCAGTTCTGCTACAGGTGGCGCCTTCAACTTAATAAACACGTTCAGGAAAATATGCAACTCTCCCTCGCTATTAAAGGATGACAGCTTTTTTCTTGAGGTTTGCGAAAGAAATTCAGATTCACTTGACGATGTAAACTTCAGGAAACAATTGTCAAAAAAAGTCAAAAGCGGCAAGTTATTGGTTTTGATTAAACTTCTTGGAATGTTGCACTCAGATGGAGAGGAAAAAGTGGTCATTGTATCCAATTTCACAGCAACTTTGGACATCATCGAATCATTGTTTAGATCGTTGAATCTTGTGTTTCTACGACTTGACGGATCTACTGCATCGAATGAAAGAAGTAAGCTTGTGGATAGATTCAATAAGTCGTCCCCTGATAAAGTATTCGCACTACTTTTGAGTGCCAAAGCTGGGGGAATTGGATTGAATCTCGTCGGTGCATCGAGAATTGTATTGTATGATAATGATTGGAATCCCGCAGTTGATCTTCAAGCGATTGCAAGAATACATAGAGACGGACAAAAACGGGAAGTGAAAATTTACAGACTGTTAACAAACGGGTGCATCGATGAGAAGATCTTTCAAAGGCAATTAGCCAAACAAGATTTAAGTGATCGCTTTGTCGACCAAGGAGGAGGTGAAAAAGAATTATTTGATCGCTCGGAGTTGAAGGATATTTTCACCGTACAGTTTGATAAAGTGGAGAATCACGACTACTCTAATACCCATGAAATGATGATGTGCGAATGTAAAGGTGATGGCATTACGTCGATTGATGATTCGTGCCCGAGGGAGAAAAATGAGGAAACAGAAGCAGAAGCAGAAGTAGAACCGGATTTTACTTCTCAGCGTAAAGTTGAGGTTATGAAATTTGTGTCAGCATTAACATTTGCTGATCACTATAAGGTGGAAGAGGAAGATGCGTTAGATATGAAAAAACAGCAATTGAGACGCTGTATGAAGGGGTACAAGCATTTAAATCCAGTGTCGGCAACAAATAGAGATTTTAGAACAGACGATGCTGTGCTTAACAAACTGCTTAATGAACAAGATAAGGCCAAACCATTAGTTTCGTTTGTATTTGGAAAATATTGATACTTTCTGAGTGGGTCATTTGAGGAAATGACATTTCATTTCAGGCATTTTTTAGCTTACGCTATATATCTAATCGGTTCAATAATCTTTATGAACCATTCAAAATCCACCATTCCATACTTGTACTATGTTATCGTAAAAGCTGCAACTAATTATTTTATCACCAACCCAATCGCCACCGTAGGTTATGCTTGAATGTTCTCCTTTATAATTACCAACAACCTCAACTTGTTGTGCCGTTTGTTCGTTATATGAGAGAACTCTACCCCCATCGTACATGTTGCATGTCATAACTCTAGAGTCATTAGTATGTGGGGATGGAATCATTCGCCAAACTCCTCCTCCAAGATTGTGTTTTTCTCTTACTATTGGTGGCAGTCCAGGGATCAGACTACCACCTGTGCTCCCTAAACCAGCACGTAAATCTAAAACACAGAGATTATCGTCATAACCACCTGTCCATATAACGAATTGATCAGTGACTTTCTCACCCCAACTCTGCCTTCCTGTGAGTATGGATACTATCCCTGCATCATGAATACGACTGGTTTCCATTATTGCCATCGGCTCTCTAATATCATGAGCGATCAACTTGGCATCATCTCCCCCACTGAACACAACATTATCTAAAAGTCCATGATGACCCCAGTCCGCAAACCAAGCTTCAAGGGAATGTTCTGAACCAAAGAATCTCACTGATGATTCTTCTGGAAATTTGGTTGGGCTTTCGTAATCATAATAGCCAACAACACCTGAAGTAGCCGTAAATACCAAGTAGTTTTTGTTTGAATGGAAATTTATTGATGTAATTAGTGTTTCGTCCGATCTCAATGTAGCTTCAGGGAACAACTGCACATCTGCAACTTCTATAAATGCAGTACCATCATCTTTTTCAATTTTCCAAAAAGTAATGTTCCCCGTAGAGCTTGCAGTTGCTAATAGTAATGAAGAGTCTATAGAGTGAATCGACTTGGGGTCAATTTTTATATCTAATACTGCACCATGTGTGGGTATAACTTTTAGACATGTCCCCAATATTGGTAAATTATCAGGCGATACATCACCATCGTCAGGAAAGTCTGTAGAAAACGATGAATCAACGTCCTTTTTCTTGCCTATTCTCCATATTTCAATAGAACCTTTTCTGTTGTTACCTTCAATTAATGTGTATGTACCAAAGTAAACAATTGATGGATCCAATGGATTGATTCTTAAACAACAAGGAGGAGAATTTGTCTTGAATAGTGCTTCTCTTGATAAACTGTGAGTCATAATTCTCTGCACGCAGTTTTGAGAAATAAAGATAATATTTAAAGAAGCAATAGGCGAAGCGGGTTAGAAAAGGAAGGGAGAGAGAAAGTTGAAGATGTCTGAAAAAAAAACCATTTTGAATTTTGACGATTGTCTGTTACCACCGTTTCTTCGAGGAATTCGATATCAATTGACTCTATTACCAGTAGATAAAAAATTATAGATATAAAATGTCAGTAGAGATTCCATACGCTAAGAGGTACATTTATAACTTGGATGAGTCGATTTTGGAATCACTCAGAACTCTCTACTTTGACTCCATCACATTTGAACAGAAGACTGAGAAGGAGTTTCTTCAGCGCAGGAAAGACGAGATCGAAGATGCAAAGGCTCAGAGTATTACAGATACATTAGAAAACAAGCCCATGATTGTACAACCGAAACCCCGCAACACAGGCCTAATCGTTTCTACGTTAACTAATCTCAAACTTTCCAAAACCAAGGAGGACGATGGCGATGATGATACGAAAAGTAAAGAAAAGGAGGAAAAAGGTTCGGGATCTGAAGTCTCGGAATCAGAGAATGAGACAGATTCAGAACCAGAGACAGGATATGTTGATAATGATAGTGATGATTTAACGGAGTTAAGTGTGATCAAAGAGAATGGTAATCTGAATGAAGAGAATTATGAATCTACCCTAAGTTTCATGACTACAAAATCTCCTATGATTTTATTTAACTCTGCATTACTATCTACAACTGAGACTGGGAAATGCTTTGGGGTATACAAGACGGTAATCAATGCGATTGATTCACCGAATTTTGACCCATTAGCGGCCTTGAAGAGCACAAGTTTTGGTTCAAGTAATCCTATGCCTAAGGACCCTATTGAATCCGGGATATCCGCTATTTTTATGCTTTCCTCGGGACATTTTGCCGGTGCAATCATTTCACATTTGCCACATTCTACAAAGGGTAACAAGGGGACTACTACGGAGTTACAGTTACAGTCTGTGAGGTTACTTGCGCACAAGACTTTCCACAGATATACGACTCGTCGTAAACAGGGTGGGTCTCAGAGTGCCATGGATGATGCTAAAGGCAAGGCCAATTCTGCCGGTAGTACACTCAGAAGATATAATGAGCAGGCTTTAGGCAAAGATGTTGAAACGTTAATGGACGAATGGAAGCCATTGATTGATCAGTGTAGCTCGATATTCATTAGAGGGTCTGGTAAAGGTGGCAAGAATGCCCGGGGAACAGGGCTAATTGTGCGAGATGGCAAGGATCCAAAGGCGATCATCAAGACGGGAGACAAGCGAGTGAAGATGATTCCATTTGCGACGAAGAGACCTACGACGATGGAGCTGAAAAGAGCATGGTGTGAGCTGTCATACTTGAAAGTTATCGATGTTCCAAGTATAGAAAAGGGTGAGGTAGAGAAGAGGCGTAAACGGGAAGAGATGATGAAAAAGTCTAAGGATGAGAAGAGTGAGGACGAGAAGGATAGTGAGGAGGTGAACCTCACAAATGAGCTTATTGCTTTATTGAAGAAATCGAAAGCACCTGCGCTTTTGTCGTTCATGAAAAAGAACAAGGGCAAGTTTGAGGTTAACTCGAAGCTACAACCGGAGGAAGCATACAGGCTTACTCCGACAGCGCTCCATTATGCGTCGAGGAAAGGGTATGCGTTTATGGTCCAGATCTTGCTGGTGCAACTGCATGCCGATCCAACCGTTGTCAGTGCGATAGGTAAGACGGCGTACGAGGTTGCCGGAGATGTTGAAACACGATACTCTTTTAGAGTGGCCCGAGGGATTCTTGGGGAGGAGTGTGGGATTGAGTGGAAGGAAACGCACATCGGCAGGAGCATGAGTAAGGATGAGGCTGCCGAGGCCAAGGCTGCGTCGAAGAAGGAAGAGGAAACGAGAGAGGAGGAGGAGAGGCAGAAGCTGAAGGAGGAGCACGATTCTGTGGTGGAGAGTTTCAAGAGTGCCGAGAGTAGCAGAGAGGGCCGAGGGAAAGTTCTTGGAGGCCCTGGGGTTGTGCGTGTTACGGAGGAGCAAAAGTTGAGCGGGTTGTCGGAGATGCAGAGAATGAAGGTGCTCCGAGAACAGAGGTTCCGTGCGATCGAGGCCCGGCTCAAGAAGCAGCAAGAGAAGTAGAGATATAGAGGTATAATAGAGGTATAGAGGAAAAACAGTGTGAGGCCGCTCATTTGCTGAGGACTTCGAGGACCCAGGCACGCAGCTTTTCCTTGTCGACGTCGTCGATGGGGGTGTTGCTGTTGCCGACGCCCTTATCGGTGTATGTGTCGTAGGGGAGGGTCTTCTTCAAGGCGAGGACGGAGGGGACTGTGTTGACCAAGTACTTGGAGACGAGGGCGTCGTTGCGGCCGCCGGCGAGCTCGACGCAGACGGTGCTGGTGTATTCGGGCTTGTCGATGCTGCGGACGATCTCCCACATGTGGGTAGCCATGGAGTTGCTGGGGCCTTCTCCGAGGCGGACGAAGGTGGCGAAGAGGGTGCCGCGGGAGGAGGACGGGGAGCTGAGGAGCAGCTCAAACTCCTCTGGAGAGTAGATAGTCTGGAAGACCCGTCCGTTGCCGGGGGTGCCTGCGGCGCCTGTTTCGCCGGGGAAGACGATGGGTTTTGTGGCCTTGCCGGGACGTGCACGGGCGTAGAGGAAGAGTCCGACGGTGGCGGCGGCGAAGATGCCGATGCCCAAGAGTCTGTTTTTCTGTGCAGCGGGGGCAGGCGGAGGCTGTTCGGACATGGTAATGGTGGTGGTGGTGGTGGTGGTGGTGGTGGTCGTGGCCAGCGGTGGAGGAGGGGTGCTGTGAGCGAGGAGAGACGCAGGGGCACGGAGACGGCAGAATAAGTCAGCGGCTGTCAGATTAGTCAGCTCCGGGAGAGACGCGAGGGTGGAAAAAGGAGGTGGTGGTGAGCAGGGCGGCCGAGGACATGAGGCGAGGCGGCGGAGAGTATAAGAGCACAAGAGGGTGCTTTTCTGCGGGGCGATGTGGAGGAGGGGGTGGGGTGGGTCACGGCGCAGAACACACACCGTCTGCAACACCGCAACACATCACAACACAGCACAACACAGCACAGCGATGACACACGAGCACATCACACAGGACATCTTCGAGACGATGCCCATCATCTCGCCGACGGTGTCCAACGAGGAGCAGGCCCGGGCGCTGGGGCTCGACGGCGACGGCGACGGCGACGGCAACAGCAGCCTGTTGGAGTTGTCGTCGGCGCTGTCGCCGCCGTCGACCACCACGCATCCAGACGGCGTGCGGAGCGCCGTCAACACGCTCCGGGCCACGGAGGGTGCCGGCGCCGCCAGGGCCGCGTCGCCCTTCCACTACATCCCGCAGGCGGAGGAGAAGAGACGGCTGCTGCCGGACGTGCTTCCCGCGGTGCAGTGCATTGCCCGGGCCCGCATCCCGACCACGCAGGGCCCGGAGATCTTCCTCCACCTCTACTCCAACGACATGGACAAGAAGGAGCACCTGGCCATAGTGTTTGGCGAGGACGTGCGGTCGCGGTCCTTGTACCGGCGGCGCGCCGGCGAGACGCAGGCCGACCGCATGATCCGTGGGGCCTACGTGGGCAAGTTGACGCCCGGCCGGCGGGACGCAGACCGGGACGCGGCGACGGGGGCGGCGCTGCGCTTCGACGAGGCCACGGGCGACCTGGTGGTGGAGGCCGGCACGACGTGGACGCAGCCCACGCTGGTACGGATCCACAGCGAGTGCTACACGGGGGAGACGGCGTGGAGCGCGCGGTGCGACTGCGGGGAGCAGTTTGACGAGGCCGGGCGGCTCATGGGACTGGAGGGCCACGGGTGCATAGTGTACTTGCGGCAGGAGGGCCGCGGGATCGGGCTCGGAGAGAAGTTGAAGGCATACAACTTGCAGGACTTGGGGGCGGACACGGTGCAGGCGAACTTGCTGCTCCGGCACCCGGCGGACAAGCGGAGCTTCGGAATGGCGACGGCGATCCTCGTGGATCTCGGACTGGCGGATATCCGGCTCCTGACCAACAACCCGGACAAGATCATCGCGGTGGAGGGCAAGCGGCGGCTCGTGCATGTGCGGGAGCGGGTGCCGATGGTGCCGTTGGCGTGGACGGGCGGGACGGGCGGGGTGTCGAGCCGCGAGGTGGAGGGGTATCTCCGCACCAAGGTGGAGAAGATGGGGCACCTGCTCTCGAAGCCGGCGGTGCGGACGGGGGAGTGAGGCCGGGTCTTGGGGTATAGCTTGGTAGATAGATAATTAATTAACTAGATAGACAGACATTAGTACAGAAGGAGAAAACGCCGGGACGCGCGGGCGCAACCGCCTACTTCTTGAGCAAGAGCTCCACGTCGCCCGAAAGCGAGGCCGGGTTCTTAATGCTCGAGTAGCGCTGGTACACATTGCCCTCCTTGTCCACAAGAAACTTCTCGAAGTTCCACTTGATGCCCTTGAAGCCAAGGAGCCCGGGCTTCTCGGCCTTCAACCACGCGTACAGCGGGTCCTCCTTGTCGCCGTTCACGTCGATCTTCTGCATGATGGGGAAGCTGACGCCGTAGTTGAGCTTGCAGAACTGCGCAATCTCCTCCGACGAGCCGGGCTCCTGCCCGGCAAACTGGTTGCAGGGGAACCCCACCACCTCGAGCCCCTGCTCGTGGTACTTCTTGTAGAGCTCCTCCAAGTCTGCGTACTGCTTGGTGAAGCCGCATTTGGACGCCGTGTTCACCACGAGCACAACCTTGCCCTTGAGGTCCGCGAGCGGGAAGGGCGTGCCGTTGTTGGCGGTGGCCGTGAAGCTGTAGAATTTGGACATGATGCTGGTGCTTGGCTTTGCTGCTGTTGCTGAGAATGCTCGTGTGGCTGTGGCTACGCTTCTCTGCATCTTCTTGCCCACGGAGCCTCCCTTCGCTGTGCAGGGGGGCCCATCTCCGCTGTCTGGCGCCCTTCTTATACCTTTCCGCGGCCCCGTCCTGCCCGCAAACGCGCGCCCCGCCCCCGCCGCCTCTTACTAATGGCGCCCGGGCCGCGCCCTCGGCCGCGCCCTAGACCCGGACTTCCCGGTCCGTGATGACGAACCCGTGCCTCGGGGCTTGGCCGTTGCCCTGGCCTTGGCCTTGGGCGTCGTCTTGGCTCTCGGCTTGGCTCTCGACTTGGCCCTGGCCTGCGCCTTGGCCTTCGCCGCAGCCTTCAGCTTGGCTTTGGCCTCCTGCTCGCGGCAAATGGCCCCCAGCAGAGTCTGGCAGCGGCGGGCAATCTCCTGCGGGTTGCGGGACTGCAGCCACAGGTCCAGCTCCACGCCAACGCTGTTCCCGTACTGGATCTCGTTGAAAAGATGCTCGGCCAGGTCGTCGGCGCCAACCCCGACACGCAGCATCTGCACCACAAGCCAGCGGTCCTCGGCGCCGCTCCACTCCCGCTTGGCCGTCGCCGTGTACGGAAGCTTGAACTCCATGTCCCGCAGCGGGTAGCGGTAGCTGCACACCTTGCGGCGCAGCATCTCCTGCTGCATGGCGAGTTTGCGCAGCTTCTCCTCGCCCGCCTCGATCTGGCCCAGGTACCGCTCGTAGTTCTCGATGTCGCGGTAGCTGGTCCAGAACTTGCTGCTGTAGGCCACCACGTCCTCGTAGGTCTTGTCGTCCAAGTCGGCGCTGATGGCCTCGAGGTCGTAGCGGCCGTGCTTGGCGTTGGCGGCCACAAAGGCAAAGAAGTCCCGCCGGGTCCAGTGGCCGTACCCCTGTGCCAGCAAGTCCTTCTTGCGCTGCTCCTCCGCCTCGAGCAAGGGCCGGGCGTGGTCGATCAGCGCCTGCTCCACGGCAACGTCCTCGTCGCTGAGCTTGCTGCTGCCCCGGCCGTCCGCACGGGCGCCGATCTTGCAGATCCGCTTGTAGTACGCCCACTCCTGCTCGTGCAACTCGTGCAACTCGTCGCTGTAGAACTGGTGGTCGTACAGGACAAGGTGCTTCGGCGGCCGGATCTCCGTGCCGCCGCCGTTGCCGCCGCCGTTGGCAGAGTGCTCTCCGTTGGCGTCCTTCGGGTTCCCGCGGTTCCCCGTCTGCAACACCTCCCGGTAGTACCCGTCCACCGAGTAGTTCCCCTTGCGCTCTCTTTTCGCCAACGAGATCCAGTTGAACCCGAACCCGTTGCCTGCGCCGCCGTCGCCCCCGGCGCCCTTGAACTCCTTCTTCTGGAAGTTCTTCCCGTTCCACTCGTACACAGACTCGTTGTTGCTGCTGAAGTTCTGGAGGTCGTCAAGCCCGAGCTTCGAAAACTTCGACTTCAACTCGCCCGTCTTCTCCTCGCTCTTCGCCAAGATCCTCTCCAACTCGTCGTCGTCCAGCTCCTGCTTGTCTGCTCCGCCAGCACCTCCAGCACCACCAGAAGCACCTGCTCCGCCGGCACCGCCGGTACTGCCGTTCATGAGAACTTCTGCAGCACCGTGCTGAATCATGTTCAACAATTCGTCCTTATTGGACGCCGTAGAGCTCTTCTTGTCTGCTCCACCGCTGACCCCGGCCCGGCCCTGCTGAATGACCAACTGGTCCAACCGGAGCTTCTGGGACGCACGCTCTAAGACCTTCTCCTCGATCGCATTCTCAGTGACAAACCTGAAAACCTTCACTTGCTTCTTCTGACCGATTCTATGTGCCCGGTCCATTGCCTGTAGATCGGCCTGAGGGTTCCAGTCCGAGTCAAAGAGGACAACAATGTCCGCACTCGTCAAGTTGATACCCAACCCACCGGCTCTCGTGGTCAACAAAAAAACAAACTTCTCGGAGTCCGGCTTGTTGTACTCATCGATGGCAACAATACGGTCCGAGTGCTCGGTCTGTCCGTCAATCCGACAATACCCCCACTCACGGAAAACACAGTAATCTTCTAAGATGTCTAGCATACGACTCATCTGCGAAAAGATCAACACCCGGGACCCTTGCTCACGTAAACGCCTTAAAAGCTTGTCCAAAACTAGCATTTTCTGCGAATTGTAAACTAGATGCTCGTCTGTAGTGTAGGGAGGACCCGGCTCTGCTCCTTCAAAAAGATATGGATGGTTACAGCATTTCCTCAATTGCATCACAATGTTCAACAACCTTGTCTTGCTCTCCTTCTTCCCGTTGGCACCATTGACAGCGTCAATGTCTTTTTCAAGAATACTCTGATACCATTTCCTTTGCATTGGCGTCATGCCAACATAGACATTCAGCTCTTGCTTTGGTAGAAGAGATTTCTCAACGTCATTCTTGATACGTCTCAAAAGGAATGGCTTTAATACCTGGTGTAATTGCTGGACAATTTTATCCTGGTCCTCTTGGGCCTGCTCGCTCGCAGCCTCCTCATCCTTTGAGAACCAGTCGTCAAATGTGGTAGAGTCGGCAAAAACATCCGGCAACAAAAAGTTCAACAACGCCCATAATTCATGAAGGTTGTTCTGCAATGGGGTACCTGTGATTAACAACCTATTCCTGGAATGGAACATACGGATGATCTGTGACAACAATGAATCTTCGTTCTTCAATCTGTGCGCCTCATCAACAATGATGTACTGCCAGTTGATCTTCTTCAATACAGATTTCTCTCTGATGACAATCTCGTAAGAAGAGATTAACACATCGAATTGACAGGTTTGAACATTTTCCTTGATGATTTGGTTTCTAACTTCTTGGTCTCCTGTTAATACACACGTCCTAACTTCGGGCGTCCATTTCGCAAACTCTCTTTGCCAATTTTCTAACGTTGATTTAGGAACAATCACAATATGAGGACCTTTTATATCCTTAATGTATCTAAGATATCCCAAAAAGGAGATGGTCTGTAAGGTTTTACCCAAACCCATCTCATCGGCTAGAATTCCAGACAAGTCGTTGCTGAATAAGGAAACAAGCCAATTCAAACCTTGGATCTGGTATGGACGTAATGACCCATTGACGTACCTAGGAGATTGCGAGAACTCATACCCGGAATCGGTGAATTCTCCCTCTTGTTCCAAATCTTGTACTGCCGGATCTGTTTCATCTTCTTCCTCTTTCAACAACTCAGCATCCTCCTCTTTTTCTGTCCTTCTTCTTCTATGATCTGCTGCCGATGCTGCGGCTCCGTTTGCACCGTTGCTAGTTCCATTCTCAACAATGTTCATGACCTGTGCGAACCGGTCGTCCTTCGACGCTTTAACTTGGAGAAAATGCTTAAACAAAGGTGTTAAGGAGAACAAGTACTTGAACCTTCTTGCTGTGGCTTCCACATCAAACTTTTTCTTTTCATCTCCCACAAAATAGTGTTTCCTGATCTCTTCAGGCGTCCATGACTGTGCGTGCTTTTTTCCTGGATAAGTCTGGATCCGTGTCATATACTCGCTGAGTGGATCATCGACTTCCATCAAGGCCATTTCCGCTTGTACTGGCTGCATAACCTGTTGCTTTGGATCCATCTCTGTAAAAGAAATACTTGCTACTAAGCTGCAATTGTGCCTAGAGCCTCTGTCACAAAGACCCAAGAATGGAAAAGAGAGAAGAGAGGAGCTTGTTGGAGACAGAGACAAATGAAACTTCTTCGTCATTGCAAAACCCTCGCACTGCCACCAATTTTCACCATACACGTTTTACGTTCTACTACATTTCGTGTCTCTTTTCGTGTCTGGACGGACTCTCTCGTCAAGGTTTCCTTTATGCTTGGAATATATTCGTTCAAAAATAACGTAAGTGTACATATTATTATTTAGATATTTAAGACATGACTTTATAGCTTACCCGTTAAGGTGTCCGACATAGTTACGCACCTTGTAATCTATATGCACGAAACACCGGTTTACATACGGAAGGGTCTCGATGGCATACTGCAACGATTCTCCCAAATCATGACAGTCCTTCAGCGACATCTCTGGGTTCTGTAGAACGATGTCGACTTCTGCATTAACTTGATCTCCCATATGGTACAGCCTGTAGTTCTTAACTTTTGCTATTTCGTCGGTAAAACGTACGATCATGTACAACACCTGCTGATAGTCTTCTTTTGGCGCATTCGATCCACTCAAATGATCAATGTGCTCAAACGTGATCATCCACCATTGCACTATGACATAACAACACAACAGCGTTGCACCTAATGGATCAAACCACCAAATGTCCAGGAAAACACCTATAGCAGGAAAAATCAACGAAAAGACGTTGAAAACTATATCTGTCTTGGCATCTTCCACCAAAGCTTGAACAGAAGAGTTGTTGATATTTTTGCATAGCTCATAACCAATGAACTTCGTACTGATCGTACCAACCATAATGACAATGGCGGTTTTTGTTAACGTCACCGTTTCCTTGTCTGCTCCACTAGCCAAAAGCTGTTTCAAACATTCGATTAACACTTGTGAAAAAGAAAGAATGATAATCACAGAAAAAATGAGTACCCCGATTGGCTCTAGTTGTTTTCTTCCAACGGGAAACTTGGATGACGCTTTTATGGCATACTTGTTGGCAATGAAAATGATCAATGTCGACAAAAAATCCAACGCAGAATCAACCAATGAGGCAACAAGTGACAAAGAATCACTCAAGTAAACCACGACAATTTTTCCTGCCAATAAAACCACGTTCAAAAAGAAATTGAAATAAATAGCATATTGTACGATAGCTGAGGACGACTGGTGCGGAGAGCCCAAGATCTTGGCCCCTTCCAAGTCAATGTTACCTGGGACAGCTGAAGGCAGTATATGGCGCTTTTTCCTTGTACTTTTCGAAGTCTCTGATATTTCAGTATCAGCACTAAACTTCTTCTTCATTTTCTTCGAACTTATAGGAACAGTCAAACAGTCATTCTTTTGAGGGAGCAACGTTTGATCTTCCACGTCAACCTCATCATCATCACCATCAGATTCAGTGTTGTTAAAAGACGAGTCGGTAGAGGTATTGTCTGCATAGTTCTGTATCATTTGAAGCTGGATTCCCGTGTCCAGAAGCATGTCAATGTCCTCATATCTATCGATCAAATCGTTCTGTGTACTATAAAAATCCTTCACTTGACGTTTTTTGAGTTTCCCAATTTCTTCGTCCGACAGTCTGTAGTTTTCCCAGTCCACTAATCGCATCACATGTCCAATTAAACGAAACGGTCTCATAAGTTTCAAGGAGTCAACTCTTTTGTACAATTCATCGAAATTGTTACCTGGAAAAACACTAAGCCTCCTCCCGAGGTTCAGCGGGTTATTCACACTCACGGGCAACGACATCGATGGATCCGGGTTCAGTGTTTCCGAGAAAGTCTTTGACCGATGCAATCTGGGCATCATCATTTCGTCGGCCCGTCCCCCTCCGTGTATTTCGGATCCTTCTCTAACAACATACGGACTTATAGGGTCCACCAAGTCGTCATCAACAAATGGGCGCTGTCTTGGCACATCTGGACCAACAAGGGGCGTGTTTTCAGAAGGCATACCTGAGTCAAAGTGCTTGAAATTTATCAATGTTCTACTGCTCCATCTACTTGCACTTTTGTCCGTTGTGTATTCTGGCGAAGAAAATAGCTTCTCTTTTAAGGTACTCTCGGCTAACGATCTACTAGGACTAAAAAGATAAAAAAATAGAGCGGTCATGTTTTTTGCTTTTTTCTGACTGGCACGTTTTTATTTTATTATTTCATGCAATGTTTGCCCTGGTAAACCAAAAAGCTCTTTCCTGCTATATAGTATTCTTTGAGTATTAATTTATACGCTTTGTTTTATTTGCAGAAAAGGTACCAATCTTTTACAAACATATCCTTTGAAGATTTTGGTTTTTTTTCTTTGATCATATTCTCCGATATATCCACTTATTAATAATATTGCCATCTTGCGATACTAAAACGAAAAAGCATTGAATAGTTTCACATCAGTTAACGGACGAACCGGGCATTAAGTTTATGACCTCTTTACAAACGCCACCGCCTGAAAACAGAGAACAGCTTCCAGAGCTCAATAGCAAGGAGCCTGAACATTGCCCTGGACCACAGTCGGAACAAGCAGGTAGTGCCGATGCATGCCAGACGTGTGATAACAAAGATATATGCACATCTCTACCGAAAGGACCTGATCCAGATATACCATTGATATCACAACGCCTTGGCTCTATAAAACATAAAATACTGGTACTCTCTGGAAAAGGAGGTGTTGGTAAATCTACTTTTACGTCGATGCTCTGTTGGGCATTAGCATCCGACGAAGATTTAGAAATAGGCGCAATGGATCTAGATATATGCGGCCCTTCACTTCCAAAAATGCTTGGTGCAGCAACAAATGAATCTGTTCATGCCTCAAATTCTGGATGGACTCCAGTGTATGTGTCCGATAATCTTGGAATGATGTCTATTCAGTTCATGCTTCCATCCGAAGACTCAGCTATCATTTGGAGAGGCTCTAAAAAGAGCGGACTTATAAAGCAATTCTTAAAAGATGTCGATTGGGGAGAGTTAGATTATCTAGTGATTGATACACCACCAGGTACAACCGACGAGCATTTGAGTGTGACAACGTATATGAAAGAAGTAGGGATTGATGGCGCATTGGTGGTCACGACCCCGCAGGAGGTCGCATTATTAGATGTCAGGAAAGAGATAGATTTTTGTAAGAAAGCAGGAATAAAGGTTTTGGGTTTGGTGGAAAATATGTCTGGGTTTGTGTGCCCAGGCTGTGGTAATGAATCAAGGATCTTCAAGCCTACAACCGGTGGTGGTGAACAACTTGCGAAGGACTTGAATATAAAATTTTTGGGTAGCGTTCCATTAGATCCTAGAATAGGTAGAGTCTGCGACAGTGGTGAATGCTTCTTTGATTTATATCCTGAAAGTCCAGCCTCAGATGCAATATTGGAGGTTGTTGAATCGTTAAGGGACGAAATAGAAGGACAGCTTTAGCCATGCGTTACTTATAGTTAACTACAAAGATGTAGGACTTAATTGTTACATAATACATAATATACTAGCCTCTCCTATCGCTCAAAGGTGCTAATTAGTGAGTAGCTTCTTTCCATCTGGATTATCAAATTTCGCCTCCAAGTAATTCTTTTCACTTTCTGGTAGTTCTAAACGTAAAAACTGCTCTGCATCTATGTTAATCTCTTCCTTGAAAGCAACACTAACTAGCTTTTTAATCATTATAGTTTTAGCAACTTTCACAGTTTGGTTGGTATCAGCAAGAGATGTTATACCATTCAAAACACTGTCAAACGCAAATCTTAGCTTCTCTTTCTTCGCATTGTAATCGTTGGAATCATCATCCACGGCGCCGGAGAGTGCTATCATCTTGATATAGTCACCGTATACGGCAGATCCCACTTTTGATACACTCAATGTTGAAAATTTTTCCACCAATCTCGAGAGTCGATCAAGCTCGTTTGGAACATTCCTTATAATGATTTCAGGCGCAACCTTTTCCAACGTGAGGTCATGCGCTTTGCATAGATTTCCAGCTAGTATCAATTCCAGCGTGCTCTTGTAAAACTTTCCAAGATTACTATACTCAGCTGAACGTGCTTCATGTAGCAGCGTATCAGGAATGTGCAGAATTTCGTGGAGTTCATTTAATTTTTTGTCATTTTCTAAAAAGCCAAGGTTTGAGACGTTGTTGTAAAACAATTTTGTTATTTTGTCCTTAGCTATCTCATCATTATTCAAATGTTCCAAAACAAAAGAAGCTTCTTTTGTCATTGCCTTCTTCTCTAACTTTTCGGCAAACTTTTGGATAATGATGTCAAATTCTTCAGCTGTAAATTGAATAAATTTTTTTAAATGTTTCATCAATAAGAATTGCAGCTCGACATCAAAAGTAGCAAGAACGTCTCTGCTCGAGTTCATCATTTTCAAAATCGTGAAATGTGTCTGGAAAATTGGTAATCTCGAGATACCTGTTTTCTCTGCATAATGTACAAATTCTTTAATTGTCTCATTCAATGGTTTATTGGAGTCACCAAATTTTATCATCAAAAATAAAACCACTGGCCATGTCAACCCTTCTAGATGATCTATGTGTTCTTTGCTTAAAATCTCACCTGATAATAATTTGTATATTTTCAAAATGCTTGACGGAATAAATCCTACTAATTCTTGTGACCATACAGTTAGCTGCGATTTTGCTAGTTTGTGAACTGTACTATCATCTGAGTCCAACATAGTCAACAGAACGGCTATATGGTTATTCTTTGTATTAACCGCATACTGAATTGCGTCTGCAAGCTTGTCAGTGCAAACAAAATGATATATCTTATCTAAAGTGTCTCTGGAAAAAACACTTGAACCAAAGTTAGATTCGAGATCGAGTAAAATCAGTTTCTGCAAAAATCTGCATAGAAGTTCTTTTCTTTTCAATCCTTGTATGTACTCCAACTTTGGCTTCAAGTTTTCACATTCTTCCACTAACTGGGAACTGAGAAATGACTTGAGATAGCTATCATCATAAATAATGGATAGAAGTTCCCAAAAATTATAATCGCTGCTGTTCTCAAAACTTAGTAAGGGAATATGTAACGATATTTCAAGATTTTCAACAACTTGGGGTAAACCGTTACTTCTTAAAGTAAATTCACTTTCAAACATTTCTGCTTGTAAGCACTTCTGGTAATGCAAACTATTTTCGAAGTTAAAAGGTGGTTCAATGGCCGCTTTCTTCAACTTGGAGACATCTTTATCTCCGAAGATCAACTCACCAACGTGTTTTGGATTAAGCTTAGCGTTATGCCGTTGATCTAAATTTCGGTTGAACACTGAGAAGAATCCGTTCGATAATGACAGTTGCTCATCCCAGTTGTCACTAATAGCCAATTCTGTTTTAGGACGAATGAACTGCATATCTACATCTTTAACTTCTGGTTCATAGGCACGGATCTCAACCAAATCGTCAATGTCATCCAAATGCGGGCTGGTTTTCAGCAATTCTAACGCATCTCCTTCATTGTTCGCATGATTAGCTTCTGACAAACCAAAAGGTACAGATGCATCCACCATTGCATCATCATTCCCATCTGGTAATATATTTTGATCATTAGCATCACCTTCATTGTTAGGTATCAAAATATCGTCATCAATCTCATTTTCTTGCTTATTGAAGTCGATTGCACCGGGTGTGATTAGACCGAAATCAGGTTTTTTCCTTTTCCAGTTATCGCCAGGCTGACCATATCCTGCAATTTTTTCCAAGGCGTTGATTTGAAGTTCATGTTTCCTTTTCTCATTGTTTTGTTCTAGTTCTTGCTGTTTAAGCCACCTGGCAACTATTTCAGGGTCGTCTTCCTCTTCATCAATTATTCCCCAAATGGAAAAATGCTCAACCTCAAACACGTAGTTACCTGTTAAAGAATCAAAGCTGATAAATTTCATACCATGTGCCGACTTTAGTCTCTCTATGTGACGCTCAAGCAACTCAAAATTAGGATGTTTTGGATCATACTTTTTTGGGAAAACATTTTCAAGAGTGATAACAGCTGGAACATTCAACCCATTGCCTTGTGATGGCTTTTCAGCTTCATCGGGATAGACTTGTAAAATCCGATTCTGGAAAACAATTGTTCTACTCAACAAACTGTCCCAGCGTCCTTCAAATGCTGTAAGGTCAACAGGATATTTGAACATCAAGTTCCCGTGATTCTTTCTACCTGCAGAAAAATTTTGCACATGAGTTAACTCAAGTGAGGACAACTTCGATAGGTCTGAAATAGATGGAGTGCACCAGTAATCAGATTCGGTGGTTTCTGCCTTCAGTTCAATTTTATGAGTTTGATCTGAAGATTCAGCTTCACCTTTGGCTTCATCACTATTCTGCTGCTCAAATAAAGGCCTAGAAAAAGTAAGGTCTGAGGTTTCATTCATATTTGATTTGACACGTTTAGATGGTGGTTTCAGCTCATCAACAACTTTCCTTGAGTTTGATTTAGGCTTGGCAATCTCTGCTGAGTTGAACTGTAAATCTACTCCTTTCGCAAGAAGCACACTGTTAGCATCAATCTCGTCATACTTCAAAAACGCGTCCCTTGGATTTCTAATAACTAACCGTCTGTATTCACTTTTAGAAGCAGGTATTTTGGGTATATCTAATCCTAGCCAAGTTGAGTAATTCATCGCTTGGGATTCAGAGTTGTTGACACCCTGTTGAACAGATTGATTGTGAGCCAGGTTTCTAGTAGAAGAAAATAAACCACTCATACTTTCAACGGAATACTTACTTGGGGTTTTAAAAGAATCAACAATTCGACCTACTAATGATACACTTCTGTTGTCTTTCTTCTCACCTATGGAGGAAGATTCTGAATTTGTTCTTTTCCTCTTCAACTTGATTGTGCTATCTTCAGATAATGAGCTTGTCAATGCTTTTGGCATTGCTGCGGTAGAGTTTTGCATAAAATTTATTCCATAAGGAGAAGAGTTGTGAGTTGTATTTTGTGCACCCAGTTGCGTCATATTAGATTGAACTTGAAGTTGAGGTTGAGGTTGTGGCTGAGATTGTGTCTGCACCAGTCCCAAACCAGGCATTGTGCCGCCAAAGGCTGGGTTAGTGGAACTATTACCAAAAAGTGAAGGTTTCGTGGGATTAGAACTTGTCGCATTGTTGTTTCCAAAACTGAAGCCTGAATTGTTGTTATTAAAGTTTAGAGCAGGAGCCGGCTTGCTAAACGTATTTCCGCCCGAATTTGATGTAGTTCCCACATTCAAGCCTGTTTGCTGAGTGTTACCTGTATTTCCAAATGAAAAACTTGCTGGTTTGGCTCCACTAGTTGTGCTGTTGTTACTGGAAAAATCAAGAGAGGGTGTGAACTTGTTGTTGGTAGAGTTATTTGATGCGCCGAAGGTAAACCCTCCCGGCTTTTGAGAAGCAGCACCAAACATATATAAGCTCTGACTTGTTCAATTAAGAATTAGCTCTAACCAAGGCTATGTTCCCTGTGTTCACGAGGAGCTACGTAGACACATCTTACTTACCAACCAATGGAAATACTAGCTTCGTAACTGTTGCTTGAGTGTAAAAAAGACAACGACGCGGGTTTTTTTCCCTTTTTTCATGTCACAAAATGTTACTTAATAGATTAATTCTTTATACAAAAACGACGCAAAAATACATACTTTAGATAGTGGTAATGGAAAACCGGGAATCTGGAAATTAAGCTTCTGGCATTTTCGACAGAAGGTCAAAACTACCTGTACCAGCTAGGTTGAGTTTACCCATCACAATTCTAGCACTAGGAGATTTTAAATCTTCTCTATCGGAGTTCAAAACTGCCTTGGTTAAAAATTGACATGTAGTTTCGTACGACATCTTCATGAAGGAAGAAGTACAGGAGTCGATACCTTGTCTATTAAATGCCAAATAGGTACCTTCTCTAGTCATATAGTCTGCAATCAAATCTAAGTGTCTCGAGCTGACACTAATTGCATATGTACCGAAAACACGGTTGATTTCGTTAACAATGGTGTTTCTGGCGGCTTCAACACCGTATACACGCAAAACTGCTGCAATGTCATTGGCACGAATGTCATTGACATTGATGAATGAGTCGTGTTCCCACATGGCCTGGAAGTTGACACCTTCAGTGACCAATTGACGAACACCCTGTTCAGCAGTTGGACGCAAACAACGTCCAATGTTTGGCACTTCACGAACAACACACTTCTTACAAACATCTTCAACGATGTTGACCATAAGTAACTTCTGGGTATCTGCAGACAGTTCGAGCTTGAATTCGCACCATGAACCATCTTCGTCGTCAAAATCGTATTCAGTGACAAAAGTATGTCCAACAATAACTTCATGCTGCCTTACCTTTGCCGTTTTCGATAGATTCTTTTTGCCAGAGTTTTCGTCTTTCTTTATATCGACAGCCATCTTGTCGGCCTCTTCATCATCAGCTTCATCATCGCTTTCAGACTCATCACCACTAGATTCAGATGCGGATGCATCAATCAATTCCTCATCACTCTTCTCAGCCTGCTTCATAGCCTCTAGCTCTTCATCATCTGGATCTTCATAAGAAACAGCTTGCTTAGTTCGGCTCTTTTCATCAGTACCTTCATCATTCGTGATTTTACTTGTTGCCTTTGTCTTAGCAACTGCAACTCCAATATCTGGCATTGAAGCATTGTTTTTGATTGATTGCTTTCTCAACTCTTTTACAATAACGGATTCCAATTGATAGATGAATTGACGTCTAACTGTATTTTCTAATTCTTCTTTGGTAACATCGTATTCTTCTTGATAGTCTTTAGAATCAAAGAATTTAATCTTGATTTCATATGATCTAGTTGCGTTAATACCAGAGCTGACGTCAGCAGTGGTTTCAATGACGGAAACGTCATCAATGAATTCAGAAAACTTGATCTTCGTGACAGATTTGCAGAATGCATCTGCAGATTCGTCATCAACATCGTTTAAAATTGGTAGCGTCATTTGAGGAGTCTTTATAGATGCAGATGCAGTCATGACAATTTCTCTTAAACGTGGAATACCTAAAGTAACATTTGCAGCACCATGACCTGCAAAATGGAAAGTATTCAAAGTCATTTGAGTCGAAGGTTCACCAACAGATTGGGAAGCAATGATACCAACAGCCTCCCCTGGATGAATCAAAGATCTCATATATTTCAATTGCATCAAAGCTTTAAACTTCTTTGATGTCAAACCACCATTGTTCTTTGCTTCCTTACTCGAAACAAATAACTTGTCATTGCTTTCAATGAAGGCATCTAATTTGTCTTCAAACTTATCCGACACAGATCCCAAGTATCTTGCAGGGTTATAGAGTGAAATGGTTGGATCGTATTTATAGCTTTCAGCATAATGTGGAAGGTCACCTTGTTTCTTGAGATACTTTCTTGATTTCTTGTTGTAATGAATTGCGGTTTCTGCATCCAAGTTGTCAACATTGGAAGGACTATAACGCTGTAATAGAGAGTTGTAGTTATCAACAAAGAACTTGAATTCATACAAATGTGATTCTTTGGTAACGTCAACTGAATCACCACCATACATGAACTGTATCATAGTACCATCTGAATTTCTGACAGTGTTATCGTAGTTGATAGTTGCACCTTCTAATTGTTTGGTCAAACAACGTTGTAAATAGCCCGAGTTTGCTGTTTTGACAGCAGTATCAATCAAACCTTCTCTACCAGCCATACAATGGAAGTAGTATTCTTGAGGTCTAATACCTGAGTAGAAACGGTTTTTGATATAGCCACCAGCTCTTGCATCCGTGTCAAAAGGCTTGAAACATGGTAAAGTCTTACCAGAAACCATAACTGGAACTCTTCTACCTTCCAAGGCTTGTTGACCAAGCAAACACATAATTTGGGAAACATTGACATTGGAACCCTTGGCACCAGACAAAGCCATCGCTTGCATGGAGTTGTAAGGGAATTTTTTCATAGTACCATCTGGAACACAGGTGGAAACGACTTTTGTGGTTATACTGTTAACCTTAGACATTGTCACTGCATCGAGAATTGCCAACTTGTCATCGTCTCTCAAGATTTCTTCGAGTCTTTTCTTGAATTCTGGATCGTTGACCTTGGTGCTTGAGTCCAGATTAGTGACTTCTGTAGCGGCAAGTCTACCAGTATCAACAGATTCTTTCAAAATTTCATTTCTCCACTTGTTACCTTCACCAGTTAATCTCAAGTCATCCATACCACAAGTGAAACCAATCATCATGATATATGTTGTGAATAATCTACCCAAAACAGATAACGCTTTACCTGCAACATCGGGTCCATAAACTTCATGCAATGAATGAATAATACCATATTTGGATGCACCGTATTGGGATTTGTCCAATATACCACATAGTAATTCACCATTCTGGAACAAGACTTCGTTTTCCTTTGATCCTTCACCCCAATAATCGTTCTTGATTTTATTCTTAGATTTAAGGTTGATACCAGGAGTATCTTGTGGCTTGATATTCAACAATATCGTCGAGATGACTTGCTTACCTGTCCATAATGGAACAGGCTTGAAAATGGTAGGAGGAACCGTTATAATTCTCGAACCGGAGGAATGTCCATCTTCCGGACGGATACACGAGTAAATCAATTCTTGGTATCTTTCTCTAGTGAAAAAGGTATCCTTGTTGGTCAACCACACACCGGCGGAAATATGATCTTGAATCAAACCTCTTACTGGAGAACCGGAGGTTGGAGTCAAATACTGAGAGTCAGTGTTTGCCAAATTCAAAGCTTCAGCTCTGGCGTTTTCATTTTGAGGAAAATGCATGTTCATTTCATCACCATCGAAATCAGCATTATAGGCACCAGTATTGGCATAATGCAACCTGAGAGTTTTTTCACCAGGTAAAACACGAACTTTGTGACCCATCATGGAAGCTTTATGTAAAGTTGGTTGACGGTTCATTAGAACAACATCATTATTTCTGATGTGTCTGTGAACCTTTTTATTGACCACGGTGAATCCGGAGGAAGGAGTCATAAGCTGGGAAGCAATAGACTTTCTTTGTTCCAAGGACATACCAATGAGGGAAATCAGCGAACCGTCCTCATTTTGAACCTGGATTGCACCAGGCCATTTATCTGGACCATTGATGACGGCTTGTCTCAATTCAGAGACATTGTAAGCGGTGACTGGTTCAGGGTATGTCAATTTGACGGCGAAAACGGGAGGAACACCAATCTGGTTTGTTTCCAACATTGGGTCTGGGGAAATGACGGAACGGGCAGCATAGTTAACTCTCTTACCCATCATATGCTTTCTGAACAAACCCTCCTTTTTCTCCAACGCCTGTTTGATACCGGGGGTTGGTGCTTTACTACTCACGTTCTGGTTTTTGGTGGAGTCGATAAATCCGTTCACATCGTTTTGTAAGGTGACAAAGGCGTTCATTAATCTGTTGAAGATGATTTTCTTTTCATCGATGGACAAGTCTTTGGTTAAGGACGAGAATTGATCGTTCAAATCCCTTATAAGCAAAGAGGTGTTCAATACTTTGGTAAGCAATTCGTTCTGGGAGTTTTCATGTATCTCCTCACCCAATTTGGAAGGTAGTCTGAATCTAGTGGCAGGAACAACCAAAGCTTGGATGAAGAACATATCTGCAGTTAAGCTTTGCGCTGACAGTGGTTTGGAGTGGAACAAGAAGTCAATTATGGAGGCCTCGGTGTTAAAAAGAGCTCTCATGATACTTCTGACTTCAGTGGAGAGAACGTATTTGGAACCTGCCTTAGGAGGCGTGTGGATGAAGCTTTTCTTACCTTTGATCGAGCCCAATTTAATTCTGTTGTTGGTTGCCTCCTTATCCTTCAAGGCATTTTCAAAAATCTTGGAGAAGCCGTCCTTACGGAAAGTGGAGGAGAATAGGCCACAGTTTTCACACTTCTTCTTACCTAACACTTTTGAGTAAAAATCGGTGATCAAATCTTTTCTTGCTTCACCAACGGTGGCGGTAAAGATTCCTGCCTTGGTGGATCTGCCCTCCTTGATTGCGTTGTTGATCGATTCTAGGACATACAACTCTCTTTTCTCACGCAGTAATCTGGATGAGCTGACCGAGATGTTGGCAGACTCGCTGTCAGCGTCAGCGTCTTCAATGTCATTTGCTGTGTCGTCCAAGTCGTTTGAGTCGACACGGATCTTGTCGATCTCGTTTGCCTCTAGAATCAACCCGTACTGGAGAAGCTTCAACTTGCACTCAAATCTATGCACCTCGTTCGAGTGGAGCTTGAAGTGGTTACAGTATAGACATGAGGTTCTCAAGAACATGTAGAGCTGATTGAAGAAGAGCGGGTTGTAAACCGGCACAGGAAGCTCAATGTGTCCCTGATGACCCGGACAGTAGATATCACTCAAGCCACATGTGGTACACAGGTTCTTCAAAAAGGCCCCAAGACTAGGATCGTAAAGACCTCCGGATATCGGGTGCCCAAGGTTGTCGAAAACAGTTGGGTTTGTGATTTGCTTTGCTGAGAGCTTCCTGATTTCATCAGCAGAGAGAATGCCGAAATCCACATGGGTGATTGACGAGCCCACCGGTCTAGCAATGTCCATTGTGTTGGTGGTGGCTACTGCTGGCTTTGGCTTTGTGGAAGGTTAGAGAAACGAATCGTCCAAGAGAGGGGCTGTTGGGACAAACAAAAGAAGGCATTCAGTTACGAATCCTGTACATGTTGCCTGTAGTAGTGGATTGAGCTGAAAAAAAAATTAAAAAAAATTTATCTTTTCCAGCGATTTTTTTCTTGAAAAATTCCGGAAAAAAAAGGCAAAAATGCAAAAATTCAAAAAAAACAAAAAAACCAAAAAATGCGAAAATGCCCAAAAAGGTAGCATCACCTAATGCATTACGTAAGCTACGTCGATGGGCGTTTTTTCCGGCCGGACCTGTTCCGGGCCGCTTACCGCGGCACGGCCCGGCCTTTTGACAGCTCCATCTCCTCGAGGAGCGCTTTCTTTTACGAGGGAACAGCGTCGAGTCGGCTCGTGTGTGCCATCTTATCGAGCCCGATCTTGACGACCACCGGGGCTCACGATAACAATTACTTATTGTTCGTTCTACTACCCTTTTCCTGTTTGTCCCGCTATATATATCAGCTTGCCTCCTTTCTTGTTGTATTCTTGTGGCTTTTTCTTTTACTCTTCCTCTGCTGCTTCTGCTTACCTCTTCCCCTAATTCATCCCTCCATACTCTATCTTACTTGTGATCCTTCTTCGCCCCCCTATCAAATAAGCGAAACGATCAATTATACAGCAAAACTACTCTACTCAATCGACATCCGACTATGACTGCGACTCCTACCAAGACCATCTGTGTGTTCTGCGGATCCTCGTTCGGGAGTAACCCCGACTTTGCTGCAGAGGCAACCAAGTTGGGCCAACTGATGGCGTCCAAAAACTACGGCCTCGTGTACGGCGGTGGTACTACCGGCTTGATGGGCTGCATCGCCAAGGCGGTGGCCTCCAACAACACTTACGTTCATGGTATCATTCCCGACGCCTTGGTTTCGAAGGAGAGAAAGTCCAAGGACGAGATCGAGAAAATCAACGACCAGCTCAAAAATAGCGTTGAAAACCACAAAGGGGAGACCCCGCTCGACGACAGTTACGGTAAAACTACGATTGTTTCAGACATGCACACGAGAAAGAGACTGATGGGCCAAGAAGCCGAGGCCTTTGTTGCAATGCCCGGTGGATTCGGAACTTTGGAGGAGTTGTTTGAGATAACCACGTGGTCTCAATTGGGTATTCACCAAAAGCCTGTGATCTTGTTCAACATCAACGGCTTCTACGACGAGTTGATTATTTTTGTCCAGAAGAGCATTGAGGCAGGATTCATTTCCGAAAACAACGGGAAGATCTTGCAAGTTGCCGCCACTCCAGAAGAAGTTCTGGAAAAGCTGGATAACTACAAGGTCCCGGAAGGTAGGTTCAACCTAAGCTGGAAAAACCAATGAGATGCATGAAGAACGCAGCCGCCCTCATTGTCCCCTCTATTTATATCGTTCCCATATACAAAACGTAGAGATGTTTAGATCTGTACTGTCTGTTTTTCTTAGATTAATGAATAAAATATTCATCATAAATCGGTCGGGCTGTTGTTTTACTAGTTGGGTGTGTAGTATATGTATGTATCATTTATTTAACTTTTAAGCCCTCAGAGGGTATCGATTCGAATCAGTTCAAGTTTTATCTAAGCTACATGACATCCTGTTTCCATATACATATCCCAAAGTTTTTCTAGTCCTTCGACCATCTTTTCATCAAAACTCTTTGACATAATTGATGCCATCCACGCACTCAGCAACCGTCATTTGATTCGGACCGATGATTTTGTTGATTTCAATAGCCAAGTCAGTGGTAGATTTGTAAACATCGTGTTCCAAGATTATCCCCCTACCTTGATCTTTCCATCTACTGATATCATTCAAAATCTGCTTCTTGGTTCTCTGTGGAGGCTTTGATTCCATTTGCCAATCAAATGAGTCATGGTCCCAAACAACCGCTTGCATACCGAACATTCTAGCAATTGCTCTCACCCGATCATCGATACCCCCATAAGGTGGTCTGTACCATTTAGGTAAGTGATGACCTGTTGCGTTCATTGCCCAAATCGACCATTCGAATTGGGCAATGATCTCCTCATTAGTCAATGATGGTAAAAACTTATGCGACCATGTGTGACTGCCTAGCAAGTGACCTCTGTTTTTGATGTCAAGATAAATATCAGGATTTTTAACAACATTCAAGCCTAACGTGAAAAAAGTAGCCTTACTATGTAAATGCTTCAACAAGTTTTTTGTAAACTTAGATGGCCCATCGTCAAAAGTTTGGGATAGTCGAGGACATGTGTAAACATCATCATGACTGACACATTTAAAACAATCAAATGAACATTGTAACCTATTGGTTGGACACGTTCCTGGTGCTCTCAATGGTATGTTTGGAATGTTTGCAAAATTGATAAAGTCCAATGGAATGTACGGAGGATTCATGTCGGGCCAGGAGTTCAGACCGGTGAATTTTTGTAACCAATCTGGCACCGGTGTGGTTGCCATTATTTTGATATCTTCTCCTTCTGAATTGCCTACAATTTCACTATTTTCAACTGATTCTGCAATGGTGCTTTCAGATTCTGCCTTAACCTCATGACTTTTTCCAAAAGGAAGCAACAGGGCATTGGACAGAGATAGGGAGGCCAATAGCAACAAGGAGATTTGGAGGTTCATAATTTCTTGTACATATAAACCTTTCCAATCGGTTCAAGAGTGTATTGTTTACGGTTTACTGTGAGCAAAGATTAGAGGTGCAATTAGATCCAAAGGAAGTATGTAATGCTTGTGATTTTTTGAATCGTAAGATAAAAAAAGCCGAAGACTAGAGAGAACTTTTAAGAGTGTAAGAAAAAATGTTTTAGTGTACGTGTTTACCACAAATGAGCAAAGATCTGTGTCCAGAAAATGTGCACAGCTGGGCTAATAGTAAACAAATCAAACGCATTAGCACACCAGAGTTAATGAAGAAGGAAGTGAGAATAACATGGAGGGGAGTAAGTGGGGCAAAAGGATTGGAAAAGGGGAGCAAGAAGGTGTGGACTTAGATGGGAACTTCCGGATTGGGAATTCTCACATGTGGAGGGTGTGGGTGGCGGTTATGCCAGGATTGTTGGGTATGCTTTATGATATAAAGTGTATATAGGCTGTAGATAAATAGTCTTAAATAGTTTGGAAGGGTCTGGTTAGTTTAGAAAAGGAAGTTGTAAAAATCAAAAAGAAAAACTGGAAATCAAAAGGGGGGCAAACCGAAGGTGGATCGGGCTTGATGGAGGATGAAAGTAAGCATGAATTCGTGAGTGAACGAAAATTAAAGCAGAGTTGAGAGGCAAGATAAAGAGTAGAACTGTAAAATAAAGGGAGCTGATAGTTGAGGGGTAGAAAAGGAGAATAGAGGTATATTCTAAGATTGGGTTGTGTAGGAAAAGCGCTTATTTACCACCGAAGTGTCTGATCATCAAGCCTGAGCTCACAGTGCCGTCGACGGGTTTGCCTTCACGGCCACGACTTTGTTGGATTGCCAATGAGTCGAGCTTGTACTGCTTCGAGATGCTGCAGTCGGTAGTGTCAGAAACAGATCTTTTGTGCAACTTCTTAAACGGCTTGAGTTTGCTGGGCTCTGGCCCTGAATCTTCGACAGAGCCCTTTGTGATGGGCTGGCGCTGCTGAGGCGGCTGGTGGTTATCATGGGGACTTTCCCATGGTTGATCTAGATTAGCATCGTCTATAGCTTCTTCGTTATTGTTTGAATAGGAAAGAATCTTATGCGGGATCGAGAGCGACAGAGCCCCGCTCGGGTTTCTGAAGCTGCTTCTGTGTGGGGTGAGAGAGAAGTATTCGGTATCAAAGGGGAATGACTCGGTCAAGGTGATGTTCGGCACGCCGGAGAGCTTTGGAGAGAGGGTGGAAGCCTTCCAGTTCATCGACAAGGAACCCGATCTGGATCTGGGGAAGGTGCTGACGTTGGTGACGCTGCCGTTCGAGTTTGCGTAGGAGAGGTTGGCCGGGACCCTCTTCATGTTGGTCATGGTGGTGAACGTTGCTCGGCGCTGCTGGCTCATGAAGGGTGTTGAGGGAGACGAGAGAGAGGACACGGAGGAGCCGGAGGAGATCGGAGAGGGCGAGGACTCTGTGTTGGCGGAGGACACGGAGCTGGTGCGCAACATGTTCTTCAACATCTTGTTTTCGTCCTTCAAGGTCTGTATCTCGTGCATCAGCCTCATGACAATGCCCTCCTGCTCCTTCTCCATGGCGTCCAAGGCGTTTGTGTCGATCGGAGTGCCGATGGGCGAGATGGACAGCGTCGCCATGTTGCTGCTGATGTTGCCGCTGCCGGAGACGCTGCTTCTTCTGCTGTTGGCTCTGCTGCTGGCTCTGCTCCAGCTTCTGCGGTGTGCGAGCCGGTTGCCTGTGCCGCTGCCGTAGCTGTAGTAGTCTGCTGCCCGCTCCTTCTCCCTGGCTGCCCTGGTCGGGCTATCTTTGAAGTCCAAGCCGGGCTGCGAGTCTGCAGCAAACGACCCGACGTGTGACGTGCGTGGACTTATGTGCACCTCGTGTCCGTGCTGGCTCCTGTGCGGCGTGGAGCCCTGGCGATAGAAGTCCGGCAACCCAGGCCGCATCTGCTCTTGCTCCGGCGCAGGCGGGCAAGCGACGTCGACGGCCTCGTGCTGCTGCTGCTGGTTGAGGTCCGGCTTAGCGCCGTAATTAGCCTTGTGATTATCGCCATGCTTCTGGCTGTGGCTGTGGTGCTGTGTTTTACAGTGCATGGTTTCGGGTTGCGCCGTCATGGTGGTTTGCTGCAGATCCAGGTTCAATGCTGGACCGCCGGTCATCATCCAGACCCTGCACCAACCCAATAGAGCCCACAACAAGGAGCAACCAGACCCACCACAAGAACAAGAGGACGCCACGCACACCCAGGCAGACACTCTGTCTCCCAGACACACTGTCTGGAAGGCAACAAGACAGGCTACAACCGGTTGTGGAGAATGAGGCTCGCGCCAAGATGATCTGAGACCGGCCTTGCGCCTGTCTGGCCTGCTGCCACCATGTCGGCTGACTCACGCCGAGCCTGCCGGACGTGGTTCAGCGGGGCCCGCCGGGGCTGGCGGACGAGCCAAGCCGTCAGGAGTTCTCCGGCGGGCGCGATAAGCCGGCGCCAGAGGGGGCTGTGGACCGTGGGCCGAGGCAAGGGGTGCGGGGCGGAAAGCGTGGCTGTGTCTGGGGACGGGGCCGGGGGAGATCTAGACTGCGGGGCGGTGGGGTGCACGGGTGCACGGGTGTGTGGGGTTGCGGTTTGCCCCCCGTGGCGGGCGCTGCGGGCGCCAGCTGGATGGATCGACGAACACAAGAGGGCAGATGGAGGGCCAAAGAGGCGGGAGGAGAAGGGGCTGCAAGAGAGAGCGGTTGGGCCGATTGCCCCGCCCATTCACACACACAGCGCAATGGACACCAACGAGCTGGCACCAGTCAAGACGAAAGGCGCAGCGTCCGGGTCGGGCGTCCCGGCGCACAAGAAGGAGCCGAGCATGAAGCTCATCGGGTACAACCTGCTGTCGGGGTGTCTGTGGTCGTTCGCCCTGCTGAACGTGGTTGCCACGGCAGGCGTGTTCGGCGACCTGCGCACGGTGTTCAAGCTCACCCACGTGTGGACCACCGCGATCCAGCTGCTTGCCGTCGTGGAGATCTACAACTCGGCCACGGGGCTCGTGCGGTCGCCGCTCTTCACGACCGTGATGCAGGTCACGTCGAGGCTCGTCGTCGTCCTCGGCGTCTGGACCCTGCTCCCGGAGGCGGCGGGCAACGCGTCCTACGCGTACCTGTCCGTGCACGTGGCCTGGGGGCTCGCCGAGGTCGTCCGCTACTACTACTACGCCACCAACCTCATGTCGCAGCAGCAGGGCAACCCGACCACCGTCCCGCCCACCCTCGAGTGGCTCCGCTACAACGCCTTCATTGTGCTCTACCCTCTGGGCATATCCTCCGAGTGCTACATGATCTACTACGCCGTGGCCGCCGCTGCCGCCAGAGATGGCGTCTTCTTTGCCGCCTACGCCCTCTTCCTCTGCCTCACCCTTGTGCTCTACGTCCCGGGGACGGTCGTCCTTTTTTCCCACATGCTCAAGCAGCGCGCGAAGTTCAACGCTCAGCGCAGACAGGCGCCAGCGAAAAAGACGCTGTGATTTTTTTCCATGGACGCTGCAGGCATGGCATGCACGGCCGGTCTGTCCTGTAGGTATGTATAGCACGTAGTTCAACCAGTAACCTAGCATCCCCAACCGCAGCAGTCTCCCGACACCGCGTACCACCACACACCACACACCACACTACACAGTGCACCATGCAGGCGTTCAGAAGATCCCTCACTACCGCATCGTCCGCCGCTGCCGCCGCCGCCAAGAAGCCCGTCAACTCTCTGCTGCCGCTCAAGTTCGAGCAGAACCTCTACGCCGCCGTCAAGGTCCACAACAGGTCATACCTCGTCACCAAGGGCGACCTCGTGAACCTGCCTTTCTGCATGCACGCCGCGGAGATTGGAGACACCATCCACTTCTCCAAGATCGACACCCTCGGCTCCAGAAACTTCACCTACCACGTTGCCGACGGCATAGACGCCGATAAGGTCACCGTCACCGGTGTCGTCGTCGAGAAGACGAAAAAACCCATGACCATCAAGGAGGTCACCAAGAGGAGAGACAGACACATCAAACACTCCCTCAGCAAACACGACCTCACCGTCGTGAGAATCAGCGAGCTCAAAATCAACTAGTGCTGTTTCTCCGCCCTCCACAGCGACGGTGCCCGCCTCTTCTCGTTTACTTCCATAACCTGTATATACAGTTTTCGTTCTCCCACACTACATGCATACGTAACTCGAATCACTCTGATGACTCTTTATAAAATCTTCCCCCCGTTTGCCCTGCTCAGTTCCCGCCCCGGCTATCGAACACGAGCCGGACCCGTAATACCAAGCCTTGACGCCGGTTGGCACCAGCAAGAAGCCTGGCACGGTATCGTTCCGGTTGAACGTATACCTAAAGCCCAAAGCTGCCCCATTGATCATGGCGTTGCACACCATGAATCCCTCACCTTTTTTTTCAATCGGCTGTAGAGCCGCTTTTGGCTCAGCACCGATCAGGCAGTTAATACGTGCACGAGGAAGAGAAGTCCAGCAGATGAAGAAAGGAAACACACCGTCAAAATATCCTGCCACACTCGGTTTTTGATTAGTCCATTAGGACAAGTGGAGTCGGTACTGTGCAGAAATGGCACACCCACACAACCAGGGAGCACGAAACTCCCACCCACCTGTACCCCTTTCACCTCCACCATCGGTGCCACCAGGTAACAACGACGGCAGAGAAGGTGAGCCGAAAGCGGGGAAAAATCAGGCCTCCAAGCCCAAGATCGTCTTGACAGTGAACACAATGCTCCCAAGAAGGACTTCTTCGAGTTCCCCTTCTCCCCAGGTAATTCCCGTTCCAAAGATAATCACTCCTTCTTCGCCTCAAAAATCAGTCAAATCGACAAAATCCCAGTCTTCTGCCAGCTCGCTAACAGCCTCTCCCTCCGAGTCGGCCAAATCAACTGGAAACCAAAAACCAAGCAGCTCAGCTCCGAGAAGGAAAAATAAACTGAAGCTCACATCTTCCAGAAACTCTTTCCTTCATGGTAGCCCTCTATATGGAGAAGTGAGTAATAAAATGAGCCTGCTTTTCCATGCAGCACACAATGAATCAAGCAAAAAATCAAATACCCAGAAACACCATACAAGCTCTTCTCAGTCTTCTGTATCTGCTCCACGAAATTCAACTTCTTCGGCAATTACACCTAACACATCAGATAGAAGCCGCCAATCCATACAATCCAGCGCTTCGGCAGTTTCATCCCCGAACTCGTCTTACTCAACAGCTACAATTGATACTAACTCAACTCAAGTGTACCCGAATGAAAGTTATACGAATTCACGGAATGACTCGTATGAATCGACATCGGCTTCGTTTACATCAGCTTTGTCCACAAATTCGGCAATAGCTACTTCGAATGCCAAAGCCGACTCACAACACTCAGTGAGAGGTAGGAAGGCTAGTTCATGCGAAACCAACTATCAGCAAGGAGCTTCTGACTCAATAATGAACAGCAATAACTCAGAACAATGCAAGAAAAACGACACTGGCATTGTGGGAAATGACTATAACGAGGCAGGTGAAAATGACCCCTGGGAAGAAGGAATGTTTGAGAATTTCAGCTTTGAAAACATGATTGCAAACAGGTATATGCCTTTGGAGGGAAAGAGAGTGAGCAAAGACCTGAAAACAATAGAAGATACGGATTTCAAATCAAGGGTGGTCTCTGAGCCTGCAACCCTGAAAACTTCCATAAATGGGTCACAGGTGACAGTTTCTGATGAACCTGAGCTTGCCAGCAAGTTCTCACCCAGCTCTGCTCCAACTTCCAGAAAAACAAGTGAAAACATAAACTTAGTGAGGACAATTCCGCCAATGTCAAATAAAATAAACACTTTCAAGCAAACCAAAACTCAATTGCCTTTACAGCTACAACCTTTAACTAAAACTCATTCATCGGAATCCAGCGCTGAATCTCCATCGAATAAGAATCAGTTAGTAAAGGTGTCTTCAGCCAAAAACTCTCCTAATCCCCTTGCAATAAATACCCAAATATCAAGATCAGTACCACCTGAACCCGCTGTTGCTTCTTCGCCAATTAAGACTGATGGATCCACAAGTGGTAAAACCAGTAGAAATGTTAGCAGAAGTGGCAGTGTTCATTCACGGGCTAGTGCTACCAGTGCATCACAGCGAAGCTTTACGCACTATAATAAAAGTCATAAAAGGTCGTCTTCAAAAGGTTCGTTACATGATATTACCACACCAAAATCATTTTTCAAGCTTTTTGGTAGTAAAAAGTACAACTCTAACAACAACAGTTATGACAGTAACCAACCAAAGCCTACCTCTAGTCACTCACATTCAAATTCTCAAGGGTCTGATAACTTCTCGCTACATTCTGTTCAAGGAATATCTCCCATAATGTCTTCAGGGGCCTCAATGCAGCAGTCGAAAAACAGTCCAGGGTCTGCTATAAATGAAAGTATGAATGGAAAAAATGACATTAGGGCAAGATGGGAAGATCATAATCGTGACAGCACTATGATTTCTGAGAAACAAGGCACATTTGAAACTTCAGCAGGTTCAATAACCACCAGTACAAGGGGAAAATCTCAAGAAAATCTATACTTGGGCTTAAATACCGGATCAATGCCTACCTTACTACCGATCAAAGATGATCTTCCCGTGGATGCTGAAAAGCGCAATACTTTAACCAGTATAAGAACTGAGAGCATCGAAAGTTTAGGAAGCTTGAAAAATGCAAATCGCCTTAGTGTTATACCCACGCCTTCAAGTACAACATCATCAAACAATCCGTCTCCATCTCTTTATTCCTTCCACCACAAACTTTCCAGGAGTAATGATCCCATTGTTGTTCCATCGAATAGAAACTCAATACTTATCTCTAGTCCCACGTCACTATCCGCGGGAACTACCCCTATTAGTGCTAATCCAACAATTGTGGCAACATCATCATCTTCACAGTCAACATCACCTACTTCTGGCCCTAATTCTTCACCTGCTACACATACTACTAAAAAAGTTAAATCTTTTGTCAAGCTTGGCTCAAAATCGATTAGGTATTCACGTGGTTCTAGTTCTTTGGCAAGTAAGTCATTTAGTAATCGTAAAAAACCACCTGTTCCAACCAGTGATTGGGATACTTGGGATGGTCATAGCGGAAGTTTTGAAAAGATAGGGCCTGTTGGTAGAAAGCCAAGCCCCCCTGGGCAAACTATTCCCGTCGTCACTACTTCAAACTTGCATATATCTGATGAAAATAAAAAGAATCTAGTCCAAGGGAAACCAAGCATTGTAAGGCTATCTAGTTCTTCTCTACCGACGTTGATTGCGTCCAGTGATAACTATCATGGACATACAGTAGAACATCCTCCATACAAGTTACTAAGCGAAGCATCAACTCCAACTTCTGAAGCTATATCTAATTCTGGATTGCTTTCAATATATGCAGCACCTTCTAACTCAATTAGCAAAGCTTCATTACCAGCGGATTCAACTCATCAGGAATACAAAGATTTGAAATTGAACTCAAAATTTTTACCCAAGCCTCAAGAGGCCTTCAATAAAATTATGGTAACTACCAATTTTGTAGATTATCGGCTAGTGAATTTTTCTAGTGCAAGCACGCTAACTATGTTTTCATCAGTCATACAACACATGTTTCGTCTAAAAGGTGATGCTCAGTTTTTCTTGACAAATATTGGATCAACAAGAGATCAATTAGGTAAATGTTTGGATAAGGGTTCATTGCAAAATATCTGGGATCATATGAGTCAAAGTCCCGAATCCTTAACCCTTGCGTTTTATGTTACATCGGACACTAAAATGAAGTCAACGGAAAACAACACGTCTCCCAGTAAACTTGGCAATAAAATCGATCACCATAATTCTCATCATGACAAAATAGAAGAAACCTCTTTGTATACAACATCATCATATACCAATTCTATTAACTCCGATTCAAGCTATGACAAGAACCTTCCTACTCCGCAGCATTTGATCTCAGCCAGAAAAGATTCTTCAGTTGATTACTGGAGTTTTAAAGACTCAGTAGAGAGGAAACCGTCACTTAATAGGGCAATTTCAGTCACCCACTCGTCCATTTCTGGTGACTCGCAAACTATGACATCAGCTCCAAGTTTGTCTCGTAAGGCAAGTAAGGTTAGTGTCGGATCCAGTGCAAGCAATTTAGCTTCACAATCACATAGCACCCACAACTCAGCTCGATCATCAACAAAGACCTTGGTTAGCTCGGCTCCAATTTCTTCAAATAATGAGAAACTTTCTCAACCTCCAAAGCTAAAAGGGTCTTTCAAGGTTATACCACCTCAAAAGCCTCATGTTGATTTTGACAATAAACGCCCAACTCCTTTTATTAAGTCTAAAAATCTAGTTGCACAGCGGTATCCGCCACCACCACCTGTAACCCCTCCTGCGATACCATCGTCAACCTCACCAAACCAGCAAACACCTTCTCAGTCAAGTGCGGAACTGTCGTCATCAAATCTGAGTAGCAACCATCTCACTAGTGTAGACAAGCCTGCACCAGGATTTTCAAGAGCAGCAAGGAGTCAGAAGAAAAAACTGATGATATCAAATAGTATACGTTCGCTACAAAGATCAAATACCCAAGGGAGTTTATTGAGTACCAAAAGCTCAAGTAGTGGAGTCAGTATTGACCCATTTTCTGAGAATAAGATTTCATTTACTAATATTGAGTCTGATGATAGTATTTCTACAAAGAGTAGTGATATTCATAGTGAAAATGAAAGTGAGGATGGGGACGATGAGTTTGGTCTTTTTGCTAAAAAGCCTAAAAGTTCTCGAACTGATAAGTTAAAAAAATTGAACATGCGTCACAAAAATGCTTCCGGTAATGAACCAATATCTTCATCATCATCAGATGAAGATGATACTTTTGAACTATTTCAAAGACCACCGAGAGATCTGAAAATACTGCCCAAGGACCAAAAAGAAAATAGTACTATCCGCCCAAAGCAAACCAGTTTTATTGTCAAGGATAATAAGCATGACAAGTCTGATCCTACTGGTGATAATAGAACTGGCAATGGAAGAGAGTTGTATACACACCAAGGATTAACCCAAAACGGTTTTACACCTAAACTCAAAAAGGCTCCACCAAACCTGAACAAACAAAATGAGATATACAATGAGAGTTTGTCCAGTGAAGCCAACTCAACTGAAGATTTTAACAGCATAACAAAAAGCTTTAGCGAGGACTCCTACACAAACTCTCCGGCAGACTCCAATATTTCATTATCCAGCTCTTTAGATTTGAGGCCCCCACCTGAGGTTCTATATAATAACTTGGAGGTTTTCTTTCCAAAAGCTGATCTAGATAGAATAATTATAGATGAAGCACCGACAAATGGAGTAGGGTTTGGTAGAATGAAAAGTATTAGAATCATTGCTCAAGAAGCAAGTCGCAGAGCTTCATATAGATCTCCTTTGCAACAAGCGGGAAATTTTACGGATGGAAATAGGAGCAAAATAGTGGGCAGCACCAAAAGTCGAAATTTGAGTGGCCTAGCCAACCGTTCAGCAACAAATACCTCCTTATTGAGAAGAAAGAGTACCAAGATGTGGGGCCAGAAAGTTGTTGAGGTTACGCTTAATTCCAAGAATAAAAAGGATCTTCAAAAAGTTATACCGAAACGAGGAAAAAATGGTGAGTTTGTTGAATTTGCATGGATTAAAGGTGAGTTGATCGGCATTGGAAAGTTTGGTAAAGTGTATGTTGCAATGAATGTTACAACTGGTGATCTTATTGCAGTCAAACAAATGAGCATCAATCACAAATTTTTGAACCGTAGGGAAACAAACGATATTGTTGATACATTCAAAGCTGAAGTCGATTCACTAAAAGATTTAGATCACGTTAACATTGTTCAGTACTTAGGATTTGAAATCAAAGATAACACTTACAGCATTTTCCTCGAGTATGTGTCAGGCGGTTCGATAGGTCATTTACTAAGAAAATATGGTAGATTCGAAGAACCTTTGGTCAAATATCTTACCATCCAAATGTTAGAAGGTCTCAACTACATCCATTCGAAGGGTATTTTACATAGAGATTTGAAAGCTGATAACTTGTTACTCGAAGTCGATGGTGCATTGAAGATTAGTGACTTTGGTATCAGCAAGAAAGCTAAGGATATCTATACCTCACAATCGAAGCTAAATTTTCAGGGAACGATTTTTTGGATGGCACCGGAAATCATTAACGATACTCATGGTGTTGGGTATAACGCCAAAGTGGATATTTGGGCTCTTGGTTGTGTTGTTTTAGAAATGTTTTCCGGAGAGAGACCCTGGAGTAAGTACGAAGGAGAAGGTGTTTTGTATAAACTAGGAAAAGAAAAAGAAGCACCTCCAATCAAGAAAGAAATCAGGAAAGAGATATCCAGACTGGGAAAAACTTTTATGGAAAGGTGTTTTGAAATTGACGCCACAAAACGTCCTACTGCTCAGCAACTATTGGATGATGCATTCTGTGTTGTGGATAGTGAATTCAATTTTGCGGATACATCTCTCGGCAAACGTATTCATGTGGTAGAAGAGCACGAGAAGGAGAACCTTAGCAAGAGAATGCAGAGTATGGTTAGAAAACTTTGAAACTGATTGACCCCCCACCCAATAGGGAAGATTCAGGCTGTGCAAAGAGATTTTTCCAATTTTTTTTTCTTTCTGTGTAAATATATATGTAAATGTTATAATAATGAACATTCACACTTTTTCTTTACCCTACCATCTAAAGGTAAGTCAATCAAATAAACAATCCAGTTATACAGCAGCAATGGTCAAAAAAAGTAAGACTATCTCGAGAGATGACAAAAAGGTGAAACGTGAACAGGCCGAGAAGCAACTAAAGGAAATAAAACAACGAGTGCAAGATCTTACAAGTGAAGAATATAAAACCTTTGAAAGGTTCAAGGAACTTCCATTGACCGCTGATATCTTACGGGGACTTGATCGTTCTGGATTCCACAGCTTGACTGAAATTCAGAAACTGGCAATACCTGAATGTCTGAAAGGAAATGACGTTCTAGCAGCTGCAAAAACTGGATCAGGCAAAACTTTGGCTTTTCTAGTGCCTGTTGTGCAAAAACTTGTGTTCGAAAACTGGAGTGATATGGATGGCCTAGGAGCACTGATAATTACACCAACAAGAGAGTTAGCTGTGCAAATTTATGAAGTCTTACTAAAAATTGGTAAATATACCCAATTAAGTGCCGGGTTAGTTATTGGAGGTAAAGATTATAGTTTTGAAAAAGAACGTGTGGGGCGTGTTAACATTTTGATCGGTACTCCGGGAAGGTTGCTGCAACATATGGATGAAAGCGCTACTTTACAAACTGATAATGTTCAAATGCTTGTCCTCGATGAAGCAGACAGGATCTTGGACATGGGTTTCAAAAAGACATTGGATGCAATCTTAGGGCAATTACCTGCAGGTAGACAAACTTTACTTTTCTCTGCAACACAGACTAAAAGTGTAGGTGACTTGGCAAGGTTATCAATGGTGAACCCCAAGTATGTCAATGGAAACTTGGCAAACGGTGGTATTGGCGGAGAGGAACTATCATTACCGGAAAGTTTGGAACAGAGTTATGTTGTTGTTCCATTGAACGAAAAATTAAGTTTGCTTTGGAGTTTCCTTAAATCTCACTTGCAGGCGAAAATATTGGTTTTCGTGAGCTCATCAAAACAGGTCCATTTCATATATGAGACTTTCAGGAAGTTACAACCTGGTATACCGCTTATGAAACTTCACGGTCGTCAAAAACAAAAAGCCAGATTAGAGACATCTATGAAATTCACACAGAGTAAAAATTGTTGCTTGATTGCTACTGATGTTGTGGCACGTGGTCTAGATTTCCCAGCCATTGACTGGGTTATCCAATTGGATTGTCCTGAAGATGTCTCCACTTATGTTCACCGTGTCGGTCGTTGTGCACGTTTTGGCCGTCAAGGAAAATCCATGCTTGTCCTTTTACCTAATGAAGAAGAGGGTTTTATTTCGCAAATGAGTGCAAAGAAAATTGAGATTAAAAAACTTAATATCAAAGGTTCCAAGAAGAAAAATATACAGTCACAAATTCAAAGTTTGTGCTTCAATAGTGCAGAACTCAAATATCTCGCACAAAAAGCATTTATATCATACTGTAAAAGTGTGATTATTCAAAAAAATAAATCTGTTTTTAAGATTGACGAATTACCCTTAGATTTATTCGCATCCAGCTATGGTTTGCCGGGTATGCCAAAACTAAGGTTACCTAAGAAGGTAGATGATGAAAGTAGGATGAAGCTCAAAGAAAAGAAGAATGAAAACAGAAAACTTAAGTCACTTTCAAATGCGAATGACGAAGGAGAAATTGAGGATCAGACCAAGAAAGTTAGAACTAAATACGATAAAATGTTTGAAAGAAAGAATCAAGATGTTCTCAGTGAGCACTATATGCAACTTAACCCAGGACTGGGTGGTAAAATGTCAAACACTTCAGATGATGACGATGATGACGAAGAATTCATGAAAGTGAAACGCCATGACGATGAGGTGAAAACTGCAGATTTGCCAGAACTTGAGCTAAATTCCTCCAAAAGGGCGATGAAGAAGGCTTTGTCAAGAAAGCTCACTGCAATGAAGGGTGACAAAGGAGCGAAACTAGTGTTTGATGAGGATGGTAAAGCCCACCCAGTGTATGAACTAGATGACGAAGAAACTTTCCTCAAAGAGGGTCCTTCTAAGGTCCATTCTGAATTCTTATCTACCGAAAGAGAAAAAATGACAAAGGCAGATGAGATTGATAAAGGTGTCGTCAGAGATAAACGTGCTGAGAAAAAACGTAGAAGAAAAGAACTCGAAAAACAACTTGAAGGAGACTCTGATGATAGCGAAGGTCCATATGTGGCTACTCTCGGTGCCTTAGCTAGTGGTGATGAGAACGCTGATAATTATGAGAGTGATGAGTATGGTGAAGGGGTTCCTGATTTGGAAAATGATCTGGAAGACAGCGAAGGCGAAGATGATGTTCAACCAGAAAAGAAGAAGCAGAAAAAATGGTTCGATTCTGACAAGTACAAAGATAGGGATTCCAAGGATGCAGGAGTGTTTGAAATTGAACAGCCTGAAACAACTGAAGACTTGGAAGCTTTGGCTGCTAAGTTGATGAACTAGTAAAAATTAGCCGTAAATGTATATATAGTTAATCAACACACTTGGTGCATTAAAAAATACAACGAGATAGAATATAGATGTTTTGTTATATTTCATTCAAGGTATCTGATACAAGGTAATTCTCTATACGCAGGTACATAATCCGCCCTTTGGAAGAATATATAGATGAAGATTTTATACTTAAAGTATGCTCCTATTTATTGTTGAAGTAAAGGATATTATACAAAGGTACTGTACCCGGATGTGCTGAAGACGTTTTTTCTTGTCAGGTACTTCCTAATTTCATCTGCAATCCAAACAGTGCTACTTATTGCCATCAAGTAGAGCAAATCGCCAATAGAAAGTGCTTCAGTTTGGAAAATCTCTTGGAAAAATGGAACATAAATGGCACACAACTGGCCCAAAAGGGATCCTCCAACTGCATAGTTGAACATCGTGTTTGACAAGCCCATTTCAAATACAGATTTGTTGTTTGAGCGACAAGCAAGTGCATTGAACATGTCAAATAACACAAAACAAGTGAAGGTCATCGTAGTATCTCTTCGTGTAATCGAGTCACCCATTTCTCTAACATAAACAAACATAGTACCGATGATAACGAACACCGCACTTTGCAAAACACGTTTTATGACTTGCAGGGTAAGGACGTTATCATTTCTCTTTCTAGGTGGTTTATTCATAACCTCTTCATCGACCGGCTCGACACCCAAAGATTGGGCAGGAGGTCCATCCATGATGATATTAATCCATAGAATTTGCATTGCGTTGAGAGGGTTCGGCAAGTTGAAAAGAGTAGCAAGCGCAACTAACGAGAGAGCTGCAACCGAAGTAGAAAGCTGGAACGTTAAAAAGCTTTGAATATTGTTGAAAATACCTTTACCTTCTTTAATAGCCTGTAAAATAGTACTAAAGTCGTCGTCAGTTAACACCATGTCTGCCGCTTCTTTGGCAACATCAGTACCGTTCAACCCCATGGCAATACCGATATCCGCTAGCTTTAGGGCAGGGGCATCATTAACACCATCACCAGTCATCGCAACAATGTCACCTCTCATTTGAAGAGCCTTCACAATTTTGAGCTTATGTTCCGGGTTAGTTCTGGCAAAAATAGTGACGTTTTGGATGGCATCCGCAAGCTCAATTTCGTTCATTTGATCTAGTTTGTCCCCCGTTAATATACAGTTTGGACTGGTTGGCATGCCTGCTTGATTTGCTATGTTTAAAGCTGTTTTTTCCGAATCCCCTGTGATCATGATCACATGAACACCACCTCTATACAACAACTGGATGGAGGACCTAATCTGTGGCCTTGGTGGATCATTCATACCCATCAAACCACAAAAAATCATATCCTTTGGTTCGTCGTCAAATGATTTACTGGACTTGGCAAAGGCTAAGACTCTTAAACCATCATCTGCAAATAAATTTGCCGCTTCAGTTATCATATTATTCATTTCTGGAGTCAACTTGATAACATCACCATTCTTATTGTAATAACTTTTGCATAGCGATAAGATTTTCTCTGTTGCACCCTTGGCATAAGTATCCGTAGCCTTTCCGTCCCCGCATGAAACAGCCATATATTTTCTAGATGAAGCAAATGGTAATTCGTTGATTCTAGGAACACTATCTCTTACATCATAAAGGCCGAACTTCTTTAGCGACTCAATAATGGCAATATCCGTAGGGTTTCCTTGAAACCTTTCTTTTTCAACTGAGTACTTTGAATTATTACAGAGACAACCGGTGTTTAACAAGATCTTTACATCATTTGGGATGTCTGTAATAATGGCACGATTATATGAGTAGTTCAGGTCTGACTCCTCAAATACGATTGGTTTGGATTCCATTGCAATAGTCCAAATTCTGTTGACAGTCATGTGATTCTGAGTCAATGTACCGGTCTTGTCAGAGCAAATGACGTTGACAGAACCCAACGTTTCAACCGAAGGTAATCTCTTGACAATCGCCTTTTCCTTGGCCATTCTCAAAACACCCAAGGCAAGAGTGACTGTGACAATTATCGGTAAACCTTCCGGAATAGCAGCAACTGCCAAAGAAACAGAGACCTGAAACACATCAAGCCACGATCTACCCTGGATGACACCAATCAAACCAATCACACCAATAACAGCAAAACTAAAAACGGATAACTGACCACCTAATTTGTCCATTGCATTTTGAAGTGGCGTTTTAGGTTTTTCAATACTCGACATCATGTCAAACACAGAACCGAACGCAGTTTCCTTCGATGTTGCAACAACAATACCAGAACCATGGCCTTCCCTGACCAAGGTACCCATGAATGCGATGTTGGAACGCTCACTGATGGATGTGTTTGGGTTTGTAACTTTCTCGGTATTCTTCTGAGCAGGTTTTGTCTCCCCTGTCAAATTACTTTCGTCTATTGTGAGGTGCACGGCTTCCGTTAAACGGACATCTGCGGGGATCCGGTCACCCACACTGAAATGGATCAAATCCCCAGGCACCAAGTGATTCGCCAAAACAGTTTCTGTCGAATTGTTACGTGTTAAATGTGTCATTTCTGGAACTAATTTATTCAATGCCTGGAGAGACTTTTCTGATCTGTATTCCTGGACAAAACCGACGGTAACGACAATGAGAATTGCTGCAGAGATAGAGACTGCATCGTCAATGTTTCCCATGACAAAAGAAATGACTGCAGATCCAATGAGAAGCATGATCATCGGATCAGAGTAAAATGTTTCAAGAAACTTCCAGAGCAATGATTCCTCGTCCTCTGAATCTAACTCGTTGGTACCATGGATGGAACGACGCGTGGATATGTCTTGCGGATTGGATAAGCCCGTCTTGATATCCGTGTCAAGTTGATCAACTAGATCCTCAACGGACATCGTACAGTACTTAGATGACAGAGAGACTCTCATCTTCTCCGTCGATGATGCAGAGGTCAAGATGCTTTTCTCCTTATCCAAGTAAGAGGAAGCATCGAACTCCTCAGTAGACGCAGAGCTAGCCCCATTGAGAGAGGTGGAGTACGGGTTGTCTGACATTTCCATATGCACTACCGTAAAAGTGTTGCTTTTGTTCTATAAGCAATTGCTGCTGTGATACCGATCAATTAGATCGTCGAACAATAAAAACAATAGAGATCGAAAAGTAACAAGTAAAAAGGGCTCTGAGTAACAGTACCTAGCCCAGTAAACACAAAAGCCGGAGTCTCTTATCCAAAGAAGTGTCTGTGATTCGTTTGAAAACTCACGAACGGCAGTTCTTTCGTGTGCAGGCCCGTGTAAGATTCTCCTCCCTAACACGCTCAACAAGCCCCTCCAGCCAGCTTAAACACAATGTACGAACAGAACAATCGTCCGGATTAAGCTCCGTGTCACGTTTCTGAAAATTTTCGCACCACCTGGAACGCCAGGCGACTGCCCGTCTTGACTAATGGACGGAGCAGGAAGAGGGCAGGGATGCAACAGATAGGGCAGGGGGCGGCAGCGTGATGGGCACCGACAGATCGTCGAATGCAGGTAGATGGAAGAACTTGCGGCGGAGTAACTTACGGTAAAACCAGAGATGTATGTATATATATAAAAGTTACGAAGATGGCCCTTGCGTTTACGGTCCGTCCGCCACGCCCACCTTCTGCAAGGCCCGGATCATGGCGTCCTTGCGTCTCATAGTCTGTTTGAGTTCGGCAATCTCTTCTTGCAACTCCTCGAGCAGCTCATCCTTGGCATGGTCGGCACGCTTTAGCGCCGAGATGTTAAGAGTGGCCACAGTGTTCAGAACCGTGCTACTACTGTCTAGCTGCTCTTGCTGCTGTAATTGTCTGTATCTCGCTAACTCGATTTCGGATACACGAATACGGTTTTCAAGATGCGCCACGTATGATTCTGTTTCGTTGAACCTACTGTTGTACTCTCGTAGTTCTATTTCCATGATACCAAATATTTCTTTGCTTTTTTTTCTTGTGCCCGGATCGAGATCCAATCCATCCAGCAGATCGTTGAGCTTACCAAGTTCTTCATTGCAATGTTGTGACCGTCTGATGTTATCTTCAAGTTGAAGCCTCTTCAGATGTTCGACTTGCTCGTTCAGTATGTTGTTCTCAGCCACAAGCTCATAATATAGGTCGTCGTTTTCAACGCACATACTGGTCTTGTTGTTCATGCTGGCGATCCCACCCGCTGAATTGTTGTTGCTTATCTGTAGAAGACTTCTCAGTTCCGCTATTTCCAACTTCAAATTTTCATTTTCCTGCATTAGCTTTCCGAGATCATTATCTGCAGTGTTTTGTTTCACGTTCAAAACAACATTTCTGGCTCGGAATCCAAATCTTAAGGTGTTTGTCGTTTCACCAATAACATTCAGGCCCAATTGGATCGTACATAAAATAGACACCATTGATCCACCACTGAGTGAGGGCTGCAATATTCTGGTCAATTTTGAATCCCTATATGGCACATGGACATTAGCAGAGCTGCCCACATTTTCAGAGAGTTTGGTGATTACGGTTCCCAAGGCTAATAGAGATTTGTTGATATATCCACCTTCTTTCCTTCTGTCAGTATGAGATGTAGCACGCTCACTTCCAGCCAAATCACAAAAGTTCAAAGATGAAACAATCTCAGTTCCTTCATTATCTTCCATAAAAAGTTTCAGCATTATGATAAAATGAGAACGTGACGACCTGTAGTTATAGTCTGTACTGTCAGTGCATCTTAATAGCTCTCCCTGGTCAATTAAAGCAAGTAGCTGATCTGTGGATGTGACCCTAACTTCGCGTAGTCCACGAACACTAATACCAAACTTGTCGTCATCGACTATCCTCAAATCACTTGAAAGATTTGGGAATCTGGTATTTTTATTGTCCTCTGCCAACAAATCGTTCAACTTTTCATTGTAGATTTCCAAAATTGAGCAAGTCATGTAATTGATTTTCTTCTTTGTACAACTACTGGAGACAATTGTGTCATCATCGAAGACATTTTCATTTATCCAGCTGTTATCTTGATCCATCACATCACCTGCTGTACTCGATGTTAGGTTAGTCCTATCAAACTTATCAAACAAAAGTGACACTGAGTTTCTCACCACACCTCGCATAGAGTATGTTTTACCTGATCCAGTCATACCGTAGGCAAATATTGTACCATTGTATCCATCCAGGCATTGTTGAATAACCGGAGAACCGACCACATCAAACACACATTGATTATCGTCTTGCGTGGCGAAAACATGATCATATTGAAAAAATCCAAGATCAGGATGCTCAATCTGAGAGCTTGCGCAGTCTATATTCCACGGTGTGGGCATATTTCTACCATTCTGTTCAGCAGTAAGTGGACATGGCCTGACAGTGACTCGTATGCGAGAACTTTTACGCTGCGAGTTATTTTCTAGAGTACTTAGGGACAAAGGGGAGTCCGAGTAAATGGTGTTGCTTGGAATACGTGAGGAGCTTACTGAACTAGTTCCGATCGAAGATGAAGACCTTGATGTGCTCCTAGAAAGTGAGGTTCTTCTTTGTGGTGTACACGAAGAAATGCTGTTTAATCCCGAAGGTGTTGGAAAAGCAGAATTTCCTCTTGACAGTACCCTAGACGCTGCCCTCGATGCTGTTCTAGAGCCTGCTCTCGGAAGAGGATTCAAAGTAGAGTTGCTGGTTGTATAGGGATATGCGTTGTTGTTGTTTGGTACTGGTGGTTTATGAGCATCTTTTTGTAAGGTTAAGCGCTCTGAGACAGAACGCTGATTGTGTGTTGATGAGGGTCTTAACGCCGCAACATTGTTACCACTAGCGTTTCTGTAATGAGAGGTATTTCGTGTAGGCGTCTGCATGTTCTGTTGTAATATGCTTTTGCTGGACTTTCCATCGTTCTTGATTTGTTCTCTAGTCCTCCATTAGGTTCAATTCTTTTGTTTATGTTCTACTAGATCTAGCCATTTCAGGATCACTTCTCGCGGCTTTAAAAACAAGAAAAGTATTCTCAGACCGTGAAGCGTAATATGCCAAGAAGAAAATCACCTAGAGACAAAAAGGAATTATATCTTCATTTCGTGCTTTTTTTAGTAGTTGGCAGCAATTACTAACTACTACAGGGAAAATAGTGCTTTTGATTAGAAATGTAATATCTTTCGATTCTGAGGAATTATTCTTCATTAAACTTTACACAAACTACCTGGCCATATTTATGCAATTCCAATGCATTAGTATGTAAGATGTGCTTGCCACATTTCTGACAAGAAAGTATCCGCTAACGTCGCCATCAATTGCATCACTGTCAACAAAGCCAATGCTTATAGACTTCCCTTCGACAAGACTAAAGGTTGCGCTACTAACGAGGCCGACAACGTTGTGTAATTTTGGATACAATTTCTCTGCTTCTGCAACTGATCCTACCCGTACAGAATTTCCACGGATATTTGTGACAACACCTGATGCAGTTTCTTTCCAGAAATTTTCATACTTCTTGTTTACCTCGTAAATCCTGGCATTAGAGACAACATTCCCTTTGCCGACGCATGTGAGATATATTGGAGTGACTGCAAGTGCTGGAAGCTGCTTAATGTTGAAAGTTAATTTGCGGTGATCTATACCTGTCGTAATATTGGTTGCAAGTGTTATAGGCTTATATTGCAGCAACACAGAATGCAGGTTTTGCTTTTTTAGCTGTTGTTCTGCGGCTTGGATTGCCTTTACAGCAATCGGAAGGTCAGAGAGAGTTTGAGGAACAATGTTTAGTTTATCGTCTGTTACTATCCGATTGTTTTGTTTGTTTTTCATTCCCCCTAAGTTTCCTTCAAGCTTTAATTTTTTGGTAACTAGCCTTATAACCTGCAACCCTCTCCAATCAAGCCCAAAGGGTGATAGTGTTTCCCCGGAGCCCAGTCCATCAACTTTAAGTTTTGCGTACGTTACTCTTTTGGATTTCGGTTTCTTTTCCCACTTCCGCTCAGCTTGCTCTCTCTCTAGTTCACATTGAACGTAACCGTTGGTAGTGAAAACCATATCTGACCACCCTAATAGCTTACGCTCTAGTCTCAGTTGCTCAGATTGTTTGAAACCTCCAAACTGGACATGAGGCACATGCACAAGTGAATACCAGAATGGAACCACCCAAAACCAGGGTAACAAAATGGTCCACTGCTCATACGATTTGATTAGCATTACGCAAATAGATGCATCATTTTCTTTAATTGGAATAGCTTCTCCTGGGTGTAGATTGCGCCTCTTGCCTAGTTCTTTCAAACTCATTTGGTTGTCATAGGTTTGAGCACGAGACTCTGGGTTTAAAATATCATCGCTCAAGCTCTTTTTCTTCTTACTCTTTAAAGCGATCAAAATATCTAGTTGATCATCATAGTTGATCTTTGACTTTGCTGGAATCACTGGCTTTGTTTTAAATCTTGGATCGCAAACGTTAAAGGTGAAAATGGTATTTTCTGGAACGCTAGTAAGATCGTTTAGTTTATGAAGCTTCAAAAAGCTCTCAAACTGGGAATCGTTTTCTTGACGGCACTGCAAAATGGATTGTAATGCTGTGAGAGACTTAGGACCAGTGAGGTCAATTGAGCCTATGGAATACTTACAATCATGAATAGTAACCTCTTCAACGCCCTCCAAGTTTCCGACGAGTTGACTGAATACCGTAGAAAAGATTGACGGGTGTAATCTAGCCATAACTCTAAAGGTGTTTTGTAAAGAATTTTCTACGAAAACTAATGTCATCCTACCAATTGGATCACCAGAGTCATGTAAGTCATATACATAACCTTCCCAAGCGATTCCTTTGGAAAGACAGCTCTCGTATATTTTTACCTTATTTTTTGTGATGACCGAAATGTATTTTAAGACTTTTTCCATACTTCCCTTGCTGTACGCATTTATCACCAGTGAACCAATGTAAGAAGTATCAGAAACAACCGCTCCCTTTAGTCTCGAAGCTCTACTTGTGCTCCTGTAGCATCTTTGAGTCGGTTCTAAAGGGATTGTCCATTCCCACCTCTTCATCATTTTAGCACGTTTTGCATGCCATATATGGGTTGGTAACCATTTGAAGTTTTTCTGTCTTGTAGCATACTGAACAGATGTGAGTTTTCCAATTTTGCTCAACTTATTTACAGATGTATTATCATACGAACCCAACTGATTATGGATATTAAAAGCAAGCTTTTTAATTTTGGTCACATCATGTTTGACCCACTTGTGGGAATTTGAATTTTCGGCCTCCTCAGGGTCATGTTTTTCATCTAAAAGTTTCAAATCTTTTTTCAGAAGTTTCAGTTTTTTCCTTAAATTTATTTGCGAGACACTGATCCACTGAGAGTTAGGCAATCTCCCCTTTATTTTCCACTTAGCAGCATATTTGAGCAATTTCATTTTTCTAATGAGGGCCCATCTTTTTCGACCCCGCCCAATCTTCGGCTTGATTGGTTTTCCCATAACAGTAACACCTTTAGTACCCAAAGTCGTCGTAGCTGAACCGGCTTTTGACTGTAAACCCATCTCCCGCAAAGCCTTTCTTCTCATTCTCTTGGGTATTCTGCGCACATTGTGACTTGCTGTTCTTCTCCTCAATGTACGAGGCAATGTTTGGAAGACCCTTGAAGCACCGGAATTTTTGGATTTGATCATTGCCGAATCCAAGGCTCTTATTTCAAACTCCCTAGCCGATAGATAATCTGGAATACTGAGCTTATTTGGAATCATCGATCCATTGCTAAGCATCTTCCGTAATTGTTGTGCGGTAGTTCCACCTTTGGGAGGATTGGTAAAAGACTCATCTTGAATCTGTGTTCGTATTTGTCTGGAGTTGTAAAGCTTGGTTCGTTTAGATGTCGGATTATTGTTGGAAGCAGTATTTGAAGTTGTGTTATTTTTTCCGCCACCTGCCACACTTCCACCTGTTGACGGCTTCTTTGGTAGCGACTGCATTAGATAATGCCAGACAACACAGCGTTTACAAAGTGTAAATCTCGGAGATCTAATGGAGAGGTTACTTGCAAAAGAGTTTCATGGGAATAGAGTAAAAATATTTTATTATTATTATGATGAGATGAAATTTCAAAATAGTTACGTAATCCTATCTAGTATACAATGAAATGCTATGGGGTTAATTTGATTAATACTGTAGCTTATGCAATGGGATCCAGAGCTGGTGTTGTGTATGCCTTGGCTAAACCACGTTGTCTGAGTTTGACCATGGCAGAAATTTGGCTGACTTTGGTGTACTTGTTCTGAAGATACTTCAGTTTGTTTTTCAGCACTTCTTTGTCTTGCTCACTTTGGCGTAAAGAGGAGACCAGTTCGTCTTGGTGTTCCATTAGCTGTTGCAATTCTTTCTCCAAGTGCTGACTGAAACGATCATCCGTGATGCCAGGCTGCTTCTCTGTACCAAGCTGTTGCAGGAGCTTGTTTTCTAGCTCAGCTTTTGATTTGCTCAGCTCGTCGAGTTGACTTTGCAACAAGTTTATTTTATCTGTCCACGATTCTTCCTTCTTTTTCCAGTCTCGCAGCCACAAATCTTTGGCTTCTCCACCATCTTCACCTTTGTTTATATAATTTTCCGTTCCCGTGGTATCTGTAAATCCATCACTAGTACTTGCTGCATGGGTTTTGGGCTCTTTGTTGGGTTTCAATGCGGTCTTAAACCATTCCAGTTCACTTTCCAGAAATGCTATCTTTTCAATACATTCGTTATGTCGCTCGACCTCACATTTTAGTTGTGCTCTCACGTTTCTGATTGTTGACTCCAACAAGTCGTTGTCAGTCTCCAGTGCAGTGATTTGCATTTGCGTGGACTCAAGCTTATCAAGTTGCGTAGACATCTCTCGGATTGTGTTGTCCTTTTCTTCTAGTTGCTGTAGACAAGAGTTTAACTGCTGCTGCAACAAATCCTCCACCTGGGATGATTGCGTCGAAAAGTCTTGAAATCCTGACTCTAACTGGAGTATGTGAGATATTAGCTGATCTTTGGTTAAATTGCTGTAATTGCGTTGGCCTTTCATTGTTTCTCGACCTGCCATGTTTATACATTGACCTGGCGATCTTTGTAACTAGTCATAAAGTAAACTGAACAGAATTGCATCTGGAAGAAAAAACAACGAGACACTCCGATAAACTTCTGATATGACATGTACCGTTTATCTTACACCCACAATACCAACTCTTGGATCCTCGAATATTTAGTGTCTCTGTATCTATTGACAAACTTCCCAAAGCAGTAATGTTCATCATCTTTCTTTCGCTCACGACACTTGCATAGTCGCGGCACGACTCTCCAACACGTCGCACAATTTCTGCTTTTGGAACTTTTCCTCTTTCTCAATTAATTTTTCAAAAACATTTCACTTCAATTTATTTTCGCATTTCTCATATTTTTTCAAGATTTTGTCGAAAACTTTTTTTCATTCGCAGAAATATATTTTTTGCGAAACGGTTCACGAATTAGAAACTAGTACGTCCAGAGGTGTTCAGCTCGACCTCCAGAAGGCCCTTGCTAGAACAACAAGAACAGTCATTCAAAAGTATTGCAAGGTGGAGCGAGTTTTGCCGGCAAACGAAAACCACCAGGAAAAAAAACTACAATTGGAACCGCTTCCTCGAACCGAACTTCGAACTCACCAACGAAATCCATATAGAGAGGGATACCTTGAATCCTCAGGCAGACATTTTATCATCACATAACCTAGAGGTTTCTAGTGTTAGCACCTGCAAGTATTTGAATACCACCTATTACACTGGTGGTTTGAAAATAACTACCGGAACTTGAAGAAGCCAACATGAATTCCTCCACAAGTATTTCGTCAATCAATAATAACAACACCCCGCACCATATACAGCAACACTCGCAATCAATATCACCGAATGAGATAGAGTCAAATGCAAATCACATGAGCAACGGGAATTCAAATAAGAATATTGATATATCCGGATATGTTGAAACTTACCATTCTCCACATTCACCCCACTCCCCACATTCACCATCGCATTATTCGAATGGCATTGCCAGCCCATCCAGCAGTATAAGTATAAATAACGAGAATTATTGCAATCCAAATACTCCGGCAGTTGCAGCCAGCAACGGTAATATTCAGTTCAAGCATTACACTGTTAGAAATCCCCCAGGAATTCAACAACAATCTGAACTTGGAGATCATGACCGACACAAACATCTCGAGGCTCTTGCTGCCCATCCTGTTTTAGTCCACAGAAACAACACACATTACCCAACTCCAAATAATACCCCTATTCCACCGAACACAACCAACAGTAGCAATGTCCCAGCCAGCAACAATAATAGTCCTTTGAGTAGTACCCAAATGGGAGCAAAAGCTACTGGCGTGACTACGAATAAAACTGCTCCTTCAAATCATGATACCAGTAACAACTCGAGGAGATCGTCACTTGCTGGTGCTAAAGATTCCAAACTACATCTCCAGAACGATAAATTTCCCGTCAGCATTGCTAGAGACGCCAATGGATACCCGATATTATCGAGAGAGTTTGTTGTTCGACGAATCAGCGAAGGTGAAACAGGACGCTTGAAGGAAGAGCTCAAATGTGAAGCATGTGGAAAAGGATATAAGCATATCACTTCACTTGCGAAACATCTGTGGGAACACACAGCTGAATGGCAGAGCACGAAGAAGTTGTTAATCAGCAAACATCAACAGGCACAACTTCTTGAGGCAGCAAGCATTCTATGCAGTCTTGGAGATAAGACGACGCTTTCATCCAACGGTTCCTCATCTTCCTCTCCTTTGAACAGCACCCCACCACTTACCGCAAACACAGCTACCAACGACCTCAAGTTTGAAGCCAACACCCACAGCAAATTGTACCAACTGAATCATCACAACATTCCCACGGCAAGAAGAAAGAGTAAGAGTGAGAACACAAAAGCCGGAAAATTTGGTGGTAAAAGAAGAAGCAAGAGTTTTGCGTTGTCGTCGTCTTCCCTCCCGGCCAGTATGACAATATCGAGTGGCAATAGCAACGGTGCTATTTCTAGCAGTCATAAACATCATCAACGGGTGGTGAGCGGTAACGACCATATAATACCCGACTTGGAAAATATCAATATGTCCACGAAGAACCCTGTCGCTGCTGATACTCTAAGTTCCAATGCCACCACCTGCACTAGAAACAACCAACCTTCAGGTCTGAGGTACGGGCCGTCGGGCCTCCTCAGCTCGGTCAGACGAGAGAGCGAATCTGCACAACCTCCTATCGGCTTGCGTAGGCCAAGCATGCACCTCAGTCCTAGCATGAGCGTTAGTGCCTCCCGCCGGGGGTCTCTACTCGGCAGCTTGATCAAGGAGGAGTCCAACGACGCCGAGAACTCGCTTGTGATCTACGACTCCGAGGAAGAAGACTGATCGACTGCGCAGTCGAATATCGCATGCATGTGGATGTACGGATCCGGATGTCTAAATGCGTGAGTCTTGACTAGTGTATAATATAGTATAGAGTATATAATAGAGAGCAGAAGGTGCGATTGCAAACCAACCCAGGCCTCGCTAGTTTTCCCTCCATTGATGCGAGCACTTTGTGCACTTGTAGAAGGTGGTCATCGGTTCGTCCGCAGAACGGATCTGCAACTGGAAAAAGTAGGCCCGGTCGTTTCCACAAGCCTCTCGCGGACATTGCGCCATTGTCTGGTCAACATTATCCCACGATCCTGCCCCTCCCAGCACGTCGTCAATCTCCTTCTGGGGTAACACCTTCCTTTCGAACATCTGCAACCCCATTATCGGGAATTCGTACGGACAGGTCGGGCACGTGAATGCGTTCGAGCCGCTCTCCTCTGACCGTGCAATAATCAGCATGTTCGAGCAGTACGGACAAAACGTCAACATGGCCTTCGCTGCTCCCTTACCTGGTCTGAGTCCCGCTCAAGACCTTTCCAGAGAGAAGCCAGAGTTGATGGAAAGATCAACTTTTCAGATAGATACGGAAAAAAAGCCAAAAAATAAAAAAATATTAAAAAGTTTCACCCGAGCACGTGACGGCAGAAATGCACGTGTCACTAAGAGCTCAGCTCTTTCCAACTACGCTCTGCCTGCTTTCCGGCTGAGAACATGATTCGGCTCCTGGTGAGGAGTCTACGGGTGCGGGTGTTGTACCGGAAAGCTCAGAAGACAAGGGGCACACGGCACACGGTTTTGCCGACATGTTGAGCTTGTACTGTAACCAGGATCCGATTTTTCTAACGTCTTTGCTTTGTTTAGGCTGAAGATTTTCTGTGGCTCCTACGCATCCCCACTGTTTTTTCTCCGCTTCAGGGGCTACTGCTTGAAACTGCGATAACCGCTGGTAGTGAGTGAGAGTGCGTCTGCATCGGCTGTACGACAACAACCATTATTGCAAGGCCAGGTCCTGTACAGAGAGACCCATCCAGACATCAGCAGAGAAGCAGAATACACGAAATAAAACGCTATGCCTGCCGGGAATGTATCTGTGAGCAAGCAAGGGAAGGGCGGCGCCGAAGTGGGACACCAGGACGATAAGGGCCTGTACATGGACAGCGAAGGCGGTCAGGCCCCGAAACACGGAGCCGGCGTTTTTGCAAAGCCGGAGGCTCTGGGGAACGCCGAGACCAACAACTCGCCCTACATGATGAATGCTCCTTCCAAGTCGCCAACGCATCTGCACACGCAGCCTCAGCCGCAGAGTATGAACAACCATAACCACAACCACAATTTGAATCATAATAGCGATGGGCATGGACACGGACGTGGAAACAGCGTGATTACGCCGTCTGCTCTTCCGTTTGACTTATCGAACTGGGAAGACGCTCCGGACCTCAACTTCTTGTTGGATTCGCAAAACGCATCCGTTGAGTCTCCTAACCTCTCCAGTGCATTGTCGCCAATGAACAATATAAATACCCCCCACAATGCCGCTCTCGGCTCGTTTAATGGGCTCAGCCAACTCAATAATCTGAACTTCAGAGGCCTTGCCTCTAAACAAGCCAACGAGACCATGGCTAATCTGCCCTCCAACCCGAACTCCGGATCCTCCCAGAATGCAGCAACAGGCCGAAATCCAAGCACCAATCAAACGTCTTCGACTCCAGTCGATTACGCCATGCAGTTGCAGCACTACCAGAACTTGCTTTTGGAGACACAGAGCCTACTGAACATGAAACAACTTCAGCAGAAATCCCCAGCCTCCATGGATCAGTCTAGTACATTCAGCAAGGCCCACAACACATTGCAGCAGACTTTACAGCAACACCAGAAACACCAGGACCAACATTCATCCCAAGCATCAACACAGGCCCAAGGACAAAGTAAAGGCCAGGGTCAAAACCAAAGTCAAAGCCAAAAACATAATGCTGCTGCATTGCTCTCTGCAAATCAGCTAGATCCAAATAACTTTCAGAACTTTGTACCCAATTTTAATGCAAACTCACAGGCACTACTACAGCAACAGATCTTACAGCTGGCACAAATGTCAAATAACAAACTATTCAGTGCACCATTCAACCCCTCTCTTGCTGCCGCAGCAGCAGCGGCAGGCCTGCCGACCGGTATGCAAAATGTGCCAGTTTCTTCTCTGCCTCAAGAAAGTATGGCTTTACCGTCATATTTGACAAATTCATTAATAGCATTATCAACTCCGGCAATACCAGTGCCTTCACCATTATCTCAAAACGCAACAGGCTTGCCAAGTAATGAAATTAACAACAACAATAACATATCGAACCTTTCGATTAATCCAGCCACTGGAAAGCCAACAAGTAGTACTATCAGCAGCTCCCCGACTGAGTTCTTGAAACGAAAAGCTGATATGCCTCAACCTCGCACAAAGGTGCGGCCTTGTGACCATTGCCGTCGAAGGAAAACCAAATGTGTCATGTTTGCTGAGCTTCATTCTTGCAAGGCGTGTCAGCAAAAGGGTATAAAATGCACGTTCAATGAAGCATCAACTATCAAGCGTTCAATGTCGTCGTCCGATCAAGACAACAAGAGAATGAAATTTGAAGATCCAACTATCGAACCTCCACCTAATATCCCGGTTCGAGACACCCACCCAATCAAAGACTATTCAACAATGCAGGGACACTCGTTGTTGAAGAAAACTTTGAGTCTACAGTTTCCGAGGTCTTCATTCTATGTGGGTCCAACCTCAATTTATGACCCATTGTTCCTTGATGAGATCTCGCTGGATAAAATAGATCAATTTCAGATCAATAAATCTAACTCTATAAGAAAGGTGGCTAACTCGATTCAATTTTTACTTCGTGATGATTTCAGTGAATTGTTGTACGAACAATCAGAACGCGAATCAGACACTGTTGAAAAATATGTTGCCCCCAACGGCCACATTTTGATCGACCTTTATTTTAGGACAGTTCATCCATCGTTTCCAGTTCTACATAAGAAAATATTCTTAGAGAAGTATGCTCGTACTCATCGTGAATTTGGGGCCTCCATTCTTGCGGCTGTGTACATTTTAGCTATCCAATGGTGGGATTATGAACCACGTTTGGCAAACCTGCCAAAGCCTGATGTCACTTCTCTATTACGATTTGCAATGCGTACTTTCATCGATGTCACAAGAAGGCCTAAGTTGAGTGGAGTCCAGGCTGGTTTACTTTTGTTGCAGTGTCAATCATTAAATGTCAGCCCAGCCAACAACACTGCAAATGAATTGGGCAGCGAAAAGGTATCCGTTAAGTCAGAGGATAAAGAAAAAATCAAGGCCAAGGGTAAGAATAAAGCTCTTGAGAAAGAGATCGAAAATCAAATACAGATGTCACAGCAAAATAACTGGTTGTTATGTACACAAGTTGTTGGCCTAGCTGAAGAGTTAGGTTTGGGGTTGGATTGTTCCACATGGAGGTTGCCTAAATGGGAAAGAGGTCTTCGTCGTAGGCTTGCGTGGGCAGTCTACATTCAGGATAAGTGGTCTTCTTTGGTTGAATCCAGACCCTCTCATATTCAAGAAAACACCAATTGGATAGTTAAGCCTTTGACTGATGAAGACTTTCCAGAAAGAAATTCTAGCTTTAATGAATCTGTGGAAAAGGGTAACGATGGCGAGCAAGCAACTGAAGGTTATACATATGTTGATGTTGAACTTGGTAAAGAGTCTTTCAAACAGACAGTTTCGCTCTCTTTAATATTGAGTGAGATTCAGTTTACTTTATATACTCCTCGTGCAATGGAAGACATTAAACAAATTGATGAACTTTTAAAATTGGCTAAGCCACTGCAGTTGAAATTAAGACAATGGTATCACTCTTTGCCAAAAACGCTTCAAATGGGTTCAACCAGCCCTAAACAATTCAATGCTAATGGAAATCTTCAGCTTTCATATTTTGCAACAGAGATAACGCTACACAGACGAATCATCTCTATTCTGTATAATCAGATGTTGATGTCTCAAAATAGCCAAGGAAATTCCGATTCTCAGTCACCTAACAGTCCAGTATTATCCTCAAGTGCAGCAGAATCTAATTCTTCGACAACAAACGGTGGCTCGACAAATATTCCTGCTCCACCTGCACAGTTAGTTTTTGTTTGCCGTAATGCAGCTAAAACTCGTTTAACTGCTTCCATTGAGTTTGTTAGAGAATTAAGAACCGAACATTTGCACTCTTTTTGGCATAGCAGCGCTCCCCGAAACTTTGCTCTGATTGGTATATTTGCTGCTCTGCTCTATGTTACAAGCTCAGATGCCGACGAAGCTTCAGCCTACCGTGAGTATATAATGGACTACAGATGGATCCTCAAATTGAATTCACCTGATTTTGTCATTGCGAAAAATGCTTTGGAGTTGATTGATGGAGTAGTAAGGAATATTCCAGGGTTATGGAATGAGTATGACGGTGTAAGTATTGACCATATGAGCAATATTGGTGGTCCGGGTGGCGATAGTGGTGGGCTTGATCCGAACATGTCCTCCACTCTGAACAACTCGGAAGACCCTAACAACGACCATACTAGAACTAATAGTAGCAGACCTAAAAACACTGATTCTAAGGGAAATAAAAGCAACAGTAACGGAAATGGTGTATCAGATGCAGAGATCAACACATCTAACTCTGCATTCAAAGCAAGCCAGGCCAGTTTGGTTGCGGTTAGTAATAATACCAGTATCAATAATGCAACAAAGGGCCCCGCTAGTTACAATTACGATTTGTCCACTGCTATTAGCCCTAGAACTATTATAAGTCCAACGCGAAGTAACAGTGACGTTTCTAAGGTAAGAGGATACAAAAACAAAACATCTAACTCAAACACCCCAGTTAGTGCATCATTTCCTCCGTCACCCTTACAAAATGGAAACACTGAAAATAAAAATGCGAAACTCATTTCTAGATCCAAATCTAAGTCTCCCATTCTGCTGATGAGCCAACAAAGGGTTTCAAACTCTTCTGGCACCCCGGTTTTGAGCAACACTGAAATTTCCTCAAGCAATGTTCTTCAAACACCAACAGCTACTGATACCTCTACCCCAACTTTGATGTCGCAAACTCGGATTTCAACTCCTACACGTAGTACTGCCTCATTTTCACAACAGACACGCAATTCTGGAAATACAGATTCAGCATCCATTGATGGCAGAAGTGATATCAATGAGGATAAGGCAATGTCAAAGGATGATGAAGAGAGTACCAGTGCAGACGGCAACGTGGAGGAGAACAACCAAGCAGTTAAAAAAAAAGTAGAAAAACTTTTCAAATATGATGGTCAGCAAAGCATACTAAACATGACTACAGCACTTGGTATTACTAAGGATAATAATGGCGGGATGGGACCTATTGGTAAGTTGAAGCCAGTAAGCTACAATGGGAGCATGAATTTTGAAGGTACAAATAAAAAAGCATCACCCGAAGCAGTAAAAAGAGGTGAGCAGCAGACAGGAATGAGTCTTGACATGCTCAATCATGTTCAAAAATTACTAGGTTTGGGTAATGAGAATGGAACCCACTGAGCTTCGTTGCTGCACTGATGCATCATAGTAATGTATAGTTGATCATGAATATGATATGTCAAATCTAAACATGTACAATAAATTTAGTATTAGTATTTTTTCACGATATTCTGTAAATATATTTGAAACTAATTCACTAAAATAAGTTGGATATCATTGATACACATATAAAGCATTTTATCTATATGTCAGATTTTAGATAAATATTGTAATCATATCTTTTTTTGAAGATACTTTGCAAGCTTATGAAACATTCTACCTCTAAGTATATTTTATGCACCAAGAAGCAAAAAGATCACAAGCAGATGCTCGATATTACACGGTTAAGATACATACTCTTAAATAAAATTAGCAAAGTCGTATTAAGTTAAATGATTAGGATACAATGTGATTCTTTAGTTCACGGGAGTTATGTAGGACAGACAGTTGAGGTCAATTAGGAAATGGCTTACTGAACACTCCAGAGGTTCTGTGCTGTTCTTCTTTATCGTGTGGTCCTTCGGAATCTGCCAAAGTTCTCAGTAAAGAGTTGTTGATGTTACCTTGGGACAACTCTTGTTCTCTTTCTTTACTTCCTAAATTTGCCCTATCGCGTTCGGTGTCACGTTTTGTTTCTCTTTCTCTACTTCTACTCCCCAAGTAGCTTTCGTCAAGAGAACTGTCCCAGTTTTGGTTATCGGGATCATTATTCACAGCTTCCAAATCAAGCTTACCCCGTGATCCTGCTTCCATTATATTTGGGTGCTGGATAATTCCATAGTTGGCACCTTGTCCGATATCTTTGATGTCTTCTGCAACCAAATGGATAGTAGTTGGATCTCTTCTAAGCATGGTGAAGGCCTTAACCGCTTAGTCTATTCTTGTATCCAACGGATGGACAAGATACCCGTTACTGCCAGTATGCACGTCGATCTGTTGATGCTGTTACCTCATAGTCCGTGCCTTCGCTAAACAAATTTTCAAAATCATTCCCGTTCATGTTGGAGTTTTTGGGCATACATGTAAATTTTCGTCACCGTAGTTTCTACGGTCTCTCTTTGTATCGAGATCTTCTAAGAAGTAGGTAGCAGCTAATATAAACCTTTACAGAATATGTTTCTGATCATACTTGTGGTGATGGTAGTGATGGTCGCTATCACTATTATGCTACCACAACTTTCGGGTCTCGCAACATACACGAACAATCCTGACTATATCGCAAAACAAAGAGAAAGAAAGGAAGCAAAGAACAAGTCAAGACCCTCACAGAAATTTTCAGGACAACAGCAGCAGAATGCGTTCACTTATGCAGCCCCAGATGCAGACATCGAGGGTGACGACCAGGCTGTATCGAGCAAATCCTCTGCATTCAAAGGCGTGCGTTCAACTCTCAACAAGCTGGCTCACCCTCAACTTACAGAGTCTGATATACCCATAAAACTTGAGCTTGTCGGAGAAAGTGAATTGAAAAGACGTGCGAGACGCAGAGAAGATGAGCCTAAGAAAGTCAACACAGATCCTAACAGTTTTGATTACGACATTGACGAGTTCATAGACGAAGAAAACAGGAAAGAAGCGTTTGAGTCTCAGCAAGATGCTCAAAGAAAGTACGGAACATCTGATGTGTAATATTCTAAGAATTTTGATTACAAATGTAGTATATAATGATATTGATTTTTTTATTTAATATCAACAGAGGGAAAGTGACCTCAGATGGTCAGGCTTAATGTTGAGGAAACCAAGTCGCTTTTCAACCCTAGAGGTTAGCTTGAGTGTTGATTAAATGTTCTTGTGAATCATCTTCATCAACTTCCACTTTGATTTTCTCTTTCTCGGAGGATCCTGGGGAATTTATCATGTCATCCATTTGTTCGCTATTACCTAAACTACTAGCATCCTCAGAAATTTCATCTCTCTCCTCCCCCTCGTCAGAACTTTCATCACTATCACTACTATTGTCAGAAAACTCACAAACAGTATCATTGTCTAAGATCTCGTAAAACAACATGAATGTCCCCTGACTTCCAAGAACTTCTTCTTGCGTACTCAATCTAACAATCTCATCACTTAAATGCCACCAATTACCTCTATGCTTTCTATATGCAATATAATGTCCATAGTTATGTGTACCAAAATGAGAAATGACACTCTTTAGTTCATATTTCAATGTGTTACTTCTGTCTATCTTCTTTGTTTCTTCGTCCTGTTTCCGGAATTCAAGTCTAGCATCCGTATTTATGTCATCAACAGATGCAACAAAGTCGCTCATATCTAACTCAAGAGGAAAATCAATCTTGGCGTTGTTCTTCCGGACCATGTATGTCCTTGGGTCAAAAACGCTTCGGTTCACATGAATGCATAATAATGCTGGTGGTCGAGATAGATAACTTTGTTTCACCTTTCGGCTTTTTCTCACCATATTTTTCGTATGAAGTTTCTCATAAACATCATCGTGTATACATCTCTTGCTCAAAACTTCATCTATTTCGGTGAGACGGGATTCAATTTTTTCCTTCAACAGCTTTGCACCAGCCATTCCTGTCTCATTTTGTTCAAGATTTTGCAATCTTTCGGCAAGATTTTCCCTCACAGCTACTAGACTGCATCTATTACATTCCACACCATCAATGACATCTGGTTTACAGAATTCACTAACCAATTCTCCAAGAGTAAATCTATTTCTGGTCGCCCCATCCATTGGCAAGTTCAGTGCAAGACCACTAGTAACAGAGTATCTTATACCACCCATTTCACCACATTCGACACATCCGATACGGTCGCACTGCAAACCATCAACAGGTGTCAACAATTTGTAGGGAAGGTAATTTTTTTCATTTTCAGAGTCGGCAGGGTCTATCTGTGAGACTGGAACATACACATTACCCAAATATCCAAGAGAATCTAAACCTGTGATTGCATTTTCAGGTAACGGAACGTAGTTTTCAGAGACTTTCTTTTTATTCTTTTGATCAGAAGTTTCCATGTCATTTGACTCGATAAAATCGTCTCCTGTTACAACATCGATGTTCTGCGACTTTGCTAAGTCAGTACATTCTTTCTCCACTTGTTTCATCAAATTTTGGTAGAATTCCTGAGCATCCTCTTGGTTATATCCTAAAAACAAGTGTTTGTTGGGAGAGTCCTTCATTACGCGGAGTAAATCTTTTGTTTTGTATGTAGGTGCTCTATTTCCATGTTTTGAATTCAACGAATCTATCAGTTCGAGAAGTGCAGCAGAAAACTGGACGTGCTTCAACTGGTCGTTAATCGACAAGTCACCGTCTGATTTCAATGATTTGAAAAAGTTGTTGAATTTTTTGGCCTTGTTGAGACCACGAGGTTTGCTCACTTCCGCTACAATATCACTGTTCTTTTCTTGACTATCATCAGTTTCGTCTTCAGCTGCTTTCTGTGTTGCAAAAGCAGCAAGAAAAGCTCTTAGTTCATTAGAACTTGCAAGGCACTGGATGACGGAGTTCATGAAACATGTGTTACCATCATTGGCCAAACCACCGGGGAATCCTCCAGTTTTGACAGCCCTTTTATATAATTTCTTAAACTCGGGGTTATTCTGGAACCCGTATCTGTTATCGGCACCACCATAGCCGCCGTTGTTGTTGCTGCTGCCCTGCATGAACATGCTAGGTAGGGACAATGCGTCACTGAATTTGTTCATTATTTGCTGTACGGTTGAAGGGCCCTTCTTGTGGTTCTTTTCTGTTCTCGTAAGTAGATCAATAAGTATGTAGGTTCCAAGGATAGCCACTATTGAGTAAAGCACTGATTTCCCGGAGTTGAAATTGTCCAATGTCAACGTTGAATGTAAGTGAGAGTATTTGTTGGAGATGAATGAAAGTAACAAGCTGGAAGGATTAGCAATATGTGTATCTGAGTCTTGTTGCAACGCAGACAATGCTGACATAGATCTATAATGGGGCTACGATTAATCCACCTGATTTTTTTGCCTTTACTTTTTCAACTGAAAACACCTGGAAACGGCCCTTTTCCTTCATTGCTCTCTCTATGTCTCTTTTTTTATCTTTCTTTTTTCAACAATGTTCGTCTCCGCAGAACTGAGTGGGAAATAGGATAAAACGAGAAAATATTGGTTTTGTTACTGCTGACGTAATTCCCATCTTTGATTGGCGGAATATGGTTTATTTTGGTACATAATCTTTGATACAACGTTTATTACACGAATCTTCATATACAAAAAAAGCATGTTACAATTCTGTTCTGCTAAGTTTAGGTTACTCTGCTACTGTTCCTTTCTGGGTCTTCCCCTCTTCTGTCGGCTCTTAGCCGCCTTCTCTTCGCCTTTTGTAAACACCGGTTCATTTGCTTTCATCAGGGCTATGGCGTTCTCCATGGCAAATTTGACACCTTGATTTTCCCAGTCTTCGCCACTGCCTTCTCCAATGCACTCGACAACGTAGGGTCGGATACATTCCTTCCCATTATCTGTCCAAAAGTGTCTTCGCAAAGCATCTGTACGTGCAAACCGCTTGTTGCACCCCCATTCTGTTAATTTCCCATTGTCATTCAAGCCTTCAAGTGTACCCCTACATTGAAACTTTTTTTCTCCGCTGTGCAAGTCCTCATGTCTTTTACGATCATGCTGTCTTGCAAATCTCTTGCCACACTTCCGACAGGCATACGGACGTTCGTTCGTATGTGTTCTCAAGTGCGACTTGAGGTTGTAAGGTCTGGTGAAGTCCTTACCACAGATATCACAAACATACTTTCTTTCTTCATCATCATTTTCGCCTCCCTCTTCCTCTCCTAAGTCGGACGATAAGTAGCCATCATTGTCCAACGTCGTTGGTACTCTAGCAGGTGACAAAATAGGAGAATTCTCCCACTCACTGTTCGAAGCGTCAGACTGAATGCTCAAACGAGAAGAGCTGGATGGTGATCGATTGGGTATATTTAAATCAAGAGGGTTTGCATCTCCCGTGTTCACTGTTAGCCTCGATCTAGACGTCGACCTTGATCTGGAAGAGACGGAACTGGATCTCGACTCGGAATGGAGTCGCTGGCGCCCTAGTCTCATCTGCTCTTGTGAATCTGGAACGGTGAGTAGAGGTCCCTGATATATTTCATCGGTTGAGTTTTGCGAAGAGATCGGGTTGGAGCCCACGCCCAAAGACGGTGTAAAATTACGATAGAATTGAGGAGTGCTGATGGGGGAACCGCTTTCGTCAAACTTTTCGGCCTTCTCGTTGGGCAAAGGCACCAAGTTTGAGATTGCATCATCTAATTGGTTTGGACTCAGCCCAAAGAAATCTGTATCTTCTATCTTGATTTCGGGGCCAAGAGCCACCGGCTGGACGGCGGGTTTCCTGTTCGCTTCGAAGCCTGGGGTGAAGTATTTTGGGTTTTTAACCATATTTGAAAACATCGACGCTGAGTACAAGTCCTTGTTAGTTTCCAAAGTAGCCGACTTTGACACTGGCGACAGCGATATCTGGTTTGTGTCACTGTTTGTGTGGTTGGAAAACAAGCTAGGAACTCTGTTGGATCCTCCTTCGACGATTGTGTTGAAGAAGTCCAGATAATGCGTCGAGTTTTCTGTCACAGCCGAGTTTGTGATCTCAATCTGGGGCTTGTGTATGTCCAAAAAGCCGTAATCCTTGATACCGTCCCCGTCTGTGTAGTTGGGGAACTGAATCTCGTTTGCATACTGTTGTGCCATGTTCAGCGAGCTCATCGAGTCTATTGATGTGCTGTTGTTGACTGGAGTAAAACTGGGCTCTTTCGATAGCTGTGGCGGAGAGCTCAAGCCCGAGAACTTGCCCGCTTGTTGCTGGCCTGGGCGGTTGCTCAGGTGGTCCAAGTGGTTCAGGTCTTTGTGCGCTCTGATCTCCGCAACGTGAGAGAGAAGCGGTGTCTGGAGCTGCATCTGCATCTGCATCTGCACCGGTGGTTGCTGTGTGTGGGGATCGGCAGACTGCTGCGTGTGGGCAGGTCTGCTGAGCTGCGAGTTTAGCACAAGCTTCCGCTGCTGCTGGAAGGCCGGCGAGTCTGTGGCGGAAGACGCCCGGAACCCGGAGTCCTTGTACACGTTCTCCATGCCCATGGTGGTCGACTCGAACTGCAGAAAGCTGTCCAGCGTCGTCACCGCGTTGTTCTCCGCCGAGAGGCCGTCCAGGCCCGCTGCGGCTGCTGCAGCCCCGGTGCCGCTGGCCGGGTCCTTCTCCTTTTCCAAGGCGTCTAGAAAGCTCGTGAGCTCTTGCTCGTTTTCGTAAGTTAACTTCGACGACATATTTCCTTGCTGAACATCGGGCAGTTTAGGCCTGTCGCTGCGGTATGCACGTTAGTTCACTCAGGCAATTTCCTAGTGGGTACGTGTGTGCGTTTGTACGTGTGTGCGTGTGTATGCTTGGGTCAGTCTGTGGCGTACCGACAGAAGGAACGGAAATATTTCACAGGAGCTTGCACCAGAGGAAAAACCACAAACACGGGCACAACGTAAACAGCAAAGCAAATAAACGCAGACAATACACCCGTCTCTGGCCACCGCTGCGATACCGGGCCCCACCAGGAACCATCGACCACCGCTGCGTGTGCAAGCCCTCCGCTACTGCTCGTCTCTGCTCCCTTAGCTGCCCGGTAGCTGCCTGCCCTGTCTGCCTCCGCCGTTGATGTGCTTTCTGCACTGCAAAGCCCCGATCGCTGCCCGCTAAGCCCCGCAGCGGCAGTAGTGATGGCGACGGGTGACTGATTTGGCAGGCCGCGGGGGAAGGGTGGGGGAAGAGAGCGGCAGACAGACGTTACGTCAGCACGACGTTGAGAGGGGGTGCGGTGGCGGGTGTGCGTGGCGCAGTATTGTGGCGCAGCAGCGGGGTCACGTGCAGACATGAATCGGAGGGTTCGACGTATTGAGCTACAGATGTGGGTCTATATATCTGACTGGAAAGCAGAGAAGGGGAAAAGAGAAAAGAAAAAAAGGCACTCAGACAAGAGAAGAGCTGGCAGACCCGGAGTGTAGGCTGCCATCGTAGGTGACGACGTGGATGGCGTCGTCGCCGTCGGACTGCTTTTTCTCGGTGTTGAGGTACTCGAGGTGGCCGAGGCGGCCTGGCGCAACACGGGAGGCGTCGCTGTCGACGTCGCTGTCGCTGTCGCTGTCGCCGGCAACGTCGACAGTGGAGAGCAGCTTTTCGTCGCCGTCGGTGTGGCGGTTCCCGGCAAACTGTGGGATGTACTTGCGGTCGTACTTGTCGAGAAACAGGCCGATGAAGAACACGACGTGGGTCGCCGCGATGATGACGAAGTTCACGATGTAGCCCTTCTTGAAGCGCGGCGCTCCGGACAGGTCGTACTGCAGCGTGACGGCAAACGCGTTGATCCCGTAGGACAAGGCCTGCACCCAGCTCAACACAATCGCCTTCTTCTCGACGTTGTCCTTGCAGAGCGAGGCGATCCACGAGTAGAAGTTCTGCGCCAAGCCGCTACGGAACGGCTCCTGCATGAAGAAGGCCGAGATCATCACTGCGTTGGGCACGTTCCACGTCACGAGGATGATGCACGCGTAGTACGCCGTCAGCATCACGAGGTTCACCGGAATCAGCTTCCCGTAGTACTGGCACAACGGCGGCACGATGATCGAGCACGGAATACCCACGCAGTAGATGTAGGAGTCCCACGTGGTCACCATCGACGTTGTGTAGATGTCCGTTCTTGCTTTCATGTAGAGCTTGGGCCCGTTCGAGTACCAGCTCAAGTGGTGCAACACCCAGAGGAACGACGCAAAGTAGATCTGCCACGTCTTGAGAGTCTCAATTAGAGTCTTCTTGGTGAACTTGTCCGGAAAGGCGATCTTGTTTTCGAGTCTCTTTCTTGCAAAAATCATCTCGTCTTCGCTGAAAACACCAAACTCCTTGCATGCAGAGGGGATTCCAGGAAAGAGGAAGAACCCGTACAGAAAAATACCGAAGGTTAAAACAGAATCAATGATGAACTGCCATCTCCACCCTGCCAGGCCAAAAACACCATCCAAGCTTCTTCTGGCCTGTGTCTGCAACGCACCAGCACTGGCACTGCCTGCTGTTGCAAATGCGCCGTACACGCCTGCTCTTTTGAACAATTCCTCCTCGGTCAAATAGCTCGAGAGAATCACATATGTGGCCGGGAACGAGCACGCCTCGAAAACACCAACAAAGAACCTGATCACATACATCTCTTGGGCATTGGTACGTACGCATTGGCAAGTGTCATTAATCCCCACGCAAGCTCACAGAAAATTAACAAGTGTCTTGAAAACTGACGCTTTGTGATCAGCAAGGTGATAGGGATCTGGAATAGGGCGTATCCGACTGTGTAACAGGTGTTGAAGTAGTTCAATTCGTTTCCGTGCAAATTCAAATCAGCCTTCAACCCTGAAACGTACGCGGAACCAACATTGCTATTATCCAAATACTTGGTATAGAAGGAAGCGCAGAGGAAAAATAGAACACAGATGTCGAATTTGACTAAAAACGTCCTCTCAAACTTACTGTAGTGCGAAGGATACCAGTTGAAAGCATTCAGAAAGTTGAACTTGTCATACTTGGAGGTCTTTGGCTCTCTTCTTTGTCTGTCAACCTCGGGATGGTTATACTCAGTTTTGAAGTCTTTCGGATTATCCGGCAAGAAAAACTTGGCAATAGTCTTTTTGAATGATTTAGTGGAACTCATTTAGTCTGCTTTCTTGCTCATTTTTTATTATGAGAATGAATTAACAGTTGCCAAGAAACAGGAAAAAAAAGGCGATTTTACATCCATTTAAAAACCTTCGAGAAATGGGCTTCGAAGAAGTTAACGAACTGTGGTTTCCCACCTAAACGGTAAGGCGTAGTGAATAGCAGTAAGATTTTCCGTCATGTCTGTAGATCTAGCACTACTAGTTCAGAAAACTGTCACTTAAGTGTGGACATGTTGTGGCTTACATACTGCCGAGGCCAACCGAAACGAGGAAAATAGAAGCCTAAATACCGGTATCTAACGCCATAGTGGGGGAAAGCGGAACAGTGTGTAACATTTTGTATGTAACTGCTGATCCACGCATGTGTTAGTTTGCTGGACAACCGGCAGCACCGGCGGCGAGGAATCAGATGGGAACAACAGCGGCGAAGAGCATGCCCCACTGTGGCGGTTCCTTATCTGAAATGTATATGTAAGCAGGCCGAGTTTTTTCTCTTTTCAGAGCATCTCATCGCCACCGAAGAACAATAGCAAAGAGCTATTCCGGTAACGGGAGTGGTGGTTCCTGTGGCTTTTGAGCTACTTGCGGGTGTGTATGAGATCGATAAATGTAAATTGCGTAGAGCAGACTAAACAAAAAAGTAGAGGTGCATTAGTAGGTTAAGGAAAAACTGTAAAATGGAAAACAATTACAAGGAGGAATAATAAATCGCAGCTTTAATCCCATTTGTGCAAGTACAAGCCGAGAGACTCTCTTTGGGATTTTGATTCCGGATCAAAAAATGGCTTTTCTGCTAGCGAGGTGACTCTGGTACCATGTCTAGGCTCCGCTCCTTCGTGGTCCCAAACGTTTCTGTGCTGAGAGACTCTGTTATCCCAGATAGCAGAGGTACCGTAGCCTTGCTTGGTATTGGTCCACTTGAATCTCACCTGGAGGTCTGCGTTCTTTTCATAAACATCAAACAAGTAGTTGAGGATAATATCACTTTCAACAGGAGACAAACCAACGATTCTCTTGGTCATTCCTCTGTTGACGTACAAGAACTTCCACCCCGTAGCAGGATGGGTTCTGACAAGTGGATGCACTCTTTCAATTCTCTTTGGGCCTCCAAATGGGTCGTCCCTGTCGAGGTATTGGTGGGCAGAGACGTAAACGGTCTCCTTACCGTCCAAGAACTTCTTGAGCTCGTCACTCAATTTGTCGTAAGCGCCATAACCAGAAGCCCAAATTGTATCACTTCCGACAGAAGGAATTGCGTCCAAGTGCAAGTGGGTGTATCCTGCAGGTTGTCTCTCGTGGACCAAATCGGTGTGCCAGCCTTGGTTACCTACGTTGAGGTATCTGGTGGAATCCCAGTTGGACAAGTTGCTGTTGGCAAAGTTCAACTCCATACCCTTCTTAGTCTGGTAGTCAACCCAGATGACACTGGTGCCTGGAAGACCTGGAACTTGAGGGACCTGGGCGTGAACCTCAATGTTCCCCAAGTAGTCACCAAGCTTGTGTTGGGCCGTTGGGGAGAGCTTCTGGTCTCTGAAAAAAACCACGACTCTTTCAGCAATGAGAAGAGCCAACTCGTCTTTCTGCTGGTCTGTCAAGTCTTCCAATTGCAAGCCAACAATCTCTGTACCAACGTTCTTGGTGAGATTGATAACCTCAGTGGCAGCACCAAACAAAGCCTTTTTTTCCGGATCAGCGTTTTTGCCTCTGTCAACAAATGGAACATCGCTGTCTCTGATGGCATGAGCCTGATCGACAAAAATAGGGATCTTCGATCTGTCTGGGACTTCTGGATATCCCTTCGACACATCGATGCCGTCAGCCTCGAGTCTCTTTCTAGTAGATTCCGGGAGGAGTTCCAGACCGGTCTTATCGGCACCGGTTTCAAAAGATACTTTTGTGTTCTTTGCTCTGGTGATGTTGATCTTGTCGGTTCCCCGGATCAAGTTCTCAATCTGGGTATCCAGAGGAAGGTCGTTGACGATCTGAACAACTGGAGCTTGTTGTGTTTCTGTGACAGTGACGCTAGCAGGCATGATTGGTAGTGGGTAGTTTGTGTGCTGGAAGGGAGTTCAACTTTCTTACGTGTCCATAAGTAACAGAAGCAGCACTGAGGGGACAACGAGTGCTTTTAAATACCCTTCATTCAAGGACTGATTTGTCAGACGGCAAGCTAGATGAAAGGCAAAGCGGTGGGCGGAAGGCGGATCTAGCTTAGCCGGACAAGTGAAGCACCACAGTTACCAGATACAGTGGGTGCACCAACGACGACGAGATGAGGGCACCCCCCACGCCACGGACATAAGATCGTGCAGAAGGTCTTCGAGGAGGGAGATGATGCTGCCACAGTTGACGATGTGGGGCCGGAGATGGCTGCGGTGTGGCGCTCCGGGGGAGGCATTGCCGCTTTTAGCACATTTTCCAGCCTTTTTCGCCGCCGCGCGCAGCTCGGAGAAGATAAGGAGTAGATGGATGGTTGTGATGAGATGTTCAGCTTTTGTTAAAAGAGAGACTATATATCGAAGTCGGCTGTCGTACAAAAAAATAAATGACGGTAGCGCTGACCGGAGGAGACGCTTACCGCGGCAGACCCGAGACCCAGTACGTTGAGAACAAAGAAGAGAAAGAAAGGAAAGGAAAGAAAAGTAAAGGAAAGGAAAGGATAGGAAAAGAAGGTGAGGGAAGAAAATGGAGAAAGGGTATTTTTAGGTTCTTTTCCAGAATTTCAATGCAGAGTTTAGACAGGAGGAACGACTTGGGAGTCGCACTTGCCGACAAAGTTACCGGCTGGGTCGTAAGAGCAGATGATGTAGGTGCCCCAGTAGGAGTCGCACTGCTTGAAGCCGCATCCGACCTTTGTGGTGGACTCCCAGATGACCTGGGTGAAGTGGTCGTAGACGGAACAGCCCGAGCCGTAGTCGTAGCCGTTACCTTCCGAGTACCATGCGTCGACAGAGCCGGTGGTGGTGTAGCCCAAGGCCAAGTTTTCACCGTATTGGCCGCCGGAGTGGGTCAAGGTGCCCGAGCAGTCGTAGGAGTCTGCGTAGTTCTGTGCGTAGGAGGCGAGGGTATCATCCCAGGACAAGCTGGCGACGCCGTGGAGCGCTCTCTTGGCGTTGTGTTCGGCCAAGATCTGGGAGGAGAAGTCGGAGCCGCCGGAGCCGCTGTCACCCGTGGAGGATGGGGCGGCGGCGGAGGAGGAGGTGGTGGACGAGCTGGCTGGCTGGTCCGCCTGCTTCTGCTGGTAGTCGGCGACGGTGGAGGACGAGGAGGCTTCGGCGGCGGCCTCGGTGCTGGCGGCAGACGTTTCAAACGTGGTTGGCGAAGGCGTGGCCTCTGCGGACGTGGCCGCAGCTGCCGCGGTGGCCGTGGCAGACGTGCTGAAGACCGGTGCGTCGTTGACGGCCGACGTCTGGCCCTCCACAATCACGGTGGTGACGTAGTAGTTTGTCACTGTCTCGACCACCGGGGCTGTCGTGGCGACTGCGGCGAACAGGGAAAGAACAGAGATCTTTGAGAGCTGCATAGTGCTAAGGAGTGTGTGTTTTGTGCTGTGTAAGGACTGTGTTTAGGGAACGGACGATACTTAATCTCTAAGGAGTGGAGGATCAACGTATCTGCGGACAAAGGAGTGTCTGGTGCTTGGGGTGGGTGGGTATCTGACGCTTAACGAGTGCTACGGCGAAGGAAAAGGGCAGAAGAAGGCGACGGAGGGGCAGGACCCCCCCAGCCGGTCTCTTCTTTTGCCAACAAACACACACACACCACCAACGGCAGAGGGACCACCTTGCTACATATATAGTCGCCAACAAAGCTGCCCCCGGATCCCAGCCAGAGAAGGAACGTCAAGGATCCCTGCTGCAGGCCCTCTGCGTGCCTGTGTGTTTGTGTCAAAGGCCCGTTTCAGCAATTGGCACAATGCTGAAACGCGCTCGCAGGGGGCAGGGCGGTGATCGTGCCGATCGAGCGTGGCGCGTCCAGGGCCGGTGGCCAGCGACGCGGTCTAGGCCGGCAGGCGGAAACCGGGGCCAGCCACTGGTGCTGGGGCCGGCAAACAAGAAGGCTGGTCGCGAGGAGGGGGGGTCGATCGCCGCAGTTGCTTTTGCCGTGCGGTCGATCGACCCTCTGGCGGCTTGGCAAAAATCCGTCGATCGACGGCGGCTCAACGGAAAGCGGTCGATCGACGGGTCGGCGATAAGGTCGGCGATAAGGTCGGCGCCGCGGGCGGGTCCCCCGACTATCTCCGCGCGGGCTCGCAGGTCGCCAGCGGTACCGCCAGAGCCTCATCACTGGCACACCCTCTGCACGAGGCAGAAGACAGATAGCACGGTGCACGCACACACAAACTCAGGTGCTTGCAGAGCCGGTGCAAGTCTCGAGCCACGCACCCGGCATTCCGCCACACAGCATGTCCTCCAGCAACAGCGGCAACTACTACCCGAGCCAGGCGGCGTCCCCCCGGTCCGCCCGGTCCACGTGGAACCCGGACAACTGCATCATCTGCGACACCCCATTGGACCCCCGCACAGGCGTCCCGACGTGTCTGTGCTTCGCCACGGCCACCGCCGTCGACAGCGCTCCCACGGCAACCGAAACACCCGCCCACAAACAGGCGCCGGGCTTGACGATCGACACAGCCAACCTCGAGCCGCCCCCGGTGGACGACAACGACTTCATCAACTCCCTCGCCTACCTCGCCGACTCGTCCTCGGAGGCGCTGCACAGGCCGGAGCCGCAGGCCCACCCGCAGATCCACACCCCGGTGATCAACATCTCCACGCTGTCCTTCTCGGACCTCGCCGGCGACGGCGACCACGCCGCAGTCAGCACGCACTCCGTGCTGCTGGACCACGCCAGCTCCATCTACTCGGTGTCGTCCTCCAACTCCGTGTCGTCCTCCAACTCGAACGAGGACCTCCTCCTCTCCGTCGACCCGTCGAACCTCTCCATCCGCCACAGCAGCGGCTCCGACGCCTCGCACTTCGCCCTGCCCACGTCGCCAGGCACCCTCACCCACAGCGACCACCACCACGGCCGCCGCCACCGCCGCCGACACTCGCGGACGCTGTCCGGCTCGTCCTACTCCTCGTCGCAGTCGCTGGACAGCCTGCGCGTCGGAATCGACGCCAAGGACAGGGCCTCCGTCACCAAGCCCGCCACGGGCTCGTCCTCCAAGCTCCCCACCAACGTCTTGAGCCCCGTCTCGTCCTTGTTCACCAAGCTCACCCGCGACCCGCACACCCCCGGCCGCCGCTCCCAGGACAGCCTGGACCTCGCCGACGCAGACCCGCCCGACCTCCCGCTCTGCCTCCCGCTCCCGCTCGAGCTCCCACTCCTCCACCTCCAAAACAAGGTCCACCTCCCGCTCCTCCGCCCACAGAAAGGACGTCGTGTGCGACCTCTGCGGCAAGACCTTCAACAACAACTCCAAGCTCAAGTCCCACACCCTCACCCACACCGACGAGCGCTCCTACGCCTGCGACGCCCCCGGCTGCGACAAGGCCTTTGCCCGACGCAGCGACCTCCGAAGGCACCAGCGCACCATCCACTCCACCATCGACGACGCCCACAGCCGCAGACAGAAGTGCGGCGGCTGGAGCAAGGGCGTGCTCCTGCGCCGCCCCACCTCCGACCCCGCCGTGTCCCCGGACCACCACCCGAACCACTGGTACGAGCCCTCTGTTGTCCACGGCGAAGGCACCAAGTGGGGCTGCGGCGACGAGTTCTTGCGCATGGACGGCCTGGTCAAGCACTGGCGCGAGAGCAAGCTCGGCAAGGAGTGTCTCGACTCCCTCATGCGCCTTTTCGGCGACCTCGCTCTCCGTTTTGACGAGGACACTCAGCTCACCGTCGCCAAGGACAACGTCCGGGCCCTCAAATGACCTCGAATGAGCCCCCTTTCCTCCCCGATTCATGTTCGCACGTGACTTGCCGTCGATCGTCCTTTTTTCCCGGATCCCCGCCCCCCGTCTTCCGCCCTGTGTCTTCCACCTTCCACAATTCGCCTTCCGCGCTCCGCGCTCCGCCCTCGGCGCCATTGCTCAGCGCTCAGCGCTCAGCGCCCGCTGCGCCGCCTGGGCCGCCGCAAAGGCAAACGCGGGGACAGAGGCAGGAGCAAAAGGTGGCCAAGCCTCTCGTACTGGTGGCTCCTTAAAATTTTGCGCACCAGGAGTCGGCGAAAATGGCTGAAGAGGAGGATCGTTGATGGCTTTGCACTTTTGTTGCTCTGTGTAGAAGGGCAGAGACTGGGTGGTGTGTGAACCGGACAGTCTTGACGGCAACACACAGACACACACAGACACACACAGACACAGCGGAGCACGGTGCACGGCTCTGCGGACTGACAGCATATATACCGTTCCGTCTATATCCCGTATAGCGTACCCGTTTGACGCCCGTCACACAGAGCAGAGGCATCTCCGGAGCAGTGCTCAGATGCAGCCAGACACACAGACAGCGGTCGGAAAAATCGCCCTTGCCTTGCCCTCCAAGATGTCCAACTTCGACAACCGGCGGCTCCCCATGCCGGTGCTTCCTGCGTTCATGGGGCCCGCTGCGGACAAGGCCGCCGCAGAGCCGGCGGAGACGGCGGCCCGCAACAGCGGCGGGTCGACGCCGACCAGCACTGGTGCCGACACAGCGGTGGCGGCTGCTGCAGCCGGCGGGCTCTCCGGCCCGGCGGCCAGCACGGACCCTGCGGGGCAACCGGACGCTGCAGCGGGCAACAACGACCAAGAACCCGGCGACGAGAGAAACGCCTGCGATAGAAACGGCAGCGATAATAATACAGACAATAACAGACACAGCAACGACGAAGATGGCGACGTCCACAGAAAAGACGCCAGCGCCGAGCCCGGCGCACAGCTGGCCAGCTTGCCCACAATGCCGGCCCTCACAACAGGCCCCCCGGCGTCGTACCGGGGCCCGTTCCACCACCCGTCCGCCGCAGACGCCCGGTCGGACCAGCGACATCATCTCCCGCTGCCCCTCCCGCTGCCCCGGTTGAGCCTTCCGAGCGGACAGAGCTCCTCGCTGTCTCTGCCGTCGCCCATCTCCCACCACCTCCCGATGATCAACCCGCAGCCGCTCCCGAACATGGTTCTGTCCTCACCCCGCCCCCACCCGGGCGCCAGGAGACCCGGCGACGACTCCAAGGCCGGCGACGACCAAGCCGAGACCCAGGTCCTCGAGGCCTTGACAAAGCTTCGCTCGTCCAGCATGGGGCCGTCGAAGGCGTCCACGCCGATCACCTCCTCCTCGCCTTACCCGCCCCTAACAGCGGCCAACGGCCAACCGAGGCTCGTCTGCTTCGGTCTCTTGGAACGCGGCCACGACGCTTTGAGAGAAAACGAGAGATATGTCAAACCCAGTGTCGTCAGATGGGGCTGCGAAAAGACCTACGACAGCCTACAGGCGATGCAGACGCATCTACTCGAGGGCCAATGCATCTTACCCTTTGTGCCCATTGGAGAAACTCCTGAAAGTCTCAGTGAGCACACGAGGCTGAAGGTCGTGGAGAACGCGCTGAACAACTGCGTCATCTCGAACGAGAAACTGAACGCCGAATCGAAAACAGGGTTCTGGGGCACAGTCCTCTCTTCGGAGCATCCGTTCCAGAGCCGGCTGGCCAACCACGAAAACGAGAAGGGTAAGGAGGCGCCCAGCGTGTCGCCGTCGGTGCCAAAGCCCACGGCTGCGGTGGCCGTTGTTCCGGCCGCTTCTTCGGCCTCCTCTGCGTCCTCGTCCAGCTCCTCGGTGTCGTCGTCGGCGTTCCGGCCGCAGGGCCTGATCTCCATCTCCGACTTGGTCGAGGCGACGATGAAAATCGAGGAGAAGGAGAGAGAGGTGAAGAGGGAGCAGTTGCGAGCACAGTCGCAGCTGAACAACCCGCGGAGCAAGGCGAAGAGGGCCAAGGCCGCAGGCAAGGGCGAGGCCAAGGTGGTGAAGAAGCGCAAGGTTTTCCGCTGCTCCTTCTGCAACAAGGTGTTCACGCGGAAGTCGAACCTCGACTCGCATCTGATCACCCACAGCACAGAGCGGCCCCACGTGTGCCAGGAGTGTGGCAAGTCCTTTGCCCGCTTGTCCGACCGCACCCGGCACGAGAGCACCACGCACAAGGCCACCAAGACCTTCCAGTGCCGCGGCGTGAAGAAGGACGGTGTCAGAGAGTGGGGCTGCGGCCACTTCTACTCGCGTGCCGACGGCTTGCGCAAGCACTTCAAGAGCTTTGCCGGCAAGCAGTGTCTCTACGACTTCCTCCGCGACCTCCACGGTGACACCGACGAGTTGTTCATCGCCTTCCGCGGCAAGCCCAGCCAGCACCAGGCGGCGGTAACTGCCGAAGACGGCCCCCAGACCAAGGACACCCCCGCCACACCTACCGCCAACACCGACATCATGGACAACAGCACCACCTTCGACTCGCCGGAGATGCTCCAGAACGTCGAGAAGGCCATCCGCAACGTACGCCAGCACTGCGGCTGGTAGTCCTCCGCCGGCAGCCGACCAAACCCTCACGGAAGCCGTCCATCCATGTCCTTCTCCCACCTTTGTTCCCGGTTCCCGGCCATGAAAATGGACGACCGGACGATAAGCGGGCCAGCGGGCGGGTGCTGCACATCCGCGCGGGCCAGAGAGTCAGCCCGGTCTCGTTTTTTTGAGTCATGGCGGCTGTGTGGCACCGAGACCGAAGACGCCTGGACGTTGTGGGCTTCTGCTGCGGTTGGGGTGTGCCCGGTGGTTTGTATAGAACTATGTATCCTACTTGTGTTAACTAGAGAAATAGCTGACAACGACTTGACCTGGCGTACGACAAAGACGCCAGCAGCTACCAGCAGAACAGGAAGCAGACGACGCACAAGCGGCATAGACTACGGCATCGCAGAAATGGAACAGCCAGACGCCGAACGAAAAACATCCTCTACTACAGCCATTACGACGCTTAGGACGTTCACGGACAACCACAACATCGGGCACCCTGTAGCATGGGCTTTTTCACAGTTTGACAGAGGGTTGCAGAAGGTGTTGCCGGAGAAGGTGCACCGGGTGCTGAAGCGGGTATTTGACTACCTTGTCAAGAAGTGGTTCTTCATCGGGCTTGCCTCGTTCATCGCCCTTTCCCACTCGTTCCCACATGCCACAGAAGGTGTGGAAATCGACTACTGGGCGGTGGCACTCATTTTCTTCATCTCGGGGCTCTCGATCTCGACCAAGGAGCTTTTGCTCAACATGAGCAACATCCATGCCCACGTCTCCGTGTTGGTGATGAGTTTCTTGATCACCTCGGCGATTGTGTTTGGCATCTGCTGCGGCATCAAGGCCGCCCACAACGGGGAGATCTCGGAGTGGATGTTGGCCGGGTTGATTGTCACCCACACGTGTCCAACAACGGTCTCTTCGAACGTGGTCATGACCCGGCAGGCTGACGGTAACGTCGCCCTCTGTCTCTGCGAGGTCATCATCGGTAACATGCTTGGTGCTTTTGTTACCCCGGCACTCTCCCAGATGTACCTTTCAGGCACGTGGCAGTTTGCCAACCCTGCTAACGGCACAAGCGTCAGTTCCGTCTACAGACACGTCATGATGCAGATTGGCTTGTCCGTCTTCGTCCCGATGTTTGTTGGCCAGGTTGTCCAAAATATTATTCCGAAGCAGGTAAAGTGGTGCCTGCGGTTCTTCATGTTGAACAAGGTGGGTACCTTCTGTTTGTTGTTGATCATGTGGTCCTCCTTCTGTACCGCATTCCGACAAAACGCTTTTACCTCCGTGTCCCATTCTTCCATCATAATGATATGCTTCTTCAACCTGGGAATTTATCTCTTCTTTACTTTAGTTTGCTTTTTTTACGCACGGCCGTGGTTTGTTCTCAAGTTGTTCCCACACAAACCTGATGAGAACAGCTCCAGGGTTTACAGAATCAACTACTGGCTGTTCCGTCCGTTTTTCTACTCGAAGAAGGACACAGTCACGATCCTCTTGTGTGGCCCAGCGAAGACTGCTGCTTTGGGTGTTTCCCTAGTCACATCGCAATACGGCAACAACAACCCTTATCTAGGCCAGCTTTTAGTTCCGTTGGTATTGTACCAAGCCGAACAGGTTTTCACCGCAGGCATACTTACCTCTTTTATGAAAAAGTGGGTCAACAAGAAGAAGGTCACCGACGAGGAGGAGAAAGAAGCTCTGGCCGGGAAAGGATCTTCAGCGGCTGCTGCCAATGGTAGCATTTTTTCTGCTGCGGATCATAGCACCATTAGCACAGATACTGCCATCGGTCAAAACAGCGACGAAAGCGACTTGCAATTCAGCGTCCTAGGGCAATCTTTGAATGACAATGTCGACGACGATGGAGACCTGCAAGACGATGATGACACTGGAGACCTTGACAAAGGTTATGGTAGCCACGCTAGTTCGGCCCGGAATATGAACGGTGCAAGCACCAGCAGCGGCAGAAGTTCGCTAAAGGTGTGAAGAGGGAGAGTTTCAAGAAGGCAAGAGGAGGCCCAAAAAACTTTCTAGGATTTGTAGTTTGCATATATGTATTTTCTCTTCAACTGTATAGTTAGCAACCATTCTTGCATAGCTGCATATCCACGCTTTTAGACAGAAAAGTTCTGTAAATGCAAACTTTACCTTTTTCTATCAATTTTCAAAGCAATAAAAATTTATTGCTGAAGAGCTTATCCATTCTTCTACGATGTGAACTAAAATAGTGTCAACTTTTTGAATGTAAGGCGCCTACATCCTGATATACTAGCAAGTTTTCGAATGGGATGTTTTCCATGATAATTGATATTCTTTGGCCCAAGGCACATTAAATTAGTTCCCGCGGCATGCTCGTTTTCTATTATTAGAGGCTTTTTGAAGTTGCTTCATAGTTTGGTATGTAACAATATTTTAAAGTCATAGGATCAGCCGTCTGAAAGAAGCTGCTTTTTTTGAACAACAGCAATTCATGCATCGAACGCTGGAGCCAAAAACAAATAATAGACTGGATAAAGCTAACCGTGTCACTGCCCCAATAAGTTTGCATATTTATCTTCCTTTGCTGATTAAGCTCACCGATTTCTCTTTAATCAACTCAACATCAAAAGCAGAACTTAAAGAGATTGCGGATTACTGTTCCACACTAAATACTAGATCCCCTTTGCACACACAAATATTTGTCCCCCCTAACAAAGTAGTTCGCCGAAATTACAATGTATTCAACATGAAAGGTTCTCGGTAGCTATTACAAAAGGAGTATTAAAAAAATAAATTGCAGCTAGTGATTTGAATTGGTATTGAAGTAAGAAGGCTTGTGAAGAAAAGAATTTGTTTTTTTACCCTTTTAGACGGATTTACCGGGACAGAGCTCATGCAAAAAGATATCAGATCTTAATTTCCTTTTATCAATGCCTGCGTAGGGCTTAGGCTTAGTTTCATACGGAATACATCAAATCTTACTGTACTACAGAAACTAAAATCTTAGAGCCACTAATCCAAATGAAAAACTAAACTGTTTAAAGGTGTTATTACAAGCCCTAGCAAAGTTCTAATCAAAACCCCAGAAGGTTGACTTTCTCTCCGTTCTTAAAGTTCAGCGGGTTTGTCTATGGTTAGGTAGTGATGATATAGTTATCTTCACTGGCTCATACATTGCATAGCTGCTTACTCAAAAACAAAGCTGAATGTAAATACCTGGCTTGATGAAAGTTTAGCTTGGAGGATGGAGAATTTTTTGTGGCTTTGCTCTGCATGTTCGTAGAGTAACAAAGGAGAGAAAAATATAGCCAAAACGTGTTAACAATCTATTCCAACTATGCGTTGCTATATATTTTGTTAAGTAATAAGATAGACAGCAGTTCAATTTAGTGATAATATAGTTATCTCCACTGGCTTACACATTGCATATCTACTTACTCAAAAACAAGGCTGAATGTGAAGACCTGGCTCAATGAAAGTTTAGTTTGGAGGATGGAGAAGTTTTCTTGGCTTTTTTGCTCTACATGTTAGTATAGGTGCTGAAACTTTCAAATGAGTAGAGGCTGAACACGAGCCTTGACAGCCTCTTAAGAGTGGGCGGGTGTAATAAGAACCAACTGGAAACTGAGAGAAAGAATTCATTTCTGAATATTGGTTCATCCGTTGTGCAGGAAAGAACAATGTGCGGTGAAACTTTTTGCAATGGTGGTAGGGTGGTAGGTAGTTTTTGAGTAGTATTGTATAGTTTGCCTCCTGCAAGGACTTTTTGACAATAGCCGCAGTATTCAAGCAGGGCAGGGCCAGTCATTTGTGCATTACTGCGAGCGATATCTGTTTGCTGCAAAAAAGGATGCAATGGAGGTTCCTGAAACATATTCAAATTTTGTTCCTCCTTCCATTACCCCACAAACAACATCTAAGTAGATCTGGCTCTGACAAAACATATCTAGCCGGTACACTATGCCTTCTTTTTTCTCTCCCAACCCTTGACAGCTGCCACTTGATAGCAGCACTGTAATTGCTACTGCTGCACCCAACAATGGCGAGTCAAAACCAAGTTTTCATTAAGCACTCGGTTACAGAGTCTGTTAACGAGTTTACACTAGTAGAGTATGGTGTAACACCGTGGTCCCAGTTTGGTGTTTCAAATGTGCCATACCAAAAAGCAAGAAATTTCATGCCCAACTTCCTCTCCCGTTTTTCCTCCCTCAGGCTCCCGGCCCCAAAGTATGGCAATTGATTTCCCCACGCTACTATCTCCCCTCTGGATAATCCTTTTGCTGCCAAACCGGAAACTCCTTTCACCACTGCAGTTTGGCATATACAAAGGCAAACCTCGGAACGGCGTTGTTCTTTTAGATTTTACTGCTCTCTTTTGCCGAAACAACTTCTCTCAAATTACCCTCAAGTTCTCTTCTCAGTTCCCTCGCATTTACTCGCATTACTTGCAGATCGCTGCAAAGTGTGTTACCTTCATTCAAATCCGGGAGTTCTGCAGAATGCCACACACGCGCTTCGATCCTTATTTGGCCTGCAAACGGTACGCCGGCAGCAGTGAGAAGATAAAGACGTAGATTGGGAGAAAGTTAGGTAAGTGAGGGATATCAAAATGATCTAATATATAGGTTGATACAAAAATACACAGGTCGGGGCTGTCCCGGCTCAACGGGGCTGAGTGAGATTTTTCATTGCCTTCTTCCGCACGTCTTTCAGATTTATGTTGTTAGGCAGCTGCTGCAGCGTCTGGAAGGAGGTGATGCATTTCTTGCCCCTGCCGTTCCAGTGTTTAACTAGAGCATCCCTTCTCGAGTAGACCATGCCACAGCCCCAGCTTCTTCCGTCGACGATGCCGCTGCATGCCAGCTTGAACTGGAAGTGGTAGGTGTACTTGTGGCGCTCAAGGTCGTTACGTCGCTTAAAACGCTTCTCGCAGAACTGGCATCGGATCTGCTCGTTCTTTTCGAGATGGCAGCGTACGTGAGATGTCAGGTTTGAGCTCGAATCAAACGACCGCATACACTTCTTGCAAAGATACTTCTTTTTTGTAGGCAAAGAAGCCTTCTCTATGACATCTTCATTCTCAGTCGCCGACAACAACGCCGTAGCGTCATTGCGGGTTCTACGATCTCCTTCGATCTTTTTATCTTCTTTCACTGTTTTTGCTGCTTCGTCAAAAACTTCCTCCACCTTCATTTGTAGCTCAGACCGTTGCTGATGGATAGTTTTTGTTTGCTGTGCAACATGAGGTGCACTGACGCCGAAGTTCTCTAATTGTTCAGGCATCTCTCTCCCTTCACTTTTTTTCTTTATAAAATGCTCCTTGTCTTCTAAATGTAAATGAGGTACTTTGGTGTGTTCCTCTGGTTTAACCTGCGCATATCGATCCTCATTTCTGGTTGTCTTCTGACGCCAATATTATGCTTATGTAGTCCTGGGTGAATCTCTGGCTCCACCACAGTAGTTACTAGCACGTTATCTGTATCCAAACTGTCATTATGCATTAGCATATTGGTCAAGTCTGATGTGTCATTTGAAATATTGGTATACTCCGAAACGAGAGAATGGCTGTTGTGACTTTGTGCAAGCTCAAGTCTGGCCCTCGAGCTTGCAACGGCATCTAAACTCTTTTGGGTGGGTATAAAGTGAGGACTCTGTTGTTGCTGATGCTGATGCTGATGCCGCCGGTGGTGGTGGTGAAAGTGTTTTTGTTGCTGCTGTCGTGTCTGCTGCTGTTGCTGTTGCTGTTGCTGTTGCTGTTGCTGTTGCTGTTGCTGTTGCTGTTGCTGTTGCTGTTGCTGTTGCTGTTGCTGTTGCTGTTGCTGTTGCTGTTGCTGTTGCTGTTGCTGTTGCTGTTGCTGTTGCTGTTGCTGTTGCTGTTGCTGTTGCTGTTGCTGTTGCTGTTGCTGTTGCTGTTGCTGTTGATAAGGATGATGTGGGTCCTGTTGTTGGAAGACCTGTAGCTCCTGTGGTAGTTGGCTCTCTTCAAATTCACTACTTGGTTCAAGGTCTGTATTTAAATCAAGTTCTAGGAACGCGCCGTATCCTGTAATGGCGCCTTCAGTCACAGAGAGGTTCAAATCTGTTGTATCATCCAAGGTAGAGGGTGATAGTAGCTTGCCGTGATCTTGCAGTTGATGCATCTGGTACTCCGCTTGCAACAATGAAGGTTTTGGGGTGGAGACCAACTGATCTGAGAAAACCTTGGCAAAGCAACTTTTGTCATAGTTGAAGTGCTGTTTTGGAGAAGTCTCAAAATGGGTATATGCCATGTGGCTGTCCATATTCTCTGTGTGCTGCTTGTTCTTCATTCGATGTGGAGTGGAGCTCTCCGGGCAATCCTGTCTGTATCTATTGTAGCAATAGTGGCGTCTGTCACATGCAGTGTTGCAGCTGTCGTCGCCAGTGCAGATGCAGCTGTTGCTGCTGATGGAGATGTTGTGCGAGTAGTGCAAGTCTGCCACCGAGGGAGAGCTGGCGGACGGAAGAGGGGAGTTGGGGACGTAGCTCGAGCTGAATAGCAAAGGGCTTTCCGATAGGTCCAATGGATCGCTATAGCCTGTTAAAAGAGATTCGGGAGTGGCCGAAGTGTAATGTGATAACTGCTTGGTTGAGACGTCGAACGACACTGTTGTTGTAGAGGACAACGAGAAGTCCATTGTTATTGTTTTGCTATTTTTTTGCTTTTCTTGCACTCTTTGCTCCCGTTGAAAGTGGGGTAAGGGTCCAATTGGGTAAACCAGAAATGCAGGCAGAAGACAAGCGATTGTAAACGGGTGTAACAAAGGTCACCAGACTGCGGCGGCTGCTGCTGGCTGTGGAACGCAGTGTATCGGGTATGCTTTTGAAAGTGCCAATGGTGTCCTTGGACGAAGCTGTGGGTATAGGCAAGGGCAGAGCGGAACAGAGTTTAGCGTGTTGAGCCAAGCTGATCTAGTCTGGGAAAGAATCCTTTTGCAATCACGGGACCTGAATCCGACAGGAAAAGACAAGGGGCCCTGGTGGGAACGAATGGCCCTGGACATGGGCCCTTATATATATATATGTATGTATGTATAGCTGGACATCTTGCCCCGGAAAATGTATAGGTCCGGCAAGAACCTTAGACAAACAGCCGAGTTCGACGGAGCCGGCGAGCAGGACTCGCCTGGTTCATCCGTCCTCTGCGTCTCTTGCTGGCCAACACAGAAAGATGTGCAGGTACGCCAACTCTATTAGCTGCTGCGCGATGACGACGCTCTAAAGCCTTCGACAGGCCTTCTGTTGCCAGACGTCACAGCAATATAGCCGTCTGCGGCGTGCAGCATGCATTTCCTGCAGAAGCAGGCTGCAGCTGCATGCTGCAACCGGATGAGAAACTAGTTTCATTCCAACAGACTTGCCTGTTTAGGCAGGAAGATGCTTCTGCGATAACAGACGCTACTATCGCGAAACAGAGTGCGGCTCATGGACGATGACCGACAACCGGGGACGCGCCCTGCGGCTTACGCGGAGTGAAAAGTTACCTACCTTAATAGGTTGGCCCCAACATGGTGCTGCCGAGAATTGCAGGCAGCGGTTGATCTGCACCGGCCGTCGGGCCGCGGTAAGACCTTTGAATGATTTTGCCGCGGCACTATTGCCGACCGAGCTTTGTACTATCGGGGTTTATGTCCGGCAGAGACGCTCGTTGCAGCTGCCTTCCAAAATCAGTAATGGGAGGGCAGGCCCACGCACACTAAGGAATGGCAAGCTGCATTCGCCAGCGACACCGTACCTGGCTTGGAGAGGGAGACAAGAGGGGCAGCACAGGAAAACATAGCTTATTTGGTGGAAGTGAGCCACAGTTGGCGGGCCACGTGACTGACTCAGGTTATAGCGGCAGCCCAACTCCAGCTGGAGACGATCGGTTCTCGGCGGCAGATCGACCCGGGCGGGTGGAAGAAGATGTGGATTTAGTGATACAGTAACAAACAGTGCTGGGGGCGCAGGGGATGGACAACCGGATAAGGTTTTGTACCACGCTGATCGCAGTTGTTACGGCATTGCTGGGTGTGTTCGCCAGAGAACAAGCAACAACACAGAGATAATACAGGTTCAACGCTCGCTGCGCTAACGACCATTTTTGGCAGCATCGTTAGGTTGCCTCTGCTCGTCTCCCAGAGCGCCACGCCGACGACAGCGACGGAGTTACGCAGCATGGCGGCGGAGTCACATCTGCCGCCGCTATTATCCGACCACGCACGTCGGACCAATGCACCAGACGCCTCCTGCAGCCGTCCTGCAGCGTTCTGCCAGGCCCTGCAGTATCACACTAGCCCCTTGGCCTATTGGCTAGCGCACGCCATGCAGAAGCCGCGAAGCTGTCTCCCCTTCGGACAGCGGTGCCTCCCCCTTCGCCGACACCCACATCCAGCCCCGTATCTCGACACGCAATGCTTATTTTCTCAGTTACTTAGTTATTTACTTTCTTAGTTAGGAGCTGGCTTTCGCAGCCTTTGTGCGTTGGCTCACTTTTTGCGCACTCCGAGAGATTTAGAACAAATGCGTCAACTCGATAATCTTCTCCAAGTCCTTCACCTCATGGTAGTGCTCGGTGAGGTTGTTGAGCACCATGAACTCCCGCAAACACTCCTGCCCTTGGGCACTCTTCCAGTGCTTACGCAAGCCGTCCTTGCGGGAATAGAGGTGGCCACAGCCCCACTTCTGCCTGTTGCACTTTCCAAAGCACTTGAACGTAGTCTTCAGATGCAAGGACCGCTCGTGGCGGTTCATGTCCGAGCGTCTCACGAACGCCTTTGAGCAGAACTGGCACACATGCGGTTTCACCGTAAGATGCAAGCGAATGTGGGAATCGTGGTTGGATTTACGGGGAAAATCTTTCCCGCAGTGTTTACAAACAAACACGGTCGGCTGCTTCTTCTTTTTATTTCTCCTGCCGGGTCTAGAAGTTGTCGTGACTGCAATGACGCCACCGGCGCCTGCGCCGGTGGATGTAACAGCCTGGTGAGCCTTAACTCCACACACCTCGCCTCCTCCGTTTGCTGCGCTTCCAAGATTGTCCTTGCATTGCGATATTTCATTTGTGTCCGATCCTCTAGTTGCTATTTCCACCTCGGCTTCGTTTTTTCTTTTTGTCCAAGGGCGTCGACCCCTTGTCTTTCTCCCCCTCTTGGACCCTTTTCCCACCTTGCTACCACTGGCTACAGTATTACCTTTTTTCCCCTTTCCACTCCCACCTTTTCTAATCCCATTCCCGTTTCCAATATCATCTCTGAAATTATTGTTTTCTTCTAAAAAGACAAGCTTCCCTAGTTTTTTCCCTTTTTCAGGTGAAACTTTATTATCTACTTTACCAACACCACAACCGCCTTTGCAATCATCATTAGAATGGTTGCACTGTTCAGAAATGTGTGCTGTTTCCTTAGCAATTGAAAATACACCATCCTTGGTATCAAACACAGTAGCAGTAAAACTACTAATACCTTTACCTGCTCGATAGCACTCATCTTTTCCATTCCCTTTCTCTAGTGCTTCCTCATCTTTTCTTTTTTCTGCTTTCACAACTGTTTCCATTTTCAAATTTGTAGCAATATTTTGTTCATGGGCGAAAGGCTTAGCTGGAAATATTGCTTTACTCAGGTTATTCTCGTCATCTATTGTATTTTCAAGGGTACAAACGTAACTTTGTATTTGATTACTGTTTGTCAAACTCAGCAATGATGGAATTTCAAGCTTCACACCAAACAGATGGTCCTCATCATCGTGCATTATATTGATTGGAGTCGGAGATAGTGAGAAATTCGTTGATAGCAGCTTGGTTTTGTTCAATTCAGCTTCTTCTACTAATTGGTGACAAGTGTGAGCTTCCTTTTGGTGACTGCTTTTAAAAATTGGATTCGGTTCATAAGTATATGTTGGGAAGTCATAAAGAGAGTCGACTAAATCAGAATCAATAGAGCTAGGAGATTCGATACTAGAAAATGTTGGTTCAGAAGGAGCAAAATATTGAGAGGAAAGGGTAGAGTCAAAAGAAGTGTTTCTTGAAAAGATAGACTCGGATTTGGTGCAGCAAAATCCCCTACCATCTTCACATTCATGATTTTCTTCATCTTCGTCCTCATCTTCTTCATTATAGCCACCTACCGAAGTTGTTATCTCCCTTCCCAAGGATAAAGACTCATGGTCGTCTATCAGAGAAGCATGAGTATTTGAAACCAAAGACACTTCATAATAGTCGTTAGAATAGCAATAAGAAGGATAATCTGCCGATGAGTGGCATGGAAGATAAAGTTTAGGCGTTGTGAGTGGATCTTCAGTGATTCCATTATATTCGTAAGCCTCAAGAGTATTTTTTAATTTTTCGAAGGGGTTGTTAGGGGTGCTATGGATCAACTGAGACCTTGGAATTTTGAACAGAGAATTGAAATCATCATCGTCAACCCCAGTTCCTACGCCTTCACTGTCTGCATCAATGCCACATTTAACGTTTTGGTGAGACTTTACAGCAAGGGCAACACCCGAATCTGGGTTGGAAGCGAGAATATCGTCAATCGGATTAGCATCGATGACGGTGGCATGGTCTTTCAATTTTCCCGAATCCCGGGAGCCACCATGGTGGCAAAGAGCAGTGGTTCTGTTGCCTTCAGCAACGCCACCTTTTTTGCGGCTGTCATCTCCATCTGCTCCCCAGCAACTATTTGCAATTGCGTTTTCCATTTTGACCGTCATCTGCCCAAATCTCCCATTGGCGGACCTTCGGGACCTGCGGGTTTTTCTCTCAGACTGAAATTGGTACAGCATCACGGTAGGAATCAACAAGTAGCTACGCGTAAACTGAGAAAGTTTTCTTTTGTTTGACAGTTTTCGCAATACAATGGTCTTGCTACAGCTGACACACCGACAAGTAAAATTCTAAAAGGGGTAGAATTGAAAAGAAAAAGACAGGAAAAAAAGAGAGTGGAAAGAACCAGAACGAAGATGCAGAAAAGTCGTCCCCTACTTAAATGATTATTGCTATCTTCTACACTCCGATATCATATTACCACTAGTCTCCTCTTTGCCACCAGTCGTGTTAAAAATCACATCAAAAATCTGTTTCTGTAGAAATCAAATATTGAATCTAACCCAATCGGGTAATTCTATCATCACCACATTTTTTCCCGATTCACTGCCCCACACACAGCCTTGAAGTCATCTTTCCTCCTGTGGGAAGAAGGCAGCCTTGCCACTACCCTTTAGGTCTAATTACTTGCATTGCGTCTGGTGATGGAATGGTAGCGGCAGACTGAAGCTAGTAAGTGATCTAGTGGGGACGACGGGGGCAGTAACAAAAATTATAGTATTAATAATAACAGTAATAATAATAATAATAATAATAATAATAATAATAATAATGAAAATTTAGTACATATAATATAACTTAAGTATAATATTTACTACAAATCTAAAAAAATCAGCAGCATCATATGAATCATCAGCATCCTTAGAAACACTTGTGGTGAACAATGGATGGTCCAGATTCGTCGTATTCTTGCTTGGAAATCCACATTTGTTGGAAAGTGGACAAGGAAGCCAAGATAGAACCACCGATCCAGACAGAGTACTTTCTCTCTGGTGGTGCAATGATCTTCACCTTCATAGAAGATGGAGCCAAAGCAGTGATTTCCTTTTGCATTCTTTCAGCAATACCTGGGAACATGGTGGTACCGCCGGACATGACAATGTTACCGTATAATTCCTTTCTGACATCAACATCACACTTCATGATAGAGTTGTAAGTAGTTTGGTCGATACCAGCAGCTTCTAAACCAAGAACAGAAGGATGGAACAAAGCTTCTGGAGCTCTGAATCTTTCGTTACCAATGGTGATGACTTGACCATCTGGTAATTCGTAAGACTTTTCAATTGCAGAGGATTGAGATGCAGTTTGTAACTCTTGATCGTAATCTAGGGCAACGTAACATAATTTTTCTTTAATATCTCTGACAATTTCTCTTTCAGCAGTAGTAGAGAAAGTGTAACCTCTTTCAGACAAGATCTTCATCAAGTAGTCAGTTAAGTCTCTACCAGCCAAATCAATTCTCAAGATAGCATGAGGTAAGGAGAAACCAGCGTAGATTGGAACAACGTGAGTAACACCATCACCAGAGTCCAAGACAATACCGGTAGTTCTACCAGAAGAGTATAAGGACAAGACAGCTTGAATGGAAACGTAGAATGCTGGAACATTGAAAGTTTCAAACATGATCTGAGTCATCTTCTCTCTGTTAGACTTAGGGTTCATTGGAGCTTCAGTTAAAAGAACTGGGTGCTCTTCTGGAGCAACTCTCAATTCGTTGTAGAAGGTGTGATGCCAGATCTTTTCCATGTCATCCCAGTTGGTGACGATACCATGTTCAATTGGGTATCTCAAGGTCAAAATACCTCTCTTGGATTGAGCTTCATCTCCAACATAGGAATCCTTTTGACCCATACCAACCATGATACCTTGATGTCTTGGTCTACCGACGATAGATGGGAAAACAGCTCTTGGAGCGTCATCACCGGCGAAACCGGCTTTACACATACCGGAACCATTATCAATAACTAACTGTAGTAGAAAATAAGGGAGAGGGGAAACAATGAATTGGTTAGTATTTCAAGTTCTATTAGAGAAGATGCAAGTTGAATCCTTTGATCCCAGGTGCGTTCGATATGATGGCCGGAAACAACAAGATAGAAAGCAACAATGATGCATTTCTAATCATTGTACTAGTTATTGTCATCGTTGTTCATCATGTAAGATTCATTGGTATCACAGGCATTGATCCAGTTATCGTGCGTGATACTTGAGTATTTTCCTAACTGTCCCTAGGAAGTAGCGAATTTCGTTTTTTTCCGGATGCGTAGTTAATTCTGTGCTCCGCCAAATTTTGGATTCCCAAGAAAATCGAGAAAATTCAAAAATCTAGAAATTACTAGTGCACCAGTGGGGAATACGCACCCAAATCACATAATAAGGGAAAACAAAGCCTTTGACAAAAAACAACGATGAAATGCAATCAAACCAACCCGGATCAAATCACATGCTGGGGAATTAATGGTGTCGGGAAAAAGACACTCTTCTATGTCAGCACTCAATTGGGTCTGCAGAAGAGTCCCTATCCACCGATCCTTGTACTAGTTGTGTAATGTTACTTACAGCAGCAACGTCTTCTATAGCAGGTGTTAGTAAACTGGTAAGCATTAACATAAATTACGTTGCCCGTGTCGGAAGATCAACGTTCCGGCTGCCTTCCCCTTTGTCAATCAATTACTGATCTGGCCTGCCGTCGCCTCCAAGGCCAACACAATTGACCACAAAGGGCACACAACCCTGCCGATTCGCCATCATGAACAAAATGAAAGGGCTCAACGTTTTCTCCCTCCACGCAACAGTGTCTTTTGGGTGCATACGTACCGCCGTCCATTTTTGAATACTATAACAATCAAACAACTAAGTGAATAAGAGATCTGTGTTGAGCAGAATACACTAACCAAACGACCCTAAACACCAGTGTAACAGGGAAGAGACACCAGAGCTCAGACAAGAAAAAGAGAACAGGTGGGCAAAAGGAGTGCTCAAGGGCAAAGCGTGCTCGCATCCCTCGCTTCCCTCGCAACTGCAACAAAACAGACAGACCCGGTTGCCCAATTTATCTTCGATCCACGCTGGCCACTCGAGCCACTCGATCCACCACCCTCACCCTCAGCTATTTACCATTCTCCCTCGGGCCCTTTCGAGCAAGCCTCCGCGTGCTGCTGCTGCTGGCGGCGGCGGCGGCGGCGGCGGCGGTTTTCGGCGGCAGCGGCACTCGCGCAGCAGTGATATGTGAACCCGTGCACCGGCATGTGAGCAAGAGGGGAGACAGAGCGCGAACCGTAGGAGGAGCGCAAGCCTTGGGTCTGAGGCTTTGAACGCTGTGTCCACTTACGTAAGCAGAATGTGGATTGATCAAATAGATAGAGATCTAGATGGATGGATACTCGATACAACGACTACAACGAAACTAACGATATCTGACCTTTTGCTTGGCGCCACGTTTCTCCAGCTTGATCTGTCTCTTGCTCTTGCCTGCGCTGTCCCCCTCGGCGTCCGCAGAAGCAGCCTCTGAACCGCTCTTTCTGCTGCCCCCAAGCCCCGGCATAAACATTCCCAGCACTGTACCCACAAGGCCCTTCAGCTTCCAGCCAGCAAACCCCGGTATGACCAGTAAAACCCACCATACCTTCATGCTGCCGAAGAGACACATCAAAACGTCGATAACCAATGTCAAGTAGATGACATCAAACATGTACTCCGTGAGCCCGGCCTGCTGCAAGTCCTCGCCGGCCTTCATCAACACCTTATACCCATCGGAGTTCGTTGTGTAACGGGGTCTGCCCACCTTCTCAACAGTGTACTCACAGAACAGCGATGGCAGGGAGAAAAGCAGGAAGTATAGCTTCCCGCTTCTTGGTCTTTTGAGCACAAAAATGCATAGCACTGCAAACACATTCACGATGAAAGACAATCTATGCACGGAGGAAAGCGTTTCCGTGTTTCTTTGCGCCTGTTTCTTGTCTGCTGCACCAGCCATACTCTTGCCCCGGTACTTGTTTTTTGTCTGTCAGGGTTCCTACATCCTCAAAGGGAATAGAACGGGCACAAATCAACGGGATGGTGGAGGAATGTGACGTTCCTTTACAATCAACGTTTTTTTCCATTCAGCGAGAACTCGATTGGGCACACGGCTTGATCAAAGTACGATACCGTTTGCAGTACCCTGTCTTATGGGATATTTTTTGCAGTTACACAATAAAGTGCTTATTATTAGAAATACATAGATCGTTATCTGTAAAAGAGTACTTAGATATGTATAGATCTGCATCGAAGCACTAATTGTGTTTATAGAATTATATTAAATTACCTGTCAATAGAATAATGACCTAAGTAGAAAGGAAGAAAACTAGAAGGAAAGAAAATTTGAGAGACACACCCACACACGCATTAGATTACCAGCCATCAACGTAGAAAGAGAAAGTAAAGCAAAGCACCTGTGCGCAAAACACTCCCCTTTCAAGAGAAGGGGAAATCTGAGTAATGTGATTTTCGGGTTATGCATACAGCATTCTTATAACTATCATTGATTAAAGCTGTAGCTACTTAAATGGTGGGGAGAGACAAAAAAAAAGATATCGAAAGTTTCTTAACAACAACCTCCTTGTTGAGAATTAACCGCAGTACCTGCTAGATTAACGTTTGGTTTATTGCTTGCGTTTGCTGCAGGTTGTGCGTTCGCCATCTGATCTTTGATTTGCTTAGACATGAGAATGAACGCCTGTTCAACATTAGTGGAGTCGGCAGCAGATGTCTCTAACAATTGAATGCCTCTCGAGTCGGCAAACTCCTTGGCAACCGCATAATCCACAACCTTCTTGTCTGTCAAATCGCACTTGTTACCAACCAAGAGCTTTTGGACACTACTGGTGGCATATCTGTCAATCTCCTGTAGCCATTGGTTGACGTTATTGAAAGACTCCTGGTCTGTCACATCGTAAACAATGATGATACCATGTGCACCTCTGTAGTACGAAGATGTGATCGTTCTGAATCTCTCCTGTCCAGCGGTGTCCCAGATTTGTAACTTTATAGTCTTTCCGTCTAACTCTATGGTTCTAATTTTGAAGTCGACACCGATGGTGGAAATGTAGTCTTGTGTATATGTGTTCTCAGCAAATCTGAGCAACAAACACGACTTACCCACACCGGAGTCACCAATCAACAATAGCTTAAATAGATAGTCGTAGTCGTTGTTCATCTCTCGTCAGTTGTCTAGTCGCTGCCTTGGTCGATGCTGCTATCTCTCCTGCCCAGAACAGTACCTTGACTACCCCTCTTCTCCTTACTGAACCCCTGGCTCCTCCAAACAACTCTCTAAGCTGCGTGATAATGCCAGCCAGCATGTGTGCGACTCGTTGTTGCCTTCTTCCCTCACATTCACAGCACAGTGCGAATTTCTATACCCTACACCCCTACACTGCCTGCGTACTCGTCCAGGCCCACAGCGGCAAGAGCCCATTGCCATTTCCAGCTAGAGCTTGGCTTCCCTGGGGGCGCACATACATCCACATATACACACTCGGTTCTATATACGGGATACGGTGATGGTGTATACTGCACCAGAATCGCCTCACGGAGATGCTCTCTTGTACCAGACCGGCATTTGTACAGCTCTATATTGCCCCCTTACAATGCAGTGTCTCAGATTTTTTTCTCGGCCAAAGTTCCTGGGCCTGAAAATGGCCTAAAGGGGAAGGTGGCTGGGCTGACATGTTTTTCCACCATGATATTCCAGCCCCTGGCCCTACTCCAGGTTGCACAGAACCCTGGAACGTCCCATTCGAGAAGTGCAGTGGGCCAGCAGAAGCAATCCGATGCTCAGTGTGGTTCTTTATATATTGTTAGTCTGTTTCCCTCTTCATTTTCTGTCTCATAGCGTAGAGATCTAGACTTGTGTTTCTACTGTGGTCTTCCGTGCTCTGTAAAGCAAACATAACAGCCAGTACCTGTTATACCCTGGGTGCCTGCTAATTCATCTTGAAAAGTAATTGAGCTGCAGTTACTTTTCACATCAATCCAAACCAGGCCTGATTTCATTTCATCTCTTCCCGTATACCACAAAATTCACTTCTTGTGTCCGTCTTTCGTTTAAAACTTTAATTTCCAATTATTTCAATTCTGCAGTTTCATCTATTTTTTGAAACTATACTGATATCGAGCTGGATTACTAAAAGCTCTAGCTTACTACTTTTTTACCGTCCTGGCATTTACTCCGCTAACTTCTCCATTTCCATTCAGCAAAATCGTCATTCTCTGGGCGTCTCATTCTAATCGTACTTTGAGAGTTTCACCCTTAATGTCCATACAATTCGCTACTTATTACAACTCAAATTGTCTAACCCCAATCACATTTCTAACTTAAGTCATTCCTTTGAACCTAACAGCAAGAAGCTACCAGCTAATCGAAAAGAAAATTATCCTAATGAGCAGCAGGAGCAATAACCACAACAATTTGATCAACGACAGAGTAAGAACGGGAAATTCAAGATCATGTCTGGAAAAATCAGCTTCTTCCTCCTCGTTACTGGGGCGTACAAGAAAGATCTCTTCTGAATCGCAAAAGTCAAGACCTCTCAAGAGAGCAACGTCCCTCAGTTATAGAGTGTTCACCCCGACTCAAATGGTGATTCCAGCTAATTCATCCATCAATCGTTCCCAGAGCTTGCTCAATAAACCATCACCGGCACCAACAGGGCGTCTAGATGAAGCAAAAAAACTATCTTCGACATCATCATCATCATCATCATCAACATGCGTGGGTCGGTTCAGAAGGCGTCTGAGATCATTGAAAAGAAGCCCTTCTTCAATATCCCTTGCATCGCTGCACAAGCTTCACAGTAGCCCATCATCTTCAACTCTATCGTCACCCATAGAGTCATTGAAGTCCGAAAATTTTTCCGTCAACAACCTTGTGTCTCCACCATCAAGTCCTATCGAAAGCAGTGAAAATGAAAGTGAAGACTTTGATACTAGTTGCTTTTCGCATTCTTCAAATTCAGACACAAGAGATTCTTCCTTCCAGTTTTCAGCAAACAACACCTATAATTCATCATCTTGTGAAACATCGCCTGCTTCAGTTGGAAAAAAAGTACCTAAATTCAAGTTCAATTTTGGAGGTTACCTGAACAGAGATATACTACAAGACGTAAACAATGATGTCGAGTATGATGATATATACGATAGTGAAAATGATATTCAGCTCATTAACGATTTGCCTACACTTGCATCATTCAGCTCAACTGTTCACTCTACCGGTAGTAGACATAATCAGCAAAGCCATAAGATTTTCGAAATACCGGAAATTCTAGAAATCATTTTACGCCATGTAGCACATGATTACACGGACAAGATTCCAGTTGAGCCAAAACTAAGTCGCCGTCCTCCCTTATCCTACAATCACTCATTAATGATATATGGTGAAGAACGTGGGAAAAGAGTCTGGAATAGGACTGTCTCGAGCACCACAATGAGCTCATTTTCAAGTACCAATGGAAGACCAAATTCAGAATTTTCATCCACAGAGATGAAGAAGAATCCAAACTTATACAATTGCCTATTCGTTAATAAGAAATGGTACTTTACTATGCTTTCCATCTTGAACGAGAATCTTTTCTTTAAGTCCGATTCTCAATTTGAAAATTTCACTTCATCAATTTGCACATCCGATATCAATACCCCAGAACCATTTTCCTTGGTATTGCATAAGATCAAATCACCGCAATCTGTGATGGATGTGTTTGCATCACAAGTATCATCTCGTCGCCTTAATTGGTTGGAGTTTTATATTTGTCCAGCAATCCTACCCCCAATCAGTTTCATATCACATTCTTTAAAGAAGCTGGCACTTCCTGGATGTAGATCATTAACTGACGATCACTTGAAACTTCTTGTTTCTAGAGCCCCAGAGTTGATGCATCTTGATATCCGTGCATGTGATCAAATTACTGATGCATCAATATATTTTATTGCACTCAATTGTCCTAGATTGGAAATGTTAAATTGTGGTAGGCACACTCGTGGTGAGTTGATTTCCGATGTCTCAATCGGTATGATTGCAAAGCATTGCCAAATTCGTACCATTGGATTGGCTGGTTGCGGAATCTCAGACTGGGCTGTTTGGGAATTAGCCCTACATTGCGGTTCACGGCTAGAACGACTAAGCCTTAACTATTGTTGGAAATTATCCGATGTAGGTATTTGTCGAGTTTTAAAGGCAGGACTGATGGAGTCGCTCTCTGTATTGGAGATCCGTGGCGTTTCGCTGAATGATGTCCGGGATATAGTTCAATGGAAAAGGCGTAGATTGAGCTACAAACATAAAGTTTTGATTGAAGCATGCGAAAACTTGGATAGACTGATGAAGGATGTTCAAACACAGTTAGATTTAGAGGTGAGTAACAGAATCTTTAATGATATTAACGTTTGGTTACAAGCCTCTGATGATGAAAACGATGGAGGGGATGTGGATTATAGACGGTTTCTGAGCGAAAGAGCAGCTCACCAAACCAACTTTGCATAATGTTAATTTAACAGCTTTTTACTTATCTTGCATAATATTAATACTACATAGATAGAAATAAATTTCAACGAAAAATGAAAAATAAATGAATAGAGAAATCGAATAGAACATCAGGCCAATAGCATGAATGATAGTGTTATTTTTATAGGAATGTATGAAGAGAAACTCAAGCTTCACAATAAGCTCTATATAGTGTAAATGGTTTACCTGAAGTGTTGACAATTTCAACCTCAGCATCAGGTGCGATGAAGTAAACACCACCTTCGAATGCATCGAGAGTAGAGGAGCTTTCTTCACCCTTGATGAAGAGCTTTCCTGTACCTTCGCTAACAATCAAAATGGAAGGACCATCGACGCCTTTCATTTGAGCCTTACCTGAGGACTTAAATTCAATTTGCAAAACAGAAAACTCATCGATAGGTGGGTCGTAAAGTGCAAATGTTGCATCACCGGAACCACGAGCAAATGGAGCAGGGGTGAGTTTTTGTTCTTCGACATTGTTCGTGGAATACGTTAAGCTGTCGACAAGAACTGCAACATCCTTGAACTTAGGGGTGAATCCAGCACGGATAACGTTATCAGAAGCAGCCATACATTCCATGATATCACCAGAGATATACGCGTGAGGCTCGCAGGCTTGCAAGAACATTGCTTCACCGCTCTTCAAGATGCAGTGGTTGAGCATCAAGCAACCACAAAAAAGACCAACATCACCCGGAAATTGGACGTCAAGACGTTGGATCAAATCCGCAAGGGTTGCACCAAACGCTTCAGGCTGGGACTTTGTTCTTTCAAGAAGTTCTCCGGCGTACTTGGCAACAACGTCTTCCTCTGCATTCATCACCTTGGAGAAGACCTTTTGCAATGTTGCCTTTGAAGGAGAGCTAATGTACTCTTGAGTGATGTCGGCCCCGACCAGTTTACTGAATTCCGGAATTTTTTCCAAGTGCTCCTTGATCAAGGAGAGAGGCTTGAAACCGCAGAACGCTTCAAAGTCTGTAAGGGCGACAGCCATTTCAGGCTTGTGGTTGTCATCCGGGTAGTTCTTTGGGTCGGATTTGTGAAGCTGGCCAGCCAATTTCTTATCAGGGTGTGCCTGGATGGACAAAACCTTTTCGATAGATAGCACCTTGAAAAGAAATGGGAGTTCTGTCTTGGACCCGAACTTGGCGATGATCTTAGGACCCAAGTACTTTTCTGGGTTGGAAGAAATCACATCGGCCAATTTTTCGCCGCTGGAGTAGAGCGTGGTGGGAACCTTTGGATGTGTTCCCATCCATAGTTCGGCGTAAGGCAGCGACTCGTCGATGCTGACGTGTTCTGGGTCATTTGCGTGTGCGAATCTTGCCACCGCGGAAGAGGACCCTAGTTTACCCCAAGCATAGTTTTGTGGGCCTGTGAATACAACCGTCAGGAATCGTGTCGGTCGGTCTGTGGTTAGTATCTCGTGGCATTCGGACAGGTGTCTTTTTCGTTACGAAAAGAGAAAACTTACCACCGATTACTCTGAATAAGTCTGAAGACATTGTGTTTGGTTCTGTTATGGGGCTAGGATATAGATTCTGTGGTCTGTGGTTTCCGCGTCAGAGAGCGGGAAGGGCCAAAGAATACCGTACAGGTGTTAGGTTTGTGCACCAATAACGCAACGTGCAACGTGGAGAAAGAGAGATATATCAGGCCTCGCATTGGGAAGGTAAACAGAACCCAGCCAGCTGCAGGCGCTGAGCGTTGCTGGAGCCTGCGCAACGCGGTTGGAACCTCTGCCTCTGCCGCGAGGCAGAGAACCGAAGAGGCGAGGCAGGGAGGTTTTTCCGGCAGTTGTTTGTTGCCGTTGGCCGCGGAGCCCGAAACGCGGGAAACGAGGGGAGGGCCTCGGAAGATTGGACCGAAGGGACGGACGGGAGCCGGAGTTTTTCCGGGGATGGGTGGGGTATGCTAGCGGAGATAATTGTAACTATAGAAAAGAGAGGAGGAAAGAAGTGGGGCATAAGAGGGAAACGGGAATTCAGACTCCGATGAGGTCGAGTTCGCTGCTGCTGGAAGAGGAGAGCATACCGCTGGAGAAGCATGAGGTGAGGCCAGAACGGTCCAACTGGCCCCGAGGCGTCTGGTGTCTGCTGACTATTGGGTTCTCACCAGAATCTTTGCTGCCGTCGTTGCTGCTAGGGCTGTTGTCTTCGTTGTAGGAATCCCTAGCGGCAACGTCGCACGCGTCTAGCCAACCCGGCGGTGGGTTGTTCCCGCTGCTGCTGTTGTTGTTTCTGGAAGACGTAGTGTTGCTATTTAGTAAAGTGTTGCTCGGAGGCCGTCTCAGGCTGAAGGCGGTGGACGAAACCGACACGAGCGGAGACACTGGTCTCGAGGACGGGAGGCTTGCCGAGACGGTTTTCATGTGACGTTTCTCCATGGAGCTGCGTAGGACGGAGGACGAAGAGGAGGACGCTCGTGGCCTGAGGGTTGCCGAGGCATGGCTGTGGGATTCGCTGTACAGTGGTGCTGGCTCGCCAATGCTCGATGCGTCGTCATCGTAGACCTTGCGGTAGCAAGGAACGTCTTCGGCGATCTTGAAGAGCCTGGAGCTGCTGCCACTGCTCGGGGAGAAGTCCTCCAACGTCGGGGTCTCGAGACGCGGCGTGCCTGGAATCGGAGAGGTTCCCTCTGACCACATGTTGGGTTCAAAGACGGCGTCGTTGGCGCTCTCGGTGTAACTTGGAGGAACCTCGCATCTGGTGGAGCAGTTGTTTGGATTTTCGGACAACTGCGGGATCATGAGGGCCGGCGATGGCGAGGGTGTGTCAGCGATGGCGGCATCAATCTCGTCGGCATTTGGGTTATCTTTGAATAGAAAGGAGTCTGGGTTAAGTTCGTCGCACATACTCACAATGAGCTCGGGAATGTCGCCATCTTCGCCTGCACTGATGTTGTTGTTGTCGCTATCGACATCGAAGACAAGACTCTTGCCGGTAGCAAAGGCGACGGTCCCTGTGTCTTTGTTGATCTCGACGTTTTTACCGTAGATCCTACTGTTCGGCTTGATGTAAAATCCAAATGGAATCTTCGACTTGATCTGGGAGATGTGGCCGTCCGGATTGACTAAATTGATGAAGATGATCAGCTTGTGTTTCACCGATATCAAATGGGAGGCTGTTTCCACATCTGGGGAGCAGTTTTTCAACATGTCTGACGTGGGCAAGCGGGCCTCCAAGGCCCACACATCCTGCGGCAAATGGGAGTGGGGCACAACTGGTAGGGACTTTTGGTACACAATTTTCTCGTCTGTAAAGGTTTTTTCGCCAAACTCGTTCGGCTTGGATGAGTGAAACTTCAGGTACTGCGCAATCTGGACGGTAATCTTGCCTAGCTTCAACTGCTTCATGATGGGAATGATCAACAGATAGATCTTCAGCATCGAGCCGACGGGGACAAGTTTCCTTGGAATCCTGATTTTGTACTGGAGCTTGCATGCCCAGGAATTTTCAGCCAAGAAGTCTTCGTTCAGTGCTAGCTGTAAGGAGGAAAGTGTTCGGATAACCCGCACATACTTGTGGGCAGTGAACGTGGTACCATCGTCGCTGCTGCCTGCCGTCTTCGCCGGGTCCAGCGCGTTAATCTTGCTCTCAAAGCGGTACACGATGCTGACGCTCTTCATGGACTCGACGGTCTCCGGAATGGAGCCAGGAAGAGTGATGTGGAAGGGGAAGGAGTAGTTCCCTGGCGGGAGCTCGAAAACGGTGTTCTCGGTGTCGACGCCGGCGAAAGGGGTGGTGCCGAGCCGGATGTCTGTGTTGTAGCGGATGGTTCTGCAGCTGCTGAAGTTGTGGAGAAGCTGGCTGCTGCGGAAGTTGCGGGGCAAGATGGAGAGGCCCTTGGAGGATGTGGGGGTGGCCGAGGACGACGACGTCTTCGACGCAGACACGGCGGGCGTGGCCGGAACTGCCCTCGAGTTGACGACCCGTCCCTGCGAGGACGTGAGCAGGTTGTCCCACGTGCAGTTGAGCACGTCCACGCTGTCGAGAAAGGGGCAGGTGGCGATGACCTTGCCGTTGCTGGCCTGGAAGTTCTCCACAAAGTGGACGTTGTAGGTGCCGCGGAGGTTGAGCGAGATGGACGAGACGCACGTTGTTGCAAGCAAGCTGAACACAACCTGCCCGGAGATGGCGACCGGATCGGACTCGTTTGGCGAGCCCTTCACGAGGATCACGTTCTTGTGTGTGGAGTGCAGCCGCACGTCCTGGTACGCCGGCGTGCCGCTGTGTCTCCCCAGCGACGGTCCGGTCGGCGACGCCGACCGGGACGCCGTCTTGTGCTTGAGGTCGAGCGTCAGCGGAGAGCCAGACCTGAACATCTGTTTGGCTTGAAGCTGCAACGGTATTTGGTATCACACACACCGACCAACAGGTGCCAAGCGCTTGTTTCAAGACGTGGCTGTAGCAGCGGCGGGAAGACGGGGCTCGCACAACTATATATATACACATATATATGGCTGACCCGCACGCACGTCATACGCACGGCACAGCGACCGATACAGCGACACACGAGACAATAGCCCGCCCCTTGTCTGCTGCTGCAAGTACTCCAGCTTCTCTCGCTCGTGTAGGCCCACGCTGGCCTGCGCAGGCCCACCTATCCCACTCGCCCCGCGGTCATCGTCCCCCGACGGTCCGCAACAATGGCGCCCGGGCGGTGCCGGCAACAGCCCCGGGCGGGGGTGTTTTCGGGCAGAGGCTGGCGAGGCTAGCGACACCCCCTCTTTTGCTGCTCCTCCGCCTCCTCCTGCTGCGGGCGCCAGTAGCAGTGCCAGCCGGCCTGCACACAGAGGCCGCCTGCGACGGCGACGACGGCGAAGACAGCAAAGGGGGTGCGCAGACAGAAGCCCCCGCCCGGTGGCCCGGGCGGAGCCCCGCTCCCGCCGGCGGCTACGCCGCCGGCGCCACAGTGGGAATCGTACTCGAGGGCGTAGAACAGGCCGAAGAGGATCGACCCGACGGCCGGAGCGGCGAGAAAAAGCCCCCAGGTGGAGCCGAAGATCTCCACCCCCCACACGGTCGCGACGAGCGTGGGGAACATGGTAAAGACGGTGCCGTAGGCGGTGCCAAGAACAATGCTGACGAGGCCGGCGTGGCGTGTGCCGGCGGCGACGAGCGTAAAGCCGGCGGCGGTGAGGGCGACGGCGGCGAAGATGAGGCGCACCGTGGAGCGGCAGCTGTTGAGGACGTCGCTGAGCACACCCATGCTGAGCCGGGTGGCCGTGCTGGCGACAGCGAAGACAGCCACCTGGGTGGAGATCTGGCGCTCGTCGCCGCTGCTGCCGGGGGCGTTCTTGAGGATCGAGCCCAGGTTCGAGATGTACAGCTCGAGCGGGCCCGCGAGACAGAAGAGGGCTGCCAGCACGAGCCGCATCGACGGGTCGCGCAGGAACGCACGGAAGCGGTCCCCATGCGTGGCCGTGTCCACGACGCCGGCGTCGAGCAGGCCGGCCTCCTCGTCGGCCGCGGCGGGGCCGCCGCCGGCGGAGGGGGTGGTGGTGGTGCCATGGGCCACGCCGTCGGCCGCGGGGCGAGGGCGAGGGCCCCCCGCCCCGGAAGAGCCCACGGCCCCGTAGCCGGCGGGGGCGTCCGTCTGCGGGTCTGCTTGGGCGGCGCGCTCCGCCCGCTCCGCCCGCTCCTCCTCAAAGAGCCGGGAAAAGACAATCTCCTTTTCGAGGCTCACCACAACGCTACTCACCCAGTTCACCGCACACACGACGGCGTAGAGGGCCGTGAGCGAGAGGAACACCCGCTGGATGTGCAGCTGGCCCGTGGCCTGGTCCACAAAGACGTCCCACGTGAGCAGCCACGCTAGCAGAAACGCACTGAGCCCGTAGCATGACACAGGCAGCGAGATGCTGAGGCCCTTGCGGTCGGGGAACACGCGGGCACACGTGAGCAAGCTGCAAAAGTAGGCGCTGGAAGTGCCCGTGCCGATGAGGAAGAAGGCCACAGCCATCCACCACTCGCCGGCACGGGCCTCGTAGACCTTCCAGGCCAGGAAGTACCCCGGCGACACAAGCAGGCCGATCAGCGCCAAGAGCACGGGGCCGTGGGCGTCGGCAAAGTAGCCGAGCAGTGGGAGCGTGAGGTAGAGCCCGAGCAGCATCGCCCCGGAAATGATGTTGATCGACACCTGGGTGTAGTTCAGGCCGGCAATGAACGCCGGCGTGTACAGCGAGAAGACCGACACGTTGGCGTCGAGCAAACACGTCACCAACGACATGCCAAACGACAGGTAGCGAATCTGGTCCGCCGTGAACGTCCGCTGTAGCGCAGCACGCATGTGTCTCGTCAACACGTTCTCCAGTCTAGACAGCCCGTTCTTCATTCTGTCGGCTATGTCCTGTTCTTCGTCTAGGATGCGTTGTGTGTGTCTGTGGCTATGTATCAACTGGTTGAACCGGTACGGACCACACCATACACGTATACACAACTATATGCTCTCCCGGGCGGGTCTCTATCTATGCGTACATGGCTCTAAAGATAGCCGGGGCAAACCCCAGCCAGGCGTCGGTTTGCCAGTCGAGCCGGTCGAACAGGCCAAAGAAAAACTCCTCCATCGCTGGCGCCGCGGCCTCCACCCGGCGGCCCGTGCCCTGCGCCCGGCGGAAAAAAGCTACCTCCTTTCAGAAGGTGAAGCTCTTCTCCACCTCACCGGACGTGTCTAATATCTGTTTGTAGTTGGCGGGTCTGGGCTGCAGAACAAGCACAGGCGCATGTGCGAACGACTTCATGCCAATGAGCTCGGTTTGCCCGAAAAGCGTGTCGCTCAGAGGCTGTTGCGGAACTAGGTACTCTTCCTCCTCACGGCACTTGGTGACGTTCTCAAAGGCCCTCCCGTTCTTTGTTAATGTGTTGTTGCCGACCTGTATTTTGAAAGAACTGTCCTCCGCCTCCAGGTTCTCCACCGGGATGCCCGTAGTGTTACGGTAAGTCGGGTATTCGTCACGCTTCTGATTCTTTTCGTGGAAGGAGGACGATAGCGATGGTACAATCTCGTTGAAGTTCAACTTGTTTTCTGAATCAAAGGAGGGAGTTATGTCAATACTCTTATCGGCATCGTTTATCCTCAAACAGATGCTTTTGTTCTTATTGTTGTCCTTTTCCTTCAGCTCGGCGTTGTTGATGAAACAAAACGTGGACTGGAGTAGGTCAATTGATTTCACGGACGACTGTAGCCAATTTTTCGAAATCAACTCGAAAAACAAGCTTGATAGCTTGGAGGTGGATGCCGACGATGAAGAGGATGACGATAAAGATGACGATGAGACAGAGTTTCCCAACTCTGCGCTTTTCAAATTTGGCTCCGACTTGCTGATGACCGTTATCAACAACGGCGAATCGATCTCTAATGGACTGTTGTAGTACAGAATCTGGTCGCTGCATGCAATCAAAAAGTCCTCCAAGAAGACCGAGGACACTTTCAACGTCTGCAAGTACGTTATTGGAATCAAGATGTTGTAGTCGTCGATCTTGAAGTTCCCTTTGAGGTCGAAGGGAATTGACCCGGACAATTTGGTCTGGTCCAACTGAATCGACTCTTTCAAGTTGAAAAGAAATACGGAGTTCGTGTTCACCGGGAGGAAAGAGGGCTCGTTGACCATCTTCGGGAACCCAGACCCGAGAATTGGCAACTTGAAAGAGATCCCCTTGATTCCTAGCTTTTTCAACGTGTTGTTTTTGATGATCCTCGATGACAAGAGAATCGCTGAGGTCTTTTCATTGTCGTAGTCCGCCGAGAAGTCCGTGAACGTCTCCTTGTAGTGCTCTAGAGCGGAGACTTTTGCCCTGATCGGTCTTCTGGACACTGTGGATCCCTTGGACCCTGCGGATCCCGAAGAGCCCGCAGAGTCGGTTCTCCCCTCGTTGAAGTTGAAGAGAGCAGCCAAATCTGCGTTACTGGCCCCCGGCTGCGGTGACCGGACTTCGCTGCTGCTCCTCCGATCTGAAGCTCCTGCTCCATTCACGTTGCCGCCATTGCTACTGGCACCAACGATTCCGCCAACATCGCCCGCATTCTGCTTCAGCCCGTGCTCTACAAAAACCTCCTCTTGTGTGGGAACCTTAGAGTTTGTCAACAACGACGATATCCCTTTCGGTATGATAGCCGCCTCGGTGACAGTAACGGCCGGCGTGAATAGTGGCGAAGCCAGCAATATTAGCAATGGGTTCAGCAGCCTCATTCAAACGGTGTTTTCCTTGCTATTTGCTGTTTTTTTGATTCTGTAGCTATTCTACTGCAATACGTGCTCTAGCTAGTACTAAATTTACGTTACTATACGTTACTCCACTGTTCAGTCTGGATGGATGTGGCTTCTGCACAATTCCTTCTTCTCTGATCGACCTTTTCGCCTGCGCCGAAATAAGCAATGTCTCTGTTTACCGCAGTGTAAACAATCTCGGTCAAGGACACCCTGCTGTCCCGCCAAACCACCTGTCCCGCCAAATTCTCCCCGAGAAGAAGACAATGAAGGAGGAGAATCACCCCTCAACCACTGTGTGGGCCATCTCCGGTAGACAGACAGGACCGGCCTTCCCAACAACACTAAACGGGGAACACCCCTGGTAGGCACAGAAAGCAGTCTCCGTGTGGCTCCCGCCCCTGTCAGCGTCTTCCACTATGGCATATGCCGCTCTCTTGCCCCATCGGGCTTCTCCCCACAGGCTGTACCGGATACTCCCCATAATAAAAGTCGTGGCACAGCGTGCATGTCCACACAAACTGCTTTCTCTGCTTTTACCTTGCTCCCTCTGAAAAAAAACGACGCACGCCGCCTTTCTCATCCTCAGAGCCTCTCCAGAGAGAAAACAGAGGGAGAGTGAGGGGTGTGCGAGTGGCATCATGGAATCGGCAGGAGGAGGAGGGCCGTCTCGCATCACAGGAGGAGGAGAAGAAGAGTGGGTGGGCGGATAAGGGGAGGGGAGAAGAAAGGTACCGTAGAGGTTGGGTTCTGCAACACGAAAAAGCAAGACAGAGCCACACATCATGTCTGTGAAATTGAGCACGTTGCACCGTCTGGGCGCCATTGGCAGCAAAACTGCGGCGACGCCACGGAGACTGTTCTCGCAGATCGGTCCGTTGAAAGACCAGCAGCAACAGCAACAAGATTTCACGCACTTTGGGTACAAAACCGTGCCTAAGGGCGAGAAGGAGAGACTCGTACATGACGTGTTTTCGTCGGTGGCGTCCAAGTACGACGTGATGAACGACGTGATGTCGATGGGAGTGCACAGACTCTGGAAGAAGCACTTGATCGAAAAGCTCGACTGCGGCATGAGACCAAACTCGGGAGAGCTATTGGCTTTCTTAGACGTTGCTGGGGGCACGGGCGACATTGCATTTGGGTTGCTGGACCACGCAAGACTCAAGTATGGCGACAACAAGTCGACGATGACCGTCGCAGACATCAACCCGGACATGCTCAGAGAGGGGGAGAAGCGCTGCCTCTCGACGCCGTACGCCAACTCTGCGAGAATACAGTTTCTTGAACAGAACGGTGAGACTATGGACGCCATTCCAGACAACTCGAAGGACGTGTACACAATTGCGTTCGGAATCAGAAACTTCACTAACGTCCAGGCCGGCTTGAACACCGCCTACCGCGTCTTGAAGCCGGGTGGAATCTTTGCCTGCTTGGAGTTCTCTCAGGTCGAGGAGCCAGCACTGGACTACCTCTACCAAATCTACTCCTTTTCCCTCCTGCCTATGATGGGCCAGCTCATCGCCAACGACAGAGACTCCTACCAGTACTTGGTGGAGAGCATCAGAAAGTTCCCCAACCAGGAGACCTTCGCCAACATGATCAGAGAGGCCGGCTTCTACGTCCCGGGCAAGGGCTACGAAAACCTCACCTTCGGTGTCGCCGCCATTCACATCGGCGTTAAGCTCTAATGAATGTGTCTTTCTTCATCCTACGTATCTAGCTAGCCGTCCTGTGTATATAGACTTGTCAAAAAGTGTATGATGAAACTTAAGCAACCCGCAGCCATCTCGCGCTAGCGTCTGAAAAAGTATAAAAGGGCCTCAGTGCCCCTCCTCCCTTCTTCCTCCTTAGCACACCGCTGGCCGGGCTCAGGGTCTTTTTGATGTTCCTCTTTCTCCATCCTTATGCTAGGGCATTACGTGTATCAGTGAGGATTCGTCCGAGATCATGTTTTTGCTAGTTGAAAACTTCAACATGACTACTTCCCTGTGGCTGCTCTGGCGGTTCACCTGGAGAATTTTTGGAACCCTTTCTTTCTCTGTCTCTTTTCACCCCGCCCGGTTCGCAGAACGCTCAGTCCTTGGCTAGCGCTTGCGGTATCGGTAGGTGGTCCCCGCTATCTGCTGCTGCACTGTAGTCGTGTGCGCACGTGCCCCCGTAGGTAATGCAGGCCAGCCCCAACAGCTTGGATCGTTCACCCAAGACCCGCAGAGTCCGTCCGCCTGGGAAGCAGGAGGATTCTTCTCACCTTTTCCGATCGACATGAATCGCATGAAAAATTCTTTGTCCTCTCTCATCATCTACACTTGCTGTAAGATGCTGGAAGCATTGGCGGCTTCTACCGTTTCTGTAGCACGACACTCCTCTCCCGCAGCAGCAGCACAGATAGCATGTTCAAGAAATTCACCAAGGACGACGTCCATACCCGTACGAACGTCAAGGCGTCCGTCTCCAAGACTTTGAAGTCCAAACTTGTCACGCAGTACCCAAAGCTCGAGGAGTACATTGACGAGATAATCCCGAAGAAGGTGCCTGTGTCATTATTCAAGTGCGAAGACAAGATACAACTATACGTTGTGGACAACCAGGTGCTATTCTACCAGCAGTTTGATGACTTGATTCCGGCGTTGCGTGTCGTGCACAAATACCCAGAGGCTTTCCCACGCGTGCAGGTCGACAGAGGCGCCATCAAGTTCGTGCTCTCTGGAGCCAACATCATGTGTCCTGGTTTGACGTCTGCCGGCGCCAAGTTGCCAGACGAAGATTGGCCCATCGACAAAATCGTCACTGTCTACGCGGAAGGCAAGGAAAGCGCAATGGCCGTCGGCAAATTGGCAATGTCCATCCATGACATCAAAACAATCAACAAGAACACCGGTATAGAGCTATATGAATACCTTGGTGACGGATTATGGCATTTCAAAACAGACTAATGGCTACAATTTTTTCTTTCCTTCTCTTTCCTTTGGTATAATCAAATTAACACTGTGCTTTTCTATCTATCTACACCTATATACATTTGTACTCACAGATACACAGAAAATGAATTAAGTATATGAAGCGGTCTATTTATATCGAGACGCATCTAGCGTATCGTGGAATCGTGACTACAAAGTAGAAACTCGCTTGAAACTGTTCTGAGACCCATTCCCGAGCTTGAATGTGCCTGCAGTGAATTGGTTGGCTTTGGAGATAATCGCAGCGTCTCGGAAGTTGGCAAAGGTAAGTGAGTGCTTCAACGTCTCATGTGGTCCGCTCGTTTCTAGGGAGTCAGCGGAACTGTTACTCCCGTTGAGGTTGCTGAGCTCATGCAAGTTCATTGTGGACCGTGTTCTTAATCTTCCGTCAGCATTATTGCTGCCTATCATGCGTGACAAACCCCTTCCTTCTTCTAGATCGAACAAATCCTCTGTTGAGTCCAGCTTATCCGGTCCATGCACTTTTTTCATCAGTTTCTTCACACTTCCCAACTTGCTGACAATTATATAGTAAACCGTGCACCCGACCAAAAGAAAAATTCCAAGTGTAATAAATGGAGTAAACGAGCTTTTGATGTCTGCTAACGGCTCACCATCGTTGGGCCTGTGGGACTTGGTCTTATCAATCTTTTCTGCAACAGCAGACCCCGGCCATATTCCAACGCTACCTTCACCACTATTCTGTGATGAGGCATAAAGGACCATCTTACCCAACGTCCATGACAGCTCATTCCCATCTATGTCGTTCACACTCTTGAACACAGGCTCGTCCTTCTCACTTACTTGAGAGACCTTATCCACCCCTAATCTCGGTATTCCAAATCCCTCATGTAAAACATTCACTATCCAACTAGCCTTAAAGCAAGAAGTTTGTAGCAAATCCAAGGTTAAAGCATTCCCATATTCCTTATTCTCAAATTTATTAAAAATTGTGTCCCAGTCAGTACTGCAAAATTCCTTTGTGGCAGCTTCAAAATCCTCGTAATTATATTCTCCGGTAAGCTTGAAAACATCATTGGCTGTATACCAGTATTCACTAACCCCAACAAATTTTTCCATCGAAAAATCCATCGACGGAGCATGAACACCATTGAACAAACATGGTTCGTCAGAACATGGTAAGTGTTTCAATAATAGAGGGTATATTGTTTTGAGACATCCTTCGTATTCACCTGAACCTGTCACGGTGAACATCTTGCCGTTGTATTCAACCTCTGTCTTCATTCCGACTGGTGAACAGGGATCAACCAAATCTCCTTTTCCGTCTCCATCTCTATCATAATCAACATTCTCAGGCAGCGCGTTAACGAGCGCATCTAATTGTCTTCTTCTTGCTTCGTTTGCCCCAAATCCTAACCAGCTAGAGACAAAAACAGACCATGAGTTCAATTCACCATTATTACTCTTCAAGCTCACAGAATACATGTCATCTGAATGTTTATCCAATTGATCTTTTCTACTTGGAACAAATGCCAATTGTGTTGATGCTCCTCCCATATCCATGAATCCATATGGATGACGCTGTTTTATTTCGGGATCAGCTTCACTCGAAGAAACTAGTCTATCGGTAAGATAGTTTAATGCCAGCCAACCATACAGCCCTTCTGTATCTCCGTCGATGACCTCTACATGTTCATTGCATGGCTCGACTATGAAATCACTTTTATGAGCTAACACTTCACATGTTTCCTTCAAAACACGGTCACGATCCTTAGTAGGAAGCAGTCTCATACCAGCTGTGGCTTGAACATAGATAGGAGTAGAACCGTGCATGTTTGAAGGTATCACCTTTTTAGCTTTGTCCACTAACTCTTCAAAATGGTCATCCCATATGTCATAGGTCCCTTCCTTTTTTTTGCCAAAAGCAGATAGTCCTGGTTTAGTCTTCTTCCTCAATATCTGTTTTATCTTCGGTAAGCCAGATGGGTCATTTTTAGGGTCAGAGATATACTCATAAACAATAGCACGGGACCCCGAAGAGCCTGAATCGATGATGATCGCATACTTTGCAGGCGGCGACATCTTTCAATACCCAATTCAAGATCAAGTTATGAATTCTGTTGGTTCTGTCGTTTCTAACCTTTAAATGGTGTGATATAGTAAGTAAGATTTTGAATTTCTGTTAAAGACTTTAACCAGAGCCCGGTGCTGAAAGTATAAATCACTAAATACGCACGCACCACACTCAGGCTTAAAATATTCCTTGCCTAAGAAGCTTTTACAAGGTCTGAGAGAAAATTTTACCTTTTGCCATGCTACACATTATGTAATTCGTAGGTGCCTTGTCTATTAACCTATTGTAATACGTTTAAGAGAATGATTGATATAGAGAGAAGCAAACAAAAGTGAAGTTAATTTGTCGAGAAGCGGGTATATGTGTAAAGCATATACTTTGTTGACAAAAATTCATAGCATTAACGTAAATTAAAAGTAGAAGAAGAATAAAAGAAATGTTACAAAAGCCGAGATGAGAAGTTGAATCACCAGATTTGGAACTCGTCAAAGAAGTCGACACTCTTATCCCAGGTGGTAACATTTTCTGTAATAGTGTTTCTAATGTCATCCATCATCACCGGTGGTCCACAAGCCATAATACCTATGCTCTTTGAGCTTGAATCTCTAACAGAAGCATTGATAAGTTCGTGAAGGTTTGGTCTTCCGTAATTTATAGTAATGTTGCTGAGATGATCCCCCTTGAGTTCGACATTTTTGTCGCTGTCAGATTCTTTTCCGGAACTTTCAGTACTTAAGTTTTCGGATTCTGAACCACTGAATAAGTCTTGAACTGTACATGCTCTGTTAGAACCATCTTGCTTGGTGAGGTAGAGGTCAATTTCAATGTTAACTTTTTCAAGAAGAGGCTGGTATGCCTTGACCGTTTGCAAGCTTTGAGCAACCCAGATCATCTTACCCTTGGTTGCCTTAGCAGCATTTTCAAGGATACCAGGGGCACCTGAACCACCGGCAACTAATAATGATTCTTCATACTTGCTCAATTTAGGTGATCCACCACCTCCGTAGGGGCCTTCAAGACAAACTTTACACTGGAGCTTGTTGTTGTTTGCAACCAGCTTATTCCACATTCTGTAGGTAACACCTCTCTTTACTCTGATGTACGCACAAAGGTTGTTACCTTCAAGAACGGTGGTAAAAGGATGGTTTTCCCAGAAGATCCAGCCTGCAAAATAAATGTAAGAATAATTTCCTGGACTGTGGAACCACCAAGCTGGTTTTGGAACTTCTACTTTCATTATTTGTTCATCGACTGCTGTCACAGTTGCAGTTCTCCAACCGAACGCAGACATACGAATGACACGAATCAGTCTGTCTAAGAACCAAACACAACATGATGCAATTAACCACTCTAACCAACCCAATGCTCTACAGTGGTACCAGCACATAATGATGAAACAAATTGCCAATACAACGTGAATAGTTAAGAAATATTCGTAAAAGAATTTTCTGAAAGGATGCATTGCTTGTAGAAGAATGACACCACAAATTACAGTTGCAGCAACACCACAAGCAAAGTAAGGATCATGAAGGTATACGACATAGTATCCCAAGGAATTGATGGTATAAGCCACTGAATGAATCAATGCATCAGGGCCATCCAACAGGCCACAACTTTGTGGAAATGGAGGAAAGTAGAGTAAGACCAACCAGTGATGTAAAGTAAAAAGTTGTTTCTACCTGCAAATAAGATTAATAATGGAATCTTACCAAATGCCATGATACCTGTACGATCTGCAACAAATCTTTGCCATGCGTGATCAGGGGAGCCAAACCACCAGGTACCTTTATATTCATAGCTGACACAATAGAAGGCAATCTGCAAACCGAAAAGGAAAACATCTGTAATAAATTGGATCCTGTTTGGGAACAAGCCAGAAAAATAAGTCCAGCCGTACTCTTGAGCAAACTTACCATTTGGAAGTAATGTTGGGAAAATAACGTACTTCTGGCACAACTTGGAAAACTTAGAGTTGTTGATCGAGCTAGAGATACCCGTTGCTCTGAAAAAGTTGTGGATTGCACTGATTACAATCAACAGCAAGAAATAACCACAGATACCAACACTGAACCAAGTACCTGAATCGAGGTCAAAGTAGTAACCTCTGTAACCCTTGTATTCGAGTTCGAGGGATGTCAAGTTTGGAGTAGTCGGAGCGTAAATTGGAAGCGAAATATTAGATATTTGATCCAGTGGTTGATAATATTTGGTTGCGTTCTCATATTGCTCCTTGTAGTAAGTCCAATGATAGTGGTACGAGCTATACTTATCGCAAGATTTCTTGGCGGTCTTGAAAATCTTCTCTTGGTATGCTTCACTCTTATCATAGGAAAGTTCGACCGAGCAAATCAAAATTGATCCAACTGCTGGTGGGTACCCACAGATAGCATCGTAAAGGTAGGAGTAAGAACCAAGACCAAGAGGAGTATAGTCGAAAGTGAATAGAGCGACACCGGTATCACAGGTCCAGTATTCTGCGGAACCTTTGTCATAGGCCAATGTGGATGGAATGTACGCACCTGCGTAACATCTATGAACAAGAGCCAATACTAATGTCAATAACTGTACGAAACATTTCATAATGGGTAGTTAACCTTTGGTCAGTCGATGGTTGGATTCAAGTATGAAAAGAGGGGAAGGAGATCAAGACGGGAGAAATAAAAAATTTAAAGAAAGACAAAACAGAAGGTGGAAGAGGAACATTATATAGGAAAAAAGAGATAGCAGCATGGTGGAAACGGTAACCTTATGAAAATTTCATTTTGCACTGATCCTAATGGTGAAGAAAAAAAACAATTCAAGGAAACTCAAAAGGCATTCGAACAATGCATAATTAAACGTTTGCCATGAAAACCCTTGACAAAGGTTAACAAAAACAAGTGCCGCTGCTGATCCTCAATTAGCATCCAGTTGACGCATGAAGATATGCAGACCGGGGCTGTTGTACAGCACATAAAACATCGGTCTATGCGATCGTTCACTGCTGGCGTCCACCCCGGCTTTACGGAGTGGGGCCGCATGCACAAAATTCATGCTCCATGGCTGTAGCCTTTTTCCAATCATGTTTCAACAAATGTCAAAAAATAACTCCTGCAGACAGGCCGAATCAGGAAGGTGCCACTGTCCTCGGCCTTTTCCTTTTTCGAGAAAATGTGGAGAAACCGGACTCTAAAGTTTTGGTCGTCTAACTTATTCACAGCTTGGCCACCTCCCCGAGCGGCTTTTTTCCCCTCTTTGTTATAGTAGGTACGACGGTTTTTATTTGTGGATCCATACAAGCAATGGAATGGGGCTAGAGCGTTAGCCTTTTTTCGGACAAAGAACGCGTAGTGTCGGAGCAGCGTCTAGGAAATAAAATCCGATATCTCGCGAGGAGCGTTCCTCTTCCACTTTTCGCTCAAAGTTTTTTTTATCACGATGGCATTCGGCAAGCTCGTGTGGCAGTTACATTTTGAACGGCCTCTTCCCATTGTTGCGCACGATTTTTCGATTGAGCTGGATGCATCAGGTCTGGCTAGACTTGTGTGCTAGGTTTACTTCCTATTTCCAGATTTTGTGTTCCTTTTGAATTCCGCATACAATTGGTCAACGGCAAATACGTTATTTCGTAGAAATTGTCGAGAGAAAACCTTTGAGGGCGGAGGCATAGAGCTTCAAAAAGGTTACGCATCCTTTGTGGAAGGAAATAGGCAGTACTGCTACTACATATGTGTTAGAATGTACAGGACTTTGATTTTTCTGCAGAGCTAAGAAAAGATTAAAATCAGGGGGATAAGCGTAATTCTGAAAGTCGCACTTTCTCAGATCTGTATTGGAATATGGGGGTGTATATTACGTCAATGTCCAACTGGCACCAAGCATAAAAGCTGTAATCCTGGGACGTCGCTGCCAGAGTGCGGCAAGCAAAATGCATGAGCAAATTGAGTTTGAGCAGAAGGAATAGACCTTTTCGGGAGACCGTTAGTGATGTGTGCCGGCGTGGCGTATCATTAAAAAAGTACTTAAATAAGTTTCCGTGATCTTCGCTGAAGAATCATTTCGTCCTATTATGAAGGTTGTCTTGCAACGCATCACTCTACATGTTTCCAAGCCAGATCTCACTAGATGTTTTCACAGCGAGCGGCAAGGGAGAACTTGTTACTTTTCGATGGACGTTTTAAGTCTTTTTCTTGCTCCTTGGCTCATTGTTGCACACTTATCTATCTCTCGAGGGGCACAATCCGGGCTCTTATGATCTTTGCCTGGCCAGGGCATGATGACAAACCTCAAATGTTCTTGTAATAACTGTAGCGCTCTCCCTCTCCTTTCTACGGTGACGGATAGACAGACATGTCTGAAATTCGATGTAATTTTTCATTTTCCTCGCTTTTTTTGAATTTGCATTTTTTCATTTTCCATAATGAATTTTTTTCACAAAAAAATTTTATGTAACAAATTTGGATCTTACATTATCATCACCTTTACTATCTACACAGATTGAAATCAACTAGTCTTAGAACGGAGAAAGTTCAGAGCACTTCGTTGAATAGGCAATAGCAATGAGAGTGAAGAAGCCAACATCCAAGCGTATGACCACCCGTTTACGGGAAGGTATCAAGAAGAAAGCCTCGGCACAGCGCCGTAAGGAGAAGAAGACAGCAAAGAAGGATGTGACGTGGAAGTCCCGTAATAAGAAGGATCCAGGTATTCCTGCGTCGTTCCCATACAAGGAGAAGCTTATTGAGGAGATTGAGCAGCGTAAGCAAGAACGTGAAGAACACAAAAGGCAGATGAAGCTGCAGAAGCGAAACGCACAAATCAACGCATCTGCAGAAGATATTGTTGCGGAGGAAGAAATGGTGGTCGAGGAGGACGATGGAGCCGGTGGTATGGCAGCTCTATTAGAGAGCGCCGAGCAGGCAGCAAGGGATTATGAAGGCGAGGACACAGCAGGTGCAGCAGAGAACGATCAAGACAGAATGATTGAGGACGGAGAGGAGCTCGAGGTCATTGATCACGAGATTGTATACGACGATGATGAAGAGGCCAGCAACAACAACGAGATCGAGAAGTCCAGGAAACAGTTTGACAAAGTTTTCAAATCTGTTGTCGATATAGCCGATGTTGTACTTTATGTCCTCGATGCACGTGACCCGGAGAGCACCAGATCGAAGAAGATCGAAGAAGCCATTTTACAGAGCCAAGGAAAGAGGTTGATTTTGTTGTTGAACAAGGTGGACTTGGTTCCGGATGAGGTTGTCAAGCAATGGTTAGACTTCCTTGGATCCTCTTTCCCAACGATCCCTATCAAGGGGTCGAGCGGCGCTGTCACTGGTAAGACGTTCAATAAGAAGCTTACGCAGAATGCCACAGCCGGGAACTTGCTATTGGCGTTGAAGGCGTATGCACAGAAGAGTAATCTACACAGATCGATTGTTGTTGGTGTCATCGGGTACCCGAATGTGGGGAAGTCGTCGATCATCAATGCGTTGACGTCCCAGCGTGGTAAGAACAACACCGCATGCCCTGTGGGCAACCAGGCGGGCATAACCCGTACGTTGAGAGAGATCAAGATCGACAACAAGTTGAAGATCATCGACTCTCCCGGGATTGTCTTCCCGGAGAACACGAAGAGGGGCAACAGCGCCAAGAGCAAGAAGGATTACGAGGCAAAGTTGGCTGTGTTGAGCGCCATACCTGAGAAGCAGATCGAGGACCCTATCTATGCCGTGGGCTTCTTGCTCAAGAAGTTGTCGCAGGACACGACGATGGCGGAGAACTTCAAGCAGTTCTACAAGATCCCTGCAGTTGCGTCGATAAATCTGGACGACTTCACGAGGAAGGTGCTGATCCACATAGCGAGAAACCAGGGCAGGCTTGGCCGTGGCGGAGTTGCGAACCTGCACGCTGCGGCGTGCATTGTGTTGAAGGACTGGAGAGACGGGAAGTTCCAGGGATGGACCCTGCCTAAGTCGTCGAAGGGCCAGGCGGCGTCTGCAGAGGACGACGAAGCCCACGGGGTCAACGGCGGCAGAGGCGTCACTCCGCCAGCCAAGGTTGAGCAGACCACGGTTGTGAAGGAGTGGGCGCAGGAGTTTGATCTCGACAGCTTGTTCTCAGACGTGTTTGGCGCCAAGTGAGGGCAGAGCACGAGGCGGCGTCCGGAGGCTCGGCTCGCCCGGGCCGTGCGCTGCCGCCTATGCTGCCGCTCTACTGTGTAACATACCAACATATTAACATATCAACATATTATTAGCCTATAGAGTATAAAGTATAAAGCATGCGCCACGCTCAAGCCAATTTGTCGAGCGTCTGCTTGATGGCAGCCGGGTTGGCGCCAATGACCTTGCCGACCAACTCGCCGCTCTTGAAGAACAACAAGGTTGGCATCGACGTCACCTCGTTGGACGCAGCCACCGAAGGCAACTGGTCGACGTCCACCTTGTAGAACTTGGCGGACGAGTAGTCGTTGGAGAACTTCTCCAGCATTGGGGCAATCATCTTGCAAGGCCCGCACCAGACGGCGAAGAAGTCGACTACGACCAAGTGTTGTGCGGCGATTGCGGTTTTGAACTCGTCTTCGGATTGGATGACAGTGACCATTGTGTTGTTGTTGCTGTTGCTGTTGCTGTTGCTGTTGCTGTTGCTGTTGCTGTTGCTAGTCTTTGCTGCGGAGGCGGCAAATGGGTTGTTCGAGTTGTACGGGGAAGCGTTAGCCTGTCTGGTCAAGAACTTGTTGATCAACACGACTATGAGCACCAGAATCACGAAGTTCAACATTGCCCGCAGACGCCCGTCCTCTGCGTGCCAGCCTGGGGCTTTTTATAAAAAGACAGGCAGACACACCGTCTGCCTGCTTCATGTGGGCGGCGGCCGTGGCGGTGGCGGCACCGACAGAGCGCCCGCTGCTCACCGTCTGCGATTAATAATGGCCTACGACGCCGACGCAGACCGCCCCGCCGCCGGCCCAGCCGCCGCCGGATTAGTAAGAGACCGTGCCCTCGCCCGCGCGGCGGGGCAAAAAGGGGCAAGCGGCCGATCGGCCCAGCACCCGCGCAATGTGGCGCAGGCGGCGCGGGAGCGGGCAGGGCAGGGCACACAGGGCACACGGGCCGGCGGCAGCAGTGGGTTCCACCAGCAAGCTCGCCGGCCCGCCGGTGTCCCGCACCCACTCAGGATTCGGGACCACCCACACCATCCGACTCGCCTGCCCGCTCTCACACCCTCCCTCAGCGCAGGGTCTGCCTCTGACTCTACGTACCACAGGCAATGCCAGTGCACGCATCGCCTGGTACTGCGTCGTACTGCCTCGTACTGCCTCGTACTGCCTCGTACTGCCTCGTAGTGCACCACTGCTGGTGTCTTTATCGTCACGGTTCCTCGTCCGGGTTCTGCTGTGATTGGAGTTGCCCTTTTTCGGGGCCGGCAGGTTGTTCTGGATCCCCCTCCCTTCTCACCCGCCATCTGCACGAAGCGTCTGTCTCGACCCCGACCTCGACCCCGACTCGCCGCTACCCCCGTCGCTGTCGCCTGTGTCAATACTCCTGCCATCGCATACTGTTCTTTGTTGGCAGGCCGTCTTTCTTGCTATCCCACCGTCCGGCCCGTTTTTGCTGCATCTCTACTGGCTCCGGGTGTCGTCCTAGTCCGGTCTTTGTTTTAACCCTGCATCCCAGGTCTGCTCGCCCCATCAGCCTTGCCTCTTTTCAGACCCGCTGAGGCTACCGAACATCTGCGTCCGAAGGGAACGAAAGAGAAAAAGTCGGCGATTTTTTCCACACACCGTCAGCAAGCCTGGCTGCTAGCATCCGCCACCGTCCACCCCCGGTCTCACCAGGAAGGAGACCGTTCCGTCGCCGCCGCCGTCACTTGTTTTTTACACGTTCCACCACCACCCGTCCTGTTCTCCGGCCCCGCTGCCCTCACACTTGCACCCTCCGTCAAGCCTTCTGCCGCAGCCACTAGACCATGTCTTTTTTGTCAACCCTATTTTGTTGCTTTGATGCGGAAGATTCGGCTGTAAAGGAAAATAACATAACCACAACCCACCCGAAGCTAACCAAGACCCAGTCAAACCTACAGAGGGCACTGACCAACTCGAAACCAAACTCAAACTCGAGCTTGAACTTGAACAAAAGCCACTCTCCGCCTCCGACCAACCACGCGGGCGCAAGCACTGCAAACAAAAGCATCCATCCCTCCTCCGCTTCCAAGAAAGGGCAACCAGACAAGAGTTCCAGCAATACTAGCGGCACTGCCACTAGTCACACAAACACCGGATCGAGCAATCCCGACAGGAAGAAGGATCTCGCCAACGGTACCAAGCATTCTGGTGCAACCAAGGGCAACAGTGCCGCAAGCAAACACTCTTCTACCGGTACCAGTGCTGCCCATCCGGATAACTCGCAGGCCCCAAACAAGAATATGGATGCCCATAACAGAAACAAAATAGCCCATAAAATGTCTTATTCAGATTCAAACTCAACAACTCATCACGTCTCCAATGACGATAAGGAAATGGTGGAAGAAATCACAGACTTGAAAGACTCCACCGATAGCTCCAAAGATGAGGATGACGCCTACCAAATACATGAACATCAGACTCAGAATACAGATGAAACAGATCTCAACCACCAGCCAGAAAGCAAAAACAAGGTCTCAAACGACGCTATTGCTGAAGATCGTGGCAGCCCAAAATCTCCTCCAAATAGCGATTCTAATCCAATAAGTAACCTCAATCCAGATTCAACTGTTAACGAGTTAAACTACGAAGAACAATTATACGACGAACAATTCGGCACAAGTTTGACTGCAATACTGCCAGATCAGGTGGTTTCTTCTTCCGGTTGGTTATTGGATTCTCAACCGAAACAGTTCAAAGGAAGAAAATGCTTGGTTTTGGACTTGGATGAAACTTTAGTCCATTCTTCTTTCAAATATGTGAGGCAATGTGATTTCGTAATACCTGTGGAAATCGAAGATCAAATCCACAACGTTTATGTCATCAAAAGACCCGGAGTTGACCATTTCTTGAAAAAAGGGGGGAGCTATACGAAGTTGTCGTTTTCACAGCCTCAGTCTCTAGATATGGTGATCCTTTGTTAGATATCTTGGACACCCATAAATCGGTTCATCATCGTTTATTCAGAGAAAGTTGTTACAACTACCAAGGAAATTACATCAAAAATCTATCGCAAATGGGTAGACCTCTGGAAGATTTGATCATTATAGATAACTCTCCAGCATCCTATGTTTTTCATCCTCAACATGCCGTCCCTATTTCAAGTTGGTTCAGCGACTCTCATGATTGTGAGTTGACAGATTTGCTACCTTTCTTGGAAGATCTAGCTAAGAGGGAAGTTGACGATATTAGACTTGTTTTGGACATTAACATATAGATTGAAATGAAGAATTTCTCATTTACCAATAAAAATTTTAAAGAACTGAAAAATTTGAAAAGGAAAAAAATATTCTTTACTACTCTTTACCACTTATCATGAAGTATCCCTCTCAGCTAGCCATATTCATTTATTCATTCACCCATCTATTTATGCACGTAGGTTTTATTTCTGTTTCTGTTTTTCTTGATTTTTTTCTTATTTTTCTTGTCTCGTTTTGTTTTACTTTATTCCACAGATTTTTTCTCTACAGGGGTAGTCAAAAGATCACTCAGTATGCATCATTTGATTTATTATATGCAACGAAAGAGATGATTAAATCACATTCATAACGTCATTGGAAAGAAAACGAGAAAAACCAATCTCACCTTTTCATGGAATTGAATCGAATGCAATGCACCGCAAAGAAGCAAAAGTCGAGGGGCTCAAGTATCTCGAGTCATCCTACTAGTGTTTTTTTACAGTTTCCACTCTATAAAGTTGATGGAAGATATAAGCATGCATGGGGCACAGACACATTACGGTTGATTTTCTGCACATAAGCGCTAGACCAAATTAACATCCTGGTGTCCCCGTCCATAACCGGATGGACTGCAATATGTGGCTCTGTATAAGCTGCTCTGGCTGGCCCAGAGAATATCTAATTTATCTAAGTTATCTATTTAATCTATCCATATCTATCCATGTCTTGTTCCGGCCCTATTTAGCAACTTTTCCTTCAAAAATAAACCCCGGCGTCTCGCGAGGCTGCCATTGCGGGCACTGTGCACTAAAACGGAATGCTCGTCGCTTCTACTGCCTGTCTCGCTGGAGGAAGCGATACCGGTGAAGCTCCTACTAAACGACAATTGGCAGCAATATATTTCACCCAGGAGCTACATTTACCGTAATTACCGCCAGATATCTGCAATATCGATCACTTAATACCTCATCAGTAAGTTTTACAGATAAAAGTCAGAGAAGCACAGCACATTCACACGTTTATATATACACATACACGTATCAATATAGCCACTAATCCACACAACGAAAATTAAGACTTGGCTCACCACTTATACTTGAATATTGCATTGCACACGATCTCCAAAGCATTCTCTATCCGATATCGGTAACCCTTACAAAGAACAAAACAGAACAAAGCAAAATTATTTTACCCCATTTTTTCCTTCCCCCTCATTTTATTAAAATAAAATACGTTACACATATCCACAATAATACAAAATGTCCACAGAAAACTGGAAAGAGAGTCTTAATATACCAACGAAAGATCTTCGTCCGCAGACGGACGACATCGTAGGCTCCAAAGATGAAACTTTTGAGAGCTTCAATCTAAAAAGAGAGCTTTTGATGGGGCTTTTTGAAGCAGGTTTCGAAAAGCCATCTCCTATTCAAGAAGAGGCCATTCCTGTAGCCCTAATGGGTAGAGACATTCTTGCTAGAGCCAAAAATGGTACAGGTAAAACTGCAGCATTTATTATCCCAACTCTAGAAAAGATAAAACCAAAAGTCGACAAAATTCAGGCCTTGATTTTGGTTCCAACAAGAGAATTGGCCCTACAAACTGCCCACGTTGTCAAAACTTTTTCAAGACATATGGGACTACAAGTCATGGTGACAACCGGTGGTACTTCATTGAAAGATGATATTGTGAGATTATACGATCCTGTCCATATTTTGGTCGGTTCCCCAGGTAGAGTTTTAGACTTGGCATCTAGAAATATTGCAAAGCTAGACTCCTGTCAGATGTTTGTGATGGACGAAGCAGATAAAATGTTATCACCAGAGTTCCAAAATATAGTTGAACAGATCTTGGAGTTCTTGCCACAATCACAACCTGGTAGACCAAATAACTACCAGTCTCTATTGTTTTCTGCTACTTTCCCGCGTACGGTGAAGACTTTCATGGATAGGCACCTCTATAAACCTTATGAAATCAACTTGATGGATGAATTAACTTTGAAGGGTATAACTCAATATTACGCCTTCGTTGATGAAAAGCAAAAATTACATTGTTTAAATACCTTATTTTCCAAATTACAGATCAATCAAGCAATTATTTTCTGTAACTCAGCCAATAGAGTTGAATTGCTAGCCAAAAAAATTACGGACTTAGATTACTCATGTTATTATTCTCACTCCAAAATGAAACAAGCCGACAGAAATAAGGTTTTCCATGAATTCAGACAAGGTAGAGTTAGAAACTTGGTGTGTACTGATTTGCTTACAAGAGGTATAGATATCCAGGCTGTCAATGTGGTTATCAACTTCGATTTCCCAAAAACAGCAGAAACTTATCTTCACAGAATCGGTAGATCCGGTAGATTTGGTCACTATGGTCTAGCGATCAACTTGATCAACTGGAACGACAGGTTCAACTTATACCAAATTGAACAGGAATTGGGAACAGAAATCAAGCCAATCCCACCTAAAATTGATGAATCCTTATACGTTGTTAACGAACCTTCTGCCGTTCCAAGACCTTTCAAAGCAGATGATAGAAATAACAATAATAATCAAGAAGCCTTTCAACAACAGCAACAAATTCAAGGACAATAACCGTATCGGCCTCAATCAAAAAATATTCTTGACTTATTGTTTATGATTTTTCTCTCTCATTATCGAATTTGACACTTCTTCTCCTTGTACTCTAATCTTGTCTCGTTTTGTTTTTCCATTTGTTTTTCTCCTTGTCCTCGTGCTTGTGTTTTCAATTCCGCAAACTTTCAAATTGCAACTAATTCCAGCTCTTTTACATTCAATTTCTGTTACATCACTTGTGTTTTGTTCTTCTTGACTCCAGATGTAATTATTTTCCTCCCACATCTTTCCAATAGAATTGCCAAACGCATCATAGACATCGTTATCGGAAGTACCATCATTTTTACCGAAAACAATACTTTTTTTACTCATTATTTTTGGATGATGATTTCCTTCCTCACCTATATGGCATGACCATCTGACCATTTTTCCAGAAATGCACCTCTCTTCCAAACTACCTCTTGACGGAAACATCATCTGTTATTTTTCCCCACCTTTGAATGAAATGTCTTTTTTTTTAACGTCCTTCATCGATGACATTGTTAACGTTGAACACCTAGCGTGACAACGAGCATATGTATTACTGATTTCGGACAATTTTTTTACCGGCATCCTTCATCTTATTTCTTTTACCTTACCTCACCTACCTGGCCTATCTCTTTAGTAGTTTCTCATTTCATTTTGGATCCATACTTGATGTTTTAATGATCTTTACTTTAACTTTTTTCCACTTTCCTATGATATGATAAGCTAACAACTGGCTTATCTTTTTGAACTAAATGTATATTTTGTACAAATAAAGAAATCGGTTTTGGGCGGTCAAACTGAAATATGACTTTATATAACTCCGCGTGTAATAGCTAGAATAACTGATAAGCAACGGACGCACCTGCCTCGTAACTATATAATGTACTATTTGAGGATATGTATGCATATATAACTTACAAATCGTTTAAACTTATGAGTACGTAATCTACTTTCCAAGGGAAGCGTTATAAAGTCTTCTCTTCACTTCTATTTTTTGGATGCGAACCGGGTAAATCTAATATTAAAGAGACTTGGCAAATCAGTCCAGAAAGTGTGTTGAGATAAGATGGCGAAGCCGATAAAGATTTAGATGTAAGCAATGCCAAGTATGTTCAGATAAGCTATCAAGACAGACAATAGATAAGAGATAAGAGATGAGATGAGTGTAAGGCATTGCAAGATAAAAAAAGAGCCTTAGAAAGATAAGGCATCGAATTAATTTAAAGCTAGAAAGATTGACCAACGTGATGAGTATTATATACGTACAAGAGGTTTGTCCCCTCTTTGGAAATATTAGTTTGCAGGTTACGATAGCTCTATTTGAATAAGCAACAAACATGGTACTAAGATTTACTACAAACAATGGACATTCAATCTGGAATAAACAAACTTCAACAATATCCGTTATTAGTAGTTTATCTTAGTACTACGTTTGTTGCTTATTTATACATAACTAATACAGCTAACTTACAAACTAATACTTCCAAACATAAATACAAGGGACAAACCTCTTGTATTTATACACTCATCATGTCGGCTAATCTATCCAGTTTTAGATTACTCAGATGCCTTGTCATTATAAGCCTCTTCTTTCATCAGTTGTCATTGTAAGCCTCTTCTCTTGTCTGTTGATTCGTATTGGCTTCGGCATCTTATTTCAACAGATATTTCAACAAGAATAAATAGACTTCAAGAGTAAGGATCTAGATATAAGCAGTGCCGAGTATGTTGAGTGTTGAAGTCTGTTTATTCTTGATGGAATATCCATTATCAACAGTATGTATTACACTATGCATGTTGTTTTATATAGAACTATCATAAATTACTTACAAACTAGTATTTCCAAACAAGGGACAAACCTCTTGTACATATACTCATAACGTCGGTCAATCTTTCTAGTTTTAGATTAATTTGATGCCTTGTCTTTATAAGGCTCTTATCTCGTATCTTTTTTCTGTGTAGATAGCTTATCTCTATATCCTTATTGGCTTTGGTATCTTATCTCAACAAGAATAGATATACTGCAACAAAAAGTTCAGTAAAAGGATTATAATATATGCAATGTGGTCTATGCGCATCCCGACACGTCAGCGAAAGAAATAAATTTAGCAAAATAAAGTACATTTGCTCTACGTGGGGTTTCAAGCTCTTTTTTGTGCAAGCAATGCCCGTGTAGCGTAATGGTTAACGCGTTTGACTTCTAATCAAAAGATTCTGGGTTCGACTCCCAGCATGGGTGCTGGCATTAGCTTATATTTTTTATGAATTTTAAAGAAAAGTTGATGAATAATGAAGACCTTCCTTCCTCCCTGCCATGCATAACTAATCCGTTCTCCTGGAATTACTGCCAGCAGCAGAGCTATTCTCATCTCCGATTGTGTTTATCCTCGTAGCTGTTAGTTTCAGAAAATGGTGAAGAGATAACGATTTAAGGAAATGTTAGAAATCTTACATTACATTTGTATAAATATACATATTCATTGACGCAACAAATATACTGAAAGAAAATTATTCCGTAGACTTATGAGATGCTGAAACGAGAACAATTGACTATTCGGAAATGAACGTACTTGACGTTTCAGATCAATTTTTCTTACCTTTTTTCTTTTGCACTGATTTCACAATGACCAGACCGACAAAAGTGGCAACAATAGATATACCGACAATCAATGCGACAACCGGCAAAGCAATTGCGTAGTACCTTGGTAAGAAGAAGTTTTGAATGATGCTGTCATCGTCCAGGAATGGCGTGACAAACGTCCAGATTGTGTAATATATGAATATCAAAGTTGCCACCAACAACATCACCAATCCTACTTGCTGATCTTGCTGTAATCAAAAATAAAAAGGGCAAACATTTCAGTTTGCCATAAACGATAATGCGAGCGTGTTAGAGATCTTGTCTTTGCGGTCCGTTTTCCTAAAAAACCTGTTCTGGGTGGCTACCAGACCAGAGGAATTAAACATACCATTATAGTATATGTTTTGTAATATGGGGCAGTATGAGTTGACTGGAAAAGCCTCAAGGATCAGGCTCCTTTACCGTGAAACACGTTTTGATGGCCAAGCAAACGCTATTCTGGATTCATGTTTCCTGCCTGATACGTGTCCGCAGGCCTGACGCCATCCCCAAAACTGGTGCACAGGAGCACTGTGGGATCCCTACCCCGTACCAATCACGTGACAAAACCGGTCGATCGTCGCAAATTCCCGGCTGTAGCTGGCTGGCCAATGACAGTGGCGTAATTACGTATTACAAATGCAGAACGTTCCAGACAGCCTGTCCATGACGCAACAGCAGCTTATCCTCCAGCCATTGCCTGTTCCCAGCCGTCCACTAGACAACTGCCCAGCCCAAGGAACCACCTGAGGGTGCACACCACACCATACCGCAAGTAGAGCCGTCAGGAAGCCGTCAAAACCCACCCAAGAAGCCGTCTCCGTAATCGGAAAACGGCCGAACGAGAGAGCACACCGCTCAGGCTTCCCCCCGTTCCATTCTGGCGAGGCGACGGTGCATAGTGTGGGAAACCCCGATTTATCCAAAATTAATTAGCTCGTAGTGATTTGCTCTCCGGGAATTGTTCCCCATTGGTACCTCGCCCCGCTTCTCTCCAGGCAAAGGGTTCGGCGTATAATAACCTTCCCAATTGTACTTTTTTCTTCTGGAGGCATAACCCATTTAGTACTTCTTGAGTATAATTGACTCGTTTTCTTTTGCTCCTAAGGTTGTATTGTTTCTCCCATAACCACTATAAAAGCCCCAGGTTACAATCAATTGAATTGCACTAGTAACGACAAGCCATTTGAACCCTTATATACCGCATAACAATGTTTTCCGCAACAAGAACCATCGCCAGAAAGATCAATTCTCCTTTCCTAATGACTGCTGTCAGAACCAAGGTTTCTCTTCCTGAATTGAAGTACAAGTTTACCGATTTGGAGCCATTCATCTCTGCTGACTTAAACACCTTGCACTACACCAAGCATCACCAAACTTACGTCAACGGTATCAACCAAGCATTGGAACAGCACGCCACCGCACAAGCTGCAGGTGACCTCATCAAATGTGTTGAGTTGCAACAGAACATCAAGTTCCATGGTGGTGGTTACGAAAACCATTGCTTGTACTGGGACAGTTTAGCTCCTCAAGCCGTTGGCGGTGGTAAGTTGCCAGAGGAGTCCTCCGGGTTGTACAAGGCCGTCATCTCTCAGTACGGCTCATTCGACAACTTGATCAAATTGGCAAACAAGGCTTTGGCTGGTATCCAAGGTTCGGGCTGGGTTTTCATCTGCAAGAACCTCAACAACGGCGCTCTTGAAATCATCTCAGTTTACAACCACGAAAGACCAAGTGCTCACTTGAGACCTTTGCTTGCTCTTGATGCCTGGGAACACGCTTACTATTTGCAATACAAGAATGTCAAGGTCGAATTCTTCTCTGCTATCTGGAACATAATCAACTGGGCCGAAGCTGCCAAGAAGTTCGATGCTTGAGCTGGATCAGCTGGCAATCATCTCGAGAGCGTTCTTGACTTGACTTGATTTTATTTACATATTACGGCTTATACACGAATAAAATTACATACTTTCTATCTATTCTTTCAATAACAACGTTATCATACATGATCTCAAATTTTTGAGTAGTTCTTGTAATAGATTTCTGTATTTTCCTGTACAGTTACTTTTGTTTATAACACCGCACCAAACCCAAAGGTCAACTTGATTGCTCTGAAATATTTATCTTTGAAGTTACCTTCCACTAGCTCCTCTTCACCAATCGGAACTCCATTCATGTCTACATCCATTGAGGTTTCATTCTGCCCCTGGTTAAGCTTGAACAAGATTTTCACGTAATGACCTTCTTTCCAGCTACTCAACCTCCATAACATCTCAATCTCTTTGTTCTTAACCAATCTGAGGATCTTGCCCTCAACACCGCCACCAAAAAGTTTGAACTCAGCCCCAACTTTTGGCTCAATACCTCCAGGTGGGGACCTTGTCCAAAGCGAAACCCTTTGGGGATCTAACAATGTTATGTATAATTGTTCGGCTGAAGTGTTGAATTCCGAACTCAAGTGCAAAGAAGAAATATTGTATTTTTGTGCGTATTCAGGCAGTGGGCTTGACTTCTTTTCTTTTGTTTCCGATTCACCCTTGTTAAAGGTTGTTTTCTCCTTCACCACTGGCTTCATATACGTTAGGTTCTGGTTTCCCTTTGTGAAAGTCGACATAACCTGGCTTTCACTAACTTGAATGTCAGATCCGTGGACATTGATCAAAGTCGGACCAAAATCCTTCAAGACTTCTCTAATCTGAGGTACAATCTTGCTTCTGATCAAGACTCTAGTTGGTTCATCAACACGGTCATCCAAATTAAACTGATACTCGTCAGGTTCTGTGTCGTACATGATCTCAGGAACAGTAATAACTCCCTTGTGGCCAGAGCTTGATTCATAGTTGGCTTCTAGCGCCATATCAAAAAGTGAGATGACTTTACCTTTACGCTGGCAAACTTCACAATCACCCTTCAATGACTTCACAGTGGTGATTTTAACATTAATCTTGCTCTCTACATCTTCGGCAGAAATGGACCCTAATTTTTCAACAAAATATGCACGGGCCCAATCGATACAATTCTTATCAACCCAGTGCCAATTGTTTGGATTTTGAACAACCATTTTCGTCAATAAATTGCTTGGTATATCCAACTGCTGACTCTTATTCTTGTGCTGAAACTTCACACTTGAGGAACAGTAGTCAAGATTCACAAAACATGCCAAATTTAAATATAAGGCGTGGCCACTGATCTCTAATCGATGGACCCCACGCAGCTGACATAAGCTATAATTTGCCACCTAATTGGGGAGGCAAGAACATTCTGGAAGGGGATAACAGAATTGGTAGATAATACAAACTAAAACTGGCCTGCTACAAAGCCACGTTAACTTACAAACATGCTCCGGGTCAACTTCAAGTACTGTATTTTTTTGGTTATCAGCTATACACGAAAAAGAGACGTTATTTGTTCTGAAATATATTAGGAAAGGTAAAAAGGAGTAAATTTGAACACCTTTCAAACTTTCTCTATTTGAATGGAACTGTCATGTTGACATGAACGGCCTTGTTTTCTGTGAACAAGTCGAGAGCATATGAGCCCAATTCTCTGCCTATACCGCTCATTTTGGAGCCACCAAACGGAACATGGATGTCCGAGTCACCGTTGGAGTTGATGAAAACCATACCGGCTTCTAGCTTCGATGCAACTGAGTGCGCCTTTGTGATATTGTTGGAGAACAAAGCAGCAGCTAAACCGTATGTAGTGCTGTTGGCTCTTTCGATTGCCTCTTCCACAGTCTTGAACTTGGTAATTGAAACAACAGGGCCGAAAATTTCTTCCTTCATGATGGCCATCTCATCAGTACAGTCGGCAAAGATGAAAGGCTTACAGAAATACCCTGGACCATCAAGGAATTCACCAGATAACAGCTTGGCACCTTCTTCTTTACCCTTTGCGACATATTTAGAGACCTTTTCGTATTGCAATTTTGAAACCAAAGGCCCGATTGTGCACTTGTCATCGAACGGGTTGGTAGTGACTGCTCTTTCGTTCGTGAGCTTGACAAAGCCTTCGAGAAACTTATCGTAGATTGCCTCTTGGATGAAAAACCTGGAAGTAGAAGTGCACACTTCTCCCTTATTATACCAGATACCCCAGTAGGCCCATTCTATGGCAAGATCTAAATCGGAGTCATCGAAAACAATGAATGGACTCTTACCACCACATTCTAACGTGACTTTCTTTAAGTTGCTCTTTGCCGCACCCTCCATGATCTTTTGACCAGTAAATGTAGATCCGGTGAAAGCAATCTTTGCCAATTTGGGATGGCTGACCATAGCTGAACCGACGTCGGCACCAAATCCTGACAAGATGTTCAAGACACCCTTCGGAAGACCGGCCTCTAAAGCTACTTTACCGTACCACAACGCCGATAGAGGTGTGATCTCACTGGATTTCATAACCACAGTGCAACCCGTTGCCAAAGCTGGTGCAATTTTCCACGCCATCATCATGAAAGGGAAGTTCCATGGCACGATTCCTCCAACCGCACCAAGTGGAACAGGTTCAACATAGCAGATCTTGTTTTTACCCAGGACTTGCGAGCCAATTAACTGACCTGTATGCTTATCTGACCAACCTGCGTAGTACTTGAAGACTTCGTAAGATTCAACTAAATCAGCGGCTAGGCACTCATTTGCATAAGGCTTTCCGTTATCGAGTGATTCGATCGAGGCAATTGCTTCCGCATCTCTTTTAATGATCTGACTCATCTTGTACAAAAGATCACCTCGCTCCGATCCTGTAAGGTTCGACCATTCAGGAGACTTGAATGCTGCGTTTGCTGCCTCAACGGCCTTGTCAACCTCAGCCGCACCAGCCCTATAGACGGAACAGATTGGTTTTTCTGTCGAGGGGTTAATAGTCTCAAAAACTTCGGCAGTTTTTACCCATTCGTTGTTGATGAATAACCCTAGAGGTTGCTCAAGGCTCTTACCGTTTGGTGTAGTGATGGTTGTGAATAAGTCAGACATATTTAATTCGTTACTTTGTTCAAAAAATCAAGTTAGTTTCTCAAGTGGCTTATATTAAAGAACACAGAACCTGCAATTAAGGTTGCAACGTGTTAGAAAAGAGCAGACCTCGTTTCGACTATAAATGATTTGACCCAGCGCCCCAAATTCCGCTGCCGAACTCTATGCTACCCCGACCTCCCCCAGTCCTATCGAGGAGGTGATGCAACTTCCTAGACGAGATAAGCTCGGGCCGCTTATCGCTTTCCGGGAAGGACAGACCTCGTCTACCTTCCCAATAGAGGAAGCCGCCAAAAATGGAAGCCGCCAAAAATTGCACCGATCGACGCAAAAGTCACGTGATTAAGTTTTCCTTCTTTTTTGGATTTTCGCATTTTCGTTTATTTTTGGCATTCCTTCTTGAAATTTATTTGATGGAAACATGAATCAAGCAACAACTGCAGCAAATAGCTCTCCAATCTGCGCAATTTAAGCCACAAAACTACTTGGAATCGATTGGATATTGAGGCTCACACATTTCAATGGCTCAGCGAGGCGACAAACAGGTAAAAACGCTGAATCGCAGCGTCAACCCTGTGATATCTGAGTCGATATTGGATGTAGACTCGCAAAGGTACTACGTTTGGGCTATATTCATACTAATACAAGCGTGGAAACTCTATGATCTATACCTACTTCACAATACAAATCTATTTGATGCAGCACACACTGATGAACTAGAATGGCTGCACGGGTTTGGTTTTTTGCACCCGAAGCTTGGGTTCATTTTCAAATACTTCTTTTTTGACAGTTTACTCATATTGATAATACCTTTCTTAAACATACCCAAATTGTGTTTTACACCAATGTTGAGCGTTTTCCTCCTCTGTTTAGTCAATCTTTCAACTGTAGTGCTTACCTGCAGTTTCTCCTTCACTTTTTCCTCAATAATGTACTCAATATATCGTACGATTATACCCGAAAAGGAACTAGCCATAATGGAAACTTATGTGGACACCGACTCAATCATCAACCAATCTGACCATTTCAAAGGAAGAAAAACTATTCGATACGCTCCTGATTCTTCGATAAAAATTAATCCATTTGGTCAACAATTCTGCATACGGCCTGTTTACAACGATATAATCAAGATTCCAATTAAATTGGAGTCGACCTATGATCTGAATTTCCTCCAAATCAACTACCACGATTTCAATAATGATGATTCAGTGTTAAACTATACTCAACGAGAACTCAAAACTTTTATTGTGGGTGATTACTATAACTCTGCTTATGTAAAATACGACCCCTCTGTTCTTGCTGATAACAACGTCCAAATTTTAGAGATACCAGTCCAAAAACCCGGATACTATTCGATCAAAGTGGCCACTGATAAAAAAAATAAAATCATACGCTCTTACAGATCTGATACAGTTGTCCCAGTCTGTCCAGAAGCTGCTTTCATGCCTAAAGAGTCTTTTTCTTTAGATAAATGTTTGGACGATGTGGTCGACGACTTGCAAATCACTCTATTGGGAGTTCCACCATTCACATTATACTATGAGGAGGAGATAAATGGAGAGCTTTCAAGGTTACCACCCACTCATGTTTCTCATGTCGAGAAAGTTGATTCACCTTTGAACTCAAAAGATTTGATGCAACATAAAAAGGTTAGATATGCCTCAAATTATTTGCAAGATATATCATGGGCCAAGAGCTACAACATATCAGTACCAATTGGAGAGAAGAAACTACAGAAATCAGGAAAGTATATTTATACTATCAACAAAGTCATTGATGGCTTCGGAAATGTCATTTCTTATACACCAGATCCAAATGACAAATTGTCTTTTCACTCCTTTTATTGCCACCCAAAGCCAATAATCAGTTTAGTTGATTCAAAACCAGCGATTCCAATTTTAGTGGATAGTCAGAAATATCTCGATGTCAGGATTTCGAATTATGGTTCAATGAACCGTGAAAGTCCTTTTGAAGTTGTTTTCAAATACATACCTAACGAGAATGAGAATTTGTATGATCCAACAACATTTTTCCAAACCTTCGACCTAAACTCGAACAGCGATTTGAAAATCATGGTCGATAAGCCTGGTACTTATATGATTGAACAAGGCTCAAGCAAATTTTGCCCTTGTAAGTTAGGACCATCTTCTTTGAACATTCTAAGTGCCAAATTACCAAAGATGAGCGTATCTCTAGACCCAATAATAGACAACTGCATTGGAACAATTGGTTTTAAGTTCAACATTGATTTTGTTGGTAACGCTCCTTTTGAAATTGGCTACCAGATCTCAAAGCTTGATCCAAATGACTCAAACAGAGTCTTGAGAGTTGAAAAATTGAGTTCTATTCAATCGGACTCCACCACATTGGAGTATGTTTTCAAGCCTTCAAGTGAAGGGTCATATTCTATTGAGTTTACCACTTTGAGTGATAAATTCTACAAAAATAGAATTCATTTCGAACAGAGTGAGTATCGCTACATCACTTACTTCAAACAAAAACCCAGGGCATATTTCAGTAAAGGTAGTAAAGTTCAACGTCTTCAATGTTGCCACGGTGCTCCATCTCAAACAACCCTTAATATTGAAGGAAAAGCACCTTTTAATGTTACATATGACATTATCTCACCTGATTATTCTGTCCAAAGCTATACTTTGGAAGATATTTTTGAAAACCAGATTCTTATAAAAACCCCCGAATTTGTTAAAGGTGGTGAATACATTTTAACATTGAGAAGTGTATCAGACTCTACAGATTGTGACGTTGAATTCAAGGGTCAGGAGGTTCATATCGATGTTAAAAATGATGTCCCACAACTAAGCTTTCAAAGAGATGAAACTTTCGATATAGTGAAAGGCGACTTTTTTACCGTACCATTGAGAATCCAGTCTAATGATCTAATTGATTTAGTTTATTCATACCAATCTTTCGATGGGCAAGTAATTGATACTATTACTTTGAACCATTTCAATCCAGTCAAAGGTTTGCAGTTATCTCGAGACGGTGTATACCGGCTTGTTTCATTTACTCAAGGTAAGTGCGTGGGTAGAGTTATTCACGACTATGCAATTAAAATCAATTATTTGTCACTTCCATCTTTGAAAATTGATCAGCATAATACAGAACTTATCGTTGAGAAAAACAACGTATTTAAGAAACTCAAGGTATGTCAGAATCAAAATGCCCAAATAATTTTCAACGCTGTTGGATCTACCCCGTTTGCTATCAAATATTCAGTTAAATATCCAAGTGGTAAAGTTGAAGAGAGAATAGAACAAATAAATGGTGCTACATTTACCCTGCAACTATCCACAAACATTCCTGGCTCCTTTGAGTATAAAATCAGGAATATTTATGACTCCATATATACAGAAGAGATTCTGAATAGATTGGAGCGATTGGGCTCCTACAAATTTGACGATATTGTATTAAAGCACGAAGTAACATCACTACCGGTTGCAAAATTCATAGACACAAATACTAAGATTCAGACGTGTATTTCATTGTTGGACGAGACGGCAAAGCTCCCACCCATCAAGGTTGAACTCACAGGAGCTCTGCCAATGTCAATGAAAGTTGACATCTATAATGAGTACGATGGTTCTTTAGAAACAGCCGAGTTTGCAGATTTGGACTCATCAGTGGTGGATTTGATGGTACTTTACCGCTACCTGGGAATCGGTACTCACGTAATTACAATCAATCAAGTTTTTGACGCCAACGGATGCAGCTCAGATGAAAACAATAGCAAAGAAGAAGCGATAACTATTCAGGTGAATGACGTGCCGAAGATAAGGCACTTGATTGAAGAATCAAACCAACTCTCCGATTTTGATTCCACGGCAGATGGTCATTACTATTGTGTAGGAGACCAGATAACTTTCATGTTGAATGGGGTTGCTCCTTTCCAAATCTACTATGGATTTAACAATGCATTACAGCAAGTAGAAGTTCAAGGTAACTACTTTAAACGAAGAGCTCCAGGGCCTGGGGAGCTACAGATCAAATCATTGAGGGATTCATCTGCAAAAGACTGCAAGGTTGATTACAATGATTTCGACAGAAAAGACTTAAAGGCAATCATATACGATTTGCCATCTGTAGAAATTGTTCAAGGTGATAGTATTGAAGAAGACATTCACGAAGGCGAGCAAGTTGAGATAACTTTTCTTCTAACCGGTACTCCTCCATTCAAACTGACATATATCAGGAAAGAACTTGAGGATTCATCGAAGATAGTGGAAACAGAAATAGTAGAAGATATTATGACAAACGAATACCATATATTGGCAAATTTGGAGGGAACATATGAAGCTATCGAAATTCAGGATAGATTTTGTGTAGCTAGGAATCACAGGATATAAGCTCATAGAATTCTTCGGAAAATTGGCATACTCCATACCTCAAAGTAACAGACAGTTTTAGAATTTGTAATCTTAGAAAATAAACTTGTTTTTTCAATTTTGTCATGCGTAGAGAAGAGCAGAAATATACATTTATTTTATTTAGCAAAATGAGTCGTTTTGATGCAATTATAACATTTGATAAATACCAGATTCATCAAGTTTCGGCAGTTTATAACATTTGATAAATACCAGATTCATCGAGTTTCGGCAGTTTATCGGTCGGTCTGTGGGAAATTCTCTCATACAGTTCGACAGCACCTAAAGCTAGATCGGTTGAAGGAATTCCCGAGCGTTTGACCCATCTTTCATCATTTACCAAAAAACGGTGTCGTCGTTTCATATCTAAAGTCAATTGAAATGCAACATCCATTTTCTCTCCAAATGTGTCTTGAGATAAGTCCCCAATCCTAAAAACCTTTTGCCTAGGATCAACCAAGACTCGTTTCTTCGATGGGCTCAAATGATACGTAAGGTAGGAGGAAACTGGCATTTGCTTGAGGAATTTCTGCTTTGTTGCGTTACTTTGATCAACAGTAACATTCTTGATCTTTCCATCAGAGATAGTAGCTATTGGCTTCTTGTTAGCGGATAAACTGGCGTCTGTTGAAGTATTTGAAACGCTACCTTCAGCTGCTGTGTCGAATTTGTATGAGACATGGTCAGATTCAGTTTCTGGATTCACAGGTTCCGAGACCAAAAGAATATATGGATTGATCGTGTCAGCACATTTTTCATGGACTGTGACAATATCATCAGCAATATCCATCTCTGAAGAAAATCTGGTGGTATCACATATCGTACTCGACCATTCATTGTCGAGATCCACTGTTTCGTCTGCTTGGGGGACAAATAAAGCTTCATTAGTAGGGTCTACATTGATTGAATGAATGGGGACATTATTATTTCCATCACAATAAGGGTTTTTTATCTGCCTTGATGTCGAGTCCAGCTCCTGAACGAAAGATTCATCATTCGGTCCTAGCAGATTTTCAATTTCATTTGGAGATTGCACACTGGTATTATTATCCGTCGCAGTGTTCTCCTTTAATTGTGAGTTTATAGAACAAGTTTCACTGAAGAGGTGGTTTGCTTTCCGTTTGGTGAGAAGCGGCGGAATTTGAAAATTCCCTAACCTCTCATCAGCGTTAGAATTAATCACGGTTTCAACTTTTGTCGCATGCTCGTCGGCAATAACCTGTGAAAGATGTTGTTTGAACTCCTCAATAAAATGCTCTTCATTGCAAACAATCATGTCACATTTTTCCGGCTCTATATTGACATCAACCTTATCTAGTGGAATTGATATAGACACAAACCAAACTGTAGGAGCAAGCAGCATGTTTTCTGAATATGATTCATTAATCTTGACAGAAACAAGCTTACCCAGTTTTAAAGATAGGTCCAGAGGTCGATAGTTTACCGAAAGAAGCTTGAAGCTATTTTTTGTGCTTGGAATATCTTGAGCCCTCATCTTGGGCAGCACTACGGTGACGTTAACAGCGAAACTGTTGCTTAACCCGTCTTTCACATTGAAGTCAAATTTTTTTTCAAACAACCAACCTCTCTTTCTAATTTCCAGCATGTCTTGTAGTGCTTGAATGGGCGGTATCTTATGAGGATACGATTTGCAATCGCCGTTGACTATTCTCCCGTTGGGAAGCAGCTTCACATAACGCAGCTGAAACCTAATATCTCGGTATATCAGCGCAAATTCTGTGATCAAATGCTCCATGTTCTTTAACAGTTTTGCCTTTTTTTCTTTTAGATATTTGTACCGAACTGGCGTTTCTTTGAACAGTCCAATAACCTTAACAGTTGTCCCAACAGATCCAGGGGACATTTTTGAACCTGCTTTCGGCAGGCCGGAATTTTTGACTGACCACGTTTCCATCGTGACATCTGAGTTTGTTTTTGTGCTAATCTGCATGGTGCTGGCCAGATGTGCAATGAAGTTGAGAGCCTCTCCTCTAAAACCACATGTGAAAACACCAGCCGAGAGTTGATCCATTGATGTCATCTTGGAAGTGGTGCAGTTCATGCACATTACGTTTCGATCTGCTTTCTCAATTCCAGATCCATTGTCCTTTACTGACAGAAAATCCAATCCTGCAGATTCTTTGTCTATTTCTACGTATATTTGACCTTGGTTCTTGCTTCCGATAGCATCAATTGCGTTTTCGATGAGCTCTTTCAACACTGATACCTGCGATTGCACAGAGCTGGTAGAGACAATTGTCGCCGAAACTGCCCTAGGCAACCTCTGTATACTCATTTGACGGTGTCTGCTTTGCTTATTTTCCGTCGAAGCTCCAGGCCCGTGAACACTGTATTGCGAAAGCAACACCACATGATATGAGGCTACAAATACCAACAAACACCCCACGCGGTTACGCCAAATGCGGTGAAATAAATACTCATTAAAACAATAAGGGCTGAACCCCTTCTTGTACATATCCTTCTGTCATTCTGCTCCTACATCATAATGGTCCTTTCTTACCTGGGGCTTCTATGCCGTGGAAATTGCTAACGTAGCAATTTTAAATTACATCCGATGTGTCTAGATCTTAAGAAACTTATCAAATTTGTCGGTCCGGGGCTACTTGTCTCTTGTGCTTACATCGATCCCGGAAACTATTCGACTTCGACAGCCGCAGGTGCACAATTCCACTATGCCCACTTGTTCATCATCTTGTTGTCAAACGTTTTTGCTGTGATTCTACAGTGTCTGTGCATCAAATTAGGGACTGTTACAGGACTTGACTTGGCGGAGAATTGTAGGAAGCATCTACCGCATTGGTTAAACATCACCAACTATGTTTTGGCTGAGATAGCAGTCGTGTTTACAGACTTGGCTGAGGTGGTGGGGAGTGCTATAGCATTCAAAATCCTTTTCGACATCCCGTTACAAATTGGAGTCGTGTTAACCATCCTGGACGTTCTTGTCATCATATTTGCATACAACCCAGACGGATCGATGAGACATATCAGGAAGTTTGAGATATTTGTATCGACGTTAGTTATCATGACATTCGGGTGCTTTGTCTTACTACTTTCCAAAGTAGACATCAATTCAAAGAGGGAAATATGGGAAGGGTTCTTGCCTTCAAAGATTTTGTTTAAAGAGAAGAATGCCATATATCTTGGTCTTGGTATTATTGGTGCTACTGTTATGCCCCATTCATTATACTTGGGATCCAACTTGGTCAAACCCAGATTGAGAGAATTCGATATGAAATACGGCTCATACAATAGTGAAATTGACGACAGGACCAATACTGTACATAAGCCCTCATTGAATGCCATTAACTATTGTTTGAACTACTCATACATTGAATTAATTTTGTCACTTTGTACTGTGGCTATTTTCATCAATTCCTCCATTTTGATTGTGTCAGCAGCTGCTTTGTTTGGGAACCCAGGAGCAGATGATGCTGATTTGCTTTCCATATACGACCTTCTCTGTCATTACCTTTCCAATCAGGCAGGACTTATCTTTGCTTTTGCCATGTTCTTCTCTGCTATTGCAGCAGGTGTGATTTGCACTATGTCTGGTATGATTATAGCTGAAGGAAGTGTTAAGTGGACTTTGAATCCATTTCTCAGAAGACTTGTCACAAGAACTATCAGCATAATTCCTTGTCTCTTTATGGCTCTTTTTTCAGGAAGGTCAGGAATTGCCAATATCCTAAATCTTTCACAAGTTGTTTTGTCGTTAATTTTACCCTTTGTGACTGCACCATTGTTGTACTTCACAGCAAGCAAAAAAATAATGTCAGTCAAGGTTACAAATAGTCAGGAGAATGAGCATACCCAAGAGAGTGAAAACTCTGCGCTTATATCCCACTCTGGGAGCTTGGGAATAGTTGATTTCTCAAATTCTTTATCAACAAACATCTTAGGATTTGTCGCTTGGTTTACAATTGGGTTTTTAAATGTTTATTTAATTATCCAGTGGCTACGAGGCGAAGATATCCACTTTTAAACGTGAGTGTATTGTAGTTATGTATTCACACGCATGCTTTTATAGTCAGACTTGTAAATCACAACTTACAGAAGTTATTAAATAATAGTACAGTAAGAATTACACACAGATTATATAAAACCGTCGAAACCGCTGAAAGTTCTAGTCACTTAGTCGAGGACATGAAACTATTTTTCATCATCGCTTCCATCCTCGTCATCTATCTCCTCGTCCATATCGTCACCCATATCGCCGTCCATCTCTTCGTCCATCTCTTCTTCCTTTTCTTCTTCCTTATCAAGTCTTGATTCTGTATCTACCTCAGCAGTGCCTTTATCATCGCTTTGTCCTTCAATAGAAAACATACCATTATCTATTCGCAGCTTTTTCTCCTCACCTTTTCCTTCTACACCAGTGTTGTCATTTCCTAGAATAACATCAGCTGAAAGGCTCTTAATTCCGGCAGAGATTTCATCTGAATCATCATTGTTTACAGGTAGCTCCTTGGCAGCTGTCTCATTTTCTGTTTTTGAGATCTCTATAGGGGCTCCAACTGTTCTTACCAGTCCATCTTTGTTTATGTCTGTAGTGTTATCTAAAGCTGACAAATTCTCTGTCGAGTTACTAAAGTTCAATTTTCCTTCTTCTTTCTTACCATCGCCATTAACGGCGCTGCTGATATCGTTTGTTTTTAACTCGAAACTACCATCCACATCTGCAGCTTGCTGTTCATCTTCAGATTCTTTTTTCTTCTTCATTTCCTTCTGGGCATCCGACTCTTTCTTTTTGATCATACTCTCAAGACGACATTCAATTTCATCTTGCTTTTCAACAAAAAAAGCGGTAGCAATAAATTTCTTTTTTATCTGAGTAATTTTGCCATTAGGTGGAATCTTTGGTCTATTATTCCTTTGTTTGTGGGGCAAATCATTGTCTTCTATCAGAACCAATTCTTCCTCGTTATCAATAGAGTGGAATGGTTCTTCTGGAGTCTCACCATTCAGAGTTTGGGTCTGAAACTTTTTTAGTTGTTTATTGTACATCAATTTTGACTTTATGTAAACATCCTCGTAAAACGGTTGCAAGATACCAATCTGTTTAGGTATATCCCGTTTGCATAATTTAGGGAACTCCACCTCTTCGAAGTCTTCATAGACACGTTTTGCCATGTGCTTATTCATTTGATTGAACTGGTAAGATAGCTTTGACTGTAATAGATGTAATGGAATATTGGAAGTTAGTAAACCAAACTCCTTATCCAAGCCCAACTCTTTGAACCCAAAAAAGTCTTCACCAATTTCATCTGAAAAATCACCATTCACAAACTGCTCCGAATCATCACTAAATTGTGTTTCACTTATATCTTGCATACCCGGCCTTAACAAATCACGTAAAAAGTTTTCTAAACTATATTTCAAGTCAATGAGTTTACGATTTTGCTTCGTCATATGCTCTTTGTAGTAGGAATAGAGAACGTCAGGTTTTTCAACACCATTATACTCGAGTACTAGCTGTAGGACATCTCTGCAAGTCACAGGCTTATTTCCCTTGATCGGCATTTTATTTATTGAGTTGGATTCCAAATGAAGTTTCATGGATTTGGCAAGATTGCACATATACACTTTCGCTATTTCTGTTAATAGCACAGCACATGACGGCGCAGTCGACTGAAAACCATTAGCCATAGCAATTGCAGAAACTGACTTCTGCAAAGAATGAGAAGCTATTTCTTCTGTCATCAAATCTCTGGTGGCTAGTTTTGACATGGGATCAATGTCTTCAAATTTTATTTTTGGATAATTAGGAGCCACAAACTGTGATTGATGGACAAATTGAGATGTTTGCATAGTGCGAATCAAGTTGATCTTGAAACAGACCTTTCTAATATCTTGCATTAACGAGATATTATCTAAAACCAAACTGTTAGATCCATCGAGCTTAACCTTATAGCCACTAGGTCCTAAATCATCTAGCGTTTTTCCATCTGAAATCATTTTTTCCAAAATGCTTTCTTCTATTGAATCAAAATTAGTATTTTGATGTTTGATGCTAGGAACACCTCCTGCCACATCATATTCAATCAGATAAGGATCATCATTTTCGTCGAAATATTTTCTGCTTCTGTGTAAAACTATCTTCGACTCGTCTTCAAGATATCTGCAGAAATTATACATTTGACTTTTGGTTCTTATCGTAGCTTCTGTATTTGGCTGAATTTTGTTGTCTTTGAATAGCTTAGACCTCTCGTTGCATAACTTATATCGCGTGGTAGAAGTTAAGGTCTTCCAAGTTGACATTTCCAAATCATCAGCATCCTCATTAACATCCTCAGCATTTAGCTCTGCCATATTCTCATCAATATTGTTTACAGCATCTTCTTCGTCTTCTTCGTCAATATCCATCGCATCATCATCATCAGCAAGATTTGACGGGGTATTGGTGTTATTTTGCTCAGTATTCAATGGCGTGAATGACATTGGTGTTCCAGTTACCTTAATTTCTGCTGGCGTATCATCCAGAGTTGTAGCAGCTGAATCTGACGCATCAATGATGGACGCCGCTGGACTTTCAACATCGGCACCTTTCCTTCCCTTCTTAGCTTTTTTATGACCCACACCTCTTGCAGATGTTCTTCCAACATTCTGACCTTCTTCTTTTTCCTTTTCTTTTTCTCTCTCAGCAGCTTCTCTCTCGACAACAGTTCTGTCTCTAATGGTAATATCTGGAATCAATGGAATTAACATTAATGTTTTCTTCCTCATGGCAAGAGCATCTATTCGAATAAAATGTTTAGGATCAGAATTATAAGTCAGGCAATTTTGCCAAATTAGCATCAAATCATCTACAAATTGTTGTTTGTTTTGATATTGTAGAACTTTCAGTTTTTTCAAAACAGTGTTTAAATCCATTGGTTTCTTAATGACTTGGTAATAGTTGGGAGCTTCTCTTTTGGAAACACGGTTCAAAAACGGAGTCGAGTGTTCTGTGTAACCTCTAAGTTCAGTAACAACCTTTTCACAAGCCTCATAAAGTTCCTCTTGACCTATTTTGTTGTAATTGGCCCACTTTGATCGGTTCTTTCTGACGTCCATAATGAGATTTTTCAATTCTACATCCGTGGCTCCCAACTTATCTCTGTTCTCTTCGATCCTACTTAGTAAGTTTTTCAGGGACAAATTCACAGCTCCACCTAGAGTCATTAGTTTGTTGACTTGTTTAGAGTCGGTGTCGCCTGTTTCGTCTTTTTGTGGTATATCTTCCGACATCTCAAGCTGTTTATCACTTCTCTCTAATTTTCTTCTCTTGAGAATATTAGGCAAATCATTCTCAAAGTTATGATATATTTTGTTGGAGTTCTTTATTAACTTGAGTTCATTTTGCTTTTCAATGCTTGATTCAATTGCTGATGAGGTTCCTAAAATTGGATGAACCATCTTACCGATGGCATCTTCGTCCGCACTGAGTTCGGGCACGCTAGGGTAAAGAGGTTTTTTCAATAATTCTTCCTTACTAACTAAAAGCACATAGTCTTTTGTGGCATCATCAAGTAGAAGTCCCTCTTGAGGTTCGGATTTATGGGCTTCGAGCTTCGAAGCCTCTTTGGATGTCCGATCAGTTTCATTCGCATCATTACTCTGCCTGTCTTCGTCTCTGTTCTCTTTGCTATTGTTATCGCCATCACCATCGCCAACACCATCATCATCATAATCATCATCGTAATTATCGTCTTCCTTGTCATTTCTATCGTTATCATCATCATCATCATAATCATCATCTTCTCTATTATGGACTTTAGGCTTATTATTCATGTCTGTCAGAATCACACCCCCAACTATATTGTTTTCAACATTTTTATCTTCAAAAGAGGCCCTAAGATGAGTATCACTGACAGCATTATCAAGTAACTGAAACTCCTTGGTTTCATCTAGGTTTTGAGAAAAATAATAATCCACCGCTTTCTCATATAAAAGGTATCGTACTGTTGCATTCAAATTCCTTAGCGTGGGGTAACCAGGTTTCATATACATATTCTCATTTGAATTAGAGTCGTCGCCGGCATCTTCTTTGAAACGCAAAAGAAGAGAACCATTCAAGAATGAAGACCAAGCAAAATTATCTTCGTCATTTGGGCCTTTGAAATACAACAGTTTTTGAAGAAGGTTGAACTGTTGGGGTGTCAAGTAGCAGTTGAAAAACCCTGTTTCAAATAGAGTTTTGGCAATATTGCACAGATGCTTTTCATCCCCAGCTTTAAACACCTCCAATGCCCTCTTTTTCTTCATCGAACTCATACTAGTATGCACTGTGTATACCTTGTTGGTTGCTTGGCCAATACCCACTATACTCAATTTGTTTTGTCTACTCCAAGAAGTCCTAAGCCATCTCCACATGAAAATGAGAAAGGAATACACCGCGTGCGATATCCATCCCAGAGGCAATTACATTTTGATAGAGTCACAAAGAACTAAACTTTGACACTGTTGGGTGGAGGCTTCAACTACTTTATATATCTAAGCATATTGCCAAAGGATGCCTGACTTTGTCGATAAGGTTTTTGACTATACTACATACGTCGTCCAAGGGACCGCTTCCGTCCTGCAGGATGGCTATTCGATATCGAAGGATGCGCTTCAGCAAACATATGATGTTTCTAAGAATATAGGCGGCACGATGGTGACCGGAGCCAAGGTAGTTTACGGAAAAGTGCAAGAGAATGTACCTGCAGATATTCCATCGATGGTCGGTCTTGGTATAGCGCCACCACAACCCATACCTTCCTCACAAGTCACTGTATCAGGCTTGATATATGACAATCTTACTGGATTTATTTCCAAAAATATTAGCTCAATTGGACTAGGAGTGTCCATCCCAACAATTGGATACACTGCGTACCAAATTTACAGTTATTACATTCCATATGAAAGGCATGCGAAAAGGTTAAAGAGCAGATACCGTTATGAAGTGGTGCTTGTTATTGGGTCAATGAACTCTACATTTGTATCAAAGCTAGTCAATGATCTTAACATGCGGGGTTATGTAGTCTTCGTTACAGTTTCGGACGAAAAAGAATTGAAGATTGTGGAAGAAATAAATGACACTGATGTTAGGCCTCTATTCATTGACTTCACTAATGACTCTAGCGTTAGAAGTAGTCTTTTGAAATTAGGTCAGTTTTTGGATTCTAGAATAGAGAATATTGCTGAAGAATTTTATTATAATTTTAGAGGGGTTTTAGCTATTCCAGATTACTCCAGACTTCCGAAGCTAAAAAATCTCCAGGAACTGAGTGCAAGAGAATACCTAAGGGTTACTGAAACTTTTTTCTTGAAATTCAACAGTCTATTGTACAATGGCGTTTTATCGTTTATCCGGGAAAGTAATTCAAGAAGAGAAGTAGTAGAGAACTACAATGAACAAAATATTAAAGGTGGATATGCCAAACTTTTATTTATAAATTTTTCAGTCGTATCAAGCAATGACAACAGGAGATTGATACATAATCTATCATTGGAAACGAATAAGTTGTTTTACAATATCCTTTATCAGGAAAACGCTTTATCTTACAGAGAATCTACTTATAGAGCCCTTGGATCATGTTGCGATTCCTCAATGATAGATATGTCTTCTTTGGACATCACATTACACAAAAATAGTAGCTCAACTCTAATCCCAGAATATCCAATGGTGCAACATGTTTTATCCTATTGTAACAAAAAAATGTCCCCTAAAGATATTCACCACAAAATTTATGACCTTTTGAACCAGCAGTGGCTAAGGAAAAGATATGTTATGGAAAATTGAGCATTTCCATAACTTGACTGTGTTTACAAGTGGCTGAAATGCCCTATGCTCATTATAATATCGGATTTAGGTTTATATATTTTTAAAGTACATAGTTACTGATGTTCAACGGTATAAACTTCATCAAGTAGCGCAAATCAGGGGCAACAAGCCACACTCACAACTTCGAAGCAAAGCTTCATTAGCCTTCTTTAGTTTCTTCTGGTTCACTCTGAACCTTGGGTTATGTGATAATTTTACATCTCGTGACTGTGTGATCTTCAACTGTTCCAGCAGTGAAATCGGCAATGGAAAGGACTCCTTTTCTATCAAGAACATATAACTTGTAACCATCTGAGTCAAATCTTACAGACGCAGCTTCCTTGGCCCTAAAGGCATTGGAAACCTCTAGCACGCAAGCAATTTTTTTATTGTCATTATCATCCATTCTCGGGGTAGTCATAATGTAAACATTACCATTTCTATTGATATAAGCAACGCTATCACCTCTGGGCGATACGCAACATTTATGAATGACAGAGCCCACCTCATCTATTTTCATTAGCAACTTTGGCTTTGCTATACCATCGGGGCCAGAAATAGAAGAAATATTAGTATCTATGATGATTGGCTCTGAATTATGAGACAACGAAGTTATGGTCATCAAGCGATTGTCAGGGAAAAATGACATATCCGTAATACCTTCACTATCCAATGACGTGTCTAGTCTGCGCTGGGATTTCATAACCAATGTAGGCCTTGATGGGTCTACTAGGCTGATTACCAAGAATCTAGACTCAAGCGCAGTTGCAACAGACAGTAAAGTTGAATCCGATGAAAATTTCAAAAGATTGATGGGATCTCTATAAGGCAAAGAAAACGGGTATGTCAGAATTTGAAATGGGGAACGTGCAGTTTCAGGTATCAGTTTAATGATTATAATCACGGCTTGCTCTACTTGTGTATATTTATCTTTGCCAGTTATTCCCAAAGCTATAAATCCATCGTTCATAGAGACATCCAAGCAACGTATAGGAAAATTGCACTGATAAGTGTATAAACACCGTCCGCTCTGTGTAAGGTCAATTATTCTTAAAAATCCCCTGGTTCCTGATATAATGAGTAAATTTTCAGTGATTTGACAATATAAATGCTCCCAATTTTCCAATAAATTCATGGTTTCATTTACATTTTCTGTTATATTCGAATTTGTGATGATCTGATCTCTAGAAACGCTTTTCATGTGATCCGGGGAAGATCCATAGGAGCCATCTGACCTACCACAACAAAAGAGTTTAGGAGGTTTATCTGGCCTCTCCGTATCTATCTTATATACCTCCCACTTTTTTTCACTTAACAAGGCCAATTTGGTCAACTTTGGTGATAACTGGGTTTGTAGATAAGATTTTGTTTTTAGAAGAAAGTTGGAGTTATGAGTGTTGAAAGTGTATACCCTTCGAAAAAAGGGAAAATTTTTAGATAGAAGTATTTCTTTATTAGGATGAGTTTTATGTTGATTCCCTGAACTAGTGCTATTAGAGGACATCAACTTGGTCAAATTCGAAGTATTTTGAAACGAGGATTGTCTAGATCGTTGTCGTTGAATCGAGCCCAATGACGAAATAGCGGAGATATTTGTTGGAGAATGAGAGCTAATGTATCCTGTAGGCTCTTTATGGGGAATGCTGTCGTTTAATTGCACGGAATCCTCTAGATAATGGTCTTGTGGCGAATGCTTCGCACTATAATTAGGCGATTTGGAAATCTCGTTTGATTCTACAGAAGAAGGATTCTGAATTTCAACCAGCACCTCATGGAAGGCCGTCAGAAAAGAAAGATTGGTCTGAGAACCCGAACTCATAGATGGTATCTGTCTTCTTTTAGGGCCATCGGTATTCAACTTAGAGAACATGGATGGAAGGTCAACATTTAGCTCATTATCGTCTGACTTTTCCCGCTGTAGAAAGTCCAGTTCTTTTGACAAACTTGAATTAGTTGTAGATGTACAGGAAAAGCCTGAATCTGCTGACTTTCCGCTCGATATTTCATGTCTCAACTTTCTGAAGTAATTTACAAGATTCCGCATGTTGATGCAAGGACCGATCAGCCAAACGTTGTTAGTTCTGCAAATAGGACATGTAATCTTCTCTGGACTTACATCGTCATCAAATTTTTTCTCTTCGGACCTCAAAGTTTTAAGCAAAGCTTCAGAGACTAAACAACCACATGATAGTGTCGATGTATCATTTGCTGGAGCGTATGAAAAGGAAGATGGAGGGTGCAATGCTATCGGGACGGAAAGTAACGTTTCGAGATGCTGTACGACAAGATTGATAGAAAGTGGCGGCGACAGCTGGGACTCATCCAACATGCCAATGGTATCTATTGGTGGTAAAATTACTCTCCACTCCAGTGTGACTGTTAACAGCCTCGAATCCTTATCAGTAGCAACCGCTATCTGTGCCTGAAGGTGATGATAATGCCGGAAACATGTTGGATAAATACGTGCACGGGTGTCTCGTGGAAGAAAAGTTTTGAAGAAAAAGAGGGCGACATTGCGAAAGAAAGGCCATTGAAGGGGGTAGATCGTGATGAGACATGCCGACGAAAAGATGATTGCTGTTTGGAGATAGACATACACATCAAAATATTGACCGGAGCATTATGTCGCAATTTTACGGATACACGGTGGATTTGGTTTTCAAGGAACCTGCAGGAAAAACTGTCAGGGGAATCATTGAGAGGATCGTTGAGAATGAGATAGTGTTGAAAAATCCGGCTCTCGTTCTCCCTGATGGCTCGTATGAGAAAGTCAATAAGAAAGAACTGGAGATACAAACTCAAGAAATTTTGGACTTGAATGTGGTAGAATTGGCGAAAAGCAACAGCAAGTACATCAAAAAACAAATGAAACTATTGAAGGGAAAGGAGAAAAGTAAAGATGTTGCTAGTAACGACAGCAAGGACAGTAAGGATAGCAAGGACAGTAAAGAAGGAAGAGATGTTGTTCCAACTGGTAAGAAAACAAAGAAATACACCGATATCAGCAATGCCAGTACCAACGGTAGTTTTAGTTCTGACTCGGAGCTGATTGCAGCATCCAGCTCGGGGTCGAGCTCGGGAGCGAGTGCAAAGAAAGAGTTAGATGTCAAATACGTGGATATTTACAACGAGAAACCGACTATCACGAAACCGAAGAAGGTAAGTCAATTGGAAGAATTTGACTTTGCATCCAACTTGCAGAAATTCGACAAGGAGTCTGTATTTAAGAACATATCAAAACATGACAAGGTCGATCAATCTTCAAGATTGGTGAGTTTCAATAAGGTAGAACATATGGACAAGTACGGAAATGATGAGATGATTTTGACTCAGAAGCAAAACAATGATTGGGATAACAACAAAGCTTTCGACTATTCCAACATTGTCAAACCTTTGGCGAATGATCACGTTACAAAGTACAATGAAACTAGTCCTTCCGATGCTGGTGAAAACACCAGTTTATCTTCTTCATACCTAAACTCGTTGCAAGGTAGACATGCTTCAAACACTTCCTTTGAACGAAAGGCTTCTATGACTCCTACATTTGCCCAATTTTTTAGCTCTGTCTATGATGATTCCCCTATCCCAACTTGCTCTACGTTACAACTATCGAGTGTCTTAAGCGCATGCAAGGAGAAGTTTGGCCTCACCAATCAGATATTGAACGAAAATGCAGGAACGAGTATCAGTGAATTGATAATCACTAATATCATTGGTAGTTTCCGTATTGGATTCAAGAATCACAACGAGCCGCCGACCGTATTGTTGTTGGTCGGAAATAACAGATCGGGATCGATAGCAATAAATACTGGTAGACACTTGTTCAATCGTGGTTTGAAAACTATTGTGTTTTTGCTATATGATAAAGAGCATTCTGAAGAAGATCTTCTAGCTGAAGTCGACGACGAACTGAAGAGATACAGTGACATTGGAGGAAAAATTGTCAATTCAGTACCTCAACTGGAAAAGATACTAAAAACCGTGGAATCACCGCTTGAGTTTGCTCTCGATGGGCTGCAAGGTTTTGACAGCGATATCAACGACCTTCTAGAGACAGAACTGGACCAGGTAATACAGCTAATAGAATGGTGCAATGAATCTGGACTTCCAATGATGTCACTTGATATTCCAACAGGTTTAAGCGCATCCTCTGGCACAAACGAAAACGACAATACACTTTTAATAAAGAGCAAATACCTTGTCTCTGTTGGTCTCCCTCTATCGTCTGCTTTGAACATGTACAAATTCGGCTACTTCGAGAAAGGAAACATAACGCACTATCTCGCAGACTGTGGCATCCCTCGCCGTGTATTCAACAGCAAGGCATCTCTACGTAAGTTCGACAGAAGATGGTTTGCAGATTCCGGCACCATAGACCTTAAGGTTGTATGAATGTGAGACTAGCTGTGTAGTTGTATAGTCTTTTGTAACAATAATAATAGAGTCATGATCATAAAACCGGTGCAAAATGTTAGCGCGATATGGAAATTGAAAGTTCGCCACATACAGCAAGGGATTAGGTGAAAGGTACAAAGGTCTATAGAAGAATAGGATACACTCTCACTACCCTTTGCACACAATAGAAGCATTGGGTGCAAGAAAGATACAGGCAATATTAGGCAGTATCTAGCAACAACATGCTTGATAAAGACGGAATTCCACTTCTGGCAACACAGGATCCCACCCTTTTGGACGGCGGAGATTTACCAAAAGAGAAAATCGTTTATACACCGGAACAGTTGTTAACATTTGAAGACAAAGGAACTATTCCGGAAGGATGTGAGCTACCCGACCGATCATTTTATCGTTTTGATGCCACAGTATTGATGAAGATAAACAGCTACCTACAAAACGTGAACTGCAGCTCTTATGGTTCGAAGAAGAATGGTAAAAGAAATGGTCATCGTACAAAGGATGCTCACCATCTGTACAGCAGCAGTAATAGTGGACACTCTCATGGCTACCGTGCCGAGGAAGAAGATAACGATGAGCCAGAGTGGATGGCGGAAACAGATTTTAAAGTCGATAGGGATTTTCAACTGTACATGAAAGCTGGATCTCATACAGCGGATGATTTTGAGAGGGAGAAGAAACTGTTTCGCTCAAAGAACAGTGTTGTCGACGCTGAAAGTGCAAAGGCAGTAAATACAAGTGAGAGCTCCAGTTGTAATACAAGCGATGACTCCACCGCTGCTGGGGGAGATAGCAATGAGACTAACGACGAAAAGTTAAAAAGAGAACTGCTAAAACAGCTAGAAGAACCTGAGATCTTAGGCCCCACAGAACAAGAATATTATCAGTTGCTTGCAGAAAAGGAGAAACAGAAAGAAGAGGAAGCTAAAGCTAAAGCTCAAAAGCCAAATGTCAGTTCTGGCGATTTCCAATTTGGATTGGAAATGGATTCGAAAACTCAAGTGGATAACTTTTTTACCTCTTTACTAAACAAAAATACAGAGAATGCGGCGCAGCGGGGCTCCAGTGAAGACAGCACCGAAGCCACCATTCAAGACACTCGTAACTCTAGAAACACTGCCCCTTCTACAATAGCACCTGGACGTACTCCTCTTCAACGGACTGGTTCACAAATTTTGCCTCCTGGGCTGGACACTACAAGTAAGCTAGGACAGATACAATCGCAAGCTTCACCTATGAAAGAAACGCGTGGTCAAGAGAATGGGCGGAATCAAGGACTCTCGCCGAGTCAGCCTATGCCTATTCCTGGTATGTTCCCTCCTGGAATGTTACCGCATAATCAGTTCAATCAACTCAACCACAACAGTTACTATGGTGGAAATCAACAATCCCCCTCTGACATGCAGGTCCAACAAATGAAACAAGCTCAAATGATCCAGCATATGCAACAGGTGCAGCATATGCAAAGATTACAGCAGCTGCAACAAATGCAACAACAGCCAAGATCCAATTTCCATAGTATGGGTCCAAACATGCCTCCAAATATGCCTTTAAACATGCCTTTAAACATGCCTCAAAATATGCCTTCAAACATGCATCCAAACATGCATCCAAACATGCCTCCAAACATGCCTCCAAACATGCCACAAAACATGCCTCCAAACATGCCACAGAACATTTCTCAGAACATGCCTCAAAATTTACCTCCGAATATGGCAAACATGTCAAACTTATCAAGTATGCTACCTGATGGGCCAAATGGTAATTCAAATTTTTCTAACATTCCTGGAAGCGGAATTCCGAATATGCAACAGAGGCCTTATCTTGTCCACAGAAGTTTGCCACCTGGAAAGTTAGATCAACTTCCACCTCACATTGTTCAGCAACTAATAAATTCGCAGCAACACTCGCCACAACCTCCACAGGGAATGCAGCATCCATTGGCAACCTTGGGTAATATAAAGATGAACCATAACATGAATATGAACATCAGAAACCAGCAATTGCCCCAATCCCCACAAGAGAACAGGCAAGGTTCATTACAGGGTTCCAATCAACCAACATTACGACAATTACCTCATAACAATAGCGGAAATAGCATTGCACCACAAATGCCAACACAAATGCATCAGCAAACTACACCGCAAATGGAACAACATATTCCTCCTCAAATGATGCCAGCAAATCTTCCGCCACCCGATCAACTACCTTCTCCCTTCAAGGAAAAGTTTTATCAGATTCAGCAGATACTTCTGCAGTGCCAGCAAAATGGACAACCACCTCCACCAGCGTTGCTTCATGATATGATGGAGTTCCATACGCTATTGGAGAAGAACTTTTCACGTAGTGCTACTGGCTCTACTAATTCAGAGGGCCATACTATTTCCAAGTGATTTAGTTTCCTGGCAAATTGTATAGTTTGATCAATGTTGTTGATCTTTTGTACACTCAACTGAATAAACACTTTTTCCAGTAATTAACAAAACATCAGAAGCAGATGGTACTGCCCTTTCAGGCAATTTACGCGATCTCACACTTAGAAACATGTTTTTCTATTTTGTCAATTTTTTTTCTTTCTTTCAGCAATAACCTTCATAGCTTGTTCGGCAATATGTATAAATTAACCAAAACAAACTACCATGAAGATTATACAGCAGCGTGATAAACTACTGTCCAATTTTGAAGTGTATCAGCATATAGTTGATGTGCAAAAAGAGAATTCATGGGGATTTACAATCCCTAAGGTAGAGAAGAAGCGTAAACAAAAATTTGATCCAAGGTTACTAGATTTAGAGATAATAACCCGTGATCTGAGTCAATACTTAGTGAAGATGGATCAGGGCAACGAAGTGAAAACTGAAAATTTTGTGAATCTGATGCTTGTATTGAACACCTTTGAACTTGAAGTGATTGAAAAATTGATGATTATGAACTCATTGCCAAGATCATTAGTCAATCTTTATGCGATCATTGAAGAATGTGAGGGTAGGTTCTCACAGGATCAATGTGAAGATATGTTGCAAAATGTCGAGAGATACTTTCCGGCTCCAGTGAATGAGGAGGAAGAGGAAGCGGACGAAGGAGAAGAAATAGGAGAAGATTTTGAAATGCAAGATGCCGGCGTGCATGTGGCAATGGATGAGGAAGAAAATGACGACGAAGCTGCATTTGTACAAGCTGATGAATTTGAACATGAAGGATTCAAAAAGAAACAAAACGAAGAGAAAGAAATAGATGAAGTGGAAAGCTGAATTCAGCTTACGACTAGATGTACGATTTTGCTTTTGTGTATACAATTACGGACAACATTCGTATATGATTATGTATAATAAGTATATACTAATATGTATGTAGGTATGTGTGTGTCTATTGAAGATTATTTAGGCTACAAAAATATTATGCCGGCATATAAGTACTTTTTAAGCTTACCGGCTTGGGTCACGCGGGTGGTGAAGCTGAAGCAGGTGAATTACTTGACACAGCACCCAGTATTCCAAACGGATCATTATTAGTAGAAGTTTGTGTCACTGCAGAAGAAGCACCCAGTCCGGAGAATAAATCGTTCAACTCATCTAAAATGTTACCACCTCTATTTTGATCAGATCCATTTAAAACATCTTGAGGGTTCTCGCCACCTCCGTTGTCGTCGTCATCTAAATCTAGCAAATTATCAGCCTTCACAGCGTTGTTCACAATTTCATTCTTAGCTATTTGTTGTAATTCTTCAAACTTTTTATTTTGCAGGTCAGAAGACGTGACAAATGCTGGGTCGTTTTTGTCCAGGTTTATGAATGAGGATGCAGGTTTGTAGAAGACAGAGCTCAAGTTACCTAATTTGTCTAATAATTCTTCCAACAATCCTGGTGCAAAGCTTTCAATAGTAGAATCCAAGAGAGGTAACTTATTTAGTAGAATGTCCTTTTGCAAAGCCTTATCATCAGTTGAGAGCAATCTCCAGTATAAGTACGCCTTATCCCTAACATCAGCATTTTCAACCTCTTTAGTTGCTTTATCGAGAACTTGCTGTAATAGTTGAGGAATTTTTGGAGTTGGCTTAGCCAAGCTGACCTTGACAACTGAAGAGAGTGCTGCAGATTGTACAATTGGTTCAAAGTCATCGAAATTATCGACAATCAAAGATAACCTATCTTCCAAATGGGGTATCTCTTTAGCATATTCTCCTAAAATCCACATATAAGATGAAATGGATTCTGGTTTGGATAAATCGTCGAATTTGAGATCGGCAATGATTGTTATGATTGTTGATAAATATTCTTTAGGATATCTTCTCAAAATGTTCTGTACTACAACAACAGTTTCTTCAACAACGTAATCTCCCCTATTTATGAAGAGTTCATATAAGATCTCAACAGATTTTTTGGAGCATTTTTCGATCTTTATCGCTATTTGTCCAATGGCGTTGATTGCTCTATTGACTAGGTCGATGTCAACCTCCATGGAGTACTCTCTTAGTTCAGATAATAACAACATACAATTATCGTCATTGGATATTCTTATCATGATTTCTATTTTCTCCAACTTCAAGTACAATGGGTCGTTGTATTTGATGAAGAAAGCACGTAGTTCTTTATCCAAAATGTTTGGGTATTTTTCAAGTAAAATTCTGATGTTTTTTAGAGCAACAAATTGGATTTCAGGAGCAGAAACCAGTAAGGAGCACAATGGACTCGACAATCTGCTTAGCACATTGGCTGTTTCGTTATTAGGGAGTTTGTTCAATTGTTTAATAAGAACTTTTATCGATGTTAAAACTACTGCCGGATTCTCATGCTGTAATTGTGGTGATATTTTCTCAATGATCTCATGGACCTCAGAAATTTGATGCGCATCGTACTCAACCAACGCAGATAGGATGGAAACCCGTCCCCACTCGCTGCATTCATTCAAGGTTGATAGAAGTTTCGACAAAATCTTGGAATCAATCTTTAGAACATCTTTTTGAGTCGACTTGGAAATTTCCAGTAGCGCAGCAACCGCATTTGCAACCACCATCTGGTTGGAGTCGTCGACAAGTTCCAATAGGTAGTTTAGGAACCCCTGCTCCATACAAACAGTGGGGTTCAACTCAAATAGCTTCGCAACACAAATAACGGCAGTTTTCCTAACATATGGATTGTCATCCTTCAAAGTTCTCTTCAAAGGAATTGATATGTAATCTACCATCTTGTCAACTCTAATGCATCCCATGGTTCTAATTGCCAACGCTCTGATCAACGGATTTGGATCTTCTGCATCTCGCACGAATGTGTTTGTGGCCAAAATGACCAACTCGGGATGTGTCTTTGCATAGTTCATGAGGTATAGATAAACCAATTTCTTCTGCTCAAGATCGTGAGTGGCAATGTTCTTCAACACATCGGGGAACAATGCCGACACATCCTTCCCCATGGTCATGGCCGCAATAACTCGCTGGATGGTGTCCTTTCTTTCCTCTGCATATTGTGACACAAGACCAGATCTGAACTCATAGTTTTCCCCCTTACGAGGGATGTTAAAAAACTTTCTCAACTTGATCTCCAGTCTTTTGGAAGCCATGCTGAGGGTAACTGTCTTAGAAAGGCTGGCTATGACAAGCTTTGTGGGTACTGCTAGTCCAAGCGAACTTCAAAGCTGCTTACCCTTACAATAACATCCTCTCTTCGTCAGGCTGATTCATGTTCACACTCAGAGACAAACTTCGCGGCTGACAGACCGCATTTCGTCTTTGGCCAGTTGTCTTATTAGCTGGCTAGTCACCTCCAACGGGCACTTTGCCTTCACTGTCGTGCGTATTCACACTCCTTTACAGACTCTATTCGGCGGTATGAACGCTTTACGATCACTCTTTGTAGTCCAGCATAAAGGTTGTAGAACAAACAAACAAATGGTGGAGCGTTGCAAAAGACCATTATGAAAGAGTTGACTGGAGTCCGTAAATCAGCTCTAGAAAGTAAACATTAAGGGGCAATGACTTCTGCTTCTCAACCATTCATTAGAAATTGGGCTTGAGCTCTAGTTGAGTCGGTTATCCACAGATAGAAACATAGTTGGGCCCATGGAAGGGCAGGGAAGCAAAAGTAAAGCGTTTATTCAGAAACGGCTGACGGTCGATCGGCCACAGCATGAACTGTAAAATGTTAACTGGATTTCCTGGAACAACCAGCTACCCAGAATGCTTTCTAAAGTTTCCAGATGTTTGTCGGCTCTACAAACTCACACACGGGATTGCAATGCCGCTAGACTTGCAGCTTCATAGAGTGAAAAAACTTCTTACACTCCTGGGCAACCCGCAGTACAAACCCCAGTTCATACATATTGCTGGGACAAATGGAAAAGGATCTGTGTGTTCTTATTTATCTCACATCTTGAGCGCCTCCGGGATCCGAAACGGTCGATTTAACTCTCCCCATCTGATAACACCCAGAGATTCGATACAAATAGACAATGTCCCGGCTTCCCTGTCGTTATACGAGAAGTGTAAAGAGATAATCGCTGATACCAATGCCAAACACAAAGTTGGATGCACCGAATTTGAACTACTTACTTGTACAGCTTTCCAGATTTTCGCCGAGGCTAAGGTCAGTATAGCAATACTAGAGGTCGGGGTTGGTGGAAGATTAGATGCAACCAATGTTCTTGCCCCAGATAGAACTCTAGTGGTAGGGATTACAAAGGTGGGACTCGATCATCAGAATCTCCTCGGAAAAACTTTGTCGGAAATCGCATTTCAAAAGGTCGGAATATTCAAGAAAGGTGTACCGGCAGTTGTTGACGGCTCAAATGTCGAATCAGTGCTTAAAGTTGCAGAAGCAGAATCAAAAGACGTTGGCTGTCCATTGTATGTAGTCAAGAGAGAAGAAGATTGCTGGGTAACACCAAAACTACTCGGTGACTATCAGTTTGATAATTTGTCAGTGGCATTGAAAATTGCATCTCTACTTGATGATGATCGTATCACAAGGGATACAATCAAGAAGGGGGTTGAAAGTACCGTATGGGCTGGAAGGTTGCAGGAGTATAGTTTCAACATGCGCAGTTTGGGCTTTGAGGAGGATAGACCACTCGACATTCTCCTTGACGGCGCACACAACACACAGGCCTCGATTGAACTAGGAAAATACCTTAAGACACTTAGAAATGACAACGATTTCATTTTCATTATTGCGATCACTCAGGGAAAAAATTTGTCAGCTTTGTTCAAACCAATCATTACCTTTAAAGATTCGATAATATTCACTCAATTTGACGATAAAGTTGAAGGAATGCCTTGGATTAAGCCATTCGACGTGCTTGATTTGAAGAAAGAAATAGAAACCCAAAAGATAGAACATGCTGATGTTTACACTTGTCCGCAACTCAAAGATGCCATCTTTCAAGCCTACAAGCTATCACAAGTCACGAAAAAGAAAGTGGTGGTATGTGGAAGTTTATACTTAGTGGCAGATGTTCTTAGGTTGCAGCTTGATTCATAATATCCAATCTATCTTGACAGTAAATCTTACATAAAAGTGTAAATTAGGTAGTGTAATGTATATAATCTTTCTAATCTTTCACAGGTTTACCCTTTTGTACACGTCTGACATTTTTCGACCACTTGCGAATATCAGCACGGTACTTTGAGCTCACTATGATACCATCATCATCCAGGAAATCGGCCAAGAATCGATGGTTCATCAAGTCCGATGGACTAGGCCTCAAACTCTCTTTTTTCAAACACAACGAAACGAAATCAGAAATCTCACTGCTGAAGCCATCTTTCACTGACAAGCTTGGGGGCTGTTCATTTACAATCCTCTGTAAAAGTTCTAGAATTGAAACGGCCCCCGAATTGTCATTAGCAAAGGCCAATTTACCTGATGCCAACTCATATAGCATTATACCCAAAGACCAAACATCGCCCTTGACAGAGTAAACCCCACCTTGAATTCTCTCTGGTGACATATACGTTGATGTCCCCACAAAAGTATCTGCCATTGAGTTGATGAGCTCCCTTGAAACTCCAAAATCACACAACTTTATTTTCCCCTTTGATGTTAATAGAACGTTCGATGGCTTAACATCTCTATGAATTATTCTATGCTGGTCATACAAATATATTAGTCCTGAAAGCACAGAGTATGCAACATGCTTTAGCATAAATTCGGGAAATGGTCCGGTTAATTTGAAAACATGGGCCAATGATCCACAATCCGCATATTCCATACATATCACAACGTTTCCTTCTTGTAAAAATGTGCCGTAAAACTCGATAATAAATGGGGAATCACATTCATGCATTATCCTCAACTCCCTCATAATTTGAGACTGTACAATTTCCTTAGCCTCAAGGTGGACGATTTTCCGGGCCATTGTTTTCTGAGTTGGTAAATGCAAAACTTTCGAAACAGTACCAGACTGACCGGATCCTAATTTTTTTAGAGCAATCAGCTCATCGGCATTTATTGGCATTTCATATTCTAATCCAAACTCTAAATTTTTAATGTTTTCAATCAAAGCATCGGTATCTATCTTTCTTTCAGGATCCTTTATACCCATTTGGGCTATTGGTGAGTCCCCTGGTTTATTCTGTACATCTGTGATAATTGGGCCAAGACTTAACTTCTTATAATTCCTTCGATTTAAAGATTTCACCTCAATTTTTTTATTGGGTTCACTTTCACTCATCTGTCTAGTTGATATTATATTGGTTGGTGTTTGCTGAGTTAGTACTATTTTTGTCCTGGGAGCATCTACCTGTACACTTTTCAATGCTAAAAGAGGAGGTCTTGACTTTTCCACATTTGGTGAATCACCATCTTCATTTGATGTCAAAAAATTGCAGTCTTCAGCAGAGCTCGCAGAAAATGGAACAGGACTTATTAAAGGGAAATCTAGTACTGGAGGTTTATTATTGTTGCTGTGAAGGTTCAAAGTTAATGTAGGACCCGCTCTTCGGGAAGATAAACCTTCAACCCTATAAGCCGAATTTTGTTCCTTTTGACGTATGAAGCTATCTGTACTTCCTCTCAACGCATGCTGTGACACTATCTGTGGTTTTGAATTGCGGTGTTCTGGAGTTGAAAAAGTAGGATTGAGAGGTGGATGTTGAGAGACTTCAGTTTTCCCCATTTCTTGGGGCAAAGGCGGTAACTCTTTGTACTCATTTACATTTATGCTCATCGTGCTTGTTTGAGGGACTTTGCTATTGTTGCTCCCTTGTAGTTGCACTTTCATTACATTATTATCGTTGTGAAGCAGCAGAACGTGCCCAAACATGGTGAACGAAAATTGGTGTAATCAAGCTTTGCGCGTGATAGCATTTCGTGAAATCGCTGGATCTACTACACCTTGAAAGGTGATGTTCACGTTTTGAGCTGCGTTAGAAGATTCGAAGATTTAAGCTAGTAAACTTGTCGGTGGCCTTTGTTGAAATCTTGAACAAGTAATGACAGAAAAGGTTTACCTTCCGGGTGAAAAGGTGTTTGTATACCAGGGACCGTTGTTATATGATGCCAAAGTTTTGAAGACGTTTGATCCAGTAACTCAGAAAGTGGAGTCCTTCGATGAGAAAAAGAAAGAACAGGTCTATTCAGCTCCTAACAAAAAATTCCCTCAAAAGTTCTTATCTGAAGTTTGTTATATGGTACATTACCAAGGGTGGAATGCCAAATGGGACGAATGGGTCTTACCGTCTCGGATATTGGAAGTGAACAACGAAAATCTGATGTTGAAGGAGAATTTAACTTTTGAGATGCAAGAACAAGAGCGTCTTCAACGAGAAGCTTTAGAGGAAGAAGATCGGAAGAAGGAGAAAGAGAAGACAAAGTTAACCATAAAATTACAGAAAAGAATACCTGGAGACTCCAGAAGAAAATCATCGCCCAGTTCTTCAGAAAAGCCGGAAAAGAACGAAGATTCTGGTATTCTTTCGATAATAAATGGAAATGGGAACAAGAAAGGGCGGGGAAAGACGAAAACTGGAAACTTGAAGCATAAAGATGATGAGTCAAGAGATAGATGCTCTTCTGATATAGAGAATAGCGTCAAACGAAAAAGACTCAATGGGGCGTCTTCCAAGAATGAAGCAAATCACTATGAATCCAAAACGGGATTTACACATCACGAGATTAAAACTCTTGTTCCCGACGCATTGAAAATTATTTTGGTGGACGACTGGGAGAATATAACAAAGAACAACAAGCTGGTTTCCCTGCCGGGAAAATGTTCAGTCTCCAAAACGCTTGATGATTTCATGTTATATCTCCAACGGGAGTTCAGCGAAGAGGTCTCAGAACTGGACATTTTTCTGGAAATGACACAATCGATCAAACTGTACTTTGAGCAGTGCTTAGGCACGTTCTTACTATATCGATACGAGAGGCCCCAATATAGTGATATTCTCGACAAGGAAAATGACTCTCACTTGTATGACATTTACCCATCAATCTTCTTGTTGAGACTGTTGTCGATTTTTCCGAATATTCTTGTGATGAATAACGTAGACCCGGGAACTGTGCGCATAAGCAAAGTATATTTGGATATCATACTTTTTTGGCTGGATCACAACAAAGGCACATATTTAGTAGAGGAATATGAAAATCAAAGTCCGTGGATAGCACTAATGCAAGGATAAGAAACCAGCTGCTGTTGGTTGAAGGAAGAGCAAAAACTGTTGTTCATGTATAGATAGAACGAGGTCACACTATTAGTTAGTTGAGCTCTTTGATTCACTTACGATTAAAATTAAAAATTAAGTTAAGAGATAAAAAAAACGTAAACCCTAAATATACACTATGTCATTGACTTTCTTGGTATCCATGGATTCGAGCATTGTGTTGATTTCCTTTTGGAAATATTCAAGGTAGTCTGTTGGCTTCTTGGTGTCAGAAGTCGGAGTTGGGGGGAAGGAGATGTTGTTGCTGGTTTTCCTGGAATCCAGACTTGTGTCAAACAAAGGCACTGAAGAGTTAGATCCTACCGAAGAAAGACTTTCAGTTGAGACTATTCGCTCTGGGCCTACATATATAGGAGCAGGTCTTTTCAACTTTCTGGTGCTCGAGACACGGCGTTTCACTGCCTCTACTGGTTGAGGAGCCTTGTTCAGTAGTTTGATATCGTGCGTGCTCAAAAAGGAGCCGTCTAGGCACACGACATTGTTTTTCGATACGTCCAAATTGAGGGACACGATTTTTGAATTGGAAACTTTTGTGCTGGTTCCACGGAATACTGTATTTTGTGATGGCTTCTCTTCCAGATTAAAGTTTTCCCACAAGTCGGCAAGAGTATCCTGCTGTGAGGCAACGCAACGCTTCTTTTCCAAGCAGTGTATATTTTCCAAATTCCAGTTTGTCAAATAACCGTCCTTGTCTCCCGTCCACAAGTTGTCTCCGTTCCATTTCACGTGAGTAACGGAGTCTGAAAAGCCTGTCAATTGCGTGAGCGGCTCCAACTTCCTGATGTCCCAGATGTAGACGGCATCGCTCTGGACGGTAGCAATGAAGTTTTCGTTCGTTTCACACCACTCGACACAGGTGACGCCCTTCGGAGCGCCGTATCTTGACGGCGAGGAAACGGAGCTGTTCGGCGGCAGATAGAGAGAGGACTTGCTCTGGTTCTTACCTGTGCGCAAGTCGAGGAGCGAAAGGCCGAAGTCTCCGGCAATGGCAGCCAACGAGTCGATGTGATCGTTCAAGGCGACACGAGAGATTCCGTTTGTGCGGACCAGCGAGAGCGGCGCTCTAGATCTGCTTGTGTCCCACACAAACAAGTGGTGGTCGTAGACGGAGACGAGCGAGTTCAACGACGTGGAGCGCCACGCGGGACCCGTGAGCTGCATCGAGCTGATGGTCGTGGAGAGCGTGCCGTCGTTGAGACAGCCGGTCTTTGTGGCGCCTGCCGGCTCGGCGCTGAGCTGTTTTCTGTGATTGAAGCGCTTGATGATCTCCGCGTTCTCGAAAACGGAGTTGTCTGTGAGCGGGATTGCAGACAGGTGGGCGATGCCGTTCGAGTGGCCCGTGGCGAGAAACTTGAAGTCCTGAGTCGGCGGCGAGATAGGCCTCAGGAACCTGAGCGACTGCACGTCCGGCAGCGTGATCGACGCCAGGTGCACGAGCGAGTTTTCCGCCAGCTGGAAGATCTTGAGGTTTTCTGTCAGCACGTTGGCGGCAACCGCAACGGTCTCGTGGTCTCGTGAGAACCCCGTGTTCGATGCGAGCTGGAACGCGGACGCCGAGCCAGCGCCCGAGCCAGCGTCCTCGTCCTCCTGCTGGTTGATTTTCCAATAGTTGGAGTGTGCGTTGGTGCCGGACATAGTGTAAAAAGAGTGTATAGAGGTGAGTCGTAGGCCGTGTCGCACAAGAGACCACTTCAGCACATACCAGTGTTTCCACCCGGAGAGCCCGGCCTGCTGCGGGAGTGCAGAGAAGCAGATCTCGCAAACTAGCGTCTGCAGCAGGCCGCCCCGTGCCTCTTATACTGACGCTCCTGCTGCATCCTTGCTGTCTGTGCTGTGTGCTGGCAAATCCCAAACCATCTTGCTGGAAACAAGCCTTCGCTCAAGACAATGCCGGACGCCACCCGGATCTGCTGCACCAGGCCGCCTCCCGGATTCATGCGGTGGCTAATCCAGAAAATTCCCCTTTTGGGAGTTGCCCTTTTTTCCCTCCGCGTTGCCCTGCGACGATCGGCCCCTCAGCCCCTGTCCCAGCACCCGTGCACCCGTGCACCCACATCTGCGCCTGCGCGGGGGCCGCCGGCGAGCCGCCTGGCGCGGAGAGAGTAGCCAGTCGGCAGCAGAGGCCGGGCGGTTGTGGAGCTGGCAGGCGGGTGCTGAGAGAATCCGACCCACGCAGGGAGGCAGGCAGGCAGGCAGGCAGGCGAGGGTCCGCACAGAGACACAGAGAGTGTGACAGAGCGGGTAGTGGGAACAGAAAGGGTGACTGGGATAGCTGGAGGAGGGCCACAGACACAAGGGCTGCGGCATATAGCTTCTGCTGGTGTGCAAACACGCGAGACAGCCCCTGGAACGTACGTGCCCCGCTGATCCGCCACTTGAAAGAGTCACTTCGCCGGCACAGGGAACCAGATTGCGATCGATCGTGCTACGCCAGTCGCCGCCACCGCCTTTTTTCTCTCTTTTCCCGTTCGTCTTCTGTTTGCCCTTAGGTGAGTCGTTCTCCAGCCTCCATCGCTCGATAGATCCAGGCTTTTGCGGCACAATTGAAAGAGCAGAAACGCAGCACAGACAGGCGCCGCCACCAGCCTACACGACCGCTAGAACAGACAGATTGCGCCACGCACACTCAGTCACAGCCACAAGTTGAACATCAGCAGTGAGCCGGAAAATCTCGAAAACCTCCAGATCGTCCGCCCCCGCTCACACAAAAGGACAAATAGCAGCCAGTCCAGTAATCGGCACAGATCTGTCAGAAGCATCGTCTTCCGCCTCCTTCTTTCCCTGCCTTTTAGTTTTTCCATAGACCACTTCCTCCATCAGGATGCCTGCACCACGTTCGAAAATCACCGTCAAGGTCCTGGCCGCAGAGGGCTTGTACAAGCGGGAGATCTTCAAGTCCCCGGACCCCTTCGCTGTGTTGACCGTCGACGGATCACAGACGCAGACCACTGAAACCGTCAAGAGGACGTCCTCACCGCACTGGGACCAGTCCTTCGAATTCAACGTGACCGAAAACTCCGTCTTGATCATACAGGTGTTTGACCAGAGAAAGTTCAAGAAGAAGGACCAGGGCTTCTTAGGAGTCATCAACATCAGAATAGGAGACTACATCAACTTCAACGACCCATCCAGCGAGCAGACCGTTGCCGAAGAACTGAAAAAGTCAAACTCAAACTTGCCTGTTTCCGGGAAACTCATAATAACAATATCCCATAAAAACGGCTCCAGAGACTCCAGAGACCCAACAAACTTCATAAGAAACTCCTCTGTCAGCGACTCCACCACCCGTCACTCCGCCTCCAACTCCGCCTCCGCCCACGGAACCTCGTCAGCAGCTAGCCAGTTTCCCGGTGTCGCAGCCTCAAACTCCTCGGCAACATCCAGCTCCAACGCTAGACAGTTTTCCTCTTTCGAAGACCAGCTGGGCAGGCTACCTCCTGGCTGGGAACGTAGAACGGACAATTTTGGAAGAACCTACTACGTCGACCATAACACCAGAACGACGACTTGGAAAAGACCAACCTTAGATTCAAACGATAACCACAAGCCTTCAAGTGCAACCATATCATCTAATAGCAACAATAATAACAACAGCACTGTACCTGTATATGGAAGCTCAGGCCAAAACATAACAGAAGAAGAGGCTTCCACGCTTGAAGCCACCGGTCAAACCGTACCAGGATTGGGCGAATTACCTCCAGGCTGGGAACAGAGATTCACACCGGAGGGAAGACCTTACTACGTCGATCATAACACTCGAACTACTACTTGGGTCGACCCAAGAAGACAACAGTTTGTTAAAAGCTTTGGAGCAAACTCAGGCTACAACGCTCAACGATTATCTGCAATGGGACCATTACCAAGTGGTTGGGAAATGAGACTTGCCAATACATCAAGAGTGTATTTTGTTGATCATAACACTAAAACTACCACTTGGGATGATCCAAGATTGCCTTCCTCCTTAGATCAGAACGTTCCTCAATATAAGCGTGATTTTAGAAGAAAGCTGGTTTATTTCAGATCCCAACCAGCTTTGAGAATCTTACCAGGCCAATGTCATATTAAGGTCAGAAGAGATTGCCTATTGGAAGATTCATTCAGAGAAGTCATGAGACAAACACCAGAAGATTTGAAGAAGAGATTGATGATCAAGTTCGAAGGCGAAGAAGGTTTAGATTATGGTGGAGTCTCGAGAGAGTTTTTCCAACAACTCTCGCATGAAGTCTTCAACCCTGCATACGGTCTATTCAAATATGCATCCAGTGACAACTATACGTTGCAAATCAATCCAAACTCCAATATCAACCCAGAGCATTTGAACTATTTCAAGTTCGTTGGTAGAGTGGTTGGATTGGCAGTTTTCCATCGTAGATTCTTGGACGCATTCTTTGTTGGTGCAATGTACAAGATGATGTTACGGAAGAAGATTGTATTACAGGATTTGGAATCCGTCGATTCGGAAATGTACAAGTCCCTGTGCTGGATGTTGGAGAATGATATCACAGATATATTATACGAATCGTTCAGCGTTGAGGAAGACAGATTTGGTGAAAAGGTTACTATCGACCTAAAGCCAAATGGTAGAGACGTTGAAGTTACAAATGAAAACAAACGTGAGTTTGTAGAATTGAAGACAGAATGGATTATCTCTAAACCAGTTGAAGGCCAATTCCGCTCATTCATGGAAGGTTTCAACGAACTAATTCCTCAAGAACTTGTTCAAGTCTTTGACGAACGTGAACTCGAGTTGTTGATTGGTGGTTTGGCCGAGATCGACATCGATGACTGGAAAAAGCATACAGATTACAGAGGCTATCAAGAAAGTGACGAAGTCATCCAATGGTTCTGGAAAGCAGTCAGCGAGTGGGAAAGTGAGCAGCGTGCGAGGTTATTGCAATTTACAACGGGTACATCAAGAATCCCTGTTAATGGTTTCAAAGATTTGCAAGGTTCAGATGGCCCAAGAAGATTCACCATTGAAAAGGCAGGAGAAATCGATCAACTACCTAAGTCACACACTTGCTTTAACAGAGTCGATCTGCCACCATACAAGGATTATGATGCTCTGAAAAAGAAGTTAACGATCGCCGTCGAAAACACTATTGGGTTTGGTCAAGAATGATTCAGTCATTGTTGTATGTTTTTTTATTTTCTCTTTTGCCAGTTTGGTTCTCTTTGTTCTTTTACACTTATATAATATACTTATATCTTTGTTTCACGTCATCATTATTTTACTCTTTTTTATATTTTTCCGTCTATATTATTATTATAACTACCCTTATCCTCAACGCAATAAAAATACTTGCATAGTGCTTTTGACTCTTGTTGAATGTTTACCATCCTGTACATTTCTATTTATCGTCTTGGAAAACTCATTTTTATCGCAATACTTTCTTAAATGTAAAACTCAAGCCTTTGAGGTTTCCAGGTAAGAGGCAATTGGCAGTTTTCTTAAGATACAACATTTTGTTGCCGTTGTAAGTTGTAAACCTCATTTTTCTTAGTTAGCAGCCTTTTGGATTTATAACAAGCGTTCCAAAGAGTTGAGTTAAAACTTTAAAGGACACAGCTTAGATTTGGGGCAAGATTGATGATACCACTGTCAAGAAAAATATAAGCTAATGCCAGCACCCATGCTGGGAGTCGAACCCAGAATCTTTTGATTAGAAGTCAAACGCGTTAACCATTACGCTACACGGGCATTGCTTAATTGTAAACCCCTCACTTTTATGATGGTAAAGACAAAAGAAAAGAAGGGCAGAAGACTATTATTATTAGGCACTGAAAGTAGAAGCAATCTAACTATCTGGTGATAAATTTTTGATGGCCCATGAGAAGGTAAGGGAGCTTTGAGATAATCAACACCTCAATAACAATTTTATAAGCTACCAGGCAATGGCTAAAAGCCACCCAATTTAAATTTACAGCTGTTTGTGTTCTTGGAGACACCAATCCGACCGACAGAACGGAAAAACGATTGATGTACTATGATGCACAATTAATTTGTTATTCCCCAAGCCTTTGATGAAACAAGGTCCGTAAAGAAAGTTGCTCGAGATATACCTGTGTTCCGAACCTTCGATCAACTCGCATTATTGTCAAATCAGTCTATAATATACCACTGATCTTCACTCCATAATTGTTAGTGCATAATATATTAGGGATACCAACTGAAACGACTGCTATTAACGGTGATAGTAACAAAACGTCGTATCGGTTGAAAATAGGTGTTAGAATGTGTGGAGATTCAAGCCAGTCTCCAATTATAAAGTACCCCAAACTATCAATGCAACAACACAAAATAAAGAAAAGTAACTATTATGCACGACTTCAAACGACTATGCTCAAACGTTGACAAAAAGCTTCTTCAAGTGAAACTCGTGGCATTATTCATAGAATCTTATACGTAGGTCAGGGGTTGCAAGAAAGGTGTCAATCAATGCAAAACTGAGAACCTTGTTTGCACGACGATTTTGGCCTCAAAATTTTTTGCACTCGTTGGCAAAACAAGATTTCAGTATCAGATTAAAAGCTCTTTACTTGCCACTGTTGTCGTGTAATGGGTTCTTTGAGGTAGCGAGTATGCCTTATGGGTAGAAAGGTGAAAAACGATTATACTGTATTTTTATCAAGGCGAAAGAAAATTTGCGTTTGAATTCACTCGGAGAAAAAAAAGAGAGTGCGTAAAGAGGGTTTCTGCCGGATCATAACTTAAGCGTATTAAGGAATGAGCTACTTCGATTAATCAAATGTTTATAGTTTAATATATGCTCTCTTGACGACGAAACCAATGCCACAAGCTAGATTACGATGTCTAAGATAAAAAAGATAGATCAGTCCGTCTGCGGCTACATGCAGAGCCAGGTCAAGATCAACACTTTATCAGACGCTATCAGGGAGCTCACACAGAACGGAGTAGATGCAGGAGCAACTAATATCAAAATAAACGTAAAAGTCCAGTACGCAGAAACAACGGTTGAGATAGATTATACCGATGATGGCGAAGGAATAGGTCCGGAGTCGATGGAAGTTTTAGGAAAAAGATTTTTCACTTCAAAGCTAATTTCAAACTCCGAAGGGCCAGATTGCGATCTTTCCATGCTCCAGCGGTTGACTACCTTTGGCTTTAGAGGAGAGGCGTTCAACTCTCTGTTAAATATATGCAGCTCTGTGCTTGTAGTCTCAAGAGTGAAACACTACAATAGCGGCTTCAAAGCTTGTTTTCAAGGAGATGAACGAATTGGAAACATAGTGAAGAATAATGGCCCAGTTCCTATCGGAACCAGCATAAAGTTGATAGGATTTTTTGATCCTGTAATTGTGAGGAAAAATATTTTATTAAATAATATTGAGAATAGATGGACACAGGATACTTTCGAAATCAAAAGAATGGTTCTAGACAGCCTAATTAATAAACCCTGGATAAAGGTGAGAATAACGAGGCAAGAATTCAAACAACTGAAATGGGTTAGTAAAGTATTGGTCGACAAAGCCTCCACGTTCACGGCAGAAAAAGTTTCTTTCCAATCTCAAATGAGTTTGTTCAAGTCTATTTTTGGAGAAAAGACTTGTGAAGATTATGAACTTTGCAAGGTACAGCTTAAAAATATACAATTAAAAGCTGGAATTGGCTTATCATCACTGCAGACGAAGAGCTATCAATTTATATACTTGAACGGTCGCCCATTTATAAGTGAAGAAATGGTAAAATATGTCAATCGGCTTTTTCAAAAAAAATATGAGTTATGGGGCCATAACGCCAAGAATTCACGGGTGAAAAGCCCCAGCAAGAAATCGTCAAGCATGTATGGGAGACCATATAGTGTGAATCCCGTATTTGTTGCCAGTTTTAGTGCTCCTATTAATATATCGGAGTTGATGCAAGATCCCAGTAAAGCTTGCTATACAACCAAGAACATGAAGATTTTACTGTTCCTGTTCACTAAAGTGATTGAAGTTTACTTTGGAATTTACAAAAAGAAGAGAAAGGGAACCACCGAAAAGGAGCAAGCCAAAAGCACTGTTAAAAGCAAAAGACAGAAAGTACAAGAGTATGCGGTTCTTTCGTCTGATTCAACAGTTTCCAAATTCAAGAAGTCCGAGTTGAATGGCAGGCTAACTGACACAAACCCAGCAACCATAGAGGAATTTCCAAGAAAAATGCATGACTTCAACAAAATCACAAATAAACTCGCCTTAAAAGAGCATTTCCGTACCATGGATCAGCCCGGACACGGCAAAAGGGAGGAGGGACTGGTAGACGAAAATAATATCGGTAGCCACTGTTCGAACTGCTATAAAGTACAAAAACAAGACAGCTTAAAGAGGCAGTCCTTCTTTTTTAATAACATCGACAAGGTTGTTTTAACGAGGGAAGATTTGCGGGAGTTCCACGTGATTGGGCAGGTTGACAAGAAGTTCATCCTCCTCAGGCTGCAGAACCGTATTGTAGGATTTGACCAGCATGCCATAGACGAACGGATCAATGTGGAGAGGATGTACATGCAGTTAATTGAACAGTGCATGTCGGGCGGCGAGAGTTCGGAGCTGGAGGACAAAATTGCCTTCGAAACCAACGGTGTAGAGTGTGAGCTTATCGCAAGGTACGAAGAAACACTCGCTTTCTGGGGGATCAGGTTCGACAGGGACTACACCCATATTACACATTTGCCATCGCTGATCCTGAGCAAGTTTATGAAGATTGGCTTCAGCGTCTTGCGGAAAGGCGTTGTAGAGTTTCTGTACAATTTGGGAGAGAGCAAGAAGGTTGCGTTCAAGCCGACGGAAACTGGTAAGCCCCGTGGCGCAGGGAATCCCTTCTGGTGGGTGAGATACGTCTCGCATATGCCGGATATCTACAGGGAAACCATCAAGTCCAAGGCTTGCCGTTCCTCCCTCATGTTTGGAGAGCAGCTCAGCAACACCCAGGTGACGGACATTGTCCGGCAACTTCAGCTCTGCTACCAGCCGTTTGAGTGTGCGCATGGGCGGCCGTCACTTTACCCGATATGCGGGATAGACGCTGGCGGCCACAGAGTAGAGCAGTCAAACTGACTAGTCTGTGCTGCCGGTTCGTCCCATCCTGCTCTTTCCCAGGCCTGCATCTGAAGACCTTTCTCCGCAGGCCCCCCACCTCCCACACGGCAGATGACCCAGCCACTCTCCCACCGCCCCACGCAGCTGGAGAATGAGAGCTCAGCGAATTTTATCTCAAATTGCCCGTCCTCGCGGACCACATTGTTTGCGGTATCGTCACCAGTTGGTGGTGACACTGCTAAATTGAGGGGGAGGCCATCATGCACAGCGTTCTGAGGGTCGTTCTCCCTCTACCATTGCACAGGGCCTGTAGCGTGTGCAGAGTTGCAAGAGGTCAAGGAGGATCCACAAGAACCGGTTGTTCTTGTATTAGGCTTTACACGTTTGTTTTCCGCTGTGTTCCCTGTCCATTCGTTCTGAAACACCCCAGTTGAGGCTCCGTCGTGAATTACCCCAGATTATTATAGCAAAGGTTAGGTTTGCCCCCCATCCGTATCACATCGTGCACTAACAAAGAAAATAATGACCAGAGATATCAAGAACCACTACCTGTTTGAAGTGGCTACAGAGGTCGCCAACAGGGTTGGTGGGATCTATTCGGTTTTGAAGTCGAAGGCGCCAGTGACCGTGGCCGAGTACAAGGAGAAATACATGCTTTTAGGCCCGTTGAACTACAAAAGTGCGTCTGTTGAGGTCGAAGAGTTGCCTGTGACAAACAAGGCATTGAAAGAGACATTGGACTCGATGGAGAGCAGAGGTATCAAGTACCTGTACGGCCGGTGGCTAATTGAAGGAGCCCCAAGGGTCATCTTGTTTGATCTTGGCTCTGCAGCTTACAACATGAACGAGTGGAAGACTGACCTTTGGAACATTGCGGCGATTCCGACACCCGAAACCGACACGGAAACGAACGATGCTGTTCTACTTGGTTATTTGACTGCGTGGTTTATTGGCGAGTTCAGCTGCCACCAGACGGAAAAGGCCATCATACTTCATGCCCATGAGTGGTTGGCAGGTGTCGCCTTGACTCTTTGTAGGCAAAGAAAAATCGACTGCTCAACTATTTTCACCACCCATGCAACATTGTTAGGTAGGTATCTATGTGCTGGCTCTGTTGATTTTTACAACAATTTGGACAAGTTTGATGTCGATTACGAGGCGGGCAAAAGAGGCATCTATCACAGATATTGCATTGAAAGGTCTGCAGCACACGCAGCCGATGTCTTTACCACCGTTTCCCATATCACGGCATATGAGAGTGAACATTTGCTCAAGAGAAAGCCAGACGGCGTTTTACCAAACGGTTTGAATGTCGTGAAATTTCAAGCAGTACACGAGTTCCAAAACCTGCATGCCGAAAAGAAGGAGAAAATCAACGAGTTTATCCGAGGCCACTTTTACGGCCAGCTGGATTTCAGCTTAGACAATACGCTGTATTTCTTCATTGCAGGCCGTTACGAATACAGAAACAAGGGTGTTGATTTCTACATCGAGGCTTTGGCAAGATTGAACCATAAGTTGAAGGCTGCTAATAGTAACTTGACTGTCGTTGCATTCATTATCATGCCTGCGAAAAATAACTCTTACACCATCGAAACGCTCAGGGGTCAGGCTGTAATCAGACAACTGGAGAACACAGTGAAAGATATCCAAGATGCGATGAGCAAGAGGCTTTTGGGCTGGTGTCAAAATCCTCTGCATTTCAACGATTCCAATAGAACGGAGCTACCTGTTTTGGATGACATCCTCAAGTCTAGTGACAGGGTTTTATTGAAGAGAAGAATGATTGCAATGAAGAGAGACACGCTGCCAGCAATCGTCACTCATAACATGATTGACGATTCTACCGATCCTATTTTGAATCAAATCCGTTCATGCCAGATGTTCAATAGGAAGGAGGACAGGGTTAAAATAATCTTCCATCCCGAATTCTTGAACTCTTCGAACCCAGTTTTGCCCATCGATTACGACGAGTTTGTCAGAGGTTGCCATTTGGGTGTTTTTCCATCTTACTATGAACCTTGGGGTTACACACCTGCAGAGTGTACCGTAATGGGCATTCCATCCATCACCACCAATCTTTCAGGTTTTGGCTGCTACATGGAGGATCTCATTGAAAACTCTAAGGATTATGGGATCTATATTGTCGACAGGAGAATGAAGTCTGTTGATGAGTCGATCAACCAGTTGAGTGAACAGATGTTTGAGTTCACCCAAAAGACCAGAAGACAGAGAATCAACCAAAGAAACAGAGTAGAAAGGTTGAGTGATCTTTTGGACTGGAAGAGAATGGGGTTGGAGTATGTTAAGGCAAGAATGCTTTCTTTAAGAAGAGCCTATCCTGAAGATTTCAGCCAGAACATCAATCCGTTCGAAAATGACGAAAAGATCAAGTTAACTCGTCCACTGAGTGTTCCGGGCTCTCCAAGAGACAACAAGTATGGCGCCATGACTCCCGGAGACCTCGGCACTTTGCAGGAAAGCAACGACTCCGACTATCTCAACTGGTCTCTGAGAGAGGATAACGACGAAGACGTCACTCTCAGAGGCGCTAGCGTGGCACCAAGCGACCACGAGGAGGAGTGAAGATGGAGGGTCAGTTAGTATTGTTTAGTAATCCCATTGACCCGCTACTTTCTTGCATGTTTTGTTCTAATTATGTAAAATGTATGTAGCACTGGGATGAATGTAATCCGTAGTAGCATCGAGAATTCGGAGAAGCGGCGATTACAAATTTGGACCAGCCGCCGGTTATCGGTCGCCGCGGCGCCTAAGTTGTGGAGAAAAGTGAGTGTGGTCTTATCTTGCAAAGAATGAGTAGACTGTTGAACTTTTTCTCCACTAAAGTCCAACTTCTTGTGTTTGTGCTTTATAGTTCTTCTTGATCGAAGACACATTAGGGCTGTATAACTCAAGAAACAATAAGTACCATGACTAGAATTGTTGTTGTTGGCTCCGGTGTTGTTGGGATCACTAACGCGTACTGTCTTTTGAAGAAAGATCCATCCAATGAGGTCACCATTGTGTCTCAAAACTTCCCTACTGATTTTGAATTCAAGAAAGTCTACACGTCGCCGATTGCCGGCGCCAACTGGGCATCTTTTGCAACTCCGGAGGACAAGTTTGTGCAGGAGATCGACACTGTGGGCTACTATAAGTTTCAGGACCTGATAAAAAACAGACCGGAGGCCGGTGTTACGGCACGGAAGGACATCAACTATGTGACGAAGGAGAAGTTTGCGAAAGACGGGCATGCCAAGAAGTTCCCCTGGTTTGCGTACGGCCAAATTGGTACAGACTGTGGCTTTAGAGAGCTTGACGCGTCTGAGTTTGACAACAATAAGTTTGAATACGGCTTTGAGTACGACGGTCTGGTGATTCGGACGAGCTACTATATGACTTTTTTGATCAATGAGTGCTGGAGACTTTCTGGGGCCAGCGAAGGTCCAAAGGCTCGGTTTTCTCTTCGCCGGGGTTCTGTCAAGAAGTTGTCGGAGGCCTTTGACCTGCATGCATCGGGTAGACGTGCAGACGTTATCGTCAACTGCACGGGCTTGTTAGCCCGGGAGCTAGAGGACCTTGAGCCGGAGGAACGGAGCAAGATTTATCCCGTGCGGGGAGTTGTTTACGTTGTGAAGAACACGACTGGCGTCAAGAAGGTCACGATTGTGGAGATCGACAAGGAGGACGAGAGCTTGTATTTGATGCCAAGACGTGAGGGGGAGATGATCATTGGCGGGTGTTTCCAGAAGAACGAGGAGAGCCGCTACGTGGACCCTAGCTTGCGGGAACGGATCTTAGGACGCTGCTCCTACTACTTGCCCCAATTCAACTGGAAAAACCTAGAGATTGTCCGGGAGCAGGTTGGGTTCAGACCGTACCGGGAGGGCGGGTACCGGATCGAGAGAAAGGGCCGCATTGTGCACTGCTACGGGACGGGCGGTGCCGGGTACCAGTCGAGCTGGGGGTGTGCCGAAAAGGTGCTAAAGCTGGTTTCACAGGTCGGCAGCGGCAGCAAGTTATGATGTTCGTGTCGATCGTTCTTATTGGAGCCTCTATATACGTTTATATCTGTTGAACCCTACAAAGAAAGCGCTGGGCCGGTCCGACGACGGTCAGACGACGCTGTTTCTAGCAAAAATGGAGCTGTACTCCCGTTCGGTCGTCAGCACTCTGGCGATGGTGTTTCTGCGGATGGACACTAGGCCAAGCTCTCTGTGGTGGCTGCCGCAGGTCTCGACCGCGTTGGTGACGAGCAGGTTCGACTGGTCGTCGATGGCGATGAGGACGCCCTGGATGACTCTGCCGTCGGTGATGTCGAACGTGTAGCTGTGGGAGATCAGGTCGAGCGGCGCCGCAGTCATGTCTGCGGGACGAGCAGCACGCGGGCGGCGGCTCGTGGCGGTTTCTCTTGCAAACGGCGTCCCTGCCAGGGGGCATGAGCCTTGAACGTGTGTTGCTCGGCTGGTGACGAAAAACGATTTTTTCGTCATTTTCTCGGTTTACAACGTCTGGAAAACGTGTTGCTGCTGTTTGCTTCTCCTGCTCCGCTGTCCCTGTGCAGCCACGGGCCCACACCACACCGCCAGCCACACCACACCGACCATGACGATCATCGACCACTCCTCGATCAAGCGTGTCTCACAGGACGACGGCCTCGAGAGCATCACCTTGCGCTCGGACCTCGCCGCCCGCTACACGTTTCTCAACGAGACGCTGCTCGAGGGCATCGGGGCCGTCGCCGTCGACAACCGCTTCCGCACGATGCTTGGGCTCAAGGAGGTTGTCCAGGACGACGCTGGCCAGCTCATCACCGACGAGACCGCGTACCTGCGTCGCTGGGAGCAGCGTCTCCAGACGGAGGTCCGCCAGCTCGAGCAGACCGCCGCCAACGAGCCCGATGCCCCGCACAAGACCGCCGACACCAAGGACACGCTGGACACGCTTCTTCTTGACCTTGACAGACCCTTCCCGGCCTCCTCCACGACGGCCCCCGTCGACGAAGACGCCGTCCTGGCTGCCTTCGACGCAGACTGTGCTCACGTGACCGCGGTCCTCGCCGCTCGCACTGATAACAGCGGGCGGTGAGTGACAGAAAGCGGAAGGGAGAAAGGAAGAGGCAGGAAGAAAGGCTGCTGTTAAAGAGGGGGGAGGCAGGAGAAGACGTGCTCTGCACAGGACACGAGAGTGGACAGGTGACAGCAGCAAGACACAGAACACAGATTGAAGATGAGGTACGTGCATGAAGCGGCTTGCCGCCGGCGCAGAGACGAAGCGCCACCAGTCGCCGCCGACTGAATACTGACACGGATTGTGCAGCTCGTCGAAACGGAGAATCGAGCTAGACGTAATGAAGCTCCTCATGAGCAGCGATTTCAAGGCGTCGCTCATCGACGACAACTTGAAGGAGCTATGCGTGTGTCTGGAGGGCCCGCGGGACACGCCGTACGAGGGCGGCCTCTGGAAGGTGCACGTCGAGCTCCCGGAGCAGTACCCGTACAAGTCGCCGTCGATTGGGTTCGAGACGAAGATCTTCCACCCGAACATCGATGAGCAGTCCGGCTCCGTGTGCTTGGACGTGATCAACCAGACGTGGTCGCCCATGTTCACGATCACACACATCTTCGAAACGTTCATTCCGCAGTTGCTCAACTACCCGAACGCCGCCGACCCGCTCAACGGCGACGCCAGCTCCCTCTACCTGAGCAACAAGGCGCTCTACGAGGACAAGGTTCGCACGTATGTGCGCAAGTACGCCAACCGCAGCGATGTGTTGCGCCAGTTCAACGAGGAGATGGGGCTCGAGCCTGACTCGGACGACGAGGCCTCTGGCGCCGTGGGCGCCGCCCACGAGAGCGTGTCTGGGCAGGCGGCCGGCGAAGCGGACGCCGTTCGTGCAGAGCCCCACGGCGACAAAGGCGGCGACGGCAACGACGTGGACCTCGACGACGACCTCGACGATGACTTGAGCAGCGTCGACATGAACGACGATGACGACCTGGACATGGACCTATGACCTGTCAGCCATGAGGTTTTGTTCTCCCTTGTCTCTCCTTTCCTTTCTCTTTCTCCCTTTTCCGGTCTCCCTTTTCCTCCCCTCTTCCCCCTTTTTTTCTCTTTTCCACCCCCTTTCTTTCTTTCACTTCCACGTCGCCTAATGACCCATTTCCACACAGTCCTGGTATACCTCCACATTTATAACCCCTCCTTATCTTACTTATATCGTAACCTTAGCACATCTCCGACTTAAGAAACCGCACATGCGCCACGAGCCTACGCAGCATGCGCCACACCGCCCCCGCTGCAAAACGCGGACATACGTAGTAGGTGAAGCCGAATCGACATGAAAGCAGGCTTGACAGCCAGCCGATAATCAAGCCAAGCCTTCAAGCTCCCCGGACATTGCAGACACAGCGCAAGCGGGAACCACACAGGAGCTATGGCTAGCATGGAACAGCGAGTGCAACGTGTTCCCAGGAGAGTCTCCCTCCAGGAGAAGAACAGACTCTCGGATCAGCTGCTTTCTAACGAGATGATCTCGCTGATTGTCGACCACCAACTGCTGCTCTTCAAGAACAAGTTGACAACGTTAAAGCGTGTCTATGCGCTGGAAAGAAACGACGAAAGAGAGCGCAAAATCTTGAACGATTGGATATACATCGCCAGCAGTTACTCCTACATCCTCTACGAGAACGACCTCGACTGCTGCGACGAACTGGCAGTGGAGATCTTCAGCGCATACTACCTCATTGCCAAGCTCGTGTTCATGCAGATCAAGAAGTCCGCAGACGCTTTCACCTCGATGAACAGCAAAGACTGGGCCAACATGAACATTCTTCTTACCAAATACGAAGACCTCTTGGCAACGTCTCGACACAGCTACTTCCACACGGTAGCCCAGCTAGTGAACAAGCTCCCGTCATCGGATGACGCAGACTTGCAGCAGCGTTCCAAAAGCTTGGACATCAACAACATCAGGGAAGACAAGAAAAACTCCCCCGCGGAGTTCTACCCGCAAACAGAGCTAGGTGACGACGACGAAGACGATGATAATTCCTCCACTTATCACTCCTCCGACTCGTCCTTGGACGAACTTTACCACTCCCTGCTGCAGTCCATGGACGCAGAAACACTTTTAGCCATGGACCCTACAAACGTTGTAATTTTGAATATCCAGTCCAGAAATATTCACTCCACAACTAGAAAAATCTTAACACTCGATCCCAACCTGATTGTTGAGCCGCATTATTTCGCAACTTCCGTGCTACCCTACATACAGCACGAGCATACCGTGGTTTTCTTCTCTCGTTCGGATACCGTCACAGAGATAGAAGATTCGGTCTACCTGCAACTACTAAAACATAACTTCACCAAAATCTTTTGGCTAAAAGGTGGCTATTATGCATTTAAGGCAGAATTTCTGAAAAAGCAGTCGGCAACTCCGAAACTACCGCAATTCAACGAGTACTCAGAAATACCTCGGCAATCCCGATCATTGTCCATCAATTCCTCCCCATCTCCGCCTCCAATACCAATATCAAAACCCAACATTACTCAAAGCACAGAACCAAGCATAAAAGAAGCAAGCCTTTCTTCTTATTATCAGACCAACCCCTCTTTAAATCAACAAAACTCCTCCTCACTTCTCCCCGTGGCAAACTCCAACTCAAATCAAAGATATAGCCATAGCTATTCTTCCTTGGCCGATTCTAATTCAGGCTTACCTAATGATACAAAGACTCCAAACCAACTATACACTTCTGTCGAATTTAATACGAAACAACCAACCGCACCAAATGGGAACTCAAACAATCGATCACTACAAAGTTTTTCGGAACAATTGTTCAATAACATGCATTCTCAAGATCATCATCAACAGAGCTATCAATCAGCACCCTTACCACCACCGCAACAGCTACCGCAAGCTACTTCACAACCTCCTCTATCTCTTCCTCCAATCCCTCCGGTACCAGTTGCACGGACAATTCAGCCAATACTATCCGTTCCTTCAGCACCATCAATACAGCAGGTAACTCAAGCCCCTTCACCCCAAAAACTGTACCAGTTGTCAAGATTAGACTATAAGCCTTTAGTTTCATTGAGAAATTTGGGTTCAACATGTTACATCAATTCAATGATTCAGTGTTTATTTTCCCTGAAGAGCTTCAGGCAGTTCTTTATCAATGATGATAAACTCAAAACTTATATCCGTGATCTAAATAACAGAAACTTGAAATTAACATCTGGATTTCATGAAATGTTCAACACATTTTATGACAAGTCTCCACATAACTCCCTGCCTCCAGTTGTCGATATAACTAGATTCTTGTCTATTATAGCAAGACTGAACCCTTCCTATAATATTCCCAATGAACAGCAAGATACTTCACAATTTTTATACTATATTATTGACGAACTACACAAAGAATTGAAGTTTAGTTATCCTCATGCACGCGATCTTGGGATGATTTCACCTACTAGAGACAAGGGCGATGAATTTTATGACTGGCAACTAAAAACTTTACAGAACGAAGGATATAGTGTTATTCAAAACCTATTCAACACAAAGGAAGCGGTGGTAATGAAGTGTAATCGGTGCGGGTATGTTAGTACCAGATACGACACTTCAATCATGATCCACTTGTCGTTGACAAGCACTAGCTGTTCATTGAACGATATCCTGTCTCAAAACTTTGTTCCCGAGGAGATGAGCTCCCGACTCGGAAATGCATGGGATTGTGATGGCTGTAACAAAGCCGAAAAAGAACTCGAAGAATTACAAGAAAAGTTAGAAAGAGAACACGATATTAACCTCGCAAATTCAAAACAGAAGGAAAAAGTAGAGAAGGAAAAGGAGAAAGAGAAGGAAAAAGAAAAGGGGAAGAGCAAGGATAGTTCTTTAACGAAAAAGTTCTTCAGAAGACACAATAATAACAAGAGTAAGAACACTAAAGAATCTAAGGATTCTAAAGATTTCGATAACGGTAACAATAAGGTCGAACCGCAAGAACTTACTGATTTTGCATCAAACACTTTGACTGATAAGGAGAAGCAAGAGTACAACAGGCTAGCAGACATTTTTACCAGAGAGAGGATCGCTTATAGGTCGGTTGAATTCATCGACCTACCAGATGTTTTGGTCTTATGTTTGTCATTGTTCAATCCAAATCAACAAGATGCTAAGGTTATTTTAAAGAATCTGAAATTCCCGGAGACACTGAATATGGAGTTCGACAATTGTTGCCGCGTTTACAAGCTCAATTCATGGATTGATCATTTAGGTGCAAGTATAGATTCAGGACATTATACTGCCACTGTTCCGTTCCAACAAAATTCTTGGGTAGTTTGTGATGATGAGAGATTGATGGCTACCCAGGATCGCTCTAACGGAGTTGTTCGAGACAGTAGTGTCTACTTACTCTTTTACGAAGCAGTCAGCTCATGAACTTTTCACTCTTGCCACAAATCTACACAATTAGAAACAGTCACAAAATTTCTTATATACTATGCATATTTCATAATTGTAAACCAATAAAAATAATGTTGAGATGATAATGATACACCACCAAAGATTGTAAATCCATTCGATTACGTACTCCAAAAAGGCGGGACCCGCTCAACGTAGAATTCTATTTTCCATGCAAGTTTTTTTTTTTTCTCTTTTTTAGTAAATGACACCTTCTTTTGTGTCTTTATGAACAACTATATCATATTCACCGAGAAGGTAGACAACATTTAGAACAGATATGTCCATAATCTCAATAACAACGCCATCTTTGAGTCAGAATGACTTGCAGACATGTGAGGATAAAGACGAGTCAATGCTAGATAATGTGATTGACGATGTATTAGAAAAATCAGAGAGAAAATTCATAGGAATCGACAATAGAAGCATTGTTACCCCAGGTGAGCTAATAACAGAAGATGCCACGTGGATGAGGGGACATGGTACTTACTACCTTGATGAGTGCACGTACTCATCTGTGGCTGGTATGATTTCCAAAGTGAACAAACTTCTCAGCGTGGTTCCTTTCAAGGGACGTTACAGACCAGAGACAGGTGATCACATTGTCGGAAGGATTATTGGGATTAACAATAAACGTTGGAAGGTTGAACTAGGTGCAGAGCATGCTGGTGTTTTAATGCTTGGTGCAGTGAATTTACCAGGAGGTGTTTTGAGAAGAAAAAGTGATAGTGATGAGCTCCAAATGCGCTCGATTTTGAAAGAAGGAGATTTGCTAAATTGTGAGGTGCAAAGTACGTTCAGTGATGGATCTGCAAGTTTACATACTAGATCCTTGAAGTACGGAAAACTTAGAAACGGTATGTTTGTCAAAGTCAATGCGTCTTTGATTGTTCGAACGAAAAACCATATGCACGACATGCCTGGTGGAGTGAGTGTGATATTGGGAGTAAATGGATATTGCTGGATTTTCAAAACAAAGAACAAGGTTGAAGCCGCTGGAAATAGCAACAATGCTGGTAAGGCAGAGAGTGAGTTGAAGGCAGCATCAAAGGGATATTCCATTGGAATGGGTAGTGTCAGCATAACTCGACTTGAAGAAGAAAGCTCCTGGGAAATCTACAGCGACAAGAATGACAACATAAGTGGAAGCATAAAGGAAACTATATCTCGTTACAGGAGCTGCCTGGTTGCGCTTAACTATTGTGAGATCGCCATCGACGTGAAGAGGCTTGTCAAAGCGTACGAGATAAGCTTGGGTCTTGGTGACGTCAATAACTTAGTTAGCGAAGACGCAAAGAGATCGATAGGAGAGGACCTGATCAATAGTGAGAAGATGCGAGGCTAACTCAGTTGGTAGACATGGGATTATTTCTGTTTCATTTATGCATTTACTCTAATAAATTTTTATATACACAACTATGTATAATTAACAATGCTTTCTTTTCCGGCTGGAAAACACACCTCCGAATTATCGTCATTTGTAGATCTGTTTCAAGTGAGCAAACTCTTCCTGAGGTATAACTTCACTAAACATCGAGCCTTTCGTGTTGTTGATCAATCTTTTTTCGAACTCGGTTCTTTCTTTCGTATGGATTTGACCATGGTTACGCAACGACCAGATCAAATCCTCTTCACCAGCGACGGATTCCTTGCCGTGGTAGATGACTTCAGCAACATCATGCAATATGTTGGCGGTCAAGCCCCAGCAGTTTCTGGTGCGGAGGTCCAACTCCTGATCTTCGTGTGTCTCGTCTTCAGATGCAGAAGATAAATCTTCCACCTCTTGAAGCCAATCAGTCTCCTTTTCGTTGAACACCGGAAATATAAACGATCTCAAGTTCCATGGTAAACCAGCCCACTTCGTCCTGATATGGCTTTGTTTCAAGCATTCTCTCAGTTGAACATCCTCTGTTCTTGGCTGCAAGAAGTCCCTCAAAGGAACACTGAAAACACTTGCAGACTCCCCGGGGTTAAGAACTAAATTGCTTATGCGACGTTCAGTCTGCTGAACGTCTTCACACCAGTTGATGTATCCGACACAAGGGGCCACAGCAAGGAACGTCCTGGCCAGGTAGGCAGGCATGGTTTTCAACTCGTCCAGTACAAACCCAAACTCCCGCTTCAAAATATTATTGTGTCTGGAAAGGCCGATCTCTTCGTCCATTTCTCTTCTGGCACACTGGAACTCACTCTCCAAGCCGTTTTCGGCCTTGCCGCCTGGTAGAGAAACGTGGCCGGAGAAGCTCTTCAACTTCCTCGACCGCTTCGTCAAAATGACCCGGAGTTCCCCCTCTTTACCAAGGAACAACAACACCATCACTGCCGATCGGCGAGTCACAGGAACCTTGTGCCATACGCTGAATTTAGTCTGGTCTTGGAAGAAGCGAGGCTTGTAGTTGATGAGGTTCGTCAAGTACTTGGACTCCATAGCGTGTCTTGTCACTCTGTGCTGGTAGTTCGACTTCGAGACAGGGGGTGCTGGTGGATAGGAAGCGTCCTTGTTGTTACTGAAAGAGGTGTTGGAGGTGGTGCTACTGGTGTTGTTGCTGTTGTTGTTCAGTCTCTTCTTCGAGCGGTAGACTACGCCTGGGTCAAGGTACTGAAGCGACGACGTGTTTCCAGATGCAGAAGCCACAGTGGACACAGATGCTGACGCAATAGAGAGAGGTGACGATGGTTCACCGGCAATCATCCGGGAGTAGAATGTCTTGCTGACCTGGGGTTCTCGGAGATGTTTAAAGACTATCTGGGCTGTGCTGCGAGGAGTGGAGACTAGCATTTTCAAACAGGTGGGCTTACGTCAGCAGCAAAGAGAAAAGCAGAACGGAGATGAAACGAGCTTAGTAGAGACCGTGCAGAAGCAGATCAGAAACGGAGCAGAGAGAATACAAGAGGCCACAGGACGAGAGGACGGACGGAAACGATGTGCAAAGACAGCTCCGGGCCCTGGGGCCTTATAAGGAAGTCCTGCCCCTCCTGCTGTTGTCCTTCCCGCTGGGAGCGCCGCCTGTCCAAAGGTAAATTTGTGGCGGGGAAGCACCTGCTTGTTCTGGCTCATACTGTTAATGTTTGCTTAGCTAAGCTACTACTGTATATATGTATGGACAGCATCGTTACGTGATGGGGTTCTCATCAAGTGCAACTATCTTCTTGTCGTGCTCCAACTCGTCAACCCGGGCCTTCAACATGCTGAGTTCGCCGGTCATGTTCTTCAGCAAGTCCAAGAGGTGGATGGTGTCGCAGTTGAGGACCTTGTCTTCGCCGAGGATCTGGCGGGTACCGAGGACAGTGACGCAATTCTCGATCCGCGTGATCGTGTGATCTAGGAACAGAAGCACGAACGATTCCATGTTGGACACCTTGTTGTAGATGGCGTCCTCGGACTCTTTCTGTACCTTGTCAATGAATGCGTAGAAGTGGCTCGTAGACTCGGCCCGCTGATTTTCGTTCGACCGGGACAAGAGCTTCTCCAACCGCATGGCGATCCTGCGGAGAGTCCACGCGGTCTCAACAGTGATCCCGCCCACCAAGAGCTTGTTGGACTTGTTCTGTATCTCGCCACCCTCGCTCGTGAGCACCTTCAACCTCGAACTCAATGGCTTCGGAAAAATCAACCAGATGTTTTCCGGGGTTTCCAAACCCTTCAACTTCTTGGCTCCAATGTGCTCCAGAACCATGCCGATGTTTTCGAGCTGGTTCATCTGGTTCTCAACGTCTTTGTCCTTGGCCTTGTACCCGTACGCTCTGCCCAAGTCTAGCTTGCTCTCCTTGATCAAGCGATGAATCTTCTTCACCTTCTCCATCTCCGAGTAGAAGTCCGTACTCATTGTGATCTGGCCACCGTCGGCGACCGAGCTGACTCTGGAGGCCCGGTTCACCATCGGCCCAAAGTAATCCATTCGCTTCGTAACTATATCCATCTCACAAACTGGCGTTCCCCAGTGCAAACCCATCCGCACCGACAACCCTCTGAAGATTAGATTGCCCTCGTTATCTTTGATCTCAAAACCCTGGTCGCTGGAGAGAATTTCCGCAGGCCATTCGTTGGTAGTTAGCAACTGCGACTGAACTATGAAACACCATAACAAAGCCGCAGTTGGCGTTGGGAAACTGACTATAAACGCATCACCCTCGGTCTTGACCTCGTAACCACCAATAATGCGCAATTGTCTCCGCATAATTGAATTGTGCACTTTGATTGCAGATCTCATGGCAACAGGATAATTATCCCAAAGCAATGTGGAGTTTTTGATATCGGTGAATACCATGGCCAACTCTCCCGTTGGTGGCTCAATCTCTTCATCCAATTTACGCAACGTGGAGTCTTCCGGCTTCAAGCCACTGTGATGCTTCTGCTTTGTTGTAAACTGTCTTAGCGACAAGACAACGGCCGTAACCTTCTTACCTTTGGCACCATAGGAAATTGCAAAGTCCCTAAGCTTTTCAGCTGCTCCAATTGGATTCGATTTTTCTTGCCTAATAATGTCAGCAGCAAGTTCAAAAGAAACCCTCTTCCACACTTCATTGGTACCAATTGCAATCATTTCTTCGTTTTGCGTTAGTTTGAATTTATGTATACTTGGCTTAGCGTTGATGTGTGGTATTAACTTAAAAAAACCAACAGCTCTAGAGACATCTGCAACTCCGTCCAAATAACCGTCGGTAGTGACATATCCTCCAGAATCTCTGATCCTTGCATACTCTTTAGGAGCGTATGGTTCATGTTTCGTAGTAATAATGTTGAACTCACCATCAGACTTGGTCAATATCCCCATGATATCACCGACATTAGCAACAAAAATATAGTCGTCACGAATGTATATAATCGTAGCAGAGCACCCAGATAGCCCATCTTCTTCCAAAGTAAGCTTATCTGTTGTTTTCGTTCTATGCGCTGCAGCGGAACTGAAAGTGGATGATTCATCTTTGTTGATCAAAATGCTCATCTCACTATTCATGGTCAAAAATGCCCCTCTCATACAATCTTCAACAGTTTTAGGATTTTCTGCGTTAGGATCTTCAGATAATGTTTTCAATTCTTCAGCCAAATGAATTTCAAATGTTTCTTGAATGATTTTGGAAATCTTGTCACCACCATGTTGCACTGAATTTTTTCCATCATAAATGGTGATTAAGAATTCATTTGAATTACCTCTAAACTTTTCAATAACTACATCTCTCGTGGTCAAAGAATCAGAATCACCTAAAATGTCGGAAATACCGTATCCAAATTTACCCAATTGGGACACTGTGGATCTAACTCTGACACCCACACTTTGATCAGGGACTGCATCCGTCGTAATGGTGACATCCATCAAACCCAACATTCTCAAATGTTTCAAACCCAAGAAGGAATCGAGCTTTTCACCGGTATCATTGTGATTGTGCTGTGGCTTGATCTCTAAACGCTTATTACCAGAAAAGTTCAAGTATTTTAACATCTTGTTATAACTCCAGTTCCAATCATAAGGGATGTTACCAATGTTATATTTCAACTGATTGGAACCAACATCCAAAGAAGAGAGATTCGTCAACTTAGATAGCTCTGCAGGTAGCGTTCCAAATCTATTCCCATTCAAGTTCAAGGTCTCAACATTTTGTAATTCATCCAAGTCTTCAACAGGTAGCGAGGAGAGATAATTTCCCGACAGGTATAGTGACTTCAGTTTCGAAAAATGAGAAACATATCCTGTTGGTATTTCAAAGATATCATTGTATGAAAGATTCAAACAATTCAAATTTTGAAATAAAGACAATGTTGGAAAACTTGAATCCGTTAACTTGTTATCACACAAACACAATTCTTTCAGAGAGTTGGCCAAACTAGGCACTTCCCTATCTGCAAGCGGAAGTGAAAATGAGTTTGTTTCGCTAGTTCTTCTATTAAGACGTACTGTAGGAAGAGATTTTGGCAGACTTGCTAAGCTATCTCCATTTTCATCATCATCAGCAACAGCACTTGTACTTTTTTCCCCATCAGATGTTTCATCGTTTTGAATACTCTTCAAATTTTCCAGTAACGAAGGCGTATTATAAGTATTCATTAATTTGTCAGGAGGTTCTGGAAATATATCTAACAAATTAGATGCAAGGTTCAAGACATCAAGAGACTCTAAGTACCAGATATTTTCGTTGAGTTTACCTATATTGTTCAAATGAAGGTCCAGATGTCTCAACTTGGTTAATTGCTTGATGGAATCAGGCAAATTGGTCAAATTGTTCTTAAAAATTGAGAGAAATGTCAAACTTTTCATGTTGTGAATATGGTCTGGTAGAACACTCAAATGGTTGTAGTCTAAGGACAATTTCTCAACGTTAATCAACTTAGCTGTGAATGTGCAAGAAGTTAACTTACCTTTGGAGAAGTCCACAACTTTTAGGTTGGTCATATCACACTCGAAATAAACATATGTCAATGGGTTCATGTTCATTTCGACCTCAAATAATGTGGGTGCTTTGGACCTGAACACTGAGATGTTATTCCCAGTTGCTCTGATAACTTCAATTTTTTGAGCTGACTTAAGAGAATCAATAGATGATAGTTTGTTGAAACGCAAATCTATTTTAATGAGTTGGTCGAATTCCTCAAAGAAGCTAGGCAAATCACCACTTAGCCTATTGCCAGCTATTTGTAAGACTTCCAAATCTTTCAAAGCTGAAATTTCCTCTGGAAATTCAGAGATTGAATTATAAGACAAGTCTAGCTTTTTCAATCCTTGAATTTTGAAAATTTGAGGAGGTATTTGTTTCAGTCTATTTGATGACAGGTTCAAATATTGTAAATTGGTTAGCAAGCTAAATGTTTCTGGTAACTGTGAAATTCTGTTACAGGCTATATTAAGGGTTGTCAATGTAATCAAATTGGAAATTTCGGGAGGAATCACTTTGATGTAATTCACCTCTAAATCAAGGTTGGCTAAACGTGGAGTGTAGACAATGGCCAAAGGAAAAACAGGACTACCACTTCTCGTGAATGAAAGTGTTGTTAAATTTCTTGAATCATGCATAAAATCTTTTGTAAATTCCAAAGATGGGTTTTGTGAAACATCCAATATTACCATTGGCTCTGCATACAAAAAATTTGGTATATCCTGTAAATTCCAATTATCCAAGTTGACATTTTGAGGATTGATCATTCTCTTTCTCTCTTCACTGATAAGCTCGACACCTTTTTCCTCGACGACAAACTTGAAAAGAAAACTCAAATCAGTTCTTTCAATAAAGTCCAAGTTGTCTTTCTCGGTATACCCATATAAAAATAACATTGTTCTTTGTATTCTCAAAGGCTTCTCATCTAAAGATAAAGTTCTTGTCAGACCTCCACACTTCAACACTAGCATGTGATCATCATCTTGTTTTAGAAATCTTTTTCTTCTCAATACATCCAGTATGTTTTTACATGTAGTTTCAAGAGTACATGGTAACAGTGACGATTTTTCACCTTTGAATATTCTGACAGAAGATCTAGAGGATCCTTTCAATTCCTTAACTGACTTCTTAGAAGTCACATATTGCCTGCTAGTATTGTTAGACTTGCTTATTTCCGAAGAGGCAGGCGAGGATGGGCGCATATCATATGGGGAAGAATATTTGGATTTAGAACTAGGGGGCGACCTTGAACCCTCTTGAGTTCCTGTGTTTTGTTCATCCAGATCTGGCGAATTAGAAATATAGGGTGAAAAGCTGTGAGACCTAAACTCAGGGTCTAAACTGTCTGTCCTCACTTTCCAGCTCTCTGGCGGTTTCCAAAATGCCTTATCAGATGCTACATTTGTTGGAATACTGGTGACTGATCCTACCCTTGATAAGTCAGGTGCAGCAATTTTGGAGGAAACCACATCATCTGAGTCGTCATCGTCTAACAATGAGATTCCAAACGATTGTGCTGCAGTATTGGCAGCCGACATGGGCACGGATAGAGACTCATCGTCATGAATATCTGAGACGGATTGTTTCCTCGAAGGATGATGATTGGTTGAAACAGAAGAGCGATAGTGAGTCAATGGTTGAATGTTTGTCGTGCTTGTGTTCGAAGGAGCTCTCCCTTTCTGTTGTGGAGCATGTTGCTGCATGTATGGTGTCGTGTGTGGTACCACTGAGTCATTGAAATGCAGACCATGGAGAGCATGGCTTGGCATATGGAAACCCTGATGCTTTTTCTGTCCCCCATTTGGCACTGAGGGAGTTGACCTCATGGTCGTTGTGGAGTGTTCACGATGGGTGGAAGGCTCTGGATGGCGGGTTGAGGAGCTCGTGCTTTCCTTCCTAGGGTTCAGAAATTTATTGAATAAGCTTGACCTCTTGCTTGGTTTTTTTGTCGGTTGAGCTAAGGGATCAACTTTAGAGCTCAGAAAACTAGTATATGACTTGGAAGGGTTCATAGGAACAGGGGATCCCGAAGTGCCGTGATCGGCATCCCTAGTTGCATTTTCAGCGGCATTGTTGGCAGAGAATCTTCTTTGCACATGCTTCTGGTTCTCATTTTGAGCGTCCACATCATTGTACTCACCTGGAATGTTCCTGCCTCGGTCAGATGGATCGCCCTTGAGCTTCTCCCCCTCTACTATCGTCCCCGTGTGTGGAGCATCCGCATGCAACTGCTTTATTTGTGATTGGTGAAAACTTGATGAATTTCTGGACGAGTTCGGAGATGTAGAGTTGGTAGATCCCTGAGAATCCTGTCTTTGCTGTCTTTTGTTAGCATTTACGTCCGAATCAAAGTACAGGCTCAAATTGTCGTCCGTGTATTTGGCGTTAAACCGGGGTCTCCCGTCTAGCGTCTGCCTTGGCACATCTCTGGTCGCCGTGTCGCTATTGTCCACGACGGGGGCGTCATTTTTACTCCCAGGCATTCCCTGCAAGTTTATGAATGAACAGAATCGTCTTTTAGACAACTATCAGAGTTTCTTCAAGAGAATTGGCACCCCCAAAGGCTCTTTCTAACTTGTGTATGTCTCATTCATTTTCTTTTAGCTTTTTGTCTGTCCGCATGGCTACAATTTCCTGTTACGGGAGTGGGTGGTAAGCATTATCGCGCGTGGGGCGGCGACATCTCTTTCTGTGCAGGAGACATGATGATCAGGCCTTTGGCCAACGGCCTTCGAACGTTGAGGGATCACGGAGAAGAAACCAGATACCTATAGGGGCACCTCGAAGACAAACAGTTTGGCTACAGGATTATTATACTTTCTGTGCAACCAGCTTTTGTATCTGGTACTTGTGGCCAAAGAGTGAATGACGTTGCTGTGGGCAGCCGTTTCAGTCGTGCAATAGTATTTTACGGAGTTTGTGCCCAACAGTGGTCAACAACCACAGAAAGCTAGATTGCACTGTGCAAAAAACTCCAGCTTTTTGAATAACACATTTAGGCGGACAAAAATAACCTTGTGTCAGTGTTCTGTCGACGAATCAGGATTTCAGAGCGAGAAGAAGCAAAAGACAGCTGCAAGTCGCCAGACGAAATTTGACAGGTACTTTTGGTTTTCAAATCCACCTCAGCGATATGATTGGAAGTCTATTCAAAAAGAGGGAGTCAGTGTATAACCCCTCGGCACTTCCATCTTCTTCCTCTTCTTCAACGACAGTTCCTACACCTTCGTTGCCATGCTCTCCGGCGGCCTATAACAACAGCAATGCTGGCAACTTACAAACAGGCTGCGATCCATCGCCGCTGTCGGCATCATCATCATCATCACTAAACCTCCTGTTTTCAAACTCACACGTTAACAACAATCAGCGACCTACCGAAATACCAGGATTGAGCAAATCAACGGATAACAGAGCGGGGTACAGCAACGGAACCAGCAACGGCACCAGTAGCAAGATCAACCCACAAGAGACGGATAAACTTTCGGATCAGTCGGGTTTGAATATTTCATCCTTATATGGAATCAATGTGACTCCTCCGACTCCCGCCTTTAAATTATCTGACAAACGTTCAGGTTTTAGGATGGTGGTAATACAAGATGCAGGCATAAGAAAGAAACAACCTTTATTTGACTCGGCCGTCCCCTACAATAAAAACTTTACAATAATGCAGCAAAAGCTGAACAAGAAATTACATCACTCCATCAACGAGTTGTCACTATTCATGTTTGGCTGCTATGGGATGCCGATGTCTGAGAATAATATGACAACAAAAATGCACTATTTACCGTCCTTATCTAGCATGCACTCTTCTGTGCTCTTAACAAGGTTATTCTCTTTGGATTCCTCTTTCAGATTGAAACCACATAAATTGTCAGCAAATTCTTTAGACTGGGAACCTCATCCACTACTGGAAACCGACGAACTTCCACTGTATGAAAACTCATCCATCAGATTTTCAATAGGACTAATCATACCAGTTTCTTCCTCTATCGAATCTGTTCGTGACGAAATTACAGAGAACTGGCTTCAAACTTCAGACATTTTGTTAACCCTGCAAAATTTGATTGTGGAAAAATTGAAGAATAATTATAAATCGCAAAATTCATCCAAAAAGGCTCAGTCTCACTTCGGTCAATCAAACCCTACATACTGTTCTCCGAACAACAATATTCATTCCCTATCAAACAAATCAACAAATTTTGGTTTTCCTATCTACTCTTTGCAAACAGAAATGGAAATATATCAAACACTTGGCTCCCTTCTATCACGATTGATTTCTTTATTGGAGGTACCAAGACTATTTATAGACCTAAAGCATTCAAACCAATCGCTAATTGATTGGGCATCTACGCTATCTTTATGGCTCGAACTCAAAGACGGAAGATCTCACCACTCTTTGGATATTCAATCTAATGGAAACACAGATTGTTTGGATAATAATTTATATTTGCCAATCAATTCTACTCACTCAATCAAGTTTCTTGCCTCACTTCTCTCTATCTTTTTACCTTTGAGAAATACACTTTTTTCTGATCCTCTGACTGAGCATACTGGACTAACCAAGCTTCGAATTATCATTGGGACAGGAAATCCTGTCATTTCGCAAAAGCTTGTGTTCATATTAGTTGGTATTCTTGGCTACGAAAAGTTTTCCGATTTATATGAAAAAGCCAAGAAACTCCCAAAGCAATCGAGGGTGGAAAAGTCCAACGAGCCTACTGCTGTTCCCATCCCGATCTCCAGGCCGGAAGGCGATTATTCGTCAAGCAATGTTTTGACCAAAAATAATTCGTTAATAATTGATGGTCCCCCACAGCCCATGGACATCAATTTCAAATCATCTCCTTTACGCATGCAGCATTCCCCAAGCATCTCCACAATTTCGGCTAGCGTTCAGACTCAAAGGATCCCTGTTCCAATGCTTACAAGAACATCATCTTATGCTTCGTTGCAGAATCTCTCGACATCATACGGCGCCAATGTCCCCAACAGTTATGGTTCACAGACTTCGTCAAATTCATGGAGAAACAATTTTGGCTCTTTTATGGATAGGTGGAAGAATTCAATAATGTCTTCGCCAACCACATCCCAACTTTCCAAATCGCCCCAGACCGAGTTTCCATCACCGAACCTCTCAGAATATGAAGAGTATCCTTGGTATTCCCATAAAAAATCGAACCCGTTATTGTCCCCTGCTCCATCCTTTACCTCAGGAAATACGACGACAACACAAAACGCATCTGTGAGACGCATATCAATGAAGACCTTGAATGCAGGTAACTATGTCTCGAATGATGATTATAAACTCTCAAGGTCAACAATAAATTTGATTCCATCAAGCTTCATCAACATAGTTGATAATATTAATGTTGAGATAAATGCAATCATGAGAGCAGAATTTGAATGCTCAGTAAGTGATTCTGGAAATGATTCGGTGATGGATATTTCAATGAAAAAATCTAAACTGCTAAAAGCTGAAAAGCCGATAAGCTCCGTCACTGCGATTCCGTTGCCACCGTTAGTTGGTTACATCTCACAGTTTAGACCTGAGTTCAACATGATGTCTTGTCCTAACAGAATTTTACAGGATGGAGTCTTTGTTGAAACAATGAAAGATGATATGAAAAAAATTCAGGTAATTGAATCTGACGTCTACTTCGTTAATCTTGCCATGAGGAAAGTGACGCTTTTGGAGATGAAGAATAAATCTGCTAAAAGCTCAAGCGATAAAAATGAAAACTTTCAACTATATACTTCTAAGTCCATGCTAATAGACAAAAAACATTCAGGTCCTGAATCGGCAGATTCCAGCTTCAAATCTAAAGGAAGCAAAAAGTCTCATCTCTCCGAAACTCTGGAATCTAGTTTTGTACTTAATGACACTGTTATCTTCACACCTGAAAAACCGCTACGGAATGACCAGAAAATAGGAACATCATCAACGAACACAATTTCTGAGAAAGTAGATTTATATGACCAACTCTTAGAAAAAATTGCATACACCGTTAACAACTTTTTCTTGGATCTGAAAGACTCTTCCCGTGATACCAGCACCATTGAAAAAGAGAATGAGTGCTGTGATAATATTCGTCAACTTATTGAACAACTTATGAGTATCAGCGATTCGACGTAACTAGGCAATTTTGACTTTTTGGGAATTTTGTTTACTTTTCACTATTTATTATTTCTATTAGCCATTTATACACTTACTTAATGTTGAACTTTATAGATACTGAAATAAAAAGTTAAGGATAATGAAATTTTGTTTACTCTACATTAAGTGCGTAAACGAAATACAAAAAAAGAAGCAATTGCATTTTTAAGCATTAGCTCTTTCGGGCGGACTGATCTCGTGAATGTTCACAGTCTTTTTATCCAAACCCTCCACATTGGCAACACCCAAGGGTGTGATAAAAATTGTTTGCCTTTTTGGGTTTTCAGCAACTTTACTGAGAATCAACTTCAACGCGATTCTTCGATTAATATTATCCATAAAAACATCAAACTCATCCAAGCCTCGAACTCTCGAATGCATAGGACCCCAAATTGCAAACAAAAAGGCAATCTGCCCGTAAGACTTTTCACCCCCGGAAAATGATTCAACAGATCTTAGAGGAGCCGTCTCTTTGGTGGCAACTTTCAAAGTCAATGTCCCTTTTTTAACATTGAACTCGATTTTACCTCTGAAGCGACGTATCCTCAACGCTGATATAAATACAGATTCAACTTCTTGGAAAGTCAAATATGTAGTTTGTAGTAAATTGTTTAGCCTATTCTCAAGCGCAGCACAAAGCTTGTTGTACAGACCAATTGTATCGCTAAACTTAGTTTCAATTTCTTTCAGTTCAGAATTGGCTTTAATCAAGTTTAATTCTGCTAGTTCCTTCGTTATTCCTTGCCTATTTTCTATCTCTTCGAGGTAGCGGTTTATACCGCTGATTTCTTCATCGATAGACTTTGTGCTGACTCCAGGTCGTAGCTGAGCTTCTTCTAAAGAGCAAAACTCATTGGCTTGCGTCTCAAGAGTTCTCATCACATCAGAAGTCTTAGTAAGATAATCGTTTAGTTTGGCAACATCGCTCTCCAATTTGACATTCGTACTATCCAAAGTACGTATATTTCCTTTACCAAATTGGATGTTGGAGTCAAAACCACTCAATTCCTTGAGCTTTTTCTCGTAAACCTTACGCGAGTTGTTGTAATCTTCTGAGATTGATCTATATATTTCTATTTGAGTTTCCATCCCTTTCTGGGCTTTATGTAATTCAGCTTGAATTGGCTCCAACCTTTGAACTTCTAGCGAAAGATTGGCTTCTGTGTTTTCCTTCTCCTCAATCAATGACTCCAACCTGAATGTACCTACTGCCAAGCTTTCAAGTTTATCGTTTGTCTTTTCGATAGATTGACTAATTTCTCTAGATTGTTGTTTTATATTACTTAAGTTTTTTTGAAGGTCCTTTAGCTGAGAACGAATATGCTGCGTGTTTTCTTCAAATTCCTTGAGCTTATCATCTCTACTTTTTTTGATTTCTTGCAAATCTCTTTCCAATCTCAATGTAAGAGAATCACCTTCTATACGTAATCTTGCAACAGATGCATTTCCATTACCAACATGTATCGGGTCCGATTGAAAAGCACCATTCTTCTTGTAGATTCTCAATATATTATTGTCCACAAAACATATAATTGAGCTGATTAGGTTTTGTCGATCGTTCTCCAACTCTTTTTGGGCTTCCAGTCTATTTGGTACCAACAAGGTGCTATGCAATTTAAGTGAGTCGACTAAGAAACATCTTAAATTTTCATCATCAATCTTCAATGCATCTAAAATGGAGGGATATTGGGACTGTGGGGTATATTGAGAATAGTCAAATACTTCCGGTTGTCTAACGGTAATTTCACTGCCTGTTCCAAAAAACTTGACGCGTGAGCTCAAGCTCTGGGCATCTCTATGGTTCGTTATCAAAAAGGAAGTCAAAGCTCGCTGTAATATTGATTCTAGGACAGGATTCCACCTGTGGTAATCCTTCTTTAGTTCGATGTGCAAGCCTAAAGGTCCCAAAACCGGTTCTTGGAATCTCTGAGATCGTATGTCTCTCATCAACTTCACCATGTTCTGAGTAAAAGCACTCTCTGGTCTGTTCGAATGCTCTTGTTGCTTGGCGTCCCGAATTCTGTTTTCAAGGCCTCTTATTTCATTATTCATCCCAGAAACCCCATTTCTCTTTTTCCTCTCGATTTCGTCCAGCTCTCCTTTCATAACTTCCATATTAGAAGACATCTCTTCCTTTTGTTTGTTTAAATCTGCTAATTTTTCTTTCTGTTTATCTTGAAAGCTTTTCAACCGTTCAACGTTCTCCTCACTCGAACTCTCCACTTTCTTTTTCTCAAGCTCAATATCTTTATCAATCTTTGTAACTAGCTTTTTACTCTCATCTATGTTGCCCTTAATATTCGATAATTTAGAGTTGATTTCATCTATTTCTTCTTTGGCGTGCGTTATCAGATTCTTCGAGTTGTCTTTTTCTTCTTTGCAACGGATGTACTTTTCTTTATAATTTTCCAGTAATCCGTTTTCTAGCTCCTCCTTGGCCTTTTCCATTGTGACAATATCTTCGGTTATTGAAGACTTCTTGGTCTCGTTTTCAGAAATTTCTGCTTTTTTCTTATCAAGCAATTCTGAAGCCTTTAAATACAACTTTTCATTTTCTTTGTATTCGACCCAAATTTTCTTACCAATAAGCAACTCCTTTTTTTTTGAATATTCATCTGAATCTTTGAAGGAGTTCCACACTTTCCTGGCTTCTTTGAATTTAATTTTCATTTCTTCATGAACTGTCTTATTTTGAGTCAATATATCTTTTATTTCATTTGTGTTACTTTCGATGTTTTTGATGTTGTCAAAAGATTCCTTCAATCGGGTTCCCGACATAAAACTGTTGAATTTATCTTTATCAGTCGAATGAGCAAGAAATGTCTTAGCTTCGGTTTGAGTTAAAATCGTCATTGGATTGGCAATTGTAATACCAAAATATTCAAGTATTGCATCGACGGTGTTCCTTGTCGTCGAGATCACCTTGTTCTCTGAATTCTTGATCTTCAAAGTATGAGCTCCTTCCATTTTTAAGGTTCTCTCTATTATGATCCTGGGTCCGAACTCTGCTGGTTTGTACGCTTCTGGTCCTTCATTTTTCAGAGTTACAATTGCACGGGCAACATTTTTACCATGCATGATGAGGTTCTTCAAGGAGCTACCACGATCGGTGTCAGTAGCCTTAGCACCAAGTGCAACCGATATTCCAGTCAAAACGGCTGATTTTCCGGAACCGTTACTACCAATGATGAAATTGGTTTGCGGTCCCAGCATCAACGAAAAAGCTTTATGGCACATAAAGTTGAAAAGCTCTAGTTTCTCAATGACACCAGACTCAGAAGGACTTTCATCATCGGGTATGAGGTGTGCACCCATCGGAGCCTGAGTCATTTTTTCTATTGTTCTTCTTCTACGTCTGTTCTTATTCCACTGCTCATCCACTTGTGTCATTGCCTGGTCAACATCAACCTCATTTGGGTTGATTTTCTCCAGCGAGCTGTGTGAATGTTCAATAACATCAGCAAGCGTAGGATTAAGGCCTGTCCGCCTCCGTTTAGCAGTGTTGCCATTTGTGTCTGTAGGTGTAGTCGTGACAGATGAACCGTTGTCCACGTTCGACGTTTCCCTGCTCGAAAGCTCACTGTCTAAATCTTCTAGTTCTCTCTTCATTGCAGGAGCACGGGTATCACCACACTAGCTGCCCGATACTATAGCCTTCTATGCTCTTACAGTGTCTGTCTCTAGTCTGGCTCTATCATCAACATGTTTTGCGCCAAACAGAAACTAAAACACGGTACCCGATACGCGTATGGACATCACGTGCCACAGCTGACTCAAAGCGAAAGGTGCAATAAGTCGAGGATCCGTTTTTCAACATGATTCGATGACGTTGATTTAAGACAAGAGTCTAGGTAAGTGGAGGCTACCTCTATTGTCCCCTTCCAAGAAAGCACTCAGCCAACGACTACTTCTATAAGTATGAGTAAGGCTACGGTGGGAGCCAATGTTAAGGCTGCCGCACAAGGGCTTGCCGATCTGACTGCCCTCGATGCAAAATGGATGGAAAGGTGGAAGACGAAATGTGACCACAAATTCATCAATCCTCGTCGTCTGGTAAACGCTGGGAGACAAGAGTTGGAGAAAGGCGAAAAAAAGAAGATGTACTCCTTGACGATGTTCCCATACCCCTCTGGTGTGCTTCATATGGGCCATTTAAGAGTCTACACAATCAGTGATGTCTTGGCCAGATACTACAGGATGAAAGGGTACGATTTGATCCACCCAATGGGTTGGGATGCATTTGGGTTACCAGCTGAAAATGCTGCAGTGGAAAGAGGAGCCAATCCAGATACATGGACGAGGATGAATATAGCCAAAATGAAAGAGCAGATGCAACACATGTCGACTGATTTCGACTGGTCAAGAGAAATTTCTACTTGTGATGCCGAATACTACAAATGGACACAGAAGATCTTTTTAGAGCTACACAAACACGGATTAGCTTACCAAAAGAAAGCTGAAATTAACTGGGATCCAGTAGACAAAACTGTGCTAGCCAACGAACAGGTTGATGCACAGGGTAGATCATGGAGATCTGGTGCGATAGTCGAGAAAAAGTTATTGAAACAGTGGTTTTTGGGAATCACTAAATATGCCAAAGCTCTCAATAAGGATCTGGAACTATTAAGTGATTGGCCAAGTAAGGTTAAAACGATGCAACAGAATTGGATTGGAGAGTCTAATGGCTGTGAGATTAAGTTCCCAGTCAGCCCTGTTGAGGATACCAACTTAAAGCTTCCAGCAGATGCGTTGAATGTTTTCACAACAAGAGCCGAGACTATATTCAGTGTCCAGTATTTAGCTTTATCATTTGACCATCCAATTACTAAGATGCTATATAACGCAGACTCCAAGCTCAAGGAATTCATTGACAGGCTCAATAAAGATGGCGACGAGTCCGAGAAATCCAAAGAGGGCTACAAGTTAAAAAATGTTTATGCCACTAATCCTCTTGATGCTGGTATCAAACTTCCTGTGTTTGTTGCCCCATATGTCATAAGCAGCTACGGTAATGGCGCTGTAATGGGATGCCCAGCACATGATACCAGAGACTTCGAATTTTGGTTAACCAACATGGGCTCAAATAGTGCGATCGTATATACGGTGGAACCGATTAATGAAAATGTTGAGTTCGTTGAAGGTGAACCATTTCTTTCGAAAGAAGGTAAGATGAGTGTTAACGCTAGGTTCCTACAGGGTCTCAGTGCAGATGATGCCAGAAAAAAAGTTGCTGAAGAGCTGAAATTAATTCAAATGGGAAACTTCAAAACCAATTTCAGATTGCGGGATTGGTTGATCTCAAGACAACGTTATTGGGGTGCACCAATTCCAATGATTCATTGTGACTCCTGCGGGGTAGTTCCTGTCCCTGATGAAGATTTGCCTGTCAAGTTGCCTCATGTTGACAAACTTTTAGGTAAAGGTGGATCTCCTCTTGCAAATATTGAAGAATTTGTGAATTGTGAATGTCCACGTTGTCATAAGCCTGCTAAGAGAGATACTGATACAATGGACACTTTTATGGATTCGTCGTGGTATATGTTCAGGTTTCTTGATTCGAAGAATGATTCCAAACCATTTTCAAAGGAGGTTGCTTCTAAGTATATGCCAGTTGACCAATATATTGGCGGTGTCGAACATGCAATCTTACATTTGCTCTATTCTAGATTTATCAGTAAATTTTTCAACGACATTGGGTGGTATGAGAATAAGGAATTAAATGGGGAACCCTTCAGACAATTGATCACTCAGGGTATGGTACATGGCAAAACCTTTGTCAATCCGGCCACGGGTAAATTCTTGAGGCCCAATGAGTATGACATAACTTCTAGCGGGGATGCAATTATCAAAGCTACAAGTGAAATTGCCAGTATATCTTTTGAAAAGATGTCTAAATCGAAATATAACGGTGCCGATCCTGTCGAATGTATTCAGAAACATGGAGCTGACGCTACCAGAGCACACATTTTGTTTCAAGCTCCAATTAACGATATTTTAGACTGGGAAGAAGCTAAGATTATCGGGGTTGAGAGGTGGATCAAAAAGGTTCTCAAATTGGCAGTCGATTTAGCTGAAGATTGTAAAGAAGGTTCCACCATCGGACTTGACAAACATTATTCTCCTGTCACTGAACAAGACATTGAACTTCACAACACATTGTATGAATTTGAAAAAGGCATCAACGATTCGTTTGGAAAGACACCCTCTTTAAACACTTTGATATCATACTACATGAAGTACACGAACGCTTTGACTGATAGTTTCAAAAAGGGTCAAGTCACATCGAAATATTTGGAATACAAGTTCTTGGATCTGGTCAAGTACATGGCGCCAGTCACCCCCGCAGCGTGCGAGGAGGCATTTGAACTGTTTAATTACAAGAGCAAACAAAGAAATCAGTTTTTGCTAGAAGCAGACTGGCCAGAATTAGACGAACCGATCAAGTCATTGTTAAACTATAACGTCATCATTAACGGTAAGATGAGATTTGTACATAAGGCACCTGCCGAGTTAACAGATGACCTTGATACGTGTTGTAAGGAAATTCTCTCCACCGAAAAGGGTGCCAAATATCTTGCCGGCAAGGAGATCAAGAAGGTCATCATGAAGAAAGGTGCCATAGTTTTCATATTGTGTTGACCTTTCTTCACCCATTCTGTATATAGCTAGATGAAGGATAGACATAAAGACTTTTTACATGAAAGACGGCGCGCTTGACATTCCCGCCTTACCTGCCTATTTAGGCAAAATTAATCCTGACATGTTTTGCCGATAATGGACGAGAGGGCCCTGGAGCAGTATTTATACCAGTAGCCCTGCGTTTTTATGTAGAAACATCTGTTTGTAGGGCAGCAGTGGCTCCTAATAGAAGTTTTTTACACTCTATAGAAATATCACAATGCAAATAGAGCATAGACCTACACATAACTTGCGGTCAATTCAACAGAGAGTAAAATTCCTTTCGAGTTTGATATATGACCCAAAATTTTACAGGATTATAAACACTGTGATTTCAGATCCCTCAAAACTTGACTGCACTTTGGGGACGTTATGTTACTTTACGCTGTTAGTGGGTGCTGTATTAAATAGATATCCTCAGTGGAAGGTAGTTTTGCAAAAATTGTGGAGCCGAATATTATCATTGCGTCATAAATTGCTGTCTAAAGTTTGGGGTAAAACTCAGCCAAAACCTTCAAGTGAACCTTTGAAGACTCCAGAAGCTGAGACAGAGAAAGTCTGCAAATATGAAGAAAGTCAAAAATCTATGGCGGAAGGTTTGGAGAGGATGGAAAAAATATTAAAACAATTTTCAGGATATATTACAGACATTCGAATCTTCAACAGAGGATTTTCAATACCATCTTGCATTGCAGATGTTCTTGAAGCTGGCTCCTTATTGCAAAAAAAGGACTACTTGGGCTTTGTTTCTACGTGGTGCATCTCCCTCTACCAACCGCTTGAAACGATTGCGTTCCTCTTCGATCATAACTGGTTGTTACCAGGGAGAGAAGGAAATAATTGCAACTGGTGGTATGCAATATCCACCAGATTTTGGTTTGCGTGGGTAGTCGCCGAATTTTCGCAGTTGACTTACAAATTGTTAATTATGAAGCGTGGTAAAAACGTTGACAAAGAGGAGCTCATCGCTTTCATTGAACATTTGGCCACTTTGCCATTGTGTGTTCATTGGAGTTTGGAAGATGGTTGTTTAGACGACCTCAAAGTAGGTCTGCTTGGTACGATCGCTGGCGGCTTGAGCACCTTTGATATATGGAGAGGAACTTGGGGCACCATTTTGAAGGAGTGCCGTTGAATTTATATTTATGGTTGAATTGAATCTAGTAAATATTAAACTCCCTAAATTAGCATAAGGGTATAGTATATAAAAAGTAAAAGTGTACTAGTACAAGTACCGGTACGTGTGATAGTAGAACTACATGCAATTAATGAAGGAATGAAGAATGGTAAAAGCTTGTACATCATTGAATAACCTGAAAAAGGGGTTGTGGATTAAAAAGTGATTGAGGTAATGCAATGAGAGAGAAAAGGGTAAAATGCTCGTAACAACTGAAAAGTATCAATACGAGGCATCTTTACCTTCCCAATGTTGATGGAATTGGTTTGTTGACTTGTCCGCATACTTAAAGTAGTTCCTCAAAAATTGTAGGTGAGGTAGAAGTTTTGTATCACATTCTTCGTTAATATTTAGCTTCTTGATATAACTTAGCTTTTGTCCAGTCTTCCTGAACTTAGGAGCAAGTAATTCAGAAGCTTCATTTTCCGGTTGGATAACATTTTTCTTGTAGTTGGAACACAACAACTGACACATCATTTCCCAGATCTGGAGTTCCAAATCGTAACCCCAATCGACACCATCAAATTCGACAATGTGACCATCTGGGCCTTTCAACTTGTCTGCAATTTCTTCTGGATAGAATTTGGGAAATGACAAATGCAAGAACATGTAGGTGGAACAGCCGGAGCTACCAATTTTCGCTTTTTTCTCGTCCTGTGTGGTAGGGTCGCATTGGCCCAAGGCACCTGAAGTGAATCCACCATCTTTTTCAAAACGACCAATGAAGGTAACACCCTGTTTGACCTGATACACGGGTTTTTTGGCACCGTAAGCAGCTAAAATATAGGTGTCCTTATCCCCCTGGCCCGCACTTCCTTGGGTTATTAAAGGGTAATAGTAATCAAAACCAAAGATGTTAAAATACAAGGCAATCAACAAAGTATCGACCTGTGAGCGCTTGTTGACCAACATCATTCCACTCTCTGTTGACGGGTTAGGGATGGCACCTGGCAAATTGTGGAGGTTGTACATGGAGTAGTCTTCGACGGAGGAGTAGTCGATAGTGACATTCAACATATCGAAAAGAAATGGGTTTGTGGTTCTTTGCCAGCAATCTGGCCACAATACCAGTTGGTACTCTTTGTAAACGTCCCATGAGAATAACCCGTCTGGGTTTTCCAAAACCACGTTGTCTGAATCCAATAAAAGCACGTCCTCAAAGCTGGACGTCAGGATGGCCATAATTTTGTACTCGTATCTTTGTAAGTTGAAGAATTTCTCATACTGGGCGAAAGGAAGCTCCTCGTAACCGAGCACGCACCGGGCGTCGAGCTCGGGCAGTACGGACATGCAGAAATGGTCATCGTACTCCTTTGCAGTTGGAATGTACACTTCGACAGGTAGCGTCGAACCTCTTCTTCTTAGCTGATGAATGTTTAGGAGAGACAACCACGAGAATTTGTGTCCGCCTACCATGACGATACCTTTCCCGCTGGTAGGAGTTTTATCATTACGTCCGAAGACATCCATGTTGAGGGCTTTGAAGCCGTTTAGTACCTTTTGGAAAGAATCTTTCATCTGTGATTTTTCTTCTGCAGTCAGAGGAAGTAAGTCTTCCAAAAGCTTTTTCGTGAAGCTTGTTTTGTCGCTGTTAAACTTCTGGATATCTTCGTTGTCCGCCATAAAGTTTGTCAACTTGCCACACTTAGGTTTGCTTTGGGCCAACACCTCAAAGAGTGAGGAGTAGATGCCGTACTTGGAGGACTGAGCTGGCATTGGTTTCGACTTCTGGAGCTTTTCCTGTTCCGACTTCGAGTCTTGTTGCTGTTGGGACTCTCCAGCCGGCTTGGGCTGGATGTTGACGTGTTCATGCTGAGAAGAGCCCTTCCTCTCTGAGGGCTCACCGACGACAATTCCGGGTTCCTGATGCAGTTTGTCAACGTTGGCGACGGCCCCAGGAATGCCCTGTAAGGGTTCCTGCTCGGACTGGGCCAGGACGGTCAGAATGAACACGACCATCAGCGTGCATACACCCATAAAGACCACCGATTTCTGTCTCATTCTTGTCGGCACGTACCGTTTCAGCCAGCCCTTGATTTTCAATGACAGCATCGTGTGTTAGCGAGTTTGTTAGTTGCTAGTTGTTGTCGTGTGTCTGTGTTTGTATTTGTGTTTGTGTTTCTGGCAGTGGTTGCGGTAATTGTTGTACGTCTGCGTGAGACGTTTCTTTCTTTCCTGTGAGCTGTCTTCGGATAGAAAAAGAGCAGAAAAAGCAGAGCTCTAGAGGGAGATGCGAACACGGGAGCGGGCGACGGGAAAAGAAAGACAGCTTCGATGTTGAGCTGTTTGTTTGCGGACCGTGTGTTGGGCTGTTGTTGCCGAAGTAGTGCATCAACGGCTCACTGGCCCTGAAAAGCCGCTTCTCGCCAGCGGCCAGAGTGTCTGTCTTGCCTCCGTCGGGCTCACCGCTCTGCCGGCCTTCGGCGACCGCGTTCAGGGGCTCCAGCGCGACACTTCTCTTGGCATTCTTCACCTCCGTGGTGATTGTCGGAGGTCGGTTAATCGAAGGGTTGCTGGTCGAAGAGAAATACATAGCTTATATAGAGAAGTCAAAAGAAGGTAGGTGGTAGAGGAGGAGCAACATCACAGGACGTATCTACTGCTGGTGGGGGCGACGCCCGGTCTGGCGCCGGGGCGGTCGAAGGGGGTGGCGTTGTCCCAGGTCTCGTGCTGGGAGACGGCGGTGAGGTCCTCAAGGCCGGGGTTGTTGCCCGTGGCGCTGGCGTTGGTAGTGGCATCGACGTTAGCGGCGGCGTTCATGCCGCTGGTGTCGAAGGTGGTTTCGCCGTAATCCATGTTGGAGGACTCGTCGAACTCCTTGTGGCGCAAGTCTGCCTCTCTGTTGACGTAGTACTCGACGTAGTCGCCGTAGTTGCTTCTGCGCAAGTCGGACGTGATGATGAACATGAGCAAGCCGTAGAAAAAGACGAGGGTCCACTCCATGATGGCGGAGTAGCCCCAGTACTTGGAGTGCAAGCCCTCTGCGTTGGCCTTGCCCATGAACGCGCCGTAGCACACAACCAAGACGATGGCGATGCACGTCCACACGATCTTGGCGACGGCGCTCAGCATGAAGTAGCGGATCTTGTAGTGTCTGTAGTGGAGCAAGAACGCCAAGGAGTGTGCGCAGATGTACGCGAAGACAAAGATGACAAACAAGATAACGAAGACCGAGTGCGGCCTGGAGTACTGCCAGTTGTCCTTCAAGCAGGACGTCATCAAGATGCACAAGCAGCCGATGATGCAGAGCGCTATCGCCAACGCGTGCAAGCCCGTGACAAACCAGTGGAACGTCACGGGGAAGTAGTTCTTTTCCGGCGTGCGCAAGTAGTAGTCCTCGATGACGGCCCACACGAAGAAGATGCCCATCACCGCAGACCCGCAGATGAAGATGGGCTGCAAGTCTGTGGCGGCGATGTTCGAGAGGTACACGATGAAGTGCGGCATCTCTGTGTGGTCTGTGTCCAAGATCGGTCTGCCCTTGGCGAACCAGCAGATCATCAACGCCACAAGCATCGCCCACCACCCTGCTAGCGAGATCAGCGGGAGTATCCACGCATGCTGCGGCTTCACGTTCGGCAGTTTCAACGCTCCTATCTTCATGTCTGTGTGTCGTGTGTTTCGTGCTTTTGTCTTGTCGTGTGCGGCCTGATACTTGGTTTCTGATATCCCCGTCTATATATAGCGCAGCTGTCTGTGCTTCCGTTTTTTTCCACTCTGGCTCGTTAGCTGCCTTGTTCACTGACTGGTTCTCTGCCTGACTGCCTCTATTTTGTCCACTTGCAGCTGCTGACTTGTCTGTTTCTGTCACCAACGTCTCTTCAAACAGCTTCTGCCGGGCCTCTTTTGCTCCAACCTTCTCCAACCTCCTCCAACCTCCTCCACCCCCACCCTCTCCCGCATCCAGACCACCAGCAGAAAAGGCCTCTGCCGAGAAACACGCCCGGCCACAACAAGCCTCCCTCGGCCCTCGCTCGCTCCTCGGGGCGTGTTTCCTGTCGGGGCGCTTGTTTTGCTGTTTGACTAGTTTGGCTTGTTTGGCTCCCCTGTCAACCAGCGGCAAAAAGCAAACAGCGCAAAAAGAAAAGCGCGCCGGCCGCGGACAATTGCGTCATAGCCGTTCCCGGGACGGGGGAAAAGGGAGAATTTGACCGGCGCATTCATCGACGCGTCGATGGGGTCGATCGGCGCGCCGATCGACCCGGAATGGAAATTCGCGCGTGGATGGGTGGGCGAGGGGGCGAGACGGGGAAAGCAGATGAGCATGATTTCAGCACAGGGCACATTCGACAACAGGAGGCTCGTGCCTTGTGCTGATCCGAGGGTGTTTGGCACAGAGTGGCAGGCATCCAGCAGCAGCAGCAGCAGCAACAGCAACAGCAAAAGCAACAGCAGCAAGATGCTCTCCTTCACCCGCGTGCTCACGAAGAGCCAGCCCCGCTGGACCCGGGCGTTCGCCGTGCACTCGTCGGCGCCACAGCCGGCGTCGTACGAATCGAACAAGCAGACCGAGACCAACAAGCTGGAGAAAACGATGGCCAAGTTCTGGGAAAAGGTGTCGGTCGGCGAGTGCGAGGACGGCACGTACGTGGTGCAGCTCGACCAGAAGACGATCAAGACACCGCTCGGGTTCGACATGAAGATCCCGGCAGCCAAGCGGTCGCTCGCATACCTGCTCGGAAACGAGTGGAAGGCGCTGCCTAGCCTGCAGATCCGGCCCTACCTGGTGCCGCTCACGTCGCTCACGTCGAGGTGCATCGACCTCCACGAGGCCCAACACACGGACGACGTCGAGGTGAAGACCAAGGTGGGCGACCTCTCCACCGTGAAGACCCTGCTTCTGCGCTACCTCGACACAGACACGCTGCTCGTGTTCTCGCCGCTGGAGGACTGCGACGGCGACCTGCGCAAGGAGCAGGAGAAGTGCTACAGACCCGTCATCCGCAGCATGGAGCAATTCTTCTCCAGGTTCGCCGACGACGGCCAGCCCGTCTCCCTCACCTACCTCGACTGCAGCAAGGACGGCCTCGTCGGCAACTCCCAGACAGAGCACACCAAGAAGGCCGTGCTCAACTACCTTGACTCGCTCAACACCTGGGACCTCGCCGCCCTCGAGAAGGCCACCCTCGTGGGCAAGTCATTCCTCGCCGGCACCGCCATCTTGAGAAACGCCGACTACGCCGACGACTTCATCTTAACCGTGGAAGAGCTCGCCAGACTCGTCACCCTTGAAACCGTCCTCCAGACAGCTAGATGGGGCGAGGTCGAAGACACCCACGACGTCGACAAGGTCGACATCAAGAGAAACCTTGCCAGCGCAGCCTTGGTGGCCTTCAACGCCAAGAAATAGGTCCTCCCCTAGGGCGCACCGGCCCCGCTTGTATGCTCATGTATATAGTCTTGCGAACAATAATAATATTAGTTAATTAGCTATTAGAGAATGGCTGAACCATTGAGAAAAAAAACAATTGTAGATAAACTCAAATTCTTTATAAATATTTTAGGTATATGTTGCTCATAGCGTGTTCGTGCCTCCACTTCCCTAGTAAACACATTCATAGAACATTTCAACGTCCTCGTTACTGTCAAACGTCAGAACGTAACTTCTCTCCCCCTTGACCATTACTTGCAAATCGGAAACTTCTTTTATTTGTTCCTTACTGACCCTCAGCTCTATGTTGCCGAAATCAAATCCAGTCAAGTCAATCAGTACTTGCTCATCGTGCCTTTTATCTATACTAAAAACACATCTGTTGAGATCCTTCAACCTTCCGGAAGCTTCGATCATTTTGATACTACCCATTCCTGACCAGCTCTTGCTCATCTGCTCCTGCGCTGGCTCTTCAGCTACCACCTCCGATTCAATCGATGATACCGACGTACCTCTCGTGAGCTCTGAGTTTTTGCTCAACTCCGAGTCGCAACTGCTGCTGTTCATCACAAGATCAATTGCATCTGGACAAACCAACGCATTTCCAATGATCTTCATCCCAAATGAATTCGATGGACGGATAAGTACTGTCAATGGCTCGTTCCGATGATTGGTCGTCCTGACATGGATATCGATAGTGTTGAACATGCAATCGGTATCTGAAGTCAATTTCAAAAGTAGAATCGGTAGGCTGTCCACATCTTTGACTCTTGAAGATGATGTCGGAATCGATGATATAGTGTTATTGGATCCCGACTTGGACATTGAGTCATAGACTCCCAAGTAGAAGTCCTTGTCACCATTGATACTGTGAACAGCAAGTTTGACATCTTTAACTTTGGTCCAGCTATTTCTAGACCACAGAGAAACCTTGGCATTAGGAAGCTGTCTTGTTATGCAATCAGAGTCAGAGAGTATATTAATTAAATCCTGATCCGTTGACTTGTCATCAACAACCGATGTGATAGAATGAACCGACTTTGTTGGCGACACTTGCCGAGGCTTAACAAAGTTGTTTTCTACCTGTTGTGGAACAATTGCAGGTTTCTTAGAACTCTTTTTGGACAAAAAGCTAGTCAATGAGCCAAATATAGATTGATGTTTGGTCTTCTTCCGCTCGGTGGTAAAATGTTGTAAGCTGTGATGATATTTCTCAACATTAATCGACTTCTGTGACTTCATTTCCGAATTTAAGGTTGAGGCGGAGGTCGAAGCGGAGACTGAAAGAGATGCTGGAACAGAAACAGAAGCAGAGGTCAAAGCGGAGACTGAAATAGGTGCTGGAACAGAAACAAAAGCAGAAGATACATCTGAAGACGTGGGTGCAGTAGGAACGGAGCATCCGTTTGGCTCAATCGCTTCGTTGGCAATTGGCTCTTTTTTCTGTGGAGTGGGCATCTTGTCGATCGGTAAAAAGTTGAGTCCTTCGGTCACAGACAGGATGCTCTCATCATCAGAAGATTCATCTTGCACAATTTTGTACATAATTTCTCTGGAAAGTTGTTCTTGCTTTTCCCTATTCCGGGCTATTGAAGATGAAGGTGCTTCGTTCGTACTTGTCAGCGAGCCCAGATATTTGGAGACAGAAATGTTGCTCATGTTGGAGGAGTACTTCAATTTACTCAATGGTACAGTGCTCGATTTTCTTGGAGGAATCACCAGGTCACTCTTATTGCTCTCAACTGGAGAGATGTTCTCTAGATCGACCTCTTCAAATTCGTCTTGGTTTTTAAAAGCAGGGACTCCCGTTGCATTTATTGGCTTTTCATAGTCTTGGTGAGTCGTGATTGATTCTTGCTTTTGCTGATTCTCATCTTGGATACTAATACCTAAACCTAATGTGAGAGGCTTTAGTGCTGCTGTGTTGGTAGATTGTGGGAAAAGTTGCATCAATTCGTTCTCTAGGGCCATATCCTCAGTCGGATCAAAGGTGAAACATAGCTCAACACCGTCATTCATCAAGGAATGTTTGAAGTGCAAAGATTTTCCCTCTGCATTGTTCGTGGTCTTGGCATATCTAAGCTCTTTCTGTTTGATTGGCGCAAACAAAAGATTTTTTCCTGAAAAATCTTTTTGAATGATGGCAATTCCTTTGTTTTGAAAGTTGTTGACAAACTGGACTTCAATATTGGGAAAATCTAGTTCTGCCTTCTGGAATTTGTTGGAATAATGTAAATGGCAAAGGTGGGGAATACAGCTGAAACTTTCTTGGCCCATGCTAACGCATACCGATCTCAGCAATACAATATCTTTTGCACTAGAAACGTGAACAAAGTTTTCCCACTTCTTTCTTTCGGACTCATCAAGAGTTCTGGCCTGTTCCAAACATTCGGATAGTTTAAAAATGATTACCTCGATGTTGGACAACAGTTCGGCAGAGTAGGGTTGTTCATCCATTTGAATAACCATACTTTTCAAGCTTTTGATAAAATTGTTCAGATATCTGATTCTAATCAAAGGTCTTCTTCTAGTTTTGACCTCCGTTTTAGGCTGATTGATGTCGAGCTTGTAACACTGCAAGTACTCCAAGTAGATACGGTTGACATCTATTCCCCACTCAGAGATTCTCACTAACATAGTGTGATAATCAGCCAAATGTAGCATTTGATCGAGCTGTTGGTGTTTTAACAACATCTTCCTCACTAAGGCATGTAAATTCAGGTTTTTCTCTTTTCTTTGCTTGACCATTTCATTGGTGATATCTTCTAGGGAAGAGTCGAAGTAGTTGTTGTAAACAGGATCGAAGGATTTGACTATCGACTCCAAGACCTGCAACTCCATGAGGTATTCCCGTTCGCTTTTCCTGTATTTTTCCACCAGGGAAACCAAGTCATTAGCGATTTTGCCTCTACCAGGAAGCACTCTTGGAGTGAGCGTGACATCCGGATGAATGCTTGGAGTTTGCGGCAAACTCGTCGCCGAGTTCACTGCTTCTTGGATGGAGAAAAGCGGAGTGGTCACGTAAGACGGCATCGTGGTTTGCTGATCTCAGACTGTTTCCAGCTTACCCTTGTTGCACGAAGGAACAGAGCTTGAACTTTTTGAAGTAGATCGTTCTTGTACACAGGAAGATGAAGAGAAAGAGAAAGCAAAATCAGAAGCAGAACCAGACAGGAAGAGAGACGCAAAAACAATCCAGCTCAGCTTCACCGGCTGCCAAAGTTTTTGTTCGGCTTGACGATCCCGGCATGAGTCCTGCACAAAATCCACTACCTAAATCCCTTTCTCTACGGAATAGAAGGGCATAGCCACCCTCGGAAGCCTTGCTGCCTGTTAGTACGCTGCCTGGACAATAACACTAACGTGGAGAACACTAGCCCAGACAATGGCCTGCTGCAAGAGCAACAATAACACAGGCCAGAATGGCAACGCGCTCTCCTGCGACGCGCTCTCGGCAGAAACCGCGTCGCGTCGTGTGGTGTTTTTGCTGTTGCTGCTCCTCTCCCTTCCCGCACTTTCCATCTGGTTACTAGGTATACAGAACACTACTGAAACATGATACAGGGAGACATATACTTGTGACAGAAAGATGCGACCGTGTGCCGGACAACGAACTGATGCTGTACTACTCGCTGAGCGCTAGTAGGCTGTTGACACACTCGCTGACGTTGTATCCGTCTGAGCTGAGACTGCCGCCTAACACGTCCTCGATCAACCCCTGATCGAGCGTAGGAAACATGCTTACAAGCTGTTGGAGAATCTCCTTCCGACGCAAACGTTGGTGGTCAAGGGCGGTGTTCTCTTCGACAGAAAGCTGTTTGATTCTTTCCAACTCCTGATCGCTTACCTCAAGGTGGTTTGTGTTCCGCTGCCGCCTACGGGGCTGTTGTGCGCTTTGCTGCTCTGCGATGCTATTTCCGTGCTCGTCATCGGCGGTAATATTCTGAATGAACGAGTTGATGGAGTTAGAAAGCGACTGCTTCACCATCTCGGCGGACTTGGTCAGCACTTGGGAGGGCGAGTCCTCGCCGGAGCGAGTGTCCTGCTGTAGTTCCTTGAATTTTATCTTGGAGTCTATCATCTTCTGCTCGTATTCGGAGTCGCCAACTGTCAACTGCTCCTTGGTGATGTTTACTATGAAGTTGCATGCAATCTGCAGGGTGCTGACATAGTACGAGGTCTCGCCAATCAAGAAATCACGGTTTCTGAATCTTTCGATGTATTGGAGGTTCGAATAGAGATGTTTGAAGCGTGAGTGTATTAGCACGTATATTAGCAACGGCACAAAAGAGTCTGCATTTTCTTGCGTCTCTTGCTGTCTGATCAATCCAAATATGATCTTCGACGAATTCAATATGCACACGATTTTGTCTCTCGGAGACTTGTAATTGTCAATTTTGGACAACTCGGCAGAAGCCAGCGTGATGAAGTTGGACTCAACCTTCACTCGCATGTCCAAGTCCAAATGCCTCAACTCAACCCAGTTGTACAGGTAGGTGTTCATCAAGTACTTTCTGTCCATAAGCTTGTCGTGCTTGTGGGAGTCCGTCAATTTGATGAACGACATTGCCGGACTGAAGACGGAGCTGTAGACCTTTGTCATTATTAGCTTCTCCAAGCCTTCTTTGCAGTTGTTGATTTTCGCTTCGTCGGTGCCCATTTCGTCGAACGGTTTGTACTGGGTCAATTTCTCAAAGAGAAACTCATGGAAGTCACTCAATAGCTTTATCTGTTCCTCAACAGTCCATATTCTCTGATTGAATTGATCCAAGAAGGATTTCAAGTACTTATGTGCGTGCTGGCAATCCTTGGACTTGAATTGAGCCAAGAAGGTCTGGAAGTCAAAAGCCTGCTGTTTCTTGAGGTTCAACGGCGGGTTCGGAATGTCCTTGATCGAGTTGTTTCTCGTCAGTTTGCGCAACTGAACCCTGTCTTCGGACTCTTCCCCTCTCACGGGTTCGATGATATTGGTTTGGATCTTGTTGACTTCGGCCTCGACTTCCTTGTCGATCTTGCTATTCTCTTCTTTCTTTTCCTCCGACTTCTGCTCCGTCAGTCTCCGATCAAGCCCCGACTTGCTCTCATCATTCTCGTTATCGTCATGGTCTGTCTGGGCAAGCGTCTGGTCGATTAGGTCCTCGTCACTGGACACACCACCAGCGACCAATGCCTCCACATCTGCCTCTTCCTCCGCATCCTTCCCGCCCCCTATCGACTGCTTCTCATTCATTATACCTGACGAATTGTCGTCATCATCGTCGTCGTCATCGTCGTCGTCGCCGTAGCTGCCATGGTCAGCGAACCTGTTGTCAACACTGCTTCCGACTTTTCCCTCCACTCTGGAGCCCTCTTTTACCTCAATCTTCCGGGCTGCAACCTTCTCGTTTTCCATGCCCATCTCTTCCGCCTCGTCGCTGGATTCGTCGTCCAGTGGCACGCCCTTGCCCTGAGACTCTACGGCGAAAATAGGCTCCTTGTTGCTCCTCCGATTGCTCTTTCTGCGGTGATTTGCCAGCAGCGCCTCTAGAGTAGCTGTAGTACCGCCGACACTTTCGTGGCTCTCTGTTGACCTCTCCTTCTCGGTTTCGACACGAGAAGGCGAGACACTGGCCCCATCCGCCGTCGTTTCAGCAGCAGCAACGTCTTCGTCGATGTCTGCGCTATTTTTCCTCTCTGCTCCAACAACTTCTGCCGTGCTTTTTCTTTCTGAACCTGTCGCAGAAGCCGGTCGGCTCAAACAGCCCGTTCCCCGGTTCTTCTTCTCCTCGTGTGCTGCTTCACCATTCTCCGCTCCTGTGACGACACCCGATACGTATACGGTCGGCTTCACGTTGGTGAACGATGGGAGCGTGAGCCCAGCGCCTGTGCCGAAGGTCCCATTGAATGACATCGAATCAATCTGTCAAGCTACAGTGGCAGGATGTGCTTTGTGTTGTGTCCGCACGCTATCTTCTAAGTCACCGGACACCACGAATGAAGTATCCTGCCTGGGAAACAGGACTATCAGCAGCCGTCAGCATTGCTGGTACCCTATCGCACCCGGACAGTATCTTTTTCTCCATCTCTCCAAGTTCGCTCGACTGCTCGAGGGGCGCAAGCTGTGGTACGGTATAGTGGCTCGCCCTGTGCTTGGCCTTTGTCTGTGGGGAGGTTGCTGTGGAGCCTCCGTCGTGGTCCTATTAACAGTTGGTCTTCTACACAGCAAAGGCCTTCAAGTCCTGTCCAAACCAGACCTGTCAATGTACAGGGACGACAGCCAAATGGTCAGACGACGGTGGAAAAGGCCGATCGGCCCCGTTTCCACGGCTTACGTAACGCTCCGCGGTCCTGCCCGCAGCATTTGCCACGGGGAAGATACGTGGAATATGTCGATCTTCGATGTACGGAGTTCCTTCAGCAGGAAAGAGCAATGAACTGTGCCTTACCACCAGCAAAGAAGCCCCAGAGAAGCGATTTTCTACAGCCGATAGCTCCCGCTGCCGCATAGAAGCACATGAGAGTATTGCCATCAGTCGTATCGACGACGTTGTTCTGGTGTCTAGCACAAACCTATCCTGTCATAGCCGCAACTAACGAGAAAGACATTGTGTGTCCGGACTCAAACCCGCTGAACTGCTATCCGAAGCTCTTTGTTGCTACACACGAGTGGCAAGTTGTGAGAGAGGGCCAGGTTATTCCGGCAGGCCTCAACGTCAGACTGGACTTGGAAAATATGAGCCGAGAAGCGAAGTTGGGAGATGTGCCCGGGAAGAAGACGGAAAGCAAGAACCATGAGCTTGTGGTCACCGACGGCGACTCAGAATTCCTGTCATCGCTCGACTTTTTGAAAAGGTGGGTCAACACGCAATACAGCGAGCCGCCTGCGTATGCTGAGCTGGTCCGCCACTTGGACGTGTTGGTCGACTGGGCGTCGGACCCCGAGGCGGGCGTGACAATAGCGCAGAACGTGCAGCCGTTGTTGAAGGCGTCCGGGCTCTACGGCAGCAAGAACGCAAAGCACAACACCTCGGGGCTGACGGAATCACAGGCCCTGAAGGTACGGGAGATGACGTACCGGATCTTGTCCTTGAGCTTTCGAAACAACCTCGAGGCGCAGGAGAAGCTACTCGGGTTCCTCAACGAGCCGGAAGTGTTTTTGCAGCACCTTGTGACCGGCTACGAGCTGGAGCCGGATCTGATTGTCCAGAGAAAGCTCGGTCTTCTCGGCTCGCTCATGAACAACCACGTCTTCAGCGACTACGTCGAGCAGGGCGGCATCGAGGCGGAGTTGATGCTGCTGTACACGAAGGTCGACAGTCTGGCCATAAAGCAGCGGATCATGACCATTCTCGAAGATCTCAGGCTTGAGAAGAGGGACGCGGATGCAGACGCGGATGCAGACGCAGACGCAGACGCCGCGGACGACGGTGCGAGCCTAAACAAGCGCTTCGCCCTCCTCACACGCAACAGCTTGGTCGGGACCTCCTTGGCCGCCGACCCGCAGTCGAGACGGGTGCTTGAGAGCTTGGGCGAGCTCAAGCAGCTCGACCGCAGCGCGTTCAAGGCCGACACCCGCTTTCTCGACTGGATGGATAAACAGATCAACCTCGAGCGCAGCCACGTCATCGGCCTGCAGAAGCGGGAGCCCGACCACCCTCACGCAGAGGCAGAGCGCCGCTACCTGGACAGACTCATCGAGTTGCGTCACCAGGTCTTTGGCAACCCGCTGGGTAGCCGCAAAGAGTATCTGGACGAACTATAGCGACTAAGGGAGTGCCTGAGCTGCTGCTGCTGCTGCTGTTACCACCGCTGGCCCAGCCTCGAAGAGCGTGCCGTGCCGTGTCGTGTCGTACGCCCCTCCCTGTCCCACCGGTGATCAAATTGGCGATTTGCGTCGCATTCGCTTATGTGGTTCTAGACACACTGCGTCCGAGACGGCCTTCCCCGGCCCTCCCTGGCCCCCGTGACGCCCCTTTCTCCTGTGTAACATGCGCCACGCATCATCATCTGAACACGTATGGCAATTACCTACAACAATTACCCGTAGCCCCCTCCCGTGCCGGAACATAGTGGCGGCATTGTGGAACCTGTCTCGGGTCTGCGGGCTGCTGCACGGCTCCAGGCACATGCGCTGTCCCCATCACCCGAGCGCGCACGCTTATTGGCTAACGAGCGCCTTGCCGCTGCCCCGACAGGCGGTTGACGACGCAGGTACGCCTCAACCGCCTGCAGCAGCACTTACGACCTTGACGTCATGGTTGCGGGCCTAACACGCCGATGGCCCGCGTTAGCGCGCATAGCGCGAATAGACCTGCGGCGGGCACGAAACAAGCGACTAGGCGGTACCTGGTGCCTAGCGCAGGGGTGGGGCGAACGGCCAGTTAGGCGGGCAGATGTTGTTGTTTTACATGGGATGTTTGTGTTTGTGTTTGTAATGTGTTTGTTTGTTTGCAAGCTCTCGCTGCTAATTAGTTTCCCCTCTTCCTAGATTCTCTGCCCCTGGACATATTTATCTGCTGCATTCCCTTCCCTTTTTCTTCCTGTGTCTGTCCTTTTTCTGCCCCAGATTCTCTTTGGTGTGCGTGTGTGCTTTGCTTTGTTCCACATCTCATAGGTTTCAGTCAGCATCAGCAGTCGCTTAGACACCATCCACAATAGTCACCGACCCGTCCACCCACACACCGACTACACAGTAACATGTTCGTCAAAGGCCTCGAGAGAAGAGACGAGTTCTACTCGGACCTCACGCCTATCACCAACGACATCATGACAACGGGAACGCTGACGTCGTCTCCAGCTTCTGAAGTGACAAACAATCTGGCGAGCCAGGCTACGGACTCGTCAGAGGCGCTTCTGACAGACTCAGACACAAGTGCGTTTCATCTGACTTCCGGCTTCGGCGCCATTAGCAGCTCCACTGCTTCGGTGACAGTCACCACCGGAGGAAAAGACAGCTCAGATCAGAAAACTACCTCGGCTAAATTAACACATGTCACGGGCAGCTCCTCAACCGTGTCGCCTGGGGACTACAAACACCAAGTCAGCTCGAGCTACAAAAACGCAGCTGGATACCATGGGGGTAATAAAAAGAAAACCTTGATATTTGGCCTTTTGGGCTCGTCGTTCCTCTTCTCTTTACTATAGTAGCATGCGGGAAGCTAGGCCAACGCTGTTAGGGGCTTTCCACGGAAACAAAAAATTACACAATACATTGTACACTTGCATCGGTTTTCATGCCATGAACATCATCTAATCCTCATCTTTACATCTCTAGTTACCCTCTTTCGCTTCAAGGATGTCATGGCTTTGGCACGACACGGGGAAGAAGACCTGCTTTCTCCTGTCACCAAATACCTTAAACTCTAATTCTGCTTTTTAATTCACTAAACCTCTTTGATATCTCATTCTCATATATTTGTATAGAATAATATACTGCGCATAACACTAGAGTTGCAGCATGGTATGTTTCATAATGGCATAACGGCCTTGGCATTTTACTCAGAAAAAATAACGAATCACGTGCGCCAATTGAGGGTTTGGAGGGCAAGATTAAAACTTTTTCAGCCATAACGCACTCAAACAAAACCCTTACCGGTCACAAACCCTTGTGCTAGAAAAACAAACCACCAGCGCGGAAACTTCGAAAACTATAAATATCAATTATTTTCTTCACTGACTGTTTTTCACTGTCCCACACTCTGAAGCTCAAATCCATTCTTGAATAATTCTCTATACTCAAGAATCAATTTGAATACAATGGCTCCAATTGTATGTATTTATGAAGTGCTTTTATGTTTCTTCATTTCTTTTTTCAAACCAACAAGTCTTTAATAGAATGCCAGCGGGATTGTTCATACACTTTGTAATGTTCAATCCTGTTGACGTTTATTTTAAAGCCTGTATATGAATCTTTTTGATAGGCCATCCCTGTCGAAGAGGTTCATTACACTATTCTGTGTTATTTCTCTTCTGCTCATGGAGAGTTGTATCTGCAGTAGGGCATTTAAAATTTACGTATTACCGATGTAAGCATCTTCTGTTAATGGTACTTGTAAAATGTTTAGGGAAAAGAAATGCCACCTTCTGGCATTATACTAACTTTATCCCTACCCTTATCATATCTCTATCTTCATACAGACTAAGAAGACCGAAAAGGCTACCAGAAAGTTCGTCGTTGACTGTACCACTCCAACCGAAAACGGTGTTTTCGACCCAGAGTCCTACGTCAAGTACTTGGTTGAACACATCAAGGTTGACGGTCATCTCGGTAACTTGGGTGAATTAATCACTGTCTCCACTGAAGGTTCCAAGGTTGTCGTTGTTGCTTCCACCAAGTTCTCTGGTAAGTACTTGAAGTACTTAACTAAGAGATACTTGAAGAAGAACCAAATCAGAGACTGGATCAGATTCATCTCTGTCAAGAAGAACGAATACAAGTTGCAATTCTACTCTACTTCCGTTGACGAAGAAGAAGAAGATGAGGAGTAATTGTGCTCGTGCTCTAATTAATCACTATCTTGTATAAAAAACAATTTTTTTAATTAAAGCTTGTGTTCTTTTCTATTTTCTTGGGTTCCTTTTTCTGTACATTAATAATAAAGCATCTTAATTTTGGATTACGTAACTCCCGTCTTTTTTCCTCTCTTTCGATCGCTAACCGAAATACAGGCTCGATGATTCCGTAAGTTCGTCTTCCAAAAAAAGTAGGTGATGTTTACTTTTACTGTATAGCCTCTTGATTGTTCTCCTAATAACCTTGATTTCGGTAAAAAGGGGCTAATGCAATATAGGTTGCCACAGAATGGGAAACTCTGATGACGGAAATATGGATCGCACATTCAACTTTGAGTCTCAACCGAGGCCACAGACAGGCATAATCAGAGATACCCAATTCATAGAAAAGAAACTGCCGGTATCTACCATATCAAATCTGGCAGACGACCTACTCCTGTCAAAACCAGAGAAGGGAGATCTTACTGATTCGTTTGATCTTGGCAACAGCGATTACGAGGATGATTTGTATGGAGCACAGGGAACAGACAACGATTTCATAGAATATCAATACAATCGACCACGTTACTCTAAAAAGGAGTCAATAAATATGGTTGATCATGATTTCGCCAAAGTTGAGCAAGATTATATAAAGAAACAGGTAGAGGCCGAAAAACTCAGCGAGTTGCTTGAGAGTGAAGCTGCCAATACCTCGCTTGGAACCCCCATAAGACCCAAAGAGTTGGACATCGATGAAGGAAGCGATTCAGATAACGAGTGGAAGGAGATCGATACTCAATTGAATTGTGGTGACATATACAATCTAAAAGGTGAAAAAGTTGATTTTTTTGCGCACAGTCGGGATGATCTTACTGAGCAAAATACCTCGATTCAACTTGAAAAGCCTAAAAAAAAGAAGACCCAGCTGCAAAAGGCGGCGAAAACCAGTGCCGTGGTTGGTAAAAAAGTGGTAGAAATTACAGCAGGTGTAAAAATTGGACGTGATGAAAAGGAGAAAGAACTTAGAGAAAAGTATCAAAGAGCCCATTTAGTAAACAGTGACACTTCCAAGCAAAGTTACACTCGGATCGATGAAGAAGAGCAAGCTAAAAAGTTTAATGAGATGGACAAAAAGTTCGATTTCTTATTCCAAAATGAAAACTCAAATTTAAGAAAACTACACAATGCTTCCAGTGGCCATGATTCCACAGATACCTTAACCAAAACAACTGATGATTTTATGAACAATGATAATTTTGATGAAATCTTCGGGAATGAAGGACACGATGAAAATGAGATGAATCCCGAAATTCAAATGATGTCAACCAAATCTATGTTGAATGATTCCCAGAAAATTGCTTATGCTGCCTTGGTGAAACTAATCATTGTCCAGTTAACAACGGACTTGGTCAAAGTTAGAGGTTCTGGCTCGACTAAGATATTGAAAAAACTTGCTATTTCTCATCGTTCCTTTATGAGGTGGTCAATGAATGTCATGAACGCCTTATATGAGCATCTAGATATCAAGAATGAACAAGAAATCAAGATGATTGAAACATTGAGCTGTCATGGTGTAGAGACTAAAGATTTAACCAAATCTTTCGAATCGAACGTCGCAATAGAAAACCATTTGAACGAAGAGAACGATAAAGATGTCCAGCTAATAAATATGAATGTTTCTGAGCTTGAGACTTCGAGCACTATTGAGATTGATATTAAGTGGACCTTGATCTGTGACCTATTTCTGATTTTGTTGGAATCGTCTGTTTATGATGCAAGATCTCGTACTTTACTTTTACAGTTTGCATCAGCCATTGGTATTAGTAATTTAGAAATTTACCAGTTTGAGAGACGTATCACCGACTCTTTGGAAATTGATGAGGCTTTTGAAATTTTAAACAATAATCAAACATGGGATGAATCAGATATATTGAAAGAACATAAAAAGAGGCAACGTAATGCCAAAATAGTCAAGGTTGCACTTGCTACTGCTGCTGGTGGTTTAGTCATTGGTCTTAGTGCTGGCGCTCTTGCTCCTGTGATTGGTGCTGGTCTTGCAGCTGGTCTGACAACGATCGGTATATCCGGTACTGGTGGATTCCTTGCCGGTGGTGCTGGTACAGCTATTATCACCACATCAGGTGTCCTGTCTGGTATGCGTGCGGGTAAAAATGCCATGCAAAACAGAGTTGGTTCCGTGAAAACATTTGAATTCATCCCATTGCATAACAATAGACGTGTTAACTTAATTATTACTGTTTCTGGATGGATGTCTGGTACTATGGATGACATAAGATTGCCATTCTCAACAGTTGATCAAGTAATGGGTGACCTTTATTCCTTGTTATGGGAACCAGAAATGCTAACCAGTATGGGTCAGACCATCAACATTTTAGCAAATGAAATTTTGGCACAAAGTATTCAACAGATTTTGGGTAGTACACTTCTCATAACTTTAATGGCAGGTTTACAGTTGCCTATGATGCTTTCCAAATTAGGATACCTATTAGATAATCCTTGGAACAACTCATTGGATAGAGCTTGGAGAAGTGGTAAAGTATTAGCTGACACTCTTCGGAGAAATAAGTTAGGTGTTCGTCCAATAACGCTGGTTGGTTTCAGCTTAGGAGCTAGATTGATTTACAGTTGCTTACTCTCTTTAGCTAAGAGCGGTGACTTCGGTATCATAGAAAACGTTTACTTATTTGGTTCTCCCTTTGTTATCAACGAAGACGAAATTGCTCAAGCTAGGTCAGTAGTCAGTGGCAGATTTGTCAATGGATATGTGAAACAAGATTGGATTTTAGGGTATCTATTCAGAGCAACCTCAGGTGGCTTGCGTACAATTGCAGGCTTATGTCCCATCAATGAGGAGAAATTTGATGTTGAGAATTTTAACTGTGCTGAGTTTGTAAAAGGACATATGCAGTACAGAGAAGCTATGCCGAAGCTCTTAAGAATGGTTGGATGGGAAGTTTTAGAGGATCAGTTTGTGGAAATTGAGCAACCTAATCCTGAGGAAGAAGAAAGACAAAGAAAGTTGATAAGCGATTTTGAGAAAGCACAGCATAGTAAAAAGAAAAAATCGTGGTACAACAAAATTTTTGGAAGAAGAAATAAGGAATGGTGGGAAATGTACGAAGAAGGTGAAAATGAAGTCTCTAAGTTTCATAAAAAAGGCGAAGGTGAAGGTGAAGATATTAGTGCCAAGGAAGTGGAAGATTCTGAAAGTGAAACTCTAGTAGGTGTACCTGGAGTATTCGATATCGATGCCTTGAAAAAAGAGGTTGAAAATATTGAACTGGAAGCACTCAAAGCTAAAAAGAACAAAGCACCTGAACAGATTCAAAAGAATGATAACGAAAATGAAGAACAGAAAAAGGTAGAACAGAAAAAGGTAGAACTTGACCTTGATAACAATACTGATGTTGAGACAGTTTTGGAAAAAACTAAGAGTAACAACGCCACTATGCAACTAGGAAGTAAAACCCCTGATCTGAGTAAAAATCTTGAAACGGCTAAATTTCATTTGAGTCCGAAAATTGATGATCATAAAGCGAAACCCGATCTCGATCTCAAAACTAAAAAAGTGAGAAAAAGGACTAGCTTAATACAACTAGTAGAATCTAAAGAAAGTGCGGATTTAGAATCCCCAAAGCCTTCCACCGCTAGCCAAAAGACCTTAAAGCCTTTCAGAATAAGTTCACAGAGTTCAAGAAAGTCATCTGCTAGTGGAGCAAAATCACCAAGTTTGAATTTAGGTGTTTTCCAGCCTATCACTGACGATGAACGTAAGAATACAGTCGATCACGGTAGTGTTGGAAAGAAGGATATGAATGGAGACAACAAAGGAGCTGTAGTTGAACCACAGAAAGACGGTTCAAAGGCTATTGACTATGGTGATTATGATGTGCCCACTGAGGAGAATATTCAGCTGTTTTTTGATGATGATCTTCAAGCTATAGAGAAGAAAATCAATGAAACACAGAAGACCAAAGCTGGATATGGTCCTGTGACCGGCATAGACTATGGAGATGAAGACGAGTTCCCTCAGGATGAAAGTAATATACAGTTCAGTTTTGAGTAAGAAGCTGTTGCAGTAGAAGCTGCTTCATTATATTATCTAGAATGTTTATATTTTTGCTGGCTTTATTCTTTATAAAATATATCTCAAAAAATAGAGGCTAAATTAATGCATACGAAAGAATTTCGACGAACAAAAATCTATAAGAAGACTTCGGCATTAAGTTCTACAACGGATAGTGCGAATGGAATTTCGAAATTGGCCAAAACTTCAGGATGCAAAACACCAAGATGTCCAATCTTGACAGCCTTATCTTCAGGTCTTGCACGAAAGTAGATTGCAGCACCTCTACCTGGGAAAAACATCTTCTTTTCGTCAGTTCCTTCAGTCCAGAATCCTCTGGTTTCAGTGTTTTGTTGATCCTTTTCTAACCAAGGAACACGCATAGTTTGCATTATCTTGGTTAACAAACCTTGGACATATTCGAAACCCGATTTTTTACCTGCGTAAGCAGCACACCAGTTTCTTTGATTCTTTGCACCACGTTCAAGCTCGGGCACCTTGTAGACAATATCACCAGATTCAAAAACTTTGATAGGTAGAGCGTGATTCTTGTTTTCCTTGATCGTTTTCAAGATACCTGGAACCAAAGAAGTACGGACAACTTCATATTCGACAGTCTTTGGGTTTTCCAATTTGACAGCTTCAGAATCGTCATTGTCTAAAAGAAATTCAAAGTTTTCGTTGTGAGAGCAAAGAGTTAATGGCATGACTTCCAACCATCCAGCTTGTGCAGAAGCTGTACGTAATATATCACCGACTTTATTAATTGGTAAAGGATATGCGGTGGTTGCTGCTGATTTTGGATAGGTTTTGACCAAGTTATCATAACCGTAAGCGATTGCACAATCTTCCATGACATCACATGCGTGGAGAACATCAGGACGGGTGATTGGGATCTTAACATCGACCAACTTCGCATCCTTGGTGGAAGGAGTGGCATTCAAGGACATTTTACTGAGCAGAGAGCATATTTTTTCATTGGAAAGTTCCAAAGCCAATATAGAGTTGATGTACTCGGATTCTACTTGTAAAGAACGTTCGGTCAAATCTGGACAGACACGGGTTTGGTTGTTATGTTCGGAGATGATTTGAACAGGTTCGATGGTGAATGGTTTTTCACAGTAACGAGAGAACATGGCGATCAATTGGTTGACAACAATCTCGACCTTTGTCTTATCAGTACCGGTGATATCCAAGAAGACGTTTTTGGTATCGAGTGTGATTTTGGAGTGGTTGGAGTTGATGATAGGAGGCATGGAACAAACTGTCTGGTTTGCGTCAAGGATGACCGGGTAGACGGGAGAATCTTCAATGATAGGTAAGTACTTGGCCAAGTTCTTGTCGCTCTTGTAGAACTCCATCATCTGGTGGCCATCCATGACCTTCGTCTGATTAAGGGGAGCAAACTTGATGTCTTCTGGCTTCCAGGCTTCGTAGGTGAAAGGTGCTTTCAAGGTGTCCAAGTCGTGGGTACCCATAGCAACCAAGGTTCTCTGTCTGCACAAGTTGGCATGTAGCTTGTCCTGTAACGCTATGAACGAGTCGTAAGATCTCTGTGTGAACTTGACGCCTCTCAAGATGGCACTTGCAGCATACGGTCTGATCTGGGTCGTAGACTCCTTGATGGTGAGAGAAATTTCAGGCTTCGCAGGAATTAGCGTGTACTTTGGTGGTTCACACCTGCCCAGGTACTGGTTGAGCGCCTGGGCGATACCCTCGATGCAGAGCATGTCATATCTGTTGGCACCGATCTCGATCTTAAGCTGCGGTCTTTCGCTGGTGCCCTTGACGTCCTCGGTGGTGTCTTCGTCAAGCTCGATACCGAACTGGAAGCACAATTCGTCAAACTCCTTGGTCGTGTAGTTCTTCCCCAAGAGATCGAAAAGATCCTGTTTGTCAACAGCAACGGTAGGCATATCTGTTTACTCCTGTTTTTTCCTGGTGTGGTTCCGGTTGTTGCTGTATCTTCCTGGGAACCACTTCCGAAACACATCTGTTGGACCCTCATTTTACTTTCTGGTATTTCAATGAATCACTCAGTCCTTTCACCGAGAGACGGGGAAAATCGTCCATTCCGTCTCAGAAGTTACCCGGCCCAACAAAAGGCAGCAAAAATTCCCTTTTGGAAACCAAAATTTTGGGTCGATCGTCGCAAAAAAAAACGACGATCGACCCAAAATATTGCTTACATAGTAAGCCCTCGTAACTGCGGTCTGCAGGGAAAGAGAGAGGCAGGGAGGGAAGGAGGACGAGAAGAGGCGAAGGAGCAAGAGAAGCACAAAGACAGGAGGAAGGCTCCGTGGGTTGGACTATTGCAGGGGTTAGAGAAGAGCCGGACAAAAGCTGATTGGACCGCAGAAGCAATATAAGTGAAGATGTCTGCTAACAAGGGTAAAGCGTTCGATAAGTCGATGAAATTGTTGATGGTCGGGGATTCGGGGGTCGGGAAGTCGTGTTTGTTGCTCAGGTTCGTGGAGGACAAGTTCAATCCGTCGTTCATCACCACGATCGGGATCGACTTCAAGATTAAGACCATCGACTTCAACAACACAAAGATCAAGTTGCAGATATGGGATACTGCGGGCCAGGAAAGATTCAGAACGATCACGACAGCATACTACAGAGGTGCGATGGGGATCATCATAGTCTACGACGTGTGTGACCAGAACTCGTTCGACCGGGTCGAGACGTGGTACAAGACGGTGCAGCAGCACGCGAAGGAGGACGCCCAGGTGATCATTGTTGGAAACAAGTGCGACGAGGAGGACTCGAGGGTTGTTTCCACACAGCAGGGTGAGCAGTTGGCACAGAGTCTCGGTGTGCCTTTCATCGAGGCGAGTGCCAAGACGGGTCTCAACGTGTCGGACGTCTTCTACAAGCTCTCGGAGCTCATTTTGGAGAAGAGCGGCGACGATTTCCAACAACCTCAGGCCGAGGACAGCGTCGACGTCAGCAAGGGGGCCTCGAACTCCCAGTCTTCCTCGAATTGTTGTTAGTTGACTGGAAGAACACGAGCCGGTTCAATTCGCCATTTCTCTTTCCACGTGCATATGCGTCTGTCTGTGCATCTGTGTATGGATGCATGCAGTTACGTAACTTGTCTCTTATCTGTGTCTATTTGTATTTTTTTTCGAACTTAAATCCATCCTTTCAAGCATTATGCAGTTGCACCACTGTCGTTGTCCTCTCTAGCGCAAGGACGGGAGTGACGTCGTGATCACTACAACAATTACGGCTACGGGCACGGTACGAGATGTATGCAATATGGTTGTTTCCCAAACGATCACAGTCCACAAGGAACGTTCGCAGAGAATAGGAATATATCGCCTTGTACAAAGTGTCCAAACCTACCAGCAACGAACTCGATTGCCAAGATCTTCCCAGTGGGAAGACCGTGATTGACAAGAATTCAAATTGCCAGCCCTCCCCGAAGGGAGGAACCGATAAGCACACCATGACAATCTATTTACAACCCCTCGATCGAGCATTCCCCTGCATCATTACAAATGCGTATACTCCAGACCGATCGACATTGCCGTCGTAAAACGGCAACGGACAAGTCCAGAAAATATACAGATGCTAGCTTCACGAGGACCGACGAGCATCAAACACCCTGAGTTGTGGCAACGCAAAGGAAGCACGAACCCCTACACCATACGAGATAGTGCAGGGGCCAACACAGATTGGCGTGATGGGAGTTGCATAACAAACAGAGTAAATCAGGGAAGATCACGCCCACGCCCACCCAGCACAGAGAGAGAGATGAGGCGAAAAAGCAGAGGAGGGGCCTTTCTTTTATACTTTTCCGGCCGCTGCACAAATTTTTCCAGAAAAACGCAAGAGCGAAAGAGGAAGGAGAGACCTCGAGGGTTTTAGGGGTAGGTAAAAAATGCAGGTGATTTTGTTGGTTATATAACTTATTTAGTGGTTCATGTGTGATGCTGTGAAGTAGTGTAAACCGGAAAAAGAAATGCGTGCTATATATGGTACAATGCAAAATGGAGGAATAAAATGCAAATGCAGGGGGGGATGGTTTTGGTCTGTGTGTGAAAAAGAACAAAAGGAACAACCAGTTGTCTGGCGTAGAAAAGGATCAACATGTGTAGTTTATTGTAGCAAAGACGGGGCTTAGATTCCAAGGACCAAACCAAGACCCAATACAATAGCAGCTGCAATTCCTCCGTTGGCGGATGAAGGTGCAGCGCCGTTGCTAGAGGAAGCGGAAGCCTGTTTGGAGATGGAGTTGACGGCCTTGGCGAAGCCAGCGATGGAGGTGCTTTGGCCGACGGCTGCGGCAGAGACACCTGTGACAGCTGCTGTTGGCTTGCTGTTGTTGGAGTTGTCTGCAGCAGAGACTGCAGAGATAGCGGCTGGAGCAGTGACGCCGGTGGTGGCGTCGGCAGCGGCGGAGCCGGCGGGAGCAGTGAGAGTACCGGTACCTGCTGCTGTGTCTGGTGCAGCTGCACTAGCTGGCTGGGAGGCGACGCCGGAGGCAAGGGTAGTCGAGCTGACACAGCGAGCCCAGTATGAGTTTGCAGAGACACATGTGAGGCCCTCTTGGCAGCAGGAGGCGCCGGTGAAGTCTGCACCACCGCACTGTGCCCATTCTGCCTGGCATTTTCCAGAGGCAGCCGAAGCTGCTGGGGCAGATGCGGCGGCAGAAGCCACTGGTGTAGATGCGGCGGCAGAAGCGACTGGAGCAGAGGCGGCGGCAGAAGCGACTGGAGCAGAGGCAGCAGCAGTAGAAGCCAATGCGGTGGCAGTCCATGTGTTGGACTCAGGAGTCCACCATTTGGTGGTGGATTCCGACGATGCTGGCTCCGAGGCGGCGGCAGGAGCCGACCATGTGTTGGATTCAGGAGTCCACCATTTTGTGGTAGATTCTGAAGATGCAGGCTCCGATGCTGCGGCGGCAGAAGCCGACCATGTGTTGGATTCAGGAGTCCACCACTTCGTGGTGGATTCCGACAAGGCTGTCTCCGCACTGCTACTGCTGCTGCCGTCCTGCTCGTAGTAGCCGTCGAGGCTGCCGTTGTTCTGCACGTACGGGTTGCTGTCGCTGCTTGCGTGGACGACCTGCGAGAGCAGGAATGCGAAGCACAAGGCGATCATACTGTTGTTTCCTCTGGTGGTGGCAGACATTTTTCTCTGGATGTGTTTTTTCGGGTGTTTTCTAGCGTGGTTTGGCGTGGTTTGGCGTGTCGGTTCGACGATGCTGTTTTCTTGTTGCTTTCCTACACTCCTCAGACTCTTACACACTCTACACGGCTCCTGTCCGAACTTCCAGACGGAGGACAATCCGTCCGTATTTATAGCGCCGGAGCTGCTGGCGCCTCCTGCTGCTGGCGCCCCCTGCTGCTGGCGCCCCCTGCTGCTGGCGCCCCCTGCTGCTCTGCAGCACGCACACCAAACACCCCAGCCCCGACTCCGGTCCATGGCCCCTCTGGCCTTCTGCCACGCCTGTCTGTACCTGATCCCTGGCTGTCTGTCCATCGCAACCGTTGATCGGCTTTGTTTGTTGTCCCTGCACAGCACCCACCAGCCACCGCGGGTCCAGAACAGAGGGGGCTCGGCCGCTTCCTCCGGCCTCTGCGCTCACGGCGGGTTTTCGCGCTGCGCAGACAGCCCGAAGAGCTGCGGCGCGACGGCGCAGTCGTCCAGCGAGTGGCGCGGACACGAGTCCTCGATCAGCTCGAAGGGCTTGGGCGTGTACTTGGCCACGCTGCGGTCAGCGGCCACGGCGCCGTCCCAACCCTGGGCAGCGGTGTAGAGCCGGATGGTCTTCTCGGGAACGGTGTCCCGCAGGTCGAACATGCTGAGCAAGCTGCGAAGGTTGTTGTTGAAGCTGGGCGGCTTGATGTTGAGCACGTTCGGCATGATGATGTACGCGGCCGCGGAGTTGCCGTTGCTGAGGGCGTTTGTTGCCTTGTTTCCAAATGCGGCAACCCCCCTTTTCGGGGCTGAGCCCTGTTTGCCTGTCCGGGAAGAACCCGGCCCGTGGCCGTGGCCGTGGCTGGGGGCGTGGAGGAGGCCGTGGCCGAGGCCGTGGGGCTTGGTGTCGCCAAGGTCGTGGCCAGACGCAGTGTCGGCGGCGGTGTTAGCGTTGCTGGCGTCGTGGGTGAGCGGAGAGGTGGTTGTCGGGACAGCGTGGCTGGCGGCGAGGGAGGCCGAGGCCGGCTTCGGGGAGTTGATGGGCGAGAAGAAGGACGCGTTGGTGGGGGTGGCAGCCGTGGCGCCCATGGCGCCCCTGTTGATCCAGACGCCGGGGCTGCTGGTGCCTGCGGACTGGCTGCGCTGGAACTGCTGGGTGATGGATTCGGAGATGATCACCTTGAGCGAGATCAAGACGTCGTAGAGCAAGTTTTTGAGCTTCGGGTTCTTGAGCATGATCTTGTGGTTGAACAACTTGGTCGCGTTCATGATCAACACGTCGCGCTGGAGATTCACCGAGCGCTTGAGAATCAGCTCCACCAAGAAGTACTTGTGGAGCAGGATGATCTTGGACACCATCTTCACGCCGAGCTCCAGCTCCCGCGAGAGGCCCGTGCGGTTGGCCAGCCGCTTCTTCTGCTGGTGGTCCAGGTTGTGGCAGATGGTGAGCAGCTTCTCGAGCGCCAGGTTCAACGAAAACACCAGCGCATCGCTCAGCTCCAGGCACTTGCTGCCGCTGGCGCTGCTGCTGGCGCTGCTGCTGTTGCACGCCAGCTGCAGCCTCGAGCAGCTCGAGATGATGCAGTTGAGGTACTGCGTGACGTTGACCCCGTCCATCAGCACGCTGGGGAAGTTCTCGCTGTTGAGATAGATCTCTTCGCACGCGTTCAACAGGTGGTGCTTGAAGCTGTCCGGCAGGAACGCAAAGAGCTCCCCAACCAACTTGCAGTCGATGCTGCCTTTGCCCACAATGCCCAAGATGCACTCCACCAGCGTGATAAACTGTGTGGTCGCCTCGTGGCTCTGCACAGACTCCTTGTACTTCTGCCGCATCATGTACGTGAACGTCCACCGCAGAACAGGCAAGTTCAAGTAGTTGAGGTTTTCAATGACTTGGATGTTGTCAAACTCCTTGTTCGTGTGGAAGTTCATGAGCCGCTGGAACACAAACTTCTGTAGGTTACGCACGTCGATAACGTCGTACTCATCGGCTGGAACGTAGTAGTATTCAATGCAGAGATCGGTGTGGCTCGAAATGAGCTCCCAGAACGTGGAGAGGAGCTTGTTGTTTATTATATTCTGCTGAAACAACCGCCGGTGTTGGCTCGAATTGATCTTTCGCACATCATTCAGATGATGGAACGTGTCCATGACATCAACCCCAACAGTGGGATTCACGTCCACACCAACGTGAACACCAACTTCCACATCGACACTGTCAACCTCAACATCATTCGAAACGTTCACAACCCCATCCTGCATCGGCTCATCCATCGGTGCCTTCTGAAACGTAGTGTAGATGATCTCAGAAAGTATCTTGTAATAGTTTCTCCGGTTGTCGGAAATGTACGAGAACTTCGAGAACTCGTACAGAAACCACTCTCCAAAATCAAACTCAATCCTTGTGTTGAAGAAAACATCCCAGAGCAAATGAACGTCATCGAAATCGTTTTCAAAGAAAGTGTATGAAGTGGCCTTAATGTGGAATATCTCAACAATTTGCTTGATACTTATGAAGTCGTCAATCACTAGTTTCAGTAGCACTCTGGAATTCAATTCATATTCTAACTGAAGTGTCGGCTTCAAGTACCTGAAAAGATAATCCCGCAAACATTTTGTAAACTCTTCTTGCTTCCAACTGTACAAGCTTCTCATGAATTTGATGATCAAAGCAATATTGACCGACTCTTCTGCTCCTCTGACTGCGTTAGCGTACCTTGTAATAGCTAAGGTGGTGTGGTGGAAAAACTCTGCAGCATTAGATAACCTCTCGTACGAAGCAAGGTCTAACGACAAAAGCTCTTCAACGGTTAAAAATACAGGATCAACCTTAACCGCTTCTATCTTTGCAGCCTTTGCTCCAAATTGTGATAGCACAAACGTAGGAAGCTTGGCATTATGCAGGTTTTCAGTTATGCAGTATCTATTAGAATCCATCCATGATGATAGTACACCTAGACAATGCTCCCATAAACTCTGTTTTGAGCTGAAGATTGAAAATTTCAATAGTTTCATATTGACAAACACGATTTTCAAGAAAACCACAAACGTCTCCATGTTATCAAACTCAAAATCATTACTTTCCTGGTTAAGCTTATCCAAGAGGAGTGTTAGGAATCGGGATAAACCAATGGGGTATATTTGAAAACATTCGTAAAGAGCCAGCAGCCTGCTGCGATTCAAAATAATTTTTTGCTGTGATTCTTTCAATTGCTTCTCTAGTTGCTGATAGAAATACTCGCTCAATTGAATGTACTTGTTAATTTGAGTTGGGTCGTCCAAGGGAAAAGGTTCTTTACATTTATACTGCCCAAGAGAATTCTCTCTATCTGTTTTTGTAGAAAATACAACTTGTGAAAAGGTGGAAAGTGATTCCTTAATTGAGGTCAAATCATGATTATCAATGGTTATCTTGGTTGAGTCCATAAGTCTTTTCAAAATGCTTTTTAAGTTTGAATCATTAAGCGAAGAGAACAGGTTCAAAATGAGAATGTGAATATAGCACGTTCTATCGGGATCAGATAAATAGATAACACCAGAAGCAATTAGCCTTCGGAGATATGAGGAAACAACAAATAGCTTTATGGAATATAGTCTGCTTATCAGGACTAGAAAGTTGTTGACATCATAAATACTACCCTTAGAATTCTCTTCGTTACGATAATTCAATACCTCGGACATTGAATAAACAAAGTCAATTATCTTATTTTCGAGATCCGCTTTAAACTGCTTAAATTTTTTAGACTTCGATTGGATCAACTGTGACTGTCTAAATTGCAAAATTGATAAAGCCATATTGATTCTATGAAAGTTAACCTCTCTCTCCCCAACCGCCTGAATACACCATTGAAAAATCAAAGGCATATAATCCTTCCAGGTTGTTGAATCAAACAAACTGGAATCTTCAAACACCAACTTCGATAAAGAAGATATGCTTTCCTTCTCGGTGCAATTCAACCGATGTAAGATTAGTGAAAATTTATCATTTGGTATAAGATTGACTGGCGATCCAGTATCATCGTCATTAGGTCCTGATCGGTCTAATTCGTCAATAGTTAGTGATTCATTCCTGTATGCAATTAGTTTGAATTGGTCACTAACAGGTGGCAAATGCATATCTAAGACTTTCCTCAAATATGGTTTCAAATAATTCCAATTTGAAGGGAGGATGAAAATGTCCGAATTGTAGTAAAAAAGGTATTTTATCAAGTACTGGAAAATCCCTGTAATCTTCAAGGCCAATGAATCAAACTTGCTAGGTCTAGGAAGCTGGTTTGCCTTGACTAAGGTCAAAAGCATCGTTTCACTGAGCTCCTTAGTGAGATAATCATATCTGATAATCTTGAACCAGAAAAGTTTGATGATCATCTGATGAACTGAAATTGGCTTGATGTCTGCAAAAACATGTGCATTATTTATAATCTGGGAAGCATATCTAATAATCCAGGTAAGAAATGTAATTTGATTCATTAGTTCTTCGGAATACAAATTAACGACCAATTCGATGGTATAGTTCAACCTGAACCTCCAAACTTCTTTTGCTAAAGTGGGATTGAAACAACCTTCGATAATCGACTCAAAAAAGGAAGTTATTTGCTCAGTCCACTCGACTATCCACTTATTGGCATTTATCGTCATTGCCGACACATTCGTAGTTTTTCGCTTTAACTGTCGTTGCTCATTGGTGGAAATGCATTTAATCAACCAGATAGCTCTTGGTATTGGTACCTGATGGTTTAAACATTGCTCCAACAGTATTTTATTCCTCAACCCATGCGGTATTGCCCGTGACAATTCTTGTAATGGAATATTGGGATTTGCCAACTTTTTAAGCCATGCTTCCTTTTTATGTTCAGTTAGTGTCACTCTAGGAGGTGGTTTGTAAGCGCCTTTGCTTTTTATTCCATTGAACAGGCGTCTTTTATGCATGGCATCTACAAATATCTGTCCCATTAGATCTAATTTGCTGTCTCTTTCAAGGGGTGTTAGCTGTGACTGAGCGTTTGATCTAGTGAGGAGTTCGGTAATCAGTTGTCGTCCCGATTGGTCTTCGTGCTTTACAAAGTGAGGCTCCATGAAACCCTTCTGTAGATGGGTTTTCATAATTTTGTCTTCCTCTTCTGTTTGAATCCAAACTTTGAAGTCAGGGTATATATTCTTCTCTTCATGGTTGGATATATTTGGTATGTTCACTTTGGTTGACTGTTGCGGTTTGGAATCCCAATTTAGCGGATAAACGCCAGTGGGATCATGCATTTGACCATCATATGACGACAAGTACTCGGACATGAGAGAACAGGTCACCAGTAGATGATTATATATGTGTGTTTCTTACTCTGCCTTGCTTGCTCGTGTATTTTTGGTAGAAATTGTGATCCCAGTATGTGGTGGCCTTCTTTTTAGCACGAAAATCGAAAGCAAATCTGACGAACGTAGATCTGTGGAGCGACTCATCTGCATCGAACTGCTGATGATGGGTTGTACGCTATGATCAGCTTGGTGTGCTGCTGGGGCTGGATGGACAGAAGTCTTGCTCAAGCAACAGCTTCTGCATCCCTAGAAGGGAATCATCTACCCCTAAACGGGCACTATTGCTATCCAAGTAAATGAATACGCAGAAATCATTGCAAACCAGTGCCTTATCGAAAGAGCCTAAGCTACTAAATGTTGCATTTAACCAAGATCAGTCATGTTTTGCAATTTGCTCAGAAAAAGGGTTTCAGGTTTTTTCGACGTATCCGATGGAGATGAAGATGGAAAGGGACTTCACTCTGACGGGGCGCCGACTTACTCACGATGAGGAGACGGGGAGTGGGCATTGGAAAGAGGCAGATACTGCCGTGAAATCTAGCACAACTGGAATTGGCATAATAAAAATGTTATACAAGACAAACTATGTTGCACTAGTCGGTGGTGGCAAAAAGCCTCGGTTTCCACTAAACAAGTTATGTATTTGGGATGACCTCAAAGAAAAAAATTCGATTATTCTTGAGTTCACAACGCCGATCTTGAACGTGCATTTATCAAGAACACATATAATAGTACTTCTAAAGAACATGGTTTTGGTATATTCCTTCAAGCTGAAACCGGATTTGATTTTTTCATTTGACACAATCGACAATTACTCTGGTGTATCAGATCATGCCATCACGGAGAACTCCTCGATACTTGTTTTCCCATGCCGAAACTCTGGACAGTTACACATTGTTGACATCTTGAACAAAAAGAAGAACTCAAGTGAGGGAGACGAGGATAAAAAGACCGTTTCCTTGATCAAGGCTCATAAGAATCCGATCCAGTGTGTGTGTTTGTCGCCATCGGGGAAGATGGTTGCGAGTGCCTCGGACATTGGTACGATCATCCGGGTACACGACACTAGAAGCTGTGCGCTACTTTATGAGTTTCGGAGAGGTCTGGATAATGCGATCATTACAGACATGAAGTTCTCCCCCAATGGTATGAAATTGGCTGTTTTGAGCGATAAAAATACGCTGCATATCTACCATGTATATGGGGACGAAGTTAATGGGAAAAACAAGACGCATATTTTGAAAGACCTGCCCTTGTTCCCAAATTACTTCAAAAGTACGTGGAGCTTTGTCTCTAAGGACGTGGGAAACAAAAATGACGTCATTAACGACGTGGGGACGCTGGGATGGGCAGACGACGAGTCCGTCATAATAATATGGAAGTTCAGAGGCATATGGGAAAAGTACGACATAATTATCAACAACTCGATAGAGCACAACAAGGGGTCCAGGTGGCAAATCGTGAAGGAAGGGTGGCGGAGTGTGTGCTGAGCGAAAAACAAAAACGTTAATAGTTTGATCTAATCAATATATACATGATATGTACTGCGAACTCAAAGTTTAGAACGAATATTATGGTGCAGATGGAGGGTTAGCTCGGCGCTGACGCAAAGGCCGGGTCCCATCTGTTTTACGAGACAGCGGCGGACTGGGCCACCCAACCCCGCATTCTGGAAGTGGCGCAGCACAGTGACGGCCATCTTGTAGTTGCCCACGTACACGATAACAGAGACCAGTTTGTAGGATGGGTTGCCGGCAAGGAGACTGAAGATGTTAGCGATCAGGTTGACGGTCTGCGCGTGGGCGTCCGGCGGAAGATGTCCGCCCGGCTGCAGCACGGGCAGCACGCCAACAAACATCGGTTGGTGAAGTTCATTCTCTGGCATGAGTCCACCCAGGCTTGAAGCCCGTTGCCTGCTAGGGGGTGTAGACAAGAGGCAACATGAATCGAGTCCCAGGGCGTGGTGGAGATAACCATACTCTGTCGCAGGGGCCTCGCGACACGCCCTTCGGCCTTCGCCGCCGCTCACAGCAACTCCGCAGAAACCACGGGAAGGACAGGGTTGTAGAAGAGGTGGTGGCCATCGGCCCGCCTGACGCATAGTTTTGCACTAGCCTCGTCTGCAAAGGCCAGCACGTACGTGTTGAAGTGGGTACGTTTGTCAAAGAAGACCGGGCGCACGGTCCGGGCCCCGTCGGCGAACCACGCGAGGTCCCAGAAGAAGGCAGTGATCTTGCTCGTGGCGATATTCGCCGGCACGTTTCGCAGAATGACGCAGCACGATCTCTGCACTAGCTCCTGCCGGTCAGGCGGTGTCTGGACCGAAAGCAACGCCTGTGCCCGCTCCAGCACCGTATCCGTCGCCAGCGGGGACCGCTCCAGCAGGTCACGCCGGCCCTGCAGCAGCTGCTGCAACACCTCGAGGTGGCCCTTCTTTTTCGAGGCGCCCTGCTGAACTATGTCCACCAAGGCAGGGAGGTCTGCAAGGTCCGCCAGGAGTTGCGGGTACAGGAACCGCAGGTATCCGGCGAAGTCAAGGGTCTTCACGGGTTTCGCGTTGATCCGGCTGCCGTCTAGCTTCGCCTCGCTCACCGCACACGCCCGGGAGTACTCCTGCAGGTCACCGACACTCGCAAACACAAGGAAGTAGTCCTCCGTGGCGACCAGGTTACTCGCATACCGCCCCCGGATCACGTACCTGAGCGATACATCTGGCTTTACTCTCTGAAAGTCCGCCGGCGTCAGCGTGCTCGAGGCGATGTGCGATCGCAACACGGGTATTTCGGCATCGACTTCGGTAGCGTGCCGCTGCGCCAGCAGCGTGCTGTGCGTATCTACCAGTTCTGGCAGCACAGCATCTCCGAAGACGTTCTCGTGGCTGTCACCTACTCGCTCGAAGAGGTTCTCGTGGCTGTCACCTACTCGCTCGAAGAGGTTCTCGGCACCCCGAGGCGGCCTTTTCATCAGCGCCCGCCGCACGTCCCGCAGCAGTATCTTTGTCGCCATTTCTGTCTCTGTTTTGCTGCCTCTTTGCCCTCCACGGCGAGTCCCAGCTCCTGAAATCACCCTCCGTCCCCGTCTCCCCGGTCCTCTTCACCACCTCCCCCTTCGCCACCGACGCCCCGACGGGGCAAGCTTTCTGATTACGTCAGCGATGCCCGGCAAATTTTTTTCTCTGCGCTACCTGTTCACTATCATCGTCTTCTTCTCAACGGGGGGGCGGGCGATACAGCCCTCAGAGGACGCAGAGGACGTAGACAGCGTGCTTACTTGGTGGCTGTTGGTTCGACGAAAGAGCACGGTGGCGGCGGCGGTGTGGGGGTGCCGACATAGCAACAGTAGCAGAGCCACGGACAGCCACAGTCGCCCTCTCTGAACCAGAGTCTTGTACATAGTCACTTTACTCCGTTGTTCCCCGCCCCTGTACAAAGCACCCCGTGCCCTCCCACAGCCATACCTGTCCATATTGAACTCCTCCGTCACCACCACCACCACCAGCCCGAACCGTTGTTTAGTGCAAGTGCAGCCGTAAAACCGCTACACCTGTCTTCTCTCTTTTCCTGCTACCCCATCCGTGTCACATATTAGCCCGGCGTATATACCCGCTAGCTTGTTATCGGCCTTCTAGAACACAAACAACGCCCACCTTGTCACATATTATCTGTTGGAACATTAGCTTGGTCAACCCACACCCGTCTTAATCCGTCTATCTTTTTCCTTCCCTGTCCATATCAACTCCTGAACAGCAATAAAATGAACTCGAGCTGGGATAACTTCCATAAAACAGCGTCCGTCGAGGAGAGCATCGTCTCGAACCCTTGGGACACCGCTTCCAACAACGGGAACAAAAACATCATCAACCTGGTTGCTCCAAATCCCATCTCACCCATCATCTCTCAGCAGCAGCAGCAACAACAACTGCAGCAGCACCATCAGCAACAGCAACAGCAACAGCAACAGCAACAGCAACAGCATGACGATGTTGCTAGCATCATCTCAAGCTTGAATGGCGTTGGTCTTGGCAATGCCAACGCCCGTGGTCTGGCCAACCAGTCCGGCTTCCTGGGCGGCTACAAGCAGCCTTCAAACCTGAATGCTTTCGACGAGGCAGTGATGAGCGATTCCGGATCAGATGCGTTGAGAGACGCAATTTCGGCAATATCTGCTCCTGTTGCCACCCAGCCTTTGAACAAGTCGAGGTTTGGGCCAAACATGTTCAGTCCTGCCTCCATTGCCGGCGTCAACGTCACCAACCTGAAGTCGGCCAACATCGCGTCCACCAACTCAACTTTCTTGGAGAAATTCGCTTCGGTGACTGAAAAGACAAGAGAACTGGAATCTAATAACATCGGCTCGAGAAGGTCTTCGATGTTCAACAATGAGCCAAAATCTCCTCAACAACTATTCAGGGAGCCAAGAAAACAGTCTTTCAGTGAAAAATTGGAGTCTTACATTTCTGCCACAGCTTCTCCAAACGCTTCAAGACATTTATCGTTCAGCTCCGAAGTCAACAACGCAAATGCCGCTGCCGCATCGGAACATAACTCGATTGTTAACGACCCAAACGTCACCGCTAACCCATCCAATTTCAAGAATAACTGGAACCCGGCAACTGCAGCCACTTTTCACCCAAGCTACCCAATGAACGAGTTATCATTCATGCAACAACAATCAATAATGATGTCTTCATTCCCAATGGGTCCTCCTCAGAATCTCCCAAATAATGCCTATTTTCCTCAAATGTTCCCACCTTTTGTTCCAACCGGTCCTTTCGGTATCCCTCCCAATGTGATGCCAAACGCAAACGACTTGGCTCAATCCGAAGAAATGAAGCCTTCAGATACAACAAGAAGCGAATATGGAAGTAGAAATGATGAAATATACGATGATGTGAAAATTCAAGAAGGTGCTGCTGGAAATAGCCATGCAAATATTGATTCCAACGAAACTCGGGACAAAGAAGACGATAGGGGAAACCGTACGGATAATAAGGAAGACTCTGAGAGGGACAGTGCCACTCCTAAGGCTCCCGAATTCTTTCCGATAGGTATAAACAGATCTGTTTCTCCCTATGTTATTGCACCATTCAACCCATACAACATGTTTGGTCCAAACGGAAGTAACAATGGGGTCTTTCCCTCTATGATTCCTGCCCCTGGATCTCCAATCGGAACTTCTCCTTCTCCCGGTATGATGATGTCGCCTAGGATGATGGGTGTTGTCCCAGTTGGATCAAGAGAAGGTAACGGCAAAGGCCGTGCAGGTACTCCTCCTAACAGGAGCTCGAGATCTCCTCTATCTAACTCAAATAAAAAGAATGGTAAGCCTGCTAAGTTCAAAAACAAACATATTGTTAGATCTCCAATTTTGGAAGAATTCCGGAACAACAAGGACAAAAAGTACACTTTGGACGATATTGCCAGTCACGGCTATGAGTTCGCCAAAGATCAACATGGTTCCAGATTCATTCAACAAGAATTGGAAACAGCATCTGAGGATTCCAAAGAAGCATTCTTCAAGGAGATTAGAACTAACTCGATGGACTTAATGACTGATGTTTTTGGTAATTACGTCATACAGAAGTATTTTGAATATGGAACATCCGTTCAAAAGAAAGTGCTGTTCGAATTAATGAGAGGCTCCTTCAATACTCTATCACTTCAAATGTACGGTTGTAGGGTTGTTCAACGTTGTTTGGAAGGTATACCTCTTACCGATCAGCTGGAGATAATGGAAGAACTAAAGCCAAACATTTTGAACTTAGTCAAAGACCAAAATGGTAACCATGTCATTCAAAAGGCAATTGAACAGATTCCGATCGAAAATATTCCATTTGTTTTGGATTCTTTGAGACATCAAATATACCATCTCTCCATGCATCCTTACGGTTGCAGAGTGATCCAAAGATTATTGGAATGCTCTGGCGTTGAAGACCAAGAATTTATTCTTAATGAACTCAAGGGTTTCATCTACTACTTGGTTCAAGATCAGTTTGGTAATTACGTCATACAACACGTTATCGAAAGTGGTGAAAAGAAAGATACTGATGTTATATTGAAGGTGGTTTTAGATAATTTGATTGAGTTGTCAAAACATAAGTTTGCCTCCAATGCAGTTGAAAAATGTATTATCAACTTGCCTGTCGAAAGTAGAATCGAGATATACGAGACTATGCTGAAAGATAATTTAACAAAAGATGGTGAATTGCTTGAACAGAGTAATTTGATGTTGATGATGAAAGATCCATTTGCCAACTACGTTGTCCAAAAAATGGTGGAATTGATCGATATGGATCGTAAGAGACTGTTGGTGTTAAAGATTAGGCAGTACTTGAAACTAATCCAGAAAAATAGTCACGGTAAACATTTAGCCAGTATCGAGAAACTCAATCATATTTGTCGTAACTATGACATTTGATTGGTGAGAACGCTGGTGTTTTTGAGTTTATATGATTTTCCATCCCCCCCCCCCCCAATTTTTAAAATTGGAACTGTTTATAGTGTAGCAAAATTTAAAAATTATGTGTTACGTAAGCTTTTTTCTTTTTTTTTTTCATGTTTTATCGCAAGGTCTATTTTTTTTCCAGGTTAGTATTCTTGTTCACTCATATGGAAATTACCTCCAATTTACACAGATAGTATTGGGTTCCACCGAGCTATTCAAAAGCATTACTACATATTTGAAGGAATAGGCTCATTTTAGTTGAATATGACAACTGAAAGTAGCAGCAGCCAGCTGGATATAGACGATATTTTCAATCGTTTGAAGCAAACGGTAGAAAAGGAAGAAACGAAACAGGAGACTAACGAAGATGGAATCAAGTCCTATAGTGGTAATAAGAAGCAGCTTACTTATGAAGAATTGAAGAAGAAAGTTTCACATTTACCCAGTATTGAGTTACATCTATACCCTAATGGTAAAAAGGCAAACAATGGAAAGTCATCTCGAGAAATAAGGAGAATCAACGACACTGTCGAAAGTGTGTTACCTGATCTTCGGAAAAAAACTGTTACCGATCGACGTCTGATTAAAGAACAGAAAAGCAAAGAATGGTTTGCACTTCCTAGAGTTGAAATGACTGACGATGTAAAGCGTGACTTGCTTATAATAAAAAACAGGAAATATTTAGACCCCAAAAGATTTTATCGTGGTGAGAAGTGGGAAATTCCAGAAAACTTCCAAATCGGCGAGGTTGTTGCGGGTATTGGTGAATACGGAGGACGACTTAAACGCAAGAGCAGGGGTCAAACCATTGTTGATGAACTGTTGAAAGATAAAAACTCCTCGGCCTGGTTTGACAAAACCTATGGTGATATCCAAACAAGGAAGAAAAATGGTGGTAAAAAATTTCTAAAAGATAAAATAGCGAAGAGAAAGAAGTACTGATTCTGAGTTTCTTTTGCTGCATTGTGTAAAATAAGTAAACTTTGGTAAGTATCCGATACAATTAATTTTGACCTAATGAGACAAAAATTGGTAAAAAAAATTCAAGAAAAATGATATAAAAGTTTACAAATAATGAGGCAGCTCTATTACTTTTGTTTTTACAATGATACAATGAGTTAAATTCTTCTATTGGTTTGCTCTCCTTCATCTCTTCTGCGCTTCAGCTCCTTAGCTGCTGCTTCGCTGCCCATTTTCTTGACTAATTTTGTATGGAATAATCCACAGGCATTACACAAGGTCCTGGCATCCTCTGGACCTTTACGCCATTCAGGAGTAGATGTAGAGCCGCAATGTTGACAGACCATTTTAACCTTGATACTTAAATCTGGTTGTAAGGTCCCTTGAGAGTTGAACATCGCACTTGAATTCGTTTTTGTGTTGGGCTTGACCGGGATGACTTGTAAAGAGACCGACTCTCCCGGGAAATTGGAAGTCCTAGCATGCCGAACTATACCCTCGTTCGTTCCTCGATCTGCGATTTTTTTGACAAAATATTGAAAATCAAAGGCTTCGACATTTTTTTCCTTCAAACTTATCCAATCACTGAGCATAACAGATAGTTTTGAAAAAATGGCATTCAAGTTGACTAACTCCTCTGTGGGAAAGTCACGTATGTATTTATAAAACTCCTCAATTTTATAATTATTCTGATCAAATTCAAAGGTCTCTGATTGCGTGCTACGTTCTTGTTCTAAAAAATGTTGAATAGCTCCATTCTCAAGAATGTACTGATGAAACTTTGTAATATCTTTGGAAACGGTAGCAGCCCATAGCAAGTCTTTTGATAATTTTATTGAGTCAGAATGATGTGTCAAGTAATTTTCGGCTGCTTCCCTCGTTATTGGATCGAGCTTGCTTTGTGCCACCAAGTTGCTATACTTCCCCAAACTCAAAGGTTTCGGCTTTTTATTATTAGTGATCAAACTACAAGCTGGTTTTTCAATTCTACTGTCTGGGCTGCATTTCTCACGTTCTTCTTCTGGCTTTAAAAGGCCGAGTGGAGCATGCTTCCCTTTTCTAGGAAAGTCTTTCGTCCCCAGAAAGGATTCTTCTTGGCGTGAGCCTTCCCTACTTTTCTTCTGTGATTCAATAGGAGAAGTTGGTTTACTAGACGTTACAGAGCCACGTTTTTGGTTAGTCAATTGCTGGGGAGTGAATTGTTGAGTATAAAAGCTGTTAGGCTGATCACTTAAATTCTGTGGTGAATACATTTGATGAGAAGGTAAAAACTGATGTTGCTGTTGAGCTCGCTGAATCATTAGTGGTGGAGGTTGCTGGTGTAGATGCTGTTGATGGTGAATGGGTGATATGTTTTGCATTGGTTGCATGTTCTGAATTGGTTGCATCTGTTGGTAATAAAAGTTCGTAGGGGTATCTAGCTGTGTCGAACCGTGAAATTGAGAATATGTAAGTGGTTGCTGTGGCTGTTGTGATTGTTGAGGCTGTTGTGAAAATTGAAGTAGTTGCTGATGAGATTGTTGCTGTTGCTGTAGCTGGTGATGTTGTTGATGTTGTTGTTCCTGTAGCTGTTGTTGCTGTTGTTGAGGATAGCCAGAAAACGAATGGAACTGACTCTGTTTTTCATAGGGATTCATTTGTAGGGGTATTTGCTGATGTTGAGATTGATACGCCGGATATTGAATTGCTGGGGAAGCGTTGCTATGCGAAAGAACGGGAGCCTGTGGCGACCCGGCTGTAGAAAAGGCATGAGACAACTGGGGTAGCTGTGTGACCGGCGACCTATAAATGGGTTGAATGGTGTGGGGCCTACTCGGTAGATGCTGCGACGGATGTTGCAGCCTCTGTGTAGAAGATGGTTGCTGATATTGAGGGAACGTGTTATTTGAATGATTATTTTGAGGTGTCATTTCAGGAAGCCTATAGTGCTCCATTTGATGATGTATAGGTAGCGGGATAGATCTTGTCAACAAGGAGGATGTGGTGTTGCTATAAGAGTCCGATTCAAAAGGAGGAGTAGAAGTGCTTACTCTCTTGCTATTTTCTGAACCGGTAGATGATTGTATAATATCTTTTCTGGCTGTGTCTATTGAAGAGCTAGTAGTACTTTGAGTAGGTTCTACACTAGTTTTAGTTACGTTTTCTGGGGTTAGCGAAGAGATCTTCGGTGATGGGTCGAACGGTGAAGTTTTTTGAGTGTTAGAGAGTGCTGAGTCAGGTTCTTCGTGCTTACTTTCTTCCATTGATGATGTGAATGACTACTTGATGGGTGGGGTGCCAATCCGATAAGGCCTATCTATTTTCAAGGTGACAATTGTTGATTTAGCAAAATGGAAAAAAAACGGTTGGAAAGATAGAGACAGTATTATAAGCAAAGCATTGATCTGAATTGGGTGCTGTTTCAATGGTGAGGTATCGCTAATCAGCGGGGGAAAAGACGGTTGTGGCGTGTCTATAGAAGAATGTAGAGTTTGTCCTAATGAAGAGTTTATGAAAGAATGGGTAGCCAGAGATGTAGATTGCTGATGAAAGATTATCTTGCAAGCTTCCGAATGTGGCGATCGGTCTTTCGAGGTGAGCGAGGTGTAGAGGCCACCTCCGTCTCCTAAACGAAAGCCTTGTAGAATGGGCTCTTTTTTGCCTTTGAGGTGTGGGGGACTAGCTAGTCAAATGTCTCTTTAATATCCGATCTGTGGTGTGGGGTATGCTCACAACACACACAGGGGCGGCAAGTGGGGCAGGTGGGCCGAGGACGGTCGATCTATTTCTCTGTGTGGAGGTGAACACAGCACACTGTGCGCAGAAAAAGTGGAACCAGCGGATTAGTTAGGGCAGCTAAAAGATGCAACGCCCAGAGCAGAGGAAACGGGGCTGGAGTCTGCGATGGGGTCGGAATGGCTTCTTCTTGGTGCTTGTGTAGAGCAGGTTCTCGGGAGGTGTGCTGGGCGGACCGACTCTTGAGCGGAGTATGTGCACGCTTGCTGACGTTGGCGGGTGGAGTCTCGGGGGGGTTTATAAATATCTCGGGGCGGTGAGAGACGTGGGGGATGGGGCGGATAGGCAGGGAAAAAAAGAAAAGAGAGGCTGTCGGGTTGGAAAAGTGGCTGGAAGGGTAGAGAGTGTGGGCGGTTCGTTGAGAGGTTGCCCTTCGGCTGGATGACACTAGCCTAGCGTTCTCTGCTGCTGACAGAGGCGGTTTTTACAGCGCAGCCGGTGGGCGGGAAGGGCGGTGGAAGGGTAGGGGATCCGTGTAGACGTACATATGCAAGAATAGAGGCGGGGGGGAAGCGGGTAGGCAGCCAGGGGTAGCTACAGGTGGCCTGGTCCTTGCCCCGGCCGGTAGATGTCGTCTGTGGGTGGGAGGGTGTCCGTCAAATGAAGTCCGGATTGTTGCTGCACTGCTGCGTTGTTGCGTTGCTGCCCTGCGGCGGCCGCAACGAGCAAGCGGGAACGGGGAGGGCGGTGCGTTGCGTTTCTGGGCGAATTACGTCCCGGTTCCGGCTGCAGGTTGCCGCCCGCCGGCTCGCTTGGGCCTGGCTGGCCCTGCTGGGATGTTGGGGCTGCTTCTGGCCGCAGACGTTGGCGGGAGCAGGTCAGGAGCGGGCTGCACGAGCTGCAAGAGCTGCAAGAGCTCTTCAGGCCGTGACGGATCGTTGGGCAATTTCGTCATGCGCCCGCGGACGAGGCGCCGGCGGTCGATGCGCTCCCTGCTGCGGGTCGCTGCAGCCGGCGGGCGGGGGGGGGCGGGGGGGCAGGATGCCCGAGGATGACGGGGCCCAAAGCGACAGCTGGGGTGTATATTGCAGCCACCCGCGGTGTGTGCTGCCGTGACTTCTGCGGCGGTTCTGGTCGGGTGTTGGTTGCGGCAGTTGCGGGCGCAGATAGAGTATCACAAGTGGTGGCGAAAGTTGGCGATTACATGGGCTATGTGCGAGGAAGTAGCACAAGATAACCTTTTTTGCCCCCGATTGTTAGTCCGCGAGGGCGGCAGCCGGTGACTGGAGCGGACAGCACCCTGCGTGAGCAACACGAGGGATCCCCAATGCAGCCGGGCGAGAAACGGCTGGGCAGTGGGGCGGCCGGACGGCCGGACGGGTCGTGGAACATCGGGGGGACAGAGAAGTCCTCAGCGAGCGGCGGATCTCGCATGCTGCATGCGTTGCCCGCGTGCATGTTGCGTATGAGGTGGGAGCGGGAGCGTACGGGCGTGCGAGGGAGCGAGATAAAGAGCGGGCGATTGCGACCGAGAAAGAAGGCCAGGCCCGGAAAGGGGACCGGGCTGGGACACTAGGCCTGCGGGACCTGCTAGTGCCTGTGCCGGCTCCACTAGGCCACTAAGCCACTAGGCTACTAAGCCACTAGTGCCGAATACGATCCGCTCGTGCAGCGGCTGCGCTCTTGCTGGGCCGCCGGATTTGTGGGAAATTAACGTGCCGCCAGCACAATGTAACCCGAATGCGGTAAGAGTCTCCGCGCAGGGCGGACGTGGCGGCAGAAGGGGGCTGGGGGAGCAGAGAGATGGTCCGGGTGCGTCTATGGCGGTCGCTTGGGTTTGCCCACAATACCGAACTAGCAATATTTGCCTGTGGTGCTCTGCAAAAGATTACGGGGCCCGCTTCGGAGGGCAGAAGCAGCAGGGCGGGCGTCAGGTGCGGAGGCCGACCCCTGCGCCGGCTGTGGCATAGCTGGCGGCGGCAGCAGTGACGTTGGTGGCGACGGCAGCTACACTCCGAAGATCCCCGGGTAGGGGAGGGCTGCTCCCACCCCACTCCGCATTGACACAGCACATGCCAGAAGTGCGACACACAGCGGGCGTCTCGGCAATTTGGCCGGCTGTTATCGGCTGTTACAACAGCCGAAGCACTGAGCAGACCCAGTGCGGAAGCAACCGCGAGGGCAAATGCGAATGCATATGCGAATGCAAAGGCAGACGCAGATGCAGACGCAGACGCAGATGCAAACGCAAACATCAGGGCAAAAGTGGCCGCAAAGGCGAGAGATCGAAAAGGCGAGGCCAAAACCGAGCGCCCTCGCCTACTACTGTTGATTATCTGCATGTAAGTTCCGCGCCGAGGATATCCCCAAACCCGGCGAACTACCTCCTACTGCCGTGGTTTCCCGGGACAACTATTGTGCATGCGTGCATATTTTCCTAGCCACTTTACGGTTCCGCAGCTTCTGCACGTCTAGTGGCACAAGATCACGCACGAGGGCGAAGGATAAGCAGGGGTGGGCAGTCGGCCGTGGTGGGGCCGCTGCGTGTTATTTGAGCGACGCGTCGCCTGAGGCGGCGAGCCCAGCGTGCCTCGCTCGCCACCTGGTCGGCAGGCCGACCCTATTCGGAAATAGATCAACAACATGTTTAGGTCTCGGTGCTACACCTTCTCCGGCCACAACGACGTGACGGGACGTCTTCCGTAGGTGCTTTTTGGTGACACGTCACATCGGACACATCCTCGTTGGCAGACGTGCCGCACACCTGTCTCTCTATATATATACCACGATGGTCGACGCCCGGTCGTCCCGCTTGCCGCTCCAGGACCTCTCCAACGGGTACTCGGTGACAGCTAGCAGCACCAACACCAGCGGCAGACCTGTGGAGAAGCCGCCTGTCCAGCCGTCAGCCAACCGTTTCAAACGACCTAGAACCTCCGTCCACAGGAGAGATACCATGGCGTCGTCGCTTTTGCAGAACGCCGCCGCAGGCTCCGCGGGCCCCTCTTCAAGCACCGAGGTGCAGATGGAAGACATCGTCAAGCTGAAGCAGGGCAAGCAGAACGACCTCTCGAGCTTGAACAGCGAGATCTGGAAAGTGCAGACCCAAATCGCAGACATGGAGCTGAAACTCGACGAGCTCGCCTCGAAGGCCTCGATCGTGCGATCGGACTTCCAGAGCTTAGAGGATAAGCTCAAAAACCTGCAAGCCGTGAAAAATCACAAGATACAGCGGCTGAACGACTCCCTTGCGGTGTTCCGGTCCACCCTCGACCGGTCCTTCGACGAAAAGGTTGCTCGCTTGAGCCAGACGTACGACGAGAAGATCACCAACATCATCAATTCCAAGCATCTCGAGTTCAAGGAGAAAGAAAGAAGCCTTTCCGACAAAATCACCGTCCTTAGAAACTCCCTTGCAGATTACTCAGACAAAATTTTGGAGGAGTCGAAAACGAAGATCAGCAAAGACGCCGAAACTGAGATCGTGTCACTGGAAACTGAGCACAACAGAAACGTAGAAACTATGAGGGGCGATATCGCAAAGCTGCATCAAGAGTCCCAGGACTTGAACCGAGAAATCACCGAGCTACACAGCAAGATTGACACACATACACAGCCTTTGATGAATGGACTGAATTCTACCATGCTCGAACTGAACAAAAAGCTGGAGTTTGTCCAGGATGAAGAGTCCAGTCTCGGACGACAGTTGAAAAGGCTCAACAACTCGAAAGAAGAGGAGTGCAATAAGCTCTTGCAGTTGAAAGAGGATTGTCGCCAGTACAATCACGAGATTGAGCAGTTTACCCTGGCAATCAAGGAGGAGGAAGCATACAGAAGGTTTTTACACAACAAGCTTCAGGAAATGAAAGGAAATATACGAGTTTTCTGTCGTATTAAACCAGATAGAGAGGGTGTTTTTGACCACGCAATCCAATCCATGTCTTGCACTTCCGGTTTGAAAGAATCTCTCTCGATATCAGAGCCGGCATCCGCAAAGCCGTTGAAAAAGGCTTCTTCTTCGCCTGTTAAGAAGTCGGTTAAAACCTACTCTTTCTTTTTTGATAAGATATTCGACGAGAACTCCTCAAATGCAGATATTTTTGAAGAAATATCACAGCTTGTTCAGAGCTCACTGGACGGATTCAATGTCTGTATTTTTACGTACGGTCAAACGGGCTCGGGAAAGACTTTCACAATGAGCAACAACAATGATGGTATGATTCCTAGATCAATGGACCAAATGTTTCAAAAAATAGATTTACTATCCACCCTAGGAAACAACTATCAACTATATGGTCAGTTTTTCGAAATATATGGTGAGAACATCAGAGATCTGATTGATGATGATCATCAGCATTCAATCAAAGATGATTCAGATTATCATGATCCGCCTATAGCGAATTCCGACACGAATGGCATTAAAATGATCCGGCTCACCTCTTTGAAGCAAATCGAGAGCCTCCTTGCTCATGCAACCAAAAAGCGTGCCACTGCAGCGACAATGGCAAATGATGTTTCCTCAAGATCACATTCGATATTCAAGGTCCATATTACAAAATACAGTAAGGACAGTTCTCAAAGTACTGTTATAGGAACACTAAACTTGGTAGACTTGGCAGGCTCTGAAAGGCTCTCACATTCTCAAGTGACGGGCTTGAGATTGAAGGAAACACTGGCAATAAATAAATCATTGAGTGCACTGGGCGACGTTATTGCTAGCCTCAAAGCAAAATCTTCTCATGTCCCCTATCGGAATTCCAAATTGACCTACGTTCTCAAGGATTCCCTAGGTGGGGATTCGAAAACTTTGATGTTTGTGAATATTAGTTGTTTGAGCTCTCATTTCAACGAATCGTTGAGTTCTTTAAGATTTGCCAGCAAGGTCAACAACACTACTTTGAAGAAATAATTTTGGGAAAATTCGTAGTATTATCTTTGTAAATTATATAATAATGTATGCATCAAATTAGAGATGGTTATTTCTATATACAACGGGATGGGGCGCTCAGGAGTCTAATATTTGTTTCACGTCGATGCTGGCCTTGCTGTATGGACTTGCCAACAGATCAGGATAATCCTTGGTGTTATCTTCCAACTGTCCGGTCTTTACAAGTTCTTCCCACTCTGCAGGAAAAGTTTTCTGACAGTATTGCTTCAATTCATTTCTAACACCTTCATGGAGGCAGTTATTGTGTAAAGTTTTCAAGACATAGCTATTGATCAAGTGATAATCGCCATTTTTTTCAGCAGACTCTAATGTCTCAAATGCGGTACGATATTGCTCAAAGTAACAGTTGGCAACTAGCAATTCCGCAAACAAATTTGGATCCGGTAATATATCGTATTCTGAAAGCCCATTATAGAAGTCTTTGGCGTGTCCTAATGTTGCGTACTTTAATGATTTCAACATCCAGTATGCGCTCTCGTTATTGGTACCATATTCCTTCGGAAGTGAAAATGCAAGATTGAAGACATCACGTGTTTTGAATGGATCTTCAAGAGCAGCATAACTTTCCATCAGTGAGTTCAACAGTTTTATGTCGAGGTTAATGGAGAGGTCCATTTTTATTGCTAAATGCAACTTGAATATTCCTTCTTCATCTTGGAATTTGGCAAAACTCTTCAATAGGTATATATAAAATTCTTCTCCTGGTGGTGGTAACTTTGATTCTTTGCTTTGTCTCTTCATGTCAGCAAAAACTTTTAAGGCCATTTCGGGATCCGAACAGTCAATGAATATTTTCACGAAACCCGGATAATATTCGTATGGGATAGCGAAGTAGTCGGCAAGATATTTGTAAACCCTTTTATTAAGCTCTCCATCAGTAGAATTTATCAAATAGTCATAAGCACAATCAAATATTTTTTGGTACTTACTAACCTCTAATCTAGGATCATCTTTTTTCAATTCAGGAGTTTGATCCAAAAGTATTTTTACGGCAAATGTCCCTGCATCATACTTTATAGCTGCTTTCATCATTTCGTAAACACATTCCTTGTTAAACAAATATTCATATCTTTGCACGTTTTGGTAGACATCTAATTTCTCGGCCCACAATATTTCAGGATTTTGCCAAACGTTCGCTGTTAGTTGGAACAAGGAAAGCATATAAAACCCTTCGTAGTCATTTTCCCAATCGACCTGATCCTTATATTGTAAGAAATATTGTGAAGCACGCTTCACGTTTTTGCTGTTGTTCTTATCTTGACATAAATAATTCATTATTGTAGCTACACTCTTGGAATCCATAGCAACACCAAATTCATCTTCAAAATCTTTCCTAAACTGTTCAATATATTCAAAGCTCTTGTTCGACCAACAAAGAGACTCGAAGACAAGATTTAGTGAATCGATATCTCCAAATGCGTAATCCTTGTCAAGATCACTAAGTCTCTCGTTCAGTTTCTTGACAAGTTGGATAGCTGGTTGGTCTTCAGTCAACTCGAACGATTCATACTGGAGAAGTGTCATCCATTCATCTTCAATATAATCAATCTCTTTCTTTTTCTTCAATACCTTGATTAGGTTAGTGGCGTCATTTGCTTTGTTAAACTTTAAAGCAGCAGTTACAAGTGCAAAACTTAAATCAGGCTCAAGCAAACTCTCATATTTTTCAGATGTGAAATAGCTTGTCAACTTTTCCAATTTCACTAGGATTTGTTTCGAAACTTCATCAAAGTTATTTTTCACTGAAAAATACAAAATCTCAACGTATGTTTCCAGAGGCTCGGAAATCTTTGGCTCCAAGATGTCCAAAAATGTAACAAGTCTCTCACTAACAAAGTTGTCCTCAAAACTTTCACTGATCTCTTCGTCAGCTGCCCTGAAAAAAGTTGCCAAAAGTCGATCCAAGAAGGGCAAGTCTGAAACTTCCTTATTACTAGCGGAGAGATCAGGACAGATCTTGGCTAGTAATAAAATTGTCTCGGTATCTGGTTTAATGGATTGAAAGGCTTCAAGTAAAATATCCACCACTTGTTCGCTAATATTGTTATTGTGTACATCATTTTCTTCTGTGATGAATGCTTGTATAACCTTGGAAACGCTATGTCTTTTCGTACTCAACAGCACATAGTTGACAAAAATCTCAAACAGTTGTAAACGCACCTCAGAATCTTCTGCGTATTCCTTGCACTCTCTTAATGAGTTATAGAACCTCGGGAAAAAATCGATGTATCGTACGTCTTGTAAAGACATTCCTCCAAGAACACTGCGCAAAAGGATAATCATCTCATCGGCTTTAAAGCTATCAAGTGGGGAAGGTGTTTGATCTATAAAATTTATGACTGCATTTATGAAGGGAAGCTGTTTATTTGGGAATTCCCCATCAGGGAGAGTTTGGATAAGCTGTAAAAGAATAATCTTCAATCTCTTTGCTTTCACTTTGGGGGACATAGATTGGTTTTTGAAGGTATTTTGGAGTTCAAGGAAAAATTCAATGCGTTGACCCTCCAAATCAGCAAATTGTGTTGAGGGAACATCAGAATAAAATCTGGAGCCATTTGAATTTATTTTGGACTGATGGATTTTTGGCATTTCCCTCCTTGATGAAATGTGTACAGCGCCGAAATCATGTGTCCTCTGGTACGTTGTTTGACTATAGTACCGGAGAATGGAGCCTACCAACCTATAGTTAGCAGAAGAGCAGCGTATCCTTAAAGATTTGGACACCTGCAGCATAAACACCATGATGTGTTTATTAATGCAGACAAGTCTTGATTGGCTGGAGTTCTAGATGAGAGAACGTACTAGCCTTAGCTACTAAGTTTTGTATATTACCTCTAACATTTTATCTGGCCTCCCGAACATTAAACTCTTGGAGCTTACTCTAATTTTTTCAAGTGCCAAAAACTGAAATAAAATTACGTAAGAAAATTGGGTCGTTTTCTATATATACAGGAGGTTAATTAGCGTAAATGTAGTATAAAAGATTATACATCGTTGTGAAAGTCTATCTATAAGTTTAAGAATATGTTGATTGGGGAGAAAGGTCTCAGTGTGTACCTTCACCGAATTTTGCGGTGTCCTTTTTTCCCTCGTTCTAGGTTGTAAGCGTTTGAGCGTCTGAAGACTTGAAATGCACATTGGAAGATGATGTATCAAAGGCCCTCAGGTCTTTCACTTTCCCTTTCACCAATCACATTTCCTTTGTCATCATAAACCTTGACATGCTTCTGGTACTCCTTGATGGCCCAGTTGAGACCAACAAACTGAATATCTGGATCACTTGCTCCTCTGCTTTTGGTGAATCTGGTCCAGAAATTAACGTCCTTGAATCTGGGATCTTCTTCCTCAAACCCATTTTCGAGTCTCAGCTTTGCCACTTGTTCACGCAAAAATGCACAGACCCGACTCCGCAATTCACGTGCTTCTTTGCCAAACATTAGCTCGTCAGATAGATCATTCGGGTTCTCATTGTTGCTATACTTCAAACACAGCTCTTTCCACTCGGACCTGAACTTGGAGATGATATTATCGTCGATCGCCTTTCCAATATTGACGGTGATTTGTGCGCCGACATTGTTCGGCGTTAAGTAGTCTGTTTTCAGGTCCACTTCTTCAGGCTTGACTTTTTCAAACCCGTCGGTGAATATCGGAACGATGACGGGTGCCACGGTGGGCTCCAAAATCAGTCTTGCTGTACCCCAGCGGAAGTAGCGCATTGAGTTCTGAAATGGCGGCTTGAGCTGGCAAACATACCCCTCGGGAAAAATGTGAACCCAGGACGTTTTGTAGCGGAGCACCGGAGAGACGTAAGTGGGGGAGAATAGAGAAAGGGCGGTTCGGGAGAGAACGTTGTCTGGACTCAAGTTATCCTTCTTCGTTTCGTCGAAGTAATCGCTGCGGTACTTGGTTAAGTGATCCTCGTCGCCCAAGATGTACTGTGAGTTGATGGTATCATCCGGAGATAGGATCCGGATGCAGGCGTCCAACCCGGACTGGAAAGGGCCTCTGCCGAATCGGTCGCAGGGGAAGATCTTGCCCAAAGAGAAGAATTTTTTGGAGAAACTGTTGGTGAAGCACACGTTCGAAGCTGCCAAGCCCCATCTGATGTCCTCCCAGCTCTTGAAGTATCGCCAGGGCAAGCAGGCAAAGAGAAACGGGTCATCGCACGTGGACATGTGGTTCATGATCGTCAAGATCCCGCGGTTGGACGCCCGTGCGTTCGCAAACGCATGATCCAAGTTCGGGAGGCCCTTCAGCTCGACGTTGTAGAGAGTCGCCAAGATTAACTTGGAGAAGCCGGTCACGGCGACGCACGTGGCGTGTGAGAGAGCGTTCCACAAGGGGGACCGTTCCATGCGGACGCTCAGAATCTCGTCGTCCCCCCTTTTCAGCACGTCATGAAACGACATAGTGGCGTGTATCTGTCCCTGTCTGTGGCGGAAGCGGTGAAGGTAGACGATCGAATGGTTGTGGGAACAGCGGACAGCCCGTTTGTAGGAAAAGGCCTGGATGTAGCAGGACGTGTGAAATATTTATTGGCTAACGGCCTACATGGAAGGGACAGTCTGTAGGCCTTAGAAAAAAGATGTGCGACACGGAATTTGTGGTGCTGCTGCGTAACGTTACGTACTAGATATATAGGGCGGGGCTCACTTCTTCTTGTTGGTGAACCTCTCGGTAACATGTTCGATCTTGATGTCGAGTCCCTTGTCCTTCATCAGCCCCGTGAGGTATTCCTCCACCTCGGTGGCGACGTCTCCCTGGATGACGATTTCGTCCTTCTTTTCGGCGTTCTTCGACACGCTCGAGCCCGTGGCAAACTTGGATGCAAACACCTTGGCTGTTTTCTTGAGGTCGACGTCCGGCCCAAGCACCTCCAGGTTGGCGATCGCCACCACGTGCTTGTGCTTTGTTCTCGGGATTCTCTTGATGATGATCTTGGAGTTTTTCAAGTTCTCCAGCTCTCTCTCCTGCTTGCGCTCCTCCTTGAGCTGCATCTTCGCCAACGACGAGGTTATCTGCGTCTCTCTTTCGGACGACAAAGACGACACCACGTTAGCGTCCGACCCGTACAGGCTGTTGTACTTGCCAGGGTTGACCTCCTCGAGCCACGCCTTACACTTCTTCAACGTCTTTCCGAACTCGCAGAACTCCACAGGGAGCGTGCATATTCCGCAGTAGGTGGTGATGTGCTCCATTTCGTGTGTCACTGCTGCTGTCTTCTCTGCTTCTGCTATTCTGTCAGCCCTACCCAGCTCTCTCTGCTTCCTGCTCATCGGTCTTCTGGGGGTGGAAAAGCTTCACGAAAAAGCCCGTCGGCTTTTCCAATCTGTCTCGATCGGGAAAAAGGGCTGCGGGGACGATCGGCCCAAAACTGCTGAAAACACGTGTGCATGTTTCGAGGAGGCGGGAGACGAAGAAAAGAAGACGTTGGAGAAGAGAACAGGGCAGGAGCAGAGGGGTTGCTGGCCAGTGGCGGGCCAAGAAAGACACGGACCCAGCAACAGCATGACAAAATACAGCGGTCTCTTGAAAGCAAAGTTGCAGGAGCTTCTCACTGCAAGAGGGCTCCCCGTGGACGGCACGAAGGAGGTGCTCATTGAGCGGTTGGAGGAGTCTGACAAGATTGCGGCGGAGCTCGACCAGGACGACGACGACGGCGAGGACACGTCCGCAGCTGGTGCAGGCCCTACTGCGGCTGCTTCTGCGGAAGTGGTGGCGGAGCCGGCAGCGGAGGAGAAGAAAGCAGAGGACGCTGCGCCTGTAGAGGCAGCGGAAACGCCAGCTGCGGCCGGCGAGGCCGTCCAGGAAGAGAAGAAGCCGGAAGAGAAGGAGGAGGAGAAGAAGCCGGAGGTAACCCCGGAGACGCTCAAGGCCGCCGCCGTGGAGCACCTCACGAAGAAGATCGCCCGTGCGCAGAAGTTCGGCGAGGATCAGCAGGCGACCACGTTGCAGGCCGACTTGGCGAGAATCGAGAAGTTCGGTCTTGCTCTCGACTCCGCCATTGCCAGAGAGCTCGGCCTGGCCCCTGCACCGCAGAAGCGGGCTGCGCCGGCCGGCCCCGGCGCCCACAAGAAGCCGAAGCCAAACAAGAAGCCCGTGCCACGCCACAACACGCCCGGGCAGGGCGCACCACGCAGGGAGAGAGAGGCGGACAGGTTTTACCCAGCCGGTCCTAGAAGAGGCGGCTACGGCAGCAGCAGCAACGGCAGCAGACACACCCACAACGGCCGGATCTACAAGACCCGGTACTAAGTCCGGCCAGCCGCCGAGACCTGAACACCGCTTGCCCGCCCTCCAGGACCTTTCCGGGAGTCACCTCGGACACAAAAGCAGCCCCAGCCTAGCCAATGTATTTACTCATCTACCCATCGACCTATGTACACCAACCTATAAGCTCTCGACCCAGGCACGTAGCAATAGCTGGACCATGCTCCTCCAGCGCAGCACCGGGCTCGCGGCTGCGTTTTCTCTTATCTGCGTGCATCTGCCGGCTCCCGCAACAATTAGCAAAGCTGGGTTCGTGCTCCTCCAGCCTTTATCATCACACCGCTGTTATATTCACACCAAACACTGGAGTGCTTGTCTGCAGGATTGCTTCTCTGCTCTGCCCTGGGCGATTGTACTCCCGCATTGGTGTGTTCTCTACATCATCTTTTCTGCAGTGCCAGCCAAAAGCAGGATACGCCCAAACCGCCCGTTTTCCTCTCCGAACAAGCGTGGCTATAAGCTGATCGCCAGGATCATCGCTCTGATAGATAAGCCACACTTTCTTTTCCAGCTTTCTTTCACCTACACAACAACTGCAGCTTCGCATTACACTCTCATTGACAACTTCTCCCTTCCTGGTGTGTCCCGCCCAGATCCCCACTTGCCTGTCGGCGCATAAAGCTTTTCTATAACCCAAACCGCCCGCCTGCGGAACCCCCCCTTTGCGGCGATGTCTTATGCAATTCCTCAGAAAAACCATTCTCATCAATTGCACCCATTGGACCGGTTGGACCCCGCAGAACTCGACAACGCAACCACCCTGCCTGACGTGTCCACCATCAGCATCGGGCCACACATCGAGAAGGATGCCGAAGGCACCTGCATGACTGGAGACACGAGAGATCCAAAAACCGAGCAAAGCATTGGCACTGATGAAAACGAGCGTGATTCAAACGGTGGTGACGACAGCGAATCCGGTAAAGAGAACAATGGCACTGCTCCGGTAGGCGAGAATAGCAAACCTAGCAGCAGGCAGGACCAGAAGCTTCTTGCTGCTCCTCCGAATGCCGACCAGGGAAGCTGCGGTAATAATAATTTTAATAACAACAACAGGGGCAATAGAAACAATAGAAACGGAAATAACACCAGATATCAGAAAAACCCATACCACAACAGGTCCTATTCTAGCAACTCATACCAGACGTTTCAGCCTTCTTACATCCCTCAATATCCTCGCATGATCCCCATAAATCAATACCCGGTGAATGGTGGAATGATTCCTCAATACCCAGCCTCCGCCACATACGCTGGGTCCTACACGTCCTCCTCTGGCTCCTCCCCACCGGCTATCACCCCGAGTGTGAGCAGAAGGCAGAGTCAGGCCCAGCTGGAGTCCTATGCGAACTACAACATCAACTACAGCTACAACCAGGATGCGACACGTTACTCACCACCTCCATACTACATGTATACTCCTTATGTTCCAATGTACCAGCCACCTTACCCTGCATCTGCTTCCCATTCACCACAAATGATTTCGGTTTCTCCGCAGGCTCAGGGATTTCAGCGTCAGCAATACGGCTCGAATAGGGTGATGCACCCAATGCAGATGTACTACCAGTCCAATAGCAGCAACGGCAATCAATTCCGCGGCGGCGACTACGACGAGAGCGCAATAGAAGATGAAGAGCTGAAGGAAGAGGAGGAAAGTGTAAACGCAGTAGCAACTACTAAAGGGGGCGCTAGTGGTGCGGTCACAATGAACTTGCTAAATCTCCCAGCAAGTGAGACCACGCCTGAATCAATTAGTGCAATTGTTGGACAAATTCTCAAGGGAGAGACTAGTAACGACAAAAACAGTGATAATAATAGTAATGACGGTGACGGTGAAGACGATAAGAAGGAAGAGGAGAAAGCTTTTGCTCTTCCAATTGACAATTTCAAGATCTACAAATATCCGGACCAGGAGTTGTGCTGGTGCTCCTTCCAACTCACCGATGAGGACAAGCTAGATCTATTAATAACCAACCTCAATGGACACGTATTCCACGGTTCGATATTGAAATGTTTTGTGCAACCCCCGCGTTCGGACGACGCCGATGGGAGCAAGAGGTACACGTATTCTTCTCCGCAATACATGTACCCGAGCCCCGCTCCCAGGATTTCCGGGTACCAGGTCAACTACCACCAGCACCAAGCGTCGATGCCGCCGATGGGCTCGCCCATGGTGCCTTCTGTTCCTTACAGCGGGTATTCCCCCAACTCCATGTCCTCTGCGCCGCCTGTGGTGCAGATGGGGGCCGGCTATGCAAGGTACGGGGCCGGCTTCAACAGCAGCGGCGGCGGCGGCAACAGCGGCTACAGACACGGGTATAGGCACAACAGCGTGAACAGCGCCAGCACTTACGGCGGGTCTGTGGGTGGCGCCGGCGCCGGCGCCGGCGCAGGCTTCGGCCGGAAGTACAGCTCCAGCCAGCGCAGCAAGCCGTTGGGCAACAACTACAACTCGATTGTGTTCCCGGACCTCGACGAGCAGGCCAGCAGCACGAGCACGAGCCCGGGCTACTACGAGGAGGACCAGATCGACGACAACGAGCTGAGCACGGAGGAGTTGCAGGAGTTCAACGAGACAAGACACGTGTCGCCGGACCGCGTCTTCATCGGGAACATTCCGTTCAACTCGTCGTACCACTCGCTCTGGCTGTTTCTCACGCACGGGGGCGAGCAGGTGCTGCTCAAGGAGCTGCAGCTGAAGACGGACTCGAGCGGGCTGAGCCGCGGGTTTGCGGTGGGCATCACCGACGGCGTGGCCAGCAGCCGCGAGCTGATTGGCCGGTTCAACGGCCGGGATTTCGAGAACCGCAAGCTGATTGTGCGCTTCGACAAGCACAACGGGTTGATTTTCAAGAGCCACATGAAGAAGAAGCTGGACAACATGGGCTTCAACCCGGCGCCCGCTGCTGCCTGAGTCCCGGCGGCCACCGCCCCCGTCTGCGCCCCACTTTTTGCTTAGAAGATAGACCGTATCTGTGTATGCCCCCTGTGTAGACCCGGAAACACCCTACTTTATTAACATTGCGCAGCCGCCCGAGCCTCCCTGCCTGGGTGCTCCGGCCGGAGAGTGCGGGCCGGCGTGATCATAACACCTGACGGGGCCTGGGGAAAACAATGGCGGGGAAAAAGCCCGAGAGTGATTTTCCTTCTACCGTGCAGCAGAGAACCCTCTGGAGCCATGAGTGTGCTGCCCCGGTCACCTGAAACTGGCGCTGCCGCCGCCTGCCTCCTGCCTGCCTGCCTGTCTTCCTGCCTTCCTGTTTGCAGCCCTTTCTCCATCTCTGTCCGTGCCTCCCTCCACACGCCCTCCACCCGCCCACGTTACGGGGCTATTGCGCCGCAGACCCCCCGGCCACCGCCACCGCCCTTGCCTCTTGCGGGAAAACAAAAACAGAATGTGGCGCGGCTGAGCACTTTTCTCGTCTGCCTGCTCCGCTTGGGCCGCGCTCAGCGTTTTGGCGGGACGGCGGAAAGCCACCAAGACGGCACGCGCGGCCACCGAGCTAGTTTTTGACAGCGCAGAGCCGGCAGCGCGGCATAATAAGGGGGAGCGACACAGACGGTGTCGTGGGCGCGCGGCCCGCGCAGCAGAAAATTTTTTTTCCCGCTGTCCGTGTGCCTTGTTTGGGTTTTCCCTCTTTCACCGCCGCGGACAATGGCCCGGCTGTGGAGCAGGAGCGAGGCCCGGACAGGCAGCCCGCAGGCAGCAGCCAGAGCCGGCTGCAGGGTGCGAAGCCGGGCCGTTCCCGTCACTGTATCGGTGTTGTGCAGAGTGACTTTTGACTGTTCCATATGTTCTCCTATTGTGGCCAAAGTATATAACTGGGGTGTTGGTTCCCATGTTTGGAGGCCGGGCGCCAGCAGTGGATGTGTGTTCCCCTTTAGGTTGTGTGTGTTGGGTGCTTCGCCGTATTGTTTGTTGTCTGCTTGTCGCTTCCTTCTTCTTGTGCTCCTGTTCTGCTCGTGCCCTCTTTCCGCACACCTTTGCATCCATCGCCCCCCGCTCTCCAGGGACACGCACGCCTGCACGCCTACAAGAACACCGCATCGCCGCAGACCAGATTGCTTGTCTGCCTGCAACCGCACCACCGCTCATCCGATCCGTCCAGCACTCGGCTTTTAAACATCTCGGAACTCCCTCCAGTGGGTACTATCCACCCAGACAGCCAGCATGAGTGAGCCGAAATCCGCAGAGGAAGCCGCCCAGACCGCGGGCGGCAGCAACGTCACCGACAACGTCGACAACGTCGACAACATCGACAACATCGACAACATCGACAACGAGGGTAACGCCGCCAGCCCCTCGGACCCCACCAAGGTCCTCTCCAACGGCACCCAGAACACAAACGATATCCAGTCTCTAAGCTCGTCGTCCGCGTCGTCCGCAAGCTCCTCCAGGTCCTCCGTCGCCGACGAGGGCGCAATGGCCCCTCAGGCGTACGACCCCGAGGAGGCCACCTCCCAGCTCTCCGGTAACTTGAGCTCCACCCTCTCGAGAGCAGACTCCTTGAAGATGGTGAGAACAGAAACGGCAAGATCCTTGAAAGACAAGGGTCTGAACAAAACAGTCACCTTGGCAGACCCAGTCAGACCAACGAACGTCGACAACCCAATCTTCCCGGAAGAGTATACCATGGAAACAGAAACAGGTTTGGTCCCTGTGGAAACCTTGCATGAGATCGGTAGATCCAGAGCGGCGAGCAGAATGCTCACCAGAAAATCAACCCGTCGTTCCGAAGCGTCTAAGCCATCGAATCAAGAAGGCGTGGAAACGCCTGCTCAGCAAGATCAAGAATCGCTAGAGGCCACCTCCAAGTACGACAAACCTTTCGACCCGGAAATCCAATTCGTCACCTTCACAATAAATGACCCGGCAAACCCTCACAACTGGAGCCCCAAGGCCAGATGGTTCTATACCATTGTGCTTTCCCTGATGGTGGTCTGTGTCGCCTTTGGCTCCTCCATTGTCACCGGTGCGTTGGGCCTAATGAGTGAAAAGTACCATGTCAGTTTGGAAGTCTCGATTCTTTCCTGTTCCTTGATGGTTTTGGGCTTTTCCGTCGGACCCCTTCTTTGGTCTCCTCTATCAGAACAGATCGGTAGAAGGCCCGTCTACTTCATCTCCTTCGGTCTATACTTTATCTTCAACATTCCATGTGCCGTCGCACCAAATATCGGTACCATCTTGGTCTGTCGTTTCCTATGTGGTGTCTTTGCCGCGTCAGGGTTGGCCAACGTTGGTGGTTCCATTTCCGATATGTTCCCTACCGAAACCAGAGGAAAGGCAATTGCCTACTTTGCCGCTGCTCCTTATGGTGGACCCGTCATTGGCCCATTGGTTGGTGGTTTCATTTCAAGATACGATGGTAGAATCTCACTTGTCTTCTGGGTCAACTTTGCGTTTGCAGGTCTGATGTGGATAGTCGGTTCGGCTATTCCAGAAACTTATGCTCCTGTCATCTTGAAGAAGAGAGCCAAGAAGTTGAGAAAAGACACGGGCAACCCAAAGATTATGACAGAACAAGAAGCTGCAGGTCTGTCCTTGAAAGAATTGATTGAAACTTGTCTCTACAGACCTTTGAAATTTGCCATGACTGAATTAGTTCTAGACTTGATGTGTTTCTACGTCTGTTTGATTTACTCCCTATTGTACGCATTCTTCTTTGCATACCCTGTTGTCTTTGGTGAATTATACAATTTCGGTGATGACTTGGTTGGTATGGTTTTGATCCCTATAATTATCGGTGCAGGTTTGGCTCTATTAACCACTCCTATCATTGAATCTTACTACCTGAAGACATGTCAACGCCGCCAGGCAACTCCTGAAGATCGTCTCATTGGTGCCATGATTGGCGCTCCATTCCCTGCCATTGCACTTTGGATTCTAGGTGCCACCTCGGAGAAGCACGTTTTCTGGGTCGGTCCTGCCTCCTCCGGTTTGGCTTTCGGTTACGGTATGGTCTTGATCTACTATTCCTTGAACAACTACATCATTGATACCTACGCCAAATATGCAGCTTCCGCATTGGCCACCAAGGTCTTCTTGAGATCTGCCGGTGGTGCTGCCTTCCCATTGTTTACCATGCAAATGTATCACAAATTAGGATTGCACTGGGCTTCTTGGCTCTTGGCTTTCATCACTACTGCGATGATTGCGCTACCTTTTGCCTTTTACAAGTGGGGTAAAGGTTTGAGAAAGAAGTTTTGTCGTGAAAACTATTCTGCATTTGACGACGATGACGATGATGAAGATGAAAATTCAACCGACGGTAAGCAGGAATAAGGGCCTCGGAGCACAATTGATAATATGAAAACGGAAGTAGAATTTAGATTACCTCACTCCTTTCATTCAAAGAGTTCCACGCCAGGTGTTGTTTCGCCTAATCTACAATACGATTTTAAAATGAAGAAAAAAAATAGAAAAACAATATTCTCTGAATTTTAATTATCTCCAGAACATAAACTTTTGAAAAAAAAAGAAGCATCATAGAACACCGATAGAAAAAGAATACTCACTTTCTTCTTCCCTAATCTTAACATCTCTCGTTGATTGCTATATTTTTTTGCTCTCTTTCCTATTAGTTGTCATCTTTGATTGTTAAATTAGTCTTTAGTTCTCTACTCATCAGGACCTTTATTCCCTCGTTAATAATTCTTTTAATTTAATCTTATACACATCCTTAGTACCTAATTTGGTTATATATATAGTCTAATCTAATACTTAATGCTTAATCTTCTAGTCTCTTTTCCTTATTCCCTCTGTATCTGCTAAAATCCCTGTCTGAGAAACATTGTAGCCTCATTCACTGGATTGGTAATCGTAAACGACTTTCCTCCCATCTCCGCGTTGCTAAGTTGGCCCTCTACTTCAATGTCTCGCTCGGCAAGTCCATAGTCGAATAGCTTCCACGATTTTCGGCTGCGCTGGAAATGCTGATCGAAGACGATATTGCTCTGCACGCAAATGTCCTCGATACTCTTCCATGTGTCCAGATTGATTCCGTGTATACAATAGCCTGTGCAGTGGTACAACAACACATCAAGATAATAGCACTGGCAAAAAGTGTTTGATGTTCCACAAAACTCGAAATAGTCCTGCTTTACCGTACTGTGGCAGTCCATATATTCATGAGTGCTCTGCAATAGCCAACAAAATAAGAAAAAATTCTTTGTTAGTCTAAGTTCAAATTTGCTTGCAAATACACTACCACTCTTTCTCTATCATGAGAAAGAAACTTTGTTTTTGTTCATACACAGATTGGTCCCATGTGTGAAAACCTGAGACTGTTTTGGGCACTGTTGAAAGCAACTGATTTCCCTACAGCTGTGGCCAAGAACGATGTCAACACGACAACTAAGTAAAAGACTACAGAAAGCATCGGTAAATCTTAATTTTATTTTGGTACTGCTACTGAATGCTTCAACTCATCTACAGAAAAGCCATTTGAAGGCACTGTGCTGAAGCCAAAATACGTCCGATGTTCGGTTATCAAGGGGTCGTTCCCCTTTATCAACAGACCCAGGCTGTCACGTGTCTCTCACGCCTTTTTCTTCTTGACTTTTTCCGTTCCCCGCGGCGAGATTTTCCCTGTCTCTATGGTGGTGAGGAGGGATGATTCACCACTTCGATGACTCTGCCGTTGTTACGAGGGGGGGAGTGACTGGAGGACGTGTCTGGGCAACAGAGTAAGAGAGATCTAGCCATTAGAAGGAAACTAAAGTGTGTTTCGTGATAGATAAGAAACGAGAATAGGTTTTCCATATAAAGAGAGGCCAGAGATGTCGAGTGAGGTGGTCAGCAGCACTCTAACACAGGATGATTCCCTCACGAGGAAAAAAAGTACCACCAACAGTAACAACGGCGGTGAAAATCACGGCTCTAGGAGCTCGTCCTCGAGTAACGGGACTACCAGCATCATAAGAAAAAAACTCAACTTCACGGATGAGGCTCTCTGGAAGCAGTTCTCCTCTAGAAGACTTCAGTTAGTGGAGTCCCTATCGTTAAGCTCTAAGAAGGCAAGCGAACAGGATGAGGAAATAAAGGTGTGTGCAAACACGCTAATGACAGAGTTTCACTTTGCAGAGTCCTCATTACCAGAATTTGACAAATTAGTTAGATTGGCAATCCAAAGTGTGAGACGAAATAAGAAGAGGTCAGAGAAAAGGTTGGCAAGCAAACTTGAAACATTCACAAGCGACGACGAGCAGTTCCCGCATAGTATAAAAAGACCGAAGGCGGAGAGACATGGCAGCGGGGCTGGTAGTAGGAGTGATGAAAGAAGCGATGAAAACGATGATGGGGCCCACAACTTGAACCTGTTGTCGACAATATTGATCGAGGAGGAAAACCATAATAGACTGCATAGTCATAGCAGCGATTACAATGGCGAAAATGACGGAATACCCAACACCGATAGCGAGATCACGACCTCCAACAGCATTGTCACCAATCCGAAAAAGACCTCTTCTGTCATGGACTTCTCGCTGATCAACCACAATCATCACAAGAGTGGCGATCACAAGGATACGGAAAACATTGACTCTAGGGTTGCCATAGATTCACTGGTAGCCCCAATAATACAGGACTCTGATAAGTTGCCTTCGATTAAGAAGTTGGATGAAAGCCCTGAATTTGCAAACGAGTCACAAAAAATCTTGCATAAAATAAAAAACTCGAAAAGCTGTTTCGAATTCTCGAAAAACTCAGGCAACGACTATAGTAGGACGCAGAACTATGATCTACTAGAAGAATTTGGTTCAAGTTGTATCAATGCTGCTGTTCTTTACACATTAGAAAAATGGTTCGACCATTTACTACCAGATTCTTCATCTTACATAAAGCTTAGACTGAAAAGCGATTTGACTTTGGGTTTAATCATCAAAAATCTGGACACTGAATCGGTGGAAGTAAACAGATTAAGCAATTATGTTGCATCCCAATTGTTCAAAAAATTAATTGGTGGCTGTGTGAAGGATTACGGCTTTGATTCCACCCTGAACCCGCTATGTGATATTTTTCACAGCATAATATTAAAGGATTACCCCATTATAGCAAAGGATCAACTGAGAAAAAATCAAGACCTTGACGTCAATAGGAACTACGCGAAAAATGTTCACAGTAGCAAAGAAGTTAATTTTCGGGAGAGCAACACAACTGAACCGAAGACGAATTATTTCAAGAACCTCTCAGTTATCGATTCTACTATCTCACAACCGAGTGCACATTCTGTTGATCTTTTCACAACATCTCCAGTCAACTCCAGTGCAAATAGTAAAACTCATGACAGTGATAGCGCGTTGATAGAACACAAGATGAATTTTTTATCACACTCAGAGATGCCGGACTTTCCCTTGTCTACGGCTCATATACCTATTCCACCTGCAAACATCCCATACCTGCAAGATCATCAAATGATGGACTCCCAGATGAAATCATCAACTATTGCACCACCGCCACTGCTGCGCTCCAAACAGTACACAAACGTCACCATAAAATTCAAAGAGAAGGATTTGAAATTCAGATATTGTATGGATAGTAATGCTCCACCCACAGTACTGGAGCTGATTACCAACTGCAAGCAAGCTTTTGGAGTTGTCACTTCAACCAGGGTCCTTAACCTTCGAAATCTGAGGTCGGGTGATATCATCAAGACGGATCATGAGCTGGAGCGTGTACTACGAATGGCGGCCATGCTAAGCACCGATGGGAATGGAGAGGTCGGTTTGGAACTAGTTTTTGCCAATGTGACACAGGGCTATTTGAATTTGAACTATGATTCTTCCACAAAGTCCAAAAACAAAAACGAAAGAGAACATCCAGCAGGAGGTGATGATGACCGTAAACTTCCGGCAGAACACGAGCATGAACACCATTTAAATAGTATCAGCACAGGTGATTCATTAATAGGAAGATACTTACCACCTCCACGGCCTATCAGACCCGATTCTCAACCAAGAAATACATTCATGAAATTCCAACCGCTTTTGTGAACCTAGCCCCATGAACGCCATATATTGGTAGATTCCTTTGTAAATAGAAAGGAACCCAACTTGTAACATTTTGATTCTAAATTAGTAATATAGATTAATATAATTTCAGCTTTAATATAGAACACAGTTCAAATCTGAGTTTCTGCTCTTCATAAACTACCCAATTCTTTCCTATAGCGCTCCAATATCAAGTATAACTCCCAAAAGATTTATGTATTGTTCTTTGTGAATATGAGGGCACTAGACACAAACCCCCTTATCCACCTCCGATATAGTGTAACGGCTATCACGGTCCGCTTTCACCGGGCAGACCCGGGTTCGACTCCCGGTATCGGAATTCTTTTTTCTTGGATTCAGTTGAATCAAGTTATTTGATACAATAGCCTCAATTTTTTCAAGTTGTTGATCTTGATTGACACTATTGGCTCTATTCCTGTGTTTTTCTTACTGTCATCTAAGGTTTACAGGAAAGATCGCTTCTTCTTTCTGCAATAGCTTTCTATCTGGAGCAGCAACGGAGCATGAAAATATGTCCTGTTCCCCCCTAATAAGATCAAAATTTCCATATATTCGCGAGATCTTTCACTCCCCCAATGTATTATATGAGAACACAGCACGAGTGAGACAGAAACCGGATATTTTAGCAGAACTGGTGGTGTGAAGGCCAGAGACAGTTGACTTTTGAGGTTTGTTGGTTGATCAGGATTCGGCTTGTTCTTTCTTTTCTACTATTTGTTTTGTGCAAGAAGGAATGCTGTGTATTTGAGTCAGTTAATAAGACACCACACATCCTCCACATTGCTAGAAGTTTGTTTTCAATCCAGTCACATAATCTTATTTGCAGCATTAGAAATTCTGAACCTTTTAGCTTTACACCGTGTCAAGTATGTCCGAGGATCATATTCATTTTTCATCTTCTGTGGATGATGACTTTTCGAAAATTGGTGGACCATTTTCTTCAAACTCACAAATGCTTTCTAGCTCTAAAGAGCAGCAAATAATCCGAGACATCGACGATCAGGCTATCAAGGCAAATGACGCTATACATAATGCCAACTCGAGCTTTGTTCTACCGCCGAAGATAATTTCTTCATTTACTTCCCCATCTTCTCCCATGGAAGTCACAGAGAAAAACTACGATCTGCCCTCACAGTCTTCCAATGACTGTTTGCTCACAGCAACTAATGATGTGAATCAACTGAATCAATTATTGAGCATGAACAAAAATACGAGTAAGAGAGCTTTCAATGATTCAGATTCTGCTGACCACATTAAAAGACAACAAGTTGATAGCGTTGTCAGTGTTGATACCGATATTCCGATTAGTTTTGATACAAATGAATTAAAACTTAAAGATGGTTTAGAGGATGTCAGTCACGATCAAAACAGTTACGATCTCAACTCTACTAATTTTAGTATCAAGTTCGAAGGTTTAGACTCGGTCGACACACCAAACTCAATGACTTCCGATTCTGTAATGACGGAAACTGCTAATGGTAGTCCATCGAGTTTCCATAGAAACGGGAGTGATCTTGCCAAATCTAAAGTAATAAAGTTTACCCCAAACAGAACGACTGAAAACATAAAAAAACCACACTTACTGTTGACAAATCCAAATTCGAAAAAGTCCAAACGAGAGCCAACCAAAGGCCCTCCAAAAAATTCAAGGTTTTTCAAAGTTTACAGTTTAGATGGCTCGAAAACATCAAAGCCTTCATCAATCCACCATTACAATCCTTATAGATATCCACAGAATAGAAGTAAATTGAATCCTCACCCTGATTTTATTCGCAATAAGAAAGATGATCCAATAACAGGTCCTATAAAGGTTCCAGATGTTTCAAGTACTGAAACTGTGCAAGCTCTAGCCAATGAGGTGATTGACTCAGTATCAAAGTATGAAAACAAGATTCCTGAATTGAAACCCTCCATTGAAGAGTTTGAAGACATTTATTCCTATATAACCTCAATTAAAGAGATAGGTGAAAAATACGGAGCTGTTAAAATTGTTCCCCCAAAGGAATTCTCTCCCAAATTTGCGATTAATCTTGAATCCTTCTGGATTAAATCTAAGAGGCAACTGTGGAGATCGCCTTCTGAGGAGCTTAATGCAAGGTGTGAGTTCTACAAACAGTTGAAAGACTGTTTGAAAGAAACAGGATCAATATCCATCAACAAATTACCATGCATAGACAAACGTGCAATTGATTTGTATCGTTTATATAGAGTTGTCAAATTGCGTGGTGGTTTCGAGAATTGCTGCAATGATAAACTCTGGGCACAAATAGGCCGTGAATTAGGATTCTACGGTAAAATTAGCAGTTCTTTATCCTCTTCAATTAAGTCAGTTTATCAAAAATACATAACACCATGGGAAATTAGCAACAAAGACAAAAATCAGGATTTTCTGAATTTAGCCAGAAATGATGAAAAGAATAGTCTTCCTCTTGCACCTGGGACTATTTCTGCTCCAAATATTCCTGTTATATTGGGTTCCTCCGCACCTATGTTAAGAAACAGAAACACCTTGATAAACGCTGGATTTTCAACTTATTACGACCAAGCTACCACACAAAAAAAAGGTGTTACTTTGAATGATTTGCAAACTTTACCTGATTTCGATTTCTACCATTGGAGTGATCCATTATCAGTAGATGATACAAACCCTACTGAGCTAAAAATTTCATCACTGTATACATTAAAACAATTTTATGACAAGAGCAGAATTTTAAAAAGTCAGGTTCTAAACAAATTTTTTGAGTCTGAACACTATAAATTCGAGAATTTGGACTACTTGGAGTCTACTTTTTGGAAGTTGCTAGAAAACCCAGATGTAATGTTTGAAACAGAAGTTGCCATGGGTCAAAGCACCAACATACACGATTCGAGTTATGAAAATAGATTTTTATCCGAAAAAAATGGAGATTTATCTGATTCTATCTTAGGCTCATTGAATTTCAACAATACTACAGTTGCGGATGGATCCGTTTTACAATATGTTAATTGCGACTCAGATTCAATTTATCATTCTTCGCTCAATTTTTCAATGTTCTATGGTACTCAATCATGGTGTTTGGAAGATCATTGGTTTTACAACATTGACTATCATTATTTAGGTGATGCCAAATCTGTGTACGTTATACCACCGGAGTACCAAGAGCAATATGAATCCCTTATCAAATCCCAGCTTCAAGCAAGAAGCAAGGAAGGTGAGAAAACAGCTGAAACCTACAAATTGTTTGAGAAGGAAATTGCGAACTACGATATATACACTGCCTGCTTAGAAAATCAGGTTTGTTACGATATGAATTTGCCAAGATCTAGGCCAAATGACTTAGGATTTGAACCGCTGATAGAAAATAATTCTACCCCTACTAGATTCAATGGGGATATAATGTTTTCGCCTGAATATCTAAAAGAGAACGGAATACCTGTTTACCATGCGTACCAAGAAGTAGGGGACATTATAATAAAGTTCCCTAAAGCTTACACGTCATACTTCTCACTGGGAACTAGCGTAACAGAGTCTGTTAATATTGCGAACACCGATTGGTTGAAAGAGTCCCTCAATGTATCGAAATGGCTGCAAAAGCAGCAAATTCCCCCAAGGTTTTCCACTTTTGCAATGCTTCTAACCGCCTCTAGAGAATCGAAAGATATTAAGCTTTTGAGCGGCGTGAAAGATGTATTAGATCATTTAGTCAATGACGAGATCAGGAAAAGAAACGAGATTCGAATGTTTCTGAAAGAAATCAAGTTTAGTGCTGATTGCAATGTCATAAACCATCTTAACGAAATAAAAGATCAAGAAAACGATACAGGCATTTCTCAAGATATGGCGGAGAATGACGATGAAACTGTGGGTACCAAGTTAGCCTTTAAGCTTGGAAACTGGAACAAGGTCACCGATTATGATTTAGTTGACATGTTTCCTACATTTGTGTGCGCCAAGAATATAGCTAATAAGCAAAGCAACTTCACTATGTCCTTGGATGCGTTCCTTACAAGCATCAAAAGCGACGATAGCAAGAAATACGCTTACGAAATGATATCATTAGTTGACGATGAATACCTATACGAAACTCTTGATATACTCAAGGGTAAACTACAAGGAATGAAAGAGTGGTCGGAAAAATATCATAAGGTTTTGGATGAGTATTCAGTTCCACCGCTTGAGAAAATCTTACCGCTTTTTGAAGAGGGTGAAACGATTTTTGATCAAAAAAATTTTAAGTTCGGCCAACTGGATGAGACAGAGAGACGTAGCTACGAGGAGTTCGTATATCTCAGAAGCGAAGTTAAGCGTACGGAAGAGTGGCGAAAAAAGGTAAATTACTTTTTAGGTCTCAAGAACCAAGGAGTGGGTGAATTACTTCCATTCTCTGATTTCAAGAAAATGGCTGAAGATGCAAGCCTTTTGACGTTGTCAACCAAAGAGGCAACGGACGTTATCAATCTTGCCAATGAAGTTGTAAAATTTGAGAGACTGGTTGCAGAGCCATTGAGTAAAGGCAAGGACCAGCTGGATTTGGACGAGTTGAAAAAGCTTCACATAATTGGCAGTGAGATTCGAGTTGAGCTGGAGTCATTCAAGGTATTGGATAAAGTTGTCAAAAGGAATAGCTGGATCGATAGTGTTCAGAATAAGGAAATCAACAATCTTGAAGGTCTCAAAGGAGTCATCGAGGAGGGGAAAAAACTCTCACCTTCCAATGAGGGCGATGTCAAACTTTTACAAGATTTGGAAGATAAATACAAGAAGGCTAACGAAATCAATGAGAAATACCAGGAACTGAAGCAAAGCCAGCGGAAGATTTCCATTGACGAGCTCAAGAAGTTGCACGAAGAAAGTAAGGACGCACCTTTACACGAGATCAGAGAGTTTACCGGGAGAATGATCAAAGAACATGATTTCATTACCGTCAATATCTCACCTTTCATCAAGTTGCTTCGGGAGAAGGATAATGTTTTGGCAGCAGAGAAGGAACTTCCTGAGAAAGTTGAGGTTTTCTTGAGATATCACGAGCAAATCAACAAGAGCATGTCTGTTGAAAATATCGAGAACAGTATTTGGGGGCTCACAAATTACGAAGACCTCGAAGATGACGGCAACTTTTTGAAGCAGCAGATTATCGAAGGGCCAGAGGAGATTACGCGAGAGATCAACGAGAACTTCCAGAGTCTTTTGCTTTTCGGCAAGGACGACTTCAACTTCAGCAACATGAACAAGTCGGACTGCCTCAACTACCTTGCGTCGTACAACATGGACTTGTTGAACTCGAACGAAGACCGGTACTGCGTGTGCCGCCAGATGCATGAGGGCAACATGGTTGAATGCGAGAACTGCAAGCAGTGGTTCCACTTCAACTGCATCGGCTATGTCAGCAACGGAGGCCAGGACGACAGCAGCAAGTACGTCTGTCCGCTTTGCGACTACGAGAACAAGTATCCGACGACCCACAAGTTCTACGCCGACGTGTCAGCGAAGATCAAGTTCGAGCAGCTCCTGGAGTTTGCCACCCGTATGATGAAGGAGTGCTCCATCCTGACTGACTACGAGGTCACCTTTCTCCGCGTGGTGAATAAGTTTTACGGCTTCTACCGGCAGGTCGTAAGTTCCGGGGTCGTGAAGCTCGTGAGGCCTGCAGACGGCGGCCCCGAGCAACTGGTTGTTGTCGAGAACGACGTAGGCACGCTCCGCCGACTCCTCCAGAAGATCGGCGCCTGCACGATCAACTACGACGGGCTGCACCGCATGCTCCGTGAACAGTACTGCCAGCTCTGTGTTGCCGCCCGGGGCGGTGCAGAAGATGGCCCTGCTGCAACGCCAACGGCGGGTTTGGCACATCTCCAGCAGCACGCGGGACCATCCCCCGAGCACTAGCGGTGTCTCCCCCCCCTTGTGTACAGTATGTATTGTAACGTGTATCGAAGACGAACCTCACGACCATCATGGCAGAGACAAAGCAGCCGTTATTGTCATGCCTGTGGTGGCACAATGGCCTTGCGGCCCGACGTCCCGACGCCGGAGAGGGGCTCGCACGAAATGAAAAGCGGGGCAGGCCGATGTGGGGGTGGCCCAATTGGAGCCGAATGAGGGAGACGAGACGAGCCGGACGAGACGAGGGGGTGTTGAAGTTGCTAGATGAGCTTTTTGGCGTTGGAAGACATGGACTTCTTTTTCCTGGTTCACAGAGCAAAGAAGGGCCAGCGTGACAGGCAGATAGACAGCAAGAAACATAGAGGACAATGCTGAGCCGGACTTTTACGTTGTCGACAGCGGTGGGCAGGTCTTCGACCATTGTGCCCGTGATATACGGGCTAGGGCTCCACGGCGCCAGAGGCGGCAGCAGAAGGGTGAACTTCTCGACCAAGGCGGTAGTACTTCACTCCCACACGCACGACGAAAACTGCACGTCGACCTCTCATTCACACACACACGCAGCAGAGGACGCCCCCGAGAAGAGCGTCCACCACTACTACGAGTACACGCCAAACCAGGGGACGGTGAAGACGGCCACGGTGAGGGACGGCAAGAAGGTTGTAGCGCCGGAGGACGACCTGGTTCCGGCACGGAAGGCAGGGGGCCACCACCATATGCACTCGCATCCAGAGTACCCGGAGATGGACCAGATGGATTTCAGTGGCGAGGACTTTACGATCCACGTGAACCCGAAGAAGAGGACGCTGTGGACAAAGGTGAAACACTTCTTCAACCCTCACACGCCACTGTCGGAGATGATGGGCCCTGCCGACGGCTCCGGCGAACACAAGGGTCACACGCACACGCATGCGAGCGACGAGGAGACGTTGAAGCTCTACGACCCGAAGAACTTGGCCGATGAAGGCGTCAAGATCACCTGGGTCGGCTTCGGCGTCAACTGCGGAATGGCAATCACCAAGTTCATTGGCGGGTTCTACTTCCACTCGCAGGCGTTGATTGCCGACGCCATCCACGCGGTCGGCGACTTGATATCTGACGTGTTGACGCTTTCGACGGTCCGCTTCACCCACAAGAAGGCGGACGCGTTGTACCCCTTCGGCTACGGTAAGATCGAGACATTTGGCTCGTTTATGGTTTCGTTCATCCTCTTGTACGCGGGCTTCCAGATTGGATGGAGCTCGTTCTACGAGATCGTGGCGCCAATCATCCCGAACGCGCTGCACGACTTGATGTCGCTGATTCCGATCCACTCCCACAGCCACGGTGCCACAGAGCTCATGGCCCACGACCATGACCACGGGGACTCGCAGGTCGCCAACATTAACGCGGCCTGGCTTGCGCTTGGTTCGATTGCCGTCAAGGAGTGGCTTTTCAGAGTGACGCGTAAGGTTGGCGAGAGACTCAACTCGAAGGTCTTGATTGCCAACGCATGGCACCATCGGGTGGACTCCTTGACTTCTGTCGTTGCGGTAGCCACCATCTCCACGGGCTACTTTTTGAACATCTACTGGCTGGACTCGATCGGAGGGTTGATTGTCGCCATGTTGATCATGAAGGTGGGTGTCTCCGGCGTTGTGCAGTCGTTCAAGGAGTTGATCGACAAAGCGCTGCCCGCCGGAGACGCCAGATACACCAAGATCGAGGACTCGATCAACGTGATCTTGATGAAGAAGGACAGCCACGTGCTCATTAGAGAGTTGAGCATCCTACCATCTGGAACAAACCTCAACCTGGTGCTCAAGCTCGGAGTGTCTCCCTTCGACAGAGACTACGAGAACAAGTTGACTCTCGAGCAGATGGGATCCATTGGCGAATACCTGAAGGCCGAGCTGGCCAATGAGTTCCACAACATCAAGCATGTCTCTGTCCAGTTTGTGTCGAACGGGATCAAGCCGGAAGAGGATGATGCCAAGAACGCCAAGGATGCCGAAGCAGACTCTGCCGAGCCTGCTAAGCCTGCCGAGCCTTCCGCGGACTCTGCTTCCAAGGACCACAATCTTGCCGACAAAAAGTAGACTGCTCAATGCTCAATTCTTATATATTTCAATGTGTATATCCTCCCGGGTGTTGTGCGTAGAGATAATCACCCCGAATGTTAACGAAGGCTGACGAATGATGAACAACACGAGACGGGAAGCGGCTGGAAGCTTCGAGACTTCCGGCGCGGAAACGGCGGAAAAATTTCTCGGGGAGAGAGAGGAGGGTATATAAGAGATGGGTTAGGCCGTTTCAGTAGGATGCCAGAGAGAAAAGGGTCCTCTTCTCCTCGGAGGAGCCGTTTAACAAGCAGATTGTGCACAACACAACACCAAACAACACCACACACACAGATACACATACAAAAAATGTCCGGACTCGCAAATTTTGACCCAGAAAACCCAGACAACTTGGAGGACATCGAGAAGCAGTTTGCTGTCAAGGCTGTCCAGCAGATGAGTACGTACTGGAGTCTTCTTTCGGCGGTACCACCAGCGAAGTTGAAGCTCACCAAGTATGACGATGAGATCTTGGAGGAGTTCTACAAGACCTTCCCAGAGTACGACGAGAAGAAGGTTGCATTCTTGGATGAGGACGAGTTGAAGAGCAAGGAGGGTAAGGAGAAGTGGAGAGAGTTCATCAAGAACTTCGAGGAGAAAGTGGAGGACTACAACTTTGGTACGTTGGTCAGAAAGGACGTTACCAAAGACTACTCGGAGGAAAATACCATCTTCGTTGTCAGAATCCAGTTCTATGCTATCGAGCTCGTCAGAAACAAGCTTGGGTTGAACGACTGGGTGTACAAGAAGTAAGCGGCCGGAAGAGGCGCACTACGTATATAGAGAGAGGTCTCTATAGATAGACTCGCTGTTACCCTTTTCTACCATGCTTTTGCTTTCGTTCTATAGTTTCCTCTAATCAGCATTTAACATTTTTTACAGCAACATGTAAACCAGTTGGCCAAAATAAAAGAAAAAATAAAAACCGTGAAGCAGTTATCAGTGTCAGTCCCGAAAGATGGTATAACGAACGTCATTGCCGTAGCTAGTCGAATAAACGGTTGAATGTTTCTTCATCATCCTGATAATGCATACACGGAGAAAGAGAGAAGGATATAGGCCTCAAAAAAAAAAAGGAGAAAACAAAAGGACATGTACGTGACACGACCACATCCACCAGGATGTACTGATGTCACTGGTGCTTGCCATCAAACGCTGCCCTTGTTTTGTATTGCATAGAGGAAAGCATTGTATAGGTGCTGGCACTGCAGAACGAAAAATGGCGGGACTTCTCTCCCTATTTAAAGGAAAGTGAAATTTTTCGTTTCCAGTTTTTTTTCATTTTGGTCGCTTCCAGGGTTCTGTGAGTGCCACACAAGGGTTTTACTGCATTTTTCTAATGTTTTAGGGACGTTGAGTTTAAATAAGTTTTGTATTATAACCGGAAAGCATTAGAAAATATTATCCTTTCTTCTGGTGGATGAAAGGAGTGATGTGGAAAAAAAGGGAGGAGAAAAGAAAACAAAGTGGAAAGAAGGATATTAGTTCTATTTAGTGAAACATACAAAATTTAATTTGGCTGGTTCTTACACTTAAATCATCTTCTTGACCAATTGGTTGATGTATTCTTCTCTGTTACCAGTAGAACCACCTTGGATGAAGTGTTGGAACTTTCTTCTGACACCCCAACCACCGCTTGGGTTGGACAACTTGAATGGCCACAAGAAGTTACTAGCTTGCTTGAAGTTTGGACCAACAGTGTAGATTTCGTGGATCAAGTCCTCGACAGACTCGATACCGTATTGACCCAAGACGGATTCAACAACGGCGTTGTCGGTCAATGGAATTCTTTGCTTGTTGACCTTACCGTAACCTCTCTTGTAGACCAATTGTCTGATGGTGGACAAGGATGGGTAACCAATAGCACAGTATTGTTCAACCAACTTCAACAATTCGGTGGTAGCCTTGGTGACCTTGACGAAAACACCGGAGTTGATTTGAGTCAATCTCAACAATTGGAAGACCTTTCTGGACTTTGGTGGGATCTTCATGATACCCTTGATTCTGACAACGAAGACAATCTTGGATTCGCCTTCAACGAAGTAGGAACCATCAGCCTTAGCAGCTCTCTTGGCGTCAATGACGGCTCTTTCAGCAGCAGCGTACTCTTGGACGTAAGCTTCGGTTCTCTTGTAAAGAGCAGCTCTCTTTTCCTTGGAGACCTATAATGACAAAAAGAGAAAAAAAAACAGGATTGGTAACGACATGTTAGTAATTTGAACATTACCTCTTTGAGGACAGAAAAAAGGTCACGAGTTGAAAATCCGACATGCTTTGATGCTTCTCAGCCGAAAGATGGTGTTATAACAGACAGCATCGCCAAAGCTAGTCGATATAGGAGACAAAATTTTCATCATAAATGAAACAAGAATTCAGGTGGAACCTCCAACAAGTGACAAGGGAAAGAATGTGAAGAAAAAAATATCATGCGGGATTGGTACTTACAGTCTTTCTAGCCTTCTTGGCAGCAGCAACTGCCTTGGAGTCTCTTTCGACTCTCTTAGCCTTCTTGATTTGAGATTCTGGTCTTGGAATACTGTACAAGCGGGGAAAAAGAAACGGAGGGGAAAAAAGAGCCATGTTAGTAAAAAGATTCACGGTGGTCTAGCATTTTTCTCCTTGTGCCCAACAATATTCTCCGAACTGATTTGACATCATTCGAAGGCCGGTGTACGCAGAGGAAAAAAGTAGAAAGTCATTCGTTGGAAGATTGAGGCAATCGACAACAAATACACGTCTTCTCCTTTGAGTTGGTTGTATCTACTAATTTTCCTATGGAATGGTTTTCATCAGAATACCCGTTTCCTCCGTGAGGGGGACGGTTATACTGACAAGTCCACTCTAACTGAATAGAGTGATTTTTTCTTCAAAAATAAAAAGTGTGCCGAGGGAGGGGTGGGAACCGGAACATATCCGAGGACTATGCAAGGTGGTTCCCGGGTTAGAGATAAATACGAGTGGACCAGCTGCTTCTGCGTCCATCTTGTAGTAATCTCAAGCCTGTTTTAGCGCTTCTGTTCCCGCAAGGGAACATCGGCAGCAAAACAACAGTGTCAAGTGGTCAAACAAATGCTTTAGAGAGCCCGTTGCGACCTTCGGCTCTTTGGTTTCATCTCTTCTTTTTTATTTTCTTCGTCCTGTCTTGGAAAACAACTGCAGAACAATCAATCATCGTGAAGAAAGAATGGGTGTGTACCTGTTGCGTCACTTCACCTCGCAACTGCCAATGCAGTTATGAGTGGGGAAGACCAACATACGCAGCCATTTTGTCTGTTTGGTGAGTGATTAGAACTTGTCCAGAAGAGTCCAAGCAAAAGAAACTAACTCACGTATTCCTGGAAGTAGCCTCACAAGTATAGAAAACAGACTTCACTTTTAAGAGACACAAGACTGACACACAGACTGCTAGAGCCCGACTGGGTGTGAGTAGCGAGGTTAGCGAGGAGTGGAAAAAAAATGTACGTGAATTTTTTTTCTGCGTCGTCTTGAAAAAAAAGGGCACAAAAAGGTCTTGCACGTGCGCAGAGAAAGGGTTTGCTACATTTATTTTTTTCCAATACATCCGTGCACCACTTTTAGTGTGGCTGTGCTAGGCTCCTTTTTATTTTGTGCTTTCCACGTTATTTCCCTTTTCGGCCATTTTCGCATTCAGTTGTTTTTCTATGGCCGGTTCCTTGCAGCACCTAGAGAACGTTTAGGAATTGAGGACTTCGGTGGTGGAAACAGCAGCTAACAGGGTCTTTTGTGGACGGGGAGGGGAGGGGAAGGACTTGAAGCGCAAAGACAGGTCACAGAGCGATGAGCGGAGGAATAGTAGTTGACACAAGAGGGATCCTCCTAGGCGGTATGTGGAAGAGAATGGTTTTGGAACAGACCAGAACAGACAACTAACATGCAGCGGTGCTACAGACAACAACGAGAAGGACTACAACCATGCCACGGACAAGGAGTACGCAAAGTACAGGGAGTACGCGCAGCAGGCGTACTCGAAGCGGGCGGAGTTGGCACACCGGTCGCAGGAGGCATACAAGGCGGGCGACAAAAAGCAGGCAGGCGAGTTGTCTGCCGAGGCGAAGCAGCAGCTCGCCATAGCGGAGCAGAACAACGCCAAGGCCGCCGAGTACGTGTTCATCGAAAACAACCGGGACTCGGACGACAACGACATTGATTTGCACGGCTTGTACGTCAAGGAGGCGGAGTACATCTTGAAGCAGCGCATCATCAGCGGCATCCGCAAAAACCAGCCGACGTTGGACTGCATCGTCGGCAAGGGTCTCCACTCGAGGAATGGGGTTGCCAAGTTGAAGCCTGCGGTGGAGCAGCTCTGCCAGGACGCCAACCTCAAGACGTGGATCGACAAGAAGAACTCGGGGGTGCTCCACATCGACATACGTAACGCCCGCATCCCGCAGGACTGGTACAACGTCAACCCGGACGGCTTCGGCGCCATGGACGAGAACTACTACGCCTACCACCCGAACGAGCAACCTCTCAAGCCCCCAGGCTCGGCCTACCAGCAGCCCCAGCCACAACCCCAGGGCTACCAGTACCAGCCTCAGCCCAACTACCAACAGAACTTCCCGCCCCAGCAGCAGCAACACCAACAGCAGCAGCAGGACAACGGCTGCTCGGGCATCTTTTGCAAGGTCTTTCTTGCCCTGGTCACTGCCTTCGTGCGCAACTAATCCCCTCCATACGTGTAATTCTATCCTTGCTCAAGTAGTAGAACAGCTCACCGCCGTTCTGTGTAATCTAATCTATTCCCGATACGGCACGCGCACCGCTTTCTGACATGATTATGGCGACCTGGCCTTGTGATGAAGGCAGGTGTGGACGGGTGGAGAAGAAGACGGCGCCCCCGTTCCGGACTGTGCCTTGGCCTGCAGACTCCGACATCCACGAATCTAACAGTGCTACTCTATCACCGACGGCAATGATGGATCAGGTTGCCGAGGAGTTCAGAAGAATGCAGGACGCATTCAACGTGCTGGTGACGGGATTGAACCGGTCGTCTCAGCAGCAGCCACCGCAGCAGCCACAAGGACGGCAACACGACGAGGAAACGCCAATCTCAAGACCAGAGATGCCGGGCGGGTTTATGCCAGTGCAACAAGAGCGTCAGTCTGGCGCAGATGCCAACGCAGACGCCACCAACACTACAATGGGAGACAACGAGGGCACGCTGCTTTCCAGGAAAGTGAACAAAGCATTGTCTGTTCTATTCATCTCCCTACTTCTAATCATTATGATTCCTCTGTACATACTCATTCGGATCTTTGTCCACATACTTTTTTTTGTCTTGTCGATCCTGGTCAAGATCCAGAGTCACGGTTACAAATCAATTCGAAATAACGATCCTGTTAACATTTCCAGACGGTTCATCATGAGATTCGATGAACGCATAGGAAATAAAAGCAAGAATTTACTGGTGGCCGATAACGAAGAGCTCTCAGGGAATACGGTGAGCAACGACAACAGTGTGCACATGGCCGATGCGTGTGCCGAGGCGGCAGATGCAGATGCTAGCAATGTGATCGACGAGAGTCATTTGGTGGAGATAGAAAGACCGGACTTCCTTGAATGCGCCTACTCACACGCTTTATACATAGTCAAAAAAGACATCAGGTGGTTGCTCGTCTATATCGAGAGTGATCAGAACAGAGAGGCCGTCGATTTTACCCATGACGTCCTAATCAACAAAAAGTTCCTCAAGTTTATCAAGGACCGCAAAATTCTAGTATGGGGTGGTGATATCAGTGAAAGTGAGGCTTTCCAGACATGCAACCAATTCAATATCACCAAAATACCCTTCTTGGGTCTTTTCTGCTTGACCGTCAACCAGATCCCAACCTCTTCTGGCATGCAGCAGTCTGCTCCCGTGCTATCATTGGTGGCAAAGATTCAAGGCTATAAGAGCCTAAATGCAACGCTGAATAAACTCGACCGTGCCTACAAGAAATACAACCACACTGTGAACCAGTTGAAGTTGAACTCCAGCTCGTTACATGGTGCGGTTCGAAATTTGCAGGGAGAGGCGTACGCCAACTCCTTGCGGAGGAGTCAGCACCAAAGGCAAGAGAGGCAACAAAATCAAGAAGCTTTGCGAATTCAGTGGCTCAAGTGGAGGAAGTCTACCCTTGTGCCGGAATGCAATGAGCGGGGCGAATACTCACGAATTGCCATCAAGCTTCCAGATAGCTCCAGAGTACAAATCAAGGTCAAGAAAACATGCTCATTGGAAGAGATATACGCCTTGGTGGAGTGCACTTTTCTTCAGCAGGTTGAAATCGATGACTCAGTGGTTTACGAGCAGCCTGCAAATTATCGCCATGAGTACAAGTTCGACATCTACAGTCTGGTGCCAAGACAGATGTTGCCAAGAGACACTACATCGGTAATAAGTGAGAACCCCTTGGTCTACCCCAACGGGAATCTCATTGTGGAGCCTAGAAGTTGAGTGTTCTTCTTTCCTAGCTCTTCGTGTTTAAGGAATTTGTTTTTTTATAATTCAACGTATTAAAATTACAGAAGTCATAAGGAAAGTACTATAGTGGGGAGTGCTTATTTTTTAGAGGCTTTCTTGGTCTTCTTCTTGGACTTAGATTTCTTCTTGAGTCCGACAAAGCCAGCCTTCAACACGTTGGTGTATTCGTTCCAAAACGCATCGAGATTTTCCGGCTCAACCACCGTGCTCAACTTCACTCTTGCAGACTTCTCCTTGTTGCCATCGGTCACTCTAATGAGAATTGAATATGTCTTGAAGTCTGGATTGTGTTCGTGGAGGACAGGCTTGACCTCTTTGGAGAGATCACTCAAAGGTGCCACTCCTTCGATCTCTGCGTCGACCGTGTAGGAAAGTCTTTTCTGCGTCAGATATATAGAGGACTTGCCTCCGTTCTTGGTAAGTAGGTTTGCGACCTCTTTAAAGAACTGCAGTATAAGTTGGAATAGATATTTCAGATGGGAGTTCTCTTTATCAGTTAGTAACTAGAAGTTCCATGTATACTGCGGACCAGTGATCCCCCGGCCCGTAAAAAACCTATGCATACCTCTTTGTTCTCTAGTCTTGTCATTTCTGTGCTTGCCGCCTAGCTGGCTTTGGTATTTTCAAATGCACTAGCTCCCTCTTCACTTGTGCAAAGACACCTCTTCGTCTGATCTCTAGCTCTTCACCATCGGTGGTCAACCTCCTCATGACGAGGAAAATTCCGCGCAATTCGCCGTCTTTTCCTGTTTTTGTTGACCGTGTTACAAATATAACTATCTCGTTATACAGATCTGAAGAAGTCGAACATGTTCTGGGCAAAATTGTACGGGAGGCCGAAGACAGCGTCGAGTGGGGCAACACTGTTTGAATCTAGGTTGTCTACGATAGTACTGGTTTCGATCCTTGTTGGACGCAGAGCGAGAGCGTTTCCCTTTGCAGAGACCAGCGTTGGGTCGTAGATCTGCGAATGCTGGCACATGCTTAGTCCGCAGAGAACGTAGTTAGTGTGATAGAAGTCAGCAACACAACCAGGTTTATCACGAAGCCCGAAGTTGTCTTGGCAACAGCACAGAATGTAGTTCTGTAGTCTCTGGCGGTCCACGATTGGGGTGAAGTTCTCGGTGCCCATGCGACAGGCTGCAAGCACCTCAAGAAGCGACATCGTGCCCCCTATCCAGTGACTGTAGCATCCGTCGACGAGTTTGTTTGTGCGGCCGGAAAAACCGCCCTCTAAGCTGAACTGCCTGTCCACAGTCCACTTGAAAAGTGCATCGATGTCTAGACCGCAATGAAGTATCTCTTCCGGAGACATGAGGATGAATAACGCAGCTAGGGCACAGAACGTATATCCACCGTGCGCCTCATCTCCGGGCTCGCCCGCAAACCCACCTTCGTACGTCTGGCACTGCAGTAGCCACTCCTTGACACCGCTCACCAGCTCTTCATCGAGAATGGCCAATAGCTGTGCAATACACAACGCACAGTAAACGGCCCGAGTATCGGACTCCCCTCCCTTGTGCATTTGGAAAGACCCGTTTGGCTGCTTAGCTTGTCCCAACCAGTTCCTGATGGCCACCCTGTCAATACTGCTCCAGGCTTGCCTGTCCTCCGTAAGAGCCAATGCCATAACGGCAGCATATGAGTCTGCAAGATGGGGGAGTTGGAACCTACTTCCACCGCCAAACCCTCCACTTTTGGTTTCTGCGTTGTAATTGAAAAAGGACAACAGAACCCGACTGACGCCGAGTTTTTCGGTGTCAGTGAGTTTACTGTTGAGCAGCAACACCGAATTCGTGAGCCAAAAGCAAATCCACGGTCGAGAAGCATCTAGTTTGGCAAATCCTCCTTGCAAAGGTCTAGATAAAAACCCGTGTGAGTACATCGTGTGATGTTTTCTTGTAAGTCCCGGGAAGCTGTCCGACCCAGCATCGAGAACATTTTCGTATATCTCCTGTATGTCTACCTCCGTTTCCATTTTCCTCTCAATCGTCGTGCTCAACTTCTCGCCAAGAGGAGCATTGCTGTTGGAAAACGAATCATAGCTCGGTCTAATCATTTGTATAAGTTTGTCAAAGTCTGGTATCGTCACCTCTCCCACATTGTTGGTGTCAAGGAAATTTTCTTCCGGTTCCATGCTCTTGCTTCTCCCAATCGCAGTATCGAATCTTATATATGTGTTATCCAATGTATGACAGAAATGGTTTGAAACTGCAAGAAAAACTCTTGGTACGTTCCATCTTCTGCCATTGAGGCCACCCAAAAAGGTATAGACATCAAATAAGGAAAGTATTCCGATATCCGAGGCTGTATGAGATAGCGTTGACAGTACTCTCTATTTACTGTTTTTCTTGTTTCTAGGTGAAATCACACTAATGTAATGATTGAAACTTCTCAATATCTTTTCTTGCCTGCAATCTATTTATATATATTTTTGCTTGAAAAGAAAAAACACCTTCGACTACTTCTGTAAGCTTTTAAAGCTAAAAGTCTTAGTAAACTGGTAAAAAAAGTTGGAGTTTGAAAAAAAAGTTCTAAAGCTACCTCATTTTCAAACTCTCTCGCTCCCACTATACATGAATCCAGAGAAACCAAGATGTGATAAACAAGAATGAAAATACAGGTTGGAAGTGCTGTATCGTAGAAAGCAGAGTGCAGTGGTTAATAATAAGAGGTTCAGGTATTACCAGACTACTCAATAGATGCAGAGCTCATTATTTGGAGGTGCAAACCCTTTTCAACAGCAACCGCCTCAACAGCAAGTGCCGTCAGTTTTCAACAATGTAAATCCACAAGTCCAACAGATGACGCAGCCATCCAGGTTTGAGAAATACGAACTTAAAAACGCAGCGGATAACCGATTGTTTGCTTCTGAATCTCTGAGCCATTCCAATCAGTCGGGAAATTCAGCATCAGGAAATGGAAGTGGGAATAGCGGTGGAAATGGTTCTAATAGTCTGATCAAGAAACGCACAATTCCAAATCGATTAATAAAACGAGTCGGGAAAATGGACAGCAGTCTTGGTGAAGAAGAGAAGACTTCCGGTCCTGTGCTTCCTTTCAAAGTTTCAACTCAGGTCCAACCAGATACTTTCGCTGAGGATTTTGCACATTTGTACAAGGTGGATAGGCCGCCTTCCAATTCTATGTTTGATCCTACAGTGTTCCAGGACGAAACGACACCTGGAGAAATGCTAATAGGCGAGTCCATATTCAAAGAGATGAGTGAGAACCCTGATCTTTTTGAAAATGTCTTTAAAAGACCAAGTAGAAAATTGCTACAATCTGAGACTCACTCCAAGTACCAAAATACAGAATATCCATGGTCTAACAGCACACTACAGTCCTACAATTCTGAGGAATTACCCAACACATCAACCAGAAAAAAACAGCCGAATCTACATTACTCGAATGCTTTAGATATTAGTCGGTCCCAACAGAGCGCAGAAAAGCTCTACTGCTCGGTCATCATCTATGGTTTTGATGATGACCATTTTTCTCTAATAGTCGAGCATTTTGCCAAGTACGGTAAGATAATGGAAAACCTAGTAATATCAGACTATACCTACTATTACGGAGCGTTTGGAAATGTCATAGCACATGACAAGCTAGTTGATGTTGACGAAAAAGAAAAAAGTTCTTTAGACAGTAAGAAAAAAGGTCTAGAATTGTTTCCTCTTTTCCTTGGACCACAATGGGTTAAAGTGACATATGACAACCCAAATTCAGCAATAAGGGCATTGGCAGATAATCTTACAGATGATGGGAAGGGCAACGTGTTGGGTGTTCTTCCATATAGAAGACAAGATCTGGAAATCTTGTTGTCACATGAAATTCCTGATGAACTCAATATAGGTGAAGGCTTACATGGTTTAAGCCATGAGCTTGAATTAGAAAAACGTTTAGCAGACAATGAGATAGGCAGATACTTGAGCAATGCTAGAGGTGACACTTTGGATTCTCTTAATGGCACCAAACGTAATGCTTCCAGTCTCACGTTAAAAGATGGTACCAAATTGCTGTTAAAGACAAAGAAAGAGTCTGATGGCAAAAACATTTGGCATAAAGGGATGGGTTTTCTGTTCGGCGAAGGTGAAATATAATTTATTTGTACTGCTTCTCCATATTCATATCCGTTTGTAACTTGCATTCGATAAGAACACGTAATAAATAAGTTAGTAAATAAATAAGTATACATTTTCGTATTGGCAGGACAAAAAAAAACCAAAGCTTATAAAAGTTTTCTATATTCGTTTCTCAATATCTTCTTTTGTTTTATCAAAAAACTACAGGTTTTCGGTATTGAACAAACTTCCTAATCCACCAGCATCTAACCCGTCAACCGTATTCTTTTTTCTACCTCTTGAAGCAGCTGCAATCATCTTGTTCCGTTGCTCGAGATAAGTGTCGTTCCCTTCATTTCTGGCATTGTTGAAAAGTGACAACAAACAGTTCTTTCTTTCTCGTGACCGTTGGCAATTGCCAAAAACACTTTCAAAATTGGCCATAGTCTCTTCACTCAAGCCTAATGCATTTTTTAAGAGCTGCAATGGGTAGTTCGATTTGAACCTTTCCCCAATATAGAGGATGGACAAAGTATAAGCAGCTTCAGAATGAGCATCCGCATAGAATTTATCACATAGAAGGTTGATTAGCGTAGGTATCACAGAATCGTTAATAATCTTGTCGACCTTCTCGTTATTCAATCCGATCAATTCCTGTGATAAATGTCTTAGGATCAAAATGGCATTAAAAGAGCATCTGGTGTCTCTGAATGATATAATATCGCAGATTAGTTTCAAGAAAGGCTCCAAGACTTCGAAATTATAGAGAATGAACTCTCTACTTTCCCTTTGTCGTTGATCCAACGATGTTCTTGCCTTTTGACCAGCTAAATCAATTAGCATTCGATCAACTACTTGAGTCAATTGACGCAACATATGCTCTTCAAGCATTTCTTCACTCAACTGTTCATCTGACTCATTGCCATCCAATCTGAGACCTTTCTGATAAACGATACTCCAACGCTCAACTAAAAGTTCATCAAGTTTAGTGAAAACTTGTGGCAAGAATACAGGCATGAAGAAATCAAAATAATCCAGTGGACAGTTCTTGATGACATTTCTGACAACCAAATTAATCATATGTCTCCATGAATGCAATGTAATTCCTACCGATTCATCAGTCAAAGCTTTCCACAATAGAACTGCATTCTTGGACTCAAAGTACAATGTTTCTTCCAACTCTGTAATAGTACCTATCATCAAATAAGCATACTCTCTGGTGTACCTGACAATATGGCCAACGGAATCAGCAAAGTCTCTCAAAGTGTGCATAGCCTTGACATTTTCATCAACGAATGATTCTCTCGATTGGATGGATATTCCCTGCTGCCAGAATCGTTCCATGGTGCTATATTTGACAAAGGTTTGCACTTCCTCAGGCAAACCTACCCAATTTGCAGGGTTGTGATAAGCTTGAATCTGATATATCAATTGCAGAATATATGGTAAAATAGGCTTCACCCTCGGCTGCCAAAGTTTTAGTAGATTTTTGTAAGTGTCAGATTCATGATCTAATTTTTCAATACTGTATTGAATCAAGATTCTACTTGCTCTAATAGGAAAAACAGATGACCATTGATCTTTTAACTCTTTTTTCAACTGTCGTCCTCTATCGTCCATTTCGGCTCCAAGGAGATTGGTAGCTGCACTTATGCCTCTCGACCTGAAATATTCAGCAATCTTTACTATACCTAATCTTTCCATAAACCAATGTAAATCTGATAACCCTTTCATTGTGACTGGATCAGACCATGCCATCAATTCAGGATCTACAATTCTGCTGAATGTTTCTGTCTTATTCTCCAATGATGATCTTTGAGAAACAACTAAAAGGAACGATTTGAAGGCAACCACTTCATGTGATATCAGCTCTTTTTGCGCCAAAATATTATCAATGGCTGCTTCTAATTCACTGAAAATATTTTTTAGTGATTCAGGCATTAAATATGCTAATCTGTTGAGTTCAGTTCCACTTGAGGCTCTTAAATCTCTGATGCTTTCTAATTCTTCGTCAGAAGCATTATCTGGATATGGGAAAGTGCAAGACTCGATAACTTTTTCTAGGACTTTGAACATTGTATTGTTCAAATCCTTTAGCAAAGGGGTGAATTGAACTAGAGTTTGTATTTGTTTCCTCACTAATACCGGATTTTTTATCTCTAGCATCATCAATAAAGTACATAAGTTATCCGCCTGTTCGGTCAAATAGGCCTTGATTTCTGGTGCATCATCTTGCCTATACCATATTTGCCATCTGGTTATACCTCTAACGCAAGCTTCAATAATTGAGAACTGAGAATATGAGTAAATGTAGGAATCTGATCCTTTACCCTTATAGATTAGATTGGCATTTTGCAAACTCTCTATTCCCATCGGGCTTGAATAAAATTTATTCAATCTTTCAGCCAACCAGATCAGTGCATCTTTTGGCTTTTTACAAACAATGATTCTGACTATGTCATCAATCAGCTTTTTGTATTCATTTAGGAAAGAGTGCTGGTCAGATTGATTATCAAAATCAAAGGACAAGAAATTGAGAGCAACTGAATCTGGGTCACAATCATTATAATTAATTAGTCTGTCTGCACAAACCTCTAATAGTTCTGGCATGATTGACTCAAAGTCTAATTGATCACTGAGTTCATCTGCTCTCAGCATCGAGCACCAAAATTGTAACGATATTGCACTGATTGATAGTGACTCGTGTTTCGTTGTCTCTAATATCAACTTATAAAAGTTGGTCAAGTCCCTATCCTTAGTCTTGATTGATTCTTTGCTTGTAATATAATCTGAAAGTATTACCAAGAATTCCACAATTTTTTTCAAAAGTGTATATTTTTCATCGTCAATATCTTCAGAGTCCAACTCAATGCATTTGAAGTTTTTGAAAAAGATCTCATAGGCGGTATCATTGAATGCTAGATTCACCAACCACTCATTATCTTCTGGGTTTGAGTAGGGTTTATTGTAAAGGCAGTCAAAACATTCAATGGTCAACAGCTTTATTTTCAGGTTGTCAACTGTCAAAAGTTGGAATAGCTTTGTAATAATATCAACTTCTCTCAAAGCTAAGGGTATAATCCAAAAAAGAGATATCTTGAAGATCTCTAGCAATTTGATTGTAGTGCCTATGCAGGTTTCTCTCTCACTACGGCTTATAATGTTTGCATTGCCATTATCACCTCGGTTATTGCTGTTGCTGTTGTTATTATTGTCGTTGACACCACTGCCGTTATCTATCGAGTCATATAACAGACATTTGATGCATTCGTCCAATAGTTGTGCCCATTTGATTAGCCAACCTTCGGGCGAGGAAACAAAGAGCCTGACAGTATCATTTGGTTCGTATTTCGCCGACAATATGCGTTCAGAAATCACAATTTCCGGGCAGAGGGAGACCAAGACTGCTTTCCTCTTGGACACTATTGGATCGTCCAACAAATAGATATCTTCGAAAAGGGTTCTCATTACAATCAAGGACAACTCTCTCGTTATCGGACTATAGTTCCATAATTCCAAAAGGTTGGAATCCATTGATATCCAGGAGTCCAATTTCTCTTCATCGGTGAACTGTATGTTGCTCATAACGTTTTCGTTGTTGTTGCTGTTGTTTTCTATGTTTGTGGTGTCCGAGGGAGAAGTTGAAGAGTTGAGGGTGGAAGTGATACTAGATGTTTTCCAGTCATTGAGGGAGGGGTTCTGTTTCAAGAGGCACTCACCCCAGCACCTCTTTGCTATTTCCACCCAGAGAAAAGCAAGTTTCTCCTTGATGTAATGCGGGTCATTTATCGAGACCTTGGTGGCGAGTTCGACGATCCAGTTTCTCACCGCCAACTTCTTCGGGGTGTCCCATTCGTTGTAGTGGTCTGTGATGGAGTTGAGCAAGAGGTTGAGGGCGTAGTGCCTGACGATGTTGTTGTAGTTGTTATCGATGAGCGCCAACTGGTAGCCCCAGAAGGGACAGTCGGGCAGCTTCTTGATGGACTCTAGGAACGCCTGGGCCTCATGTCTCTGGTTGTTGTTGGACGACGAGTTGTAAATGATATCTAGCGACGCAATTATCTGGTTGATTCCTTCCGATGACATCTCGCTGTGGTGGATGCAGCACGGGACTAGACTACTGTGTAGGTTGTTCTGTTGGAATGTTCGTGGGTTGGAAGGTAAAAAGAGGACAGGAAGGAAAGGAAGGGCACACGGGAAATGCGGCTGTGGACGTCTGAACGCACTTGCAAGAGTGTCTGTGCAGGGGGTCGGCACAGAGGGGGGCTTCTGTTCTGGGTCGCTTGTACTGGGGACGCTGACGCAGGAAGAGAAACCACGCTGGCGCAATTCGAGTCGGGCGAGAGGACAGACACAAGGGCTTGGTAGGCTTGTGTGGGCACGGGTGCGGTTGCTGGGAACGCTGTTGCTGCTGCTGTTGCTGCTGCTAAACTGTCGGGGTCGTCGTCTTCTCCGTAGTCGTCGTGGCGATAGCAGTGCCGGGAGCAATGGCCCCACCGGAGCAGGCCTCCCGTGACGAAACAACCCCAGGATCACCACAAAAGGCGTTGTTGGCTCTCCCTCCCGCAGCGATCGTGGAGGAGGTGAAGTGAGAAAGTGAGGGAGCGTGAGGATGCTCAGCGCCCGCGTGCTCACTGGTAAAGATGGCCAACGGGAGGAGGCAAGAAGACGTAGGGGACGCAGAGGAGACAAGCTGGAGGGTTGGGGGAGATGGGTAGAGACGCATAGACAGCCAGAGAAGCAATGCTGAGGACGCTGTTGATGTTGCGAAGAGCACGGGGCGGGCTAGACGTGCTGGGTCTGCCACGGACGACTCGGACGACTCGGACGACGACCATGAGGCTCGTGCAGAGCCGCCTGTATGCGGGCGGGACGAAGTTCCCGCCCCGGCCGCCGAAGTTCCAGCACAAGACGAAGAAGGAGCTGACGGCGGAGGAGCAGAAGCAGGTGGAGGAGGAGAGGAAGTACCACGAGGCGGTGAACTCGGGGTCGGCGGTGAAGAAGTGGGGGGCCATTCTCGGGTCGAGCGGGTTCAACAAGCGGGCGACGAAGTACTACATCGGGTTGTACGTGGTGTTTCTCTGCTACGGGATCTACTACTTCCGGAAGCTTTTCGGGAGACACCTGGAGGAGGAGGACTTGAAGAAGCTGCGGGACTCCGGGGCGGAGCTGAGCGAGTACCAGAAGCTGCGGATCCGGGACTTGGCGGGCGACCTGCTGCGGACGAAGGACACGCAGAAGTTGAAGGCGTACTACGTGTTGAAGGAGGCGTACGACGCGCAGCCGGAGGAGGAGCGGGCGAAGGCGGGTCCGTTCGACCCTGCGCCGGAGGACATCCGGGACGTGATGGACGTGAGCTTCGAGCAGTGCATCGAGCCGCCGAAGGACTTGAGCGGGTTCTACGACGCGCTGGCGGCGGAGTACGACAGCGACGTGGGCACGGAGGAGATGATGTCGTTCATGGGCGGCAAGCGCAAGTGGCTGATGAGGCACTGCAAGGGCGACGTGTTGGAGGTGGCGTCCGGCACGGGGCGCAACATCGAGTACCTGGACCCGACGGTGGTGCGCAGCTACACCTTCCTCGACGCGTCCCGGAAGATGATGGACGTGTGCTACGACAAGTTCCACGAGCGGTGGCCCAACTTCGAGCGGGCCAAGTTTGTCGTCGGCAAGGCCGAGGAGCTCGTCAAGCTCTCCGCCGCGGGCCCCTCGGGCCGCACGTTCAGGTACGACACCATCGTCGAGACCTTTGGCCTCTGCTCGCACGAGGACCCCGTCCAGGCCCTCAAGAACATGCGGGCCCTGCTCAAGCCCGGCGGCCGAATCGTCCTCCTCGAGCACGGCCGCGGCGAGTACGCCTTCATCAACAAGATCCTCGACCGCCGGGCCCACAAGCACAGCGAGAAGTGGGGCTGCCGCTGGAACCTCGACATCGGCGACCTCGTCGACGAGTCCGGCCTCGAGATCACTGAGGAGAAGCGGGCCCACCTCGGCACCACCTGGATGCTCGTGTGCAAGCGGCCCGAGGACGTTCTCGACATCGACGAGATGTCTGCCCTCGAGAAGTACTTCTTCCCCCGCAGAACAAACCTCGACTCCTCCAACATCGTCAACCGGGACGACAGCCGCCGTCCATAGCCCATGCCACTTCCTTCCCTCCTGTACATAGATCCACAGACTGTAAACACCATCTTTACCACTACTACCACCAGCCCTCATGATATGCGCGGGATTTTCTTCCCGGGCGGGAGGGCAGACGGCCCCGGAGAGAGCTGGGGTCCCGTAGCCGACAACGCCTCTGCGTATAAAAGAGAGACGACGGGCGGGAGGCGGTAGACAGGGTGGAGGATACGGTGGTGGTGGTGGCGAAGGAGCGGCAGAAGACAAGCATTGGGGACGAAAAGCAAACATGGCATCGAGAAGAACGGCAAAGTCGAAGAAAGTGTCATTCGACAACTCGTCCAAGATCGTCGAGATCGACCAGGAGGAGATGGTGACGGTGACGACGTCGACGACGGACGGCGGCAAGACGGCGAAGGTGGTGGGCGGGGGCGGCAGCAGCAGCAGCAGCAGCAGCAGCAGTCCGGAGGCGGCGGGGGCGGGGGCGGAGGACAACTTCGACCCGGACACAATGGACCTCGACTTGACGACGGGCCGCAAGAGACGGGGCCTCAAGCGGGCGGCCGCCGAGACGTTCAGCGTGGAGGCGCTTTCGACGTCGGCGGCAGTGATCCCGTTCCACTTGCCGCTGCTCCTCGTGACGATGCTCGGCGACGGGCAGCTGATGGCGGAGACGAGAGAGGGTCTCCAGCGGGGGTTCACCAACCTCTCGGTGTTGAGTCTCATCTACGCCGTGATGGTGGGGGAGAAGGCCAAGTGCGAGCGGAACCCGTCGCTCAAGAGCAACGGGCCCACCGCCCTCGAGTTCCTCTACACGGCCGTCAGCTACCCGTTCTCGATCGTGCTCTCCGTGCCAATCTACGTGTCGTTCCTGCTCTTCGGGGCGCCGGCGGGCCCGCTCACAGCGCTCACCTTCTACTTGGCGTCCCACGTGTCGCTCATTGTCTTCTTCCCGCTGCTCAACGTGTACAAGCTCACGGACAAGAACGCCAAGAAGACCTGGTGGAGCCTGCTCACGTTCCAGCTCGAGAACTGGAAGTTGAACCAGATGTACTGCGCCAGCGTGGGCGGCCTCGTCGGCTGCTGGCTCGGCGTCATCCCCATCCCCTTGGACTGGGACCGGGACTGGCAGGACTGGCCCATCACCTTGCTCATCGGCGCATACCTCGGCGCCTTTATCGGCGCCGTCGCCAGCTACTTCTACGGCCGCTACGTCCTCTGGAAGTTCAGAAGGAACACCTGAGCCATCCACAGCATCCCCGACTTATGTACCTGTATCGCCATAGCTGTATACACCTCTCCCTCCTACTCTAAACACGGTTCCTCTATACACTCCGTCCGCGAGAGCGCCACAAGAGCCTCCCTCACGCGTTTTGCACAGAGCCGCCTTCAGCGGTGAAGCAGACGGGCACAAGACGGCGGATGAGCCGTGGCCAGGGTGTGCCAGCAAGGAGCAAGGAGCCACCTGTGAGCCAGCAATGTGTGCCAGGAAGAGAGCACGTCGGGCCGCAGACGACTCGGAGGACTCGTCCGCCTCCGACAGCGGCGACGGGAGAAGCGCCAGCAACAACAGCACGGGCACGGACACAGACGGACCAGCCAAGAGACAGCGGTCCAGCACAGAGGCGGCGTACCCGGCGTTCGTGCCGGGCAAGGATGACCTGGCGTACAAGATGGCGGTGGCGATGGCCCGCGTGATGGTGGGGCTCTCGAGCAGAGACCAGGTGCTGAACAAGACCATGGTGGCCAAGATCCTGGACGCCGAAAACAACAAGGGCTCAGGGCTGCAGTTCAAGAAGTCTGTGCTGCCGGCGCTCTCGATGCTCGTGTCGGACGTGTTCCACTACGAGGTCGTGGAGCTGCCGTCGAAGAAGGCGGCGACGGCGGCACCCGGGGCGCCGGCCAATGGTGCCAGCGGCCCCGGCGGCCCCAACGGCACCCAGCACGAGCAGAGACCCGTCCAGCCGCACAAGAGTGCCCCCTCCGACGAGTTCATCCTTGTGAACAGACTTCCGCCCTCTCTGCGGGCGCTCAACTACACGTTCATGGCCGAACACACACAGCCCATCGGCAAGTCTCTGCGGGCGATGGACCGCAGCAAACACGCTGGCAGCACTGGCGGCGCCGCCGCCGCCGCCGCCACCAGCATCTACGGCGAGGACCTCCCGAGACCCACGTCGGGCCTCGTCCAGAGCGGCATCACGCTTCTCGTCCTCTGCCTCGTGCTTCTCCACGGAAACAACATCCTCCAGAGCGACCTCGTGCTCCTCCTGCGAACGAAGTTCGGACTCAAGTTCAAGGAGAAGGAGACCGTCTCCATTCTCGGCGACCAGACGCTCACCGACTTCCTGGCGATGCTCGGCAGACACGACTACCTTGACCGCACCTTGATCACAGCCACGGGCGCCGCAGGCACGGGCACGGGCACAGCCGCTAGCAGCCAGCGGGCCGTCAACTCGAGATCCACACGCCACGACGACAACACTTTGATTCTCCGCCTCGGACGACGCTGCCGGGTCGAGTGGAGCGTCGACGAGTTTGTCGGCCTCTTCCGCCAGCTCATGCAGGACGATTGGACAGAGCAGCTCCAGGAGAGTGCCGTCTACACCGTGAAAAGCGTCTGGAAACAGTAGATAAATAGAAGATAGATAATAATACCCACACATCAGATCCCGCCCCCGCTCCGTTTCCGGCCTCACCGCGTGAGGGGCCGGCCGGTCTCCCCAGAAATGAAGAGCTTCTTCGCCTGTTTGACGTGACGGCCCGATGAAGACAGCGCCTGCGCCTGGCTGCACCCCAAACTTCAGAGTCAGGACGCTGTGTTGCCGCAGCTGAAGGTATCTGCACGGTTTGCATCCCACTTCCCTGGTTCAGACGTCCCCCATGTCGACACTGACCGGTTTGCACGACATCGGGCCGGATGACGAGATGCAGCATGACTCAGCACAGACAAAACGGCCGTCCCACAGCCACGCCAAGAAGGTGGCGTTGATCAGCTCATCCATCGCCGCTTTGGCGTCGGGCACCCCGTACCTCTACGGCGTCTACTCGCCGCAATTGATCAACAGATGCGGCTTTTCGGCCCTAGACTCGTCTTATCTCTCCTTTTCGGGGAACATCGGGTCGTCCATCGGAGGCTTCTTTGCCGGCTTGATCATCGACAAGTTTGGCATCTCGGCCGGCATCTTGCTCGGGGCGTTGCTTGAGTTCACCGGGTTTTTTGTCTTCTACTTCAACTACAAGCACGCGTTGCACAACTTCGTGCACTTGGTGTTCGCCATGGTCTGCATCGGGTTCGGCTCTGTCTTGGCCTACTTTGCCACGATCAAGGTGGCCACCGTCAACTTCCCCCGCCACCGAGGCTTTGCCAACGCCTGTCCGGTCAGCTCGTACGGCTTAGCCGCCTTGTTCTACGCCTTCGTGTCCACTGTCTGGTTTGCCGACGACGTCGAGGGCCTACTCAAGTTCATTGCCTTCTTCTCAGGAATCGTCATTGCAGCGTCGAGCATATTCATAGGAATCTACGAAACAGAAGAGGACGACAGTGACAACGCCATCGTCAATGACGCCGTCAATGAGAACGATGGTGAGTACAGCGATTCTTCCGACGAGAACGAGCTCGAAGTCGGGCTCCAGTACTTATTGAAAGGGCACCGTGGTTCTTTTGCGCAGGTAGGGAACCTGCTTAAAAACGAGTCTTCCAGCTCCTTGTTTTCGGACGCCTCGGACGCCTCCTCCATCGCCTCTTCGACGGCCCCCTCCTCGAGAAACTCCTCGGTGGCTCTTTCACGAAATCCATCTTTCTCTTCTCAAAATCCAATCTCTATCAACCCGTCAGGGGTTTTGAGGTCCAACAGCAACAATGCGCTGCCTAATCTTTCTGGATCTCCTATAGACTTCAAGGCAAAACAGACGATGTTTCGAAGTGGCTCCTTCAGAATCGCTTCCTCCATCAGCAATTCTCCCAGGAATGGACGTTTTTTTGGAAGCATGACCCAAAAGCAACCCATCTTCAACCCGAAGGCAACACCGACCGAAGAGTCTCCGTTGATCGGCAGCAGCTTTTCAGAGCCTCCACAGACTGCTAACAATTCTCTCATAAATTCACTGTCTTCATCACCAGCCGGCCTTTTCACCAACTCGCCAAAATCCTCAAATGATTTGAAGGCGACAAAGGCGCAATCTTACAGCAACATACCGTTTTCACCAAATGTGACTTCTTCCGAATCGGCCAATACGAACGGTGGTGGAGATATCGATGTCAACGGCAAGATCAATAGCAAAAGCGATGGGGCAGTCAATATGGCAACCCTTTTGAGTAAACAGAAGCCAAAGAGTCGAGGAAGTCGGAAGAAGAGGAAGGAGCTGTCGCCCAAGGAACATGTAATGAGCCTATTCAAAAACAGGCTGTTCCTATCACACTACGCCCTAAATGCATGCTATTGCTCAATTGGCCAGGTGTACATTTTCAGCATAGGGTTCATTGTCCGTGCCCAGGTCAATTACTACAGGGCTCATAATCCGTCGGCAGTCATTCTCAAACTAGCCTTGTACCTGTCTAACGGTTCACACTCAGGAAACTTGGCCGTAACGTACCAGGCACTACAGGTGAGCATAATCTCGTTTTCCAACTTTTTAGGGAGGTTGCTCTCGGGTCCTGCGTCGGATCTACTTCATAAACGGCTCAAACTAAGCAAGATCTACGTGGTCATTTTCTCCTTGCTTTTCCTCACGCTGGGCCAGGTGTCGCTTCTAATATCCAACAAACTCGACTACCTATCCCTCACTTCGTTTTTGATAGGACTATCATATGGGTCGATATATGGTACAATGCCATCAATTCTTGCGGATTCGTTTGGGTCCAAAAACTTTGCAACGACATGGGCATTAATGGGAACAGGTCCCATTAGTTTATTTTTGGTTCTAAGTGACTATTTTGGGACAGTTTACGACGAAAACAGCGAGTGGTCGTATCTAGGAGACGTCAAACTGAAAATGTGCTTGAAGGGCAAGGACTGTTACTGGGACGTTTTTGCCTTAAACACAGTCGCATGCTTACTATTGTTTGTTGGCTACTTCTGGTTACTGTTCTACGCGGGCAGGAGGAAAAGTTAATTCAAATATCTGTATCTGTATCTGTATCTGTATAATAAAGCATATATAGACACAATGTAAGAAAATTATGACTGGAAAAAAGAGAAATGATCAGCATATCCAACCATTATTGAAGTAAGCATCAAATCTCCCGCAGTCGAACTGCTTCTGGAAAACATTACTCTCAAGCTTCTGAGCTAGTCAAGTGCAAAAAATAAAAAATGCGCTTATCGGCTTGCTTTCCTATTACAGCATAACCATTGGTTAGGCTGGAGCTTAGCCGATCCCTTAAGACCTTACTTCAATCACCAGGACATAGCAAGAGTTTCCCAAACAGGAAATAGCGGCTTTAGCTCAGTGGGAGAGCGCCAGACTGAAGATCTGGAGGCCCTGTGTTCGATCCACAGAAGTCGCATTTATTTTTTTGGCCAAGAGGTCATTTTTTTGGTGGGGAATGTTCAACTAGTACAGAAAAGCCCCCTTCCTCTTTTCAACTTCAACAAACACCTCTACTATAACCCGACTCATCTTGCTACCTCTTACTCTTGTATCCGGTTTCCCCGGAAAAGACTGCCCAAATAACTCGATTCCTCATCTCTGTGTGTTCACAATGGGGAGCTTCGCGTCGAGCTGTGCGCAGACCTATAGTAAGTTAGACGGGGCCTTTTGCGAATATGACCGAACATGCACCCAGAGTATGAGAATCGAAGCAGTTTGATGGTATATCGGTAAAACACATTGGCTCGGTAATGATTCACCAGCAATCGAGGAGTATATCATTCCAGTCGATAAAGTCTCTTTTCAAATCGACTAGACCCACGCCAGCCACGGAATTACAACAGCCATTGACTTCATTGCCAAATGCTACAGGTAACGGGGCTTTCGTGGAGCCAATAAGCTTCCAAGTCCTGGGAGCTTCTTCAAACCTTTTGAACATCAAGCTGCCAAGGTCGTCAATTCTGAATATACGCTACTCCAACTACCAGCAAAAAATAATTGCAATCAATGGTCACATTAATTCGATGTATACAGAGCTTGCCAGGTCCAACGAGAACAACCTCATTTTCCAAAGGTGCTTCAACCAGTCCGAACCGATGTCTCTGTTGATGTCTCTAAATGCGCAAAATGCAAATTTTGCCGTGCTCAACACCCTGAAATTCAACTGGATCATCAAAAGATCATCGCTATTCGCATGGTCGGGGCCTTCGATCAAGCCAGCCTCATCGGATGCAGATGCCAATTTGATCCAGATGAACGGGGAAGGAACCTTTGTTGTTGCAACCCCGGGACAAATAATACAGATAAATCTTTCAGAAAATGAATCCTTACAGGTCAACTCCAAGTCTCTCGTTGGATACAGCACAACTAACGATAAGCTTTCGGATTCCATAGCCGAATTGAACAACGGTGTCAAGAGCGTTGTAGATGTCAGCGTGAAAAAGGCACCGCTTTTTCTGAGGCTCAACTGGATGAGACGCTATTTTTCCGTGCCGGAGAAGTTTTGGAACGAGCCAACTGTTCATCAAATCACCCAAACTCTAAGTTCTATGTCGAGAGCTCTAAAAACATTTTTCAACTACGTTAGAGCAAAGCTAATAAGCTCCAAAAGATCGGGTTACTTTATTGACGTGAAGGGACCAAGGACAGTCTTCCTGTCGAATGCAGTTAACGTCAATGATCAAATATTAACTGACAGTGAGCTCAAAAAACTTTTGTCCTAATTAAGGGCTTTATCTCATCATTGCCGATGCTCCTAATTATTTATTTACCTATTTATTTGTATAGATACTAATAACCTGTTGTTTTACTGTTTTCTCCGTTCATCCTTCTTATTAATTACTCTTCCTAAAACTTCCAGCATGCTATATACCAAAGTGCTTGACATGAATTTGATATGCGCAGTCCGAATGCGCAGCTTTAAATTTCAAGAAATCTTCTCTACTTTCTCTGTGAATCAAAAATGAAGTCTATCAAAACTCTCAGCAACTCGAAGGCTATGCATATTGATATGAATAGAGTCAGGCGCTTTTCAAAGTTTGTTAAGGCGACCTCAATCCCCACAGAAGAAGAAGTTTCTAGAATCAGATCTCGGCTACTCAAAAGCTCTTGGCACCTTTTTGACGATGTGATATCCACTTATCCTGCCAAGCAATTGTATGTAACGCTTGAATCTTTGCTCAATAAGTCAAACTTTCCATTCATGGAATCTCTTAATAGTGATAATGATGTTTATCGTGAAAATTTTGACCTCAACAAACAGTTCAAAATCGGTGATAATCTCCCGATTGGCTACTCTTTGGCGTACTGTAATCCCTTGTCAAGCGAACAAGAACTAAGCCCGGATGGATACGACAACTACCACGCACCTACTACAAACAGTAAAGAATTTTTCAAAAGGAGAATGTGGGTAAGTGGGAGCTTTAACTATGACAAGTCTAACTCGTTGAGATTTGGAGATACAATACATTTTACAGAGACAGTTGAGAGAGTAAAATTTCTGCCGAAAAATAACGTTATATTTGCTGATTACAAACGGTGTTTCGATAATACCCACGGAAATTCCTTGATTGAATTCAGAAGGTTGTGCTACCTTGATAAAAAATTTGAAACTACAGAAAAAGAGAGTAAAACTTCCTCGATCGTGCCTGACAAAAGCATAGTTTTACATCCTTCAATCATAACAAGTTTCCGAATGAGTGCATTGACTTTTAACTCCCACCAAATCCATTATAACCCTCAGTACGCCCAGAATATTGAAAATTACACGGATGTTGTTTTAGAGGCCCCTTTGCTAGTCGCATTGGTCCTGCAGTTTTGGTCTGATAATAACCCAGGCACAATGATCTCATCATTCAAATACAAAATCACATCCCCATGTTTCATTAATGCTCCAATGACAATCAATTATAAAATGTGTGATGATCATACACAGCTATGGATTTGCAACGACAAATCAAGAACGTGCTTTGAATCGACAATTCAAAGATAGGTCTTTTTCGTGGAGACCTTGAAGTTTCTGCTCTTGATTTTTCCATTTTTTCCACTTCTTGGCTGATTTTTTGTCAAGATCTAACACGAACACTTCACCCTTACTGAGATTCATGAAAATAGAGACGTCTCGCAAAGTCATGTTTAGCTGTAAATCCTCATTTACATCATACTCTGAAGTCAGTTGCATAAGTCGGTCATGAATTTCAATGCTATTTTGCAACTCATACAAGCTCAGTATTAAGGCATAATTTGCAATCACACAATTTTTTAGGCTCTGAAATATATCGATGTTGGTCTGAGTCCTCCTTCCCAGTTCTTCCTGTAACTCTTTGCACCATTCAGATATGCCTTTTTCGCCTTTCAAAAGTTTTAAATGGCAAGAAACAAATTCTTGGCCTTTTGACTTCGCAATCAAACAATTGCGACAATTTTTATGACTAGCCGGCAGTTGATATAGCCATTTAGGCTTAAATTCAAAAACTATCTCTTTCTCTGCCTTGTGCACGAGGAAGATGTGATATTTACTGAGCTGTATGCGTTCGTACTCTGACAGGCTGTGCGAAAGAATATTCTTCATAATTAAGCAATAGGTCTCGTTCGGGTATAGTTTTATAGATAATCCTTTACACTTTGCCAAGGTTTGGAATTCACAAATAGTTTGTTGCTTTATTGTGAGAAGTGATGCACTCACCATGTATTTTCTGATACTGTTAAAAGCACTCGACTGCAGGTAAAAGAAGATTTCCTCTGTGGAAACTTCGGTACCGACTAACCGAAATCTGACAACCTTCCCTCTGAACTTTACGCAGCTGCCTTTGTATGCAAATACAGCGTTTGCTGATCCTGATCCAACGTATTCCCAATCATTTTCTGTTGATGTATCATCTATCACCATTGGGCGAGAGTCTTGAGTTATCTTACTCAGTTTGATTCATACACATAAAGGGAAAAAGTAGAATGATTTTCCAATTTCATTCTTTATCTATCAGCTGGAGGGCCGCGTTTTTCGAAGCGGTCTGAAATTGTTCGATAGAGGGGTGTAGTACCCCACATAATACTTTTAGAGCTAATATTACAAAACTTTTCCATCTCCACTTCATTGGAGGGAAATCATATCTCTATATATATCAACCAATGCATCCTTGCCAAGCCTCATGGCAAACATTCTCTTTTTGTCTTCATTCATGCTACTAAACTTGGTAAGAAGTCTGTATTCGATGAATGGCCTCTTAATTACAGTCAGTTCATCCTGCAAATTTCCAACGGCATTCATTTTAGGATTCAAACCGAGCCAGTGGTGTTCCTTCTCAGCAATGTAGTTTTGCAAAGAATAAAGTCTTCGGTACTGGTATTCATTAATGGGTGAGACTTTGTAAAAAGAACCATCAATATTACTTGCAATAACCTCGTAACCCAAATCGACATCCTTTCTGATTGGGAGGGTGGAAACCATAGAAAACAGCGACCTCCTCCTACTACAATTCATCATTTTGGTAGTGTGAGCGTTAGAGCGAAATGAAGACCTTTTGAGCAGTTTGAGACCCTTCAATGAGTTTGGATCGTACGGATCATATTGGAAAATGTGTAAGATCGAATTGTCATCCGAAGCCAAAATGTAAAGATTTTGATTGTGAACAATAAATTCAGATTCGCTCAAACTCATATGGTTTTCATCTTTTCCTAAAGTGAGCATACGGTAAGGCTCAGCATCGAAGCCATACAAGGTAACACTGTGATAACAATCTCCAACAAGCATCAAATTTTCGAATGATTTAACTTTTCCTGAGTACAAGGAAGTGTCAGTGAAAGCAACTGGAGCTGCATTCCCCTCCCCCTTGAGCATGCGGACAAGCATTCGTTGCCCTTGGATCACAGCAAATCTTCCATCCACTGCACATGCATCCAATACAGGACCTTTGGCTGTCTCACTGCATAAAACTTTGAGTCTATGTTTTGCTTCAGGTTTGCCAGGCTCAGGAACAACATTGATCAAATCACATAGTTTCCAAGTTCCATCAGTTGAGACATCTTCACTCTGAAAAATTCCTGTTCCAACAAATATCACAACTCTATTCCCATCAGTTCCATTTACTTTCAAGTTTAGTACGTTTAAAGTTGTGCAAGATTCGTTTTCTTCCAATTCGAGCGTGTCAACAATTGACCACTTTTCAGGTGATAACACTTTAATGCTTCCCCTGTAATTCTGAGCTGCTATCCGGTAATCGTTTTTGATCTCTGGTTCAGAAGCATCCTCTCCTTCTGATTCCTTTGGCTTAGGGCGAAAAATTTCTCTCTTTAAAGTTGAAATTAAGAATGTATTGGAAAGTTCATGATACACTATTTTATTCACTGTCTCTCCCACTTCACATTTACGGATTGGTAGTTTGTTAGAATAATCAAATTCAAGATCTAACTGAACCATGCGGCAAGACTTTTTATCATCAATTGTTATCAAACCGCTTTTGCACTTTTCATTCGAAAAAGGTGCAAAGTAAAGTAAGGGTTTGGCAGTGAACTTAAACATTCTTGGGAATGAATTGCATTGCTTGCAGATAATGAAAGGCGTAGCTCCTGTGACCATGACAACATTTGAACCATCTAAATCGTCAATCTTGAACAAGTTTCTCTCAATTTTAGTGGCGTAAGAATAGGAGTTTGCTGGTGCTCCAGTAATAGGAAGCTGAAATAAATCGTTAGCCTTAATGAATCTATAATATTGTTGAACAGGGTCAAAGAACAGTTCGTACATTATTATCTCACCACCAAAGGTAAGTATAACAAGATAGTTTTTGATGTTAAATTCATCCCCTATTTTGGTGAAAATGCATTGTTTGAGGATCGGATCAACATCTGCCTCATAATTAGGGTCCATAGGTGATAGCTGTAAGTATTCAGACATTTTATGTATGTTTTTGAACTCAAAAACTTTCTCCAAGTGCTCTTTTCTGAATACAAGTAATCTATTATCAGCGGTGACCAGCCAAAACAATACTTCTTCTTCTAGATTTATTTTAACCTCAGCTGGCTCACCTGACGCTGCTCTTTTCTTTACAGGAGTAGCATGATTTAGTAAGGATGAACGTGAAATCCAAGCATTTGTGAAAATCAAAAAGTTGAGTAAAGCTGGAAGGTCCATCTTGGAAAGTTTTTTGGTTGCATCGTCATATTCTAGAATTTCAATCTCACCGGTTGTCATAATGACAACAATGTAATTTTCGTGAATAACAGAATGATTTATTTCCTTTTCAAACGACATAGAAGTGACTCTTCCAAAGCCCATACTATAAATCATGACTTTGTGTGCCAATACCTGAACTGGTCTCACCCTTTTTTCTGTAACTATTGAGCCGAACTGTATCGTATAAGAATTGTTCTTGAAGTTTTTACTCACTAAATCTTTGTAGTTCTTTTCTACCTCAAAAATTTGTGTTTTTGCTGTTTTTTGGTCCGTTGTTATTAAAAACTTTGTGTCACCTTTGTGGTTCGAGACTGTCCAGATTTTGCTAGCGTTAGAAAACTTCAAAGATGATTTGATGAGAGGTTTAACAGATGGTGTTATAATTGAGACTGCGCCACATTCATCTAACCCAGAAGAAGCAAAAATGGCAGTTTCTTTGTAACTTGGATTTGGAAGTCCCAAAATTTTAGACTCCACTGAGGTGTACCCTAACGTAAAGTCTGATACAGGGCCAACATTGATGATACTATCAGACACCACAAGGGTGCAACTCGTTAATGAAGAAGTTAGTCCTTCATTGTTTTGATTCAATTCATCTTCATATAGCCAGAAATCGTCATCTGCATCAAATATGTCTGCTCCTATTTCCGATTTGGAAGTTGTCTCTTTTGCAGTGGGCTCATGGTACCAATTGAGTAGTAGACCATCACTTCCTTGGGCACAAATAAATATCAGATTTTTATTTGAAATATATGTGATATCCAAAACAGATCTTACCTTGAAACTGGAGTACGTTGACTCGCTGTTCACGGAGATTCTATTTAAATTGGAAATACCTCCAATTTCGTCGAAGATAAGCGTGTAAAATTTCCCACTTTTGCTTACTAGTAACACTTCACTATCGCCTATCTGGCAGACCTCAGAAAGCTCAAGAAGAAGATCCAAACTTGATTGATTTTTCAAGGTAAGAGAGCTTGTTTCTGCATAGAATTCGTTGGTGTAAATTCCTTTAGTTGCACCCAAGGAGTTAATGTGAATAATTTCGTTTGACCCAATGAGAAGAAAACCATTTATAGGGCGTTCTAAAGGGTGAATACGGTCTATGTCATATGGTAGGTCTGCTATCTCAATAATGACATCAGCAGATTTTGTCTCTAGATCCAAAGACAAAACAAGAACCTTCATGTTGTCTTTTGCCTGAGGTAAATATCCCGCCCATGATAGTGTTTCTGGAGCATATAAGATTGCCAAAGTTGGATTTGGGTAAGAATGTAAAAACTGAATGTCGACAATATTCTTCAAATCGGTATGCAAGGTTTTGGCGTTTACCAGAAAGCTCTCTTCAAATAAATCACTTCCTAATGCAGAATCTAGCTCTGAAATTTTTGAATTCTCTTTTTGATCTATAGTAGGTTTGTAATCATCATTCAAATCGAAATCTCCAATGTCAGCTTTTTTAAATGGGAGGAATACGAATAGGTCATCAACAAACATGGCAGAACAGCCATAGTTTGGGTCTGTTCGATGTAGTACATCAGAAGTACTTAGCTTTTCCATAAGTAATGAATCAAGGACAGTCTCATAGTAATGCAAACTCACCACACTCACCAAAAAATCAGATGGGTTCCATTTTACAACTGAAATTTTTGCTGTTTCTGTTGACACAAGTAGATAATCAACATCTTCGTTTTCGTTGGATCTGAATTTATGGATATCTAGAATTTTCCCGTTTAACGCATACTCAGACACGAGTTCTAACTTATATGCCGGTTTGAAAACCTCTTCAGGTAAACTTACATTTTCTTCATTGACATTGGCATCTTCCTTTTCGATACACAATACATTGAATATTTGTAACAGAGTTCCTTTGGATACAACCAAGTTATTCTGGTCCTTGGATATAAAATTGCAATGAATGCTAAAAAGCGAAGTTGATGGATATACAAACTGGTTGTAAACGTCCATTATGTGATGAAATGCAATGTTTATAGTAATGTATACTTATTGCAAAACAAATTAAATTTAACTAAGCCTAATGCAAGTCAGAGAACAGTGGTTCACATGTTTTCATCGGCTTTCATGAAAGTTTTCCTTGAGTTGTGACGTTGTGTTACGTAACCAGAATTATAAAAAATGTTGTTGATTTTTGTAAAAAGCTTACTGATAGGTTAGCGCTAAAGCTTAAACAGCGCTGAGGCATGACCGGGAATACTACCACGGATAGCCATGGTAATTGGATTACCGTTCACAATGATATATAGTCTGAGGCCATACATAAATATAGAGGCTGGATCTTTTCTTGAGCTGATGACTCAGCTACTATTAGGTTATCCACAACTTTGAACCTATATATAACCTCTGATGATTTGAACGTTAGTTTCGATAAGGATGAGAAGCCTTAACTAGCTATGTTCCATGTATCGATTAAGATGTTAGAAATTTTAGAGTTTTTTTTGGGATGCTGCTTCTTTGACTCGGCTCCCCTTGCCCTACATCAGCCATCTATGACAATTCGAAAAAGAAGCCACAATTTTCCATTCAGCAATTGTTGTTGTCTTACTTTAGCATAAAATTAAAGCAGCTATCTTTCTTTTCAGAATGGGAGTCTGTTATCATATTCCATTTGAAAAAAGCTTTAAAATCTCATGACCTTCACAGCCGAGTTTGCACATGAAAACAGAATTGCAGCCGAAAAAGGCTTTTTTCATGCTCTGACTTCCTTGCTGTTTTTTTTCTACCTCTCTGGTCAGGACACACACATTTTAACCAGTCACAATCACACAAGCATGATGAACGCACCCCTTTTCCATATAGCGAGCCCAACTAGAAACGCTCTAGTTTTAACGCCTTTGCTATCCCAAAAAAACGGCAGAAGTATAACTGTTGAGATAAGATGCCGAAGCCAATCATGATCGAGGGATAAGAGATAAGAATCTTATCATGATAAGGTATCTTAGGGTTGAGATAAGATGCCGAGGCCAATAAGGATTGAGTGATAAGAGATAAGAGTCTTATCATGATAAGGCATCTTAAGTAATCTAAAACTGGAAAGTTAGCCGCCATGATAAATGAATAATGGCAAGTTTAACCGAAGGTGTAAGTGTATAAATACAAGAGGTTTGTCCCTTGTATTTATGTTTGAGAATATTAGTTTGTAGGCTAGTTATATTAGTTATATATTAATAAGCAACAACTATAATAAAGTGAACAATATACTATGGATATTCATAATAGAATAGCTAGATTACAACAATAACAGAGCCAGCTTAAATAAAATATGGAAAAACTGCTTATCTTAACTACACTCTTGGTTGCAAAAGCTACAGGATAGTTGCTAATTGTATTTTGAATTACTCAAGCCTAATAGGCATTATATACTACCATGAGCGTCAAAGATTTTATTAAGCCGTTCTAGTATAGTGGTGAGTACGTATCGTTGTGGCCGATAAGACCCAGGTTCGATTCCTGGGAGCGGCACTTAAATTTTTTTGCACTTGTTTTGTACGTGATTTCTTTCAAAAACAAAAAAGTAATAAATGAACGAACATTGAAAATCTTTGGCAGATATATAGAATTATAAAATGGAAAATCAGTTTAGAAGTTTTGTTACCTTACCAATAGCAATAGTTTGACCTTGATCTCTCAAGGTGAATCTACCTAGTTGGGGATAGTCTTCGTATGTTTCTAAGCAAACAGGTTCGGTGGTTTCCAACACAGCGATGATCTTCATACCTTGTTTAGCAAAAGCAGGTGCCTTTTTGGATTTCCTGTTGGTACCCTTTTCCAACTTATGCAACAACTGAACAAAATTTACTTCTTCAATTGCAGTATGAACGTGCATAACACAAGAGAAACCGGAAGATAGAATGGATTTCAACTCAACAATAGCGACTTGAGCTTCGAATTTGGTAACAGTGTGCACTGGGTGTAATGTTGATGTTAGCACGTAACCAGTGGAAACATCTTCTTCTTCGACGTTCTTTAGTCTTAATCTTACCTGTTCACCACAGTATGCATTATCTGCCTCAGCTTCAGTTTCATTGTAAATGGTCAGGATTTCAACGGAAACTCTGTTTGGCATCATCAACAAATTTTGACCCTTCTTGATATGACCGGATTCAATTTTACCCTCAACCACTGTACCCAAATCCTTCATTTTTCCTGATATTGGGAGCATGAAAGGATCATTGATTTTTCTTTGAACCAATGGCATGCCATCAAGGTATTCCAATAATGAAGGACCTTTGTACCAAGGACAGTGAGAGCTTGGAATTCTTTCCTTTAGACCTTCACCAGTGTAGCCTGAGACTGGCATAAACACAACGTCTTCCTTTTGATAGCCGACACCTCTCAAAAAGAGGGATAATTTGCTTATACATTCATTGTATCTTTCTTCAGACCAACCCACAGTAGGGTCATCCATCTTATTGATGACAACAATCAATTTATTAACACCTTGCGTCTTAGCTAAAATGGCGTGCTCTCTGGATTGACCACCTCTTTCAAAACCTGCTTCGTATTCACCCTTTCTGGCAGAGATAACCAAAATACCAACATCTGCTTGGGAAGCACCACCGATCATTTCAGAAACATAAAGTTTATGACCGGGAGCATCCAAGATTGTGTAACGTCTTTTGTCAGTCTCGAAGTAAGATTTACCAACTTCGATAGTTTTACCATCACTTCTTTCTTCCTTGTTGGTATCCATAATCCAAGATAAGTACCATCCTTGTCTACCTGCGTCTTTGGCTTCTCTTTCGTACTTCTCAACAGTACGTTTATCAACAGCACCAGTCAGGTACAAAATGTTACCACCCATAGTTGACTTACCTGCATCGACATGGCCCATGAAAATGATCGAGACGTGATCCTTACCACCAAACATGTCATTGACAACAGCAGGATCAACTTGGTCTGCTTGTTCCTTTGCAAGAGCTTCCGCAGTTGCTGTATTGTTTTGCAATTTACTAGCGGAGACAGATGGTGCTGGTGTTGTCTCTTTTTTGGATTCAGCTTTTGGAGCCTCTGATTTTGGTTCCTCAACCTGTTTTTCAACGTTCTCCTCAATCTTAGGCGCTTCTGCTTTGATTTCTGCCTTGGGTTCTTCCTTAGCTACTTCCTTTGCTTCTTCCACCTTTGGCTCCTCCTTCTTCTTAGTGGCAAGCTTGACAGTACTCGACTTCAAATTGAGCTTTAAAGTTTTCTTCTTTGGAGCAGCATTGAGCTTTTCTTGTTGTTGCTTTTGATACTCTTCAAAACTCATTTGTTGCGAGCCAGAAGTTTCCTGTTGCTGATCGGTATCTTGATAGCCGTTGCTATAGCCGTTGTTAAAGCCACCGTTATAGTTGTTGTTGTAACCGCTGTTGTAGTTGTTGTAGTTGTTGTAGTTGTTGTAATTGTTGTTGTAATTTTGGTTGTTGTTATAATTGTTTCTGTTATTATAGTTGTTGGAACCACCCCTTCTGTTGTTGAAACCACCTCTGTTGCTGTTTAAATTGTTGTAATTTTGGTATTGGTTGTAGTTCTGTTGTTGAACTTGTGAAGGGTCAAACTGAGGGACAAATTGCTGGAAGTTCATGTTGGGAACGAAAGCATTTGCGTTGTTTGGATCGAATTGACCACCCAAGTTGACATTTTGCAAACCCTGAGCAAGGTTGTTTGGATCAAACTGGTTCTGTTGTGCTTGTTGTTGTTGCTGTTGCTGTTGGTCAGACATCTTATAAAACGACACTATTCCACAATAAGTTGGGTTTTTAAAGCTTTTCAGAGTATCACAATTCTTTCCGACGACAGTTCAGGATGAATAGCTGTGGAAGCTCTACATTGAAAAATTTTATGCAGATTAATTGGAAAATGAATATGATCCGAGAAAATAAAAAAAACAAAGAATATACCGTAAAAAACCAAATCGTCGCGTCGATTTTGAACAAGTTACACGTGATCTGCTTACTGTAATTTGCAAATGAGCATCCGTGCACCGTGACAGAAAATGGGGCTTCCTCCTTGTTTCATCTCTGCTTCAGCAGGGAGGCGTATCATTTTTGTTGGCAATTATCCCAGAAGGGAAAAAGCAAAATAAAGCAAACAGTCAACATGTAAATTTATATTTTGGGCAACAGGTATCCCGGGGATTTGAACCACGCCGTTCAAGAAGGACCAACGTTTTGTTGTATCTTACCCGAAGTTTGGTGCTTTAGTTATACCTTTACCGTTTCTTCCGCTCCTCCTTTCCCTTCTGCTAGCTTATTTTTGCCTACCAACCTGGCCCTTAATTTGACGTTTTTTATTGAAAGGTGGCAACAGACATTAAAAAAAAGATGCTTGACCCTCAAGAGTATCTAGCGCCAGAATACGACATTGGCAAGCTCACAGTAGCCAATTTGAGATCGATTTTAGTTGAACACGAGGCAGCATTCCCTTCAAATGCTAACAAGTCTCAGCTCATTAACATTTTCAACGAGAAAGTCAAGTCGAAAAAGGCAGAAATCTTGAAAAGATATGATGTTGGAGCCTCAAGAAACGATATTATTGATATGACCTCAGGAAACGATAGCAGGAAAAGAGAATCATTGGGCAGTAACGAAAAAATACATCTTAAAGAGCCTTCCCCGGTGTCCGAGAAAGATAAAATCATTCCTTCCAAACGCCATTCTGATCCTACCTCACCACAGAAGAGAAACAAAAGAAAAACCAGAAAAAGGGTGCAGTCGAATTCTTTATCCGAAGATAGCTCTGCGTCACCTGCAGCTTCTTTTTTGTCCATGGAGAAATTTGAGATCGATGAAAACGATAATATTTTCCGTGGCCCAATAGATAATACCCCAATAACGCTACTGAACAAAACCAAATTTTCGGCAAAGAAGTCGAAGGTTCCAGTCAAAGACATCCTTTCTAAATTTGACAAGTCAGTACCTTCCAGTAAGGTGTTCATATCTGGCTCAACGGAATCGAAGGCTAAGTCGGTATCACCAAGCCCAGTCAAAGATTCCATTTTATCTGCAACTAAACCGGTCGACACAGCTAACCAGACAGTTGACAATGCATACCTCACAAGCACAGCAGTTGATACCGCATCGATCTTAGCAAGCAATGATTATCTGCCGAACCGAATAGAGAATATTTCAGCAGGCATAGATCAAGAATTGAATAATGGTGACGTTAATGATCCTCAAACTAGCAACACATTTGACTACAAAAATGATAATGATGCCGCCATTCTAATAAATGATATCTTTAGTTCAAACGAAAGAAGTAAACAGTTGAATGGACCAACCAAGAATATTAAAGCAGCTGAGCCGGTTATCAATATTCCGAGCTCGGATGACGACGAAGCAGAAGTTATTGAGGACAAGGCTGATGAACATTTGGTTTCCACTTTGGATGTGAAGTCTTTTAGTTCCTTAGATACTGACGATGTGAGCTTCAGTCGAGAGTCTGTTGATATTGAAGGGAAAGATGAAGCCAATGAGCAGGAATCCATTTGCCACGAAATGGTTCTCGAAGGGATTGACGAGACTGAGACTATTGAAGGGAAAACTGACAATGAGAACGTTAAAACAGAGCTAGATACCATGGTAACTCGATCCACAATCTCAAAGTTTAGTCATGTGTTTAAAACTCTATGGAAATCATTCCTTCTCACTAGTATTTTGGCGATAGCATTTTTTTCTTTTAGTTTGAGAGAAATAAAGAATAATACTGGTTATTGTGGATTCGAGCATCATGGAAAAACACTAAATCTTTGGAACAGACTTCCTGATTCTTTACAGAATAACTTACAACCGGCGAAGCCATACATCGAACTTTTGGAATCGGGTATGATCAATGTTGCCCACTTTGAGTGTGAAGAGTGTCCAGAAAATGGTACTTGTGACCTGAACAAGCTAACTTGTGATTATGGATATGTGAAAACGTATACGTGGCGATCAGCTTTTGGATTGGTACCGTTGCAGGAAACTTGTGAATATGACTATCTGCGTGAAGAAAAGATGCGCTACTTATCCAAATATACATTGTCTTATCTACACCGTCATAACGATAAACAATTGACGCTGGATGAACTACACGACTACCTGAGATCCACCAAGCCTTCTAGTATGTCAGTGGATGAATTTGAAGGATACTGGAGGAGTTTCGTGGAACATGAACTTTCGCAAGAGCCAGATCTGAGTATCAATTTCAACACCAAAGAAATCACATTGAGTCACAGGACACCCACCGAGTTCTACACTAGAACATTTGGAAACGTTCAGCGTGGAAAAAAGTCAAAGAATCTGTTCAAGAGGACTCCACCAACGGTGGATCTCAAAAACTATTACACGAAGGCTAAGATATGATTACTGTGTGACTTTATTTTTGGTAGTTTCTGGATTATGTATATTATAATGTTTAAATTTTTCTTTTCCCTGTCAATTTTTCATTTCTCAAGGGCTTAATTTACGTTATGTTGAATGCTTTTCAACAAAAGGCGATGCTAGTTGAAATGTTTAGTTGCTTTGTATAAATCTAAGTAATACGGGAGTTATGACAATCACACGGATGGATCAAACACGTTTGGAAGAGCTGTGTTTTCAGTATTGCCTGCGACAGTAGAGGTTTCAGTAACAAGAATTGTCTTTGGAGCAGCAGGAGGAGAAGCCGATTCTGAAGCAGGGTTTATTGCTTTTTCTGGGATTATTGGGCGTTGTTCCTCTCGGGCCACTGGAAGGATTTCTGCTGTAGTTGTTTGTGGCGGCACTTGGGCCTGAGAAGATGCTACAGAAGTAGTTGTCTCCTGTACATCTAGAATAGGCGGGTTTTTCACCTCTATTATGGAGTCATCTGCATTCTGAGTGGTTTTCTCTGCTGGTATTGCGGAGGAACTCGTGATTTCTTGTCTCTTTTTCAGCCTTTCCTCTCTGGACATATGATTGGAGTCGTTTGAAGTAGCATACATCGATTCCTTGAGCTTCTGCCTCTTTGCGGCACGCATCTCGGCAGCCTGCTGCTTGATTATTTCAAACTCTTTCATTCTCTCTTCCTCCTCCTCCTTCTTCCTCTTCTCCTTTTCTTCCAATCTCGACGACCTCTTTCTGTTTGCCATGAGCATCTGCATCTCTATCTCCCGTTTCCTCTGCGCACCCTGCTTGCGCTTCTTCAAGTCGTGCTGCACTATGAAGTCAATGTTCTCCTCCAACTGCTTGCTCAAGGCGTACTCGTCGGAAGAAGTTTTCTTGCCGAACGATTTCTTGAGCTCCTTGATCATGTCGTCGTACTGGTAGATTCCTGCTGTCAAACACTCCCAATGGATCATTGCAGGCTCTAAAGGCTGCAAGTCCTCGTACGGGTTCTTGACTTTGCTATCGTACTCGGACCGTTTCGCCGGCAACGAGAGGTCAGTGTACTCCCATCTCCTCAAATAGAGCCTGGCGTCCTGCAGAATGATGTACTCGTCTCTGGTGTTTTGCTTGTCGATCGTGTAGATGGGGTGGATCTTTAAGCTGAGCTGCGGCTTCTCGAACTTGTCGACAACCTTCCGGAAGTTGGCGTAGCTCTTGGTGTTGGACAACTTCGCCAAGTTGTAGAGTACGTCGATCTGCTCCAAGAGCGGGAGTTTCGAGTACGTGATCAACGGGGTGTCGTCCACGTCGCCATTTTCCTCGTTTTTGATCTGCTCCTCGTTCAGCTCGATCAGATTGTAGTCCTGGTAGATTTGATCGACAAAGAAGTCAAACTCCATGTCGATGTTCTGCAGCTTCTCGTTCTTCAAGAACTGGATCAACTTCGTCTTGAGACTGTTCAAAAACACCGGAGGAGCGATGCCGAGAAGCTCCTCCTCGAGGTTCTCCACGTCAAACGCGTCGGACAACTTGATCACGTGCTTCAGTAGGTAGATCCACTGCACGAGGTACGAGTAGTTGTAGTGGTTTCTCAGCGAGGCTAGCCGTTCCGCGTAGATGGGGTTTTCAATCAGCAACTGCTTGGGGGTCTTCAACAAGTGGGCCTTCGTTTCCTCCGGCACCAGCTTCGAGAGGTGTTCCGCCGGGTGGTCGGTGTATTTCGGGGACTTCAGCACAGGCATGTTCTACTCTCGTGGCGTGCTGCTGTGTGTTTGCAGTTGGAAAAGGGGAACGCTGAAGAGACGCCATTTGCACTTCCAGCTCTTCTAAACAACCATGAGCCGCCAATTCATGCTACGCGGTCCCTCCACACACCCCACTTACACCCGTGCACCGACATGTCTCCCTCCCACCCTCCTTCTCCATGACGTAAGCCGCTCTGCCCCGGCCTTTTTCCTTGCTTACGTACTCTGCCCACACGATCTCTCCCCATTATCCCCGAGAAGGTTCTAGAAGTGTGGGCTCTGACGCAGTGGCTATCGGCCTGCGCTGTGACCGACGTCGTGAAATTTGCACGCCTCGTCTGACTAATCCTTCGCCGAAAAGCGGCCCGGCATCGGCAGAGGTGTGTACTGCTCGGGCTCGGACCGTCCGGCAGCATGTTTCCCCCGGACGTGGCCACTGCCCCAGCTTGCGCCAAGCAGTGACCCAACCCCCGGCCCCAGCTTGCGCCAAGCAGTGACCCAACCCCCGGCCCCGGCCTGCGGGGCTGGCTGTTATCTCCAGGCCGAGCTGCCCGTCTGCGACGTATTATTAATTCCGCGCCGTGCCTATTTTAGGCCGAGCAGGAGGGAGGTCCAGTCCTTGCGATCTCTTGCCGCTCTGCTGCTGCGCAAACTGCGTGTTGTCAGTCAGCTGTCTGGTTTCATATTCCTCTGCTCGTGACGTTTCCTTTCCTTGGTGCTGTTCTTTTCTTCTCTGCTAGCGGCCTGTATCTTCTACCACCGCACACCGTTTGCACCAGCTAGCCTAGAACATCACAGTCAGGCTGTAACGACCAATTCCAGGCAAACCCCGCACACCCGTCCATCACAGACGGATTACAAATCACCGGAAAAGCACACCAAACAGAAGCTGAGGCAGCAGAAAAAAGCACAAAAGTCTGCAGAAACTCCAGAAAACAAAAAAGACAAAAAAAACACACAAACCAACCCAAGTTTACCCATTTCTAGCACTACATTCGATTGCTTTGCTTGCACCGACCAGATGACTTCAACCCTAAAGCGCACGATCACAGACATCATGGAGGACGAACTATACGCACCTGCGTTCAACGACAAGCAACAACAACAGCCGCAGGCCAACATGGAATTTCCTGCGTCCCAGCAGTCGCAGAACGACTTTCTCCAGTACCTCTCTCTCCCAAACGCTTCCCAGGACTCGCTCCAAAAGATGGCAGAGCCTGAAAACCAGGTGATAGATCACAACGGTAGCACCAACAATAGCGCCGCCGCCGCCGCCGCCGCATACGGAAACTCCCCAATGTCGAACCTGGATGGCATCTACAACTCCTACGGTGACCCTAATCTGTACACCAACCCGCAGCTACCCGACTACCTTTTCAGCAACACAAACAACGACACGAACTCCCAGAACATGGTGGACGAAGACGGCATTATCATCAACCCGCAGATAACCAACGTCGACGACCACCCTTACAACTACAACTACATCCCTCAACACAGCCAGATCCAAGCCAACACCAACATCAACAACAACAGCTCCAGCAGTCCTCCAGTCGATGACGCTCAGGATGACATTTTGATGATCCCTCAGGACAACTACTTTGTGTACGACCACCAGGATCCGCAGTTCATACCTGAAATGCTCCAGATGGAGTTGTCAAACAAATCGTTCCCGCAATCCAATGAGTTGAACATATTCAAGGCCAACGACGTCTTGTACGAGTTCTCAGATGATGAGGACGAGGACGATGACATTGATCTGCAGAACAAGTTGGACGACGACATGGAAATGAAATTGGACGACGACGATAGCAGTTATGACGACGACTCAAGCTGTGCTGGAGAATCCTTGGGCGACGCCGAAAATGACAATGCCAACAACTACATCGCAGCCAATGACAACTCGATCTACTCTTTGACCGTTCCAAACCAGTTCAACTCGATATCTCTACCCTCGTTGAATCAAAACCAGTTTTCTCAACAGCCTACTCCGCTAACCTCTTTCAACAACATTGATTTTTACGCAAGCGATAACGACGACGAAGAGGAAGATGATCACGGAGTAGTGGACGACGACGACGACGACGAAGAAGAAGACGATTTTGCCATCGACATGGACACAGATGGTGACCTATACACGTCTGCCTTCCAGGAAAGAAAGGAATCCGTCATTGGTGACTCAAGACCTCTGGTCAAAAAGGAACGTATTTCGTCTCGTCCTACAACTAGACCAAAGAGGTACAACAGAAGAGCCTCCACACATATCCCTACTGCTCCAAATCTTCCATCATCACTCAGAAAGCCTAGATCCAGCGACACAAATACCAACGGCCTCGATTTTGCCGCCGCCAAAGCTGCTGACGATGCCGCCACTGCCACCATTGGCCACGATACCTACGACAACAAAACTCCACTTGCAGACAATGACGATCCGAAGGAGGATGAAGAAGAACATGTCTGCATCATTCCAAACCCAAAGACTGGGAAGCCATGTCTCAAGAAATTCTCAAGACCTTACGACTTGGTTAGACACCAAAACACCATACACGCATCCAAAAGATCGTTCTACAGGTGCATGTTCTGTGAAGATGACTTGAGAAGAAAACATGACTTGGAGTCTATCAACAAGATTGTTGTTACATGTAAATACAGAAATACTCAATTCTCAAGGGATAACTCACTCTCTCATATTACCAGTTCTCACAATGTCAAGAAGATCAAATCCGGCGCGTTGAACAACTCGGGCTATTTGAGCAACAAGACGTTCAGCCGTTGTGACGCTCTTACAAGACATTTACGTTTCAGACATGGTCTAAACAACAACCAGGTTGTTGACGCCATGGAATTCGCAAAGAAAAATGTCGAATTTTACGACAACTAATTCTAAGGATTTTTTTGTTTCCCAATTTTTGAATCATATCAACTTTTCTATTTATCTTTTAAACCTTTTTAATTCTTCATTATCATTAAATTTTTCTTTTTTTTTGACGATTTCTATTCTCTTCTCTTTGCTTCTCTTTTCTACTTGTTTTGGTAATATCTACTTATCTCTTCTTTCTACTTCCTCTATACTATTTTGAGTTTTTCTATATAATATTTATCATGCTAAAATAATTATTTTTTTTAGTTAAACAACTGAGTAAAAAATTAAATAGGTAAGTAAATTAAGGTAAATCAAGAACTAAAATGGGTAACTGTCAGGCTCGGTGTCAACTGTGTAACCCTCGGCTTCCTGAATCTTGGCCTGCTCTTCTAAGTATGGCAAGAGGAGACCATGGAATTTTTCATAACCTCTATAACGCTTGACATCTTCATCCCAACTCAAAATACCATCCAACAACCTCTTTGGAATGTAAGGCTCTTTGCACATCTTTGTAATAGGTAAGAAATACGTTCGGATAGTGAACACTATGCAGCCTGAGATTGGTAACCTCCTGACAGACTGTCTTTCTGAACGATAATACATCTTATTGATATCTGTGGCAACTTCAGCTGTGTTCCAACCAACAACCTCCTTGTCCTCAGGACCAATCGACGAGGACCATGCTAGGTCTGCATCAGTCTGTAGAAAGTAGTTGTTTCTGACAACTGGCTTATCGCAAGTGAGTCTGGAGAAAAACTTTTCCATTGGTCTTTTCAATTTTTCATTGTACTTTGGCACATCTCCCGTGGTATGGATAGCACTTAATGGAAGATTCAGTTTGTCCCGTAAACGCCAGAAACCAGCTAGCATGATAGCACCACCTTTCAAGATGTACTGTCCATTTTCGTCCTCTTTTAAAATTGCCAAATCATCTTGAACCATGAGTGCAGCCATTTCCATAGGGTCTTTCTTAAATTCATTTCTAGGGACATTGACGAACTCAAAAACTTCGCCTGTGACCAAATTGTTGATACCCTTCTCGGTCTTCTTGAACAAGGTTGGATATCTAGTTGGTAAAAAGTTTCTGAACTCTGTGAGTAATTCGATGGCAGCATCCCACACCACTGGGTCGGTCCCAATCAACTCATGACCACGGTCGGCGATTCTTTCAACCTTGTTGTTGTGGTACTTCATCCACTCATTGTCTAACTCGATCCACGAGTTCCAGTCCATCGACCGAATACCCATGGTGAAAAAGTATGTGTGCTTGAAAGCACGGTATGGTAGTGGGGTGGTGTCTTTGACGGACCAGCCTTTAAACTCCTCCACTGGTGGATAAGTGAAAACCTCAGGGGTCCACGTTCCGAGCTTGCGGTTCTTGTTGTTTGCTACTTTAACAGGCACCGGGGTGTAACTTTTCATCAACGCAAGGCTTTTAACGGTACCGCTTTGCGACTTCTTGCTGATAGCCAGATACACGCAAAAGCCCAGCACCGAGAGCACAGCCAAAACCAAGATTGGGGATGTGCTCGAAAGGTTCAACCCGCCACTGGTAGAAACTGTTGGCATCATTTCGTCTATATTTTTGAACTTACTAAAGTGTTTCGATTGTCGACGAAATTGCTCTGCGTAAAGTAGTGTGAATATATGACTAGAAAGGCACGATAGAATGGGTTGAAAAAAGGAATCAACCGAATTTGAGCCCCTTGCCATCCAGTTAGAATTCGTGAAATATAATGTGCACAACACGCCGTTTATAAGGTAACCCCCCCTAGGTTCAGACTTTTGACCACAGATTGTTATCAATGTACAAAATTACCTAAATAGGCAAGCGGACCCTGATACGGCGAGCGTCGCAAATGCTTCGAGATGTCTCTTTGGGACATGTTTGACGTACCGCTGCTGCCCCGGTACGCGTGGTGATGACAGCTAGCAGAAAACAGACGATGCCACCATACTATACGGGTGGAGCTGCTATACCTTGGCTGGCCTGGCGATGGAGTGTGTGTGTCTTAGCCTCAAAGTCAGACGACTTTCTCTTTTGCCATCCGCTGCCACGAAGCGTTTTCTGCTTCGGGAAACAACATGCTTCCACCTACCACCGAAGAGAGGTATATTGTATCTATCATCAACACTTGTGCTATACCTACTGTTCTTCAGCAAATCCCTTACCGTAACCTACCCCCTTCTCGCCAAGGCTGACCTCGGCCAGCCGACCTGCTGAAATCCAGCCCCAGTGCGATCACGTGCGCGGAACCGTTATTTTTTCCCGGTGGTTCGATTGGATTTGAGATCAACGGCTGGAAGAGCAGAACTGACCATTTTCAGACACGGTAAGATCCGGGGCAGAATACCGGAAACGAACCGCTGTATTGTTGTGGTGCTGTAGAAGCTGTTGCGTCTAGCGGAGAGCCAAAGGAGACTTTTTATCTTGTTGCAGAGACCCAAGTAAGAAGGGACATCACGAGACGGTATCTAGCCACGTATCGACATTCAACAAACTAGGTTCCACTTTTTGAAGAAATCCACACACCATGGGGAGCTGTTTTTCAAAAGATTCGAAGGTACGCATCGAAAAAATTGGATTGGATCCGCTAGGAATTATCCCGCAGACATAGGAGTCGAATACTGACCAGAACCGTTTTCTTTTCTTTTTTCAACCTTTCGTGCAGGATGACGGACGAAGTCCTCCCCACGCACACAGATCTAGAACACACAGCAATGAAAGCTTGCAGAAGCAGGCCATAGACAGCAATGCTTCGCCTACGGAGCTCAGAGTATTGATGCTAGGGTTGGACAACTCGGGGAAAACTAGTACGTAACTTCACACAATTATGCTTGAGTACCACGGTATTAGGGGCTCGACTTGACGAACGAATACTAACATTTTTCTCCTCCTCTTTTTCCTTTTACTGTGTACCTAGCTGCTCTGTACAAACTGAAGCTGGGCTCCGCTGAAGATACGGTCCCCACCGTTGGGTTCAATGTCGAGACGATCAAGTACAGAAACATTTTGATCAATGCGTGGGACGTCGGTGGCCAGGAACGGCTACGTGCCCTCTGGAGACACTACTTCTCGGGAACAGACGTGTTGGTGTTTGTAGTTGATTCGGCGGACACAACCAGAATCGACAAAGCCAAGGCCGAGCTGTACAAAGTCCTTGCGGACAGGGAATTGAAAGATTGCGATATGGTCATCTTGGCCAACAAGCAGGATCTGGAAGGCGCCATCGATCCGCAGGAAATCATCGACAGGTTCGATCTTAAAAGCTTGGAGACACACCAGTGGAAAATTATACCAACCGTAGCCACCGAGGGAACGGGACTGCCAGAGTTGTTGGATTGGATATCAAGCAAATACGACCACTGATAATGACGTCCACTGTGAAGGAAGTCTAGATATACGTAGATAGATAGACAGGTAGATATATCGAGAAATAAATACATACGCCGGAAAATGTATACATGGCTCAAACAGTCAACGTGGTGACAGTCCCGTCGGCGTTACCTATGTAGGCCTTCTGTGCCATGCCGACAAACAAACCGGTCTCCACCACACCGACCATCGCCTTGATCTTCGAGTTCAAGTCCGCCACCTTAGCAGCGGGAATCTCACCAAAGTCGCAGTCGATGATAAAGTTGCCGTTGTCGGTGATGACAGGTCCCGCCTTTGCAGGAGCACCCGGTCTGACCTTCGGAGCGCCACCCAGTGCCGTTAGCTCCTTGATGATCTTGTTGTACGCATTTGGAATGACCTCAATCGGAATGCCCTTCTTCCAGCCCTTGCCCAACACACCCGTGTTTTTACGATCATCTGCAACAATGATGAAGTTCTCCGACGAGTCTGCAACAAGCTTCTCCTGCAAAAGACATGCACCGCCACCTTTGATGCAGTTCAATCCGGAGTCGATCTCGTCGGCACCGTCAAATGCAATATCAATCGTAGGGTTTTCCTCCAAACCTCCCAACTGGATCTTGTTATCAATAATCAACTGTTTGGACTGGAACCCCGTAGGAACACACACAAACTCCGCCTTGTTTGGCATCTTGCCAATACACTCGGCTACATACACTACAGTGGATCCGGATCCAATACCAATGATTCTGTGGTGTGGCTTCAGGTTGTCCTGCACGGCAGCATATGCACACAACTTTTTGGATTGCTCCACTGGGTCAACGGGAGCGGCAGACGTGGACATTTTCAACAACGAGCTTGACGATCCAATGTTGAACTTGCGCAAACAACAGAAAATGGTTCGAGATGTGACAAAAGGCATCACATCACATTTTCTGCGCAAACAACGGACCCAAACCGGGGCTCCAGAGAAGAAAACGGGTAACCTAGGTGGCCAAATTGTGTGGGGTTGTTCGGTTAGGGTCATCTACCGAATTCATGCACGAAATTTTTTTTTCCCACTTTTCTGTCCTCACCCCCTATTACGTAAACATTAGAGGGTTTGTGCAAAAGGGGTTTAAAACTCACGTGCTTGTACCAAGGGTTTCTTGCTAGGATGGCCACCGCGCACCCCACAGAAACGCTTTTGCTCAGCATTCGCGAGCCGGATTCTGCTTCTCGCTGGCAGCCAATTTTTTTTCACATAGCGACAGAGTGAGGGTCTGAGCGGTTCCAAGATTTCGTCGCATTGATATGATGGAAATTCATTACATCGGGTTAAGAAACAGAGGATTGAACACAGCTTGAAGTGAAAGTTCGAACTACAACCACAACCAACAATCATGTCTGCTGCAGCAAAGGTCCTAAGTGCTAACCCAACTGAATTAGAATTACAAGTTGCTCAAGCTTTTATCGATTTAGAAGCCAACTCCGACTTAAAGGCTGAATTGAGACCACTTCAGTTCAAGTCCGTTAAGGAGATTGAGGTTTCGGGTAACAAGAAGGCTATTGTCATTCTTGTCCCAGTTCCATTATTATCTGCATACCACAAGGTCCAAATCAGATTAACCAGAGAATTAGAAAAGAAGTTCCCAGATCAACACGTTGTCTTCCTTGCTGAAAGAAGAATCTTGCCAAAGCCAGCAAGAGGTTCTAGATTAGGTCAAAAGAGACCAAAGTCCAGAACTTTGACTGCTGTCCACGAAAAGATCTTGGATGACTTGGTCTTCCCAACTGAAATTGTTGGTAAGAGAGTCAGATACATGGTCGGTGGTAACAAGATCGCAAAGGTTCTTTTAGACTCCAAGGATTCCAACAACATTGACTACAAGTTAGAAACTTTCCAATCCATCTACCAAAAGTTGACCGGTAAGCAAGTTGTTTTCGAAATCCCATCCAAGACTTTGTAAATTACTTTATAAAACCTTCATCTAATAAAATAAAGATAAAATAAAAAGTATAATATATTGAAAATGAAAACTTTGGAGCAATGAATAAGAACCCAGAACAACCACAAGGAACCGGCCTTGAGAAAGCATCTTACCTTTTACGCTTATCACTCGCCTAAGCATGCAAAAGAGTTGAATTTCCACTTAGCTAAATTTGCTTACTGAGGCTAATGTCGTTCTTTTTCCATTCATCCCTCATTTATCTTCTTCTTCACATCACCTCTTCTCTAGTCTACACCAGTAAATCTTGCTGCTCATATACGCTGTAGTTTAGCTACTTTGTTGCAGTTTTGTAATATATTAAAATTTTCGCTTTTCAGGTAAATCACATCTCAAATTCAATTTTTCATGTTCGTCAAAAATACCTGCAGGTAGACGGCTTCACGCAAGCCATTGTCCACCTGTTCCCTGTATCTGGCCCTACTCAATCTCTACAAGCTCAAAGCACACTTACCAGCCATGTTGCTACGATTGCGAGTGAGATCCGTATCCACTCATTCAAAACGGAAAGCCAAATATGCAGCTCATCTGAATTATTCCACTTCTCACAAAGCGAAGGCTACCTTTGATCTTTCATTGACGAGACCAACTGAAGATGACAAAGTGACGAGACAAACCGACAGAAAGAGACAAACAAATAGAGAGCAGTTAACTAGCAACAAACAGTCTAATCTTTTTGTTTCTCCCTTTAAAGAGGAGTTTTTTGTACCTCCAATTCATATGAATTCAATGATGTTAGAATTCAAATTTGATTTTGGCAAACACCACGATAAGAGGGACCTTATACCTAAGTTGAAACTGCTTCTTGATTCTTTTTTGCAGGAATGCGATACTCCTGCTAAGTTCAATAAAATAGTATGCAAATTAGAACCAATAATAGAGGAAATGTTGATAACAATAGATGATTTGTCGTTTGTGGATTTATTCACCTTCCTCTCTTATAAAAAAATTAGAATAGACAATGACAAGGTAACTAATAGATTTACAGAATTGCTTTCTTCTGAGTTAAGTGTGCAAAATAAATATGACTTGCTATTTTGCAATCGAGAATCTCTCCCAGATGCTGAACCACATATTTCCATCCTTCGCAACCCTCTAACGCAAAAGCAAATGTATAGGATAGCATGTTCATACTCTACTTCCATTATCAAATCAGTAATACAATCATTCTATTTACCTTTACATGATCAAAAGAAAGTTGACGAATACTTGGAGGTCCTTTATGAACGATATCCTAAGAATCAGAATAAGTTTAGAGCTTTCAAATGCTTTATCAATCTTCTCTTACAGAACAATAAACTAGATATTAGAATTTCAGCAAAATACAGCATATCTTATTTGTGTGGTTTTTTGGCTTCACTCACAAGAGCTGAAATTGAAGTTCCTTCGAATTTCTCATTAGATTCCTGGCATGAAATTTTGATAACCGAGTATTTTCAGCATATAAGCTCCAAAACCTTATATAATTACCTCACAATATTTTATGGTGCTTCTCTGCCTGACGAACTTGACTTACTTAAGGATTCATGGGAATGCAAGCGTCTCAATGATGAGCTCATGCGTGATCTTTCTCCCTTTGTCAGCAATGATAGGGCAATACCACTAAAACTTCTTTATTTGCTTTTCAATAAACTATTGGCTGAAGGAGATACTGCAGTGATCAAATTAGCAATCAGATGCTTTCAAAATTTAAAGACAGATACACCGGAGAAACAAGTGTTAAAGAATTATTTCCGCTTTTCTGTATTAAAACAGGCTTTAATTATCAAAGACCAGAAGAATAGTTTGTTCCAGTATTTAATGCAGTATCTTGGTGAAGAAAAGTTTAATCTACCCGAGTTTGAAGAAATTAAGATCAAACCTATATTTGATTATTATGGGAGTGATTTCAGTGGTTTTGTCCATTACTTAAAAACTATCAATAGATCTACTGAGATGTATAAATGCATAGATGCACAAGAAGTTCAGTTGATTATAGATACATTGGGTCAGAGAGAAAAAGAGAAACTAATACAAGTACTCATTAAATGTAACTTCTTATTCAATGGTGAAAGTCCAGTCAAATCTTGGATAAAGCAAAAACCTAGCTTAGTAAAATATGTATGCTCAGGAGGTCAGCTCAACCCTGAGATGAAAAACAGTGAAGCAATAGAGGAAAACTTCTTACTGAGAGCGGTTACCCTATTGACCCCCAATGAACTATTCGATCTTATCACGGATTATGATACTGGGGAATATTTTGCTAAAGAAATACTTTCAACGTTCAAAGTTTACAAAAACAGCTTTGAATACATCTGTGCTCAACTAAAGGTTCTACCAATTGTGAAAGGTAAGACCGGTAGTGTTTATCTTGAAATATTGGTTAGCTTTATGAAGAAGCATAATCTTGATGCAAACTCTATTACAATGGAACAAAAACTTAGACTTTACAATATCTACATAGAAAAGATCATAGATATCAATCATATAAGTGGATTAGGGGTTGCTTGTGCATTGATTCCAGGTTGGAAAAAACAAATATTGAAGTTTTGGGGTATGTCTGAAACACATTTGGTTAAGCTCAAAGATGATAAATATGCCATCACGGAACAGTTAGATGTTACAGCCTCTCTTCTCAAACATTACGTGACCAAGTACAGTGAAAGCAAGAGAGTGAATGCCAAGCTATGGGCAACTTTATTCAAAAATTCTCTAGTTATTGGAACTACCTTGAAGGAAAGTTCTGAAAAGGAAGAGCTTCTCTCACAGCTTTTCAAATATTTCCAGGTACAATGTGTTAAAAAAATGTTCAATCCTTTTACCTTATACAAACTATATCAACTTGCTGAGTCCTTTCAATTAAAGCCTGAGTGGAAAGTGGATATCAATATAGGCAACTACCTCGAGTCATATTACTCTGTGAATATTAATGATGTGGTCTCAGCTAGTGGTGTATCAATTGGAGACACTTTTTCCGTGATAGCAAAATACGAATCTAATGTCGAACTGTCAAGTTCTTTAGTTTCCAGGTTGTTTGAAGAAGTCCCAGAAAATGAGAAGGGTTTTTTTCTTGTTTCATTGAGGAATCTTATGGTTACTGTTCCTTATGCACAAAACATCCACAGTTATATTCATGCTCAGATTTTAAACAAAAATTCGGAAATATACAAACTTTTTGGGTTGGATATGGAGAATCCCTTAACTAATAGTCCAAATTCGAGAAGATCAAAATGGATGAGATTTGATGTTAGATATTTCTCGCCATTACTCGAAATATTTATGAAAGATATCATAGCAAAAGAACAGAACACCTCAATAAGGAATATGATGGTGGATTCACTTGCTACTATGAAAACCAATCCAAACAATGATGCACCTATGAGGTTTTACCAGATGTATTGTGATGTTGCATATTTTACCAATCCAAATACATCAGGATCACAATCCCAAGAACTAGCTCTATTCATGACAGAATTCAAGGAAGTTTTCCAATTGGATCAACAAAAACTAGTTTTGCCAGATTATTTGGTAAAACCTTTTGCATACCACTTTCTATATACAAGAATGTTCACATATGATATAAAAACCATTATTCAGCTATTGTACATTTTAACTCAAGGGAATGAAGTATTGGGAGAACTAGGTTTCTGGAAGCTAGGTGAAGAAAGAGAGATTGAAAACCTAAACAGTGAAAATAGTAATATTCCATTCTTTTATAAAATAGAAGACGAATCGGATTTGATGAGTCTTTACAGATTAGTATTTACGGCTTCCAAGAACACTAGTGAAGTTTCAACAAGTGAACTGACTTATATCATCAATATTTCTGAAAATTTGATTAAAGCGGAAAGCATATCAAAACGCAGCAAATATTCGATAATGAATTGCACGTTGATTTTGGTGGGTAAACATTCAAATTTATTGTCAGCATTTTACAAGAAAGCACAACAACTTTTGCCGGAGTATAAGGTTACGAATTCTGTCATTGCAGAATTACTTTATTCCACCATGACCAATGAAATAAGGGACATTGATTCCACATTAGATTATATGATTAGTACACATGAAACGCATTTCATGCATCAATCATGCGAAACTGTGATTAGAAGATTAATTGCTGAGGAGCAAAATGGATTAGCCCAAGAGCTATATGTCAAATACACAGAGAGAAAGCCAAGGTTTAAGATACTAGACCTTAACGATACCCTTTCGTGGGGAAAAGCTAGACAACCTGTAGTTACGATTGATTCGAATGATGGCGTAAATATGAAAATGGATAGATACAAGGTCAAACTTTATGATTACGATTCCTTAGATAAACAAAAAAGCTGATAGAGAATTTATATAGAGCCTTTTTTTGTTGTTTTTAAACATACTTAATTCATACAAAATGATTAAGATAACAACTTTTTCATGCATTGAATGCCTTTAGCATTTCCTGTCTTCTTATTTTGGTCATCTCCTGAAACCCGTGATCAGGATCATCAGTTTTTCTTTTGATGTTATCAAGAGGTAAATTTAATTTTAGTTTACTTCTTGGGTGTCTTTGCTTGTGTTCTTGGCGATGTAAGGGATGAAAATCTTTTTCGATTGGCACTTTGTTTCTATTTAATATTGTTTCAAGTCTGATTGTCTTGTCATCAAAGTGCTCTGCGATGGGCCTTTCGTCACACCATATGGTATTTGGTTGACTTTTGGTGGAGCTAACTAGAGTGTCCGAGTCACTGTATGATGTACTTTCTATATCTGGAATGGCCGCAGCTTTATCTATAATGTCTGTGAGTGTTGCTGCTTCTGAAATAGAGCTTGAAGGGGAAGTAACGAAAGTAGAGTTGTCTGATGAGCGGTGGCAGTAGTTGTACCAGTAAGCTGCAGCTGACAGGAGGACGAGTGTAGATATGACAAAAGAAGAGCTTGAAGATGAGGAGTGCTTGACCGGGGCACTGTATGTTTCGTGAGGCCCAGATGTGGAGATAGAGAAGAAAAGTCTTAGCACTACGAGGGAAAATACCAAAGTAGGTATGTGGACCTTCATTGTGGAGTTTTCTGATATTGTGACGTTGAAGTACAGGTCGATGTTCCAAAACGCAAGCAGGAGGGAATGCGCTAGATTCCAAACGCTCTTGGTAAGTGAAATCACATCTTCCATCTTGATGTCATTGCTCAAGGTCCTTGCGGCCTTGTTCAGACGGGTCGGAGAGGCGTCTGAGGGGTATATCGGTTTCCCATTTCGTAGTATGAAAGGTTCGTCTAACGGATGTAAATTTTGAGCGTTGTCGTCGATGTCGACAGTGACTTCAAAAGCCACGTCTTTCATCTCCTTGCTTCGGAAGCTGTCTTGAAGTGGCATCAACTTGGGCGTTTTTGCACTTTTGTCGAACGGAGCAGCGTGCGGTCTCATGCGGTTACGGAACTGGTTGGAGCTGCTGATGGTCTTCCGTGTCGGAGACGGGGAACGCGTGTTGCCACCCTTGTTCCCAAACCTGTTGAGCAGTTCGTTAGGGTTGTGCATTATATTAATCATGTCTCTGGCGTTTGCCTGTGCGTGTGTATGAGACGGGGTGAAAGGAAGGCAAGTCAAAGGAGACGAAGAAAAGACGGAGGCAGATAAGAAGGGGGCAGATCGAGTGCCACGGGTGCTATATATCGGAGAGGAAGAGAGGGAGCTGATTTCTCGATTGATCTAGCGTGATACGGTGCTAAGGAGGACATTGTCGTGTCACAGATTCACCGAATTGAGGCTGGAAGAAGGAAGCACTGTGGGGGAAAACGGTGGTTGATAACATGCCAGATTAGGAACAAACCAGCCACTTGTCCGAGATAGGCAAGGCTTGTGGCTATCACGGCGGACGTGACGGATATTTTTTTCAACCTCTCCTTTTCCAGTTCCGCATATTTTTCATTTTTCTTCAGTTTCGGTTATTTTCCACCTCCCATTTCCCCTTCAAGAACCGAAAATTTTAATTCATAATAAATATTCATTAGGATATTATCAAGCAAAATATATAAACAAATACTTATATAATAAATAATAATAATAAAAGAAATGGAATAAATAACTTAAACAGACAGATGATATTAGACAAAAGAGTCAATAAAATCAACACTCAGTTAAGTTGCTTATTAGAACTTCTTACCGAACAAGATGATTTGTAATTGATCGTACATGGAAATGACACCGGCACCGGCAACACCTCTCAGGATGTTAGCACCACAACCCTTGAACAAGGACTTGATACCTTCCTTGGCGACAATTTGGGAGAAAGCGTCGAAAGCACCCTTGTATTTGACAGCTTGACCAGAAGTCATCATCATTCTTCTTCTAACGGTATCCAATGGGTAGGAAGCGGTAGAAGCACCAGTGGTGACAGCCCAACCTAACAAGAAGGCAGCCAAGAAGTTGGTTTCCAAAGAGCCAACCAAAATAACTGGCTTCAAGGAGTCGAACAAACCGAAGTACAAACCTCTGTAGACAACAATACCAACAACAGATGGCAAGAAACCTCTGTACAAACCAGCAATACCGTCGGAAGCTAAGGTCTTCTTGTAGACATCGAACAAACCGTTGAATTGTCTTTCACCGTTACCCTTGGAAGCCTTGGCGTCGTTGGCCAATCTAGTTCTAGCATAGTCCAAGGAGTAGACAAAGAACAAAGAAGTACCACCGGCCAAACCACCAGAAGCCAAGTTACCTGCGAACCACTTCCAGTAACCTTCGTCCTTCTTGAAACCGAACATCTTCTTGAACTTGTCCTTGAAGGCGAAGTTCAAAGCTTGGGTTGGGAAGTATCTGATGACGTTAGCGGTGTTACCTCTCCAGAAGGAAACAATACCTTCTTCCTTGGCGGTTCTGGAGAAACATTCGCCGATACCTTCGTATCTCTTGGCCAATCTGCCTTGCTTGAGCATCTCATCTTGGTTTTGGATCAAAAGCTTGACTCTTTCGATTGGTGCAGCAGCAGTCTTGGAGACTGCGGCGGAGATACCACCCATAAGGAAATCAGTCCAGAAGTTGGATTGGAGCTTTTTTTCGCCAGACATGTTTGTTGCTTCTAAAGAATATTATATAGTATACCTCTTGGAGACACCTGCACCAGAAAAGAAATCAAAAGAGAAGGAGCAAAAACTACAGGAGGGGGAGAAAAAAAGGAGAAGAAAGAGAAGGAGGGAGAAAGAGAAGGAGGGAGAAGGGGATGGAAGAGAACAAGCTGGCCTGAGACGAGCACCTTAAATCCTGTCGACTTGGAGAAATGCGGGAAATTGCCGTTAATTAAATAAAGGAGCAGTCGACGAGTTTTTGACCTGAGCGAATTGGCCGCCGCGCTTATTGGCACGTCTGCCGCAACGGCAGCACGCGTCTGAACGGCCACAGCGGCGCCCGGACGACGGCGCGGTCTGCGTGTGGTGAGCTTACGTACTCCGCGGGGCGCCTGCGCCGCGCTCCCATTGGTCAGTTGCGGGAGGGGAAGCGAGGGGCGGTTCCCAGCTGGGGCACTTTCCCTCCGTCCACAGATACTATCTGAAGGACAAGTCCTTTTGTTTTGCCACGACGGGGAGGGGAGAGGCGGAGATGTCTACACTACAGTGTGTACGTGCGTGGGTGCGTGGGTGCGTGTCAGGGTTTGCAGCGATACGCTGCGATACGCTGCGATGGGGGCAGATCGGTGGCCCGGACACGCTGTGCGGTGTTTTCTCGGACGATGTAGACTACCGGGCGGCAGAAACAGAAGGCTGTCGGAATGAAAAAGCCGTTTCCTTCACGGTGGCCGGTGGGCTGCCCGCGTGCTGTTGTCAGCATGGTTGTAGATGTAGTTGGAGCTGCTCACTATCTGCGTAGCTCTATCTGCGTAGCTGCCAGATCGGACCGGATCTGATCTGGCTCGGAAGTGAAATTTTCTTTTTCCGTGGCTCGGGGTGTCCTGGCATCGACGCGTCGGAATTGGGGCCCTGGGGGAGTTTCTTGTATTAAAATTAAAAATTTCATGTTTTATGTATAGAGAAAACTCTTCACTATCGTTTGAGTATACTTAAATTACACAATTTAGTTTAGTAACCTAAAGCAGCCAACTTCTCGGATGCTTCGGAACCAGCAACAGTAGCCTTGGCAGCAGTCAACTTCTTAGCAGCAGAGAGCTTCTTGGCGTAGTATTCAGCAGCCTTGGCCTTTCTCTTTTCTTCCAAGGAGTCGACGATGGACTCGTACTTCCAACCAACAGAGGAGGACAATCTGCCCAAGGTTGTGTACTTTCTACCTGGCTTCAATCTCAAGACTCTCAAAGCTTGTGGAACAACAATCTTCTTCTTCTTGTCGTATGGAGGTGGGACACCTTCGAAGACCTTTAATCTTTCTAATGCAGCCTTACCTCTGGCAGTCTTGTGTGGGATCATACCTCTGACAGCCTTGTAGAAGATTCTGGATGGGGCTCTGAAATGGAATTGACCTCTTCTGTGGTTGAAGTTGGTGGACTTTCTCAAGTAGTCGTGGTACTTTAACTTGTTTCTGAAGAACTCACCGGAGACGTTCATGCTTTCGCATCTGACAACGACGATCTTTTGACCATCCAAAAGCTCCTTAGCAACAATAGATGCTAATCTACCTAATAAATGACCCTTACCTGTAGAAAATGAAAAGATAAAATTTTCATGCAAGCATGAAAAAGCCGTGATGATGTTAGTACTCATGTCCCTGCTGGAGCTTGGTTCAAGGTGTGGGAAGAGAAGTTTCTGTGCTGTTTCGTGCCATGTATGTTCGAGCTGTTCTGGACTCTCTTCTCTCTTGTCGTATGCATATTCCACTGCACGCTTTCAAACGTGTCAGCTTCTGGGCATGTCGCCACTTTTCATCTTTCCTAGCTTCATCCTGCCACATGGGTCAGGTATCTTCTTCCTCTGGCCCGTTCTCCTCGAGTTTGTCTTGGTTTTCACTTGGTCGTTTTCACTTTCACTCTCACTTTCACTTCTCTTCTTTCCCTTTCATTTCTCGTCTAATGCAACATACCGTCAACGACAACAACTGGTTGGAATTCGCTCATTGTGTATGAATATCAAATGTGTCGAGTTGATTAATCAGACAGCTTTTTTGGTTAAAGTCAAGCTCACACACCTACTGTAGTTGCCTGTCTTAATCTCAGCAAACTGAACAAGAAAAATTCACACTACACACACCCTCACAGAGGCCTGCACGCACTCTCGCCCACACGGGGCCTCCCAGAATCCCACCCTCGTTTTTCCCCCGCTCGCCTGGTGACAACCGCACCGCTCATTTCTCTCTTCTTTGCCTGAGGTGTGAGGGTTCCGCGTCTTGCGCGTCCTTCTACTGCTACATGCTTTTCGCAGTCACTCCGTTCCTAATCTGGAAGCCAGGCGCATAATAGCTTTTGTGTGTCACGTGCGCACATGAATTTTGGCGGCTTGCCGCTTTCGGTTATATTACATACATGGTGTACACTCTCTTATCTACTTGTGCTGCAATGCTGCAACGCTGCAACGCTACGCTCCTTACACGTTGTCGTAGACACAGTCGACGAGAACTCTGGGCCCATTGATGAGGACCTGGGTGTCGAGCATACTGCGGACCATGCGGGCGACGTGCTTGACGTTGAAGTTCATTCTCGCCTTGCGCTGGGCTAACTGTGGAGGGATGTTAGTATCTGTTGGGGTCGGGAAGAGCAAAGGGAGAGTCCGGCAGTGTGGGGCTGTGTTCCTACTTACCATAAACGTCACGTCGTATGTTTGGGAGAGCTTGCGAATAGTTCGCATGATACTGACTATCGTCTTGCCTGCTGCCGGATGGGAAGTGGTGTTAGTACTCATGTTTGGGATTTCTTGTTCGCGTCGTGTCGGGCCACACATACCAAGAATGTAGTTTTCGAAAGAGCCGATGTTGAACGCCTCGTCGAGGTCTTCGATGACCACGAGGTTGAACGAGCCCTCGCTCGCCGAAGAGCCGCTGAAGGAGAGCAGCAGTTCGTTCACGATGTCGTGCACCTGGGCCAGCGACAAGCACTGCCACACGAGGACGTTTTCCGAGAGCCGGTCGTGCAGCGTCGGGGAGACGAGCGGCATGTGGTCGACGATGTGTCTGATCCGGTCGGTGTCGTAGAGAAACGACGTCAGGTGGGCGACCCTGTACTGGCCGCACCGCTGGATCTTCCTGATGTAGTACTCCATTGCAAACTGTGGGGAAAGGGGGGACGGCGTGGTGTTAGTAGATGCACAGGTGAGAGGTTCGCTGTGTGGCGGAATGGAGCGGTACGCACGTTTGACGCAAACTGGGGGGTGTGGTTGTTGAGGTTAAACTCGACCACGGAGAAGCATTTGTCAATTTTGCTGTCTGCCAGGTCTAGGTCGTGCTGGTCCATCGGTGGCTCGAGCCGGTGGCTATGTCGTGCAGGGGCCAGAGGGCACCTGCGATAAGGTCTGTGTCTGGCACGGACACGTTCTGAAAAGGAGAATTTCCGTGCTCTCGTGGCGCGTATCGGTGTCGAGGCCTGCGGAGGGAGGGGGGTCTGGATATCGGTATTACGTTCCTGTGTGTATAGAAAAGTGTAGGCGTAGGCGTCGGCGTAGGCGTAGGGGGGCTACATGACGGCGCAGCAGGAGTGCTCCGAGGTGCCTGCCGCCGCCCCAGGCGCCGTGGGCACCGTCGTGGCCGTCGCAGGCGCCCGCTGGCGGCTGGACACGCTCGTCTTCTCCGCCGTCGGCACAGACCGTCTGGACGCCGACCTCGCGTGCGTCGCCGTGAACGCAGGCACCGGCTCGTTTGCCCGTCTCACGCGGACGCCCGCCCCCGACTGCAGCAGCCTCACCGGGTTCTTCACCCGCCCCAGAGGCCCCGCCGCCGCCGCCGCCGCCGCCGCCGCCGGCTCCCTCACAAGCAGATGGAACACCGGCGACGTCTCCACGTCAAGCGTGCCCAGACACCCGTTGGGGTCGAGCCGCTTGCCAAAGTGCAGAAGCTGGATCTGCTCGACGCTCGCAGGCCGCTCCAGCGGCTCCGTGCTGCCCACAACCGTGTCCCACGCGTCAAACACGTACTCCCGCAGGTCGCCCACCTTGAACTGCCCCGCCTCGTCTGCACCGTACCCGTAGTCCCCGAGAACCCCGGCATCCACCACCACCCGATGTCTGCCGCCCGTCGGCGTCACGAGAAACAGCGCTGTGTCCACAAATCCGTTCCCGCTCGACTGTCCCATGGCTTTTTCTCTGTGTCGTCTCTTCTCCGTCTCTCCTCCGTCTCTTCTCCGTCTGTTCTCCGCCCCCTCTCCCTCCGCCGTCTCCCGTCTCTCCGTCCTCCGCAGAGCCTCCATCTGCCCCGTCTGCCCCGTCTGCTTCAGCGCCACCGCCTCACCACTTTTGCGGCCCCAGCGCCGAGCGCCAGTCCCACCCGCATTGGGCCTCCAGATCGGTCTCGGACCTGCGGAGCCGAGCCCTCCCCGCAAAAACGCACCCCGCGGGGGCATCCCACGCGCGCCCGGTCCCAGGCAGCAGCATCCCGCGCGGGATGGCAAGGGCAGCGTGGGATGCTCTCCCGCTGGCTATCGGGTCTCCTTTCGGTCAGCTGCCATTGGCCGATGTTTCTCCACGGTGTGGCACACCGGGATGGGGCCATAAGTAGCCCCGGATGGCCACCAGGGGAAGAAACAGAAGAAGTGGAAGGGACAGCAGGTGAGGCATCGAGAAAGGCGTGTAGGTGGCAAGACAGCAGGACGCGAGAAACGGGAACTGTGCAAGCTACAGATACGCAGATACACAGATACACAGATACACACAATGTTGAGGAAACAGCTGGCTAGAACACTCAACGTGCGGACACCGCTGGGGCGTTCCGCCAGGGTGCAGAGAAGGACACTCTCGGGGACAGCAAAGGTGGACAAGGCGTCCTGGTCAGGCTACACGTACTCGTTTGCAGCGCTGACGGCAATTGTGTCGTCCGGAGTTTACTGGGGGGCCGTGTCCGACACGTTCTCGAACGAATCGTCGGCGCAGACAGCCGGCACCGTCTCCGTGGACGAGTTCGTCAAGCACAGCTCGAAGTCGGACTGCTGGGTGGCGGTGAACGGCAAGGTCTACGACGTGACGGACTTCGTGCCAAACCACCCCGGCGGACAGGCGCCGCTGCTCAAGCACGGCGGCCACGACGCCACAATGCTCTACGAAAACCTCCACCCGAAGGGCACGATCGAGAAGTTCTTGCCTCCGGACAAGTTCAAGGGGGTCCTCGACGGCGAGGCTCCGAAGTTGGCCTCCGACTACGCCGTCGACGACGACGACGAGGCCACCCGTCTGGAGTACATCGAAAACAAGCCGCCGCTCTCGAACATGCAGAACTCCTACGACTTCGAGCAGGTGGCCAAGAACATCCTTCCCAAGGACGCCTGGGCCTACTACTCGTGCGGGTCGGACGACGAGATCTCCATGAGAGAAAACCACTACGCCTACCAGAGAGTCTACTTCAGACCCCGCGTCTGTGTGGACGTCAAGGAGATCGACACCTCCTCGACCTTGTTGGGCTCCGAGACCAGCGTGCCCTTCTACGTCACCGCCACCGCTTTAGCCAAGTTGGGCCATCCGGAAGGTGAGTGCTCCATTGCCAGAGGCGCCGGGAAGGAAGGCGTCATCCAGATGATCTCAACCTTGTCCTCCATGTCACTCAAGGAGATCGCCGATGCCAGAGTTCCAGGCGCCACCCAGTGGTTCCAGTTGTACATCAACGAGGACAGGAAGGTCGCCAGGGAAATGGTCAAGGAGGCTGAGGAATTGGGCATGAAGGCGATCTTCATCACCGTTGACGCCCCATCGCTCGGAAACAGAGAAAAGGACAAGAGAATGAAGTTTGTCAACGACACCGACGTCGACTTGGGTGACACCGTCGACAGAGACAGCGGTGCCTCAAAGGCCCTTTCCTCCTTCATCGACTGTTCCGTCAGTTGGAAGGACATCAAACAGGTCAAGTCCTGGACCCATCTCCCTGTCTTGATCAAGGGTGTGCAGACCGTGGAAGACGTCATCGAAGCTTATGACGCTGGTTGTCAAGGTGTCGTTTTGTCGAACCACGGTGGTAGACAGCTAGATACTGCTCCACCTCCAATCGAATTGCTTGCCGAAACTGTTCCTGTCTTGAAGAAGTTGAACAAGTTGAGACCAGACTTTGAGATCCTTGTCGACGGTGGTGTGAAGAGAGGTACAGACATCTTGAAGGCCGTGGCCATCGGTGGTAAGGACGTCAGGGTCGGTGTCGGAATCGGTAGACCTTTCCTCTACGCAAACTCCGCCTACGGTGAAGATGGTGTCAGAAAGTTGATCCAGATCTTGAAGGATGAGTTGGTGATGGACATGAGACTCTTGGGTGTCACCAAAATTGACGACCTCACCTCCAGACACGTCGACACAAGACGTCTAATAGGTAGAGAGGCAATCAACTACCTTTACGATAACGTCTATACCCCAATTGACGCAGTCAAGTTCAGCAATGAAAGCTGAGCTAGGCAGCCAGGTAATTGAAAAAAAAAAGTTCTACATTTTTTTCTTTTCCATTGTTTTCTGACTCATTTCGAATGTACCTTACCTTCGCTTTTACTTTCTTTCCCTACTCTTCCATCTTATTCTCTTAAAATTTCTTACTTCTTCTATCTGTGCCACTGATTATTATACATGCTAGTCTAGTCTAGAAGGAAAAAAATAATCATATTTAACGAAATAAGATAGTAAAACGTCCAGTATACATTCTCCTCCCGCTCAGTTCTTCTCGATCGTGGATTCTTCGTTGACTAGCATCTGGTTCAACAAAATTTGTTTCTTTAGCCAGAAATACCTCGCTGAGTTGTTGTATTTCACAAGCTCGGCATCCAAGAGCTTCCGTAACCTTATCAACTTTGCATAATAGGTTGTCTGGTTGTGTATTATGGAGCGTAGTTGCTCTATCGATAGGTCGTCAATGTCTGCCAAATCAGACACAGACGCTAATTTTCCCTCACTTTCCAGCTCCTCCCTTTTCAAAGAATACATTTCCAAGGCCCCTTTGGATTTCTCCGTTATATCCTCAAGTGCTGGCGGGTTGAACTTTATGCTTTTCAGCTTGAAGTGGTTCAAGATTTTCTGGTCGACCACCTTGTCTGTAGTCTTTCTTTTCTTCATTTGATGGTACGAGTCCAGTAGGTTCTCGTGTCTCATGGGTGACTCGTTTCTGATTCTCTTCTCAACATTCGACGCTATCTTCTTCCCGCTGAGGTTAGGATCGATTCTGAACTCATTCTTGGTCTGGAACTCGTGCAGGCTGCCAATCAGCTTGTTGTTGAGCGTCTCGTACGAGTCCATCAAACTGTTTGACTCCACCTCATGCACAGTCTTCAAATGCTTGAGCAAGGCGTCGGACCTCGTGAACGATTTGAGACACTCCGGTAGTATGCAATAGAACGGCTTCTCCCCCGTATGCGTCCGTATGTGTGATAAAAGCGCAAATCGGCTGTGCTGCAGAGTCCCCTTCCTGGAGCAATTCTCCCACTTGCATATATATTCTGCGCCCGTGCTGGACTTCTTTGATCCAACGTGGTCTTCGTTGATGTGCTGCACCAAATCATCCAGCTCACGAAAAGACGTCTTGCACTCGCTCCATCGGCATGGATGCACATCCTTTGAGTCTGTGTCTATACTGCTGGCGCCGTTTAAAAGACTGCTAGGACTCGAGTCCTTCATCCTTTCAGCCCTGGCTCTCTCCATGTTAAGGAATTCTGCCTCGAGATCGGCATCTGTAATGTTTCTGGCACACAACAGGTCCTCTTCCAACGTTTCCGACTGGAAGTTCATATCTGATTTCTTTCTTCGTGCTTCCTTGGTCGGCGTCTTCTGTCGCTGAAGGCCTCTTCTTTGCTACAGTAGAACATTGCCTCTATCGCTGTCTGCTTCCCTGAAACATGTATCCTGCCTTCTATTGAAGAAGCTCTTGTCTCCTATCGCGTAAGCAGCTGCCACTTTGGGACGCTGTTCAGTAAGCCCCGATTACATGTGCTCGACAACTCGCATTTTCATCCTCCTTCATCAGACAGGTTCTTCCCCTTGAGTAACGCTGGCTCAGGCCTTCAGGCGTAGAAAGAAGAACACAAGATAGATCTGACACGTTGAGTCATCAAAAAGGAAACAGGACAGACCTGAAACAGCAAAATGTCTGACTTACAACTAAACATCTTGAAGGTCTTGGGCGCCAAGGGCAGCATTCCCGACTCCACTGTGGAATTTCCAAATGAAGATTCCCAGCAAATCCAGGCTGCGTTGAACTCCCTGCTTGCCAGAGCAATGGTCTCCTACAAGACCACGGAACACGAAGTGTACAAGCTAACCGAAGAAGCCGAGGACATTGTCCAGCACGGCTCCCATGAATACAGACTTTTGAACAAGGTCATTGAAAGTCTCGAGGGTTTGAAAGTCTCTGACGTTGATTCCGTGATGGGCAAAAACGGTAAGGTTGCGCAAGGTCGTGCGTTCAAAAATTGCTGGATCGGTAAGGAAGGTGACAAGATTATTGCCAAGGTCGGCAGTCCGGCTGAAGTCGACGATTCCACAGCTTTACAGTTGAAGGAAATTGTAAAGACCGGAACCTTATCTAACAAGAAAGATTTGGCAGACTTGAAAAAGAGAAAGTTGGTTGTTCCTACAAAGTTCTTCTCATTTGCCATCGAAAAGGGACCTGAGTTTGCGCTAGAAATCAAGCAGTTTGAAACGGATATCACAGCAGACATGATTTTATCTGGTTCTTGGAAGTCTGCCAGTTTCAAACCATACAACTTCAACTCTGAAGGTGATTTGCCACATTCAGGTGCATTACATCCTTTGAACAAAGTCAGAGAAGAGTTCAGACAAATCTTCTTCTCCTTGGGTTTCTCAGAAATGCCATCAAACCAGTACGTGGAATCCGGTTTCTGGAACTTCGATACCTTATTTGTCCCACAACAACATCCGGCTAGAGATCTACAAGATACTTTCTACTTGAAAGACCCAGCTACTGCTCTTCCTCCAAGCGATAAGGAATACTTAGAAAACATCAAGGCCGTCCACCAAGATGGTGCTTTTGGTTCTATTGGTTATAGATATCCATGGCACCTTGAAGAATCGCTTCGTACGGTTCTTAGAACACATACAACTGCAATTTCCTCTAGAATGTTGAAGGAGTTGGCAAAGGATCCTAAACCGACAAGATTATTCTCCATCGACAGAGTTTTCAGAAACGAAGCTGTCGACGCAACACATTTGGCTGAATTTCACCAAGTTGAAGGTGTCTTTGCGGACTATAACCTCACGTTGGGTGACTTAATTGGTTTCATGCAACAGTTCTTTGAAAAGATGGGAGTGACAAACTTAAGATTCAAACCAACCTACAATCCATATACCGAGCCTTCCATGGAGATTTTCTCATGGCACGAAGGTCTAGGGAAATGGGTCGAAATCGGTAACTCTGGTTTGTTCAGACCAGAAATGTTGGAACCAATGGGATTGCCAAAGGATATGAGAGTCCTAGGATGGGGTCTATCCTTAGAAAGACCAACAATGATTAAGTATGGAGTTAGTAATATTAGAGAGTTGTTGGGTCACAAAGTCAATCTAGATTTCATCGAAAACAATCCAGCCGCAAGACTTGATGATGATATTTTATAAATCTTGTAAATCATTCCAACATAAAAACTAATAATTCTAAACAATAATTAGCAGGCACGCAATTTGATCCGAAAAGTGGTGATTTTGGTGGGGATATGCTGATGCTGTGCTGATGAACTTATTGTCAAATAACTTCTCTAAAACGCTTGCATCACTTATAATATCTCAGTATCAAATACCAGAGCATCAATTGATCAACGCAAGACTTAATGACTCCCGCTTTTCATTTACCAAATCCTTCCACCTTAGCACTCTCAACCCAAGATCTACTTCTTTCCATACGGCCAGAATAGTTTCTTGAGCAGCTTTCAAGCTAGTCGATTCTCTAATCGTCTGAATCTTGTTCAATTTGTCTAAAACAAACCACCTTTCTTTCTCATAATTTGTTGCGACTACCCCTAAGATAAATATTGGCCAAAGTAATGTCACGGACAATTCTGGTAACAAATCAAGTAGCTCCAATATTTTGGACTTGGCTTTTTCCATCTCTCTTCTATTGATAAGAAACTGCTTTGTTACAACACCGTTTTCCTGGTACACTCCTTCCAAGTCAATCCGGATAAACAGGTAAATCAATGTCGATAGTTTTTTGATCTCTGCAATGCATTTTATATTAATCTCAGACTCATCGTCATCGTTTTCTGTGATTTGAACTTCTTGATTGAGGTTCTGAATTTCAAACACAATCTGTTCTCTACGGGAAGAAATGTCCGACTCGAATTCATGCCTTGTTTCTGCTGTCTCCAATGCCAACCCTTCATAACAGTCAGCAAATTGGGAAATTTGATGCGTTAGGCAAATTAGATATGGGCAACAACCAAAAACAACATTTATTGTAGTGTCCTTGTCCTTCAGCGTTTTCAAGTAGAGATCGCCCTCTATACCCTGCCTGAAAATAAATTTCATAAACTCATCTTTTCCCTTAGTGTCAGTTATAGAAGAGCTGACTTGTACAGCTATTTCATTGGCAGAATAGTCTTTGGATGTCTCATCCTTGTTTTCCATAAGTGCAGTCTGGCCAATTACCTCATGTGTGATAAAATAACGAGCAAAGAAGTTTGCCAAGGGGCTGGAGGCATCCAACGTGTTGACCTGTGTGACAAAATATTTGGCACAACTCAAATACATCATCCATACAGAGATGGAGTCTGTAGTCGACGATATTTCGTTGAAACACAGCATAAGAACTGTAGCCAAGATGTCGTCCCAGTTTGATGCGTGCAGGCATTGCTTTTCTCTTATTAGATCAGGTAGTTGTCGAATCGCCTTTTCCGTATAGAACCTCGATAGACCCTCAAAAGACTTGTTTCCTGCTGAGGAAAGCTGAGAAGCACTTGTAGCCATTACTGCATCCATCACAATTTCATGTCTGAACGCTAGAGGCACTATCAAGTATAAATAGGGATTCGATTCCCACTGCCTAGCTGGTATGATCGCATCTGTTAAATATATGGGATTGATGTTGACAGCCGACTTTTTGATATGAGAGTAACACACGCAAGTCGGACAGACAACGTCAACAAAATATGATATCAGTTTTTGCTCCTCCAGGGAGAATGATGTGAGTCTGTTATAGTGGTAGTTCGACTGCAGGTTGAGATTTGTCAAGGAGTACTTGATGTTTATATGAGGCAATGCGCTTGATTCGGCAAGAGGAGCAAGTTCGTCAGACACCATGCCGGGTTTCAACATATCTCGCAAAGAGATTTGCTCGAGGAATGCTAAGAAATCCATCTCGTCCATTTCTCTGCTCAAATCGACCGCACCAGCGTTGGTGAAAACAGAACAGTCTTCCCCTTCCTCACTCTGCTCCAGGGAGCTCAAAAAGAAGTCGTCCATTAGCATCGTTTTCATGACGTGCATCAAAGGTGACGATGCAATGTTCTGGCACGACTTTCCAAGAGTGCCGTCAAATTTGTCTTTATCAAAGTCCCGCTGTGTGGTGTTCACAAAGTAGACGTTGTTTTTGATGTCTGCCCACGGGATGGCTTGCTTCGACAATTTTTTGATGAGGCTAGAGGTCTCTGATTTCAGAAAGTAGTCAAATGTGTTAGCTGCAGTCGCAGAGCTTCTTTTCTCGCTGATAAAGTCCGCGTACTTGTTCTGAAGATATGACTTCTTGTACTGGTTTGATCTTCCGAATGTCGTTCCATTCTGCAAAGCCTCCTCGTCCCAGCGGTAAACCAAGTCATACGAGCATTGGAGGTCCAACCGCGTGCAATGCTTGCATGAAGGATGTGATTCTGCAAGCACATGGCGGAACATCCGCATAGCAGAGTAGAAAACTGTTAGTCAACTGTAGTCGATACAAGGTCTGGCTTTCCTTATCCGTGGGAACACATACCATCGCATTTCACCTTTCTCTTTTTGCACGTCTGACAACCCTTTCTTGATCTTTCCTTCTTGCGCCTCGTGCAGGGCTTGCCCATGCATTTCTTTCCCGGCTGTGACATTGCTTCGGTGGTTTTTGGAGATCTCTACAGCACAATAGCAAGAGGAAAGGACAGCATTTCCAGCATCTGTGGCCTTATCAGCCGACCCATCATTATCGTCTTGTGTTCCATCTGATCAAAAATGCCAGCATAGGAGCAATCTTACAATCGCGATATGCGGCCGGGAATGCGGCGTCGGGGCGATAACGTGTGCGGCTCGTCATCCTCCGGGAAAGACAAAATAGGGGTAAACATTCTTCGAACAAAGACAGGTAGAGAGAACTACAACTAGAAAATATGGCCATCAAAGTGCTGGCAGGACGGCCCTTGACCATTCGGCTACGTCCTTGAGGTCGAGAACAGCGTTCGAACCGCCGTACCTGTTCTGGAGAGCGCCGTTATCCCGGTGGACAGCGGTCTCGGGTCTCCAGCGCCAGGCATCCTTCTTGTCTTCAGGAAGTGAGTCTCTGCCATGCAGAGTGAGTGAAGCTATATACTCACCGACGATGGGCATGTACTTGAAGCCCTGTCCGGAGTCGCCCGTGCCGAGGATCAACCCAGTGTGCTGCGGATGCTCGTCGATCAAGAAGTGGCGATCGGGGGTGTCAGTGCACCAGCATATCTTGGCCACGTTGAACTCCCGGTCGGAGAGCCTTGGCAGGACCTCCCTCAGGAAGTCTCTCATCTGGGTCTCCGCCTCCTTCGGGATAGCATCTTTGTAGACGGGGACGGACACCTCCCCCTCTGCGCCTTTGATGGTTTCCATGTTGATGTAGCCGGGGAACTCGTTACAAAACTTCAGGTCGCCAAAGGCATCTGGCTCAAAAACAAAGCCCTTGTCGATGTTGAGGACAACGGGGGAGCCCTTCAGTTGCCCAATTTCGGCGTCCGTGAGCCGGATGTGGCCGACGGTCCAGCACTTGGCCAACAACTGGCGGTGGAAGTCGAGCAGCTTGACCGAGTTTGCACCTGCGCAGATCACCGTTTTCGCCGCCAGTATCTCCAGCCCCGAGTACGTCCTCACCCCCAGACACGCCTGTGTTTTCTTGTCAAAGAGCAGCTCTTGGGCACTGTCTGTGACCATTTTGGCACCCAGCCGGATGCACTCCATGGACGCACGCTCCAGCGCCAGACTGGCATATGTCCATCCGCAGTTCTTCTTCTGGTAGTACCCTTTCCACTTATCAAACCGTGGCTGGGTGTTGTCCAGAGACAGCGACTCGACTCCGGATTGGCCAACCAGTCTGAGGAAGTCAGCCGGGGTTTCAAGTAGCACGGAGTCGTCGTCTTTGTCTTCCTGGAGCATTTCATACTGCTTGTATATCTCTGCGTACGACTCTTCCATGCTGGCACCGTAAATTATGCCCGTTTCGTGGTACGCAGGCTGGTATACCGGATCGTCTCTCCATTTTCTGAGACTCTCCTTGGACAAGTCGGAGTAAAACTGCGACCTTACCACTGACTGGAAGATCTTGTTCACGTCGTTGCCCGCTGCAAGCGGCGAAGGCACGGGGTACGCGTCCAAAAGCGTGACGTTCTTGTGGCCTCCACGCAAAAGTTCCAGAGCGGTGGACAGGCCGAAAGTGCCTGCCCCAATAATCAAGACGTGCTCCTCGGGATCCATTATTGTTTTCCTGTACTTTCTTCGTACTGGGATAAATCGCAGTCGTTTCAGGAAAGCGCTTCCCTGAAGCTGGGAACAGGGAAAAGAAGGGCACTACGTTATATACAGCTGTGCTTATTTTGGTGTCTCGCAGTCATACCCTCAAGCCTGCCGGCGACATCTCCATGCAGTAACCTATCGGGGCGGAGTGCCTCATCTGTGTACACATCCTCGAAACATCAAATCTTCATCGGATAGAGCTCCCTTTGTTGAGCGATTGCTGATGCGGGAAAAATTGATGTTTTTCATTGGCCATTTTTCCTTCGGCAAAAGCTACCCGATGTGAAGGGGCCTGTTTTTCAGTACGAGTCCATCAGAGTCCGCCACAGGCAGACGAATGATACTGTATGATATCGGCAGCTCTGCCGGCATGTCACGCTAGGATTGGGGCTGAAAGTACGGTTTCTTATCCGATCGTCACAGATAAGACACAGACGTCGAAGAGATATAAATATCTCGTGTTTTCTACCTTAACGCTTCTCAGTTTCATATTCTGCAGTGGTTGACAAAACTTCAGTAATCTGTACTGGCAATCAATTGCTACTACTTGATTTGCTATGACTGGTTTTACGGACAAGGAAAAAAATGGTGTTATCATCACCACTAGCACTAGCACGCCAAATGCAGAGGGAGATTATACTTCTAGTGTGGGGTATATAGAGTATGACAGCGGCTCTGGTAAAGAAGAGCGTGGAGGCCTGGAGGTTGGTGAAGAAGAGGACGAGCTTTTAAAGTACGGCCCGGACGAGATCTTGGACCCCGACCAGAACAACGCACCGTTACCTGAGGTTAGAGCTGTTGTTGAGACCACTGATGATGTGAGCTTGCCGGTCAATACGTTGAGAGCATGGTTTCTTGGTGTTGTGTTTACCATTGTGGGTTCTGGGGTGAACCAGTTTTTTTCCATGCGTTATCCCGGTGTCACCATTAGTTCTTTGGTTGCTGAGTTGATCGCTTTCCCCTGTGGACAACTCTTAGCCTCAGTTTTGCCTCTTTGGACTATCAATTGCGGGAAGTTAGGCAAATTGGTCATAAATCCGGATAGGAAATTCAATAAGAAGGAGCATACTTTAATCACTATCATGGCCAACATCTCTTTCACCTCTTCTTGGGCCACCGATGTTATCCAGGCGCAATACATTTATGGTGTCCCTTCCAAAGCCGGCTATAAAATTTTGATGGTCTTGACATGTCAGTTATTTGGTTTGGGTGTTGCAGGGCTCATGGACTCGATTCTTGTTAAAGATTCGATGAATTATTGGCCAAATACATTGGCAAACGTTGCGATGTTTGATTCGCTACACAGTAAGCACAACCCTATTGCCAATGGTTGGAGAATATCAAGACTCAAGTTTTTCCTCATTTGCTTCACATGTTCATTTGTCTACTATTTTTTCCCAGGTTTTATCTTCCAAGCATTGTCTTACTTCAACTGGATATGCTGGATTGTTCCAGGTAATGTGGTAGTTAACCAATTATTTGGCCAGATCCAAGGATTGGGATTTAGCCCAATCACATTTGATTGGGCTCAGATTGCCTATGGTAACGGGTCACCTTTGTTGATCCCAGTTGCTTCCCAGGCTATGACTCTTGCCGGTTGGTTCATATTTTTTGGCGTTCTACCATTGGCACTGTACTATACCAATACCATGTACTCAGCACATCTGCCAATGTCATCATCAACTGCTTACGACAACACGGGTCAAGAGTATAATGGTTCACGAGTACTCGATGCTGCAACCATGTCCTTGAATCTTGAAGCTTACAAGAATTATTCTCCACCATTTTTATCAATTACATATGCTATTGGGTATGGTCTTTCGTATGCTGTTTTGTCATCATCGGTTGTTTTCACGGTTTTGGAGTATGGAACTAACATTGTTGCAGCTTTCAAGGGAAACTTGAAGAAGGATGTTCATGTGAGAGCCATGGAAAAGTATAAGCCTGTCCCAAAATGGTGGTACATCCTACTGACTGTTTTGGTTTATGTTGTTACTATCATTACCATGGAGAAATACGACAGCAAATGGCCGGTGTGGGCTATCACAATTGCTTTACTCATGGTTATCGTCTTTATCCTACCAGTTGGAATAGTTTACGCAAGGACTAACATCAACACAAACTGTATGACTGTTTTAGGTCAAATTTTGGCGGGCTATACCATTGACCCACCAAAGCCCATTGTTTCGTTAGCTTGGAAGTTTTACGCATATACTGGTATTTCACAAGCCGTTGCGTTTTCACAAGATATGAAACTTTCCTACTATATGAAGGTCCCAAAAAGGACTGTCTTTTGGGCACAGTTCATATCCTGTATTATTGGTGCACTAGTTCAAGTTGGTATTTTAATCTTCATGTTAGACAACATTGAGGATATTTGTACACCCGGCCAAAAAGATCACTTCACGTGTCCTCAAGGTACCACGAACTTTGCGGCTTCTGTTATATGGGGGTTGGTTGGCCCCAAGCGGTTGATATCTGTTGGCAAAATATATTCCGGATTTTTACACTTTTTTTGGATCGGGGCTGTCTGCACAATTATTGTTTGGGCCCTGCAGAAGTACTTCCCAAGAAATAAGTATCTCAAGCAAATTAATATGGTTGTGTTTTTTGGAGCTTTGGGTAACTATCCACCAGCAACAGGTCTAAACTATACATCGGCGTTTGTTGTTGGATTCCTTTTCAATTACGTGATTAAGAGGAGATGGGGTAATTGGTGGTTGAAATACAACTTTGTGCTTTCGTGTGCTTTGGACGTCGGTCTTGCTTTGTCCGGAATCATAATTTTCTTTTGTTTACAATACCCTGGGGCCTCTATTAACTGGTGGGGGAATGAAGTTTTCAATAATACCGCCGATGGCAAGGGGACGCCATGGAAGGGTTTACCTGCCAAAGGATATTTTGGTCCAGATGCCTGGAGTTAAACTACTTTGATAGCGGTCTTTTTTTATTTATTGCTCTTATTTTAAACTAATCAATGTTTAACAACTTACTTTAATTAGTTTGCTGAACTAGGCTCTGTCAACCAGAAAAATCACCCTATATTGATCTTTTAGATTTGTTCAGTATAGTGCAGCAAGTTATTGGACTTACAATAATTGGGCGTGTGGCGTAGTTGGTAGCGCGTTCGCTTAGCATGCGAAAGGTCTTGGGTTCAACTCCCAACTCGTCCATTTAAATAAATTCCCTGATGGGATTTAACCTTTTTTCTTTATTTATTCTTTTATTGTGTTCTGACAAAATTAGCACTGTTGGTTTCGGCCCATATTGCTTCACTGTCGGTAACTTTACTTTATTTACTTGTCCGATGACAGCTTGGTGATCCAAGCTGTCACTGATAAGCAATTGTATAGATAAGAGGGTGTCGGCTCTGTGATAAGAGATCTTCCTTTTCCATGTGTGCAGTTCGGTCCACAATACCATCGACTCCGATAGCAAATGTGATAAAAACCTCTTTTTGCATTCAACCCCTCTCTAACAAAACGTCTCGGCAAGGGTTTCTTTTTTTCCTACAACCCGTTTTCCGGAGTTACGCAGAGAAATCAAAAACCCACGGTTTTTCCCTCTCCCCTCCATTCTGTTGTTGCCAGAAGTCACCAAAGCCGTACTGACTCTTCTACACCCGCCACAGCATAAACATTGCGCTATTGGCTCTCACAGGGCTGTTCCAGACGCAAGCACCTGCACCCACTACAACATCATCGTTTTGTTGTATGTACGTGTGATGAGTTCATCTTTCTTCCACGCACAGTGAAAAATTTTGACTCTCGCGCATGAAACAAAGTGAAAATTTTTTTCCTCCGCCTAGAAAGGTTGTTTGCTATATAAGGCGACGGGTCCCCGTTACTAGCAGACGGTGTGGATCCAGAATACCGCCATCTTCCTCCCTTTCTTTCCAGTGTCTTTCGGGCATTTTTTAACATTATCATTCTTTTCCGTCTTCTTGTAGTATTTTTCTTCATTTCTACCATTTCTCCTTTCTTCTCTTCCTTCTCCAGAACAGACTCCTGATCTAATCTCAGCTAAAGAAAAAACATTTTCTCCAGCAGCAAAAATTCAAACAAACCCCCATACGCTTGAATTTTTCCATTTCTTAACTTGCAAAAAAAACACAAAAAATATTACTTTTTATTAGGTTTTTCTGACATCAGAACTCAATAAAGGTATGTGCCATCAATGGTTTTTTCTCAGTTGTTTTATCTTGCAGTTACAGGTGTTTTAGTTGTCTGTTTTCATTGGAGAAGGAAGATAAGTCATAGAGATCGGCTGTATGGTGGCAATGGCTCCACCCTGTGACCTTATCGTCTTTTTCGAGTTGGAACGAGATGACTGTAATACCTGTAAATTGTACCGATAACGACGCCGTTCCTTTTTTGCATCATTCTAACAAAAATTTCCTTTTAATTTTTTTGGTCAATCTTGCAGCGATTTTTTCTACTATTTTTTTAAAAAAATATTCACAGCTTCAGTTTGTTAGACACGTTAACATCTTACTAAAAAAATAGGTTTTAATTGTAAGTTTGAATCCACAAGTAATCAATCAACTATGACCTTTCACAACCCTATTTCCCCATCGTTTGAAAAGCATGGTACCAAGTTGGTTACTCTAGAAACACAAGATGGCATTGCAATCCAGGGTTACTGCTTCGGTGCAGAGGTCCCAGCTGCCGGTGAGTTGGTTTTCCAGACCGGTATGGTCGGATACCCAGAATCCATCACCGATCCTTCCTACGAAGGACAAATTTTAGTCATAACTTATCCTCTCGTGGGTAACTATGGTGTCCCTGATAGAAAGTTAATGGACGATGTTGTCAAATCTCTTCCAAAATACTTTGAATCAAACAAAATCCACATTGCAGGTTTGGTAGTTGCTCACTACACTGAAGACTACTCTCACTACTTGGCCACATCCTCTTTGGGCCAGTGGTTGAAAGAACAAAATATTCCAGCAATCTACGGTGTGGATACCAGATCCCTAACCAAGAGATTGAGAGAAAAGGGTTCAACTCTTGGTAGATTCTGTTTCCTAAAGGACTCAGTCAACGTCGAAGTAGGATTGAAGGACTCTGAGTGGAAGAAAAACTTTGAAATCCCTCAATGGATCGATCCAAATGTTGAGAATCTTGTTGCCAAGGTTTCCACCAAGCAGCCTGTAATCTATGACCCACCAAAGGAATTGGCCAAGTTGGGTCCTGATGGAAAGGTCCTCAGAATCGTTGCCGTCGATGTCGGTATGAAATACAACCAAATCAGATGCTTCGTTAACAGAGGTGTCTCCTTAAAGGTTGTTCCTTGGGACTACGATTTTACCAAGGAAGAGTATGATGGTCTGTTTATTTCTAACGGTCCAGGTGATCCTTCCGTTATGACCGACGTTGTTGAGAGATTAAGAAAATCTCTTGATGAAGCCAAAACCCCAATTTTTGGTATCTGTTTAGGTCACCAGTTGATGGCTAGAGCTTCAGGAGCCTCTACTTTGAAATTGAAATTTGGTAACAGAGGTCATAATATCCCATGTACTTCTACTGTTTCTGGTAGATGTTACATCACCTCTCAAAATCACGGTTATGCTGTCGATGTCAAAACTTTACAACCTGGCTGGAAAGAATTGTTTGTGAATGCCAACGATGGGTCGAATGAAGGTATTTACAACACTGAAAAGCCATTTTTCTCTGTTCAATTCCACCCTGAATCAACCCCAGGCCCAAGAGATACCGAATTCTTATTTGACACTTTCATCCAGTCTGTTATTGATTTTAAGACCTCTAAAGCGTTGAAGGCTGTTGAATTCCCGGGTGGTAAGAAGGAAGAAAATGAAAAATTATATCCAAGACTCAACCCTAAGAAGGTGCTTATTTTGGGTTCCGGTGGTTTATCTATTGGTCAGGCTGGTGAATTTGACTACTCTGGTTCCCAAGCTATTAAGGCATTGAAGGAAGAAGGTATTTACACCATTCTAGTTAATCCAAATATTGCAACTATCCAAACTTCTAAGGGTCTTGCGGACAAGGTCTACTTTTTACCTGTCACTCCTGAATTTGTAAGAAAAATCATCAAGCATGAGAGACCTGATGCAATTTACTGTACTTTTGGTGGTCAAACCGCTTTGAATGTTGGTATCAAGTTAAAGGATGAGTTCGAATCTTTGGGAGTCAAGGTCCTTGGTACTCCAATTGATACTGTCATTACTACTGAGGATAGAGAACTCTTTGCAAGAGCAATGGACGAAATCAACGAGAAATGTGCCAAATCCGAAACCGCTTCCAATATCGAGGAAGCTCTAGCAGCTGTCCAAAGAATTGGCTTCCCAGTTATTGTCAGAGCTGCCTACGCATTGGGAGGTTTAGGTTCAGGTTTTGCTGACAACGAAGAAGAGCTGGTTGAACTTTGTAACAAAGCTTTTGCTGCTTCTCCTCAAGTTTTAGTTGAAAGATCAATGAAAGGTTGGAAGGAAGTTGAATATGAAGTTGTGCGTGACGCATACGACAACTGTATCACTGTCTGTAATATGGAAAATTTTGATCCTCTTGGTATTCATACTGGTGACTCCATTGTCGTTGCACCTTCTCAAACTTTGTCTGATGAGGATTACAATATGCTAAGAACGACTGCTGTCAATGTTATCAGACATTTGGGTGTTGTTGGTGAATGTAACATTCAATATGCATTGAACCCACATTCTAAGGAATACTGCATTATTGAGGTTAATGCTAGATTGTCTAGATCTTCGGCTCTAGCCTCCAAGGCAACTGGTTATCCATTGGCTTATACCGCTGCTAAGTTGGGTTTGAACATCCCATTGAACGAAATCAAGAACTCTGTTACTAAGGTTACTTGCGCTTGCTTTGAACCTTCATTAGATTACTGTGTTGTCAAGATTCCAAGGTGGGATTTGAAGAAGTTTACCAGAGTTTCAAACTTGCTTTCCTCATCTATGAAATCTGTTGGTGAAGTCATGAGTATTGGTAGAACTTTCGAAGAAGCAATTCAAAAGGCTATCAGATCCACTGATTACCAAAACTTAGGTTTCAACTCCACTGAAGCGTTGATGAGCATTGACATTGATAGCGAGCTACAAACTCCTTCTGACCAAAGACTTTTTGCGATTGCAAACGCTATGGCCAATGGCTACACTGTCGAAAAAATTCACCAAATGACTAACATTGACAGATGGTTTTTGGGTAAGTTGTACGGCTTAACCAAATTTGGTGAATACATCTCTTCTTTCGGTACCAAGGAGAACTTACCAATTAGAGTATTGAAGGAAGCCAAGCAATTAGGTTTTGAAGATAGACAAGTTGCTAAGTTTTTGAACTCCAACGAAGTTGCTATCAGAAGATTGAGAAAAGATGCGGGTATCATTCCTGTTGTTAAACAAATTGATACGGTTGCTGCAGAATTCCCAGCTTTCACTAACTACTTGTACATTACATACAATGGTCAAGATTCAGATGTTGATTTCAATGATCACGGTGTTATGGTTTTGGGTTCAGGTGTTTACAGAATTGGTTCATCAGTGGAATTCGATTGGTGTGCTGTTACTGCAATCAGAACTTTGAGACAACAAGGTTTGAAAACTGTCATGGTCAACTACAACCCAGAAACGGTTTCTACCGATTATGATGAGGCTGATAGATTATATTTCGAAACTATTAATCTTGAAAGAGTTCTAGATATTTATGAAATCGAAAACTCCGCTGGTGTCATTGTGTCGATGGGTGGTCAAACATCCAACAACATTGCTCTACAATTACAAAGACAAAACTTGAAGGTTCTAGGTACTTCACCAGCTATGATTGACTCTGCTGAAAACAGATATAAGTTCTCTAGAATGTTAGACAACATTGGTGTCGATCAGCCTGCTTGGAAGGAATTAACTTCCATTGACGAAGCTGAAGCATTCGCAGAAAAGGTTTCTTACCCAGTTTTGGTTAGACCATCTTACGTGTTATCTGGTGCTGCCATGAACACTGTTTACTCTAGAGATGATTTAGCTTCCTACTTATCTCAAGCTGTGGAAGTTTCACCTGACTATCCTGTTGTTATCACCAAGTATATTGAAAACGCAAAGGAAATTGAGATGGATGCTGTTGCCAAGGATGGTAAATTGATCATGCACGTTGTTGCTGAACACGTTGAAAACGCTGGTGTTCACTCTGGTGATGCAACATTAATTGTGCCACCACAAGATTTAGCTCCTGAAACTGTGAAGAGAATTGTTGAGGCTACTGCTAAGATTGGTAAAGCTCTTGATGTTACCGGTCCTTTCAATATTCAATTTATTGCTAAGAACAATGAAATCAAGGTTATTGAATGTAATGTTAGAGCCTCAAGATCATTCCCATTCAACTCTAAGGTTGTTGGTACAAATATGATTGAAATGGCTACTAAAGCAATCATGGATCTTCCGGTTACTCCATACCCAACCCAAAAACTCCCAGATGATTATTGTGCTGTTAAGGTTCCACAATTCTCATTCTCTCGTTTATCTGGTGCTGATCCAGTTTTAGGTGTTGAAATGGCATCAACTGGTGAAGTTGCTTGTTTCGGTCACAATAAGTATGAAGCATACTTAAAGTCTTTGGTTTCTACTGGTTTCCAATTGCCAAAGAAAAACATTTTGTTATCCATTGGTTCTTTCAAGGAAAAACAGGAATTACTTCCTTCTATCAGAAAAATGTCTCAATTGGGTTACTCATTATTTGCCACGGCCGGTACTGCGGATTTCATCCAAGAGCACGGTATTCCTGTCAAATATTTGGAATTGTTGAATGAAGAAGAAGAGGATCAAAAGGCGGAATACTCTCTAACTCAACATTTAGCCAACAACTTGATTGACTTATACATCAACTTGCCATCTGCTAACAGATTTAGAAGACCATCATCTTATGTTTCCAAGGGTTATAGAACTAGAAGAATGGCCGTCGATTACGCCGTTCCATTGGTCACAAACGTTAAGTGTGCTAAGCTTTTGATCGAAGCAATTGCTAGAAATGAACCATTAGAAGTTGATAATATCGATGCTCAAACTTCACACACTACTATTCAGTTACCTGGTTTAGTTTCAATTGGTACCTTTGTCCCTACATTAGGTGAAGCGGGTGCTGCAGTCTTTGAAGAAACTACTAAGGCATCTTTAGCTGCAGGTTTTGTTTTCAACTCTATCATGCCAATTACTGCTGAAGGTTCTTCAGTTGTCGATGCTAGAACTTTAACCAGAGCTACAGAAGTCATTTACGGAAATGCATACTCTGATTACTCATTGTTTGTTGCTGCAACTGAGACCAATGCTCCACATCTTCAACAAGTTAGTGCATTGACTTCTGCTCTTTACATCAATGCTGAAGATTTTGACCCAAGTGTGATTCCAAGTTTAGCATCTCACTTTGGTGTTTGGCCAACAAACAAGCCAATCATTGTCAATGCTAAGGCTACTTCTCTTGCCTCACTGTTATTGTTGGCTTCATTGTTCAACTCTAAGATTCATGTTACAAATGTTACTGGCAGAGATGATCTGGCTTTGATTTCTATGTCAAAACAAAAGAATTTGAATGTTACTTGCGATGTTGCTATTTTCTCATTGTTTTTCTCTCAGGCTGACTATCCAGGGGCAACATTCTTACCAACTAAGGAAGACCAAAAGGCATTATGGGACAACTTGGAATCCATTGATTGTTTATCCGTCGGTGCAACTCCATACAAGTTGGCTGAATTTTTGAAGAAGCCAGTCAGTGCCGGTTTTGGTTTTGCTGATTCTATTCCATTATTGATGTCTGCTGTTACCGAAGGCAAGTTAACTGTTGCTAATATTGTCACAAAGTTGCATGAAAACCCAATCAAGATACTTGGTTTGAGTGAATCGGAATCTTACATTGATATTAACGTTGACAGAAAGGCATCTACCTTAAAATCTCATATTGAATCATGGAGTCCTGTAAAGAATGACACTGGTTCAGTTGAAAGAGTTTACATGAACGATCAAACTGTTTGTTTGGAAGGTGCATTTGTTGTTCAAGAAGCTTTAGGTAAAGAAAGTATTGCTCAACATACATCTTCTATTGCGAACGAATCAGCTATTGAAATGTCATCACCTGCTCCATTGGGTGTTATGTCTCCAAATCTCAGAAGAGGCTCCAGATTCTCTTTTGATGTTACCAGAAGACACTCATTGATTGACTCTTTGAAGGATGGTGAGGACGAAGATGCTCCAAGTGGTGCAGATTTGGTTTCTTCCAAGCCACCAAGAGAATTATCTCCACCAAACGCTATATCTACATACATCAAAGGTCACAACCCATTCTTGAGAAAGAACATTCTTTCTGTCAGCCAAATCAATAGACGTGATTTACACGCATTGTTTACTGTTGCACAAGAAATGAGATTGGCTGTTGAAAGAGAAGGTGTTTTAGATATCTTGAAGGGCAGAGTTTTGACTAATGCTTTCTTTGAACCTTCGACTAGAACTGCATCGTCTTTCAATGCTGCTATGCAAAGATTGGGAGGTAGAGTTGTTTCAATCTCTGAGCAAGGTTCATCTGTCAAGAAGGGAGAAACCTTGCAAGATACCATTAGAACAATGGCATGTTATTCTGACGCAATCGTTTTGAGACACCCTAGTGAAGATTCTGCCGACATTGCCGACAAGTATTCACCAGTTCCTGTTATTAACGGTGGTAACGGTTCCAGAGAACACCCAACACAAGCTTTGTTAGATTTGTTCACCATTAGAGAAGAGCTAGGTACTGTCAACGGTATCACTGTTACATTCATGGGTGACTTGAAATATGGTAGACCGGTTCATTCTCTCTGTAAGTTGTTGAAACAATACCAAGTTAAAATCTACTTGGTTTCACCGGAAGAGTTGAGATTGCCATCTAACCTAAGAGACATGTTGAAGGAAGAAGGTATGTTGGTTGGTGAAAGTACCGAATTGACCACCGAGATTATCGCTAAGTCCGATGTTCTGTACTGTACTAGAATACAACAAGAAAGATTCAAGGACTTGGCACAATACGAAAGATTGAAGGGCACTTATGTCATCAGCAACAAAGTGTTGAAGGATGCTAAGCAGCACATGTGTGTGATGCATCCACTTCCTAGAGTTGACGAAATCAAGGAAGAAGTTGACTTTGACCAAAGAGCTGCATACTTCAGACAAATGAGGTACGGCTTGTTTGTTAGAATGGCAATTTTGGCCATGGTTATGGGTGTTGAATTCTAAAGTTGAAATAAATATGAAATCAATCACTGGAAACCTTTCTTCCTCCAGGTGCTAGGCTGCAAATTATTGGGGAATAGATGCTGCTTAGTGTTTGAAAGATGAAGGCCGGTCGGGTTTCATACTGAAAAACGAAATATAATTTTATATAACGAGTCTTTTTAAAAATTTACTATATTTTCTACGATAACTGTTATTTTCTATAAAATACATAGTCTACTTAATAACTAATTACAACTATTAATCCATGCAAAGACAGAGAAAAGCACATACTAATGGCTTGTGCATGCAAACGCACACTCGCAAAAAATTCTTCTGCTTCAAAAAATTATGAATTTTGTGCCTCCTGTCGGAATTGAACCAACGATCTTCGCATTACGAGTGCGACGCCTTACCACTTGGCCAAGGAGGCAACCACATGCTTTTATTTAATGTACCGTAATACACACAACAAGAGTACTGTATAATCCTTTTTTTCTTGAAATATTTTTGTGGGTTTCCTTGATTATTCATTTCGGACCAAAAAAGTCTGTCATCATCTCAAATAGATTTCAGTGTATGCTTACGTAACAAGCTACATCGAGATTCTTGCTTCCCGCACTTAGCCACACGGCGTTGCTGTGCCACGTATATGCAATAACTGCCCTGTGACCATTATCTGGCTTTCACCTTTCCCTACCAGACACGCCAGAAGCCCTCTTGCCTCTTTGGCCTCTCGTCTGTTCTCTCCATTCTCTCTACTCTCTCTCCTCCGTACTGACTGACGCGACAGGCCCGACCCCCGTTAAGGGCCCAGGCCGGACGGTGTTTGTTTGTGTGGACTGAGACACGTTTCGCGCGTTTGCTGTTTTTCCCAGTGCGGAACGTTACCTGTCTGCGACGTGTGTGAAGCCGAGTTGGGGATGGTGATCTGGCACGAAGATGCGTGCGGTAAACAGAGATGGAAGAGAGCGGTTCAGGTCTGGGGACATCGAGAGAGAGACAGACAAGAGCTGTTTTGGATATAGATAGCGTCACGACAGAGACATAGAGGATAGATTAATCACAATGGTCACAGTTATTGAGAGCTCATCTGCTGTATGTACACACGTTGGCGAGCTTAGAGACTCGAACTTCCAGCTTTTCTCTTGCTTGAACAATTATACTAACACACAAGAGGGGAGGCACTGCAATGCTGGCATTTGTCCAGTTTTGGCCCTCTTTTTTAACAGTTGAGAAAAAAGAAGATCCTGAAAAAATCCTTGAACTTCACCATCATGGTGATTGGCCAGTCGGGAAGCGGCAGGTCGACGTTCATCAACACGCTCTGCGACCAGCCGATTGTCGACTCGTCGTCGACGGTGAGTCTGTACTCACCGGAGGAGCTGTCGTACCCCGACAGGGAGCTGCAGCTGCGGAAGTCGAACGTTGAGCTGGAGGACAACGAGGGGGTGAAAATCAGTCTGAACATCATCGACACCCCAGGTTTTGGCGACTCTATCGACAACAACGTGTCGTTCAAAATCATCAAGGACTACATAAAGTACCAGTTTGACGAAATTCTTGTTGAGGAATCCCGGTTGAGAAGAAACCCGCGGTTCAAGGACGGGCGGATCCACGTGTGCCTCTACTTCGTTGCGCCAACCGGGCACGGACTCAAGGAGATCGACGTTGAGATCATCAGGCAGTTGGGCGACTACGTGAACATTCTGCCCTGCATCAGCAAGGCGGACTCGCTCACCGTGGAGGAGCTGAAGCTGAACAAGCGGTTGGTGGCGGAGGACATCGAGCACTACAAGCTCCCAGTCTTCGACTTCAACAACGAGTACTTCTCCTACGACGACAACCTCGACGACGACACCGCGGAGCTCAACAAGTACCTTCAGAGGGCGATTCCTTTTGCCGTGATGGGCTCCAACGCCACGACGAAGGACCCCGTCACAGGAGAAATCAAGAGAATCAGAAAGTACCCCTGGGGCACCGTCGACATCTTCGACAACGACATCAGTGACGTCGCCACGTTGAAAAACACCCTCCTCATCACCCACCTCAACGAGTTCAAAGACTTCACGCACGAGGTCCTCTACGAGAACTACAGAACAAAGACCTTGGGCGACGCCAGCGGCCCCGGGCTCGACGTCAACGACTCCATCCACACCGCCAACACAAGCACCAGCAACCTCGGCACCCCGAGCCTCTCTGCCGGCGCCGCCGGCAGAAACATCTCCCAGTCCACCACGCGGGAAACCGGCCTCGGCGATTACGCCAACGACACCCTCGACCACAACCAGACCGACACCGACATCCAGCTCAAGGAGGAGCAGATACGCAAGGAGGAGGAGAGACTGCGTGCTTTCGAGGAGAGGGTGCAGAAGGACCTCCTCCTCAAGCGGGAGGAGATCGAGGCCCGTGAGAGAGAGCTTGCCGAGCTCGAGCGGAGGCTTGCCGAGCAGAACATCAGCTGAACACCTCCACCCTTCAGTATTTACCTACCTGTGTACCTCTGTAGATCAAGCATCACCGTCCACCGCTCCGTCTGTGTTTCACATGTCCTTCCCCCGGGCCGGGCCAGACCCTATTCCCGTCCGGCCCCTCCCTCATCTTCACATGCTCCGGCGTCGTGTGCCGCAACGGCGGGGCTGTCGTGTGCATGTGATTGTGGCTCGGCGCCCGAGACAGGGCCGGAGGGGCTGCCATAAAAGGAGGGGCCAGGCCGGCTCAGCAGGGAGTTCTGCTCTGCCCAGCTCGGCTTTGATCTACGGCCTGCTGGTGTGCTGCTACCGGTTACACACACATACTTCAACCACACAACACACACCATGGGTCTTCAACAGATTGCTCTCGACTTGTACAGCGATATCGACTTCAACGATAAGAAGTTTCAAAGTACGTATCCGTTCCGGCGGCGGCAGACATTGCGGGTGCATACACGACTTGCTGCTACTGCTGCTTGCTGGAAGGCTGGTTGGTGTTTACTCTCCTCTGGAGGGCAGAGCTTAGCCAGCAACCTCCAGCATAAACTCCCCGCCCCCGCCACCAAGGCGACGATCCCCCCCGGAATTATGTTTTCTCCGGAGATGGGGGTTCGTGCGGGGCCGCAGAGACAGACACGGCGATGCCGGGCGATGAAGGCACCGGCTGTCAAAATCCGAGCATGACGACTAACACCCCCTCGGGGCCCTTCGGGTCCGTCTTCCCACAGCTTCCTTGTTCTTTATTATCTTTAACCCGCTCTACTGGAACTTCGGGGCCAGGGTGGAGTACTACACCAAGGCGTTGTCAACGCTCTTCTTCGGCTCGAAGAAGCTGGCCGTCTACGTTTTCTCGCTGACCGTGTTCACCTTGGGCTTGTTCAGGGACGAGATCTACAGAGCAGCAATCTCGGAGCAGGCCACGTCGCCGTACCTTGACAACGCCCCATGCAAGCTTATCGGCTTGTCCTCGTTCGCGTACGGCTCCACTTTGGTCTTGGGCTCCATGTACAAGTTGGGCATTGTCGGTACCTACCTCGGAGACCACTTTGGCTTTTTGTTTGACGACAGAATCGTCGACTTCCCTTTCAACATCTGCGACAACCCTATGTACGATGGCTCCACCCTTTGCTTCCTCGGTACCGCCTTGTTCTACGGTAAGCCGGCCGGCCTTTTTGCCACCGCCTTGGTGTACACCATGTACCAGATCATCTTGTTGATTGAAGAACCCTTCACCGCCATGATCTACTCCAAGAGAGAAGAGAAGAAGAAATGATGAAGCCATACTGCTTTTCCCTTCATTTTATGTTTTGTTTGTTTATTTATTTACAACAAGTATCTATGTATATATATAGCTGGAAACCCCAAATGGGAAAGCAATGCAACATGGAAACAATTTCTCCTACACCAACGCCGAAACGGAACAGAGCTCAATGAGAACCTTGACAAACTGAACTATGTTGTTGCGTCCGACAAAAACACTTCCCAACTTGATGTACTCAAACCCGTAGCTCGAAACGGTGAAATAGTCTCGATTCTCGTCAACAGTCGTAATCAGAATCTTCTTGCCCATGCTCTCGTCAACCAGCTGGGGACTCAGTTGCTGTTCCACCAATACCACCTCAATCTTGTCTTTTCCCGTGGAGATACAGCAGTAGGCATCCGTTCCAACCCCGCATACAGCAGCAGAAACTTCAATTTTGTCAAGGTCAACGACAGAGCCGGCCAATGAGTCCTTGTCTTTGCAACATTGGACCATTCTTGCAAACAGTTCTTCCTCCTTTCCTGCCCTCCCACAGACAAGATGCGTGAATAGAATTCTCATCTTTTGTGTTACCATTGGCTCCACACCATTTTCATCTGCAGAACCAAAAGTTTTAAGGATCAAACCAGCAAGAACCTTAGAAAGTTTAATCTCTTTATTAATTAAATCGTGCCTCTCAATGTTGTAGTTTATAACTCTACTCAGAACATCTTGAATAATCTTAATTTCTTTTTGCTTCAGCTTATAACAATCGGAAAGCTCATACAAATCAAGGACGAACCCCAAGCTTGAGAACAATGTCTCAGGCTTTGAAAGGTCATCTTGAATCATCTTCAATATCGGGTAAACGAAATGCCTCATTAATTTCGGGGACTCAAACATGCAGCAATGAAGGTAATTCAGAAAAGGTGTTCTGATAATGTCAAAAAAATGAAAATCAAGAGCTACAGATCTAATCAAGTCTTCGCTTTGCCGCAAAGGAATCGTTTCTTTGTATGGATATATCCCATACAAAACTTCAACAATGGCAATACGGATGTGTTTTGTTTGGAGCCAATGTGGCCTTTCAAATTTGAAAGTATAGATAAATTGCATCTGCTGAGTGAGTAAATTTGTAAGTTCTATGATGGATTCATTACAGATTTGCCTGAAAAGGTCATAATTCAAAAGTTGATATCTGATATGCTTTACTACAAGAAGATAAAATTCCCAGCTGGTAGTATTTCGCAAAATATCAGTGTACAAATCTAGCAAGATTTTGGGATCTATTTCTGTATCAAATTCTTTTGTTTTCCCATCAAAGAAATACTGAGACAAAATATGCTCAAATCGAGGATCTGAAAGTTGCGCATCAAGGAGTTGCTTTAACTTCACATCAATATCCTTGTTATTTTCTTCAGTTTCCGATTTCTCATTCCTGCTCAAAAAAAACTCATTCCTAACATCTTCACTTTTGATCTCATAAATGTAAAAATGTTTCTTTGAGGCTTCATTGCGAGCCCTTATCCGAGTTAGCAGAAGAATTGCCAGATTGAAAAGTTTTAAACTCTCATGAGCTGCTGAGAGCTTTGTGATTTTCACTACAGAGTTCAATAATATATAAGCTTTTCCGGACAGCTTTTTGTTGTCAGCAAATTTTAGGGTTGCAAGAATCAATGTCTTAGCTATAATTTCCTTGTTTAAATCAGTAAAACTTTGGATTTCCATTAAATAATCATCAACAACTTTTTCGAGCATTTGATCATCTAGCTTCAAGATCACGTCTGTGAGTGGCTCTAAAACGTCATCTTCTAGCTTGAAATTCAATCCAAGCACACAAACATAGCAGAGGATATTGATATAGAAGTCCAGGGATGGCTGATCAATTTTCAATGGAATACAATATAAGAAGGAATTTTTAAGGACTTTTAAAACGTCTGATGGTGTGGTTGAATAGTATTTTTCAACGATGGTTTCACATTTTTGTTTCCAGTTTAATGCACCACAAACACAAACCAGATTTTTGGAGTAATAGTTCAGAGCGTAGGAAATATTGTAGCTGCTTAAGATTTGATAATTTTCTTCCAAATATTCAATCAAGCGTGATACATAAAAGCTATTAAGATCAAAATTTTGTAATTTATTAAAAAGCTCATTTAGAACATCTTTATAGCTGGACGATATTGGCTGTTTATTTCGCCAGTTTAGTAGTTGAAGTAATTTCCAAAATTCGTTTCTTTCAATGAAATATTTGTAGTATCCGCTCAGCATGAATGGCTTTTCTAACACCTCATCAATTAATTTGAGGACCTCAATTGATATTGCTTCATCAGTTCTTTCGGAAACCGTTATGAGAGCCTGGAAAAGATAATTCAAATGATGTTCAAAAAAGGAAGTAATCGCTTTTCCACCCCTCGATTCTTCATCAAAATACTTCAAAGTATACGACAAAAGCCTCAAACAGCCTATTATTGGTCTATTTCCACTTCTATGCCTTTGTTGAGTATCAAATCTAGCGATAATCACGTCACAAAGAGTAAATGGTACTTTCGAAGACAGATCATCAACCAAAATACGGTCCATAAGTAGTTCACATCTCCCTGAAGTTTCAAGCTCTTCTAATCCATTAGCACAGCCAAGAATGGAAAATATAGTGTAAAGCTCCTCTTCGTATTTGTAGCCTGTAAGAAGGTAACTATCAAAGAAATCTAAAAATGATTTGAGCTCCAACATATTTTTTGTTTTAATACTCATATCAATTACAGTATTGAGTAAATCTTGTAGATCGTCCGAAGTGAATAAATGTCTATCAATTTCAATACATTCGGAAATTAAGGAAACAATAAGAACATCCAACTCTTCTGAACGATACATCAATATCTGCTTGTGCAATTTAATCAAAAAGTCGTTCAGAGGGTGATCAGTGTACTTCTCAAAAGAAGTTATATTAGCAAACCTGAGTAACTCATGGAAACACACCAAAAAAATCTTCATATCCCTATCAATCCCCATAAAGTTGACACTTTCACAAATGTCAATGTAAAATTCCATTCCATTAGTTTTGGGAAGCTCACTAAAATTGAGAAGCTCTTGTAAAACCTTAAGAGCCTCCGTCCTAACAACTCCCTCTTTCTTCAAATTTATTTTTGCTTTGACTGATTTCCATAAGCTGAATCTTTCTTCGCATGTTATATTAACCATCTCATCTCTTAGCAGCTTCAGCGCACTCACTTTATCACCCGTAGTGCCGTTCTCTAGTACTTCCATCAATTCCTCATTGTCTACGACAAATTTCCCGTCTTGATAGGACACAATTTTTTGCGCCTCAAATTGAGAACTTGAAATTCCCAAAACTTGGGAAAGAGATCTAAATGCTCTTCTCACACTAGACTGCCGATCTTGAGACCCACTTGTTGTACCAGAACCCATGATATATTCTCCCTGATGCGTTTTACCGAATTGTCAGAACCTGTTGTTCCGTGAACTCCGAGAAGTGTTTCCAGTAGACCTTCCTAAAATGATCGTTCGACTCGCTGCCGCGAAATGATAACAAACATGAAGCTGACGGATTTACCTATTTGACCTGTAACAAATTCAAGTTAGCATTCGTTTTATGTACCAAACCCCACAACTGAACATGATAGATCAATAACCGACGTTTCCCATCACTCATTCATTTGAGCTTAATCTCAAGGTCAGAGCATGCTATAGATGTCTATAAAATATCTTTAATGATGAGGTTTCCGCATATTACTTAGACAAAATGCATAATACCTCTTAAGGCATGTACTTTAGCAACCAAGAACCCAATAAAACATGATTTTTGCAAATGCTATAGAAAGTGCTGAACACTTACTTCAATACTATATGCCGGAGAATTTTCTAAGTAATTTTGGTCCTTGTGCTGTCGGACTGAGTGCCACTGCCTTTGGGCTGTACTTGGGTAACTTATTCACGACTGATGATTCTTTAGTGGAATTTCATAAACACTTGGAAAACGAATCATACTTGCAAGAAATTCAGAGCATGTTTCTGAAAAAAGATCATTTTTTTCAGCTGCTTCAAATGGCTGTTTTGGGCTTTACATGCGCAGTTTTGTTGTTCCTTATATTTCTGTTTTACTTGACCAACAGGTATCTTTCGCTCAAGAACTTTACAAATGAGAACTTTATGAAAACATTCGAAAGAGTCCAGAATGTGGAGCGGGTAGTTGAATCCATACTAGCTGACCATGAGGTATTGGATATGAAGCAGATAGAATTTTTTAAAACAGAGATTGAGCAACAAAGAGCTGCTTTCAAGGACTTTATCACCAATAGATCACTTGAGTTTGAAACTACAGTGAGTGAGGCTAAATCTATTTGCTTGAAGGCCAAAACTTCTGCTCACAACGATTTGAAAAAGTTGACAGAACTAAACGGGCAAGCATCAGAATTGAAAGTTAATATAGACATTGCAAATTCTAGCTTGGAAGAAACCAGGAGCCAAACTTCAAAGCTAAATAGAGAAGTGGAAAAGCTTACCACAGAAATTGATCAAAAATTGGAAAACATCAGGAGCAATATAACTAACAAATTTTCCGATTTAAACGAAGCGGTAGAAGAAGATAAAGTCGAAATTTACAAATGTAATGCCCTACTGCTTTGCTCCCAAACTTTGTTTGAGGCTTGTATTTTCAAGTTTGAAGAGTTGGATTTATTGCAGGGTAAAACTAACCAGGTAAATTCACAGGATGACGAAAAACCTTCGGCTGAAAACATAGTACCGTGCTTGGAAAGAGCAATTGAACTTAACAATTTTTTGAAAACCAAAGACGAAACCTCAATGGAAAAGCTTTCTGATTTCAGTGAGGATTTTTGCAAAACGAATAAAAACTCGGAGAATGCGATGTTATTTGAGCTGCTTAAACGGTTAGAGATAATGGAGGAAAAAGTATGCAGGCACTATTCACTAATCAATGGAAATAATGTGAAAATCAAACACCTGGAATTTAGTACATCGGAAAAAATCTCTGATTTGAAATATTGCAGCGATGAGTGGATAACTTCTTGGGTATCAGTAATATACGGTCTTTTCAACAGTAGCTTTTTACATCTCGAAAATCAATTGTTTGGCATTGACTGTCTAGAATATACTACGATTTTTGATGTGTCCGATGATAAAATAGATCAAAACTCAAATCTTTTTTATCATATTATGGATCAGTGTAAGCAATCATGCTTAAAAATAGTTAAAGAAATCAATCTGCTGATCTTTGAGTATTATTTAGTCCAAAGTTCATTGGCCACAGCAAGCTCATCTTTACTTTCTATGTGCAACACGAAAATAGACGATGAGTTAGAAACCTTATTTGCAGAATTTCGTCAGACGGTAGATAAAACTCCAATGGCAAATTCCAAGCGTACGGACATAGTAAATACGCTAGCTAGACTAAGACAAGACTTGACTTCTGATTTGAAAGATGATACAATGAAGTTTAATGCACTAGTCAAACAAAACCTAGAAGACTTTTGCATTATACATGATACGATGAAAACAATTTTCAAAGAGACTGATAAAAGACGAGTTCAAACCGAAAATGACTCAGTTCTCGAAGTAAGTGATAATTCTAATTCATTGCTATCCCTTCACGAAGACTCTTCTTTTTCTGAGAACGAAGACTCTGTTGTAGGAACTTTGTCTAATGAATCTGTGCTACGACCTTTCAAGTTGTCTCTATCTAAGAAAAAGAAATGAGAACCCGGTCAAGTTTTACAGCAAGTTATTCTCTTCAAAATTTTTGGATATAAGTTTTAACAGAATTATTTTCAAAAGTTTCACTTCCGATAACAGTCTTAAAAATCCGTTGGAAAATCAAAATAGTGGTAATATTCCTCGACACTGTTATTTGCAAACTCGAATGGCAAGTAATCAATTATGCTTGATAGTGGACTTCCGTTTGCTTCCTTCAAAGAAGAACTATTTAGCAGAAGTTCAAAGGTCTCATCTGATAGTGTTTGCCTTGGTGATTCCACAAAATTCCATAAGTTGACAAGAAAGTCATATATCACATAGGAAGATTCAGGCCAGAACTTTTTGAATGAGTCAAGTCGTTTTAAGACTTCACTAACTAACCACACTCGCAAATCACCATCGGCTGAGAAGATCTTTTCTTCAACTAACAACTGTACACTTTCATTTAAGTCTTCGAAAGTGTATCTTTTATGAGGTTGGTTGTAAATATCCTTTACCAGAATAACCAAGTACTGGAATGGATTGCAGTTTTTTATAGACATTTGAAGTTAACTATCTCATCTTCAAAGCTAAGTCTTATTCTAGATTCATATAGTAGTAGCATGACAATTTCAACAAGTTTACCATCGTAGGGCTTACGCATTTTCAAGAAATTAGTGTACAGATTTTCGTCTGCTTTATAAAGTTTGTTTTTGATGTTTTCAATTTCTTTACTATTTTGAAGGACAGAGGAAGACCTAGATCGTGTAGTTTTATCTTCTAAACAAACATAGTATAAGAAATAAAGTCGGTACAGCATATTTCTGGAATTTGCAATAAGCCATCTATTTGTTTTCTTTTCAAACTTTGTGGTATCACATCTCACAATTTCATCTTGGACATCACGGAAGTGTTGACATAAAGAAAAGAGTTTTCTTTCAAAAATAGTGAAATCAAATGAGCGATAATAATCACTTTCTGTGTCTACGTTTAAAAATATTGTCAAGTCACTAAAATATGGTAAAACCTTGTAAATCAAATTCTGAGAAGCAATGAACGGGTTTACGGTCTTGACTGATAAACTGGATTGTGCGCCGGACCCTGAAGCGTTGGGAAAACCAACTATATCGACATGGAGGTTTGCATTTGGTAAGGAGCCACACCAAATTGTAGACATTGTTTCAATTTTATGAGCAGTATGCCACATGACTTGTTTTCTCAAAGTTATTCCTTGCATTGTCGCCTTATTGTTGTTGGTAGCAAGGTGAATTCCCATAGAGCACAAAGTTTTGCAAAGTACACAAATTTCAAATGCAATTTGTCGATAACAAAAGGTACCAACCTCGTAAACAATTAAAGATGATGAGACACACTCAAAAGAAGGGACATTTGGGAAATTCAGCAGTGCAAGTAGACGTTTGAAGCCCACATAACACTTGTCTTTCTGGCATTGCAATTCTTTCCTTTTTTCTGAATCTGATATTATAAGTTCAAGCTGAATTGTTGTTGAGAATAAAACGGCAAAGATAACTATCAGAAACTGAGGTTCGTAAACCTCCTCTTTCTCAGCTAAATTGTTTTCCTTTAAAAAAGATTCAAACTTTTTGCAAATTGCAGATTCGTCCAATATGGGAAGCAAAGGATGAATACAGTTCCAGTACATACTAAAGCACTTAGTGAGTGTTTTCTTTTCAGGTAAAAGCTCATGAATGTGAACTCTGAAGTACTCCGAGTCCGCTTCCTTCGAGAAGTCAAAAAAACCAATACATGAAGCTGTCTTATTGCTTATCGAATTCATGATGAATTTTCTCATCATCGAACCTAAATGAGGAAACAAAGCATTCGATGGATAAGTTACTATAGAGCTGTTGCGCTTTTCTGTTGACTTTTGATTTTTCAGGTCATGGTGTAAAAAACTCTGGAAATTGTATTCACATGAAGAGTTATTCAATCTTATGCAGTTTCCACACGGGTTCCCACGATCACATTTGACTTTATGTTTGTAGCAGTATTTACAACTGCTTATTGGTCTTTTTCTTGAAATTTTGGTCATTTCAGCAATTCGGATCACTCCAGTTTAGACGCAAGCCAAAAGCTCCAATTTCCGTGATTAGCTGCCAAGACATTTCTGAAACTGAGATTTCGAAAGATAACAAGTACCCGTTTGAAAATACGCGCCCATCTGACAATTATTTTATACTAAAAATGATAACAAAATCATTCTACTGATTGATTACTAGTAAATGCCAGAACACAAGCCAACTATCTAATAAGAATAAAAAAATGATAAATAAAAAAAGTAAAATTGAAGAAGACAATAACAACAACGAACTAGAATTGGTATTTCCATTCAGGTGCAGTAGAAACTTCATCCACATGTATCTCGCTACTATGAGATTCATCATCGACGCGTAGAGACCCCCTGAAAAACCTACCGAACCTACCAAACTCAAATTTCAGCCGGTTATTGATTGAATAGTATATAAACATAATTCCAGAACACCACAAAATAGAAACCCCATAGAAACATAAAATAGCTACGAAAGCTGGATGATAAACGGGAGCATCTTTATCTTTGAAGAAATTCTGGCCGGCAATGGCTGCCAAATTTGCTCCCATGACACACATTGCCAAGCCAACAGATCTGTCCAAAGTGCGCCTACTGTTGATGGCCAACCATGAGTTATTCAATGATTGCGCAGTACCAACACCTGCATTAATCATGGTAATCATTGCAAACATGGTCCACTTTTTGGTAACGCCAATACGCATACTTTGTAGCACGCCTGCAAATGTGATAGAGTATGCTAATGTAAGTAACATAAGGAGACCTCTAGTTTTGTAACGGTCTGAAAGCCACGCAGCTGTTAAGGAGAAAAAACAAAGTCCGAATGGTCCGATCGAGGCCAACGCATTTGCTCTAACTGTGCTAAAACCCAAAGACTTTATAATCTTTGGTGAGAATAGCTGCAACCCCCCATAAGGAGCAATCTGCAGGAAATTCATCATCAGATGTAGCCAATTTCTCCAGAGAAAAATTGATTTGAATATGTTCTTAAGGGTGATTGGAGTCACGTCTGAATTATCTGAAGGCTTTGAATCATAATACTTAAGACGGTCTTGCATAATCCTTTCTTCACGTTTGCTGAAAAAAGAAAAGAGGTTATGAACTGGAGAAGGGTTTTCTGGAGAACGTGCAACAAAAATTGCAAGAAGCAGAGTAGCAAATATTGTAATACAACCTTCTATCATGAACAAAAATCTCCAGGGATGCCAATTTTTATGGAATGGCATACCCAGAATCCCTGCTGCTATCAAGCTACCAACGGCAGCGGCAAAATAATTGCCAAAATAGAAGAGGGTAGTCCTGGTTGCCAGTTCATTGCGCTTGTAAAACCTAGAGATCACGTAGATCGAACCTGGTATAAAACCTGCTTCGAACATTCCCAATAGCCATCTCGTAGCATAATAAGATTTCTTCCCAGTGATAAAACTTTGAAAAATAGCAACAAGGCCCCACAGGACTCCTTGCGCAATTAGCAAGGGTAAACAACCAACTTTATGGATAATAATATTAGACGGAATCTCCATAATAACAATCGCTGCTGACTGCAATTGATTACCGGTTGCTATTTCGTCTGTTGTACAATGTATGTCTTTGCCAATACCTCCGGTTAGAGCGTTAGAAATGTTACTCCTGTCTAATTGAAGAGAAAAAAAAGAGAACATCAAAAACAGAAGTATGGACAGATCGATTTTCAGAACAAGACGCTTTTCCTCTAAGGAGGACCAATACTGCTCAGTAATCGATGCATTTTCATCTTCAGGTTCATAATTTTCAGGGCTAGCCGATTTGGCGCTCAACATGTAATCCTTTTTACTTTCAGTTGAGATCATTTTCAACAGGCTTTAGTTTTCAATGGAACTTTTTTTCAAAGTTCAGAGTAGCAGAAGGAAAAGCTGAATGACGTTTCGAACAGCATACCAGAATCATTACCAGTATATAAATACCGAATCTTAACTAGACTCTTATCTTAATATCTGTTTCAACTACAAACCGATAATCCGGGAAGCCACTTGATAAGTCACTGATTCCAGGTTATTGTGGCTATTATCTGATTAGTATCTAAATGTCTTCGGAAGAAAGATTATGAAATATTCATTTTATCAGTATCCACAGTTTGTCGGCCGATATTACCTGATGTAGCCGCCGAAAACCAAATGTAGAAATACCGGCCGATACCCTCTCATCAGAGCGGTGCGATTTTTGTTATCAGTCCGTTCTGTCGACCCTACAAGCAAACATGCCAGAGATTAAATCGATCCGTTTTCGTATGTTCAACTAAAATAAAAAGAAGTTATGCTGGCAGTTTTTGTCTTCAATCAACAAGAAATGTTATCTGTTGGAAAAAATTGATTAGGTTTTGAGGAATGCTTGCTTGGATCCAATCACGACGCGTCCCATGTCTTCAGATCTCACCAAACCAAACATTATCTTGATCTTAGCCGACAACTTAGGATTTGGTGAGTTAGGATGCTATGGGGGAGGTGTGCTTAGAGGAGCTCCCACTCCCAATATAGACAACCTTGCCAAAGAAGGGGTTTTGTGCACAAATTTCAATGTTGAAAGTGACTGCGTTCCAACAAGATCTGCGCTTATGAGCGGACGGCACCCCTTCAGGACAGGTTGTAGACAATCTGTTCCTTGCGGTTTTCCACAAGGTCTTCAAAGATGGGAAATTACCCTTCCAGAAGCATTGGAGAAGCACGGCTACAAGTCCGCACATCATGGAAAATGGCATTTGGGTGACGTTCAAGGAAGATTCCCTTCGGATAGGGGGTTTGACGAGTGGTATGGTATTCCGAGAACAACTGATGAATCTCAATTCACTGAAAGTGTTGGCTTTGATCCATCAGTTGCTGAAATTCCATACATAATGGAAGGTACAAAAGGAACGCCCTCAGAGAATGTATGTGTTTACGATCTTGATCAACGAAGATTAATCGACGAAAAACTGGTTGAAAAAACTGAAGATTTCATGAGCAGAATGGTCAGTGAAAAACAACCGTTTTTTCTCTATCACCCGCTGGTCCATCTTCATTTTCCAACTCTCCCTCACAGAGACTTTGAAAATGTCACCAAGAACGGTAATTTTGCAGACTCTATGGTTGAGATGGACTACCGTGTTGGCCAAATTCTGAAAAAGGTGGATGAGCTTGGAATCAGAGAAAATACATTCTTGATTTTTGCTAGTGACAACGGTCCTGAATTCAGGCAGCCTTACAGAGGATCTGCGGGGTTCTATAGAGGTACATACCATACAGCTATGGAGGGCAGTTTGAGGGTTCCATTTATTGTTAGATGGCCAAATAAAGTTCCTGAAGGCATCCAAACAAACGAGATGATTCATGTTACTGATATCTTTAGTACTTTATTGGAAGTTGGAGGAGCGTCGCCCCCAGCGGACAGACCGATTGATGGGTTAAACCAGCTTGAGTTTTTGCGTGATCCGCTCAACAAAAAGTCTCCCAGAGAAGGTTTCTTGTTCTTCATCAAAGACAATTTGAGGGCAATAAAATGGCGGGACTGGAAACTTCACTTGTGGTGGGAACCAGAAGTTAATGAATCGAAAGGGCAATTAGAGTCTCCATACTTATTCAATATCATTCGTGATCCAAAGGAGGAGAGTAGTGTGCTTGCTACTAATACTTGGGTTCTTCAACCGATGTTTAGAATGAGAGATAAAACTCTGCTTTCCTTGAAAGAGAATCCAACTCCTAAGGATCCTATGAAATATTTGTAAACATTTTATAGAGTTATATTTACTTTTTGCATTCTGGTATTTTCATGAGTAATCCCAGTGTAGCTTAAACAGTACTTTTGCGGTAAACCAGGAAATTGTTTCAAAACGCTTCAAGAGCTTTTCAGGACATCTTGAATTTTAGAATATAATTAGCCTTATAAAAAAGCTTATCGTAATTCAGACATGAGTGGCCCTCTTGTCCATTTTGTACCGGCATATTTGTAGATATCGCATGAGGTCCTCAAAAATCTTCATTTTTCAAACTTCCAAGGATCGAGCGATCAAGGCGAGAAGAATATTACAGGATATGTGATTTTGCCCCATACTTCAGATTGCATCAATCTTTTATGAAGCTTTTTGTGAGCCAGGCGAACCAAAAAAATGAGCAAAAAAGTGGTATTGCTCAAAAACGAAACAATCCCTTTTGATCCATATAAGACAGACTTCAAAAACCGTTCTGTGGACGCCCTTTTTATTCCATTACTAATTCATCAACCTATCAATCATGGGGAGATAGTAAAATTTTTAACATCATCAGAGTACTTGGATAATTTTCAGGCATTCATCATAACTTCCCAAAGATGCATAGAATCGCTAGACATTGTGTTATCATCCATAGAAGACACGAACATTTTACAAAAAATACTGAATAAACCAGCTTATACAGTGGGACCGGCAACATCTGAAGTTCTTGCGAAACTGGGGTTTGAAGATATCAGAGGAGGAGAAAACGCAGGAAATGGATCTATTTTGTCTGAGCTCATAGTTGCTGACACTTTCTTTCAGAACGGAAACAAAAAGATATTGTTTCTGACAGGAGAGATTCGTAAAGACATCATCCCCGTGAAATTGACTTCGGCAGGTTTTGATCTTAAAGAATTAGTCGCTTACAGGACGGAGGTGATGAAAGATGTTGTTGAGAGGTATTCCTCAGTATACAATAATTTGAGTTCAAGTGATTGTGAAAAGTGGTTAGTATTTTTCAGTCCACAAGGTACAGAATATATAACCGAGCATTTATTAAGTCGAAATTCAGATTTCAAGATTGCGAGCATCGGCCCGAGCACTGAAGCCTATTTGCTAGAGAAGGGTATCAAGCCAGATTTTGTCGCCAAAAAGCCAAATTCTGTTTCACTAGTACAGGGAATACTAGATGCGTAATCTATCAAGGTTTCATTTCTACTTTACTAGAAAGAATGTATAATTTTATTCAGTTCCGATACCACCAATACGCTTTCGGCCGTATTTTTGTAGTCCAGCTCCATTATGAGATCTTTTCGGCTCTGATTCTTAATCTCGATTCCTGGTAACTGGAGCTTTCCTGGCTTCAATGGAACAAAGGTTAGTTGAAACTGGAAATGCGAACCATTATTTTTGATTGTGTCGTTCAAGTTGATTTTTGCTTCTAAATTTTTGACCCCTGAAATAATCCACTTTTGATCAGTATCAATGAACCCTAAGTTTAAATTTACAACTTGGGATGGATCTTCGTTGTTGCTTTCCTCTCCGCTAGGATTATGTTTAAAACGGACCTTTTTTTCTAAAATTGTCTTATTGTCTAAAACTTCGTCCTGATTGTTGAAGGGACCTAACAAATGCACATCGAGTGTGACATTAACGTTGATAGGCTCACAGACGAGGTACTGTAACACTTTATCAAAGTGATATTCAACTACGTTAATCATATTGATCGGTGGCAAGTTGACTGTAATACAGAGCTCTTTTTTCACATTTGATAACATAAACGTCTTGAAGCTATCATCGATTTCAACATCAGGTAAACTATTCAAGAATTGTGTAACATGTTGTTTGAAGTCAGCTTGACTCCCTATATCAATGTACTTCAAAAAGTTGTCAATGATCCGGCTATCGTAGTCAATAATGAATATTTTGCCCGTAAGCGCATAAAAGTTCAACTTGTACTGTAGTATCTCCCAAATCTGATGTGCCACAGATACAAATATAAAGAAATTTTTCTTCTCAACGGAGACAGCCTTCTCCTCTTCCAAAAAATTCACAAACCTCATATTCATGAGCTCAACAATCTCATCTTTGACACTGTTATATGATATCCTAAGAAGCACATCACGATAGGTAAAATCGCTTACTTTGTAAAAAAATGTGGATCCCTGATCAATAAATGCAACCACGTTTTTTGGTGATTTCCATGTTTCAATTTGAGAGTTAGCTGATGATAAAGACACTTCTTGAATTCGTATTGGATTTTCGCCCGATACAGAATTTATGGTATAGTAAGAAAAGAGTGAAAATAACGTTTCATTTGATTTCTCATTAGTCAAAGAATATGAAGAGCGGAAAGTCTCATCGGCAGCAACAGCAATGGGTAGTGAGCTCTGCAATTGCGAGAAGCGTTTCTGCGAGCAAATAAGTTGTCCCTTCAAGTTATCTATTGAGATAAATTGAATCATATACCTAACATCCAACACCGTATTAGAAACATCAGGTGGGAAGAAGTAGGGAATGTATACGGATATCACGCTTCCGCATTTGAGGATAGAGGGCTCTTTTGGTGAGAAAACTAGTTTTTGATCTGTTTCTTTGATAGTAAAATCAAGCTCTTTTGGCTCATTCGGGTGATTCGAGGAAGAGCTGTCAACTAATAACATTTGACACTCAGTATTATTCACTAATTTGTCTGGATCCGTCTTCACAAACACAAGCTCAAGATTGCTAATGTCATTTTTGCCGACCCGGACTTGAAACAAAAGTTTGTCAGAATGTAGATATCGGACTGAAGGTACTTTTATGCTGAATCTTGTGTTTTCTTCCATTGTTTTACTCTTCAAAGCATAGAATGACTCAACTGGCGAAACGTGTATTGTCATACTGACCGGCTGTAATATTTCAAATTTTCCGATGTTGATAGAAATATTGGTAGATTTGAACGTATCGAAAATCACTTTGGAACATGTCAATGTTAGAACGTTTTTCTCTTTTATTTTGACTTCAGATGAAGTGAACTGTATAATTTCGTTACTTGTATTTCTCATGAACAATCTGAATTTATCTACATTGGAGCCAATTTTGGACTTGAACCTTAGGTCTATTTTGTACGTGTCAACTTCATCGCAGTATACAGACGAAATATGGGAAATTCTCAGCAGTTCTTTAGTTTTCAGGGCAATTGGTTTTTCTAATTTAGAGCATAACTTCTTGAAATGACTTTCATCAAATTTGGCGCTCTTATTAACGGCCAATGTGACATAACTTGAAAGTAATTGGAAAACGACATCTAAGCCACGCTGCTCAATCAATTTATCCAAGTTTTCAATGTACACCTCCAGCAAAGTTACCCCTATATATTTCCAGCCACTAGAAAAGTAAAAATCGTAAGATTTCACTAGTTGATCATAGGAAGTCTCATAGTCATCAGTGGAAAAATACAATATAAGTGCAAGTTCTGTTGAAAGTGAAGCAATCGCATTCATGTTTGTAGAGCATTGGTTGTAAGTATTGATCAAGTCTCGCGTGAGCTCAATCACCTTGTCAATAAAAGACTGATTGGAATTCATTATAGACTTCAAGCTCTCATCCAGAATGTTATACGGAGCGCTTGAGAATTGCATATCAATAATAGACATTGAACCTTTCACATAGTAACCTTTTTGTGTTCCTAATGCAATCAATTCATTTCGTTGTAAAAGTTTTAGGCTTCCTATACTATTTATCAGTTCGGCATTTGAGCTTTTGTGTTGCTCTAGTAACTTTTTCAAGTGTTGGTTGCCTAAGAACATTTGAATCAACAGAAAGCTGATTTCATTTCTTTTATAGCACATTTCTAAAGAATTGATAAATGATTTGAGCGTTTGAGCAAGCCGACAAATGTTTTTTGTATATACCATATCTGTAAGATAAGGAACTAGTAAAATTAGTTCTTGTTGGCGGTAGTACAGACTTTTCGATAAAAACTTAGAATTCGAGCTATATTTGATGATATTACTTTGCGGATTGAATATCTCATATATTTGCTCCAGCCTAACAGATTCAAAGTCTTCTTTTTTGATAAAGGGATACTTGTTGAAAAGTTTAGAATAGCAAGCCAAAGCATCTTGTTTTTGCTTTAAGTCTTGGTAAATTTGTGCAGTTTCTACAAGATTACTTTCAGAAGAACGTAATTGTAGGTTAATTGAATCTGCTAGTAACGTTCTCAAAGATGATGATATATATTTCCAAACCTCGACTTTGTCGATATTAGCTTGGTATATCGATTTAATCTTGAAAATGTTATCCACACCAAATTCATTAGTATCGAAGTCAATTTTCAACTTATTGAAAAGATTAGTTTTCAAGTATTTGTCAGCTTTAGTCCTGAGTTCAGTGTTTTCAAAAAAAAATATGAGGTAGGGAACCGTTGGTTCCATCGATTTCATGCTACCTAACCATTGTAAAACCAACGGACGAACTTTTGCTCTATAATCATCTACTGTCTGGCATGAAACAAACATTAATTTCAGATATGAAACATCACTTTTTTTAGATCGAGGAATCTCTTCCACAAATTTGAAATCAACATTCTTCAAAACCCGCAAAGAATCATGGTTGTCTTTCCAGTAGAAGGAAGGTATCTTGACATGTTTTTCAAAATCCGATCTGAAACCGCCTTGAAAAATTGAAAAAGGATCATAAAATCCCACAGTCAACGCAATTGACTCTTCGGGGGTATTGCTATCCAAGACCATCATAGCATCCAGGGCTATCAAGTGGAAATACTCTGCAGCACTTGGGTAGTTTGAGCTTGAAGAGTGAGATGGTCTAGATAGCTCTTGAAGCTGTACACCGAATCGATTGAGAAACTATTTTGAGTTTAAAGAATCCGCGGTGCACGGATAAATTTATACTTTCACCTTGTAATTTTCTTGTTACATGTTTTAGTTCTGCATATACTGAATACCGCAACTTTGTTGATTAAATGAGTTGTTGACGTTTGGTCTGATATAAATATTAGGAGCCAGAGTACTACCGATAACAATTATGTACGAAAACTCTGCAAATAAATTTGTTAACAGTAACTCGAAACAAGAGAATGGGTCGAACCAGAGTAAGAAGCTGATAATACGCTTGTCACGTAAAAACAAATTAATGGATCAAGCGACGAGGAGGCATTATGCCAACAATCCTAATGTTGAGTTCTATTATGAAGAAGATAGAATAATGGATGATCCAGAGTACTGGATAACAATTGCAGAACGGGCAAACATTCCGATCCGTTTTGGGAACCCTCAATCTGATAATAATTTACAGATTTCTGGAACTGAAAGTACACATTTTTCGAATGACAAAAATTCACTGTTAAAATCACTGCAAGAAAGATTCAAGGCGTACAAACAAATGTCTAAGGATGATGAAGATGCTTATTATGCCAACATCGAGCGTGAGTATAAACTGCAAAAGGAACGTGTAAAACAAGCCGAATTTAATGAAAAGACCAGGCAACAACGCATCTCTAAACTCTTTAGACAGCTAGGATACAGCGTCTCGATTGATAAAGAGGCTGGAAACCTATCTTCATCAAGTAGTTGTGTCAAAAGTTTACCCGCAAGTGAGGGTGAAGAGTCAAATTTGGCCATCTCTCAAGTAGAAACTCGCATCTCAGACAACGAACCAGCAGACGATACTGATGATAGCATAATAATACTTTCTGATCCAGAATATAACGAGCATGCTGGCGAAGTGACTCACAATGGTATTCTTAATGACTTCATTGGTGAGGCCGATGTTGGGAATGACACGAGTGAAGATGAAGGTGAAGATGAAGGTGAAGATGAAGGTGAAGATGAAGATGAGGATAATAGCGATATTTACTCCTTTGAACCCATGAGCGAATATGACACTAAACTTGTGAATGAAAATGATAACACTTTTCGTTACGCAGCTAACGGAACTGAGCTAAAGAGTGATTATAGGACAGCCTACAATTTTCCAAGTAATAGAGGCTTTGGAATTCAGGACATAAGGCACCAAGATCAAGAAGTGAGCGAGCTGTCTGGAGAAGACGAAGAGGAGGAAAACATCAAAGTTCGAGAAGAATCAGCCGAATTAGATGAATTAGAAGAGATGGAAGAGTTAGAGGAACTAGAATCAGAAGAGTTAGAAGAATCAGAAGATTTAGAAGAGTCAGAAGAATCAGAAGAATCGGAAGAAGTAGAAGAAGTAGAAGAAGTAGAAGAGGTCGAAGAATTAGTCACAAAAATGGAATCAGGAACAGAAGATTCAGAAAGATATATTGAAGAAGAAGAAGAAGAAGAAGAAGAAGAAGAAGAAGCTGAAAATGCTGTTGACGTAAAGGGGGACTTTGATTCAAAAGTCGCAAAACAATCTTCTTCGGTCTTCAATCTTCCAGAAGAAGAGATCCCAAACTATAGCTATGATCGTAAGCTCGAGAAAGTTGCCGTTAATGACAGTAGGGGAACTCTTTTCAACCGAGAATTTTCTAATCCAAGAGATAATGCAACTGAATCCATATATCACGAGTTCTACATGCAGGAAAAAAATACGGCACCTAGTAATGATAATTATGTTACTTTGGATTCTGACTCGGAGAATTTTAGTAGCGATAAAAGTGATAATAACGAAAAGGCTGATATTGAGGCTGATACAGAGGATCACCTTGAGATTTATAAAGATGATGAAAAATCAACTGGAGGCGAAATCAAGGATGGTGGTTCTAATGACGTAAGTTTAGAGGAGCAGCACCAGATTGATATGAGTGATGCGGCATATGCTTATGAACTAGCAAGACTCTCTCAGCAGTATCAAAACGATATTGACATGATAGTGAATGAGACGCTAGAAGGAGCTCAGAAGACCGACGAAAAGACTCAATCAAACCAAAATTCTAATTCACATGAAAGTGACACAAGGTTGCTGGATATACCACAAGATACAAATTTTTTTACTGTGCATTCAGACTCGGAAGAAACCCGCAAAGACTTGCTGATGGATAAGTCAAAAGCTGAAAACTTAGTTACTGATGATTCTGTTATTGATCAGAATTTATTTTTTTCTGCTATTGAAAATTCTGAATTACATGAATCAACTCCCGTTGTTGCTGACGAAGAGATGAAATCTGTGAGCTCTCCAGTAAAGTACAAACCAGATAACATTTTAGTTACACCATCAACCCCTCCGACACGTGTAATTGATTTTAAGCCAATCACACCACCCTTGCCACCAACACCAGATCCTCCTCAGCTATATATGGGGCTTGCTGAATTGTTGAATGCATCTTTAGACATTCATTCCAAGCAAAGTGCAGGTGAAATCATTGAGGAAAGATTAGTAGATACCGCTCAAAAATTAGTTGAAGAAGTTTCTACCGCTTTTGGGAAGATAGAAAGCTCCGAATTAGACCATTTTCTATCTGCTCCAATCAATAAGCCAACTTTTATTGAAGAAAGTGGAAGTAATGACCGGAAACATCCATTTTCGGATATTGAAGAATTATCCAATGATGCATGCCATAATGGGTCATCGGGTATATTTAGAGAACGCCAACAAGAAGACATTTCACAAAAAGAAGAAAAAGACGAAAAAAGAAATAAGATAAACTCAGGGGAGTCACGCGCAGAAAGAGTGCGTCAAAATTCAAAAGAAGTCGATGGTTCCGAGAGTGATGAAATCAGCAAAGAGGACAATACAACCGAGCACATGGTTGTCAAAGATGAACCAACTGTTTTGCGGAATTTGAAAGAGGCCTCTCCTTTTCACGATTTATTGCAAAACAATGAGAGTTTCAACGCACTGTCTGAATCTTCTGCCTTTGGAATATTAAGTACCAAAAATGAAGAGGAGCGTGAGAACAGTACCAAAACGTTTAGAGAAGAAGACTACATTAATTCTCTTTTGAACGAAACTCTCGCCGACTCTAGAGATCTGAGCTCGGCTCCTTTGTCTGGTGGAGTGTATGGTGAGACAATAATGGAGTCCACCGATGAATTATCTGATGCAGATCAATCTTTCTATCTTACCGACGGAATAAAGGATGAAGATAAAAAATCAGTATATATACCTGATAAGACGAAATACAGGGCCAAAGACGAGTCTGGAAATGAAAGATACCCTGCTACTAACACTGAACAATCACCAAAAAGTTTACCCCAATCGATTGATACTTCCTGTGACACAGGCACTTTTTCCTTGAAAAGACATTACGAGGAAATGGTTAAAGAGGAATTTCCTAGCCCCAATTCGTTTGTTAAACGCGTTAAAGGTGTGATATCTAAGATTTCTTCTTTTTCTTGGTACGACAAAGGTCCAGATCCAGTAATAGAGTCCCTTAACATGAAAGACAATGAATCCCTCCTTACAAATATAGGCGTTCAGGAACAAAACATTGAAGCTGAAGTAGACTTGAATGATTCAGCTGTATCTCAATCGACCAAAGACAATTCCATTGTGAACGTTCCAAAAGATCCAGCTGATAGTCATCATGAATCGTCACTTGAAGAGATAGAGGATAGCGATGCCAGGGTTGATACTATTATTGATGCTGCGGAAGGTTTATCGGAGAAAACTAAAGCTAGCGATAATGAGGTTGAGATGGAAATCAATGATTTCCCAAAAGAAGTTGATGAAATTGAGGTTTCTATTAATCATCTTGAAAATGAAGAATATAATATTTTTCATACCGATGACGCTTCAATTGAGACACCAGAAGCGGCCGTGAGTGATCTCAAAAGTTCTAACGAAAATATTTCCCCGCTTGAGATAGACCTTAGAAAAAGAGACGAGACTGAAAATATCAGGATTGACATGAGCGCTAACAACGAAAAGGCCTGCGAGCCTGTCGATGAGGAACTCCAATTAATTGCAGAACCTATGACCGAAAATAATGAGCATAGTAAAGATGAACCAGATATCATGGTATCCAAGCAAATGGAGAATAACGAAAATCACAATGAAACTATTGTGAATGAAAACAAAGCATATAGTAATAAAATTGAGAGGCAAGAGGATAAAAAATCTTGGCCATTCAACTTGGCTAATGCGTTAGTTGAGTTTTCTAATAGCGCTCTGTCCGAAGCATGCTTTGAAGAAAGTGATGATGTGGGTATTGATGTAGAAGCTACGGATCTTGAGGAAGAAAAAGAAGAAAATAAAGGAGAGGAAGGAGTAAATGGGACATTACCAATTGCTGAAACCAGCTCCGCACAAGCCGAGAGCAGTCAGCCCAGCGATGATGAACTTTCTGATGATAATACTGTCAATGAAGAACATGAGGTGAGTGGGTTGAAGAAAGATGTTTCCTTCGAACGCACTGCTCCATCTATTGCCGGAAGTGAAACAGAGGGAGATGCAGGAGTCAAAGATTCCTCCGTGTCTCAGCATGCATTCGACGAAGAATCCGTCGTGAAATCGAGCATTAAGGGAAAAGATGACTTTTTTTCAGAAGGGGAAACCACAGATGTTATTGTTGTGAATGAATCACCCGCTAACGTGCCTTTTAAAAATGAGGTAGAAGCCAAAACAGCTTTTCCGTCTAAGGTTGTCAAACTTTTTACTGGGTTGTTTAGCGAGAGCAAACTTTCTAAGAAGCAAACCCCTACTGCAGAGGTCGACCCTACTTCGGCTGGTATATCTCACTCAGAGTCAGAGCCGGAAACTGGAGTGTTGCCAAACGATGAGTCGTCTGCGTCCACTTCTGATGCTGACACTAGCACAATCCATATAGAGGTCAAGGGTGAGAAAGATGCATCCGAATCCAGATCCGGGTCTGCATGCGAATCTGAGTCTGAAGCAAACACAGAAGCCACTTCAGATGCTGAAGTTTCTGTCATGCTTGTTCATGAGAATACAAATACGGAGTCGTCTTCCACCGACAGCGAAAGCTCTACTGAAATTATCACAGTTCGAGAGGGCCTGAGTGACGAGATTCATGTAGGTGAGGAAACTGGTGACGAAGGTTCAACAGATATGAATGTCAAGCCCGAAGCTACTGAAATAATGAGAGTTATTGAGTTACCGTCCAAAGAAAGCGAGCCTATTCTCAAGGTGGAAGATACCACTAATATTACCGTAAGGGGTAAGAATGGGGAAGATGATCTTTTGAGTACTCAAAAAGATTTTGATAACGAGCCCCAAAAGCGAGGTCGTAGTGAAATTGTCAAAATGGGTAATGAAGACATTAGAGATGATGACGAGCAACCAAGCAAACGTTTACATGTTGAAAATTCCAGGCTCTTTGTGCCACCAGTTGCTGTGCGAACCAGATCCCGATCTCCTTCTCGTAAAAGTTCAGAAAGTTCACAGAGGACCTTATCAATTGAAGAGGGGACGAAGACATCGATAAACGTAATTGCCAACCGTGTTCTGTCATACGGTTCTGACGATGATCCAGTTGAGCTCAAAGAAGACCAGCTGCCAAGGATGTATCCCAATTTGATTGAAGAGGCTGATCATTTTATAGAGCACGATGCAGAAAAGAAACCGGCAGGCGTGGGTGCATTCGAAACCAATAGCGATGACGAAGAAAACGAATCCAATGCACAAAACGAGAGAGAGAAGACCTTGAAGAGCCCACAGATTGTTGTTACGAAAAGGAAATCCTCTTCACAGGATGCCTCCTCGGAAAGACGGTCTGATAGAATCCTTCGAAACGATGATGTCAAGATAATCGATGAAAAACCTTCGGAAGAGACTGAGGCTAGGCTTACTAGAAGGACCAGATCTTCTAAGAAGCCAAGCACAGATAAGGACGAAACTAAGCCAACAGATGAAGGAGAAAAAGACGAGAAGGAGGACGATGATTTGGACGCAACTTTCGAGGAGAGATTGAAAACGTCTTTGAACAAGCGACCAAATAGCAAGAGTGAGGTGACAGACGAAGCTCCAAGTAGAGGGCGTGGTAGAGGACGAGGCCGGGGCAGAGGAAGAGGACGAGGCCGGGGCAGAGGAAGGGCACGAGGCCGGGGCAAGGGGCGGACCAAGAAACTGTAAAATTACATGTAACCCTAGATAGGAATGATAAAACAAAAAAGAATTGCGTCAAGAAAAGACTGATTAATGTACATGATATGCAAAAAGTATATATGATCTAGAACAAATGGATTGTGAAAAAGCGGCCGGCACAGCGGACGGGATAGAACTTCAGAAGTCGTCATCGTCGTCTTCTTCTCCCGTCTTTGCCGCAAGCCTGGCTTTAAACTCGCCCTGCACACCTTCATCGTCTTCATCATCCAACTCACCGGACTCTGCCTCGACACGCTTGGCCTCTTCCTCCGCCACCGCTTCACATGCGTCTATCCAAGTGGAGTATATATCTATCGGCTCCGATAATGAAGTTATAGAGGTCTGGAACGACTGTCCACAGATTTTGCACGTCAACGTACCAATATTAGACTTCTTGTCAATTGTACAGTTGATCGCCTTCTCGTGATTACAGAAAAGACACGTGAATTGTGTGTCGAGCTTCTGTTTTAGTTTTTTGACTGGTCCTCTGGAGGACTTCTTCCGCTTACCCATGACGTACTAAACTAGCAATGAAAACTTCAGTATTCAGTCCTAGCTCCGTACATCAACTTTTTTGCCAAAAGGAATCAAGCATTAAAACACGAGCAGATGCAGACCCGGACGTGACGTTGCCATTTTCGATTGCTGATCCTTGAAGAATATGATGAATCCTCCTAGAGAAACTACAGGATGAGCACGCCGCCTCTCCCTCTTCGAGGAGGAAAGGAAAAAAGCAGACGGGGCCGATCGGCCCCCCTGTACTAATTTTTTTTGATTTCCTTCTACTTACTTTTTTTCCCAGCTTAATGATATTTTTCAGATTTTTCCGTTTTGAGATTTTCAGACAAATTTTTTTGTTACTTTTCCAACTTTTTTTTTCTTCGATATGCAATGGCAGGAACAGTCTAAAGTTTGCAGACTCTTTTCGGACAGCCAGTGATTCACAAAAGGAATATACAATGCCGCCAAGGAAGACTAGAGCCACCAAAACCGCCAAGGCGGAGACCGCAAAGCCTAAAGCCACCCAAAAGGTGAAGAAGGTGAAGAAGATTTTGGAAAAGGAAAAGGAGGAAAAGGCTACTGAAGAGGTCGAGCCAGAGAGCCTAGCCAGTACTTCAGACAAGATTGTGCAGCCTCTAGATGTGAAAGACAGCACCATTGAGAAAGCCGTGAATGCTTTGTCGCAGTGGAAGAAGCAGCAGGGAGAGAAGTCGTCGAAAAGAGATCTTTTTGAGACCGAGGATGAAGACATCCCTGTATACCTACAGATTACAGCAAAGAAATACTTGGCGACGTCCAAGGTGATCAAGCCACGTATGCTCCAGGTTCCTCATCCTGTTCACGACCTCGAAGACACTCGTGTCTGTCTTTTTGTCAAGGACGACCTTTTCGACGAAGACGCATTGGCTAGAATCGAGGTGTTGAAGGAGGACCAGTTGAAGAACCTTGCACAGATAATCACGGTGAAGGACTTGAAGACCAAGTATCACGCCTACGAAGCTAGACGTAAGCTCTTGTCCGAATACGATATGTTCTTGACCGATTCGTCCATCGCAAACATGATACCTAAGTTGCTGGGTAAAACTTTCTTTGGCTCTTCAAAATTCCCATTGACCATCTCCGTCACTGATAACAAAAAGGTGTCTGTGGACAGGCTAGTGGGCAATTTCAACAAGGCATTGAATTCCGTAGGATATATGCTCCCAATGGGTGTCAACATGGGAATGAGACTAGGAATGCTTGGCCAGGACATCGATAACCTTAAGGACAACATCCACGCGATCACCAAGTTCCTCGAGAAGTATCCAATACGATTGATTCAGTTGAAGCTAAAAGACTCTCCCTCCCTTCCACTCTACATCACGGACAAAATCTACTCCGACGAAGACATTCTCAAACCAGAGAACTCTCAAACTGCAAAGAAGCAGGATGCAGACGACATACCTTTGTCCATATACAGCGAGGGTTTGAAGGAGTTAGGTTTCGAAGAGGAGGAGGCAAACCAATTGCTTGGTAAGAAGAAGAGAACTGCCGACTCTGCTGCACCAGAAGAGTCGAACGGCAAGAAGAGCAAGAAGAGCAAGATCAGCAAGAAGTAAGTGTAGCCACCTCTCTCCTCACTTCCTTCATTTCCTTCACTCATTCTTGACTCCTTTTTCTATAGAGACACACCCCACCTACCCGTATATTTTTTTTCACCATGTAGAATATAACGCCAATATCGAAATAGAGAGCTTTCTGCAGCAACGCACAACACACTGCTCGTACCGCTTTCTGGGCTCTGCAGCAGTCACTACTATCTGCAGCAAGATGCCGTACTGTAATCATAAATGAACAAAGAACAGAGAAACGAAAAAGGGGCTTAAATTTTCCAGCATTATCTGAAGCCTCGCCATAGGCTCACCATACAGATGAGAAAAAGCTAAAGCTGATAGATAAAACAGAAAAGATAGGCTGGCGGTGCATGGCAGCTTGCCACTCTTCAGACTGTCTGCTCTTTATCTGGGATTTTCTTCCAGTAAGAAATATATGCCTTTCGGTACTTAGCTACCTTCGTGTCACACAGACCACCAGGAAAACAGATGATAATGGCAAAGACGAAAGTGACAAACCACTCCAATACATTGATCCTGACAGATGCGACGTTGTTGCATCCAAAGAATGCATCGCCTCTGGCGGAAACGCTGGATGCCTTAAAAGAGTTTGTCAAGACGCAGAGTATACTGCACGGGGTACACAGTTGCTTACAGACTCTACATTTCAAGTCGTTTCGCCGAATAATAATGATTTTTTCTGTACCGAAGATTGCAGATTTGGTTTATGAATATTTGACAAAGCTCGGAATCAAGATAGGATTTGCCAGATATGACAACGGGATAAGCAGCTGCGACTTGGATCCTGAATGTGACGTTTGCGAAGCAAGTAAAGCCGACGCACAACTGGCGATCCTACAACCGAAGGACGCCCCGGAAAGCTATCCGGTGGAGGACAGGTGTCCCGGAGCTGGTGTTTACGGCATCAAATATAATAAAGCTGAAACTTTTCGAAAATTGGAGCCACCCAACCCACCGATTCAAATGCAATCGCCGCCACCTTCTCCTTATGAGGGATGGATAGAAAGGCCCGAAGAGCCCCCTAGTAGTACCACTGTGGGGTTTCATCCGAAGGCGCTGGGCCATTTGTTATATACTTACGATGTTGAAACGGCCAACCATTTTGACCAAAGAGAACGTGATAGTGACGATGAGATGAAAATGAGGCGAGTATTTTCCTCGACAATCGAAACTGCGTTCAGTGACCCTATAAAGGAATCCGCCATGGATGATTTGAATATTGGGGAAGGCTTACATGATGATGATGATGACGACGACGACGATGAAGCCAGCCATGTTTTGAATGGTTCATTATTTCAAAAACCTACGCTCATAAGGGAAGTTTCTGACAAAGCAAAATTCTCCAAAATGAAAATTCCGATAGTTGTTGTTGATACACAAGAAGCTGAGAACTTGCGATCACATGCTGCAGAAATAGATAGTGTTAAAATCGGAAAAGTTTAGCAGTCTCTAAATTGAAAACCATGTGTATATATTGTTGTATAGGGAATGATAAGGTATTAAAAAAGTGCAAAAGACGGGAGGCCGAAAAAGTAAAATACAAAACGGAGAACTTTGAATGTGGTGAGTAAGACGTTCGAATATAATAAGTTGTGGTGTAGGTAGCCGTAGCCGTAGAAGAAGTAGAAAAACATTAGTGGAAAGATTTGAATCTCAAGTTACCCAACAAGAATGCGGAGATAGTGAAAAGAACAAAAACTATGTAAAAGATTATTTGTGGCTTTCCGATGTTGATACCGAAGGAGTAGACACTCAAGAACATCCATGGGGAAATCAAGTTAGTAATGTTTCTAATCAAAGCGAGCGCTCCGAAGAACTCACCGTTTTTCCCCGGGCTAGAATTATATTTGAGCAAGGCAGAATGAAGAATTGGGGATCCAATGGCTGCCGTTGATGAAAAAAACACATAGAAGCATACCGCTACCACTGACACAGAACATGAACATAAAAGTGCGGCAACAAGCTCACATGCTATTGCGAAACCAATGGAAGAGACGTCAATAAAATCCACGTTGAAGGAGTCATGGTCAAATATCCTGGTGAAATGGTGTTGTAGCCAAGGGTTGAATGCTGTCAAAACCAACGCTCTAAAACCAAAGGACACACCCACAAAAAGACTTAACTGTGCTTGGTCCAATTCAAAAGTGTAAATTAGGTAGAGCGCAAGAGGCGTAGAAGCACCAGTAATACAGAAGTTCATTAACACTTCCACCGCTAGCAACAATAATACATTAATGCGAGCAGCGAAGTCCAACTCTGAAGAGCTCACATTTATGGTTGTGCTGCCATTGACGCTGCCGTTGTTGTTATTGATATTAATGTTGGCGCTAGCAGTGTTACTGCTACTGCTGAAATTGCCATTGCTGCTACTCGAAGTGAACTTGTTTCTTGAGGGTGGCAATAACTCCGCCACCTCACTAGAGGACTCCGAGCCGGCTGAGTTTGGCTTGAAATTCAACGGCCGTGTGATCCATAGAAGTTTCAACGAGTTGAAGGATTCCAAGAATGTGGACAGACCAAGGGTGTAGACCCACGAAGGATTTGTTTCCAATTCTCTCTGTGACCTGATGGAGCTTCTTCTAGATTTTGCCTTAAGCTTAGTACTCCGTGACTCTGGAATGAAAAAAATCACTACGAGGATCGACACCACCATCAAGGCGGTGCTGAGGCCGAGAAAATGGATGCCCTTGATCTCGATCAGTGAAGACAACATTGACGACGACAATGGGCCGAGAGCTAAGCCCAAAAATAAGGCGCCGGTGACCTTCCCCAACGCCTGCAAGCGGTCTTTATCGTGCACCACATCAATGGTGTAGGAGTTGGCGAGCCCCAACAGCACAAAGATGGAGCCCCCAAAGGCGTCTAGCAGGGAGCCGGCCAAGTAGCGGCCAAAGGAGAAATACTGCGGCGTCAAGATAAACATCATGGAAAACTTGGATAGCGCCGTCATGGTAAAGGTGAAGAGGATCACTGGCTTGCGGCCGTAGATGTCGCTGAACTTGCCCAACCTGCTCGAAATGAGGATCTTCACGATCGACGAGACAAAACCGACACGCTTCTGCACGCTGGCATTCGCCTGCTGCACGCCCGTGGAGCCGCAGTTGTCCAAGTTGTTGCCGTTGTACATGTAGCAGACGGCCCGCAGCACGAGCTGGAGCTCTGGCGCCATAGCGAAGTTCGACGAGTAGCAGTAGAAAAATAAGATGCACGAGATCATGAATACGGACGGCCGCTTGTGCCACTTCATGTTCACGTGGAACTCTCTCTCCTCAAGAAGAAGCACCGAATCGCTTACCTCCGAGAGCACCGATTCGTCGTCGTGGGCGCCGTCTCCGTCCTCTATCTCGCAGCCATCCTCACCCCCACCCGTCACCGTCGACATGTAGTACCCCCTATAGTTACGGTCGTCAATGCCATCAACGGAGTTAAGGTCCACGCTCCCCGTCGAGTCTTCCTGACGATCATCATCGAGTTCGGCGTCGTACCCGCCTTCGCTTGACGACAGAAGCGCCGCTTCTTCCGCAATGTCGTCGTTCAAGATTGCATAGTCGTACGCCTGCTTCTTCTGGATGTGCATTAGGTTCAAGCTGTGGTACAGGTGCCGATTCTTGCTGCCCTGGTGGTGGTTGCTGTGCCCGTCCCCGCTGTCCTGCTGCATCACTGTATCTGCGGAGGACCCTAGCAGGAAGGCGTTCTCGAATTGCGGCTCCCCCCGCTTCAGCACTATCTTCTTCTTGTGATTCCTGCTCCCCATATTCCTATCGCCCTTCTGCTGCTCTCAGTGCCGCTACAGACCTCCCGTGACCCCCGCTAGCCCCATAAGAGCATCTTCCCAGCCCTGATAAGCTCTCGTCCGAGCCTTTGTCCGACAGCCAGGCTGTTTTCATGCCCCAGTCGGCATCAGCGCCAACGCCAAACGCCCCACCGCATTGCGCGGGAATCAAGCCGAGAGCGAGCCCCCGCCACGGCTGCAGCGGCTGCTATCTGGGCGAGCAAGGAGCGAGCGAGGGCCAGAGAAAGACAGGATGCAGAAGGGAGAGACGGAGGCAGAGAGACGTGAGCAATGCTCAGCTGCAGCAGAGAGGAAGACCGGACGTATCAGAAGCCAAGGGAGACCGACAACCATCGTAGCTGCGATTGCGAGAAAGAGCAATCAGGCGCCGCCCACAGATACGCTTAGAGCCAGAGCCCAATCGAGATTGAATGCCAGGCCATGTTTGCGGAACATCCACCCACCCACACACACACACACACGCAGGCGAACACCCAGAGCCAGAGCCAGACGCAGCCACAGGTCCCACTGGCGTCCGTGATAGTGACGAAGAACTACTACCAGACGGAGAGCATACCGAACACCTTGCAGCTGATGGAGGACGACGTGGTGCATGTGCTGAGCAAGCCTAACGAGCATTGGTGGGACGGCGTGCTCGTGGACCCTGTGGGAAACGTCACGCGGGGATGGTTCCCGGCCTCTTACACCAGGCCGTATAAGGCAGACAGTGGTGTAGACCGCCGCAGGGGCTTTCGAAGGGATGAGCTGTTGCAGGGCGAAGGACGGAGCAACAGCCAGCCCCAAGTGGGAGCCGCCGCCAACCCAAACACTCTACACCCACACGGCAGCCATAATCTCAGCCACCACACCCCCCAGAACAACAGAAGACAATCGATGAAGGCCCGCCCCACGGGTGGCCACGCCCCACCCCATGGCATCCACCACTCGCACAGCCAGCCCCACTACAACGCCAAGTCTGCCGTGAACCATTCGGACATCGCCAACAGCAGCCCAAAACAACACCAGAGCACTCCCCATCAGGCGCCAGTCTCTACGGCGAGATCCGAGCCACCTCCATCGAACGCCTCCTCCCCTTCCATCTTTAAGGAAAAGAACTACTTCGTGCCGAAGACAGACTCTTTTCTCACCTCCTCTTTAGCCAATCAACACCAGCATGAGTCAAGACAGTCCTCAAAGGCGCACACAGAGACTCCGCCATACTCTCTCATGAACTCAATGCATATGGTAACAAATGAGGAGATATCCTCCTATTTCCAGACGTCGAACTCGGAGTCTCAACCCTCTTTCAATTTTGTCCCTATCTGGTTACCCCAATTCACAATTGACAACCAGGTGGTGTACAAGGACCAGGCATTGAAGGTACTAACTCGAGACATACCGTTTGTTGATGCAGACTATCTCAATGAGGACTCAATTCACGAGGTACCAGATACTTCGAACCTCGTGGCCGACCTGAATCCTCTTCCAATCTCGCTGCAGCGTCAAAACACAGAACCAAGCATTAACTCCACACCACCAGCAAACAACTTCAAGTCGTATTCCATATACGATAGCTTTCATGGATCGACCAACAAGCATGCCCCTCAACAAACTCAGGTTTTGATCAACATGCCTGATTTTGCAAATGTACGATTGACTGAGCTTTTCTACACTGATAACACTGACATCTTGACATGGGATGCACTGGCTTCCAGTTTCATCAACTCACTGGATAGAAGTATCTCGTCCCTAGAAGTTTACGATAAACAAAAGTTCAAGGATTCAATGAACGCTTGCTCGAATTGTATCTCTTCACTTCATACAGCCGGAAGACTCATACATCAGCAATTGCTCGACTCAAATAAACAAATTCAGTTCACTGCAATACTGAATAAAATAACAAACATGTTTATTCAGTTTAAGATTTGGACAACACTGACACTGGTGTCATTGGATAGCATGGAGACCTCCAAAAATAGTAAATCATTGGGAATATCAAACCCAGAGGATGTTCCAAAATCAAAACTAAGTAGTTACCATGACGATTCTGTTCGCTGCCGCCGCAAACTTGAAAAACTAGTAACTCACTTGTGTTTGGTAACTGCGTCTTTATCCAATCCCAATCAAAATGGAATTTTTGCCAAAAATGATTCTAAAATCTTGCCAATGATTTATCCAAGATTTGTAAGAGATAAATTTGAAGGAGGAAATTTTAAGAACAAGTTTGTTGATGCCAGATTCTCTCAATCCGATTTTTTTTCTAATCCAGCTCAAAACCAAGTAAATATACTGTTGGATGATGAGGCATTGAACAAATTGGCTTCAACCGAAAAGAAGATTTTAGAATCCCTGAAGGAGGTGCAGGATATATTATCTTTCAAATTGTCGAAAGATGCAACGTTGAAGACATTCATGGATGACCGGAATTTAAAGCTTCTTGCAGCCATATACCAATGTATCCCCCTTCTTTGTCTGTTTATTGATACCATAGAATCCATAGACATGACTGTATTTGCAATGATAAATAAATTAGCAGCAAGAAACTCCAAGCCTGAGAGACAAAACACAATAGTTAGTAAAAACGAGAATCTTAGCCCAAAGAATGACAATGATGAAAGGAGGTCTAGCGACTTTTCCATGCCTGGGTTTTCATTTGCCAAAAAACAGAATGCTGATATGTCTTCTTTTAGTCTTGCTGACGATAATGATAACGATCTAAGTGAGGATTCAGAGAGCAGTAGTCAGTCATTTTATGATGCAACGGCAAAAGTTTTCAGACCTATGATCAATGAATTCATGTACTTGAAACAACTATTGCATTCTGCGTTTACAGATTTAGTTCTTGATGCGCAAACTATAACAGCAACTGACCCTGAGACTTTTTTTCCAATAGAAAGGGAAGGACCTTCCTCTGATAAACCTATTTCCAAAAGCAAACAACTTACCGAAGCTTTAATGAAACAGTTAGAGTTGATAAACTCAGAAATATATCATGATGGCGTTTTCAAACTTGAGCCAAACCTAAAACTACTTGAGACCATCAGGCTAGCAAAGGGGAGGATGCGTCTTATTTCTGTTTCTGTAAATCAATTGAAGGAGGAACGTAGATCAATTTTGAATTACTGCTCAAGGGTAATGAACACCGATTTCAATATTGCTTCATTATTCATTGCAGAAAGACATAACACTTTGGTGTCAATGAACAGTCAATCCACTCAAACCATCTTCACCGGAAAGTCTACCTCTACCATGAATTCTGCAATGGATGGCATTGATACTGCATTCGATATAGATGAAAGGTATTCGAGTAGGGCAACCAATGACCTGTCAGAGTGGCCTGGAACAGAGAATATTCCGTGGTATATGGGACCCGACCATGATGAAGAAGATTTGATATACGAGACTTCTAATTTGAGAGGTGGTCCTGTAAGAAGCTTAGTAGCCAAATTAGTCAATCCTACTTCTCCTAATGACGAATTGTTTGAGCAAACATTTTTCTCTTTCTTCTCCACCTTTGTCAAACCTGTCAAACTTTTTGAAATTTTGATTGAAAAATATCATATTGGAATGCCAGATGCTTTGAGCTACGAAGAATACGGTATCTGGCTAGAGCAAAAATTGAAACCTCAACAAAAAAATGTTTTAGATGTTTTTGAAAACCTTTTCTCTAAATACTGGATTGTTAGATATACCACTCCAGAATTGGTTAGTACATGGGAAAACTTTGTTGCCGAGACTCCTTCAATAGATTCTTCTCTCATTATCTTGGCAAATAAGGCATTATCTTTCAGTGATCAAGAAGAATACATAGACTACTTTCATCTCGGATGTATGGAGCCTAAGCAGATTCCAGTGTCACCAATGACCCCAAGCATAAAGCAATTGAGACTCCAAAATCTCAATATAAATTATGTGGCCGACCAAATTACTGCAGTTCAAGCCTTTTATTACAGGAAACTCAATCTATGGGATTTACTTGGACGCACATATAACTTTTCCAAGATCTTACATAAAAAGAATGACCGTATTAGCTACAATATGAAAGATCCTCTAGGAACTAAGAATATTTCCAATTTTGTCAAAAATTGTAATAACTTGACACACTTTACAACATACATGATCCTACGGAAAGACTCAGAGGAAAGGATCAATGCCATTAAGTTTTTTATCTCACTTGCTGAAAAGCTTCTCTCGCTCAAGAATTTCTCATCGATGACTGCCATTATCAGTGGATTGGGATCTACGAGTATATCTAGGTTACGAAAAACATGGGATGCAGTTCCAAGTTTCTATGTTGCTAAGTTTCAAAAAATGGATAACTTGATGTCCATTGGTAAAAATTACAGTGAATATAGAAATATCTTGAGATTCATGGAGACTGATGACGACCCATACCTTCCATTTCTAGGAATGTACTTGTCTGATTTGAGATTCACTACTGATGGTAATTCTGATTGGCTCGGTTCCAAGAGAGGTTCCAAAGGACTGGTCAATTTTTCAAAAAGAATGAGTATTATGAAAATAATGAAAGAAGTTCTGAATTTCAATGAAACCTTGTACAAAATTGAGCTAGACACTGACTTTTCTTGTTACCTAAATGAGATGTTCACGGGTCTGCCTGATGACGAAAGAATGTATGAATTGTCTATTCAGATTGAACCAAGAGTCAGTCTTTTAAAGAACCCCAAAAATTCTCTATCTGCCGCTGCTCCAAATTCGAGTATAAGTTCAGCTGGCTCTTCTCCATTCGGTAAACTCTTAAGTGGCTATAGTACTTTTGGCTCAATGAGTACAGTGGGTAGTGGTCAAAATGAAGACTCCATTACCAATTTGCATCCTCATAGTGCTGGAGCTAGCAACAATAATAATATCTCGAACGTTATTGCCAAGAAGCAAGAGGGTTTGGGAGCTAGTAGAAAGCCAAAGCGCTACAGAGCACTGTATTCTTTAACTTACTCTGATAAGGACAAAGAAAAGGAAAAGGAAAAGGAAAAGGAAAAAGAAAAGGAAAAAGAAAAGAATTTTTAAAAGGGTGGCGAACTCTAACAGTGAGACCATGTGTGAGCAATGCGTCAAGATATGAAACAGCTGGTCTGATTTAAGAGAAAATTTTAAACTTTTCACCAACAACTCGATAAATTAATCTACTTAAACATTTTATATAGGACTATCATTTAATGGACTTATAATTTATCGCAACAAAACTGTGAGAGCTCCGACCTCAAAGATCTTGATTGGCCGATAGCATCCGAAAGCAAAAGCTTGAACTCCTTCTCGTCATTGCTCGGTAAATGGGGTATATAGAATGTGAGTAGCTCTTCATTTTCCAAATCCTCATGCTGGTTTTGATCATATGTGTCTGAATGTATGGAGTTAATGAAAATGTTGTTTTCTGAGATGATTGCAGATGGAAAACCCTTTATTGCTATTCCAGAATCAACCAACGCAAGATTCACTGCATTGTGGATCAGTGGGAGAAGTTCTATGAATTTTGTTGCGGTATCGGTACTTATCAAATTAACAAATATGTCTATAGTTGATTTCGGGTAGTTGTCCAACAAAATGAGGTTTGAGCATGCAGTTTCTAATGTAGATGATATGACAGAATTGACTATCTGGAATTCATCACCCACGTGTTTTTTGCCGCTGCTGCTATTGTTGCTGTCGTTGCCCGTAGCTTGACTTGAGGAAAGGAAAGGAGAAGAATGGAATGTTACTTTCAAAACAGCCTTACTATTGAATGTCCGTTTGAAAGACGGACGAGGACCATACACAGACGCCAAGAGAAGGTTGTTTCCTGACTGTATAAACGAGGAGCCTGTAGCCGTTGGGATGTTTGATAGCTGGATAAAGAGCTTGTTATCTTTCTTTTCTGTTTCTTGTGACAATTTCACCTCTGCGGAGGGAAAGGTAAGGGGAATTGCTGTAGCAGGTCCCAGCCTTCTTCTTCTATCTATAACGTTCATTGTTAATTGTCAGAAGTGTGCAGTTCAGGTCCTATCTTTTGTTGTTGCTAACGTGAAGCTTTCTGTTTGAGACAGTTCAATCAATCAATTAGAAGAACCAGAAAATAGAAAAAATTTACTACACTGAAAATGCGACAAATTCAGCGTCGTGCCTGGTGGGAAAAGTGAGGAAGATGTCTAACATTCCTGGTAGCTAGAGAATTAAATAAAGAAAACCGTTGTTTCTTCAAACAAACCTGCTTGCGCTTGGCAAAGACGTATTTATCATCAGAAAGCAGCAGGAAAGCTATTGAGATGGAAAGCGTTGTGCCTTACTTCAACAAGACAATCGACACATTAGCCGGTCTACTAGCACCTTATGTCGACGACAAGCAGCTTGACAAGGCGTGTTTGTGGCTCAAGGAGAACGACACTACTGTAATTGTGTCAACTTTTGGTGCCTTGACACTTGCAACGGTTTACTTCCTTTCGGGCGGAAAAAGCGACCAAGACGGACGCAGACGAGGCAAGTCATACAACGGGCGGAGATCCTACAAAGTGAAGGTTAAGAAGGAGAAGGTGGTTCCCGTTGATCCCATCAAGCAGGCGTACGACATAATTGCCGACGTGAAACAGGAGCTACAAAATGCGTACATTCCACAGGTGGACAAGCTAGAACAAGACGTCAAGGCGGAGAAAAACCCGGGAAGCACAAAGACGGCCACCGAGAAGAAGCCGACATACAAGGACAGTACCGAATACCGTCAACTGTACCTCAACGAGTCTCTTCTGAAGCAACTGATGCGTCTAGACGGCATCGAGCCCAATGGCGTCGAAGACATCCGTAGCCAGAGGAAAGCCACTATCAAGGAGGTTCAGGTTCAGTGCAGAAGACTCGATGCGCTAAAAGAGCTTATGTAAGCATGAGAGATAAAAAAATTTTAAGTGTCGTTCTGCATTTTCGAAACTTTTCAACTGTAGATGAAGAGACAAGAAGGATGAAAGAAGAAGAACGAGGGTAAGAAGGAGAGGGGAATACTGTAGAAGAACATTTACCGGAAGACCGGTGACGAATAACAGACGCAAGATGAAAGAAAACACCTTATTCAAACTCGATCTACTGCAGACGTACTATCTGCAGAAACCTGCCCGGTTCGGTGTAACAAAGCAGATGTTGAGATCCGATAAGTATCAGACGAAGAGAACAAGCGAAAAGAGCTCCGCCCGGGCAGAGAAGCAAAAACACAAGTTGTTGTTGCTCAGCAGAAGCGAGGCGTTTGCAATGATAGAGCAGCTGCAGCATGAAGCTTTTGAGAAAAAATTGCATTCAATTGAAACTACGCTCCATAGGGCATTGAGCAGTGCCTTGAAAAAGGAAAGGCTCAAGGTGTCGCAGAAGCTGCAGAGTCTGAAGAATGGGGCCGGAACTAATGAAAAAAAGAAATCAGGGAAAAAGGAAGAGAAGACCGAGGACGATCTCAAGTCTCAGTTTCAGACCATTACATCGTTATTATCTGCCGAGTCAACCCTTCTCCACGACAACGCCAAATTCAAAATCTTCAAAGCTATCATTCAAACTTATCCTGCACATTTGGACGTTAAGAACGGGAAGTTTGAAGGGATACCCGAGGATGCTGTGTCTTACGTGAAGTTGATGAAAGAAAACAATCCCTACAAAACAAATACCGCAGATGTGAACAACATCCTATCAAAGCTTTATGCTGAAAAAAACGTCAAGTCTTCATTAGAGAGTGTAAACACCCTAGAAATTATTTGGGGTCCGAAAACTTATGGAAAGAACGAGGATGAGTTGAAAAATTATGCCGCCGAAACCAATGAGGAAGACCAGGGTGACGTTAATCGGCCAGAAAGTGACGACGAAGCGGAAGAAATTTCTGGAGGTGATAATGGTGGTAGTGATGTGGAGTTTGATGATGAAGCCTATGAGAAGCTTTACGAAGGCTACAAAGGTTATATGGCAGGTTCTTCAGATGAGGAAGAAGATGTAGGAGAATTTCATCCTGATCCAAACGTCAACTACAATGAAGTCACAGACGAAGAAGATGCGGATGAAAGCAGCGATAGTGATGGCGAAAATGATGCAATTTCTAATGATAAAGCAAACAAAAGGTCGTTGGAAGATGATGACTTTTTCACGAGCGATCCAAAGCAGACGGCAAAAAAGCCTAGACCAGGCATGACGGATATACAATTGCCTGCTCTTGCCACGGGCTACTACTCTGGTGGGGAAAGCGAAGATGAAGACACGAAGGACTCGCTAGTGGATGAGCTTACGAAACCACGTAAAAATCGTCGTGGTCAACGAGCCAGACAAAAGATCTGGGAAAAGAAGTATGGTTCTGGCGCTAAACACGTTGTGAAGCAGCATGAGAGAGCAAAATCCGATAGAGAGAGGCTGAGACTTGAATTTGAAGCCCGTCAAGAAAAGAGAGACCGTAAGCAGCAGGAACGGGAAGAGAGAGAAAAGGTGAGAGCAGAGAAGATGAAAAAGCAGCAGGAGAGAGAGAGTAAGATGCATCCTTCTTGGGAGGCCAAGATAAAGGCCCAAGAATCGATGAAGAAAGCCAAATTTGAAGGTAAGAAGATCACCTTCGACTAATCAGACATCCGTAGATAAAACAGTGTATAGAAAGCAACAAACAAACCCTTGATCGACAGACACTTTAATTCCTTCGGCGAGATTACGTCAGCGAGCGCATGAAACACATTTTCTCTATCTCCTTTTTTCATGTAGCCATAGTAGATTTGACGCCGAAAGGATCTCTTTAGTGACAATCTGCTTAGGAGAACCCGTGATTTCAAGAAACTTTCTAGACTAGATGCGTTTTCTGCGACTCTGGAACTCAAGATTCTCTAGTCTCATCCGGACCTCACCTTTTGTCTCACGTATAAAGCCATTTCACACATCCAGTAAAAAGTCAATGATAAACTCATTCACAGGAGCATACACCCCTGGAACCATTCCAGAGATCACCCTGACTGAGAAGGAGCACCAAATTATAGGCATTTTAAACTCCTACACAAACTTTTACAATGCCAGCGAGGAAGACAATAGCAAACGTATCACACTCAGAATAACGGGCGGATGGGTACGTGACAAGTTACTGAACCACCCTAGCCATGATATCGACATTGGGATCGACAACTGCTCTGGAGAATCTTTTGTGATGGGACTCAAAGAATGGCTTGATCATCATAATTTGGATGAGAAAGAAAAGACCGAACTCGACTCGGCAAATAGGGACACAACCAAAATCAACTCTATTCACAAGATCAAAAAGAATCCTGACAAATCCAAACATCTTGAAACATGCACCACAAAACTATGTGGATTGGACATTGACTTCGTTAATCTACGATCGGAACTGTATACAGAGGACTCACGTATACCAACGATTACGACAGGTACTCCGGTTGAAGATGCGCACCGTCGTGACGCTACTTTGAATGCGTTGTTCTTCAACCTTACATCTATGCAAATCGAAGACTTGACAGGAAAAGGGTTGCTGGATTTAGCAAACGGTTTACTACGTACCCCGCTAGAGCCAACAAAGACGTTCCTTGATGATCCTTTGCGATGTTTGAGATTGATTAGATTTGCATCAAACTACGGATTTCAAATTGAACAGCGAAGTCTGAATGCCATGAAACAAGATGCGATCAAGGTTGCTTTGGAAACCAAAATTAGTCGAGAAAGAATAGGAGTAGAAGTAAAGAAAATCTTGGTAAATAAAAGAGGGTTACTTGGAGTATTAAATGGGTTGGAGCTCTTGAGAGAAGTTGATTTCTCGTGCATCTTTGATCTTGGAGACACCAAGGTTCCTGAGAGTTGGGCTGCTGCTAATCATGAACACCTGAGAGATGATATCTTGTCCAGTATGGGTAACATAATCAAATACTTTGAACCATTGGTGAGCAAAAAGGCTCTAAATTTTGATCTGGTCTTGACCGACGAGCCTTCTGCAGAAAACGATAAGGTTTTATTTTACTCTGCGTTGATTCTACATAAGTGGGGTTCTGAGAAGGTGAGAGTTGGAAAGAAGGATAACTACGTGACGTTCTTCTGTGTCTTGAACGGTATCAAGATGCCCCTCAAAATAGCCGATAGCGTTTCGCTGATCCTAAGTAATGTGGAGAAGACCCGTACGAACATGACCACATATAGTGGACTGAAAAGATCTGAGCTTGCACAAAAGTTTGTACTCCCCTTTGGTGAAAAATGGAACCTGAACCTTTTGGTGAACTACTGTTTGGAATGCTTTGAAGATTTTGATGAGGTGGACAAGATTTCAGAAAGATACGGGACCTTGAGAAGGGCGATCTACGAACTCGACTTGCAAGAGTCGTTCAAGCAACAGGTTCTGCTCAATGGCAAGGATCTGATGAAGATAGCCGACAAGAAGCCAGGTCCATGGATGAAGCCAATCACAGAGCAGCTGTTCACATGGCAACTTGACAACCCAACGTGTACAAAGGAAGATATGATAGAATATTTGCATACGATTATATGATGTATATAACTAATGGTTATTAAATATAGTAACACGGCTAGACGCTTAGATCTTTTCTTCGTTAACACCATGCTTCCAGATAGCGACGAATGGAGTTTCACCGTCTTCTCTGTAGTTCATCAAGACAATCATGGCATCAGGGTCCATGGACTCACCGGTGTAGAATTCCCAGTCCTTGAAAGAACCAATGACCTTCTTGACGTAAGCAGCAGCACCCTTCTCGAAGACCTCAACTTCTTCTGGCTTGGTTTCAGCTAACTTAGCCTTGACAGCCTTCATGTAAGCCTTGATGTAAGTCAAGAAAGACTTCTTGTCAAAACCGGTTTGCTGGAGTCTGAAAGAGTAGACAACGTTGTTGACGGTTTCAACACCTTCCTCGACATCTTCGTCGCCACCATCAGCAGATGGGTTGGCACCGATGTCAACATCTGCACCTGGTCTGACTTGAACCAAGTCACAGTCGGCTTCGTAAACGACACCGTCAACTAACTTGACATCGTAAGCGTCGGACAACAATTCGTCACCGGAGAAGAGATCTTTGAAAATAATCATTGTTGTTTAAGTGTTATGTGAATGTCTGATTGACACAGAAGAGATCAAAAGAGCACACGTGAAAAGCCTGAAAAGACCAGCACAGCTTGAAGGGGAAGAACTGGCGATATAGTGGCTCTGTTAGATAAACTGGCCCTCACCAAATAAATTGGTTGAAAAATTTTTGTGGAGGGAAAAAAAATTGCGCCAAAAGCGAAAATAGCGAAACTCCCTGCGTCTGCCAATTTCCACACACGTGCCTCCAGAGACCTCGCAATTTATAGAGAGTTACGTAATCATACAACAGTTGCTGCGCCACCGACGTTGTGGTCATCGGTGACGAGATTTGCTACGGCCTGCGCCACGTCTTCGGCCGTACTGGTACCAACAGAAGGGGTTTTGACAGATTTGCCAATGTCGGTGTCGGCAATATGTCGGGGAAGAAGAACGTTGACACGAACAAGGGGCGACAGAGGCCTCCGGTCGTGGATCGCGTGCTGCTCTGCAGCGAGAGCCTGTGTGAAACGGGTTAACGCAGCCTTGGTTGCCGTGTAAACGCTGGCCCCGGTGAGATTGTTCCCCGGTACGGAGACAACCGAGGAAATGTTGACGATACTTGCGTTGTAACCGGGGTCCTTCACGCGGCTCGTGCTTTTCACGAAAAGCTTGCTCAGTATGATAGGCGAGGTCAGATTCACGTTGATGATATCTGCGATTTCCTGCGGAGAGGTGGTCATGAGTAGCGTTTTCTGTGTCATGCCTGCACAGTTCACGAGTATATTTGTGCGGTGGAAGCACTTGCCTTCCGAAATGAACTTCTCTAGCTCGCTGGGTCGGAGTAAATCGAATTTCACGTAGCTGTGTTTTTCGCCGTTGGGGAGTGGGTACTTGTGGTTGAGTTGATCCGTCTGCGCTTTCAATAGGTCCTGGTTCCGGGCCAAAATGGTCACCCTGCAGCCAAGCGAGGAGAGCTTGGCGGCGATTGCGCTACCAATGCCCTTGGATCCTCCTGTTATGAAAGCATGCTGGTTAAGTAATGGTTTTATACTCATCTGCCTTACAAGTTCGACGCTTGCACACCCTAGCTCGAGTCTAGAGATAAAGGACAAAGTGTGGGAAACATGAGGGAAATTCATTTTTTTTTTATTTTTTCCACATTCGATACGTCTCGCTTATCACTCAAATACAAGAGACATTCATGAAGTATTTAGATCGAACAGCGTCCGACCACCTATTTACAGTTTTTGATGATTATACAGTTGTTCTCCAAGCTGACCTCCCTTTCCACATACCTCACAATCTGCACGTCGAAACCCTTCTGCTCCATTGCATACTTTCTCGATTCATCGAGTATTCTTCTCATTTTCAAACCTATCTTCTCTCTCTCTTCAAATGATAATCCAGTAAAATGATCACCGGTGTCTGTCTTCGACATTTGTGGGTTGACTCCGCTTGTTGCCCACGCAAACATTTTCCTGAAGTAAACAAAATTCGTTTCATCGATTCCAAAATTTTCCTTTAAGTAGCTTTTTGACTCGCAGAGTAGCCAATCGTACTTGCAACAGTGTCTGCAACACATTGCAACCAAACAACCTCCAAATTTGAGTCTTTCTTTTTCTGTTTCATAGTCTTTGGAAGTATTAATTAAGCACCTCAGTGTCAAATCGGTGGCAACTCCACAGAGATGTTTCGATATACCGATATACCTCATAACACTGTTACCATCATTGTTTTCTCGAAAGCTTTTCAGGGACTCTATGAGCTTTAGATCTTTGATATCTACTTTCAACCTTTCTAATTTGACTCCACTAATTTCTGCTTCAGCACTGTCGTGGACAATTTTTTTATCGAACTTCAACCTTGGATTGTCTCTATCAACTAGCAAATATTTGGCTGAATTGTCCAAAGAATGGTCCAGGTATCTTCCCATTGCTTTGTTGAAATACCTTGTGAACTCGGCTCTGCCACATCCAAACTCTATCACAACACCAGGGTCCGCATCTTTGACTACGATTTCGTGTTCAATTAGTTGGCCAATGAGACTACTCTGCTGACGAATGTGTTTTTGGTTGCTTAGTTCAGCAAACCTTTCCTCTAATCCATCCTTGAACTCGATATTTTTCAATGGTAATTCCTCGAGAAAAATCAAATCATGTTGCAACGTCCATTTGGGTATCCATCTTTTCCATTCATCATGATCAATATCTTTGCTTGTAACGTTGACCTCTTCTCCTTTTGCATCCCTGACATTGTAGTTTATTCTAAACCATGGGCATGTTTTTTCTTTCTCCTCTACTTCATTCTTCTTCTTTACCATGTTACATATTTTCACGTGCTTACTCAAATGGTCTTCCCAAACAGTATGCGACGGATCAACAGTACATTTGACTCTCTTGACAATTTCACCCTTTTTGCTAATTCGAGTTATATCAGATTCAACGTCTGAAACTTTAGATGACTCAGTATTTTCACTCCTGCCGACCAAATTGATATGAGCAAAGCAATACTTTTGTCCTTTTCTGACTTGAAGACCACATTTCTTATTGTTTTTCGGCTTTATAAAGCTGCATTTATAAATCACTTTGCTTTCCGGAGGAGTTTTTTTCAGAACATCGGTCCTCTGACGCTTAGAAGAAGTCGTTCCCTGTTCATTTCTTTTTAGCTCCTCCACTTTGGACATTTCTATTTCCTGTTCTGAATTTTTAGGGAGTGAAAGAGGAAAAGTTTAGGATGGAAAGATACAGAATCAACCGTGGGAAAGAGTTGAGTATATTGCTCCTGACAATGTAGGAGAAAAAAATCTACTATGATTCGAAAACAGGCTGTGCGATCTCGAATCAAACAAACCTCTAAAGAACCTAGCTGCAAACAACCACAATCTAGAGATAAGTTCGTGGGGGTGTAGTGACTGGTAGATACAAGATAGATTCAAGCATTAAACTTTCGTTTCGACAAATCAAAAAATGGTTAGATCGTATAAAGATTTATAAAAGACAACTAGAAATTGACAAGTTATAACAGGCTGATAATAAGAATAGATATGGTTGCAAATAGTCGGCAGGCATACGTTCGGATTATTCCCATATGCTGCAAATCACATCATGGAGAAAAATGTATGGGAAAAGAATTTATTTCTTTTCAATCGAACTCTCCAAGACTCTGATGTGTGTTTCCATGTTTCTGATGGTCTTCTGTAACAATAAGATGTCCGAAATGATTGCATCAGAAGATGCCTTGTACTCGTCCAACAAGTAGTAGTAGCATCCAAATCCAGTGATTGAAACACCTGCAAAGAAGCCAAAAAGAACACCCTTTAAGGAAGATGGTCTTGGAGAAACCAATGTAGATGCAAATCTTCTGCTGGCTATTGTTTGTACAGATTTTCTCGTCAATTGAGCAAACATCATGTCGGTATGTGTGTATGTGTAGATTGCACCTTGTTAATGAAGAAAAAAAAACAAATCTCCAGACAGTGTCTTTCCAGTGCTTCCGGTGGTGTCAAGGCCCTTTTACTGTCTTCGGGTCATCCCCATGGCCTCCCCGCTTCAACGACTTTCTCCATGCTTTCCCTCACTGTGTATCGTCAAAGTACTCGCACATGAAGTAGTTACGTAAGCAGAAATTAAAAAAGCTGAATTCAACGGATTATCATTCATTAGGCCCCCATATTTAGAAAACAAAACGACGTTTACACTAGTCAGATATAAAAGTAGTTTAGAAAATACTATAATACTAATCTATAGAAAACACGCTTAGTCGAACAAGCCGAAACCCATGTCGTCATCGGATTCGTCAGCCTCTTCTTCTGGAGCAGCTTCTTCAGCGGCACCAGCAGAACCAGAGGAAGCAGCAGCAGCTGGAGCAGCAGCAGCGTAAGCATCTGGGTTGGCGATTCTGTCCTTGATTTGCTCAGAACCTTCGAAGGTGTAATCGGTAGCAACAGACAAAGCAAGAACGTTCTTGTAAGTGTTGACGATTTGGTGAGAAACTGCAGCAATAGTTGGGTAACCGGAAGCCAAAGAGATTTGGGTGATTGCAGAGACAGCAGAAGTGAAGTGGGATAACAATTCTTCGTCAGTGATGTCCAAGATGGAAGATGGGAAGATGTTACCTTCGTTGAAGACTTGGATGATAGTCAAACCATAGGTGAATGGAGAGATGTTCAACATGTTCAACAAAGAAGCTTCAGAAGGACCAACTCTTTGTTCAGCAGCCAAAATCTTGACGTCGGAGGTAATTTCAATGGTACCTCTGGCAATCTTGGTTGGAACACCCAAAGCTTGGAAGAAAGAGGTCTTACCTGGTTCCATACCGGTGTTACCAGCTGGGACCCAGACGTCAGCAGGTGCAATGGCACCAGCTCTGGCTGGAGCAGCAACCTTGTTTTCTAAGACAACGTCCTTGATGGTCTTCAAGTCAGCATTGGTGAAAATGAAACCAATGTTACCCTTGACTAAAGGCATCAGCTTTTCGTAGTCTGGGAATTCGGAAAGGAAACCTCTCATAGCTCTTCTGACCATGGTGTTCTTACCCATCAAAACGACAGCGTCCTTTCTCAAAGCCTTTCTGACTTCGTGCATCTGTTGGGAGGAGACATTGTCAACACCAACAACGAAGACGGACTTGTATTCCTCGACTAATTGTCTTAACTTGGAGAAGTATGCTTCTTTCTTTTCTCTGGTAGCTCCCATTTCGTTTAGTGTGTACGTTAGGCTGTTTAAAGCTGCTTGAAGATAGAGAAAAGCTCAGAACAAACCACAGTGAACCCGTCTTTCTTCAAACAGCAGCAATAAGTAGTAGCAGCATCCTCCCACAGACTTTTCACACTCTCGCCTCCCTCCCTATTTCCAGTTTTTCGTCCAACCCCACGCAGAAAAAAAATTGTGTAGAAAAAAAAAGGGTTTTCAAACCCTCTCTCAAAGACACGTGCTTAACATGTCTATTATTACAATCTATTACGCTGTATGTCTATTTATCGATCTGTCGTTATACAGGTTCAAGAGCCCATTCATCATTTCTTGCCCTTAAGCATCTCGGCAAGCATGTCGGACATAGTGTCGACACCCCATTCCACTCTTAGTCTCTGCTTTTTCCCTTTCACGAGCTCGCTGTTACGTATCTTGTTGTTGAGGAAGTACTGCAATCCTTTGATTAGAAGTGGTTGTTCGTCACATTTGGCTACTCTGTCTGCCATCACTTTGCCCGTGAACGCAACGTCTTTACTCTTCTTGGCGCTAGCATCGGTCGACTCGGATTTCTTGCTGACGGTGTCGAGCATTGTAATTAGTAAAATCTCAAGGAAGATCTTAGCGTCGGTGGAAGCCGTGAGAAAGTTGACCACTCTTAGCACGTTCAAGGACAACGATCCCTCACCAATCAAAAATCCAAAAAACCTTCCCATGTTGAGCACCTTCCATAGTCTCTGGTCGTCATCGGCATCAGCAAGAATGGTAGTGGAGCTTTCATCGCCATCCAGTTCCTTCACGAAATCCCACAAGTTCAACTGGAAAGACCTTCTCATCGCATGGTCGTCCGACAGCTTTTTGGCCAAAAAAGAATAATATGGATTGTAGTTGGACTCCATGCTGGCACAGTGCATCAAAATATTGGGTATTTCCTTCTTCTGTGTCTTCTTCAAATTCAACTTTTCTAGCTTCATGAATGCATCCATGAAGTCTTCAGCAGACATGATCGAAATGAAGATTGCTCTTCTGATATCTGTATTCATTCTGTACTCTTTGGCTAGTTGCAGCCAGTTTACCTCCATCTCGCCCAAAAAGTCATCTTCGGCATCATCCAAAACCTCGTTGGCGTTGGCAATGGAGTCTTCATGCTCAACTGCTTCACCTTCCTTGAGATCAAGACCCTTCCATGCAGAACCAACTAACCACCATTTACCTCTCTCTTCTATATTCTCGATGTCGTCGAGGTTAACTTTTATTGGCTCTAAGTTTCTCGTGTTCTTGATAGCTCCGAGTTGCTTCTTAAGTCTATTGATCATCAACGTAGTGTTTTCATTTTCCGAGCTCTTCATGCGATTGTTCTTCAAATCAGTAATCGTATCAATTAAAAACCGGCCTCTACTAGAGACCTTCCCACCTGTCTTTTCGCTATTTTTCACAGATTTGGACAACTCTAACGTAATAGAATTCAAAGCTGTCGAATCATCTGTTCTCAACTTATTACCACATGATTTGATCAATTTTAACAAAACGTCAACCTTCAGTTCAGTTGGGTTCTTGATAAGTTTCATCTTGATAATATCATAAATCAATGTTGAACTCACTAAGTTGAGAGTATATAAGTAACCAAGGAGTCCAGTTATGTTGATGATCTCTTGTTTAGCCCTAGACTCAGATTCAATGTCTTTTTCAAATTCTTCCACTACTCGTTGAATGATGAAAGCACCAAACTCAACACCCTGAAGTTTGTATATTGCAACAATTGCACTTGAGTATAGGACCAAGAAACTCTCTAGCATCGGCGTTGGAATACACACAGATTGAATAACAACTTTCAAAATAGCTTCATTGACAAATTGTCTAGGATTATCGTTGTAAAGGTTGTTCAACTCAGAAACAACAGTCGAGATATTAGGCTCCGACAACTTGTTGAAAGGACCCTTAACTAAACGTACGAGTTTCTTCAATTGCTCAGAATCCTCAGAATTATCGCCTAACGCCATTTTTTTCCTCAAAGCAGGAGGAATGTATTTCGATCCTGGCAGTGGAGGTTCGTTAGATCCAGGCTCAACTGGAGCAACATATGGGTTCTCTCTTACTCTAGGCCCATCATTTTCTGAGTCATTTGAGTCATACTCCGAATCAGAATCCGAACCAGAGCTCTCAAGGCCATACATCTCTTTTAGAAGAGCCTTGTCATCATCATCTAGTTCATCATCATCGTCGAAGTCATCAGAGCCAACTTGATCATCACCATTTTCAGGTACGTAGTTACGGGCGTGATCATCAAGTTCCTCTTTATCATCTTCTTCATCAACACTTTCAGAATCTGAGGGAATCTCGCTATCATCCATCTCTTCGTCTTCTTCATCGCTGAAATCTAAATTTATTCCATCAAAAAGTCCTCCTATTATATCTTCTTCACCCTGCTTTGGCAATTTTTTTTTAGGATTGATTCCTAACTTCTTGGCGTAATAATTAATTTCTTCGTCATCTTTCTCCAGCATCTTTCTTTGTTTCTCAGACAAAACAGGCTTGGATGACCTTGAACTTTCTTGCTTTTTGTCTTTTTTCTCATTCTTCTTTTTCTTTTCTTTCTTTTCTTTCTTCTCACTTTTTTCTTCGTCGTCTTGGTTGTCTTCGACGTCGTAATTATCCATGAAGTCAAGTCCCTCAAACAAGCCTCCAACCAAGTCGTCATCATCTTGACGTGTTAGTTTTTTCTTTGGATTTATCCCTAGCTTCTTGGCATAAAACTCAACGTCACTATCGTCGTTCTTGAAATTAGATGTTGTTGGAGCATCAAAAGTTTCTGAATCACTTCCAGACCTAGACCCAGAATCAAAATCAGACTCTGAAGAAACAGTTTCATCATCTAATTCATCTTCTTTAACAATTTTCAGTTGTGACGAGTTGGTATTTTTGTTGTTTTTCTTCAAAGCTGCCAACTGTTTCATCACTTGATCTTGCTCTTCATCTAACCCTTCATCAGATGATTGTTCCATTTCATAATCATAAGATGCCTCTGATTCCTCTGTATCATCACTCAAATCGTCCTCTTTAACTATTCTAATGGCGTTTTTGGTGGAAGTAAGAGGCCCTTTCTTACTTTTTAAGGCAGCAAGCTGATCCATTATACTTTGTTGCTCATCATCGAGACCTTCATCTTCTCTCTGTTCATCTTCATTTTCTTCTTCATTTTCTTCTTCATTGTCTTTTTCGTTTTCTTCAGCAATGTCTTCTGAGCTAATTTCATCATCATCTAAATCGTCCTCTTTCACAATCTTGATTTCACTTCTACCTTTATTTGGCTTTCCTTTTTTCAGTGATTTAAGCTTTTTCATGATCTCTATTTGTTCAAAATCAAGGCCTTCTCCTTCACCATCATTTGAAGTGTCATCTCCTGAAGTTTCTTCTGACTCTTCCTCCTCTTGCAACACTTTGTCAGATAGAGAATCGTCGTTGAGATCATCTTCTGCGACAATTCGGATGTCTTTGAAACTGCTGTTTGCTTTCTTGCTTTTTAATTTTGCAAGCTGCTCCATCACACCCTTTTGTTCATCATCCAACTGTTCCTCCGTTTCAGAATCATCTGAATTCTCTGAATTTTCGGCTGAATATTCTCCTCGTTGAACTTGTTTTAACTGTTTCAAGGTTTCGATGAGGTTGTAGGCTTCATTTTCTTCTGCTTCGTCTTGCGAATCATCAGCGCTGAGACTAGAATGCTCGTCACTGTCTTCATCGTCAGATGCAAATTCTTGCTCCCATTTTTCAAAATCTAATTCTATATCGGCCTTTGTAGCTTCCTCTCTAGCAGGAATCTCTCTGATATCATCGTGATCACTAAATGAAACACGTTTCTGCTTTTTCTTCATCTCTCCTCCATCGGATTTCGTGCTTCTAGATGATGATTTGTTGTCGGCTAAAGATTCCTTAATATGAACCTTTTTTACATTCATTTTTGGGGTCACTGCTGTAGATTGTCGATCTTTTGAGTTATTCTGACTCTTGATGTTTGCTTTGAACTTCTCTTTGTGTTGATTTTTCTTTTCGACTTTATTAGTTTTTTTCTCTAAACGCTGCTGTTTCCGTGATTCTTTTCGGTTTAAAACAGAGCCCTTGACCTTCCGACGCTTTGTAAACCTTTCGTCATTTTCGTAGTTGGTGTTGTCTCTGATGGTATCAAGCATCACTCCCGGTATATTGATGGTATGTCTCTTTCTCGACATTTTGTTTATATATTTCAGTGGGATCAAAGATTCAGTAGTATGGAAAAAGTGACTGGTTCTTGTTAGGTTGTAGTGGTCAAAAAGTCCAAAGATTTCTTTCATTCACCAGTTGGGCATCTCTATCTACACCGAAACAATTTTTTTTGTGTACATGAAAAAAAAATAGTATCGGGCTCGCCCAGCGTGCTAAAAAGGGAAGGGCAGAGAGCACTTCCGAGTCTATGAATAGACAGGGTTGGGACAGCCCGTGTTGCCAAAGGATCTGTGAATTGTGAGTTATCAGTAAACAGGTTACTATTGATCGCTGTCTAAGGATAACAATGAACAAGTCAGAAGCGTTCAAGCTTATCAGCGAGTGTGTACTTTTGTCCACGGCCTCGTTTTCGGTGTACTATTTGCTGTCCACATTTCTGGGCGACCCAAGCCATCGAACAACCGATGAGCGTGACCGGACATCCAAACATCTGGCTAGCCTAAGAAATAGGTCTCCAGAATTGAAGAAGGTATTATCATCACTTTCCAACTATGAGAAAATACTGCTGGCGTATTTGGTCACACCTGACGATATAAATGTTTCATTTACGGACATTGGAGGGTTGGATGAAGTGGTCAACGATCTACGTGAAAGTGTTATCTTGCCTCTTGTTTACCCTGAATTGTTCACACAATATGGGTCTTTGCTGGCTGCTCCAAAAGGTGTGTTACTCTACGGCCCTCCCGGATGTGGTAAGACGATGCTTGCTAAGGCGCTTGCTAAAGAGAGTCGGTCGAACTTCATAAGTATCAGAATGTCGACTATCATGGATAAATGGTTTGGCGAGAGCAACAAGCTAGTTGACGCCCTGTTCAGTTTGGCGAAGAAGCTTCAGCCGTGTATTATCTTCATAGATGAGATTGACTCGTTTTTGAGAGAAAGGAGCTCGACGGACCATGAGGTCACCGCTACGTTAAAGGCAGAGTTCATGACGTTGTGGGACGGGTTAGTCAGCTCTGGGAGAGTGTTAGTGTTAGGTGCCACAAACCGACCAGGAGATATCGACTCTGCGTTCCTCAGACGGATGCCTAAGAGATTCAGTATAAGCCTTCCGAATGCCGAGCAGCGTACGAAGATCTTAGACAAGCTGTTAAATGATGTCGATGTCGAGTGTGACGTTCAAGAGCTCGTTGACATAACCGAGGGAATGAGTGGATCTGATTTGAAAGAGCTTTGCCGTAACGCGGCGGTGAATTCTACGAGGGAGTACATCCGAAGACACTTGATTGACGTGAACGGAGATCTTGTAGGAGGAGGCGGAAGAAAGATTACAATGAGGGCTTTGGAGTTGAAGGACTTCATCGACAGTATGGAGCCTGATCGGGTCATGAAGCTCAAGCTCACGACAGACTTGGACTAGACGACAAAGCGTGTCCTCATCTGCATGCTCATATTTTCTTTTTATATAAACTGTTTCTCTAATCATAACTGGCTAGATTTATAGGACTGTAACGATTTTTTGCATTTAGCATAAAAGAAAAATAGAGGAAATGAAATGTGTCCCGGTGCCTAACCCAAACCGATGGTGCAATAGCCAATCTTAGGGGGACCAGGAAAATCAGGTTCCTTTTTATAATATGAAACAAGATTGCATTCTTCTAGGCCTCGCTTGAATCCACAAACCAACTTTCAGGTAAGGGGATCTTCGAGAAGGCCATGCTTTGAAGAAAGAACCGTTTCGGAAGAGCAGCAGGAAGAAGAAGAAGGGCAGTGGTAGGAAGAAAGGTGTTCACGAGGAATGTTTTTTCTAGCAGACTATTTTTTTTTCTCGTCCGCTCTTTGTCGCTCCAGGTAGGTGATTCTTTTCTTTTAAGGGTTTTCGTTTTAGAAGATGTTTACTATAATTACTGCAGTGAAAAGAAGGACAGAAAGTAAATAAGTGTAAATATAAAAGTCTAGTTCTCGTCATGATTGCCTGCCTCAGTTTCTTCGTCGTCAGAAGAAGTGTTGCCCTTGAATTTCATCAAGGCGTACTTGTGGGTCTGCACGGTGACGTAAGCGACGGTTGCGGTACCGATGACGACGGTGATTGCTAGTAAAAGCAAGTTGAGAGGGATTGGGTTCATGTTGAACTTTGTGTGTGTAAGTCTGTCCAAGACACTCTGCAAAAAGTTGATGAGGCCCGCTACAGTCATGATGGAGCCGTAGACAGTACCGAATGTCTCGAAACCGAAGACCTTAGCGCAGTAGTCGGAGATACTCGTGTAAAAGAATGGACGGTATGCAACGAAGATGAGCACATTGACTGCTCCTGCCAAGAAGGAGTTCTTGATAACACCGAGGACCCCAATGAGCAAGGAGACGCCCAAGAGGGCGCCAAGGACGATAGAGGTTGGGAAGTGGTCGAGGAACATTCCAACGAAGGGGATGGAAACAACACCTCCGAGTGGCAAAGCGATGTCAAAGAGACGGTTAAGAGCATTTGCTGATTGGTAGGAGCCCAACAAATAGGTGTATTGGGAGTTGACGGTGGCGACGAAGTAGTTCAATCTGAGCATCTGGATGGTGGAGAAGAGACAGATGAGCTTGAACCACCAGGAGTTAAACTGGTAGGATATAGAGTAACTGTGCAAGATACCAAAGATGGAGTAGGACAATTCTGTCTTAGATTTTGTGGCGTCCTCGACCTCTTCCTCGATGTAGATGGACTTGTATGCATCACCAAGGGAGGAGCGGCGTCTGGTGGAGGTTGGAGGAAGTAGAGGGGTGTTATCGTTATCGTCGGCGTGATCCTGGCTCATACCGTTGTGTATATATTCCTCCTGTGCTGCAGCGATAGAGAGAGCTCTCTGCTCGTCGGTTGGGTTTGGAATCAACTCCGGAGGAGGGGTCAAGTAGGACTCGACGGGCATGACCAGGAGTTGGACGACGGCGATGAAGAGCGGCACGGCAAGGTAGAACTTGTAGAACGTTTCGAGCGTGAAGAAGGTCGGGAAGCTGAGGTAGATCTTTTTGTAGATGAGGAAGACAGCGGAGGAGGTGTCGAAGGCGCCGGTGAGGAGGGCCAAGATTAAGCCGGACTTTTCAGGGAACGCGTTGGACAACTGGAAGGACGAGATGTAGGAGAACGGCCCGCCAAGTGCCATGAGAGAGTAGCCGACGAGGTAAGGGTCAAAGATGCCGAGCGAAAGAATGGCCTTGGAGTAGATAAAGATGACGGAAGCGAGCAGAAGGAAGAAGGCGCCGATGAGACCGCAAACCCGGGGCCCGTACGAGTCGAGCGTGCGTCCGATGACCAACGCGGACACGTTGGTCAATGCTGCGCCAACGGTGAACATCATGTTCAGCTTCAAGTCCTGGTCCGTGCACTTAGAGACAAAGCCCTCTGTGTGGAGCTGGTCGGCTCTCACAGGCGAGAGGGAGGTGAGCAGCTCTGTGAAGAGGCCGGGGGCGTGTGCCGCGATGGACACGTCTGTCTGGTTCGTCACGTCACAGACACTCTCGTAGATGCCTTGGTCGATCAGCGTCGGCTTCAAGGCTGCAAACCCGAAGATGGGGCCTGCGCCAAAGAGACACCAGACGACTGCACAAGCCACCTGTGCGTACCGCTTGCGTTCGGAGGTCTCGAAGAAGTACATTGTGTTCTAGGCGGGATGTGCTTCGTTCCGGAAGTAGCTGCGTGCTATACTGGAGGAGCAGGGCGGTCAGAAGGGAGGGAGAAGGTGGTGGAAGCAGAAGAAGAAGGAGACGACGACGACCAAGAGGGAAGGAGGAAACAAGAAGCAGCCCGTCGGCGTATCTTCTGCACTGCTGCCGCTGATAAGAGAGGGAGAGAAAAACGGCCGGCGCGCCGGTTCCTTGCTGTGCGGCCAGCGGCGAAGGCCGAGGGCGATGGCCGAGGGCAGCGGCCGCCGGCCGTGAGGCCAGAGGCGGACGGACGATCTGGACGGCGATGGCCAAGACCTATGCGGGCTGCGGGCCTGCCCCTGGGACAGGGTTGTTCCGACACACACGTAGAGCAGAGCCGACTACATGAACGTGGTAGGACAGGGTATGTGTACTGCTGGTGCGGGCTGTCCGGTGTCGGGGACCAGCGAACGGGGTACTAACATGATTCAGAGAACTTGACCGACCCGCCCAAGGGCTTCATTACGGCGGTGGAACACAGCAGCACGCTCGGGGCGCTTGTCGTAGCGTCGGTGCTTGGGGAGGTATGCATCTACGCGGACCTGCCCGGACGCCCGCTCGGCGGTGCCACGCTGCCATGGCGGCGGCGGTTTGCCGAGCCGGTCGTGGCGGTCGTGTGTTTGGAGGAGAAGATGCTTGTCGTGCACCCGCGGACGGTGACGGCGGTGAGCCCGGCCGCGGCAGACGCTCCAGGCGGCGGCGGCCCCGGAGGCGCCGCCGCCTACGACGTGCGGCCGGTGCCCTCGCTGGCACTGGGCCCCGCTGAGGCCGGCATGTATGTGCACGCGCGGGGGGACGACGCCGGCGGCGTACTTGTGCTGGGCACGTCCGCCGGCACGCTTGCGTTGCACAGCGTGCCCGACCTGGCGGCGCTCGATACGGCGGCGCTGGGCGCGAAGCTGCAGCGCTTCGACGTGTGCGCCGGCTACGTTGTCGCTGCGCTCGGCAGTGGGGAGAACCGGCTGCTGGATGTGTCGTGTCGGCGGCTCGTGCCGCTGGCGACGCAGCAGGCGGGCTTCAAGTACCCGGTGACGACGGATTTGCGGATCCTTGCGCCGGCGGCGGACAGCGTTGTGCAGCCGCCGCACCGGCTCGTGTACGCGCAGGCCGGGCTCGAGGGGAAGGTGGCGGTGCTGACGACGGAGATCGAGCCGCAGACAGAGCCGACGGTGACGGTGACGACGGCGGCGACCACGGCGCCCGTGTCGTCCTCGTGCACAAACCCGGCCGGGATTGTCGTTGCTGGCGCCGCGCCGCAGCGCTTCATCTTCAAGGCGCACCGGTCGCGGCTCTCGGCGAGCACCGTGCTTGTGCGGCCGGTGTACTCGCTCGGCACCGTCGGGCGGTACTTGCTCACGGCGGGCTACGGGGGCGGCGAAGCGGGCGGCGAGGACGGGGCGGGCGCAGACGCGGGCGGCGCCCGCAAAATCAGCACGGGCGGCAGCATCTGTCTGTGGGACGTGGCGTCGAAGAAGCGGGTCAAGCTGTGCCGCGGGCTGCCCTTCAACGTCGTGCGGACGGCCTCGTGGCGGCGGGCGGGCGTGGAGCATGTCGTGTGCGGGTGCAGCGACGACGTGTACAAGAACATGCCGGTCCCGGGGCCGCAGGACGACGGCGCCGCCGCCGCCGCCGCCGCTGGCGCCGGGGCCTCCGACAGCGTCCTGGTCCTCGTGAAGCTCGCCGCCGTCTAGCATGTACACCGATGTAGCAGTATGCAAGATCAACACCCGACGTGAAAACATGCCGCCGGTGGCGCTGGCGCTGGCGCGCGGGCGGCCCCGCCTCTCTCTTTCCTCCGCGCGCCCGCCCACCCGTCCAGGCGACGGTGGCCTCAACGGTGGGCACAAGAAAGCAACAGCGGGGGATCAGCAGGCCAGCAGCAGAGACGATCTCCCGGAAAAGAGAAAAGGGGCACCTGGAGCAGGCCAGCATGGATAGCAAACACCGCAGCACATCCACCACCACAATTACTCTCCTCCCCCAGCTCAGGAAGCTCGCCCGAGGCGCCCAGTTCTACTGGTATCTGGCCCTCGTCACCACGATATGGTACACGGGCCTGTGCATGTTCAGCTCGATCTTGCGGGGCACGTCGCATCCAACCACGATCCGCCACTACTCTTCGGCGTTGCTGGCAATCCTCGTCACCTACCTGATCATCCTCAGGCAGACGTACAAGAACAAGCCACCTGCGTACGTCATCGGACAGATCTGGCATCTCATGGAGCACCTGCTCGGCAGCAGGGGCAGCTCCCGAAGTAGCAAGGAGCAGGCCTCCCACAGAACAGCGGCACACCCAGACCCCGGGTCACCGAAGACCGCCGCCGGTGCAGGCACCGGCGGGGCCTCCGGCTCCAGCAACCCCGGCTCTGAGGTCAACACGAAGCCCAGCTCTGCCACTACTGCTGCTGCCACCGCCAGCACCACCGCCAAGACAAACATCCTGAGAGACGAAAACGTCCAGTACCTCCTCTTTGCGTTCTTCCACTGGCTCTTTGCGTCGCCCTTCTTCGGGCCCATCAACCCGTCCACGCTCTACCCCTTCGCCATCTACGCCATCTTCCACGCCTCCCATTACTCCCAGACCAGCATCATCCCCTACCTCCCCTACGTCGCCACAACCACCAAGCAGCGCTGGTGTGCCACCATCGTCCACTTCCACCGCCTCTACAACGAGCGCTCGAGAATGCTTGCCTCTAACACAGAGGTCCTCCTCGTCACCTTCTACCTGGGGCCTTTCTTCAAGCTCTTCTTCAGAATAGCCCTAGGTCGCTTCTGGTCCGCCGCCGCAGGCGGCTCCGCCCAGTTCTGGTACGACTTTAAGACCCTCGTGCTCTGCCTTGTCACCATCGTCTTCTTGCGGGCTCGCTTCGCCGTCGACGCGTACACCCGGACCCAGATCCAGAGCTACGACGCACTTATCAACCGCTTCGTCTGGCACCCAATGCTTCCGCAACAGCTGAGACAGCTGCTCATGGGACTGAGAAAGGTCGTCGGCGATTTTGTGGAAATGGTCAACATCGTCTGAACCAGAACTATTTCCAAAAGCCCCGAAATGCCTCTCCAATGCCCTCCTCTATCCTCCTCTCCTTCTCCCCCTTCTCCCCCTTCTTTCTTTCTCCCATTAGACCTTTCTACTTATCTATCCATCTCCCTTTCTCTCTTTGCTTCGTGCCCACTACTTTTCTACTAATCTTTATTACCTTTTTTTTCCTCCTCCACCCCTTAATCAATTTACATTCCCCAATCTTTCCACTACTTTCTGACATCCCCCCACTCTGTGTAAATACTTCTAATCCTAGCCCACTGTACGCTTTCCCGCTCTCCCCTTTCGTAAGACCCCTGCGTCAACTTCCCCTAAAGATAAAAAGCAGAGCTTCACATCTAAATTTTAATCGGCAGCTCCTCGGATTGGCGACTCAGCTTCAGGTCCAGCTTTTTCTTTTTCGTCTCAAACCTGATCACGGTCTGCCGGTTCCCGGATCTACCCATTCAGACAGGCAGGCTTCTCCCCTTTCTTTCTACACAAGACGCTAGTATCTTCAGGAATACTATTTTCATTGCTGGGGGATTTCCAGAGAAAAAAGAAACAAAAAAGGGGGTAAACTGCCAAAATTAGCTATCTTCTTTTTTTCTTTACAGCACAATAAAGATAAAGCATTCATACCAAGAAAACTCTGGAAAAAGCAAGTTACAGTCGACCTAGTAGATTCTTTTTACATTCAAGTCTTTTATAGTCAATCTTTTCTACTTTTCCTCGGAATTTACAATCTGATTCATTTCCGCCATGGCCACATCTACGAAAAAGACGATACCATGCAAAACCGTCCCCGGGAAATCAGTCCCAAAAAAATCAGTTTCCGGGAAATCAGTCCCGAAGAAAACCTTCCCAATCACAGAAACATCTAATTCGGCATTTAACTCACCGGTGAACAAATCAGATGGTATGTCAAGTTCCACTTCCTTGAGCAGTTTGCTGCCGGCCGAATCTGAATCCCTTGATTCCTACACAACACTACCACCGTGCTCCCATTTGAATAAGGTTTTGAGCTCCTCCTCTAGAGAAGCTGTGTTGAAAACCTATGCAGCAGCATTGCGAATTGTTGTTATTGGAATTCAATCGCAACATTGCGGAGGATCTGGGTATTACAACCGGAAGGGAGTAAAAGTGAACATAAATCTGTTACAAAAAGTGAGATCACGCATTCTCCGTTGCAAAGAGTGTGATGAATCCCTATCCAAGGGAGAAATTGCAACTAGGCACAATGATCTCTACATGTGTTTGCAATGCACAAGTATCGGATGCTGGAGCAAAGGACACTCTTATACCCATGCCAAAAATTCCGGTCATGTCTTTGGTAAGTTTATTTCCTGAAAATGGCAATTATTACATCTTTTGCTTTTCTTTCTTTCAAATTCTTTTTTCTTCTATCTTGTCGACAACCTCTATTTTCATCTATCTTTACAGCAGAATACTAATACTCACATATTGAACGGCTTCTAGCTTTTTCTCTCAAAAATCTTTTATCTTGCAGGCATCAATCCCGATAATGGTGAATTCATGTGTCTCAAATGTGGTGACCTGGTATCTCATCCAACTCTTGAACGTATTAGATACAACAGTTTCAAAGCTGCAGGTGTCCTAAAATTCTCCCCTGTGTTGCCTTATTTTGAGACAGAACATAACTTGAAAAATCATGACCTGATTCACAAATTCTCTCGAATCCCCTCATATAAAGAAACTACAGGATTGAGAGGATTTATAAATTTAGGATCGACCTGTTTCATGTCATCGGTCTTACAGACACTCATACACAATCCTTACTTGAAGCGTTATTATCTCAGCAATGCACACTCAGACTGCCAAAAGCCTCACTCAGAGTGTATGTCATGTTGTGTCGGCGATATTTATCAAGATTTTTTCACAAATCCTGCAATCCTCGGATATGGACTTACTTCATTTATAGAAGCTGCTTGGAAAGTGAAAAGATCATTGGCTGGTTACAGCGAACAGGATGCTCATGAATTCTGGCAATTTTTAGTTCACCAAATACACAAAAATGACACTAAAAACTCAAAATATAGACAAAGTAAAGAAAGTACACCTTCCCTTGACAATCAAGCTTTCAAATCTTCAAATGCTCACTGTGACTGCGTTATCCATAAAACATTCTCTGGTACATTGGAGAGTACTTTGACCTGTTCTGTTTGTGGTCAAAGTAGAAAAATCGAAGATCCAATGTTAGATGTGTCTCTAGAAATTCAAAATAAGCAGGGTTCTGAAAGGACATCCTTGAAAGACTTGCATTCATGTTTCCGAAAATACACAAGAAAAGAAGAGTTGGATGTTTTATACGAGTGTGATTTCTGTGAGAAGAAAACGAGGGTCACAAAAAGATTACGCCTGAATAAACTGCCACCAGTGCTGAGTATTCAACTAAAAAGGTTCGAACACATAGGAATTAGTTCGAAGCTTGAATACCACATTGATATACCAACTGTTCTTGATGTCAAAGAATACGTGTCTGAAACTAACAATGGACATATCCCTAGCTACGAACTTTTTGGTGTGATTTGTCATTTGGGAAACGTCAATACAGGGCATTATTTGGCTTATGTTAAAACCATCAACGGTGCGTGGTTCAAGTTTGATGATGCCACAATTACGAGAGTAACTGAAGCAGAGGTGAAGAAAGTAAATGGTTATATGTTGGTCTACTGCATGAATGAATATATTTAATTATAATGATTTTTCTTCATTCCTTTATACTACCTAAGCAGAGCACGACAAAGTTTATGTATTTTACTGTTCTTACCTTTTTATGAATACATCGTTTTGTTCCTATTAAACATGTAGTATTTAGTTATTACCTACGTCAAATTCATTCCCATCTCAATTAAAAAAATCGTCATCTTCTTCTTCCTCAGAAAGATTACTTTTACTGCTCAAACTTTTCTTTTGAAATCTTAGTTTGCGAGATTCTTTCAAGTCTTCATCTTCGTCTTGATTTATTATAAGCCTTTTATCGTTGTCATCAAGACAGTGCAAATCAACTAATAAGGCTTCTATATCTTTCAATGTAGTGTCATTTCCGTTTAACATTAGTAATGTAACTAGTTGTTTGATTAACTCTCCATCTTTATAAATCAAAATTGTGGGACAATTTTTGTCCGGATATTCCTCAATTGCTCTACGGCCTTCTATTTCGCAAAATTTGATATCTTTGAACTTCAACGCAGCAGAGCGAAGTAGAACGCTTAGTAGTCTAGATTGTATTTGGCTTTCGCAAGATAAGTGGACAAACACGGCCCCGTTTTTAGAAGCATCAGTGACTTCTTTTTGCCATTCTGGCTTGGTAATTGGATAAACAGACCCAAATTTTTCATTTCTCGCAAGTTTTCTCATTTCTGCCATTCTCTTTTGCTTGTAGCTTTCAAGGAAATCTTCATCTTCGTCATCCTCCAATGCATCTAGTTCATCCAAATTTAAGCCTTCTAATCTATTTTGGTGTTGATTTAAAACTGCATCAGCCAAAGCCTCTTCCAACTGTTCAGTAGGATCTGGTTCTTTTTCAGGAATTACACCTTTGGCACGAAGAATATCGTTCCATTCTGTATCCTCGGTTGGATCGACTTCGACCTGAATCTTAGGATCTGGCATACCTGGCATCATCTTGACGTCTTAATGTTACTGAACAGTATGACTAGCCAATTTAATTATTATTTATCAGCACAAAAAAACGTCTTTTATGACAGAGAAAAACACATCTAGTTTAACCTAGCATCCTTCCTCATCCTCGATTGATTCATGTCGTGAGGAACGCCAACCGCTGACAAAAATTAAAAAAGATAGTATAAACTCCCTATCAGGGGCTCGAACCCTGGACATTTCGGTCGACTTCTCACGAATTCTTAAAAGCCGAACGCTCTACCGACTGAGCTAACAGGGAATTACGACATAATTTGTAATACACCCATATATATTGTAATGCAGCTTTGCATAATATCCAATACTTCTACTTGCGTAGTGTTTCCCAAATCTTGACTTAATCATTTATTACTCGCAAATTCTAGGAATCGGAATGTAATGAAAATCATTTACGTAAGCAGAAGGTTAGTTATCACACGTTGACACAATTTAGAATAGAAGGCTATGAGTAAGACAGGTATTGTTGACACAGTCCACACAGGCCTCCGATTGCTTTATTTTTGTCCCAATGAAGCCAGTACATCATCAGGAAGCAGTAGTGGTTGAATTGCTTAGTTTCGAAGTGCAAGCACCCAAATGAAACTAAAGATGAGATTCGGTTAACAATTGACGATAATCAGCTTCCACAACTTATGACTTGATCTAGGTAGCAGCAATCTGCGCAACACTACAGTTATGGGGCCAGCTAAAGTACAAGTTAGACATCCTGGTGCAAAAGAAGGGTAATCATTGTTATAGCAACGCTGCTTTTCAGGCATAATTAGGTAAAGTTTAAAAATGGTGTTCTCTGGGCTCAGCAACAGCATGTCCAAGGTTGAAAAAGTAGAGACGACATTATCATCATAAGCAACAACTCTTTTGCCGTACATCGAGATATCATCGAGCTTCTGAGACATTCAAAGAACGCTACTCATCTAACATCTGCACCACGGAACTCACACGTTTGTGCTCCTTCCTCACGCATTAACAACAAGAAGCAATATCTTGGTCATTAGTACCAGCCTACAAATGAGTTACAAATATCAGGGTTATCTAGGAGCTCAGCTCGAAGAAAATATTTTGTCTGAACAACGTTGATAGTTGATGTCGAAATCTGCCTGTCCGACATTTATCATGTAATTTTCTCGACTCCCTCGACGATTCAGGTGAGAAAAATTCATCGTTTTTTTGGACACTCTTTGCCAGCATGCTTGGTTGTTAAAGCAGAAAGGAGGCCATGTCGGCTTATCAGTGTATTTCCCATCCTGCTACCAACACCACCATAGATAAAATACAGTAGCAAACTCCTGCAACTGGTTATAATAGTTGAATACATTAAACATACCCAACAACCCCATCAAGCAAAAATGTCCATACCACTTAGAGAAGGGTTTGTCGATGAAACCCTTGAAAGATGTCTAGAGGATTTAATAGTTAGATTTGTGGTCAACTGTCCCGATGAAGACCTCTCGTCGATAGAAAGAGTTTTGTTTCAAATTGAAGAGGCTCATTGGTTTTACCAAGATTTCTTGAGGACTTCAAATCCTCTTTTACCGTCCATGAAAATGAAACAGTTCACAAACAGGTTAATTGAACAATGCCCGCTTATTTGGAAGTGGGGAGATCCATCTGAAGCCCTAGCTCAATTTGGGAAATACAAATCCACAATTCCTGTTCGAGGTTGTGCATTGTTGAACTCCTCTATGGACAAGTTACTCCTGGTCAAAGGTATAGAGAGTCCTTCTTGGGGTTTCCCAAGAGGTAAAATATCAAAAGGTGAGAAAGATTTAGATTGTGCTTTGAGAGAACTGGAAGAAGAAACTGGTTTTGATGCTTCCAATTTGATAGACGAAGACGAATTCGTTGAAAGGACAATCAAAGGTAAAAACTATAAAATCTTCATAATTAAGGGGGTTCCTGATGATACGAACTTCCTTCCGAAGGTTAGGTATGAAATTGTTGATATTCAATGGATGGATATAAAATTTTTAACGAAGGCTGTGAAGACTACAAGCAATTACTATCTAGTTGGTTCTATGCTCAAGTCAATCCTGTCTTATATTAAAAGGATGAAGAATAGCGAAAGTGAAGATGAGCTAAAGAAACTGGCAACCGTCCAATTGAAGAAGATTTTGGGCATTAGTGGTGATGACTCCAAAAGCAAAGTACAGGAATCAGACGATCCTGGTAGAGCGTTGCTTTCAATGCTTCAATCTGTTGCTAAAAATGCACAAATTATAAGTACAGGTGCTGATGGTGTTCCAGTTATTTCATCTCCTACAGCTGTTACTCAAAGTGTTACCCAACCATTACTCACAGGACAGCAACAACTACCTCCAGGCCTTCAGTTTCCGCCACTACAACAGCAGCAACAACAACAAGTACACTCACAACAACTGCAGCCACAGCAACAACAACAGCAACAAGTTCAAAACCCGTTCTTCCCAATGCCTATTCCTCCAAATATTTTACCAATGCAACACCCGAAGATGGTTTCACATCCTTTCCACAATCCTTTTGCTTTACAAATGTTCAACCCTTTTGCATTTTCTAACCATCTACAATCTGTTCCATATAATCCTATGAATCATCTTCCGTTACCACAGCCAATGAATAACCCGATGGCATCTCAAGGAATGTCATTAGCACCATCAGCCTCATCCTTTTCTAAACCTCAATTTTCGTTATCTAATAAAAAGCCAGATCATGCAAACAGTAAAGAGTTACTCAGCATTTTGAAGTCGAAACCACCAAACAAAGAAAGAAAACAATCAAACAGTGCCGAGCTTTTGAGTTTATTGAAAAAGGACCCTCCAAGCAAGACGCAACAATCGCCTGCAGGTTTGATTAAAGTTCTCAAACGCGAGAGCCCGATTCCACAACCTTCAAGAACCAATCATGTAAAGGAAAAGCATCAAGAAGTGAAGGAAAGCATTCAAACAAAAAAACTACAACCAACCAGACTAGACATTACGGAACCTGCTAACAATTCCACTAGTCGTGATATAAGTCGCCCATTATCAAACGGAAAACCTATTGTTTTATTGAAAAAATCCAATCCCAATTCTCCTAGCTTGAATCAATCGCTAATAAACAAGATACCGGATAAAGAAGTTTTTAGTCCAAACATCTCAGCTGCTGTCAAAAGTCCACAACCAGAGAATGCTAAATCAGTAGCAGAGAAGAGACAAGGTTCTTCGAATGGCAAGCCTCCCGTTTCTGTTGATATGTTGACTTTGTTGACTAGCCCTAAAGAAGCGAATAACGCTGATCCATCTTCACAGCTTCTTGATGTCCTACATAGAAAAGGAACTCCTTTGAAGCAACAAAGTAACGAGTCTACTATGCTAGAGAGCCCTAGTCCACAAATTTCAGGTGATGTGACTAAGTCCAAGGAATTACTCAGATTATTGAAAGCGGACTCACCGTTGGGTATACCTCAGCCATTGACTGCTTCTTCATCAAGTACTGATGAATCTAAGCAATTGCTGAACCTTTTGAAAAGTAAGAAATCGCCATCATTGGCAACTGCAGCAGAATCGCCATCATTGCCAAGTACTGGATCTACATCTGCACCTGCGCAATCCACTTCATCGGCCTTATTGAACATTTTGAAGGGACCACCGGCCTCAGGTAAGTTGAATGTGAACTCTGTAAGTAATTCTGCAGCGTTAAACCCCCTATTGGGTGTTAATACACCAAATATATCTCATCAACCGGTGTTGCACTCGTCACAAATGAAACCTTTCTCTGACCACCAGGCGCAATCTCAACAAGCTAAGAGTAATTCTGCTGCAATCCTTGAATTATTGAAAGGTCCGTCGAGAAATGCAGCTTCTACTGCAACACCTCTTTCAAATGGTTCCACTGTAAATGGTTCAGGATCTATTTTCGCCAATGGCTTCAGTGGCAATGCTGCACACCCTCAAAACAACATGGTACAGAATACTCCAAAACCATCATACTACTCAACAGCTACGGATCTTCATAGCGGTGGTAAAGTTGCCCAGCCTATAGCAGACTTTGAAGACTTTGAAGATTTTGATGATGGTGAGATTGAAGGTGAGTACGTTATGAACGGTGGACTTTACGATGCTGACGAGTAAATCAACGATAATAATATAGTTCAATCCCTCCAATCTTTTACACATTTCACTCTATAAAAGGTGCTAATATAACATGGTAATATTAAAGCTAGTAGTACATAGTGCTTTTGCATTGAGTTGTAACCAAACCCACCACATGTTTTTCAATGGCCTGCGATGGTCGCTATTTTAGATTCGAAGCGGAGCTTGCAATTCTCGAGTTTATTCTGCTGTCCATCGCAGTTCTGTCAGGAATATGCAACTCGACGATTTCCGACAATTCCTTTTTCAAGGATTCTAGTTGCTTTATCCCTATTGCAGCACTTTCTAGGTCGTTGAGGGCACCAACATTGACGTACGCCTTTACGTGGCACGTTCCGGTTGGGTCTAATAAGCTAAGTTTCGAGGTTTCAGAATCTTCCACTGGGTCGATCACCATTTCGTCTGCCTTTATCTCTATCGGAGCAGTGGATTGCTGTTTGGTATTCAATACATATAAACGGGATAGCTCAATTATAACATTTCCATAGTAAAAGCGCACACCGTCCGTCCAAAACTCAGCTTCATGCATGTATCCCAACTCGTCAAGATATCCAATGACATCATCTGTTTGATAGATTGTGGTTTCATATATATTTTGAATAAGTACTGAATTCTTACCTCCAGCAGGTATATCTGTAAGCTGCAGTGTCCATATCGATGAGTTGACGTTTGGGTTTGGTTTAGTTATAGATTCTCCGAAAACATCCGCCTCGTTCTCTTTTTCGTCCTTGTTCAAAAATTCTTTGGGAAAGCCTTTTTCCCAGATCCGGTTCATCCTAATTCTATAGCTTTCTATTTGAATAAACTTACCCGGTATTGGTTCTGGCGTGAAAGGATATCTGGGTTTCAAAATCACCGAATGCTGGTGCATTGGAGAACATATGTTACCGGTTAGCGTCTCTAATGTGAGAAGTAATCGCTCTATTCTTGGGCTGGCAACCTGGGCAGTTAACGAAAGTTGCTGGACCATTGTAAGGATTTTCCAATCAGCATGCACACAGTTCGTTTGCTCCCGATAGACGACTTGCCTCTTAATAAGTTAAAGATTTCCACTTGTTCTTTGTAGACGGAACTGAGTATCAAACTTTATCCAGGTCTCCAATTCATGAGAGGGAGGTTTTCTTCCGTGCACCACTTCAGTACTTCGTGCCTCTATCTTTTTCCACCTCACGTCGTCGAAAAATTTTCTGGCGTTAGTTACAGTGGAAGTTGAAAATTTTGAAGGGAGATGCAACAATTTGTCCCTAAGAGCCACAGCAAACAATCGATACCAAGGCTACTACAACTTCAAACAACAATGAGTGTTGCTATTCCAGAGTTTGACGAGAAAAGTGTCGACATTTCGGGACTTGATTTCTCCGATTTGGAGGAGAAATACGATGTCAAAGCTCCAAAGATGATTGACAATTGTGTTATTTGTGACGGTGCTCCAATTGCACCTGAAGCCAAGGCACCTGTGTTGAAGAAGGTTTTGACCAAATTGTTCTCACCATGCGGTAAAATTGAAGACTTGTACTTACCATTGGAAAATGGCAAAACCAAAGGTTACTTGATTATCAGATTTTCCAACGCTATGGAAGCCGCCAAGGCAGTCGCTCAACTAAACGGCAAGAAACTAGATGTCAAACATAGATTGTTGGTCAACAAGTTGACTGATATTGACGAATACGTTCTTTCTGGTAAGATCCAGGATGATTTTGAAGCCCCAGAATTCCCACCATTTACAGAAATAGGCCATTTGAACTCCTGGTTATTAGATCCAAAGGGTAGAGATCAATTTTTGATGAACTTCGATCAATCAGTTGGTGTTTATTGGTACAGAAAGAACCTAGAAAATGAGCCTGTTATTGAACCACGTATGCAGTGGACCTCGACCTACATGAAGTGGTCGCCAAAGGGTAAGTATTTATTTTCGATGTTCCCACAAGGTGTTCAATCATGGGGTGGTCCAGAGTTCCAGAGAATCCATAGACATTTGCACCCAGGAGTTAGATTAATCGATTTCTCACCAAATGAAAAGTACTTGGTGACTCTATCCCCAGAACCCATCATGGATCCAATGGAGTTGAGAGAAGAGCTACGTAAAGACTATCCTTTCAAGGCTGAAGATATCGGTAAGAAGCTAGTTATTTGGGATATTTCTATTGGTGTCCCAGTCAAGACATTTGCACTCCCACCTGATTTAGAAAACGCTACTAGAATGCCATGGCCTTTGATCAAATGGTCTTACGATGATAAATATTGTGCAAGACAAGGACCGGATGCAGTTGCAATTTACGAGACAGAAAAGGACTTCCAATTACTGGACAAGAAGTTGTTGAAGATCGAAGGTGTTCAGGATTTCGAGTTTGCCCCAGCGGGTGTTAGGCTTGTGAACTCTAAGAAGACCGACCCATTAGACGTCATCATTTCATACTGGACACCAGAAACCGAAAATCAATCTGCTAAAGTTTCTGTTATGCAAATACCTAACAAGGCTGTTTTGAGAACGATTCCATTAGTTCAAGTCCAGGATATCAAGCTTAACTGGCATGATTCAGGTAAGTACCTCTGTTGTAATGTTACCAGACACACAAAATCAAAGAAGACGTTCTTCTCCAACTTACATATTTTCCAACTTTTTGAAAAGGATATCCCTGTTGATAAAGTTGAACTTCAAGAATTGGTTTTGAACTTCAAATGGGAAAATCGTTCGAACAAGTTTGTCACTATCTCCAAGTCAGATAAGGGTGAACTTGGTGCATCCAACCTTGGTGCCGAGTCCAATACCACTACTTTCTTTGACGTCGAAGAGGTCAGAGTTGGTACGGGTAAGAACTTAACCACCTTGAAGAAATGGGTTCCATTAACGTCTATCAGCAACTCGTTCGAAGACATCAGCTGGGCACCACAAGGACGTTTTGTTATTTTGACGTCTTTTGGACTGGCATCGACACAACTCAAATTTTTTGATGTAGAATTCGACGGTGACAAACCAAAGGACCAGAACAAAAAGGTTCAATCCAACTTGAAGCTTTTGACAACACACAACTTTGCCGGTTTGTGTGAATTGCAATGGGAATCTAGCGGTAGATTTGTGACTGCGGTTTCATCAACTTGGAAGACGAAGGTGAATAACGGTTACACAATCTACGACTGCGCAGGTCATGTCTTGAAGGAGGAGCAGATCGATGCATTCAAGGAGTTCCAATGGCGCCCAAGACCAGAGTCGTTATTGACTTCGAGCGACAAGAAAAGGGTAAGAAAGAACTTGAAGGAGTACGCTGCTCAATTCGAAGAGTCCGATACTATGGATACCAATGCTGCATTGCGTGATTTGATCTTGAAGAGAAAGCAATTGCTAGCAGAGTGGACTGAGTACAGATCCAAGACTGTTGCCAACCTTGCATCGCTGAACTTACCTGACCACAAGGGTACTGTTGCTGAAGAGACCATTGAGACTATCAAGGAAGTTGTTCTTGAAGAGCACGAGGAAGTGGTTGAATAGATCAGTAGGAAGTTACGTATTTAGGGTCTTCTTACTTCCTAGTTCTGCCATGCGTTCGTATGAACAGGTGGCAGCCATGAAATAATATATATATATATATATACATCTTTAAACAAAATCGACTTGTATGAATAGTAAAGCTAGTAGGATGAGAGGAGGAGAGGCAAAGGCAAGACTGAAGCAATAGAGATACACAGGTATGTACAGGGAGGTGTGGTGGGTTGTAGGTGTGCAACTACTATTTCTTGTTCGCCCTTGTCTTCAATTGCAATCCGTGCCATCCACTGATCTCCTCCTTCAAGATAGAGTTGACCAGTCTGTGCTGTTTGACCATGGATATGCCGTTGAACTTGTCACTGACAATGTTGATGGCATACATCGAGCCGCAGCCACCAGAGACGTCACGAACGTCAAGCATTAGCGGTTCCAGCTCTTTCTCGAGCTTCTCATAAATATGCTTCTCTGCGGCGTCCAAGGAGGGAGGGGCCGAGTAGAACCTCCTGAGGGGAAGCGCCCGCAGGGTCGGTATGAGGCTGGCTATTCTTTTGCTTGAGGATGGGAACATTGTGGCCGTGAGGAAAGCAATGTCGATGTTTGTACGGTCTAGATGCGGTGGTGTTCTTACCTACAGAGACGTACGACCGGTGGGACTAAGTGAGGGGACATTTGTAATCGAGATATGTGTGTAGATTGATTTGCTACAGAAATTTCGAGGAATATTATTTTCTTACTGAATTTTCAAGATTTTCAGCGCATTCATTTCTCGAATCAAGAAAAGCTTTTTGGAGGAAAAGGGGAATCACATATATTGGAGATAGACAAATAAAAATAAAAGTTATACAAGCAGCCTGGGCGCCGTCGGAGGGATGAACAAAGGGTTCGCCGGCCTGACAGACACACGGTACTGCTGTTCAGTCGATAGATACCCATTGGAGTGATTGCAGTAAACAATAAAAAAATCACTGTCAGAAAGTTAAGAAAATAGTAGTAGTAGTAGTAGTGGTAATAGTAGTATGAAATTCTTTTGATCAATGTGATTGTAAGAGGGAGTATGCGAAATAAGGATACCGCCTTATTTCATTTCAGTTGGTTTGTAAAAGAACGTTTTGTAAAAAGAGTGAAAAAAAAGAGAGAAAGAAGGGGGACTAAGGGGTGGCCTAGTTTAAGATACCCCAGAATTGTTCGACACCGTTAGAACCTGGGTTCTTCCACATGTCGTCGAAGGCGTTGAAAACAACGACGTCGTTACCACAGGTGGACTGGATGGAGCTGATGGCTGCAGACTGCTCGGAGGTGGAAGCGACGGCGACACCGTTGCTGCCACCCTGGTGAGGCCAGCCGGTTTCGACGCACATGACGTTCTTACCACAGGCAGAGGCGACTCTTTGCATCTGTTGCAGCAACCAGGTACCGGCTTCACCGCCAGTAACGGACCCGTCCCAGTAGGCGTGGGCGTTGAAGGCAATGTAGTCGGAGTATTGACAGAGTTCAGGGTTGTTCAGGATGGCAACGTGGGTGTCGACAGAGACGACTGGACCAGAGTAGCCGGCGGAGGACAAGAGGGATTTGGCGGTGGAGACGTATTGGCCGATTTGGGAAGCAGAGGCCTCGCCATCGTTGACAAGCTCGTTACCGATGGAGACAGTGTGGACGTCGCTCCAGGAGCCGTAGGAGGAGATGGCGCTAGACATCTGCTGGATACCCTGGGAGAGCTGGTCGATGAAGAAGATGCCCAGGAACAGCTGCTGGCCGTTGGCCTTGGCCTGAAGGACATTTTCAACCTGGTTACAGTCGACGCCGTACAGTCTGATGAGACTGTAGTCGGACAGCTTGGCCAAGTCGGACTTGACGGTGGACAAGTCCTTGCAGGTGCCGTCGCTGTTGTAAGGCGAGTAGGTGATACCCTTGGAGGAGCCCGAGAAGCTGCCGGAGCTGCCGGAGCCCGAGGAGGCGGAAGCCGATGGAGCTGGGGCCGACGCTGGGGCCGACGCAGAGATGATGGCTGGGGTCACGGTGGCGGTGGCGGAGGCAGAGGCTGCTGCGACGGAGTCGACGGACGCGGCGGTGGACGCCGTGGCGACCGGCGAGTTACCGCCGACGTGGACCACCACCGTGGTCTGGACGACCACGTCGTCTCTCTTGTGCATGTGGTGCAGGTGGCCCAGAGGCGAGGCGACCGCTGAGCTGGCCATACAGGCTAGGGCGATGGCGTTGGCGACACTTTGGAATAACATCGTGAATGAGTGGCAGGGAACTGGGTTCGGCTGGTCTTGCTTGTGTGTTGTTGTTGTTTCAGAAACGAGTGTGCTGGGCTGGAAGCGCAGGTAATGAACGGATAGAAGTTAAGTGAAAGACAACGAAAGAAGGAAGAAATCCGAAAAAGCTTTTCCGGGGGTTCAAAGGAGTGACTGGAGTGGGTTGTTTGCTGAAGAACGAGTACAAGAAGCACACCAGAACCAACACACCTTCAAACCACCCCAGATCAGTCCTCCAACCCCAACCACCTGCCAGCACAAGAAGAAGAGGAGCAAGAAAACAGACGAGCCAAGCACCCAAGCAGCACCACCACACAACCACCAGACACAAACCGACACCACCCCGTCTGCTGCCGCCACCGACCGCCCGCGCCCACCCCTGCAAATGCGACCCGTCGCTCCACGCTCCTTTCCGCATCTGGCGAAAGGCAATAACCACGTCACCGCAGTAGAAAAACAGATCGCCCTTCAACAATAGCGACAGCGAAAAATCCAGAAGCGAGAAAAGCAACAGGCAAACAACAGTCGCAAAAAAAAAACAACAACAACAACAACAACAAAAAACAACAATAACAGTCACGGCCGCGCCGGCACGTAAACAAGCGGCGGGTGGGCGCTTACGTCAGCGCACGTGTGGGCCGGGAAGGGGGAGGGAGGGGGCTCAGCGAGGCAGGCGGAACGGGGGTACGACGGCACAGCCGCAGGGGGTGCGACACCCGGGGTGTTGTAGAGAAGGGTGTCGGAGTGCCAGAGGGTCAGACGGAAGCGTCGAATGGTGGATTAGAGGTGTATGTATGTATTTATGTATGTATATGTGTCTGTGGGGGCGTGTCAGCGCTTCAGGTACTCGCGGCTCTTGCGGAAGACGGTCTCCAAGACAGCCCGCCGCGGCAGCAGGTTGGGAAACACAACGATCATCTTCAACTTGGTCTGCTCGGGGACGGAGGTGGAGTCTGGCAGGACGCGGTGGCGGCCGTGGTCGCCGCTGTAGTAGCCTGTGTCGTGGTCGGCGGGGGCGGCGTCGTCGCCGCTGCGGCCGCCGTCGTAGCCGTCATCGTCGTCGTTGGTGTTGGCGGCGCTGTCGCCGTCGTCGTCGTCCGCCAGGCGGCGGTCCACGTCCACCACGACGTCGAGTCCTGTGCGGCGGTCCCGGTCGGCCCGGCGGGCGGCCCGGCGGGCGGCACCGTGGCTGCGTCTGGCGTGGCCGGCGTCCCAGCGCTCCTCGCTGCCGCCGCTCACCACCACCACGCCCTCCTCCATGATCAACGTCATGTAGAACACCACCTCGAAGCCCTTGAAGCCCTCGTTGATCACAATGTCCTTCACGTAGTCCATCGGCACAAACTGCTTGTTGATCACCACGCCCTTCTCCTTGCTGCACGGAGGCACAGGCGCCGCCGCCGACGCTGCGGCCGGCGCTGCCCCCGTCGCCGGCACGTGCGCCAGCCCCGGGTTCATGTTGAACAGCAGCCGCCGCAGCCCAAGCACGCTCTTCAGCACCTGCCAGATGTTCTCCTTGATCAAGATGCTCTCGGCCTGCACGCCCAAGTGCGGAATGATGATCAAGCTCTCCTCGATCTCGTGGTAGATCCGCCAGTAGATCTCGTTGATCACAAACACACTGATCCCCAAGTAGAACAGGCTGATCAGGTCCTGCACGAAGCACTCCTCGCGGCCCATCTTCATCTCGAAGAACACCTTCTCCACCACCAAAAACACCTTCACCACGGCGTCCCTCAACCCCTCTCGTATCCGGCTGTCGCTGCCCACGTTGTATCCAAGCTCTCCGCCTGCATGTTCGCTCCTCTTCAAAAGTCGCTCGTCTATTCGATGTCGCCTCCCGTTGAGCACCCCGGTCACCTTGTGGTACTCTCGCCAAAAGACGTCGTTTATCTCCATCAGACGTCCCCGGCCTCCAATCACCTTCCCGATCGGGTCCACGTTGTTCAGCACATGCCAGAACAAGCCCACACTGAGAAAGATAAACATGAACTTCGTCATTCGGTTCAATATGTCGTCATCCGAGCGGTCTGACCTCTTCACTGTAAATTTGATGTACTTGTCCAAAGAGTGTGACGAGCTCTTCCTCCCGTGCTTCTCGCTGCCGCCCTGGTGCCGCCTCCTCTTCCCATCTGCACTTGCCTTGCTGTTCATCCGCAACGCCAAGTCGTTGTCTTTACTGTCTATTCCCTTGAACTGCGCCTTGAGGCGGTCTGTACGGTTCATATTCTTCTTGGGGCCATTCCCGGCCCCTCCTCCACCTCCGACCTCGTCTGCGCCAGGCGAAGACGACGACGTCCTGATCTCTAAAATGTATCCGTTCGTCATGCTTGCTGCTCTGTGTTCTATATTCAGCTATGCTTTCTCAAATCTCTCCTTTTCCTCTACTTTTCTTCTTCCACTACGCCTCCACCCCTGTTTCAGATCACTTCCTCGTACAGAAAAAGAACAAGAACCCTGTGACTAAGAGAATTCTGCCCACCCCCCGCGGCATACACTTTTTCTTCCCCCGCGCGTCGTATGAAAACACGTCTCTCAAATTAAAAATAGACAGATTAGACAGCTTAGAAAGATCAGATCAGATCAGATCAGATCGGATCGCACGAGATTCGAGGCTCCGAAGCGTAGGAGCGAGGCCAGTCTAGACCGGTGCCTAGTTGCCGCCGGACTCGATACTTCCAACAATCTCCTCGTTCTTCCGGAACTCGGCAATGACAGCCTTCCGGGACCGCCTCGTCGGCACGCCCTGCGAACCGTCTCCGTGAAGGTTCTGCTGGGCCCGGTCCTCCGCATGGGCCTGCTCACGGGCCTGCGCCATGGCCTTCAGCTCCTCCTCGTGCTTGAGCTTGAGCTCCTGGATCTGTTGGTTGTACTCGTCAAGCGTCTTGAACTCAATACCCGTTTTACCGCTGTACTCTCGCACGTCCACAGGAAGTTTCCGCAAAAGCGCAAACTCAATCAAATGCGGATGCACTTTCTCTTCCAGCAAAAACTTCGCCTTGATCTGCTTCCGAGTCCGGTGGGGGAAGAGTTTGGCAATCAACCCGAAGTCGGTCCCCCACAAGGAGATAGCCTTGAGTAGCTCGGCAACCTCCTGCGGAGTCCACCGGAGCGTGGTCGTCCTTCTCGAATAGGAGCTGCTCGTCACTATATTCTCAAACGGGTTCTCCTCCACTTTCTCCATTTCGGTATTGCTCTCCTCGTGCCTGTCAACAACAGTCGACTCATGGCTATACGTAAGCTTGTTGCCTTGTATCTGTAAAAGAGGCACAACATGTTTCTTGTGCTCTTCCGTGCGATCTTTCTCCATCAACTCCTTTACCTTTTGCAACCTCTCCTTCTCGCTTAGCTCCGTGCTGAGACTAGCGCCGCTCTCACTCAATTTCATGACATCCTTTTCACTCATACGCAATTGTCGGGCTTTCTCTCGTATTTCCCTCCGCTTTACTCGTGCCTCCTGGAGCCTCTTCTCCGCCTCCATGGCCCTTTCGTATTGATTAGAAAGTTCTCCAACAGGAAGGAAAGGCTTGCACAAGTCTTCCAATTTGATTTTCTTTGCATTGAATTTGAGACTGCCTCCTAATTTTGCATTATTTGCTTTGCGCATTTGTTCAAGCTCACTCAAACTCTCAATCTCATGCTCAAGCTCGAAATCACTTTGCTTGGACTTATCCTTTACAAGCGGTTCAGTGTCGACTAGCACAAATTTGTTCATCTTGCGGTCTAGTAACCACTTTTGCTTATTCTCTTTCTCAAACTCAGTTAATTCAAGCTTCTTCTCTTTCACCGGCTCTGATTCTTTTCCAGAAACCTCATTACCATCTCCATTATTCGCAGCCCCTACCTTTCTAATTGTTGTCATGTCTCTTGGGTCTCCAATCTCAATGTCGCTATCCATAAGCCCATTACCGTTTTCTTTATTAGCACCACTTCTCGATGTGTTTAATGAGGAGAAGTCACTCTTTTTTATAGCCAAGGATCCACCGATGGAAATACCACCAACATTGACGTCTTTCCGTTTCTTGGGTCCATAGTTGACACTTGCTCTGCGTTTTTTATTCGTCTTTAAGATAGGAATAGGAGTAGGCTTTTCATCTCCATTAATTGTTACGCTTCCTCGTCTACTCCTATCGCCGCCACCAATAGGTACAAAAACCGGACGGATATTAACACTACCTCGCCGACTTCCTGGTGTGATAGGACCCAAACCTCCTATAACACTGCCTCTTCTGCTTCCTAGGCCACTAGGAGCAATCGGGTTAGCCGACGGTAGAATGACACTACCACGCCTGGAGTTGGATGCACTTACCACACTTCCCCTTCGGCTCGTCGACTGGGCCGTAGATAAGGGAGTAGGGATCGATAACGAATTGAGTCGGGTCCTATGAACAATACTGGAAGGCTGTGTAAACAGGTGTCCTGAGCCAGTCACACTGGATTTTCTTTCTTGCAATTTAATTCCGTTAGACTCTTTGACCTTGGGCTGTTGTCCAGATATAAGCCTTTCTGTCTCACTCTCGAGTCCTAAGGAAGAAACAGAGCTCAACTCACGTTTACCTTTTAGTTCAACAGCTTGGCTTTCCTCCTCTGTCTCAGCAAAAACATCCCCCTTTTTTGTTTCTCGTTTCCCCCCTGCTTTTACTTCTTCGTCACCATGAATTATATTATCATTTTGTATCGATGTAGAGGCTTGGTTTAAGACGGGCTCCTCTTTTAACTCTTCCTCCTTAGTACTTGAAGCAAATTCATCAGCAATTTTCTGGGAAATAGGAGAGGTAGGTACTGCAACAGATATTGGAGATGCCTGCGGCGTTCTAGCCAGTTGCACAGTTTGTGACGACTGAGGCGTCATCAGCCCTGGAACACGACGAGTTCTTTGCTTGATTTTCGGGGTGAATCTCTTCCCCGATTTGTTGATGGATGACATCTTGGTGCTTGAGGCTTTTAGGCTAGTAAAAATGTACTCCCTGGTTGGTGTTGTCTAACATGACGCAAGGGACTTCAAGGGAAACATTGATCACAACATTAACAACACGGGCAGGAAAAAAGATAATCTCGTTTCTCTCACATAAATTTTTTCCCAACGTGTATCTGTGTTTTTTATAATCCTACTACTACATTCTGATTTGTTTTCTGAAAATTCCCGTCTTTGATTCTCTTACCATCAGTCAAACTTTAATGGTTGCCTTAGGGAAAATAGAGCTACCTGATTGGATCTTGTCACTTTGCGTTTCAAAGGAATCTGAGTCATTGCTTGCTGCAACGTCTAGCGGTTCGTTGCACAGCTTACCGCTCGACGCAACAAAGTGGTCAGATTCCGCCGTTAGTAGCAACCTGAAAGCTCATAAAGGACCAATTCAAAAAATTTTGAGCGACCCTATCAACCAAACAACGTTGTATTCTTGCTCAGATGACTCAACGGTAAAGGTTTGGGACCTCAGGTCTTCGTTATCAACTCCTCAACATGTTTTGATCAATTCTAGGAATTTACCATTTTTCAGCATGGATGTAGGGCATGGCCTCATATCGGCAGGATCACAGTTGAAAGGAACGGACTCAGAACTTGTGTTGTGGGACACAAGGAAACTAGATGGGCCTCTACGCTCTTTCATTGATTCTCATAATGATGATATCACTGACACAAAATTCCATCCTACCAGAAAAAATATACTGTTGAGTGGCGCAACCGATGGATATGTCAATGTTTATGATCTCGAAGTTATAGATGAGGATGATGCACTATTACAATGCATTAACTACGCTAGTGTACATTCTGCTGGGTTTACTACAGAAAATAGAGTGTATGTTTTGAGTCATATGGAGACTTTTTCCATGTTTGATCTTAGTTCAAAAGAAGATATTGATCCTGAATCTGTGAGTGAAAGCTCCTCACCAAGGAGCAACACTCAAAAAAGGGGTGACAAAGATTTTGGTGATATAAGAGAAGCTTGGGATTGTGAATACGTTATCGATTTATATTCCCCTGGGTATGTTGCTTGCGGATCAAATTCCAAAAATTTACTGAAGATTTTTCAGTTTGATGCAGAGAAAGAAGATTTTGATCCTTGTAACGCACAGCAATTGGTTTTTGAGGGAGGACATGGAGAAGAAGTTGTCAGAGATATTGCTATTTACAACAGTACTATCTTCAGCGGGGGTGAAGACAACGTTGTTTGTGCTTGGAATGGTGAAGGTTTCAAAGATACAGAGCATACCTTTTTCCACGAAGAGGCCGATTATTCTGCAGCAGCAGCCACAGCGGCAGAGGTAGAGCATGAAGAAAAAATGGATGTTGAGTACGACGTGAAAAGAAACAAGCATAGAGATGAGGAGAAAAGAAGGATACACAAAAAGTACAAGAAAGATACAAAAAATAAGAAACAAAGATTTAAGCCGTATTGATTCCTCGCATTTCTTCTTCGATGCATTCTCATTTGTCAACCTTATAAGCAATATAGCATTAAGCCGCTTTGCATTTATCACACTCGTAAAGTTGAGAAATCATTTACGTCTAGTAAAAATAAATATCTTTAGATGCTGTAAACAATTGCGAAATAAACATTAACACTAGTAAGAGGATTTAGGGAATACATAAGTCGAAGCTAAAAAAAGGTAATTTTTGAAATATTCATTTAAACGACACCAGGAAACTTTCTTTCAAAACGCTTTTCCAGAACTTCCAGATCATCGTCCAGAAAAGTTTCGCTTCCCAACTTTCCTGGGCTTTTCAAATATTCCGGCTTCTTCGGCTTTGGTGGAGGTGGCGGTTTCCTCTTCCCTTGAACAACAGAACTAGATAAACCAGTCGATTGTTTACCTGAAACTGTGCTGGTTTTGTAGTTACTCCTCTTTACTTGTTCTTTACTGACTGGCACAGCCGTCACGACCTTCTCAGGATTGTATATTGCACCCAGCGACTTTGCATGTCTTGGAATACTAGACGGCGGCAAGGAGGCTCTCGGCATGATCAGCTCTGCGCTTGTTGTTATTGCACTTTTAACTGACTCTCTTTTTCCATCATCTGTATATTTACCGTAACCTTGAGCAGTTTTCACAGGAGGCGGTGATGGACTTCTAAACAAATTCTTGACTCTAGATTGGATGGTGCTACTTCTCTGTGAGTTCCCGGTTTGAGAAGAAGATGCGGGTTTGGATGGCGATGCTAGGGATGGCATATTGTTGATACTGACTTTCACAGGACTTTTTGTAAACTTTTGCGTTGTCTTGGATTCAGGAGACATTTCTTGTAAATCTGACAGAGAGCTATTCATATTCTTAAACTTTTGATGGCTATCAGTCAGTGAATCAATGCTACTGTTTCTCTTATTTGAATATGTCGAGGATTTACGAGTAGAATTTGATCTTGACGGCTGAGATGCAGGGACTGTACTTGTGTGCTGTGATTTTGACGAGCCTCCAGTCAACAGGTTCTTAATCGATGTAATGCTTGATCTCTTTTTAGATCTCGATGGATGTCTACTACCGGAATTATTGTAATGTGATGAGTTGGTATTTTGTCTTGATATAGACTTGAGATAGTCTACAGAACTCGATATTGATTCACTTTCGGCCGGAGGTGACAGATTGACTACTTCTTCATTTGATAATTCGTTCATGAAGTTTTGTATATCCAAACTTTCACGGCTACCCTTTCTATTTAAAGATGAGTTACCGTACATGGATATTGGACGCCTTGATGATCTGACCTTAGGTGGCACAAGTTCTTTAGGGCTATCAACAGGAGTGTTTGTTATTCCGTTGCGGCCCAAGTTGCGGCCCAAGTTGGAGTTTATTGCATCTTTCAAACCACTGTACTTGAATGCAGATCCCTCAGCTCTACCAGACAGAGAATTGTTTACACCAGTGACAGAGCTTGGTACAATTTTGGGCCTAGGATTTACAGTACTCATATTGTTGAAACTGGCAACCGAGCCAGAAGGTCCTGTTTGCATGGAAATAGGGTGGTATTGGATGGAAGGAGCTTTCTGTATTACAGGACATGGAACACCTCTCAATTTAGAAATCTCGTCTAGCAGCTGAAAGGTATTTGGTCTCAAAATGGGATCCACAGTTAACAGCTTAGCAATTACATTTTTCAACCTTGCACTATATGGAGGCAAGGAGGGAAAGGAGTAGATCCCGTTAATGATGGCATAGTCTCCTCCGTATCCGTTCACATTTCCATTGATGGAATTCTGCTCAAAAGGTGTAGTATAATAGCACAATTTGTACAAAAACACCCCTAAAGCCCAGACATCTGACTTTTCGTCAATTGGCTGTCTTTTGTATAAGTCTAACATTTCTGGACATCTGTATTGTGGAGTTGTATTTTTCATTATATCATCTTGAATTACTTGGAATTCTTCGACATTGGTTGGAGGATTTATTACCAAGGACACGGAACCGAAATCGCAAAGCTTGTAGGTGCCATCGTCCCCAAGCAAAACGTTTTCAATCTTGATGTCCCTGTGGATCAAAGGCGGATTAAGTGCATGCATGTGGGCCACGGCTTCGGTGATCTGTTGCACTATCACCAAAATCTCTGGCTCTGTCAATTTGTTCACCAATCTGGTGTTCATAAAATCAATGAGTCCCTTGCGGGAACAGTACTCCATGAGAACGAAAACCTCATATCCGGCTCCATTACCACTATTTGACCTGGCGGCATGCGAGTCAATGTATGAAACGATGCAATTAATCCCTTGTAGCTTTCTCATGGCATCCACCTCCTTTCTTAAGGTGTTAAGTGAGCCTTTGTCAGGAACATTGACTCTTTTCAAGCACGCTACCTGCTTGTTGTTCCACGGGGGAGAAATAGTGCAGGTGTAAACCTGAGCAAATCCACCATGGGAGAAGTACTTGTTGACCACCACCTTATGGGAACCGACAGTCAGCTGTGTGCCAGGCTGGTAAAGGTCTGGTTGTTGCTGGTTGTTCATCCTGGGTAGTGTGGGTGCTGCGGCGTAATAGGGTTGTTTTCCTGTACTGCCGAGGCTGCTGCTGTTGCGGCTTCTTCTTGCACTGATGTACTCCACGGCCCTTTAAGATAGCTGCCAACGACAAGCAATTCCCACAGGCCATCTTCTCCACACGGGCATCTGATCGTTAGGGCCAGCAGTGCCGGGGTCAGGTCGTTGCTGCAGAGCTTCAAGCCTTCACGCGCTATAAGGGAAAAACAATAAGACGTTTCAGCTAGCCTGGCCTATTATTGCCTGTGGGTATACGTTCTTTACATTTATATGCGGGATACAAGTGCCTGTATATGTGTGAAGAGGTGTTCGGGGAATGCTGTGGTTAGTCGAGGACAATTGGGTCGTCTGCGGCCCCCTCACCGCTCATGAAGACCGGGGCCGCAGGGCTCTCGTAGTTTTGCGTGGTGAAAGCTCCAGGACGGAACACTACTACTCCACGATGCGGATTCGGGTCCTTTATGAAAGCACCACCATGGTTGTTAATGCTGTTGATACTGGTACTGTACGGCCTATAGCTCTCGACGGTTTTTTGGAAGAGCGAGCCGGTGTTGCCACCAAAGTGGACATGCGCAGGAGTCGATGTGGGAGTCGGGGTTGGGGCTGGAGTAGGTGCAGTAGCAGATGAAACGGATGCAGGAATGGGAGGGGGTGTAAAAACCGGAACCACCTCAGGAGCGTGTATGGGTGACGTATCCTTCGTAGGTACCGCAGGCGTTGTGGAAGAAGTGTCGTCTTCGTTCATAAATTCGGCCTCAAATAACGCATCGATCTCTTTCATCATCTCCTCTTCCGTAGTTTCTGGGTTGTTGGCCTGGATCAATGGGCCAAGGGTATGCATCATGGTCTCAGAAGCAGTCGCTCCAGCCACTTGTCCATTTTCTGCTTCAGCGTAATCTCCAGCGTTGTCCTCTTCATCTGAATCGAGAGTCACAACCTCCACATTATGTCGTGTTTCTTTGTGTGAGTTTGTGTTTGCGTCCTGACTTCTGCCTTCGGCATTTTCCTCACTAATGTCTCCAACGCCGCCACTTTGCGGGGTAATTGAGTTCTCGTGAGTGGCTCCGTTGCGATGACGTAGCATCTCATCGTTTTCGTCTTCCCGGATCCAGCGCCACTTTCCCTTCTCTGACATGTCAATCTCTATATCCTCGACGTTCTCGTTATTATCTTCCAGCGACAAGTCTTGCAACATGTCAACAAACTCCCCCACTACGTAAACGTCTCCTATTCGCTTGATGTTAAACTCAAGCTTGCAGATGGGGCAGCAGAACCACTCCAAGTCATTCATCTGCTTGCTCTTCTCCTTAAACATCTTTTGCTTCGTCTTATAGGGGAAAGATTGTGTCATCTTGTTGTGGTCTTTAACATCTATCACCCTTCTATTGGTGTCTTCCAAGATCTTCATCACATCAACCTCGCCAACTCTAGCGGGCTTGTCGGAATATCGTTGGATGGCAATCCTGAAGGGCCTCAAATTGTACATGGCCAAAAAAGATTCGTAATCGAAACACTCCACGTGTGAACAGTATTTGGAGCGGAGGGGGGTGACCATTCGCAGACCCGAAAGGGGATCTTTCAGAGATAAGCGCATATATTTCTCGACGATATCCTCATCGTCATCATCTTCAGCAGAAGCTAGCGCAGGAACAGGACCAGCAGCAGTGTTCGTCTGATTGGCCAGTTGCATTTTTATCAGACTCACTAAGTCCATGGGTTGGGCTTGAGCTTGAGCTCGGTTGTGGTCCAGAGCAGCAGGCGGAGGCTGTGGCATTTTCACCATAAATCGTGAGTACTGGGGCTTAGGCCTTTTCTTCATCTTTGGCCGGACGGGCTTCACCGCCTTGGCCTTTGCCTGCAATCTTTTGCTGACTTTCCCGGTGGTGGCTTTTTTCGATACAGGGGTCAGTTTGTCTTGATTCAGTCGCTCGATTAAAGTTGTAGAAAGCTTTAACCGGACGGAATATGAGCCCGGTGCCTCCAGAACCTGGACGGAGGGAGAGACCTCTACGAACTGGCCTGGTGTGTTTCGATCCACCACCCCTTTCTCTATCTCCGAGAAGCTTATATCGTCGGAAAACGTATCATCTAGTTGTTCTTTTCGGGAGGAGCCAAGCCGCTGTGCTATGCTCTGGCCATGCAGTGGCTCCTCCTGTGGCACCAGGGCACCCACCAGAGACTGCGAGGTATCGTCGGCGCCACCGACGGCAGTAGGCACTGCATCCTGCGATACTATTCTGGTTGTCTCCTGCGTGTCGTCCTTGCCCTCGGGCCCCAGCACAAGTGTCTCTGCATCGTCATTGTCGTAGCTGCTGTCAGCCTGCGTTTCGTTGTTCTCCACTGTGCCCGGGGAAGCCGCCGGTACCATTTCCACCGGGTTGCGCAAACCCTTCAACGAGATCTTCAGCTTGAGTTTGCCGTCCTGGCTTATCTCATAGACTCGCCCGTTCCCTCGCTGTTTCGACTGCGTTTCCACAGGCGTCTGGGACGGGAAGAAATCTGTCTGCCGCTGGTTATCTGCAAAGAGCCTGGTTGGCAACCCCTGTTCCAGCGCCGACACTTCGTCTGCCGGCGAGGCGATATTGGACACTGAGGCGTCGGAGGGACTGTCGGGAAGGTCTGTGTCTATCTGCGAATCGGAAGAAACTTCCATGATGCATTGCAGGCAAGGTCTGGCTTTGTTCTGGCAATGAAGTCTGCTTAAAAGGGCTGTTCCGGCACAGCGGCATCCGTCGGTCTTCCTTCTGAACCGGGCCAGATACCAGATGAGGGTAGTACTATCATGTATCGAAACGGCCCGTGAAATCTTTTAGCCGCTTTAGGGCGGGAGGTCCAATCGACGCGTCGGCCACATAAACTGGCGAGAACGGCTTCGGACGAGCCTGTGGGAGAGAAAGCCCTTCGTGGCCGAGTGGTAAGTTTCAGCTACAAGGGGCTGCGATGGGATGACGGAAAGGTGGAGAGTGTGGGTGTAGGGCAGTGTATTGGAGGACAAGACAGAAAAGGAAGAGACGGAAACAAGGTAGAAATGAAGGTACAATTCCTAGCATCGCTGTTGCTATCAGTGTGCGTTTTCTCTGCCGGTGTCGAGGCGCATGTGCACAACCACAATGCTGGAAGCCAGCGGGTGTTGAAGGTCGAGGACAAGGTCGTGGTCGGGAAGGACAACAACGGTGAGCCAATTGTGATTGAGGAGCTCACAGAGGGCATTGGAGAGGTGGCTGCAGAGGTGGAGGAGGCTTCAGAGACCATGGTGACGTATGTCTTCAATAAGCTCTTTCCGTTCGGTCCTGCCGGGAATGCGCTGCTTGCGACAACGTACATCTCCGGGCCACCAAACTTGATCTTGGCTTTGATTCCGTCGGACATCAACGTGTCGTCGTTGAGCTTGTTGGTGAGCTTTGCCATTGGTGGGCTTTTGGGTGACGTGTTCATGCACCTCTTGCCGGAGACATTCACGGGCCAGTCGGTCGACCTCGTTGTTGGCGACCAGGTGTACGTGCTGGTAGACAACCGCAAGAACGTGCTGCTTGGGATCGGCATGTTTGTCGGGTTCTTGCTGTTTTTCGGGATTGATAAGCTGATGCGGATCATCGAGCACACGGGCAACGCAAGTGCCGGCGGCGCCAGCGGCCACTCCCACTCCCACTCCCACTCGCATGCTTCTGCGACCAGCAGCGGTCTCCCTGAGGAGAAGTCTGGGGAGCTGAAGCAAAGAGGGGCCAAGAAAGACGGCTCTGCGGCCACAGCCACAGGCGCCGCCACAGAAACAGAGGCGGTGATTGCCAACCCGAACGCGTCGATCAAGACGTCTGCGTACTTGAACCTCATCTCGGACTTCACACACAACATCACCGACGGCCTTGCCATCTCGTCGTCCTTCTACATCTCCAAGAGCGTCGGCTGCACGACGGCTATTGCCACCTTCATGCACGAGATCCCCCACGAGGTCGGCGACTTTGCCCTTCTCATCCAGGGCGGCTTCACCAAGTGGCAGGCCATGGGGTCGCAGTTTGTCACCGCCGCCGGCGCCTACCTGGGTACGTTCATCGGCATCGCGTTGCAGCAGAGTCTCGAGAAGGACCGTGCCGCCGCCTCCGCAATGGCCTCCTCTCTCGACTCCTCGGCGCCAAGCGGCCTCTTTGGCACCAGCCTCTCCTACGGCGACATGACGTTGCCCTTCACCGCCGGCGGGTTCCTCTACATCGCCTTCAGCGTGATTCCAGAGCTGCTCGAGACCGAGGAGGACACAGACCGCAGCGCCGAGCTCGCCAAGTTCGCCAAACAGCTTGTGTGCATGTTCCTGGGCATTGGCTTCATGGCCTTCATTGCCCTCAACGATTGAGTAATATCATTAGCAACGGCCACTGCAACAACAGCAAAAGCAGCTGAGCACGATTTACAGACAGGAAGATAGATAAATAAATTTCGAGATCGAGAGGTGGTGTGCTGCCTTTCTGGGAAAGGGGGGCGCGGGAAGTCCGAACGGGAGAAGGAGAGGAGGAGGCTCTGTGGAAAGTGGGTGTGTCGGTTAGGATGATCTCCAGATCAGGCCTGAGCAGATGGGGACACAGATGGCGGTGGAGGCATCAGGGAGCCAGCAAAGGAGCAGAAGAGACGGATCAGAGCTAGGCTTTCGAGCAGAGACCTGCAGACCACGTTGTGTAACTGATTTAGTGTGTAATCTCGCCAGACAGATAAGGAAAAGCGCTAGATCGGACGACACGATAAATGAGCACGGGCTACCACGTTTTCAAATGGTGAGTGCATTGCGAAGCAGACAGACGAGTGGAAGACGAACACGAATACTAACTAGGCTTTTCATTGTTTTTTCCCTGTGAGTATAGGCCGACGGTGCACGCAAACGAGGTGTATGTGAGCGGAAGCTTTGACGGTTGGACGAGCCGGCACCGGCTCGAGAAGGACCGGGAGCAGGACTGTTTCCGGGTGCAGTGCCGCATCCCGAGGGAGAAGAAGGTGTACTACAAGTTCATTGTCGACGGAGAGTGGTACACCTCGGAGGAGGACACGACGGAGAGCGACGAGCACGGGAACGTGAACAACGTCGTGGTGTACCACGCTGGAGATGGGGACGGCGATGGCAGCAGTGGCGACACCGACGCCGACGCTGCGGTGATTGTGCACGACTCGGACGGCTCGTCCGAGTTCACGTCGATTTCGCATCCCAACAGCGAGACCCGGTGGGAGGAGATCCAGCAGGAGGTGGAGGCGGCGAATGCCGCCGGGGACGAGGACGCGGAGGGGGACGAGGATGAGGACTTGACGTCGTCGGTGCAGATCACGCTCAAGGACACGAGTTCCGTGACGGCCAGCATCCAGAGCCGGACCACCCCGAGCACAAAGCTGACCGTTCCGAAGCACGGCGACTCCTTCATGGGCCGGCTCCGAAGTATCTTCCACAAGTGAGCGAGATAGCCCCAAGCATACCACCTACTACCAGTCAGTGTAACACTACTATTCTTCTATGTACGCGTATCTATCCGGCTATCCACTGTTCTATATCGCTTCTGTCGTGGCGGCGTCGCCCGCGTCGGCGTTTGAAGACGCCCAGGCGGCAAACGCCAGAGCCCGCTTCGTTAGGTTGGCAAAGTTAACCCTTGTGTCCAGGTAGGCGTAGGATCCCGTGCCGGCGTGGTCGGCAGCAGTGTTGGCTGCGGCCACGTCGATGGCACGCAATGGGTGCTGATCGCCGCTCCCGCCAGCTGTTCCTCGTCGCGTGTCGACGACCCACCGGCCGTCCTTGAGCACCACCGTCGCCGGGGCAGCGCACACTTCGGCCGACCTGAATAATGACACGAGTGTCGCCGCCAGCACCAGCACAACGCCACACGCTAGCTCCAGCACAACGTCCATCGGCAGCGTCTGCAGCGTCTGCGGCGTCTGTGCTGCCGAGAATCCCTCACCGACTGCCGTGTTCTCGGCGACGATGAAGGCCAGCTGGTTCAGCTCGTGTCTCGAATACGCGGCGTTTGCCAGCAGCATGAGCCCCAGCACGCGTAGTCCACCTGCAAGAGATATCATATGTCTATCTATCTGCGGTAGCTGCTGTTGCTGTTATTGCTCTCCAGACCAAACCCCCCAAACCCCCAAACCCCAGACCAGACCCCCGGCAGGGCCCTGGTCATGACCCACCGCCGCCGATTCATGTTGCCTCGCCCTTCTCGACCAGCGCGGCCCGACAACGATGACCCCCGAGCTGTGATGACCTCCCCGGCCGAGCTGTCTGGCCCTTCATACGGCCTCTGTCTTTCCCTGCTCGGTCTTCTGGGCTGCACCGTATCTTGTCTGGAGGCTTATCGTGACCGCCGGCGGCAATCCGCAGGGTGTGCTTCCTGGATCCTACGACGACCGTTGCCGTGTGCAGCACGAGCATATTACCAGCTCCGTGCCCGTGCCTTGCCTGCTCCATGCGTCCGCCAACTGCCGCCGTAGCTAAGGCGTTTGGCCTCGTGTCGCTTCGGACATGACGCCAGGGACGGCCACACACCCCGTAATCTCTCTCCGGAACATTGCTGTTCCCTTTTGGGACGCCCTTTCCACCGATGCTACTACACAACCGCAACGTTGGCTGACTGGCTGGCTCCCCGTTTCCGTTCCCACACGCAGACATGGTCCTTTTTTGCTCGTTCTGCTCCTGGACCTGCTCCAAACACCGTTTCTACCGTAGCCGTTTCGTTTGCTATATATAAAAGGCCCTGACGTGCTGCCCTCCTCACGTTGCCCCGCTTGCAGGCTCTTCATCCGCAACTTCTCTTTGCTACCACGCAGACATAGAAACAACAACACAGAGCCAGCACATAATCATCTACACCAATGCTTTCGGCCACACGTTTAGACCTTCACTCCGGCTTTCATGCCGCCAGCATGTCTAAGTCGGTCATCAAAGGTTGCCTCAAGACCGTTTTGGCAAGAAATATCTCCACGACCAAGTCGTCTTCAACCACCGTTCAGCTCCGCGATGACCTGCACAACACTCAAACTCCTGCCAAAAGAAGCTTGCCTCCGGCAAATAACACCAGCTTGATCCGCATGACCACTAAGGAGGAGAAGAAGGAGGGACCCTTCTTGGTCAAGTCGGTGTACGAGCACCCGGGCTACTCCAAGGAGGACATGCACGCCGTGAAGTACGAGCATCGCCCCGTACAGAGCTTTAGGGACGCCATCACTTTTGGATTCATGGTGGGGCTAAGACGCTCTTTTGACCTCTGCACCGGCTACATCGAGCCCCGGGACGAGAAGCACCAGATAGAAATCGGTAAGGGCCCTAACAGAATGACCGTCGAGAAGTGGTTGACCAGAGTCATTATTTTGGAGTCGGTTGCAGGCATCCCCGGCGCTGTCGCAGGCTTTTTGCGTCATCTGAACTCTATCCGGATGTTCAGAAGAGACATGGCTTTTATTGACACCTTGTACGATGAGGCGTTCAATGAGAGAATGCACTTACTCACTTTCTTGAAGATGGCCAAGCCAACAATCTTCACCAGAGCTTTGTTGTGGGTTGGCCAGGGGCTTTTTGCCAATGCTTTCTTCATGGTTTACTTGGTATCTCCAAAAACCTGCCACAGGTTTGTTGGCTACTTGGAAGAGGAGGCCGTCAGCACCTACACAAGATGCATCCGTGACATGGAGCTCGGACTCTGCCCAGAGCTGGAGCAGCAGCCTGTACCACAGATCGCCAAGGACTACTGGAACATGGGCGATGACGCTACTATGTATGATCTGATCCAATACATCAGGGCCGATGAAGCAAAGCACAGAGAAGTGAACCACACCTTTGCCAACCTCCAGCAGAAAGGGGAGGACAGAAACCCCTTTGCTTTGACCATCGAGGACGACCCAAGACCACAGCCTTCCCGTACACTCAAGAACCACCATGCCAAGGGCTGGGAGAAGAATGAGTTGATCCTCTGATTGATGACTTGCTTCCAGTTACCTATGCATTTCTTTGCATTTCCTTCTTTCCCTTCCTTTTCCGCACAGAAGCTTCCTCAGATTTTCTATGTGCATCCTGTGGGAGTCACTCCTCTCTTTCTACCATTTATTTCTCTACCGACCGACGACTTATGACCATGACCTATACATACTCGATATATAATCCAGATTTATACACTAAAGTTCCCCGACACGAATAATCGCCAGAGTCCGAAGTCCGAAATCTCCACGCCCCGGGCCTGCACCGGCTTGATGACGTAAGCCGGCGCTGCCCGTTGGTGAAAAAGAGTCATTTCTACCTGGTGAAAGAAGGTTGACTTCTTCCTGGTTCTCTTCGACGTTCCATCTTCTGTAATTCTGGCCTGCAGTGGTCGTTCTGGTGATACGTCTTTCTGCAGCCTTCCTTATAAATCAAGTACCCTCCGCCATGCTAGCTGCTTCCAGAAATACTGCCAGAAGAGCATACTCGACTGCTCCAAAGAGCTTGACCATTGGCCTGATCCCTGGTGACGGTATTGGCCGTGAAGTTATTCCAGCCGGTAAACAGGTGCTCGAGGCCTTGCCATCCCAGTTCGGCCTGAAATTCAACTTTGTCGACTTGAACGCCGGTTTCGAACTTTTCAAGAAAACAGGCACTGCTCTTCCAGAAGATACCGTCGAGGCCTTGAAGTCTTCCTGTGACGGTGCTTTATTTGGTGCCGTGTCGTCGCCAACCATCAAAGTTGCTGGCTACTCGTCTCCTATCGTCGCGTTGAGAAAGAAAATGGGCTTGTACGCCAACGTCAGACCTGTCAAGTCAGTGGAGGGTATTGGTAGACCGGTAGACATGGTCATTGTCAGAGAAAACACCGAGGATCTCTACATCAAGGAGGAGAGAATATTCGAAAAGGACGGCCAGAAGGTTGCCGAGGCAATTAAGAGAATCTCGGAGTCTGCCACCAGACGGATTTCCAAAATGGCTTACGAGATTGCCCTACAGAGACAGGCTGTTAGAGACCTTGGTGCTGACTCCTTACACACCAAGCCTTCGGTCACTGTTGTCCACAAGTCTAATGTTCTCTCAGTCTCTGATGGCCTTTTCAGGGAAACTTGCAAGGCAGTTTATGAGGAAAACATTGAGAAGTACGGCTCCATCGACTACAAGGAGCAGATTGTCGACTCAATGGTTTACAGAATGTTCAGAGAACCTGAAATCTTTGATGTCGTGGTTGCCCCAAACTTATACGGTGACATCCTCTCGGACGGTGCTGCTGCCCTTGTCGGTTCATTGGGTGTTGTTCCTTCTGCAAACGTGGGCGACAACTTTGCTATCGGTGAGCCATGTCACGGTTCTGCTCCTGACATCGAAGGCAGAGGGATCGCCAACCCTATTGCAACCATAAGATCAACTGCGTTGATGCTTGAATTCATGGGCTACTCCGAACCAGCCGCCAAGATCTACTCTGCTGTCGACGCAAACTTGAAAGAAGACTCTATCAAGACCCCTGACTTGGGTGGTAAATCTTCAACTCAAGAAGTCATTGATGATATCGTCAAGAGATTCTAGGTGTCTATTTATTTCTGATCGTATATAGAGTATATTTGTCTACATTGTAGGATTCTAATTTTCGATTCCTGTCCATTCCTCTCCGTCATCGTCATCGTCAACATCATCGTCATCGTCATTGGCGTTATCACGCACTTCTTCCTTTTTACTCCCCTTGCTAACACCTTGATTCCCCTGATCTCTCTCAAAAGAGCACGCAAAGAAACCAATACCACCATCAACTTTAGGTATCGTTCTGACACAACCTTCTGCTAATTCTTCTTTATTACTCAAACCTTCAAAGGCGTCAGGGTGTCCTCTTCTTGGCCATGTCGGTAGAACGTCGGCTCTATTACTAACTTTCCACCCTTGTTGTTGGACATCTGGATCTTCCAGTAACTTTTTTACAACCCCTTCGTTTTCTTCATCATGTATCGAGCAGGTACTGTAAACCACTTGACGGACACCAGGGAAGCTTAGTGCATGCTTGACAATTTTGTATTGGAAAGAGCTCAATTTCAATAATCTTTCAGCCAGTTTTTCTTTTGCCTCCTCATCGCTGATCTCTTCCTGCTCGTCAAAGGCCCGTCCAAAGATCCCACTTCCCGAACACGATGGATCTACCAACATTCCCGTGATCTCAGGAAAATCAGCAGGACGTGTAGTTGTAAAGTCTGCATGATGGATAGTAATACAGTCAAGTCCTCCGGCTTTTTCACACATCATTCGAATAGTCTTTATACGTTTATTGTCCTTCTCGAACGCCACAATGGATCTTTTAGAGTTACGCAACAAAGAAGCCAAATGTGTTGTCTTATTTCCTGGAGCTGCACATGCATCAATCACTTTATCCTTGTCGGGCACGGGATTAAGTATTTGCGCCGGGAAACAGGATGCCCGATCTTGAATAATCAGTCTCCCCTGTTTATAAGCATCTGTAGAGGTAAGCTTCTCTTTTGGATGAATGCCGAATAAGTTGGGAATATATTCATCGTGATAGATTACCCCTGGAGACATAATCTCTTTGAGGGAGTCAACTTTCTTTAGATGTGAGAACTCTCGTAATAAAGACTCGGTATTTGTCTTCAACATATTGGTTCTGAACCACCTAACGGGAGTATCATCATCTTCAATTAACTCATCCAATGATTTTACACCATGCTTTATTTTCATTCTTGCAAGTTCTGCTTCTAATCTGGCTCGGTTCCTGATGATCGCATCCTTCCATTGATGTTGTTTGCTCTGAATACGTTTGGATTTCGAGAAAAGCAAATCATGAATCATTAATATAAAGATAGGCTCTGGTATTTTAGCCTTTTTCTCAAGTTGCATTATTTTAGTCTTCTTCATAATCTGTTGAATGAAAGGCTTGTACTTCAAAGTCGAGGAAACTAGTGCAAAAAGGTGCTTTGGATTTGATTTGATATATTTGGAATTGTTGCATGTGTCAAACACTCGGGACTGCAATGACCCCTTTTTTTGGGACGGCAATAAGAACTGCTGGGCATCTTTGTAAACTTGCATCTGAATCAAAAAGGCTCTGTTGTCCTTCCTTTATCAGGTTTTTGCAGTGGTATCCCAGGGTTTATCTTATTATCTCTGGCATCTGGGATCTTTTTGTGAAAAATTTGCGTCCCGATTGGGACACTACTTACGTAACCTCAACTCTAAATTTCAAAACAGACCGTCCTTGTGTCTCTTACCAAAAAGTTCCCATCTCTTTTCCTTCTCTCTAATTCTCCCTAAAGCCTCTCTTTCTTTGCTTACATCAAGTAGGTACTCAGACGTTTTTTTCTATTTTACTCTGTTTGAATTTGAACCGCTTTAGCAAACTTTGACTAATTATAATAAAACTTTTTTCCTCCTCGCAATTCACAATAGGCCCAGATCCACAGTCAATATTAGCAACACAAGCCAAATACAAGTACGAATATTTATCTACTAAGGGTTTATACTACCATGAATATAGCTACAGTGAACTCCACTAAAAGGCCTTTTGAGGGTGAAAATGGTTTGTCTGTTTCAGAATCTGCTGCTGATTCAAAACTTTTCTCAGAACCAACCAGTGCTACTACAGCTACCACCATCAAAACAGAAGAGTCTGAAGACCAACGCGTTTCCAATGACAACACGACTGATGTTATAATGACCGATGCATCAGCTAGCAACTCGTCCACTACAAACTATATTTCCAAAAACTTGTCCACGATAGAACCAGATATGATTGTGCCAGCAAGAAAGCCAAATCTCTCATATATTTTGCTCAAGACAGGCCTTGTTTATGATGTTAGAATGCGGTATCACGCCAAAATCTACACATCTTACTTTGAATACATTGACCCTCATCCTGAAGATCCTAGAAGAATATACAGGATTTACAAGATTTTAGCAGAGAATGGCTTAATTATAGACCCAAGCCTTTGTGGCTCTGATGATATTGGTGATTACATGTTGAAAATCCCGATTAGAGAAGCAAAAAAGGAAGAAATTTTGGCTGTCCACTCTGAAGAGCACTTGAAGTTTATTGAATCGACTCAAAACATGAATAAAGATGAGCTTTTGAAAGCAACAGAAAAAGGTGATTCTGTTTATTTCAATAATGATTCATTACTTTCAGCCAAGTTATCATGTGGTGGTGCCATTGAAGCATGTAAAGCTGTGGTAGAAGGTAAGGTAAAAAATGCAATGGCTGTTGTTAGACCACCAGGTCATCATGCTGAACCAGATGCACCAGGTGGATTTTGCTTGTTTTCAAATGTTGCGGTTGCTGCTACCTCCATTTTGGATAGTTATCCTGAATCTGTTAGGAAAATAGTTATTATTGACTGGGATATTCATCACGGTAATGGTACTCAAAAAGTGTTCTACAATGACCCGAGAGTCCTTTATATTTCGTTGCACAGATATGAACAGGGTAAATACTATCCGGGTACTAAGGCAGGTGGCGCAGACCAAGTAGGAGAAGACTTGGGAGAAGGCCTGAATGTGAATATCCCTTGGCCTGTTGGAGGTGTTGGCGATGCTGACTATATTTACGCGTTCCGTAAAGTTGTTATGCCAATTTGCTATGAATTCCAGCCTGATTTGGTCATCATTTCCTCCGGTTTCGATGCCGCCGATGGTGATGTTATTGGGGGTTGTCACGTTTCTCCTGCAGGATATGGTCAAATGACACACATGCTCAAAAGCTTAGCAAGGGGAAACCTATGTGTTGTATTAGAAGGAGGCTATAATTTAGATTCTATTGCAAAATCTGCATTAAGAGTCGCAAAAGTCTTGATCGGAGAGCCTCCCGAGGAATTGAAACAAATCAATCCTAAAATAGAATCCATTGAAGTGATTGATGATGTTATTAAAATTCAGTCGAGATACTGGAAGTCCTTAGGCCCAGGTTATACAGGTTTAGACTACAACCTACCATCAATTATGGGAAATTTTGATAAGTTGACATCGCAATCTCCTGATCCTACGTTTATTGAAGTTGCGAGTAAGCACGAGAGATTGAACGACGCAGTAAGAGATCACCAGAGAACCGCATTATTTGAAAAATACAACTTTAGTACTTTACCGTTGTTCATCGAAAAATTACCCAATACACAGTCCTACAATGCATCTACAATTTTATGTTCACCTGATATATATGAAAACGATAAAATTGTTATAATTGTTCACGACCCCTCACGTATTTGGGCACGTCGTGACCCAATAACCGGTGATTTGGATCCTGCGAACGCGGTTACAGTCGACAAATCGCTAGATTTCATTGAATGGGCTTTGAAACAAAAATGGGGGGTGATAGACATTAATATTCCAATTACAATTACGGGAAAAGATGACGCTACCTATAACAATATTAACACTTCTCAGGATATTCTTCTCTACCTGTGGGACAATTTTCTCCACTTTTTCAAGGCCCAGAAAATTGCTTTCATAGGAGTGGGTGAAGCTTATAACGGGATAATTCATTTATGTGGGCACAGGGATGTCAGAAAATTAGTCAAGGCTAGCATTAATTTTGTCGACAAGGCCACAGCTCTAAGAGCAGTCATCTCCACAATTGATGAATCAATCGTTGATTGGTTTTTTAGGAATTCCTTAGTTTTCACGAGCAGTAAGCACTCTTGCTGGGGTGATAAAGATACGGGAAACACTAAAAGGCCCAGAAAAAAGTACGGAAGAGTTCTTCGGGCCGATGTCGAAGGCCTAGACGGTGTGATAGACGAGCGATTTGACGAGGTATGCACCTTTATTCAAGAATCTTTAGAAGATTATGAGAGTGAAAGTGATTCTGAATCGTAAAATGGCTGGGCAGTGATGGCCTGAAAGCAGTCTAGGTCCTAAGAATGCCTTTCGACTTTCATACCTTACTATTTATAGAAATAAAAAAGAAAAACCAATTGTATCGAGAAAACATCTGGAGTCTGGATTTATGAATCTGGAACTTAATTTCTTCGGTTGAATTTCCCCTGTTTTTATGCCTGATGTTTTTCCAGGGACTTGTACTTTCTATGAATTATGGGTATTTAAACATCGATGATCTCAACCGATCAATGCTTCTGGGGGTTAGACTTCAACTACATAGTTATCAAGTACACAGATGTACTATAGGTAGCTCACAACTGAACAACTACAAAACCAAGAGAAACTGTCATGAAAGCACAATTCTTCGCAACAATTTTCACAGCGGCAGCTTCTGCATCTTCGGCGTACGCTGCTTCGTTCCCGAATATCACCACTAGATCAACTGATTGCGAAAGCTCCGTTAAATTGTTTGCAATTTCCGACGAGTTCGGTAAAACTGGAATTACTAATTATCATGAAGGAGCCGGCATCAATTATTTGTTTTTAACTGGTTCAGATTCCCCAGTCTACACTTATAATTCGTGCTCCAGTCAAATTTACGTCCCATTTGAAGAAAATTACAAGCAGTTTTTCAACGCAAATTCAAAGGGCGGAATTGTCCAGTTAACTGTTGGCGGTCCTGGTGGTAAGATTGACGTTAATGAAGATGAATACCTTACCCTTGACGGAGACGCTCACGGCTGGGTGGCTTGCAAAAATACCGGCGACCCCTACAATTATTCGCGAGACTTATATCAGTTGGCTTACGGTAACACGACTTTTGTTGGCTGCAAGAACATCCATATTCAGGTTGAATCCGAATAACTATGTTTTTTTTCAAACTTTTATACTTTAAAGTACGTTTTCTATAGCTTTATCAAAAGTTTTATAAATCATTGCGTCATTAGCCCTTCAACTACGTTGGCTTTGTTTTTCGTGGGATAGTAAATCCTAAAAGCGTTAAATATACAGTCGTTAATGATGAAATATACATGTAATAAAGCGTTGTCATTTTCTTTCGAAGGCAATGCGAGCAAGTGCATCAAGAGCACTTGTACCACCCATAAAAGCAGACTGTGAAAGGCTTTCTTGACCTTGCTGGGATCGCTGCCCTTGAGGTTGCTGAAGTTGCTGAAGTTGCTGAGGTTGCTGAGGTAGCTGAGATGGCTGAGATTGTCGAGAATGGTGATAAACCGAAACTGAATTATCAGGGTCATGAATACCCATCTTCCCAGGTGAGTTCATAATGTTACTAATATTCGGCTTGAATGGAGTGGTGCGAGTAGTACAGTCAGGTTGACGGATATCGGGAGTGATACTTTCAAATTTATTGTTTGGCTGAGCATCTTCACTGTTCAGCAAATTCATAATACTTGGTCCCCTAATTGTAGGTGGAAATTGAGGTTTTATGTGCTGTATCGGATAATGCGCGTTTAGTGGCGGGAGTTGTAAGTTAGACTGCTGCTGAGGTGGAGGAGGAGGTGAAGTGTGTTGAAGAAGTGAGCCAGTACCTGAATTCAGCAAAGAGCTCATGTTCATAATGCCATTTCTTGCAGGCATTACCGGCATGGGACCTTGCGAAGGTATAGGTGGTCTTGGTCCAATTGGATTCACGTCGGTAACATAAGGAGCATAAAGTGGAGCAGTCTGGCCAATAGGAACAAAATGAGGCACATGCTGCAGCCTGCTAATATCATCCTTATCATTTAGTATATTTACAGGTGGTTGTTGTGCAACAGGCAAAATTTGATGAACATTTGAATAGTTTGTAGCATAGGATGTGGCTGGTTTATAAAAATATCCCATTGAAGGACGTCTTTGCTGTTCAGTTTGTAATGCATTATAGTCATTGCTATCGATAGGGTGCACGTTATTTTGTGAAGGTCTGTTGATCGCAAGGAAAGACTGCCAATCAGGATGCTCAACCAATCCTCTTTGATAGTAGTTTTTCACCATTGTGGCTGATTTGGTTCCAAGCTCCTCAGCAATGTCTTCCCACCTTGATCCGAATTTTTCCAAGAGTAATGGAAAATTGTTTATATCATGAACACTCCAGTAACTAGAAATATGAGACTTTTCTTCGTCCTTCTTTTTGTGTTTCTTGTTTTTTCCAACAGATTCATCGATATTAAGCGGGACATGATCCGAAACATTTTCAACTTTAGGATGATCTTCCAAAGATTCATTAACATAACTTACGTGACTCAAAGTACTCGAAATATCTGCATTGGACTGATCCTCAAGTTTTACTTCTGATTCACCATTTGAAAGCTGGTCAGGTTTGCTATCGTCTAACAGAACGTTCTCATTTGAAGATGGTGCTAGTGGATTGCTGGTTTCCAAAAGTTTCCTATGCTTGGTTTCCGGAAATTCGACATCTTCTAGTTTCCTTTTGATAACTTCGTCTTTTGGTAAATCGGTGTCCTGCACTTGAACCCCTATGATATTAGTAGTATCTGGACTCTTTGAATTATCCATGGAGACATCATTCTCAACATTTGATGTATCAGGTGTTGCTGCATCACCCTTTGTTTTGGAATCTTTTTTCTTCTTCGCAGATTTTTTCTTCGACTTTTTGTTTTTATTAGCAACCAGCTGTTTATAATTGGTGGTCTTTTTTGTTTTGTAGTAGTGTAAAACACATTCCTCAGAACTCCGCAAACCACCCATGTCATGGGAAATGCGGCCAAATTTCTTGGGATACAAGGTGTAAAGATCACAAAATTTAGCATGCTCCGCATCAGTAAAGGTATCAACAGGATCAGTTAATATACGTTGGGCCCAAGCGCTCTTATTTCTGACTAAATTGTTGGAATCCATTTTTCTAGTCAAGGCATATTTCTCAATAGGATCCAAAATCATATCAGGAATTATTGCCGCACCATATTGTGCCCTGATTAGCGGATCTCTTTCCCTTTCTTGTTCCAAAGACGCCAAAATTTCCATGAATTCAGCTTCTGTCCGAACAGAATCACCATGGTGTCTACTTCGACGAGAGCTAGTAGTTTTTGAGGAGGTTTGCTCCTCAATTTTGGGTTTCTTGGTGACATCATTTTCAGATTCGTATGCTTTTTCCAGTTGCTTATCGTAAAAAGCAACGTCCTTTTGCCAGAGAAATTTGGAATATACGTAATGCTCCGTGAGTTTGGCCTTTTTATCTTCAATCAAAGCTGCATTTTCCTTTAACATGTCGAAGAGTATGAAGGCATCAGCTTGCTTAAATATCAAAAAAGCCTTATCCAAGAAATTGTACTGGGATAGACTTTTCAATTTTGACCTGTTCAGATACTTGAGATTTTTTCTTCTTTCAGACTTTGGTCTGTGTTTCAACTCCCAAGCTCTATACTGATTTTCAAGCATTGGAAAAATGCATCCTTCACATTTTGCATGCTCATCATCACTTGATTCATCTGCCTTTCGAACATAATTAGCTTGATTCCTATCCGCATCTTCAGCTTTTGTGTTACCGATGTTTCTCTCTCCCGAACTACTAAAAAAGTCAATTTGCGAATCATTGTTTTTTATTGCACTATGTGCGGATGAGTGTGTGTCTTTTTCTTCAGAAGGAAAAACATCCTCTATTGCTTCAGGCTGAACATCTTTAACAGTATGTTCGGCATCTATCATTGCTGATTCAGGAGTGCCAATATTTTTAACAGATGTCTCTGGTGTTCTTTCTTTGTCATTAAGTGTTTTTTTATCAAAACCATTATCAAAATCGGACGACAAAGTAGCTGGCTTATCAGCCATACTAGCAACAGTTTCATCATTAACCTTGCTGATACTTTCGACTTTGATTTCAGCTATTTTCTCTTCATTATTGTCAGCGTCCATGTCTACCTCATCTAAAGCATCAGTTTTATCCTCTTTGTCCACAGCTTTATGTTGATCTTCGTTTTGCGGCTCATTATTGGCAATAAAGCTTGTTGACTTCTCTATACTGCTTTCCGTGTATTTTTCTGAAACGTCTGCCACATCAGAAATATCATGATCCTCAGAATCGGTACGCGGTGGTTCCTGGCTACTGCTCTTTTCCGTTTTATAATTATTAGTGCCTATTACGGGGGTCTTCGAGTCCATGAGGGACTGCTTGCCTGACAGTGAGCCGTTGTGATTCTGCCGATAAGATTGGAACTCTCTATACTCTATACTGCTCCCATTGCTACCTTTTGGATAGTTCGTAAATTGACCATTGTATTTTGATTTACTGAACCCTGATTTCTTATGCGCTGGACCATTCAAATAATGATCATGCTGATACGACTCCATGTAACCATTGTAATCTGCATATCTGGAAGTTTGTTGCGGCATTAAGTCCTCTCTATAAGACCCGGGCACACTTCTTCTGCTCTGACCCGAGGCTGACAAAATGGAGATCGGGGGTCGATTGGTCCGATAGGTATTTGTTCTCTTGGGCTGTGATGTATGGTACCAGTTTCCAGTCGAGGTAGTCTGTGTCCTTGAAGAATATGAGGAGGGGGAGCTAGAAGCAGAAGTGGGTGAATTAAAAGTCTGAGGTTGCTGTGCTTCGGGGTTAGTTGAAGGGTTTGAACCGTCATTTCTTCGTGAGGAAAACGGATTTGATTGTGAAGATTGTGACTGAGAGTGTTGCTGCTGCGCTTGTGGGGAATTGGAAGAGGGTGGGAAAGGATTCGGATTCGATGTATAAGAGGAGTATGTGCTGTAATTATGAGGAGACGAGTAGTACTTTCGTGATCTCCTGGAAGTCTCATCTTTGTAATATCGCCCGCCACCTCCAGAATTGTGGTGCTCAACCATTTTCTGGTAGGAGAAAGCTGGAGGGCAAGGAAAGGTTGTGTGGTGGGTCGACTTTTCGTTTCAACACTGAGTGTATATACTCAGGTGATGCAAAAACTAGCTAGGGAAACTCGACAGGCTGCGGAGATTTTGGGAAGATCAGTGTTTCAATCAAGGCGGACAGAGCTGCACAACCAAAAGATAGGCAACACAAGTGGTAAACTGGGAAGGCTCGTAATTATATAGGTATCTTCCGCTGTTGTCTAAATGCCCCTTGTATTAACCTGAAAAAGGGAAAGACACAAAACAATAACCCGAGAGCACCTTGCTGTGCAGACACCTGTTGTGCTAGAGTCTATGTGTTGGAATTAGGCAAAAAAGAAACTGGTTTGGATACGGTTTAGCCACGCAGGTGTTGAACCTGAAGTTGCCGTATTTACTAATACATGGCCTTTCACTCTTCTGCTAACCAAAATTTAATTTTCTCCTATTTTTACAATTTTGCTAATTTAATACACCAGTTACCCGGTGTTTGTATTTTCAGCACCAAAGTCACGTGAATATTACGTAAAGCAGCAGTTTGTCATTTTTTCCCGATTGGGAAGTCAAATGGGCTGCAGATCCATTTCGTTCCCTGACGCGTTGCAGGTGCAAAAGACCGAAAGGGAAGGTGAGACAGGGGTGAGAGAGAGACAGAGGGAGGAAGAGAGAATCAGTTTGTTTCGTGTCTCATATTTCTTCTACTGAGCTTTCTGTTCAACCCTTCAATCCTCTTGTGAACCTCTTAGGTCTTGCTTCTTCTTCCTTCTCTCAATAAAGCGCTACACTATCGAGCTAAAGCAAATGAGCCTGAAAAGAACTCTCAATGTCCTTTATGATGGAAACGACAATTTCAATGACACCTGTGGTAAGAACGTAGAAGTCAAAAGACACAAGAAGGTGCAACCGCTTTCAATCTCAAACGATTTGGGTCTTCTTACGCCCCCGGTTACTCCAGAACATCTGGTGAAAGCGGTCCGGCTTTCCAACACATCGTTGAACTCTGTTTCGAAGAACTTGAATTTGAGTTTGGCTACAGAAAACGCCAAATCTCTCGAGCCAAAAACAGCCTCCCTGGCTCATTCACAAATCCTTCAAAGAAAACAGTCTCCTTACACAGATGCCAAGAACCTTTTCTTGAGAAGTTCGCAACCGCATTTCGATTTGAACTGCGTTTTGAGGGGCCGGGAAAAGGAGGCCAAAATACTTGACTCTTATATCACAAAATCTTTGGTGAGCCTAGAATCGGGGTCTATATACGTCTCTGGCCCGCCAGGAACAGGCAAGTCTGCTCAAATCAATGCAAGCATCAAACATTTACTGTCCAACGCCAAACAAAATAGCTCAAGTGATGGTAATGTCCATCAGATTGTGCTTGACGGGAACCTTGAGAGGAAAGTCCGGGTTATTAAGTTCAATTGCATGTCTATTTCAAACGCATCTGAACTATTAAAAGAAATCTACTACAAAATTTCGGGCTTGAAGTTCAACTCAGCAAACGGTTCTGCCCAATTGTCAAGATTATTCCAAAAGACGAATAAAAATGATTGTGATATGACCATTCTTGTCCTTGATGAAATGGATAACATTGTGAATAAATCCCAACAGTCTTTATTTGAACTATTTACTTGGGCTTCTAATCTGATTGACTCCGACACCAAACCGAACTTGCTGTTAATAGGGATTGCAAACGCATTGGATTTAACTGATAGATTTTTACCTAGACTGAGGGCTAATTGCATCAACCCAAAATTAGTTCCGTTCTTGCCTTACACAGCCGACCAAATCAAATCAGTTATTACGACCAAGCTATTCACCCTATTTGAAAACAACAAGGAAAATATTCCTGGAAAACACACATTGTTACCACCTTTAGTTCATCCTGCGGCAATTCAATTTTGCGCTAAGAAATCAGCTGTCACAACAGGCGATCTCAGAAAAGCATTTGATGTGATGTTCAAATCCATAGATCTTTTCGAAGAGAATCTACTAAAGACCAAAGACTTGAATGAACTTTTACGTACCCCAATTGAAAGTCTCCCAAAGGTGATGATTTCACAAGTTGTCAAGGTCTGCTCAGCCTCTTTCAACTCGAATTTCGAGCTTAAATTAAAACCGCTGAATTTGCAGCAAAAAATGATTCTTGCATTTCTGTTCAAGTTTGAAGAAAAACTAGAAACAGAAAGAGCTCAAACTAATAAAAATAAGGGCTGTAAAAAACTTTCCAATGCCATTTCCTTGGGATCATTCTTTGAATATTATTCTGAAAAGTGTAAAATATTCGACAACGTCATTACCCAATTAAAAAGAGCAGAATTCTTGGAAATTTTAAGCTCGCTTGACATACATGGTTTGGTTTCAATCAGTATGCTCAATACATCATCTTCTACAAAAACTTTACTTGCCAACAATGGAGTATCGTTGAATTTTGATAACTTCAAGGTCTCATCTAGTATCCCTAAGATGGAATTTTTCAAAACCGTCAACGAAAATATAGTGTTGAAGAGAATTGTGCACAGTAATTACTAGCATCGTCATCTTTTCTAAATATAATTGCATACTTTTTATAATTATAAACAATCTACATAGCATACAAAACTAATAAAATTAACTGTTCAACTAGCTTCTTGTCTTTTTCATGGTAAATGACGCTGGAAGGTATTATACTCCGAGGGAATGTGAAAAGGGAAAAAGGAAGGAAGGGTTAACAAAACAAATTATAAAAGATGAATTCTAGCATCTTTACAAAGAGATTAGAATATGCAGGCATGCATATTAAGTAGAACTAAAAATGAGGTTTCCAACTTTTGCAGATCTGGCAAATGTGTCACGCTCAAGTACAGGAGCCGTTTCAATTTCTTTGTGGAATTCCTTGGAGTAATTTACAGGATACTTAGGATTGGACCATCCCTTCGTGTCGTCCGAATCTTTCAAGAAAGAAGCAAATGGATATGTAGGCATAGTCTTCACTGGCGTGTCTTCTGTGATCAAACCTTTCTTTATTTGCTCATCAACCAGGTTGTTGAGATATGGTAGAAGATGGTCTCTAAATGATTGAAAGTTTTTGTATTTGCAAATGCTCTCTGGTGCTTCATATATGATCTTTCTAATCAAAGAAGGAACTAAAGGTTCATCTTTCATTTCATCAATAGAGTAGAAAACAGGATGGTTAGTGAAAATGATAGCTTTGCTTTTAGGCAATCTTCTTAATGTTTGACGTTCAACTCTAACATTAAATTGCGAAGGTAAAATGTCACTCTGAACTTTGTCGCCTTCTTTCAATGCATAGACATTGTTCAATAAGAGTTTGTGATCCCATGAAATGTACCAGGAAGCTCTCTCTACTAAATCAGCAGGCTTCATTCTGGAAAACCATTTTTCCATTGAAGGTTTCAACTTTTCTTCGTAGTATGGGACTTCAGTGTGGATCACATCTAAAGTTTTTCCCAACTTATACTTTATACCGAAAGAACCACCTGGAAAAGGAACTGCAGCAGCCACCAGTCTATGTGCACCATCTTCACCTTTTCTAACAACATAAAAGTCCTCCTTTGCCATTTTCGAAATGTAGACCAATGGGTTTTCCTTCAAAGGTTCTGAGAAGTCAAGAACTTCACCAGTAAGTTCGTTTTTAACATGAACACCGTTATCTGGCGTAGTGAAAAGGAGTGGGTATCTTAGAAGCATGTGTTCTTTTACAGTCTCCATTAACTCGAGGCATGCATCTTCAGACCCTGGTAGCGAGTCAAAGTTGTCAGGACCATATGTGTGGATAACTCTCTCCTTCTCTTTGATATAATCATAGTAGTATTTATCCATGTCAAGCCAGTGGTTGACATCAAGCTTGAAGATTGACATAGTCTGATGGTAAGGCCATCTGAATGGTCTCCATGGTCTGTCATCTCTTGTCTTAACTTCTTCGGGAGTAATGTTTAGAGGAGTAGGTAGAGGCACTGGCTCATCTTCTGAGGCACCATAACCCTTCTTCTTTGATTTGGGAGGGTTGTTTATGATGTCCAATGATCTCTTTGCAAAGTACAAGACAATCAAAACAACACAGAGAACTGCTAATAGTGAGTAGTGACTTGTAGTTACTGTCATTGCTTTTATTCTTGCTATATTATGTGCTATAGACTTGCTCTGCCGAAAACCAAGATGTAAAAAAAGAAGACGACACTATAAACATAGAAGTGCCAAAAGTATTAAATGTACCAAACTTTCTCTCAGAAGTTAGAAGCTGCCATTCGTTGGTTCCTAAAAATCTATTGACCGAAACTTAAGCTTACAGAACCTCCTTATATACGCTTTGTAAGTTCCAAAGCGAAGCCCAGCTGATACCGGCATAGGATTGCCCGATTAGGCAAAAAGGACAGCTCTCGCTGCGTTATCGCATTTTCTCCCCCATTGCTTACATTTTTGACGCTCCCCTATATACTATGCCAATAACCCGGCCCCAACTCAGGGTCCCTTTTGCATTATAAGGACTTACTTACGGGCCGTCGGAAAAATCGTGTGATAGTGGAGCTCGAGAAGTCTGTTTTCAAATCAAGAGGATCATATTCTACATGCTATATCATTAATCATTCTAATATTTTGCCACTGCATCAGGCCATTATGTCCTAAATCATGGAATCTGGGTCCAAGTTGAGAAGGTCGGTTCCGAAAAGGGCATCCATCAAATCTGTGTTCAAACTCATTGAGCTCAAAACATCGTTGATGTCAGAGCTCATCAAAGAAGTCTCCTCCGTGTTTATATTCCCACCTTCGCTACTATTTTGAGGCATACCAAAACCTTGAGAGAAAAGATTAGTGCTACTATTACCGTCCATGGAGTATATGAACGGGGTAAGTGGTGCATCTGTTTCATTCTCAGGCATATAAACATTTGGTGAGTATGATTTAAGGAGATCTGCTTCAGCTTTGTAGTTCTGTGGAGGGACCTTGACAGGCTTTTCTGCACTTGAAGATGTAGCTTTCAAGTCGTTGCTAACAGACTCTACAGGATGCGACTGGGCACGCTTGCTTTTGATGAAGTCAGCGTCCACTTTACTTACCTTTTCCCTTTCTGTCCCATAAGAAACAAGATCGGCATTATCTAGCGCGTTGCACTTAGAGCTGGAGCTCGCCAACATCTCGGTAGACAACGTCGACGGGACTCTGCTACTCCTCTTTCTTTTGTTTGAATCATACTTGTTCAAGTTGATTTTGAGTCTTCTATAACCTGTAGGAATACTGGTGACACTAGTTTTTCCGCTTTCATCCTTGCCCTCAATTTTCTTGACATTGCTGGCGGGTGCGTTGTATTTCTTCACTAGTGTTTGAATAATACCAAGATCCTCCAAAAGTGTTTCAATAATGTCCGACATTCTCTTCATTGTCCCGTCTATTTGATGCAAATTGTTCAAAACCAGCTTTCTAATGAGGTTAATCGACCCTAGAATTGCTTCAAGATTGATATTGTAATTTGAGTTCAAATTATTTAGGTCAATAATTTGTTTTGCTTTAAAGGGTTGAGATGATTTGAATAATATATAAGTCAGCGTTAGAACCATGATAGCATTATAGCAGTAGAAAACATCGTAATAAATGGTTCCGTTGAAAAAACCTTTAGAATCAGTGTAGCTGACTATCTCCGCCGTTTTGAATGAAGATCTGATACCGCATACGAGTAATGACAAAAAAGGATCATCATTCTTCACTATGTAATTATGCGAATTAACAATATGTAAAAACATTGGAAGAGTCAATGTGATGTAATAGTAATGATACTGAATATGCAACTTTGGCTTATACCTTTTGATAGGCAGTGATTTATAATCTTTCCAACTTTCCGGCAAATTGCTCCAAAAGCTTTCAAGCTTTTTTTTGAAGTAAAGTGCCTTTTCGATACTCACCAGCGATAATGGATCTCTTTGAGTTTTCTTTTTATAATCGAGAATTTCAAATATAATTTTTGTTAAATTGCAGCTTTGTAAATAGTATATTTTGAAATGTTCATCAGTCTCATCTTCAATGACAGGGAAATGAATATCAATCTCTTCCCATGGAATGGCACTCGCTCTCCCAAAAGAACAGCAAAGAGTTGTTTCGGCCTTAGCTAGGGACCATAATATCCTCTTCATGACATCAGATTTTTGGTCATTAAATTTATTGACTATTGATTTCCTATGCAATCCTAAACTTTTCGCTTGAATGGCCGCTAGCTCCATCAAGCAATAACCGCTTTCCCTGACCTTTATACTTGACAAATAAACAGAAAATAGAATTAACAAACGAATGCCATCAATGGAAGGTGTTAGCACCACATCTGATAGAGATAACTTTATTATATCAATGAATTTACCGATCATATCCTGATCAAGCACCGAATCCTCAGGAAGGTTTTCAGGATCTGCATATTGCTGAAAGCGTCTTCCTAAGATCCATACAGTATAAATTGTACAAATCTCAGCACTGCTCAATCTGGACAATGTATGTGATCTCTCAGTATCCTTGATTACATCTGAATCTAGTTCTTCCCAAAATATTTCATATTTGTCCATAAAGTGACTTTCAATAAAAATGAAATAGTATGGATGAACTTTTTCAAAAAAAACTTTGACGTATGCATCAGCTTCATTTCTCTCGACTATATTGATCAGAGGAAACCGGTCAACGTTTATGGTATCCAGGTTGTATAAATGTGTAGGGTATTGGTAGACGGGCACATTTTCAGAGGTGATAGTTTGCACCGAGCTATCACGGATATCTTGGGTAGATGTGGGTGGATTTTGCTGATTGTATGATCTTTTGATGATGATATCGCACAATCCGTTCAATAGTGATGCTGTTCCAAAATTTCCGATAAAATGAGTGTGACCGAATTTATCCATAATCAACCTGTCATTGTCTATGCTATTATTCTTGATTTTGATGCCCGGCGGCAGCTTTGAGAACACATTTTGTGTTAGCTTTTTATCCAAGAGCTTTGGATCATCCTTTGCATCTTGAGGTTGAGCGGGCGTAGCTCGGTACCTAGAACCTACTTCTTTCTCATTTTTGCTTGAAATTTTAGAGGTTGGAGTTTCATCAGCTGATTGTGTTTCTCCTCCTGTTGATAACGCCTTCTCAGCTGTGACTGTTTTTGACAAAATAACTTCATCTAATGCATCAGTTGCATCTGCGCTTGGAGTGCTTTCATAATCCCAGTCCTTTTCAGCATGATCACTTCCGTGTTCATGTTTCACATGAGATTGTTGGACTTCCATATGTTTGGTTTCTCTTTCCAATTTTTCAAGCGATTCCTTTTCGGATTTGTCTAATACTTCATCTACCGAGTCCATCGTTGGCATCTCCAATTTCAACTTATGGCCAATATCGATCAACTCCTCAATGTTGTAGACATCAGAATCGGGGAATAGTCCAGTCACCAGCGCTAGTAGACATTTGTAATGTAAGGCTATATTTTTCACAGGCCCGTAAAACCTCTTCTTTCTCGGTATCGACGTGGTACAAGAAACCCCTGCTTTTGAACACTGCAAACATGGAGTGATGTTATCATATTTCAAGTCGTTATTTTGAATTCTATTGCACTTCGTTTTCCTGAGTTTGCATCTGTCACAAGAGAATAAAGCACGTTTCCTTTTTTCTGACGGGACTAGCCTTCTCGTTGACTGTAGCCTGCTTCTACCTGCTCCAGACATGTGTCGCCTCGTGCTTGTGCCATGTATTTCTCTCTCTTGTTTGCTCTTCTTCCTGGTGTCGGACTACCCAGATTTCCCGACCCGGATGACTAAAGTGTCTAGAAAAATGTGGGGGGGGCAGTTACCCATTTGGTAGGAATTTTTACGGCCCGGCAATCGGGGAGCGAATTCCGCGGAATCATTGTTGTTGCAGGTCTGCAATGGGTAGACATGATTTCGTCAAGTTGTCACCATGAAAAAGATTTGAAAGACAAAATTTTGTTAGTTACGATGTAAAAACATTTGTCTTGTTAATCCAAAGAAAACTCGTTGGTATCATGAATGACCAAATCAAGGGTGCCACACCACTTTCTAGTGTGATCAATACGGTCAATACTATCATTGGGTCTGGTATCTTGGTTTTACCATATGCATTCCGCACGGATTCCATTTTCTTAGGGACGCTGATTATCCTCTTTGCTGGCCTGGCAAATGGAATGGGTATGATCTTGCAAGGAGCTGCCTCCAAGTTTCTACCCAGGGGCACAGCAACGTTCTTCACGGTGTGCAGAATCACATATCCGAAACTCTCTGTTTTGTTCGACTTTGCTATTTTCCTACAATGTTTTGGAGTTAACATCTCGTATCTTGTGTTAACGGGGGATTTACTTCCTCTAGTTTACACATTTGATGGGTGGAGTGCACACTCGATGAAGGTGTTTTACATTGCTTACTCAACGATCATGATCGTGCCACTATGTCTGATGAAGAAAATTGATAGTCTCAAGTATGCATCGGTTGTTGCTCTAGCTGCCATCGTTTACATCTGTGTACTAATTTATGGATACTTCATTGTTGCAATCTGTACAGACTACAAAAACATCCCGACCGAAAAGCTGGGCGGTATTTCTTACTTCAAGCCGCAAGGAATCAAGCCTGTGTTCAAAACACTTGGAGTCATTGTTTTGGCTTATACATGTCCGACCCAATTTTCGATTGTGTCAGAGTTAGAAAACCCTACCATGAAGAGGATTTGCAGCATCACCTATGTTTCTATGAGTATCACGGCGTTTATTTTCCTATCAGTCTCGTACGCGGGATATCTCACTTTCGGTAACACTTTGGCAGGGAACATTTTACTCATGTACGGTAATAATTTTTACACTCAAGCGGGCCGTGCGTTGTTGGTTTTGATGGTTATCCTTTCCTTCCCGTTGATGTTTCATCCGGCACGGGTTTCTTTTAACAACATATACCATGTTTTCAGTGAGAAATTGAGCAACAAAAGCGAAACAGCAGAGGAGGAGCACGCCAGGATAGATGAAACGTCTCCACTATTTGGATCTCATGAGCCAGATTCTGCGTTTCTAGAGCTTTCACATGAACTGGTAACATTGGGGCATGGAGTCGATGTTCCGATGTCGACCCAAAGATTCTACATTTTGAGTGCTGTCCTCTTGGCGGCTTCTTACTCTGGCGCATTGTTGTTGAACTCCTTCGAGTTAATTCTTTCTATTGTAGGAGCTACAGGTGGTGTTTTGATAAGTTTTGTGTTGCCAGGTTTTTACGGGTACAAGTTGATAGCGAGTGACGACGTAAACACCAAAAGAAGACTAGAATCTTGTTCTCCAGAGGAAGCCGATAACGGCTTATTTACGAGTCCTTTGTTGAAGAAGATTTCGTTATTCTTGATCGTTTGGGGCCTGATTGTCATGTTCATCTGTCTTTACTCTATTCTCTTCGAGTAAGAAAGGCAAAGTTGGTGTGAGTAAATAATTATTATGTAGTGCTATAAACCGCTTTTGTTACATTCAATCAGATCCATTGAGATGAAAAAGAGGGAAAAGAAAGATTAGAAAAAGAGGGGAGTAAACAGAAAATAAATGTATTTTTGATGATATGTGCATTTATGCCTAGTCTATGTTTGTGACTGTGTCTATGACTGTGTCTATGTCTATACCTTTTTTTCTGTGTGTAAGGGTATGTTTTGGTACATCCAAGCGTGCTCAATACTCATTCCGGCCAGTTATTCTTCATCACTGTCGCTTCTGACATCATCAGCAGAACCACCCCGAATGACGCGGAAAGCCACTCTGAGAATCATATACATCCATATGCACATTATGAGTTGTAGGAAAGATAGCAAGAGCAAGAAGATGTCGATCTGGAAATCTGTGTAGCACAGCTTAACATATTCATTGAGTGCGAATTTGGAACAATCTGCATCCATGATATTTCTGGCCTCTTTCCAACTAAACCAAAGAACATACACGTAGACACCATGCCTGAGGACTATCCATGCGACCATGAACACTATAAACATAATGTCGCAAAGGGTTTGGAAGCCGCAGTACTTCAAAATCTTGGCAGTGGATAGGAGAACGTCGACGATGTCCATAAGCAATAGGATAATGTGTCCGATCTTGGTGAAGTAGTAGCAGTAGGAGCCTGTGCATAAGAGACACGTGATGACGTGGTGGGAGACCATCTGGAGGTGGTCTTTTCTCTTTGCTTCTAAAAAGATGACAATAAACTGCTGGAACCAGCTGGCGGTCTGGACAAGGTAGTAGAGCTTGAAGGGAGCAGAGAGCTTGTCGTGTGGCCAGTTGGCGTAGATGTTGTGGCAGTTGAAAAAATAGTCCGAGGTGGAGTAGAGGTAGAACCCGAACCCCCAAGAGAGAGAATAGTAGAACATGGACCACGTCTGTTCGATGAACCGCTGGGTGGCCTTGAATTTTTTGATGCCGAGGAGTTTTGCACAAGGCTTAAAGCAGTAAATGATAAGGAAGCTCCTTAGAAAAAGCAAGTTAATGATCCAGAATATAGTAAAGTAGAGGTCGTCGAGCCCGATATCGTAGGAGTCGAGGCCCGGGTATTTGTATGAGAGAGTGTAGAATTTGCTCCAGAGCGGACGGGACGAGTACCTGGCGGCCACAAAGAGGCCTATGTAGAAAAGAATGGAGAGCTGGACGGTGGACCGGTCCACCTTCTGCGACGTCTGCATCTGCTTGAGGTCCAGCAGCCTTTTGTGTGTCCGCCGGGCCTGACGCTCCTTCTCAGCGTAGTCGTCGTCGACGTCGTCGTCGCTCGCAAGCTCAATCGTGGACGTTCTCGGCGAACCGGACACAGTCTTCTCGCTGGTGCTGGATCTCTGTCTCACGTCTTCCGAGTCGGACGACAGCGGTTCGGTGGAGGAGGAATGGCCTGTCATTGCGGGATGGAACGAATCGCTGGGGCCGCAGGGGTCTGGGGGAAAATGAATGATCGGTCGGTCAACGACTTCTGTTGAGTGGTGTGCGGATGGCCTGCAGTCCTCTGTTTCTGCCTCGTGCTGCTGCTGCTGCTGCTGATGCCGCTACCCTCTTCCCACTTCCACCACCCCACCACACAAGAAAAACAGACCCCAGACCCGCCACTTATCTGGCCTTTTCCTCCCTCCTCGTCTCTCCCGCACCCTTGGCGTGTCAGAAAAAGCAAGTCGCTTTCAACACTTCAAAGCTTTTTCACCCTTTTCCGCTTTTTTTTCGTCCTTTTTCCACGTCGCCTTTTTTTCCCCTGATGCGCCGTTGCTCCAGGCTCAGCCTTCTTTGGCGGGGCTCTGAGAGGGCTGGGGCACGTGACTTCATGAATCGGACGGAGCTGGCTGGACTATAGCAGGTAGGGGTACGGGGTGAAGAGGCGGTTCCCTACAGGTGGGCTGCAGCGTTGTTAGCGGCCGGGGCAGCGGAGGAGGAGGCAGCGGGGTTCATGGTGCCTGCGTTCGGGAGACTGCTAGGATGGGCGATGTTGGCATTACCGCTGAGGCCGGCGGCCCGCGTGTGCAGCGTCATGAGCACGTTCTTCACGGTCTGCCGGATGGCGCCCTCGTCGTACGCTTGCCACGCCTCGTACAAGTTGAGGAGCTCCTGCACGCTTTCGATCACCTCCTCCAGGTTCACGTTGGAGCCGGCCAGGAAGTTTGTGAACGCGTCGAGGCGTGCGTTCCACACGGGAGGGGCGCCTGCGGCGCCCGGCCGCCCGCCGGCGCTTTTCTCCGGGCTCAGACTCATCGCCATGTTTCCGGCAGTGGTGGTACTGGCGCCGGCGCTCCCGCTCCGGGGGAGAACCCGGCCCGTGTGGGACATCGACTGGCTCAACTTGCGGCGCATCCCCAGCTGGCTGTACGTGGCGCCTTTGGCGCCGAGCCCGATGGCGTTCTTCCCGCCGCCGTTGCTGTTGCTGTTGCTGCGTCGAGCCAGGTTGCCATCGTCGCCGCCGCCCCCGGCGACAGCAGAGCTGCTGTGGGAGCCGCCGGCCCCCGGCGTGTTGCTGTTGCTGCTGCTGCTGTCGTTGTGGGCGGGGCCGGCCGCAGAAGCACCCATTGCATTGCTTTTGCCGTTTGATTCCAGGATGAAGCTCAGCAGCGGGTCTCCGTTGCTTCCCTTGAGGCCCTTTTTCGAGCTCGGGAACATGCCCGCAGAGTCCAGCCCCGTCTCACCATTTCCTCCGTCGGCTCCTTCTACCCTCAGCGTCAAAAACATATGTAGTGCGGCAATCGCTATGATGTGTGGTGGATACAGTAAGGGCAAGTCTGTCATGTAGCTGTCGTTTATGACTTGCCACACGCTCTCGATCTCGCTGTCAGTCAAATTCAACCTATACTGGCAGTTCCGCTCGTCATTCAAGTCGTTTCCTGTACCACCCAATGCGCTATCCGCATCATTCTGCTGCGAGTCAGTGGCCTTCCCCAAGACGCTGACCAATTGTGCAAGAGAATTGTATGGATGATGCACAATTAGGTAACAGTCCAACTCCTCAATCAAGTAGAATTCAAACTCGGCAATCTTGGTGAAGTCTCCGGATATAAACTCCGGCCAGCAATTTCTTGCTTCGGCAAGTATCGTTCTTATGTGTTGAGGACTCTCGCAGATCTTGCACGCAACATAGACGCTGGTGGCGACCAACATGTATATGTTGATTTCCAAAAGTGAAACTTTTATCAAAAACCTCGAAACGTAAACTTCAGCGGTGGATAGGATAATTTGCCTCAACGATAAGCGCCTTCCAAGCCTAGCAATCATATGGTGTATGAATATCCTCATGCTCGTGTCGTATCTGATCATCAATGAGTTATTAGTCACTTTTTGCTTTTCCCACAGCAGTATATTGAATCTCAAAGAGTTGAGCTGATCTTTCGTATATTGGAAATGCATACGCTGGGAGGAGAGCCAATAATCAGCAGACATGGTGTAGATACTAAACTGCACTCAGCCTCTGTAAACTATGAGGTATGACTATAAATGTCTTCTTGTGTCGAAAGCCCGAGCATAAGTGCCGAATATCCCCATACGAAGTGCTGAACATATCTCGCCTACGTGATGCATTTCGCTCCGCTACAATCTCCACTCTTTTTTCTCTTACACCCACATCAGACAAAATTCAACAAATACTCAACCCTCTGACGGGTCAAGCTCGCTTGTGAGTCCTACAAAAGAATAAACACAACTGTATCAAACACTCAATGACCGATCGACTCACGCAGCTGCAGCTATGCTTGGACCAGCTGATTGACATTTTGTTTTCGGCCCTTTCTTATATAGATCAAAATCATGATTCTGTTCCCTTGAATCCGGCAGATCCAAAGGCGACAGATGCTAACCACAACCCACCAACCGAACACGAATTCCGATCCAGCCAGCAAGAGTTGTCAACAGATATAATACTCAAGACACGACAAATTTTGACCATCATAGATACTTTGCCAGGTGTCGGAGTCAACAAGAAACAGCAGATGGAAACTATTCAAAACCTTCGAATAGAGTTGAACAAGACAGAGGAGGAAAAACGACAAGCTATCATGGAGAAGGAAAATCTCCTAGATTTTGTGAATAGCTTGATTATTCAAGTAGGAGAATCTATAGCTACCACAAGGTAACTGTTTACACTCGAGCCGTTCTGTCTCCAACCGGTTCATTTGGCAATCAGTACAACTAGGCTGCGACAGTCGTCTTCAGGTCTGCTGTTTACAAACCTGGGTGTTGCTTTTACCGTTATGAAAAAACCCTTTTAAGCTTTATTAGAAAATTCACATTTTTTCTGAGCCTATCATGCTTTACTGAATATATGTTTTATTATTATGTAATTTTATTAGTCAATGTCTTTCGATTAGTCAACTAGCAAACAGAGGAAGATACACTCTCAAACTCTTACTCTAATTCAGTAGGTCAGTTAAACATGTTACTTTATAAACTTAGTACTCATTAATTTAATCAAATTATATAGAAAACAATTGTGAAAGAAAGTCAGACGTAACCGTGAGGTAAAATTATTGAAAAGGAGTAATTACTGTACAATTTCATGAAGATCAAAAAAAAGACAGAAAGTGAAAATTATGGCAACCAAACCAGTAGAATAACAAGAACATAAATTAATAAAACAGGGGAAGAAAATTAGTAGCAGGGATGATGGCAGATGAAAAGGAGAACAAAGAGAAACATTGGTATTCTCATCACGAAAAAACCCATAATTGTTTAGCAAAATGGTAATTAAACCCTCGATGGCATGATGTGGTTTCTTGGACAGCAGACCTTGTCTAATCTGAATTATACTCCAGTTTTGATTCATCAGTGAACTTTTCATTACTCATAGCTCTAAGTGAGCCATCTGCTTGATACAATGGATGGTTCATCTTTTTGTAAGATTGTCCATCATCATTGGGATCTTCATAATCGTCATACCCATCACCGTAATCATCATTTACCATGTAGCGAGAGTTGGAATCGTCTTGATTGTTGTCATTGTCGTCATCATCATCATCGTATTCATCGTCTATATCGATATTTTCATCATCCAAGCCACCGGCAGACATTTCATGATAAGGATGTCCACCCATTTGTGAGTCTACGACACCTTCAATTTCATCATTTTCGTCATCTGCCCACATTTGATTTCTTCTTTGTCTGATATCATCATCCTCGGATTCTTCATCTGACGACCCAAATCTGTCAGGTAGATCCCCAGTGATCTCCTCCCCGATGTATCGAGAAAACTTGTCTGATCCAACCTCATTTCCTTCTGAGTCCATGTATCCATTGACCATATTATCATTGCCTTCTAAGACCACATCATCGTCTTCTTCTTCTTCGTCATCATATTCACCTGAACCATAAACTCTTTGAAACAAATTCATATCATGCTCATTCATCTGTTTTCCATCACTTCCTAGAACGGCATTATATTTATTTCTGATATCAGCTAAGGTTTCATCAACATATTGCTTCCATTCTATGTCATCGATGGCTTCATCGATTACACTGGCGTTTGATGTGGTATGATGGATGTCCAATGAGATAAATTTCACAACTTCTTCAGCAATCAAGGAAAGATGTCCCATGTAACCTAATCTGAGACCTGTCTTCTCCTCGTATTCTATACATCTATTGTGTCCATTGATGATCAGCTTAGTTATGTGACATCTATCAAACAAATCAACAGCTAAATGCTTGTTATATCCAATTTCCATCGTGGCATTCAAAATTTGCTGAACAATATCAAATACGACATTGTGTAAGAAGTTGTTCCAAGGAAAGTTGAAAAACATATCAAGAATGGTAACGACTATCTTATTATCATAAAGAGCAATCTTCAGCTGATCTCCAACAACTGGGTTTTCTCTTAAAAGCTTCTCATCATCAACATTATCTCCAGTTGAAACTTCATTTTCACTATTGTCATTTTTCTCTTTATCCACATCTTCGTCCTCGGAAGTTCTCCTTGACAATCTCAAATTTTCAATTTCTTTTGACATGTCAGTTCCTTCCAGAGACAAAGAGGAATCTGTTTCAACCCTTTTAGTCATTTCTTTGTGCTTTTCAATTAAAAATTCTCTAATTTCATCACGTTCTTTGACCAGCTCTTCACCTTTTTGATCATTCAACAATGCCATGTTGGAACAGTGTATAAGCTCTGCAACCAACTCACATATCTTGAATCTCTCGAACCCTAAAGGCTCAATTTTGCCAAAAGGAGTATCCAAAGTTTTGCTAATTGGCTTCTCGAGAAGCTTTGTAAACTCTGGCAGCTTTTCTGCAAATATCTTCACCAGGGTACCCAAGTAGATTGGATCCCTTGGCGTAGGCGGGTGTGATTCCACTGTGACATACACAACCGGCACTGGATCATAGTCAGAATTATTCTTACGTATGATTTCAATCACAATTCCAACACCATTGGATAAACCTGTTCCGCCTTGTAGCATCATATCTACCAGTAGCCGAATCATTGGCTCACTGACTAGTTCTCTTGTTAGTTCATTTGGTCCTATCGTTGTATTTTCAGCATTATTAGCAGATATTGTAATAAAGGCCTTGAGGAAGTCACCTGCAGCGCTTTGGATTGAAGAAGGTATTTCTGCCGATAGGAAGGACAATAAGGAAGGAATTAATCCCTGATCTTTCAATACATCGATTATCCCTGTGGAGTCATCTGGCTTATCAGTTGATATAACTTTCAAGAGAAAATCCATCAATGGAGGAGTCTCAATATGTCTCATGAATCTCTCAACTAGATTTGGCTCTTGATGGATAAATTGTATCATTTCATCAGTCTTCATGTCAAGCAAATGCTCATTAATCTTCATGAAATAAGTAGCGGAAAATATAGGTAGTGGGGCAGGTTTATCAAGAATACACCAAAGCTGCTGTAAGAGATGAACGCTTTCCATGAACGCGTCGGTGATGGACCAAACATCTATGGACAGTATTTCTGCAGCAACCTGTGCTCTTCTTGTGTGCTTTTCTACTTCCGACTCTTCTTCATTAATCATCTCTTCTTCTTCATCGTCATCATTGTCGCTGTCATTGCTATCATCGTCGTCATCGTCATCGTCGTCATCATTGTCTTCCTCGTCGTCGTCGTCATCATCGTCGCTGCTATCACTATCTTCATCATCTTCTATGGCATCTGATTTCTGCGTCTGATCTTTGTTAACAAATTTCTCTTTCTCCTCTGGAGTTTCTTTGCTGCTGGTGAGGTCAACATTTTCTTTCTTCTCAATGGCTTCTGTGTTATTAGTAGTGCTCACTTCATCATCAGACTCTTTTCTGACGTTTTCATCGTTTTCTTCTTGCTTCGACTGCTCAGTCTCTTTCTCTTTCTGGCCATTCACCTTAACTGTATTTTTCTCACCTTCATTATTTTCATTGGCATCAGTATTGTTATTATTTATCTTTTCTGACTTGGCGTCTGCGTTTTCATTGCTTGCGCCGTTTTCTTTCCTTTCTTCCTCGGCCTCGAGGTTCTCACGAGCTTCCAAGTCCAACTCAATCTCTTTTCTCTGGTATTCATCATCTTCGACAACATAATCCACGAGCTTCTCCAAGATTTCAGGTCGTCTGAGATATTCGATCAATCTAGCGTTTGAGGCTAATAGTTCGGAAACTGTCTCTTTCTCGTCGAGCAAATCTTCCAAAGAAATGTCTTCTGCTTCGAGAATTTTGGTGACCCGTGAAGCATAGTTGCTTGTGAATTTCCAGAATCCCGACATCTTGACGAATATTATTTGTGTGTGTGTGGGGGTGTAATATGGTATAAAAGTCCGAGGATTGAAAGTCCCTGTTTAGTCGTAAAATCAAATAAAGTAAAGCTGGTGTGGATGTTTTAATTTAGCAGATCCTAGATGAAGCTATAGAATGTATGTGTTTGTGTCAATTTCCTCAAATGTTGAGCTAATGGTACATCAAGTATATACTGTGGACTTGAAGAGATACGGATGAAACGTGTGTAGTAGTGTATGCTGAGAGGAGCCGGTATATGCAATTGATTGTAGTATGGGCAGTATGGGAACGTGTACAACAAGTAAAAACAATGCAGAGAAACAAGACAGGGCAGGTATTAAAGAATGACTAGGTGATAGTGCGATTCGTGTCAATACCGAATGCTGTGTATGTGTGTGCTGGTGAAAGGAAAGGGGGAAGGAAATAAAAGGTTAGAAATTTCTCTTTCGTCTGTTGCTGGAATATTCAGTATGCCTGTGTTCAATTCAGTGCTGTCTGTGCATAAACGAACCTATATGCATATGTGGTCGATAGATAAGCGGTCCGTGGCAAAGAGACGGCGTGCAGGCGGTGTGCTCGTGTGACAGCCTTCGTTGTGCAGTGGAGCTTCTGTTGCTGTAACTGCGACGGGACGGGTGCTAGTTTATCCGACGCAATAAACCTCTGGTGTGGAGTACGGTGGGGGTTATGAGACGTGGATGTCTGTCTGAAAAAAGCTGGCTGGGGGTGAATAGAAGAAAAAAAAAGACAAATGCAAGACACTCCTGCCGATGCTGTTATCCGGTAACCTGTGTATCCGGCGACTTCTATGGATACAAGTTCCCAGCGTGCCCTACTCCGGCCCCCCCCCCCCGCTCGACCTCTATCAGCCCTCTTCCTCTCCTAACCTGCACATCGGCCAGCGACTCCCAGCCAGACGACACCGACGGCCCTCCCCATCCTGCCTGCCTCTGCCTGCACCGCTCACCACCTCCACGCACCACTCAAACAGTACGGCCAACTCCCGCCAGAAGCTGTCGCCGGCGTCGCCCTGCGTGCTTCCCCCGCGTGTGGCTCCCACCCGGGGCGGCGCGACTGGGCGACGCGTCGATTGCAAAAGAGGGCCTGGTTCTGGGTCGTCTATCTTGTTACAGCTATGGAGTGTATATAGGGGGATAAGGAAGGGTACGGGCCAACTGCCTACTTTGGGTTCAGTTCTCGTCCTCGTCGAATTGCTTCAGCCACGAGATGTATCTCTCGACGAGCCCGGAAATGCCCTGGCTTGATTCCATGTCCCGGTAGAGGCTTTTTTCGTCGCTCGTAGCCTCTCTGTGCTTCTTCTTCTCGGTGTCCTCCATCTCGAGCAGAAGAAACTCCAACTTGCTCTTCAAGACGGTGGCATCGCAGTCGGGCATGTTCATGAGCGCCTGCAGCGTCTCGAAGCAGAGAAGTGGAAGCTCGCCGTAGAACCGCGAGGTCCAGCTGATAAGCTTGCAGCAGAGCTTGAGGACGTAGTCAGGGTCGAGGGTGAGCTTCTCCTTGAGCAGGCGCTTGTCATCGTCGCTTCCAGCGAGGTTTAACTCGGCGAATACGGCCTCGTGTTTTGTGAGGGCCAAGAAGTGGTTCAAGAGCTTGTAGCACGCGTAGATGCTGAAGCGCTGGTTGAGGCACGTGTCAAACGGTACCAACCCCTCTGCGTAGAAGTGCACCTTGAAACACTCCTCGCCAATGAGCTCCCACTCGAGGGGACAGAACTGCACGTCGGGCTTGGAGACGAGGTCATTCTGGTAGATCAACACGTTCTTCAAGTTTTCGTAGAATATCAAGAAAAGCGAGTCTAGCCACTTCTCGCTCAGCCTCTTGCTTTTAAACCGGTTCGAGATGTCCGCCAATGACAGGGTTGATGCGTTCTTCAGCTCGGTCAACTTCTTTCTACTTATCTCGTCCAAGTCATTTTCTATATTTGGGCCTAGCAATTGCTGCTGCTGTTGCGAGTCGGTGGAACCGTTGGGACCGTTGGACCCGTTGGCCTGGACAGACCCGTTGGTTTCTTGCTTCTTTTCTAGCTTGGAGTTCGAATTTTCCCTTTGCTGTTCGCTTTTTACCACTTCGTTATATTCGTCCTCCATGACAAAAATTTCAGACCGGATTTTGAGGAGGTCTCCCCATCCGCACTGCTTGGTCATAATTGCCAGTAGGTCATACGCTTCTTTGAATGTACAGTTTAGTTTAGTTTCTTCGTAGACTCTGAGACGGTACTTGCTAGTCTTATCTATTTCTCTATTTGGGGAGAACTCGACGATTCCTCCAATCCCGGAGATGCAACCAAAAGCCTCACAATCCTTCCATACGTTTTCGATCTTCCCTTCTAGCGGGAACGGGAACTCGAAGTTCTTAGGCTTGAGGGCGGCATAAATGTCCTTTCTTTTATTGGTGTACATTGGAGACGAATTCAGGGCTAACAAGGCATTTTTCAGGTCTTTTTGCAGAATGTATATTATGATCAAGTTTTTCCAGCACAGGAATTCCGAGGGAAGGCATTCGACAGAAATCATCGCTGGGATCAACGCTAAGTCGGGCCTGTTCTGGTCGATCAAGAACATCGCCTGTTCGTTCAACATCCATCCGTCCCTTGGAATCTTCAGCAAACAGTCGTGCATTAGTCGGACCGCTTTGGCAAAGTCGTTCTTCATGATCAATATCCGCACGATCAACACATTTAGGTTGATTTTCTTGCTCACCATGACCCTTTCGATTTCCTCGATGGCAAGGTCATGGTACCTAGTTATGGATAGGAGCTTGAAGAGGGTGTCGACAAGAAAGTTGTTGGTGTACGAGGGCCTGTTGATGATATCTGAGCAGCCTGTCTCGGGGCCTCTCTGCAAGAACCTGCAGAGCAACTTGATGGCCTCCTTGGTATCTTTTGTGGACTGGATCGGGTTGAACTTGCACATTCCCGGGAGATGTCTTTCGATCGAGTCTGCAAAGAGGATGGAACGTATGAGGGAGGAGACGTAGGTCTCCGTCCAGAGCGCCTGGTGCTTTTCGTCCTCGGTGCCTATGGTGATGGTGATTTTAGCCCTATTTGAGGGGACAAACTGGATCATCGGGGAGGCGGAGCCGGGAAACTGGCAGCGGATCCGCAGATCTCCCTTGCTGAAGATGTTGTACGAGCAGTATGTTCCGATCTTCATGTGTTTGTTGGTTGCGGCCTCCTTGTCACTCAATTGGATTGTCTGCAGATACATGAACGGCTGGATGACCGAGGACGTGTTTATGCCGGTCACGTAGTGGTAGTCGCCGACCTCCTGCTTGCTGGACTTGTCGTACTTGGAGAGGTGGACAAGGTCCGGCTGGCCAAGCTCCTTGAAGTCGGCCAAGATCTGCGAGCGGTACTGGATCGCCTCGCCGAGCTGGCTCTCCTGGATCCTGGGGGTGATGATCTGCGGCTTGTTCTTCGAGTTAAACGGCGACCCCGAGGCCGACGAGCCGCCGTTGCCCGAGTGGGACGACAGTATCGACGTAATTCCGGCCACTGAGCTCCTCCTGGTGGTATCTGTGCTGGACATGTCTGGGGCAGGCGGAGATGACGGATGGGCGGCAGATGGGGATGCCCTAGGACGGTGGAATTGAGCTTCCTATACTCTTACAGCAGCTCCACAGCACAGAAATGCCACCATGCACACCCACCACGAGGTACCTACGCCTCAAATCAGAGGTTCGAATCGTGGTCGATCGCTGTTGCTGGCGGGTTCAGTGTGTCTGTGTGTGTACCGTGTCCGTTCCGCCCTCCCCAGCCAGCGCGGTGGACCGTCGCGTCGCTCAGCCATCTGGACCACCTCGGCCACTGACATCGTCGACGCGTCGGCCTTCTTTCGACGCGTCGGCCCCGCGCCTCAACCACCGCCGTGCACCACCGGCCCCCTCGGGTCGTCTCTCCTCGGGCTGTGGCTCCCCTCGCGCCTCTCCCCGGACATCATCGGCTGGCATCTGCGTTGCCGCAGCGCGCGTCAGAGATGGCTCGTCCGTTTCCGGCCTCGTTGGCTCTCCTCGGGGCAGACCCAGCCCTGGCCGCACGGCCCGAGTGCATTGCCTCCATTAGGCAGCATTACGCGTGCCGCGCACAGCAGTTGTCTAAGCATTGCCGTTTAGAGCGCTTGGGACCATTGGCTTCTGCTGCAGCACAAACCCGTTTTGGCTCCGCTGCAGCTTCGAGGCCCGCAGCGAGGGGTCGCCGGGATGCCCTCGCTGCCATCCAGATAAGATAGCTCAACTGCAGAAGCGGCCGGCGTTGGGCAAAAGGCTAGGGGAGACGGAGTCGTGTGTCGCGCTGGTGCCCGGATGGGCTGAGGTGGGATGGAGCAGGGGGCCAAGGTGCGATCCATGGCCTGGCTCCTCTTATCTACCATGCAGGAAGTTATTCCCCGATCCCCGAGTCCCTAGGGTCTTCGGCGATGAAAGATTCTCCATTAGTAGAACTGTTTTCCTTATCTGGCGCGGTGGTGGTGCTGGTGTTGTCGTCGAGACCCTTGTTGTGCGGGACACGCGGGTGCACACAATAGCCACAGGACCGGGATGCCAGGCACACAGAGCGCCGGTTGGCTACGTAGCCGGGGGTGGGTTGGCTGCGTAGCACTGCTGGCTCTGCCCCGACGCCGGGGTCGCAGCGACGGGGAATCCAAGGTTGCTCGATCCTTATCTTATCCGCAGGCCGCTGCTCCTTTTATGTTTTTCGAGCATACGAGAGCTTATCTCATTGATGGATCGATCTCGACGCCGGCATTAATTTACTAGGGTAGGGCTTTCCCTTGTTCTGCGTTGTCAGGACTTGCTTTCCTCGTGCATTTAAGTATCCTCCGTTTTCCATTACATGAGGAACATACCCTGGAGCTGGCTCTGTATTGTTCTGTCTGTCTGTTTGTTTGTATCTTTGTATTTTTAGTTCTCTTCCCCCTTCTCTTCTGTAGGACTCCCATCACCCGCTTGCAACACACATCACTCATACAAACAACAAGGAAATATGGGTTTTTTCAACAGATCGGAGAAGACGCCCGACTACGCAGACACCAGCATTGAGGTGCTGCACGATGACCACGGTGCCTCGAGCTCGTCGGCCAACGAGAAGAAGCTCTACGAAGCCAAGGTCTACGACAGCGCCAGCAACACAAACGGCTCCTCGGGGCCCTTCGACGACCACGACTCGGACGATTCCTCCGCGGTGGAGCAGAGTCCAGGCTCGAAATGGAACATCTTTGCGTCCAAGATCGACGTCAACGCACACACAGAGAGAGGGTTGAAGCAGAGACACATCGACTTGATTGCTATCGGTGGGTCCATCGGAACGGCGTTGTTCGTCACGATCGGTAACGCCTTGATGAACGGTGGCTGTGGTAACCTTCTTGTCGCCTTTGCCATTCACGGGTTGCTTGTCATCTACATTGTCACCTTGACCATCGGTGAGTTGATCTGCTACTTGCCAGTGGATTCTCCCTTCATCACGCACGCCGGGCGGTTCGTCGACCCGGCATTTGAAGTTATGTGCGGCTACAACTTCTACATTATGGTCTCCCTATACATTCCTTTCGAAATCACCTCTGTCAACTCCATGATCCATTTCTGGAGAGACGACTACAACCCAGCAGACTCGTTTGTCCCACAGATTGTCATCTACTTGGTTCTTAACGTCTTCGCTGTCAACTTCTACGGTGAATCCGAATTCGTCCTCGCCATTGGAAAATTGATCTTGGCCATCGGCTTGCTATTCTTCACCTTCATCACCATGGTGGGCGGAAACCCACAGCACTGGGCTTTTGGCTTCCACAACTACAAGGGGGTCAACAACGCCTTCCCAGAATACCTTGGTAGTGGTGCGTCTGCTTTCTGGGCCGCCTACTTGAAAGCCGTCTTCACAGAAGTTGCCCCAGAATACCTCGGTATGGTGGCCGGTGAGGCACAGAACCCAAGAAAGACAATGCCAAGAGCATTCAAGGGTATCATTTACAGACTTTCCATCTTCTACGTCTTGGGCGCCCTTTCCGTCGGTATCTTGTTGAGACACGACGATCCAACCTTGGTCGCCGCTATCAGCAACGGTGCGGCGGGCGCAAACGTTTCTCCATATGTTATCGCCATGCAGAATTTGAAAATCAAGGTGTTGCCACACATCGTTAACGTCTTGTGTATGACGTCGTCCTTCTCTGCCGGTAACTCCTACATCTACTGCTCCAGTAGAGCGTTATACGCCATGGCAAGAAGAGGCAAGGCTCCTAAGTTTTTTACCATCTGTCTCAAAAACGGTGTTCCTATTTTCGGCATTGCTATGGCCGTCGCATGGTCCTGCTTGTCATTGCTACAGTTGGGTGACACCGCCTCCGTTGCTTTGGACTGGATGGTCAACTTGTGTACCGGTTGCCAGGTTCTTAACTACTTCTTCATGATGATCACCTATTTGTGTTTCTACAGAGCTTGCAAGGCACAGAACGTCGACAGATTGACCATGCCCCTACAAGCATGGACCACCAAGCTGCAGCCTTACCCAGCCATCTTTGCCTTGGTCACCACCTTCTTGATTGTCATGTTCTTGGGTGCCCAGGCCTTCCTCCCTTCGTTCGACGTCAACTCCTTCCTCTACTACTACTTGATGGTCTTTGTCGACATCGGAGTCTTTGTTCTCTACAAGCTAGTCTTCAGAACAAAGAGAATCAAGCCAGAAGAGGCAGACCTCTTCTCCGACTTAGCTCAGATCGACGAGCACGAACGCAAGTTTTACGCCAAACACGAAGAGGAGAAGAAGGAGGGGTGGACAAAGTTCATGAACTGGATTCTTTAGATCATCTGTCTTTCTTCCCTATTGTTTATCTCTTACGCTTGAGCAGCTTTTTTAACTTTATATTATCTTTCAATTCCATTTCGTTAGCCCTTGTTCACACGCCGTGTGTTTATTATCATATTTTATGGCTCTATTGCCCCATCGCATCGCTGAAAAGCAACAGCGCCTTCTCCGTGCGACATTACACATTCGACGTCAATAGCGAAATCGCCCATTTCCTCTGACGTCACAGCTACGTTTTACTACGTCATCCGTGCATGAGCCTTTTTTTGCTCTTTCCTTTTTCTCTCTTTTTCTCGCTTTTTTTCCTTTTTTTTCCTTTTTTTCCTGCTCTTTTCTTTTCTTTTACCGCTCGGAGAGACCCCTTAGAACCTTCAAGAGTGAAAAAAAACAAGGCTGTCAAAATCAGACAGCAGGAAGACTTAAACACCGACAGCTTGGTCATCTGTCAAGTCATCTGTCAATCGTCTGACATGCTGTGCACTCTGTCGATAGTGTCTTTCCGCTGCAGTAGGAAGCGGAGGTGTGCTGGCTCGATGACGGAGGACAAGCATTGGAAGATAGGCTGGTTGGCGATAGTGTGACTCGAGGCATTGTGCTCGGAAAGGCTAACCGGATTTTGCAGCAGCGATGTTGAGGCTATCGGGCGTCTGTCCCTCCAGCCGGGCAGCGGGCATTCCTCCAGCTGGCCCTGCTTCGGCTCTCCCATTTTTCCCCACATCCCAGAACGGACTCAGTTACGCAACTGGGCTTCTTTTTCCAGGACGGGTTCCGTTTCTCAACTTTCTTTTCATTCCTAGATTTCTTCTCTCTTTCTTTTTAAACCTTGCATCTTTCCTCTCTTTCGTCCGTTGACTTGTCTGACTTGTGTATTCTTTCTTTTCCTCTTCGTCTGCTTTTCCTCATCCTCCTCCTACTCTCTTTCCTCTCTTCTCTTCTTTCTTTTCTTTCATTAAATAATTTTTTTTTCAATTTTTGATTTTTCTCTTCCTCTTCTGTCTTTTTCGTAAATCTCGTAGACATTCAACAACAATCGATTTAGCCACTGCTTAATCTATTAGGTAACAACTGTTGTCCTAACCCGAAGCTAACTCCTACTAAGTATAGGAACACCAGCAACACAAAAAAGTTGGATACTAACAACACACTCCAATATGTGGAACATTCTCAATAAAAAGCACGACGAGACTCCAGCCAGCTCTAGCAACTACACCGATAGTAGCTCCGCAGGCTCGGAGCTCACTGAAATCAACTTGACCGATTCCAACATCAATGATGTAAAGAGTGAAAAAGACAAGTCTGACGACCAATTCAATTCTTCCTTCTGTGATACCAGCGTTACCTTGGTGCAATCCGAGGGTACAAGAAGACTGCTTAAACCTAGACACATCGACTTGATCTCCATAGGTGGTTCCATCGGTACTGGTCTTTTTGTTACCATCGGTTATGGATTACTTAATGGAGGTTGCGGAAACTTGCTAATTGCTTTCTTCTTGCAAGGTATAATCATTTATGTCGTTACTCTCACCATCGGTGAGCTCATTTGTTACTTACCTGTTGACTCTCCATTTATAACCCACGCTGGTAGGTTTGTAGATCCCGCCTTTGAATTCTGTTGTGGCCTGAACTTCTACATCATGATCTCCCTATACATTCCTTTCGAAATTACTTCTGTGAACTCCATGATCCATTTCTGGAGAGACGATTACAATGCTGCAGAAGCATTTGTTCCTCAAATTGTGATCTACCTAGTTTTGAACATTTTTGCTGTTAAGTGGTACGGTGAATCTGAATTTTTCTTATCAATAGGAAAACTCATTTTAGCTGTTGGTTTACTTTTCTTCACCTTCATTACCATGGTTGGTGGTAACCCACAAAGATGGGCATTTGGCTTTCATAATTTCAAAGGGGTTGACAATGCTTTCCCTCAATATCTAGGTACCGGTGCTTCTGCTTTCTGGGCAGCGTACATGAAGGCTGTTTTCACGGAAGTTGCACCAGAATATTTAGGAATGGTCGCCGGTGAAGCAATTGACCCAAGAAAAACAATGCCAAGAGCTTTCAAGACAATCATTTACAGACTATCCTTCTTCTACGTTTTAGGTGCTCTGTCGGTTGGTATCCTTTTAAGACATGACGACCCCGTTTTAGTCAAGGCAGTTAGTGAGGGTGCAGCAGGTGCCAATGTTTCCCCATACGTTATCGCTATGAGAAACATGCAGATCACCGTTTTACCAGATATTGTCAATGTCCTATGCATAACTGCCTCTTTCTCTGCTGGTAACTCATACATCTACTGCTCCAGTAGATCATTATATGCACTATCAAAGAGAGGCTTTGCACCAAAGTTTTTCAGCATTTGCCTAAAGAACGGTGTTCCAATTTTTTGTATCGCCATGGCAGTCGGTTGGTCTTGTTTGTCACTATTGCAATTAGGTGAAGCAGCCTCTGTGGCACTTGATTGGATGATCAACTTGTGTACAGGTGGCCAAATCCTCAATTACTTTTTCATGATGATCACCTACTTATGTTTCTACAGAGCTTGTAAAGCACAAAAGGTTGACAGATTTTCAATGCCACTTCAAGCATGGACAACCAAGTTGCAACCATACCCAGCAATATTCGGGCTTATTTGTACCTGGTTGATCGTCATGTTCTTAGGTGCACAGGCCTTTATACCCAAATTCGACATCAACTCATTTTTGTACTACTATTTGATGTTTTTCATTGCATGCGGATCTTTCATTTCTTACAAAATCGTGTTCCGGACTAAATTTGTCAAACCGGAAGAGGCTGATTTATTTACAGGATTAAACGAAATCGACGAACACGAGAGACGATTATATTTGGAACAGAGCGACAAAGTGGTTGATAACAGCTTCACGGCCAAATTATTACGCACACTATGGTGGTAAACATTAACTATACTCCCCTTTTTTAAGCACTTTCATACGTTTTATATATTCTCTATACCATTTGTTTTACTAAATATTCTATAAAAAAAAAGGCTCGATAAAAATTACGCAAAAAATTCAAAGAAAGATAAGTTTTCCAAACATTCATGTCGAAAAAAGGTAGAGCATGCAGTTTGCACCCGTACACCTACTGTTACCCGGCCCTTTAACAGCTGGGAAGTCCTTTCTCAGCCGTGTTCATGAGAGCATCCTCAATTCTTTTCCTACAACATGTAGAGAAAGTACCCTATTTTCGATAGGAAAAGCATCCTTAGCCAGTAGCACAAGATCCATCAACAATTGCAACAATGTCCGTCGACTTCAACACCCTTTCTCAACAATTCTGTGATTTTTACTACAAACAATTTGATCAAGACAGATCATCATTAGGTAATCTCTACGTACGTATGAATTCAAATATTCAACAGGTAGCAAAGATGACTTCAGCAGTATACTAACATCTGAACGAATATCTACGCATACATTATCTGATGTATCACTGTGATGTCTTCTTCTTTTAATTTTTTTTACAGAGAGATCACTCCATGTTGACTTTTGAATCCTCACAAGTGCAAGGTGCTAGAAGTATCATTGAGAAGCTCACTTCTTTGCCATTTCAAAAGGTGCAACACAGAATCTCTACCTTAGATGCCCAACCTGCATCTGAAAATGGTGACGTCTTGGTCATGGTCACAGGTGAATTATTAATCGATGAGGAACAGAATGCCCAAAGATACTCCCAAGTTTTTCACTTAATTCCTGACAGCGGCTCATACTACGTGTTGAACGATATTTTCAGATTAAACTACGCTTAGATGATGTGTAGTTGACTTTGATTTGTTATGGCTCCAGCTCGTTGCATTGGATCTCGTTTGATTCCTCCAATTCCCGCTGCATGTCTCTATCCCAGTTCAAGTGCGTGGGCCCAGCCAGCTATATAAACACATATTTAGTATCATTTAAGGTAAATAGTACCAGCTAATTGTGTTCACACCGCTTTATTGCCTTGACTCCGAGGTGCCAGTTTAATTCAGAGGTAGAAAAACTAGCAGTATTTTCAGTTATGCTAGGCCATCTTTGGTAAAATGTCGCTTTCACGCTATTTAAAGTGCGCTGGTAATTATTTCTAGGCATTGTGAGCCTTTACGTGTTTATTTACTTAGAGTGACTTTAGACCTCAATTGAATATTCAACGGATATGGAGAGTCAATTGGTTTTCCAGTAAATAGACCACAATTCAATATGGATATTCCGCAAATTCCGAAGAGCGTAAGTTATCATATATCATGTGCATGTTTCTGATCTTACTGATACTAACCAATATGACTTGAATCAAACAGAGACCGCATAAACATCAATCACCAGCACCTGAAAGCAATCCTTCATCGGAGTCTCACACTCCTTCAATTCCTACACATCGCCCTCAAAAGGCCGAAACTGAGGTTCCTAGGATTCCTCAGCTTCCTAAATCAAGGCCAAGAAGGATTCAAACTAGTGATTCGGGTTCAGAGGTAAACTCCTCTGATACTCAGTCTGCAGTTGATGCAGTTCCTAGTATTCCTACACACAGACCCAGTTCTGGAAGTACTGCATTGATATCCGGAAGTGAGCCTGTTGATGCCGTTGCTTCTTTGAGACCAGACATATCCTCTGCTACTATTTCGTCCGCTGATAACTCCCTTCCACACATCCCATTGACGAGGCCAAGAGCAGCTGCTCCATCAAATCACGGTGATGAGGAAAAAGAAGGAGATTTAGCCGTTGTAAAGAAGGATGAAGAAGCTTCAATTTACGAAAGCGAACAACAAGAGGATGTAGATGCGGAATCTACAGGCATGGAACCGCCAGATAAAAAAATGGACTTGAAGCATAATTCTGTGGATAAAGACTGTTTATCAGATAAGGAAGACAAAAGAAGAGAAGATGAATCGGCCATTAAGCACGTTAGTGAAAATACTACAAGCGAAACCAATAGTGATGTTAAGTTTGATGACAAAGATGTCACAAGGAAAGAGGAGCAACAAACGATTAATATTCCAGGGGAAAGTGGCGAAAATCAGGGGTCTGCACTTAACACTGAAATTAAAGAGACATTGGAGGAAAAGCAACCATTTGCGGGCTCTGAATTGGATGCACATGAACATGAGACTAAAAAGTTAGATGCAAACACTTATAAAGGAGAGTCTTTTGTTGAAACTGTTCCTGAGAAACCACTGTTTAATGTTTCAAACCACGATCAATCGACTATGGGCAAGGATCTGCTGGATGGTGACAGTGATATTGCTACTGGCTCAGTCAAAGCTGTGGAATCCAGAAAAAATGCATCAATTAGTGCCAAGAATGCTCTCGCTGAACTTGAATCACTTGAGCAAGAATTTCAACTAACATCAGAAACACTTTCATCAACTCCAGCTGATCTTGCTGATGCTGAGAAATCTAGCCATGGTGATAAAGTTGGGCATGTAGGTGTCATTGATGAGGATGATAATTTCAACTCCAATTTCAATAATTTAAAACAGGAAGAGATAGATGAGGCCAATGAAGAAGAGTTCAGAAATGAGACGGAAAAGGAGGCAGACAAGGAGGCAGACAAGGAGGCAGACAAGGAGGCAGACAAGGAGGCAGACAAGGAGGCAGACAAGGAAGCAGACAAGGAGGCAGACAAGGAGGCAGACAAGGAGGCAGACAAGGAGGCAGACAAGGAAGAAAATAAACCGATTTTACCTATCATTCCCAAAAGCAGACCCAAGCCTAAGGCACAAGATAGCGCTCTCACACCTCCGAAGGTACCCACCAAACGTCCAAGTGTTGTTAACTCCGAATCAAACAATAGTAGTGAGTCAATAACTGCACAAATCGTACACAAGAAACCTCCACCAAGAGTTCCGAAAAAACCGTCTTCCAGAATAGCACAGTTTCAGGAGATGCTTGAGCAACAACAAAAGGCTGACTTGGGACTGCTGAACCGTGCGGCTCCAAAACCCAGACCTAAGATTCCAGTCAAGAGTCACACCTTTGATTCTGAAAATTCTGACGAAACGAAAGAAGCAGGCGATGAAGGGTCACCCGCTTCTGGCGAGTCTGCTACAAACTTCGAGGCTCCAAAGGTGGAGCGTACTAACTCTAAGTTTGCACAAAGCTTGAACGGCATGATTGGGATGGGGCTCCCAGGAATGGCGTTTGGTGGCAACCCTTTTGCTGCCATGAAAGCTGCGAAGGAATCTGGACCGGGTGACTTAGATGCAGCAGATGAAGAGAAAAGTACAAGGAACAGCAAAGTGAAGGATGTCAGAAGAGGCAGAGCTAGAGGTCCAAGAGGACGTAAGCTTCCTGATACCGTGACCAAGGCCGTCGAGGTCAACGATTCCACATTGGGTAATAAATTTACCATAATGGTCAAGGATCTATGGAGCTTAGATTTTAACGAGAAACCACAAAAGACTGCCCCATTGGAAACAATGATAACCAAGCCAGAGACTGAGGAACTGCCCCCAACTCTAGAATCCTCCTCTGAACACGCTTTGGAAGTTTCAAATGAAGCGACTAAAGAAGAAGGGGCGGAAAAAAGCGAAGACAGAATCGGAGCGGAAGTCGATGCCAAGGTTCGTTCAGATACTGCTGCTGAGATCGAAGAAGTCGGTGAAAATGGAAGCGGCGTTAAAGATCGCGGAGCTGATATGGAACCACGGGACCACGGTTCAGGCTCCGAAAATTTGGCAGCTGCGTCCGATTTCCATCCGGTCACCGAACATGTTTCTGAACCTTTAGCAGCGCTTCAAAAAGATGTTTTGGAGGAAGAGGAGGGCGACAAAGATGAGACGATGACAATGCCTCCGACCACATTCAGCTTTGACAACGACGAGCCTTCAGCCGCAGCTACGGCTACTACGTCCATCGGCTCCATTCTCAGTCCAGCTGGGTCCTCCTTGGCGGCTGACACAGGCGAAGGCGCCAGCAGCAGCGACCTAAGTGATTAGAGATTTTTTTACTGCACGCTTATGTATACAGACGTATAAGAAGACGTATTTGCTCACTACGGCAAACAATGACAAGATATGCAGATATCTATCGACCCATAAATCTTTGCGGGCCTAACGTCAACAGCCCAGCACCTACCTTTGTCGGAAAATAGCTGTGTTTGGTGGAAGGTAAATATCCAGCGCTGCTGCGCAACGTAAACAAAAAAAACGGTCAGAACATTGAATAACCGAGGAAAAGACTAGAGCGCTTATTCTGATCTTCCTGATTGCTCCCGCTCTCCGCTCTGCAAAACATATCCGACATTAGATCTCTAAGGGGCTGTCTGTTTTGGTGGCTGTGATATTTTCAGGAGAAAGCAAAAGAAACATATTTCTCTTGTTCCTCCTGCTTGGTCATCTGTTCTTGATATATGTCGACACTTTCCTGAGAAGTGTATGCAATAGCTCTTCGGACTTGGCTCCTGAGAAACGAACCGCTTTAGAACAGAAGAGAAACGCTCTTTGGTGACATCGTTACTTTTCCAAAAACGATACTTCACTCGTTCAGTATCCGTATCTCCCTAAGCTCCAATCGTTGGTCTTTCACTCGCTAAAAAACCCCCTTGCTATTACTCATCCGCCTTTAAAAGAGACAACATCAAATGAAAATTTTACATTTATTTTCGGCCTTCTCAGCCTTAGCAGCCTCGTGCTCTGCCCTTGATCCTATTGTCATTAAAAATAATACTTTCTGGGTTGGGGAAACAGATGAAAGATTTTACATCCGAGGTGCTGATTATCAACCTGGAGGATCCTCTAATTTGACCGATGCGCTAGCTGATTCAGACATCTGTTCAAGGGACATTCCGTATCTGAAGGAACTAGGCCTGAATACCATCAGAGTGTACTCGTTGGACAACACCTTGGACCACGATGAGTGCATGCAAAAACTCGAAGATGCAGGCATTTATGTCATTTTGGATGTAAATACCCCTAAAGCCTCGATATCCAGATGGAAAATAGAATGCTCATACAACACAAAATACTTGACAGAGGTTTTCGCTACTATTGACAGTTTTGCCAAATTCAACAACACTCTAGGGTTTTTCTCTGCTAACGAGTTAGTCAACGATGAAGATTCCTTTCAATATTCACCTTACATAAAAGCTGTCACCAGAGACATGAAGCAGTATATCAAGGCCCAGAAATACAGAACTATACCAGTTGGATATTCTGCAGCGGATGTATCATCTGTCAGATATGAACTCGCAGAGTACTTGAACTGTGGAGATGATCAAGATGCTAGAATCGATATGCTTGGTATCAATGACTACTCTTGGTGTGGGCGTTCTTCATTTTCGGTTTCCGGTTACAAGGAAAAGGTCACAGATTATACCGGCTACTCGCTACCAATCTTTTTATCTGAGTTTGGGTGTAACAAAGTCTCAGGTACACGACCTTTTACGGAAATTGGTACTATATACTCAACACAAATGTCTTCCGTATTCTCCGGTGGTTTGGTGTACCAATATTTTGAGGATGTCAACAAATATGGGCTTGTTGATGTCGATGGCTCTTCGGTCTCAATATTGCAAGACTACTCCAATTTGCAAAAGATGTACAATACAACCAGCAACCCCGAAGGTGATGGTGGTGCTGCCTACTACGAACACTCTGAATGTCCAACTAACTTAAACTTCAGCACGGCTATCCCACCCCAGCCTAAAGGTTTATCAAAACTAATCAAGTTGGGACCTCAAGGCAAAAACACAGGCTTTAAAGCAGACACTCAGCAGATATGTTCTGATGATGATGATGACACTTCTTCGGCTGGATCATCCGCGGTTTCTTCCGTTATATCATCCGCCGCAAAGTCTTCCACTTCATCCCACAAAACTACAAACCACTCTTCAGCAACACTCTCTACACAAACTACGTCTAATTCTCATAATTCATTGACTTCTGCAATTAAATCTGTTTCTTCCATCTCTTCTGCCACCAAGTCTAAAAACGGATCTGGCTCACTTCACAATCCGAGTAGCTTCATGTCTCTCGTTGCACTCTTAGCTGGTGCTCTTTACTTGTAGTTACTTATTTCTACAATTTCTTTTTCTATCCTTTTGACTTTTCATCCGTTGTACTACATATATACTTTTTCGTGTACTTTTAATAGCCTCTTTATCTACTAGTTTCCATGATATCTATAACTCTCCGACACGCTTTACCGTGAGGAAAAATAAAAAATAATGGAAAAACAATGAAAAATGAAGTGAAATTTTTTTGTACGTTATAACAGTTTCTCATACTACACTTATCACCTTGGTACAATACATACATTTTGTTTGACTGAAATTTGAAAGTGTTTAGCTGGATAGAGTCATGCTATCTTACAGAATAAGCACAAGAGGTGTGTGTGTTTTTCCGCCTCTGCTTTCCCCTCGTTGTCATATTTGTAATAATTCGTCACTGGCACACAATCAGCGCCCACAAGATGATCCTTCTGATATTCGAGCACAGTTACAATACCAAAGAAATTCAGACGTGATCAAAAACTTAAACATATTAGCAGAGGAAGATAATACAGAAGATGATGTGGAACCAACGACGTGTATTTCCAAGGGAACACTAAAACGAACTAACGTCCCGGAATATATTTCATTGACTCATTTCAATGATTCTGTGTCTAAAGTGCCGGAGTTATCACACAATCTTGCTTCTACCTTATTCTCACCAGGAGTGCATTATATGACAGACCCAAGAACAAATCATTTTAATTTTGATAAATCGCTAACGAATATCCCTCACATTGATACTTTAAAAATGGATAAGATAAGTCATTTTACTCCGTCATCAAGAGATACCAAACTCTTAGATATTGCAAACACGTTGAATAAGAGAAGATTGAAAAAGCATCCTCATAAGAAAGCACCTGCAGTGAAATTTTTCTCTTCTACTTCCTCGATGACCAGTGTGTTGATTAAGTTCCATAAATATCTCAGTCACAACCGGCCTATAAACACAACTTCATTTTCAAAATTCTATCCAGATGCAACACAATTTACAAGAACTTCCGATGTCCCAACATCTTTAGTTGTCACTCCCAAGGATGATGATAAGCAAATATATTCTTTGGATGCTGATAGATCAACTGATTCTGAGATTACTCTTTCAATTTTGGGGAATGCCTTAGAATTAATGCTAACTAAACCCTCTGAAGAATTCCAGAAATTTCTTAAATCTTCTAAAGAGGTACCTAAGGATGATTCCTCTGCATACCACTATGCCAAGATAGGGAAATTCCTAGTTAGATCACAGTTAGATGCAGTTGACACACGCCTGCCTGGAACAGGTACGTTTGATATCAAAACAAGAGCAGTTTGTGCAATTAGATTTGATTTAAGTCATACAGACTATTTCCCAACAAATTATGAGATAAATAAAACATACGGTCTTTTTGAAAGTTTTGAAAGAGAGCTCTTTGATGCTGCCAGAATCGTCATGTTTAAATACAGCTTGCAAGCAAGACTTGGTAACATGGATGGTATATTTATGGCGTTTCACAACATCAAAAAGTTTTTAGGTTTTCAATATCTACCATTAACCGATATTGATAATATCTTTTTTGGTGAATACTCTATTTTGGGTAAAAAGTACGGACAGAAAATACTGGACAAAACTTCGGAAGAGGCAAATGCAGAAGAAGTCAATACCTCTAATCAACTTACTTTGAAGAATATTGTTAATGATTTTGGCAACCACCATCAAACAAAGAGAGAAGTTCTTTCATCTTTTGTTGCGGATTATGAACTCCGACTTTCGATGAATTTGTTAGAAGCACTTCTTGAGAATATCGTAAAAGATACCAAAGGGAAACCATTTAGAATAATTTTCAAGAAAATTAAATCTAATATGATAACTCCACCAGAACCTAAGCCTGTGGAGGCTACCGATACAGAGACACCGAAGGAAAATATTACTGAAACCAAGACTGCAAGTGAGAAGCTTGAAAATATGGTAAAGCCTGATTCAACTGCAGAAGAATTAGCTTCTACTTCGGGTGCACCAGATTCAATTGTTGTCATTGTGAATACTCTTGAAAAAGAAGAGCTAAATGAACTGCAAATGCTCACCCAGGAAAAACTTGAACAGAGTAAACAAATTGTCAAAAATGCCCAAAATAATAAAAGCATGTCACCAAGTGACCGGATCAAATATTTTTCCAGATATGTTTCTGATTTCAGAAACAAATTTTTCAAATTGAACAGAGTCATTTTGAAAAACAGTGAAAAGGAAGGTTTTTTTGCATATCAACTACAAGCCGATCATTACTTCAACGGCACTAAATCTGAAGACAAGCATCCTATGCCTGCGATTGAGATTCTCGATAAGGATAGTGACTACTCTTGGGATGTGAAGTACTCTATCAACAGAATAAACAGAATCGCAGATAAGAAATATCTTTATAATAAGTTCATCAAAAATATTGCATTCACGTCATTCCGAGACGCTGACAGTGAGAGCAATATAGATGTTTACACCGACGAAGGTGATGTGCAGCTAGATGAAAATGCGACAGCATTGCAAAATATCACAAGAGCATACAGTGCCAAAGCTCTGAAAAGGAAAGAGCTATCAAAATCCAACCAGTAAATGAAGAGTCTGTATACTTGAAATCTGTATAAAATACTTTACAACACCGCCTTGTACATACACTACATTGATTTTTTTTTCACTTTTTTTATTTTTTTTTCAATTAATGCATCTCAGAACGTTAATATATACACATATCTATTTGTCTATTTGTCACACGACAATCAGGAATTTCCCCTTATCAACAAAGTTAGCATCATTCCATAAATCGTTATCGTTGCGTAAGGCTTTAGATTTGTCATATGTAGAATGGTCTACATTTGAAGAGTTTTTGGAGTAAATCTCGATCTTGGACTCTACTCCTGGCGAGTCGCATTCATCAATCTTGGGCACTACTAGTGCTTTCAACACTGACAATTTGATATCATTCGGTACGGATATTGCAAAAATGTCATCCTTATAGTAGAACTTCAATTTTAGCTTCAAGGAGGAGCTATTCTTCGAGGTGGGTGGGGTCTGTGATACTGTTGCACCTTGCGACACCACCGAATTTGTCGAGCTCTTCCTCGTCGAAGTGAAGTCGCCGACTTTATTGGATAGCGAGCTGCTCCTGTTGTTCAACTCGTACTGAGATTTCCTATCGTAATGAGATTGTGACAACGTCTCTGTCGGTTGGATGGAGCCTTGCTGCGCTTTTTGTTGCTGTTGCTGTTGCTGTTGTTGTTGTTGTTGTTGTTGTTGTTGTTGTTGTTGTTGTTGTTGTTGTTGTTGCTGTTGCTGTTGTTGTTGTTGTTGAAGATGTTGCTGCTGCTGCTGTTGTTGTTGCTGACTTGGTGATACTGAAGAAGGACGATGTGAGTTGTCTGAATTTATGATTTTCAAATTTGGGGCCGGGCGGTTAGGTTCTACAGGAACATAAGAGGTTTTCGAAAGAGTATTGTTTGAGGTCTCGTCACCATCCATGAGATCGAAAAAGGAGACAACCAAATTCGACTTGGAGATGTAGTCGGGTAACTGCAAAAGTATTTTCAAGTACTCGTTCAAGTCGATCAGCCTCTTGTGACACAAGCTCTCGGTGACGTCAATGACGGGTCCCGGAATAAAGGGCAGTATCCTTTCCTTTTTGTCCTTGGTATCAAACTTGCCCCCCTCGCGAGGCCAGGTGGACAAAAGCTTTTGGTGGAAGTTGAAGAAGTCCTCGTAGTACCTGCACAACGATCTGATGGATCCATCCGACATACCTACCCTGATCAAGAACCAGAACTTGTTGTTGGTGCTTGAGAAGGATTCAATGTTGGTATTGTCAGGCAAGACCAGCGATTCCGAGATGTTTTTGTTGAGAGGCGACTTGGTGATGGACTTCGATCTCACGTAGCCCTGGGACGATTGTCTCGACAAAGCGCCGTTGGAGGGGACGGTGTTGTCGTGCATGCCGACAGTTCTACTGCTGGCCTTATGTTTGTTTTTTAGGGCCTTCCACTCCTCCACAGTGGGTAAATTTTCATTTTCGATAATCGACCGGGGCGTACCCTTGTAAGGGATACGGGTGACGGCGTCGATCAACTGCACGTAGGACACAGGGACCAAGCCTACCTCGCCAACCTTGTTGAGAAACTTCGCAATGTACCACTCATACTCGTGGTGTGCACAAATGAAGATGCTGTCGCCGGCGGCGACGGAGAGCTCGTCTGACCGTTCTGCGTTGAAGTCGTACAACACAACGCCAAACAGGTTACCCAGAGCGGACTCTTTCTTGTTGCCGTAGGATGAGAACGACGAGGACGACGTTGTCGAGGTGTGGCGGGGCTGCGAAAACTCGTGCTGGGAGAACTGGCTCCCGTTGCTGGCGAACTTGTGTCCCATGCTGTTGCTGTTGCTGTTCATCCGTCCCGAGCTCGTGCTGCTGCCGGAGATCCGGTTCTCGCCGTCGCCGCTGCCGTTGGCGTGGTGCGTCTTCTCGAAGATCTTGAAACACGCCGCCGGAGCCCTTCCCTTGACGTTCTTGACCGGGTCAAAGATCTCAATCGTACCGTCCGAGGCCTGCACGGCGGATATCACATGAAAGAAGTCGCCTCGCTTGAAAGACAACTCGTTGCTGTTCCGTGCCCGGTGGAAAGAGGTTGCCTGTGCCACCTCTGTCGGCGCATTGAGTGGGTTCAGCGGGTCGTTCGAGGCGTACAAAGACGTCCCCGACGTCGTTCTCAGCTTCTCCTTCGACGATCTGTCTTTCGCCTTCTTGAATATCGATGCCATGGCTGCCGTGTTGCGTGTCTATCTCTGCTTCTGCTACTGCTGTTGCTGCTGCTTCTAGTGCCGCTGTCCTGTAGATACCCTCTCCCCCCGCCCCCGCTGTCCTCGCTGGCCCCTGTTTCAGCAAAGGAGCCGCCCAGAACAAACGCAAAGAACCAGGTACCTCACAGCATGCGTCAGGCTGGCGCTGTGACGACAACAACATTCACGACGACGCGAACGCTCTGCGCAGAAGGTTTTCGCAGCCCGTTCGGGCGCCGCCGTGTGGAACGGGGCCGAAGACCGTGAAGACCACAAAGATTGTGAAAAGGGACAGACGGAAGCAGAGGGGTCGTGGTGATCGTTCGTTGTGCTGCTACGGGATAAACAGGTTACACAGGAGCGGAGTACGGCACGCAGACCGCCAGAAGCCGCCGGCGGGTGGACGCCCAGGGGGTTCCGCGGAGCTGGCACTCCCGATACACCTCTCGGGCCATGTCGCAGTCGAGCAGAGTGGCTCTGCCGTCGTCGTTTTGGATGTTTGCGGTGTCTGCGTCGGCGAGCTGGTCCGCAGACTCGGTAGTGAATATGACGAGGTCGTTCACTGTTATCGCTCTGAGGAAGTCGTGCTCATGCTCGGGGAAACGCGGCAGCTCCTGCTTGTACTTGGTGTTCTGCACCTTCTTGATGAGTACCAACTCGCCAATGTCCAGACATCCGTCGGAAGAGGGTTTTCTGTTGTGTGCTCCGTGGTCGACGTCGACACGGACCTCTGGTGCAGGCTGGATCGAGGCGGCGTCGCCTCTGGCGTGGGCCGCATCGCCGGCCGTGTCGCCGGGCTTGTTCTGCAACTTCTCGAGCTGGTGGTTGATCCCGATCGCACCGCCGGGGTGGTGGACGCTGAACACAGCCTTGCGCACGCTGTAGTCGTGGATGTGCAGCTCGCTGAGGGCGACGGCGACGGCGTCCAGCAGCGTCAAGCACACCGTCGTCGTGATCGTCGGGGCGCTGAGGCCGTACAAGCTTGTCTCCGAGAGGCTTGTCGGGACCTCCGCCAGCAGCAGCGACACCACCTTCGGGTGCTTGGCAAGCACCGAGGCCTTGCTGCACGTCAGGAGCACGATCGGCACGCTCAGCGGCACGTACTCGAGCATCTGCAGCAACTCGGGCGAGTTCCCCGACGCAGAAATGATCACCACCGCGTCGTTGTGGTCCTCCCGGATCATGCCTAGGTCCCCGTGCAACGCCTCCGACGGATGGAGAAGCGCCGAGTGCATCCGCAGCGAGTTCAGCGTCGCCACCGTCTTGCTGGCGATCTTGTACGACTTCCCCATCCCGGACACCACCACTTTGCCACCCACCTTCAACGCGTTGTTCAACACCCGCAGCGACGTCTTCATCTGCGCCACCGCCCACGGCGACGTCCGATACTGGCCCGTCACGTATGAGAGCGCCTTGGTCTGGTTCGACAAAATCAGGTCCACGTTCTGGATCGCCCTTTCCAGCACCGGAGAGGCGTCGTCCTCGATATGCAACGAAAAGTCCGACGACTGTCTCGTCAATGGCGTCGACGACACCGACGAATTCGACCAGCTCTCCATCCTCTCTGCTAAAGCGCCTAGTGTCTACCGTCCAATGTCTAGTGTCCTTCACACCTGTGATTGCGTCTGCCTCTCTAATGCTCCAACAACTTCCTTCCCTTCTGTTTTTCGGCCCTGCTTCCACCCGAACCCTTTTCTGCAAGACCCTCCTGGCCCGTCCGACACAAACCCGCCAGCCCTCGGCGCACGCCTTTCTCGCCCCCGCCTTCCCGATGCGGAAGGCAGCGGCGAGGGCGCCACACCTCCGGAAAGACACATCACCACATCACCACATCACCACATTACCCCATTACCACACGTCCTCCCGGTACCGGCCCATGCTCTGCATGTACTGCACATACTGGTCGCCGCTCTTGAGACTGCCACGGGCCTGCCCGAGGACGTCGACAAGCACCTTGCGCACGCCGTGGCTCAGGCCGCCGGCGTCGCCGCAGACGTAGACGTGGCCGTTGCGGCCGACGAGCTGGTCCACCACGGCGACGGCGTCCTCCCGGAGAAGGTCCTGCACGTACTTTTTGGTGCGGATGCCGTCGGGGCTGGTGGAGGCGCCGCCGGAGACGGCCAGACGCAACACGAGTCTGTCGCCGAGGACACGGCGGAACTCGTCGAAGGAGTCCCGGTAAAGGTAGTGCTCGTCCGTGAGACTGCGGAGTCCAAAGTAGACGACGATCTGGGTCACCTGCTTCAGCTTGTGGGGCTGCGCACAGATCTCCTGGAGGAACCCCCGGAAGGGCGCCATGCCGCTGCCAGCACCCACAAAGAGCATGGGTCTCGCGAGGGTGCTGGGTAGCTTGAACTTGGACCTTTTCACGTAGATCGGCAACCGGTTGGCACCGGCGATGTCCGCAGCGGCAGCGTTCCCAGCGGCAGCGCCGTCCCGGTCTCGACCACCGATAATCTCCTCGATCGTCCTTGAGCAGACCCCGTCAAAGCCGCTGCCGGCATCCTTCACCAGCTTCAGCATCACCCCCACCCGGTCCGGCTGGACACACTCGCTACTCGAGATGGAAAACAGTCTTGGCTTCAGCGGACCCAGGTATTCCAAGACAAAGGATACCGGTATCGTGTCGTAGTGCGTGCCCCTGGTGATTCCGAACTTCTGGAAAAACTTCACCAGCGTCAGTCTCCGGTCCAAAACCTTCTGTCGGAACACCTCTTGCGATGCAATTAGCATTCCCAGCTCCGCCCGGAGCTCCGTTGCAGACTCTCTAATGAAATAGCTCATCAAATCCTGCACAAGCTTCCGGGAGAGAGCTCCGTTGATCTCCACATTGTGGGTGAAAAATTCTCTGTAGGACGGGAACACTTTTCCACGCCATCCCGACGTGCCCAATCGTTCGAATGGAACAGCAATGAACGGATCAGCCTTCTCGTCGAGCCCCAAAATATGCAGCATCTCATCAACATCGCCCCTCGAGTTTTTCGGATAGATTCCGACATGGTCCCCCGCTTGGTATTTCAGCCTGCTCTTTTCCTGGTGAAGCTCGAGATCAAAATGCACATAGTTTGAACCGTATTTCCTCACGCTTGCCAAGTCGATGTCGCTCACAAAAGGTTTCATCTCCTGGTACGGGTGCCTCTCAGTAATCGATGCCTGCATGTTCATTTCATCTGGCTTTAAAATTCGGTACAGAGGGACATACTCTGTTCTTTCTTTGAGGGGTACATTCAGAAGACGAGAGATCACAGGTTGATAGTCAAAGCTCCACGCGTCGTAGTCGTCCAAAACACTGTTGTTGGCCTCGTTGCCTTGGCCAAATTCCCCGACTAGCGTGCACCCGTTTGACTCCATTAGCTGCTTCAGCTCAATAGCTGCAGCCTGATACTTGTCGTAATACGTATTCCCGCATCCAAAGAGACTGTATTGTTTCAGCTTTGTTCCCCACCGCTTTAGAGTCTGGAAAAATTTCACACCATCATCACAAGGTTCACCCTCTCCATACGAACTAATGAAAAAAATAACAATTTCGTATTCTTCAAGCTTCTTCAGTGCTTCTGGTTCTTCAAAATCCCCCGTGTTTCGTACGATCGAAAGATTGAAGTCTTCCGTCTTCCAGTTGAGATCATTGCAAAAGCGCTCAGCTAAACTCTCCGATGTACCCGATTGTGAAGAAAAACATGCCAGAACTCGGTTGGGCTTGCCATCCATCTCCAATTTTTGCAATTAATTGCTAGCAAACGGTTTGCTCTAGCCTCGATTCTGCTGGTTCCTATTCCCACATACACCCCTTCATGCAAAAGCTATCAGCAGTTCACAAGGAGTCTACTAAACTCTGGAAATTCTCACCGCGACTGTGAAACACAAACTGGCGTTTAATTGTTGCAATTACAAGACGATAGATATATAGAGATAATGGCGTTACACAATTCATGAGACCTCCGCAAGATCCTTGATATATTTGTCGATCATCTTTTCAAAGCCTGTAGCAAAAGTGAGACCCAGCACCATCTGCCAATTTCCTCCGTTAGGAATTTTTTCAAAATATCTGCCCTTTTCATATATCGTGAGCCATCCAATTTTATAGTCGTTCGGTGAGTCGTCCTTCGGATGTCGGCTGTAGAAGCCGTCCTTGGCATTGTAAAATTTGTCGTAATTGGAACCTGCTGGATTATCCAAGTCAGTAACATTCTCTGACATTTCCTCGTCCTCATCTTCATCGTTATCGTAGTCGAAATCATCATCGTCATCGTCAACATCATCGTCATGGTCGTGTTTACGGCCATCCTTCAAGTTTATGTTGGAGAAATCAACATTAAGCTTGTTTGCACTAAACAACTTCTTTGAATCAGACAAATTCATGTTGAATTTTGAGTTCACCAGCATTGACTTGGTCAACTTATTCTTGACGTCCCTATTACAGGGCCTAAACACGGAAACTATTGGGTCAAACCATTTTCTTTGCTTGAAAAAGCCAGTATCTAAAAAGTAAACAGATCCGGGCTTGGCGAGTTTCACGCCGTCAAATTTGCTCTTGATGAATAACGATTTTTTTTTCTCCTTTATCACACATACGTGCAAAAAGTCTCCCATTGTGTAATCATCAGCCAAAACGAGATTATTAGCAGCATCATAAATATTAGCCGCCTTATCTTTCTCCTTTTCTTTATCCTTTTTCGCTTCATCTGCGTCCGCATACGGGTTATTGATGTTTTTCGACGGCTTAGCGTTGCTGTTAGTAAATTGGAAGTTCAAGTTTCGGACACTTTTGCTGTTGTTTTCGTTGACGTTGTTGTGGAGATTCCAATCTTGCTGAAACTCATTATACTGGCAACTGATCTTATAGTGTCCTCCGAGTTCCTTCGGTACTTTCTCAATCACAAAAGGTCTGTAGCATCCGTCATATCCGTTGATACCGATCACCTGCTGTTGAGTGAAGACCAGTCGAAATCCTTTGTCAACTTGACTTCGGTTCTTAAATGCAGAGGTAAACGTAGACTTTTTCTTTTCCTCTCCCTTCACATTTTTATCACCACTGTTGGCTTCTGTCGGTAGTTCGAGCTTGACAAAATAACTCGGTGCGTTCCTTATGAACCGATGACGTTTGTCCGGATTTGTGGTCATGTAAAACTCGTGCGGTGCTAGCTTCACTATGTGATATTTCCAAAAGTTCTGCTGTCTATAAGAGGTTCTCAAATTTTCAATTTCACGTGAAATACTAGGATCTTTGATCTTGGGAGGTTTTGTTTGAATACTACTGTCCTCATTATTTGAACTGACAGGAGTATGATTGTTGGATAGCGAGTGGTTCACGCTGGTGTTGACTGCAGATACTGGTGCCCTCTTCACCAATGGCATCTGTGATAGTGATGGCGCAGAAGTGAGATTGCTATGTTCTGTAATGCTGGATCTGATGGATGTTGTCGATGCAGTTGTGGTTCCGGAAGACGGAGCAAATCGTGAGCTACGTTTGCCAGCATTGTTGCTATTGCTGCTGCTACTGTTCTTGTTGCTACTATTTGGTTCTTTGATCTCAGGGCTTGATGCATTGGGAGAAAATGCTCTAACACTTGCACGTATGCTGTTCCGTGAATTTAGGCTTAGACTCGATCTGGGGTTTGCACTTGAGCCAGATGGTGAGTGATCACCGTTCGGCCCTTCATCAGTGGGTTTCAAGACAGACTTGCGGGATAGTGAGTTCAGAAAGGACACCATAGTTGTGCTGCAGCTACATATTATTTCTTGCAGTGTGAAAAGCGTACATCTTCTTTGAGGCTAACAACCGACCCCGAAGACTCTCTCTTCTCACAGACAGCAAAATTTCATGGAGGGCTCGCCGTGCCATGTGAGGGAAGAAAGCGTGTACTGTGTATAATAACGGCAAAGAATTTATTATAGCTATAGAATTTGCTTCTATAATGCTAAAACATGATTCATAAGCAGTATAATACTGGGTTACATAAATATCCATTTATACATTCAAAGTAAGTGCCTAGTCTTTGTGTGTGGCCTGTATTAACCTTTTTCTAGCATTGGAATTTTGTTCTGCACTGACAAAATCCTTGACTATAGCTGTATTTAGCCGTCTTTGTGTCGCTTTAATTTAAGAATATCTTGTAACTGCTCCAAAGTATTTTCCATTAGTAACTTATAATGATAATTGTCAAAATATTATGTTGTTACCTTTTAGAGAGTTTAGTAATTTTGATGTCTCCCACCTTACACTTGTAACATAAAACCCTAGATTTTTTTGATGTTTCTATCGATGTCATAAGATCAAGTAAATCAGCGACATGCATTATAAAATATCTTTGGAACTTCGTCCGAAATGCAAATAACAAGTGTTGAAGTGTCAAGTCCTAGATTAAATAGTGCGGCTGGAAGTGTGTACCAAAAAATCAGTGGAGCATTTGTCAATCCATATAACGCCTTTCCCGGATTCCACCTACGTATTACTGCGTAGGGTGGCAGAAAGTAAATTTCAACTTTCCAATTAAGGATGTGTTCTCACGTTCATGACATAAATCCATTTTTTCCACTTATACGTAATGAATATCCTATTAAATCCATTGCTATCATTGGTTGGAAAGTCTATCGTCGGTACTTTTGCAAAGTTCTATACAACAAGTCCTGTTTCAAACCGTTTTGATCCCTTTTTTTTTCTCAGTAACGTTGAAGATGCATCTTCCCTCAATAAAGTACTTACCTCCAACTTGATGTCTAGAAAGTGAAGTGTAGAGATTCAATTTTTTGTTCATTGCTTCGAGCTCTTTTCGCATGCTTGGCTGCACAACTTCTTTTAAAGAGCATTCATTGTCATTTTTTGAGTATCGGGTAAAAATACATATTGTTGGGTACAAGCAGATTAATTTGACGTTGATCTTTTGGAGTCTTAGATTGAGAATTTCTGATGTGAACAACGTATTCACTTTACCACTTGAAATCTTTTGAATCACAGATCAAGCTTTCCGCTCTGATGTATTGTTGGGCTGTTTAAATATAAAAACTGATCCAGGTGTATGCAACCGTTTTGCTAGTTTAATGGTAAATATTGATCCATTTTTTCGCCGATATAATTCACTGTGAGCGGGAAAGTCCAAATTTTCAAACTATGGCCTTGAAATATTGGTTCTGTGTCGGAGTTGAAGCATAAACTTTGGGTGATTTGGATGGGTGAGTTAAGGGTCGAAGTTTGTCCCGCGCGTCTAGTTTTTCCAGGAACGGTGGAGCATTGCTCCGGAGGACAAAACTTGTTGAGCTTCGTTTGTTGTCTGTCGATTGTAACGTTGCCGAAACAATAAATGATGAACAAGTCCTTTTTGGTTCGGTGGGTAACTAAAAAGGCCGTTACTATGAGATTATTCAAAGCCTTTTAGTCGTTAAGATTTCAGTCAATCATTTAGACTTTGCTTATTCCCAAGTTGTGTTTGGTTGGAAAGCAATATCCGTTGTCGATAGACAATAATCAGTTCTGATTGGGTGTATAACAAACAATAAAGATGTTAACGATTAAGGAACACTTCACTGTTATTTTTTTTTATTGTTAAAATTTGCTGATGCTGGAACGAGTCAGTTGGCCTTTTGCATTGGGCATCAGATGTTGTTGAATGGGAATGATCCAAAATGGTTTTAAGCTTTTAACTTTTTGGCTGTTGTTTTGAACCTGGCTGTATTTATCTTTGGGATGATGATAGATTTTGACAGCACTAAATCATCGCTTATGATAACCCTTTATAGTAAGTTGGAATGTTTAAAGCCAATGGCAGAAATATATCCATATTCCGCATTATAGGAGTCAAACCTCTGTTTAAGCTCATAATTTTTTTATATCGAATGTATACTCGGAACCTGGAAGGGATATATCAAGGAAAAAGTTTGAAAAAAAGAAGCTTATTATTCGTTGCTGTTTATTTACAGATTCAATGGAATAGTTCAATACTACCACCTAAATTGCGTTTCTTTTGATCAAAATTAAATTCCACTAAATTTTCGTTAAACAAATTCGGAGAGATCTGACTTTTACACTATGTAATTTTGTATTCGAATGGAGGTATTTACTTTGATTTCAACATGTTTTTTGCGAAAAAACCTTGAGGTTTAGATCCATTTGATTGAGGTTTGTACAGACTTTGCAAATATATTGCGTGATTAAACGCATGTGTCTTATTGCATAAGTACATTACCACCTAAAAGTCTTTCTCCATCATAATATAGAGTACTGTTCATAATCTCCGCTGCGTCTATTTGGCATGAAAAATGAGGTTTGTGATATTTGAAAACGAACATTATGTCTTGTTAATAGATCATTTACTTCTAAAAACAATTCAAGATCGACTCGGACAAATCACAGTACTGTGAGCCGTGTGTCCAGTATAAAATGAACGTAGTTATCGTTGCGGACACTTATGGGGAGCACGTCGGGAATTTTTTGCTTGTATTGCTTCAATGCAAAATTCTTTCTCTGCTATCGGATTGAAGTCATCAGTTAAGTAAGATAAAACACTTTTGTGAAAAAATAATAGACTGCCTCTTGCAATTTATTTCAACTTTCCTGGAAGCATCTTCTTGTGCATAAGCCCCATATTTTCATGCGTTGTATGTTAAACTTTGATTTTAAATCAGTCAAATAAAAGTCTTTCTCCAGCTCTGGTGACATCTCGTTAAGCATTGTCAGTGTTACAAAAGTCCAGAAATAAGTTGCCGTTCCGAATAGACCTGAAACAAAGAGATGATGACGTTTCACTACGGGATTTCATCCTTAAAACAAAATGAATCTGTGGCATTCAATGATTCGATCTTCATTGATGATTATGATCATTTTCATCCTTCTTTTAGCCATTGGCTATCCTCCTTCGGTCTTGGTATTGGTTTATCCTAAACTGTTTCTGCGCGAGTTGTACTAGCAAGCATATCAAACGTCTTTATCACAAAGCAACCTATCTTGCAGAATTACTCGAGATGCACGTAAAGATTTATATTCAGTAGACTTTTCTCTATCGATTTCTAGCGGTTATGTTTTATCAGTTGACTCAAGTCACTGGATCAGCACCAACATGACCGTCCTTATGATCAAATCAATGAAAAGGGGAAGTATATTCAACGGTTTGCAATTTTTTTATTGCTCTGTCAGTGAACAGATCATATTTTTTTGATTTTACTCAATCAATTAAACAAGACAAATTCACTAAACTATGACGTATTGTAAAATCTGTATTATTTTAGGCCACTTAAGCTAAACTAAAGCCGGAATACATTTCTTTAAAGATTTCATTTTCAAAATAAACAACATATCCACTTTGGAAGAATGCGTCAAGCTGATTGGAGAACGATCTATTTCAGTTAACATTGTCAAGACAATAAAATATCCTATTATTTTAAGACCAAACCTGACAATTTAGTAGACTTAATCATGCAAATCAAAATTTTATAAATCAGCAAAGAGGAAAGCTGGTGGGCTTTTTAAGTGGAGCTAGAGTTTCGATGTTCTTAGGATTCCATCGTTTCTGTCTTCGTTGAATAGAACTGAGAAATTCTGCAATCAGGTTTATGTTTTTGTTCCAGTTACCCTATCAATGGTTTGTTTTTAAGGAGCACCCAACTTATTCTAGAGGTGATTCGCCTTGCTTCAATTGTTTATGGAAAAGTTTTGTAGACAGTAAATCTACATAAATAGCGACGAAAATATTCTCGCTGGAGGTATTAGCTAACATTCATACTACATGATTCAGCAGCTTTATATAAGTTACATAGAATTAGGGCTTACTCCTAATGAGGATTATGATAGAGGAGAATCGATTTTTTTTGTTTAATATGCTAGAAGCTGACATATAGTGAAAGAGTTAGGGTTTGATGCAATCAGAAACAAAACAGTAATGGAGCTGGTCATAGATTTCTACTTTTGAAAAATCGCGTATGTAAGCGATTCGTGCACACACTTCTGGGGGGTAAAAAAAACGAGTATAATTATAAACATTAAACTTTTACGCTCTTATGATAAGATGCAGCTAATATTATATGATAATCTATACATTAATTTTTGCCTGAATAAAAATAATTTTTACGAATGCCTGTCTCCCCTGGCCCCTACTTCACCACATTGTGCTTCATTCTTGTGACAAAGCTTTCTACTGTCTTGTGCTCTTCTGCTGCTTCGCCCCAGAAGTAAAGGCAAATCTATCTGCCAAAGACGACACGGAGGACAATGAAGTCAACTTTTGAGAGCCGTCGAAGTTGCTCAAGTTAGAATTAGTCTCTGTGCTTCTTGTCACTGCCTGGTTTGGGAGCTGCTGAATTGGAGGCCTTCGGTAGCTGGAAACTTGCTCCTCAGCAATATTATCCATGTTTGGAAGTCGAAAAGTGGCATTTCCACCACCGTTACTCTGTCCGTAAGCCCTAGGAACCAGAGTTTTGGTGTTTGGCATGTATGCATTGGAAGGGTTAGAAGCCCATGGTGGTGCCTGTTCTTGACCTGGAAAGGGGGCGTGGTACTGTTCTCTCCCTGCTACCAAGGGCTGACCTGGGTATGATGGAACTTGAATTGGGAGCCTGAACCCATATTGCTCATGCATTTGGTTACTGACCATCATTGGTGGAGGTGGAAGTCCGGGTACATGAGAAACTGATGCTACGTGTTGTGGTTCTGAGATCGCTGGTAAACGTACATGCTGTGGCAGTGAAGGGTATTGGGGTACGGGTGGAAGCGTCTCATAAGATGAAGGTTGCAGTATTGGCTGCAGAAGAGGCACGTATGGCGCCTCCATGTATTGAGGCACAGTGGAGCTTGGTTGAAACGCTCTCTCACTAAACCGTGTCTGAGGAGGTATTTGAGGATGACTGCCGTATGATTGAGGAGCCATCATTTGCACTTGAGGAGGATAATGTGCTGCCAGGTCTGGATAGTATGCATACGCAGGATTTTGTGGCGGTTGCTGCTGTGGTTGTTGCTGTTGCATTTGCTGTTGTTGTTGTTGATGCTGTTGTTGGAAGATGGGTATCTGCGGGGTATTCTGATGGACGTTTGTACTCGTTGGTACACCTGCTCCTTGATAGTAATTCTTGTAGTCAATAAGAGGATTTGTGTTAACACGATAATCGTGCTCTCCATAACTGTTTGAAAGTGGCTGGCTGTATTTGAAACTCTCTGACCTATTCACAGAAGGTTTTGGGGAGATTGTGTTCGAAGGTTGCTGTAATACATCATTGTATGGCTTGCTGGTCAATTCGTACTGGAGCTTTTGCGGTGGAGACAGGTGAGTATGCTTTGCGGTAAAATCAGCAGCCTCACCTTTGGATGGTTCCTGCGCAGTCTGATCCTGTCTCGAGGATACGAGATGGTATCTTTTTTCAAGATACTTACGCTTTCTCTCCTGCTTGATCAAGTACTGCTGATATGTGGGTGGATTGGGAGGGTCTTTCAAACATTCGTCTCTCCTGTCGTACTTCTCGCAGTTTCCGCATGGTATTCGCATATCACATTTGATTTTGTGAGTTTTACATGGTCCGCAATTGTACGATCTTCTGAATCTCTTCTTTTTCGATTGCAGCTGAAAGGCTTCGACAGAAGGGTCACTGCCTTGGGTGTCCTCTTTTGTAGAACTGCTTGCGGGCTGCGCATCTTTCTGCTTCGAGGCGTTGTCGGGAGAAGATTTTCGGGCCGAGGAAGACGACGACGAGTAGTCCTCGTCCGACTGCGGGTATTTCTGGAGTGTTTGGCGGAGGAAGTTGGGTTGCTTTTGAGAAGCAGACGGCTTCAGCAGGACGTGCTGCGGAAGCGGCGCTTCCGAGTTGGATTCGGCTGTTGACTCGGTCTTTGGGGCTTCTTGTGCTGTCTCCAGGACGATATTCTCGACGCTGGAGTGCTTCGGAGAGGTTTCAGTGTCGCTGGTGGTGGAGGCTGTGGTAGTTTGGGGTGCGTCTGTTGGGGCGGTAGCATGGCTCTGGGGGGGCTTTTCCGTTCTGGGGAAAGACGTGCCCTCCGTGTCGGGCTTCTTTGCAGCAGTGTCGGCGGAGGCTATGGGGGTGTCCTCGGAGGAGGTGCTGCTGGAGCGACGTGGGCTCGTGCCGCTGGCATCCTCGTCCTTGCGGGACATTCTGTGTTGACGACGGACGGGGAGAGTAGGAGGGAGGGGCGCCACGGCTGCTGCTTGCGTGCTTGCCGGTTGGTTTTCTCGTTTCTGTGTTTATGCCGTCGGAACGGGGGTGGCTGGGAGAGCAGTATGGCGCAGAGAGAGGACCAGCACAACGGGCACGCCAAGCCGGTCCGACACCAGACCAGCGGTGACAAGCGCAGACGAGCCGGATCGAGCACGGTGAAGAGGGTCGGGGAGCAGCGCAGAAGGAAACCCCGGTGCGTGAGGGTGTGAGAGATCCACGAGACGTCAGCGCCCGTCTAGTCAGACAGACGGGCCAATTCTGCATGGATTGACCTGTATCGGGCGATCTGCGTGCGTGCCTGTGTCCCCGATCCGACAATAGGCCGTGGGAGGCAGCGGCAGAGAACCTGGGACGGGGCGGGGTGAGCAGGAAGCAGTGCCAGCCAAGCCTAAGGCCGGCGCCTGCCAACGCACGCCAAAGCAGGCCCGGTCGGGATAGGGGACACCGGTCGGGGTGTGGAGCAGAGGATCTGCCCGGTGCGTCACAGGCACCGTGGTGCCCGCCCCAGGAGGCGCGTCCGAGCGTAGTGCCGAGGGCGTTAGCGCAGGCACCGGCAGAATGCGGGCGAAATAAAGTTCACGCGCGGGGCGCCCGTGTTCGTTCTGCAGCACACGCACGTACATATATGCCGGGAGGCAGGCACCGGCCGGCGGAACGAGGGTCCTGGGAGCCACGTCGACGTGGGTCCCGACGTGCTGGCTGCCGGAACTGCTGCTGCGCTCCCTTCACGCTGCCTGCCCGCCGTGGGTGCGGCCGCGGGCTGCCGTCCACGACTGCCGTCACGGCACCCTGCCATCGCTCGTGTCGGCGCGGGCGGCGGTTTTGCCCCGCGTACAGCGTCGCGCTTTGCAGCGGCGGCAGCGGCAGCCCGGACGGCGCCCAGCCCCGGCTCCCGCCGCAATCTGCAACGGTTGGCGCACGCCCGCGCGGGCGGCCCACAACCACACGGAGCGCGGGCGCGCGCGACCCCAGCCGGGCCGGCCGAATTGGCACACCGTCGGTCCGAGCAAGCGAAGAAAAGCGGCGGGCTTAGCGCCAAACGGCCGGGCGCGCCGCGCATCCCCTGCCAATCCAGCCCCGTCGAACAATGTTTGCCGGCTAGGCGATGCCCTCGACTAGCAGTCGGCCAGTCAAACGCACCGTTAAGCCGGCCCGCGCCTACACAGCGTAAAAACGATGCAGGTGTCGAATGTCGGGGGCCACAGGAAGGGGGTCCCCTCGCGGATCCGGGGTACCCAACGGGTGGGTGGGCAGAAGCCGCCAGGGGGGCGTGCTGAAGCTTCAACAGTACAGAAAATATACATGACGCTAGTTGGCGGCCCTGGAGGGGCTGGCACTGGCGGCGGGTGGCGGCCTAGGCACCGTCGCTGTCGGTGTCGCTGGCGTCGCCGCGGCGGCGCTTCTTGGTCCTCGCGTGGGCGGCGGCGTCCCACTTCTCGAACTTGTATATGCGGGCGTCCCGGGTGCTGGCCCGCTTGTTGGTGCTACCGGCGCCGGCGGTGCGACGGTGGCTGTAGCCGTCGTAGTACCGCCACTCGAGGCGGCCCGAGCGCTGGACGCTGTAGCCGATGCTGTCTCTGGCCAGCTTCTTGATCTTCCACGAGTCGTAGGGCTCGCCGCTGAACACAGTCACGGTAATCACGTCGGAGTCGCGCGGCTGCTGCTTCTTGCCCAGGGCCGAGAAGTACGCTCCGTGTGCGTCCCCGTCGCCGTCCTCGTCCTCGTCCTCGTCGCTGTCCTTGTCCTTGTCCTGGTCGTCCTGCTCCAGCGCCTTGTACCCGGACCGCGTGCGCAGCTCCCGCTGTCTGCGCAAGATGGAGAAGAACTCCCGGCAGCTGCCAAAGAAGCGGGAGAGCAGCTCCTGGTTCTTGATGATGTTGCGCTCGACGTCGGAGATGTGTTTGCCAATGTGCGGGAAGTTGAAGATGATGCTGTTCACCGTCAACCCGCCCAAAACTTCAATGCTCTTCCCGCTGCCGTCCCCCTGCCGCTTGCTCCGGATGTTCACGCCCAGTGTCTCCGCAAGCCGCGTTCCGTCTATCCCGTGATACACTTTCGTCACGCCCAGCTCCCGCAGCTCCTGCAGCGTGGCGTCCACGGTGTCCGGGTACTTGCTGTGCAACTCGTCGAGCGTGTCAAATGACGTTGCTATCACGTTCTTTGCCTTGATCAGCTTTTTCTTCACGATACTCAGCGTGTACGAAAAGTCGCCGTCTCCGACAATGAGAATCCGGTCTTTCTTGTCAAACGGAACGAGAACTTTTTTCTCATCGAGAGGTGTTTCGCTTGCGGCCTCCTCGTCCTTTTTGCTGGCGTCTGCCGCTACCGTTTTGCTTTTGGGCTTCTTTTTGTTACCTGGATAATGGATCTCTTTGTTGTTCAGCTTCTGCAATTTTGTTTTTCTCTGCTGCTGCTCGCTCTGATGTCTCGCAAGAGCACTGGCAAGCGCACCCTTTCCCTTCTTTGCCATCGTGTTGCTCGGCCGATTGGATACCTCAACTGCTGTTCATTATGGTTATCGTAGACTAGGACAAATTGTCGAATAAAGATAAAAAAAAATATTACCTGTTTTTTTCAAGAGAAACTACAAAAAATATTATTTTTATCAATCGGAGAGCAATTACGTAAGCTGTGCAAGAAACAGTTTCATGTAGGGAATACCTTCTCGAGTGTTTTCAAGGTGAAGGTTTCCTCAGATAACGGATCCACTACTACGGTGTTTGACCGAGCATTGTCAGGAAACGTGAGACCATCCCGGCAAAATCTGTCTATCGACAAGTGTCCGTCGGCAGAAATGATTCCCTTGATCAAGCTTTCCGACGGTAAAATAGGTCGCTCAAGGTTGTTCCGGTTATAAAACATCAACTGGCTGTACGAATAGATGTGTTTATTCGGAAGCATCACCGGATCATCAAAGAGATTCGACTTGGTCTGTAGCGAGTGGGGAAGTGGGTATGTGATGTTGTTGAGCTCGACCGAGCAAATTGGACACTCCGTGCTGCTCATGTACTTCTTCAACGGGTCGTGACTATTTGCAGAGGACACAAAGTTTGCAAACCCACTTTTGCTGCCATTCGATGCCAAATGGATGCATGACTTTGTCTTCAAAACAGAACCGCCAATGCTGAGCATCGTCTCCAATGCTGGGATCTGGTTCATGCCGTATAGTAACTTGAAGTTCAAAGAAAAAAACCGTCCCAAGTTGTCCCACGACTTCGAAGACAACATGTCCATAAAGATATTCTTGAAGCTCGTTGGAGGTTGTGGTTTTGAGCACGAATTGTAGAAGCTAAACACGTCATCGGTTTGACTTCGGCTGTGGTTCCTCAGGTTTTTCTCACCAAAAGATTGCATTATGAACTGAGACCAAATCACTGAGGAACCTTTGGCAATCTTCTCAAACCGATCCATTATATACTTATTTGACAAATTCTTCCTCCCATACACCAATGCCTTGCCATACTCTCCCTTGTTAATTTTCTCTATGAATTCCTGAAAATCGCATTCGAACTCTATATCGGAAGTAACCAATTGCGGGAAGGATTCTCGAATGTGAATCAAGTTCTTTTTGTTCTCGGTGCACCATTGCTTAAGAAGCTTCAAATTCTTTTTGTTGACTATCTCATCCTGGATTTTCAGACCCTGCAACACAATGTCGGCGTCGACGTACTTGTCGAGTTCAAGCTGTTTGGACAAAAGAATTGCTGGATTCTCTGAATCCTTGTATTCGTCAGGTGGATACTGTCTTAGTAGGTATTCAATAATCAACAAGTTATTTTCAGTTCTGTAAAAATCTTGAAGCTCTTTCGGGAGCCCGGAATCGATGTCTTTCTTTGTCATGTGGGAATACTTGTTGTACAAGTCGTTTATGTGGTCCAATTTTTGGATCCGCAACACAAGCCTGTTCACGTATTCGCTATGCTGTTTGACCCTCGTTGTTACACGTTTCTGGAAAAGCTTTTCATGTTCAAGAAGCTTGTCTAGAAGCGCAATCTTTTGTTTCTTATCTGTGGTGGTTTTGATCTTGGCAAGTTGTTTGTTGATCAATAAGTTATTGCGTTCAATGAGTTTCTGGAGGTTTTTGAAGTTCTTCTTGAGAATCTCAATGGGTGTCTTGAATTGGGACTTTTTGTAGTTGATGTAAAAATCCGGACTCTTGATCACCTCCATGGCCGGATATCCTCTTGATCGATACCAACTGCCTTTGATGAAGGCAGACCTTTAGAAGTAGGTGCCATCGGCATGCAACGCCCTTATCGCAAACCTGGCTATCAAATATTGTAGGAGTAGTGCGAGAATTGGAAGGTGCGGGAAAGCGATTTAGAAATATATTTAGAACTGGGATCGGGAATAGGAATACTTGAATAGTTAATAATAAATAAATAGGTTATATAGTAAGATGTATGTTATATAACGTTGCAAATATATATTCATATACGGAATGTATGTTGGAATATTTAAATATATAAATAGAAAGATAGAAATGGGGTCATCGGGATAGCAGTAATTTATTGGAGAATAGCTTTGCTTGGGCGTGAGCTATTTAGTTTGCTAACTTGGCCAAAACAGCGTCAGTGAACTCGGTAGTTGAAGCACTACCACCGATATCCTTGGTGATGGTCTTACCTTCGGCCAGAACAGCCTTGGTTGCGGCAGAAATTCTTTCAGCTTCTTCGTGTAAGCCCAAGTGTTCCAACATCTTGGTTGCAGACAAGATCATGGCAGTTGGGTTGGCGACATTCTTACCCTTAATGTCCAAGCCAACGTGTCTACAACCTGGTTCGAAGACAGCATAGTCTCTACCGTAAGAGGCACCTGGAACCAAGCCTGGACCACCGACAAGAGCAGCACCGACGTTGGAAAGAATGGCACCGTACATGTTTGGAGTGACCATGACATCGAATTGTTGAGGCTTGGAGACGGCTTGCATGGTAGCGTTATCGACAATCAAGTCCTTGACTTCAATGTCTGGGTATTCTGTGTGACCGACTTCCTTGACGGTGTTTCTGAACAAACCATCACCCAGCTTCATGATGTTAGCCTTGTGGATGGCGGTGACGAGCTTTCTGTCGTGTCTCTTTGCGTAGTCGAAAGCAAATCTGGCGATTCTCTCGGTCTTGTACTTGGTGATGATCTTCAAAGACTCGACCACACCTGGGACGGACTGGTGCTCCAAGCCGGAGTATTCTGCTTCGGTGTTTTCTCTGACAAGAACAAAGTCGACGTCGTGCAACTTAGACTTGACACCTTCGATGTTCTTGATGAAGACCAAGGAGGCGTAGATGTCCAACTCCTTTCTGAAGGCAACGTTAAGAGACTTAATGAAAGGGTCGGTTGGGGTGTAGGTGACACTCTTTAAGCCGACCTTGTTTCTCTTGATGGAGAGGATGGCCTCCTCGATCTTGGACTCGTGGCCCTCGATTCCCGACATGTCGATGGTTTCGAACTCGACAGGGACGTTTTCGTACTCAAAGATCTTTCTGACAGAGTCAGTGATCTCCTTACCGATACCGTCACCAGGAATCAAGGTGACGGTGTACTTGCCACCGTACTTCTTTGGGAGCGAGTGGGTAGCCATGTTTCTCATTGCGACAGATGAGTTGAGGACAGATTTCTTGTATAAGTTGGAGAACATCGTGGAAGGCGGAGGCGGTGGGGCTGGGGAGGGTTTTGTTGACAAGCAGAGAGTAGCAGCAGCAACAACGCAGAAAAAAAATGACAGAGGGGTCGTAGGGTGGGAGGGGGCCAGGGAAAACAAAGAATGCAGCCTGGGGCAGTGTGTGGTGTGCAGAAGGAGAAAAGGAAAGAATCCGACAGCGAACCTCAAAGTGTCACAGCGGAGCAGGGGAGAGTGCGAGAAGGTGCAGCAGCGGCAGAGCCAGAGAGCGGGCACCACAGCGTGGAGCGGCGCCCGAGATAACGGGGGGGCGGTTCTGCACGGGGCGGCGGCCGGGCGAGGGGGCTATATAGGGGCCGGCGCGGGTGCCGGGGGGGGGCGGGGGAACAGCCTGGGGGAAGTGCGTGTCGGTGGCGGTGGGCTAGTGGGCACAACGGCGGGAGGCCAGGGGGAGGCCCGTCGGCGGCGCCGGCGGCACCGCCGGCGCCCGTGGGGCGGGCTACATAGGTGTGCGGGCCCAGCGGCGGAGGTGGGGCAGAATGGGGGGCAAGTCGGGGGCACGCCGGGGCGGCTCAGTGCTGGCGCAGGGAAACCCCGGGACGCATCCCGGGAACGAGGCCCGTGTGGTCGGAGCAGACGCGCAATTACGTAACGGCGTCTGTTTCTCCGGGACAGTAGTGCAGTAGTACGGTGGTGGTGGTATTAGAATACTAGCGGTGTCTGCAGAAAGTGTACACATGCGCAGCAGATAAGGCCCGGGGCGCCCGGGGCGTGCTCCGACCTCGTTCCCGCTGCAGCTCCCGGCGCTTCCGTGCCGGGGGGCCCGTGAGCGTCCGACTCCGTGTTCGGAGTAGCGCGCGCGCAGCGCGCGTCTCGCGGCCGGGGTCGGTCGACCGCCTACCAGACGGCGCGCGAGACGCCAAAGGGTCTGTCTGCAACAAACTCGCGCACGATGCCGTCGACAAACTCGTCGTTGAGGAAGCGCTTGAGGATGGCGATCTTGCTTGCCATGCCTCTGCGGAGGACGCCATCTGGACCGACGACGGTGGCAGGGGTGCGGGGCGCGGGCGACGCGTCGGAGGCGGGCGCGGGTGGCGGCTGGTCCTCGTCCTCGTCCCCGTGGAACTCGGGGATGAGGTAGAAGAAGAGGAACTCAAGGCTCTTGATGCGCACGCTGTGCCACGTCAGGGTGGCTGTCGCGGCAGGCGGAACAGGGGCCGGAGCGTCGCCGTCGCTGTAGTCGCCCTTGATGAGCTTGCAGATGAGCTCGACCCCGCGCAAGTCCTCGAAATTGCGCAGGTTCTCGGCATTGCGGATGAAAAGCGACACAAGCATGAGCACACACTCGATGATGACGAGAAAGCTGGGCTGCACGCGGGACTGGGGGTCGAGCAGGTCGATGAGCAGGCGGATGTTGTGCTTGCCGCGGAAACAGGTCCGGCTCCTCGGATGGATGAGAAGCACGCCCTGCAGGATCTGCAGCACGCGCACAACGAGCTCGTCGGCCTCGGTCTTGACGGCGAACTCGCCGTTCGCCACCCGCACAAGCAGCAGCAGCAGCTGGGTCGCCAGGTTGTACTCGGCCCGGTCCTGCAGCCCGCGGAACTCCTCCAGCCCCCGGTCCTGGCCCCGTTCCGGCCGTGGCGTCTCCGGGGGCTCGCTGCTCAGCGTGTTGAGCGTGCTGGTGTCGACCACCGCCGGCTCGTGCCTCGCCGAGCCGCCCGGCGGCGCCAGCTGCCCGCGGTTCGTCTGGATCAGCCGGAGCAGCAGCGTGTGCACGCTTCTCACGCCCTCGGCGACGGCCCTGCTGTCGAGCTCGTTCATCTGCCGGATGCTCTGCTCGATGCACGCCTCCAGTTCGGATCGACCCATCTTGTCTCTGGACGTGTGCTCTCTGTTGTAGTGCCTTCCGTACAGCGCTTCTGCCCGCGTTCTCGTCCTCCTGTCCTTCTTGTGCACGTCAACATGTCAACATGTCAACATGTCAACACGCCAGCCAGGCACGCACGCACGCTCGCGCAATCGGCCGCGCACTCAGAAACTTTCCAGCTCCGGCCCCGCAACGGTGCCAGGTCTGCGCTCGCCTCGGCTAAGCCGCCTATCTCGATCTGTGTCACTCGGTCGGCTACAAAAGATACACAGAGCATGTCCTACACTCCCACGCCTCGCGTGTCGACAGCGCCGTCAGCCAGCACCTGCCAGCCGTTTTTCTTGTCAAACGACGCATTCGCCTTCACCGTGTTCTTCACTACGGCCCGGGAGTAGTCCCCCAGCACGCCCTGGCTCGCCCCGTCCTTCACCGCAAGCTCCGCTAGCGTGTTGAGAGAGAGTGTCTTGTGGCTGTCGACAAAGGCCAGCAAGATCCGCACGTGTTCGGCGTTGGTAATCACCTTCTTCTTCACCCCAAGCGGGACAGTGCTGCCCGTAGCAGCAGCAGCAGCAGCAGCTTTAGAACTTGTGGCGGACGCCTCGCTGTTTTTGGCGCCGCTCATCAAAGCAGACGTCAAGGTCTTTCCCTGCATGCTAGTACTTGGCACGTTCTCCTCTTTCTCGGTCTTGGTGCTACCTTGCTTCTTCCAGTAGTTCTTGAAAGGATCGATTGGGAAATCAATGTCGCTGTTCATTCTCTCCCATCGAAGCGTCGTGAAGTATTCTCCAAACTCGTCACCGTCAGCAATTTCGTCTTGGCAATGGCGTAGAGCAGGCACCAGCGGTCCAATGACGCGTCTTTTTTTCATCTGGCCGCCGCTTCCTTCACTTTCCCGCTCACCGCTAGTCACCTCGGCTGAATCCTTCTCCACAAACTCGTCGATGTCGGAGGACCCCGCTTCGTCGTCATCGTCGTCCTCCTCGTCAGCAGAGTCCAAATCCTCTCCATCCTCGTCGTCTTCGCCCTCGGCGTTTTCTCCCTCTAACTCTGAATCGTATTCGTAGTTGATGACAGCTTCCTCTCCTGCCGGGGCTTCCTCAATATCAACAGCGCCACTACTGCGTTTTAGAGTAATCTTGGACCAAGGCTGTAACCTCAAGTCCAAACCGGGTTCCTCAACATCTGACATCGTATATGAAAAAGTCCCAAAATATGGTGGCTGCTTCTTCTCGTAGAATTTAATATACCTGAGCGGAACTTCACGAAACAGTCGATTGGCCTCATTCATCGAGCCTGCATTGAGGCACTTCAAAACATCAAATGCACGCTCCGTTTTGCCCTCAAAAATTGGTTTCTCTTTTGAGACTTTCCTGGGTTCATCAATAAATGAACTTGGTGACTTCAAAAACTCGTCCCACTTGGAAGAAATTTCCTTCTTTATAGTCTCTGCGAGCTTGGCATTAGGTTTAACATAGAATGGTAGAAAATACTGCTGAAATTCACTTTTTTCCGACTCTTCTGTATTTACCTTCTGGACTTGTGCTGCAACCAGAATTCCTGTGGTCTGACTGTTCGTCAATGAATTCGCTGTACTTTCTACATTCCCGTCGGACAAAGTAGGCTTAACTTTGAAAAAATTAGTTATACTCCTCTTCTTGATTTTCTCTTCCTCCTCTAGCTTCTTCTGCTCCTTTTCTTCTTCAAGTTTCTGCTTTTCTAAGATCTTTTCGTGCCTTTTTCTTTCGAGTTCCTCCTTCTTTTTCGTCTTCTCTTCTTCTTCTCGTTTCCTTTTCTCCTCTTTAAGCTTTGCTTCTTCTTCTCTCTTTTTTTGCTTTTCTTCCTTTTCTCGTTCCTTTTGTTGGCGCTTAGCTTCTCGTTCAGCTTCAATCTTTTCTCGTTTTGATCTCCGCTCCTCTTCTTCCTTTTCCTTTTTGAGTCGACGACGTTCAGCTTCTTCCTCTTTCTTCTGCTGTTTTAATACTCTCTTCTTCTCTTCTTCTATCTGTTTCTGAAGTTGTTTTTGTTCTCGCTCCTGTTCACGCTTTAACTTTCTGAGCTCAGATTGCGATTTCTCGGCATCTGCAGCTTCGACATTTTCAATCTCTTCATGATCGCTCTCTGTAGCCAAATCCATTATTTCTTGATCAATACTTTCTTCACTCTCTTCTTGATCTTCATCGTCATTATTGTTCTCCCCGTGAGTCTTTTGATCCTTCCCGCCAATTTCGATTTCAATAACTTCACTAGCAATAGAACTAGATCCATTTTTCTCGTGAGAAGTCTCAAGTTTGGGTCTCTTTAGCACTTTGGTGTGGGACAATTCATTATCAGCTCTATGTTTTTTCCTCATTGGTGAAGCAAAGAATTCTATGGACATCTGCTTTTGTTTGCCCTTCTGCTTCTGCACGGTCTTCGAATGTGCATTTAACGTGTCTTGCTCACCCTGAGAATGGGTTTCATTTACGATCATATCATCTTTCACCACTGTCATAAGGTTAAAAGGCTCTCCGGCCAATGTTGTTGTCAGCATAAAACCAGCTGTGGAAAGAACGTAAAGATAGCAGAGTGAATAGCAGAGAAACACGACACTTGCCTTCAATAACGTGAATCGAGTGGGAGAAAGTCAACATGAAAGATACAGAAAAACGCGTTGCGCATTACGTAAGGCACACCAAAGAAATAAAAAAAAAGATCGACCTAGCGTTGCCCTTGAAACATGAAATTCATCAATGTAAAGAAGATAAAAATAAACTTTTGACAACCGATCTATAGAACCCGATATCAATCATTTTCCTTCATTTGATTATCATAAAGTGATGGAGGAAAGTGCAGGGGGCGTCGAAGACGAAAATATTTTTGCTTTCGGAACCCAGGTACAGGCAGGACTCGATGATTTTAAACACGAAATTCAAGTTGTCGATTTCTGGAAGGACAAATTGAACGGTTATGCACATCAAGAGAAAAGTACGGTGGAACCGAAGAAGGATAAGGTGAGTAAGCCTATATGTGTGAAAAAAATACGACGTCCAAAAAACAGCAATAAAAAACAGCATAATGGTATCAAAGATAAGAATGCGAACCGACAGCGAAAGTTTGGATCTATCAACAAAGAAATTATAAGGAAGTATAAGGCGTTACAGATGTCACATGGTGTAGATGTGCAGGCATACAACAATTTTGCCGACGAAGAAATGAAAATGTTGATTGGCAAAGAAGACTGGGATAGTATCCATGGGCTTTTGATGGAATGTTTAAAAAATGATGAGACTGATAATATAGTGAAGTCCGACAAGGAAAAAATTGTTACTGAGTACACTGATTTCAGGCAATTACAGGAGAGTAATAGCACTGCTTTTGCAGCTGCTGGTGCTGCTCGGGAGGTGAGTGCTGATGTTACGGGTGTCAATGGTAGAGGTACAGCTGATGCAAAACTCACGCAATACAGCTGGTCTTATCCTGTGGATTTCACCCCCGACGATTTGGGTGCGCTGTATGACATCACAATGTCAGGAATTGATTTGTTTAATAGAGATGGAAATAAGACCAGTGAAGAAGCGGTGGAAAAAGATTCTACCAGTTTAGTTGAGGAGTTGAATAACACGGCAAACCAAACATCAGGGGTGTTTACTCTTTCGCAAGTTTTAGGAGAGAATACACAGCGTAGCTTGGATGTCAGCCAGCGAGAGAAAGCAAAGGCCGAGGAACAAATTCAAGAACTCGATTGCGTTATTGTTGAAGACAGTTGTGACAGCGACGGTGCAGAAGATGAAATCACATTTGATTATATTGAGAAAATAAGAGAAGAAAAGGTTGAGAGTGGAACACAGCAACTACCCATAGAACTTGACAGCTCGAACATTATTGAAATTCCAAACTCATCAGATGACGGTGGGTATGACCACGGAGATTTCCTTGATGATATTGGAAGTTATAACCTGAGGAACACTGAAGGTGATATAATTGAGATTGCGAATTCTTCTACGTGTGGGGAGAGTGACAGTGACATTCTTTTGACAGGGTGTCCAGAGAGCGGAACCCAACCATTGATGGATTTGAACAATCTGCAGCGAGAATCTGAGTTGATCACTGATGATGCAGTAGGTAGCTACGAGAGAATGATTGTACCAACCAGCTCGCCAGCGAGCTCTGCTGCTGGGTCGCAAGAAATAAACGTCAACGAAGACAACGTATTAACTCGGTCTGTTACTGAGATTATCGGCAGAGAAAGTGAGAGCTTGGTGGACAATTGTGCAGCCGCACTTGCTGAAGTTCCCGGCGAGCTTGTCACCGAGGAAGAAAGGGTTTCTCTCGACACCGGCGTGGACATTGCAAAGCGCATGAAGCATTTCGAAGGATGGAACGTTGTGATGTTGAAGAAACAGTTGAGTGAATGGGGGGTCAAGAATGCGTCCAAGATGGGGAAGAAGAAGCTCGAGGAGGCGTTGGCCAATATATGCAAGAATGTCACTAGGGATAAGTGGGATTGGGCGATAGATAAATCTCAAACCGGAGAAATTCTGAAGTTTGCTGAATGGGAAAGCGAGCATCCAGAGGACGTGGAAGGTGCTGCAGGAACCGAGGCGGTGATAGAGAAAGCTGTCATGGGGCAGATCAAAGCGCTTTTGAAGGCGGACGCGGGGCTGTACTACGACGTTCTACGATACAAGCCTCTCAACGTGCACATGCTTTTGGGGAAGCTTGCGGAGACCAGTGACCGCAAGGTGGTCTGCGACTGCTTGGATCGACTGGGGGTGTGCTGGACAGAAGTTGGCTAGGGCCAGAATTTTTATAGAAAATGTAACATAGAAGGACATAGGATGTATTACTTAAGACCGGAACCGCTGGACGGCTGGCTAGTTATACTTGTTTAGTTCTTCGGTGTCGTCGTAGGTTAGCAAAAGTCTCGAGTTGATGAGTCTGAAAATCCAGTAGGCCACTACCAGCTTGACGATGATGGCAAACAAGTCGAGGAAGTTGCCTATCCAGAGCTGTCTGATGAAGTCCGCCTGTTCCCGGCTTCGCACGCCACGCACGTGGTGCCAGTAGATGTCGAACACGACGTTCGACCCCCACAGGTAGAGGTTGTACCCAAAGTAGGCCACGGTTATTGTGAGCAAGACCATGAGCACGGCCGTTTTCAGAACCCGCATTTTCGAGAGCCTGTCCTCATAGTTGTACGAGAGTCCGGAGTGTTTGTCCTTGTACTTGGACGTCGATAAGGGTTTTCTCGGGCGTGCAGTGCCTGCAGCCGCAGCTGGAGCAGCCGCCGCAGCCACCGGAGCACCAGCGTGTCTTCTCTTGAGCTCTGACATGTCTGTTTGCTATAAAACCTTCGTCATAAAGGGCGCTTGATCAGCACGTAGGCTCATTCATGCTGCGGTACGAAAAGGGCAAAGTAGGGTGTGCTCCGGACAGAAAACGCGTGCTTGAGCCAAGACAGCTCACGTGTCTCGCTGTACTCGAGTTTCGCCTTCCTGTCGCCAAGACGCCTCTTTGTTTCCTAGGCAGAGTCTCCGCGCACGCGCGCTTTCTCCCGTGCCTCTCCGCGTTTCACCTACCACCCGTGCACCGTCGGAGCGGAGCGTGCTGCGCGGGGTTTAGGGGGCTCTGCGACTCCTCGCAGGGGGTGTCAGCAACAGATGGAGGGGATTGGCTGGCGGGCTGCGGGAAGAAGGAAGGTGGCGGCGGCGGGGCCAGTAGAAGGCGGGGCACCACCCCGCTGCAACGTGGGGAAATGCCGGCCTCCGCTGCAAGAAAAGGGTCTCTATCCCGCCCGACATGCTACATGTGCCCCCCCAGCCAGGGCCTCCCGGTGGAGGAAGATGACCACGAGCCGGCGCCCAAGGCAGACGCAGGGACTCGTCTTACATAAGGGCCAATTGGAGCGCTCCCATTCGCTGGCGGGCAGGGCCAGTCAGACGTGGAAACAAACGGTGCGGTGCGGGTGTACGAGCAAAGTGCGAGCCGGCCGGCGATCGATAACAGTTTTCCCTTCTATCGGGAGCTGTCTGGCTCGGAACCAGGCGCTCTCCGCCGCCACCTGCTACCTCTGGAGTGTGTCATTGACGGTGCTTGTAGAAGCAGCAACAGTAGCAACCGCAGTCGTAGCCGCAGACCCTGCACGCTTGTCCGCATACAGACACCCCCGCCGCCCGAACCCGCCGTCAGCTGCATCTATCTCATCTTAGCACCGTTTTCCCTTTCCACAATTTTTTTTCTGGCCTTAGTCCGATAATAGCCAATCATCCTGCTGCAGGAGCCCAGTCGATCTTGGTGTTCCCCCGCACACACGCTGCACTACACCGAGTCACCCATCTAGACTGTACCAGACCAGGGACAACCCACAGGCTGTGTGACAGTGACACGATCCTTCGACAGACACACGCCCACGCCTGTGCTTGCACACTTTACACTATACATTTTACACTCTACACTCTACACCTTGCGATTTACACTGCACAGTCCAGCACACATACACAGCTCCACACTAACGGTCATCGAGTAGAAAAGAGACAGCGACCCTTGTTCTTTATCTTGGTCCATTCCGTGTGTTCTTCTTCCCTTGGATGTGTTTGAACGTGAACTTCAGGGATAGCACAACAGTCAAGTCGTACCCAACAGCACCGAGAAATGAGCAGAGATAGCAAAGGCAGCCAATTGCAGTCGGCGCTGGCGAAAAAGCTCGGTAACCAGCCCTCCCTCTTCCAGGCTGTCCCCGTCCATCCGCATTTTCTTCCCTCCACCCACAACCTGACGGAGAACATCCTGGCCCCCGCTGTGCAGAACGAGCTGCGTCGACACACCGATGAAACCGGTAGCGGCCCGCCGTACAACGAGGAAGAGCAGACCAGCAGCGGAGAAGAGCCCGTAACCACCATAACCGCAGAAGACGGCGTCTCCAGATACTTGTCCACAAGCAAGATGTCCTCGAGAGGCCCCGTGAGCCAGGAGTTCACGCTGAAGGGCTCAACTCCGTCCGGAAAGCCCAGGCTGTTTGTCTGCGCTACCTGCACCCGTGCCTTTGCCCGCCAGGAGCACTTGAAAAGACACGAACGCTCCCACACAAAGGAAAAGCCTTTCACCTGCAACATCTGCTCTCGGAAGTTCAGCAGGAGGGACCTCCTACTGAGGCACTCGACGAAATTGCACGCCGGAGCCGCCGATGTCATTCCAAGACTGAGAAAGCGCTCCATGAAACACATGAAAAAGGAGGAGTTGGAACAGCTGCAGCGAGAGCAAGACGCCGACATCGACAACCACCACGACCCAAACAACAAAAGAACAAAGGCAAACTCCTTGTCCACTGCAACCGCCTCCACCCTAATATCCGCAGCCTCTGTACTAACGGGCATCACCTCCAACGCTTCCAACGCTTCTTCAAACGCCGTCAACAATAACCCAATTGTACATACCAAAATCTCACCCAAACCTGCAAACTCATATACCACGAACCATCCTACAAGTAATACAAAGCCTTTGGTGGCAAAAGTAGCGAAGAAGATAACGCCTCCATCGCACAGAAACTCAACTTCCGCTACACCTTCTCTCTCCTCATCCTCTCTGCTCTCACCAACAGGTCACATCTCCAAACAATTTCCATTCCCAAGAAAAAGACGCGTCTCTAGCAATAATAACTCCCTCATCCTGGACCAAAATGACCAGAGTGATAACATAGATAGCATTATCGATTCCAATGCAAACAATGGCAACGACCCATCTCGCAGAGCCTCCAATGCCAACATTCCGCCATCGACGAATGTCAACGGTGGCGTTATCGATAATGGTAATGGTACCAACATCCAATTGCCGCTATATCCACTCAATGACAATCAACTGAATTCTATCGGTGATTTTTCGGACATCAGCTCCTCGTTGGCGACTTTTGAGCATCTGAATGATAGTGATAGCAATTTTGATCGCTTCAACGAGCTGCAATCAAATGCCTACAACTATTACCGTCGTGCCTCTTTTTCTGCCATGAGCGGTGTAAACTACGCTTTAACAAACCCTGAACCGTACGCAAGTGAGACTGTGGAATTTTCCACTCCTCAATTCAACAGTTTGGAAGATGAACAAGAAAAATGGCTTAATTCCTTCTCTGACAATAATGATATAAATGGAATTGAAAAAGACCAGTCTATTCCAAGCTCTTTGACCGAAATCGAGCAATTGAATAATTTCATCAACAGTAGAATTCAAAAACGAGAACAGCAACAAAATGATAGACTGGTGAAATTTTCTGATCAACCACAACAGCCAATTCAAAGTGGTACTCATCATCAGCAATTGAAGCAAACATCTGCCATTCGGCATAGCATATTGAACGGTTATTCCTTTTACGATGACGATACACTTGGTATCACAGAATCGCTATTCAAAACTCGTCTGGGAGATTTTAACACTCCAAAAAAGGTAAACAATCCTCCACCTTTCAAGTCTAACTCTCCTATCATGCAAGATGAAATTCTCAACTCTAATACCATCTCTGGCAAAAACAATCCTAATGCTAGTAACAACAGCAAATACATAGCCACCAATAACGGCAATGATGCAGGAATTCCCAATGGCATGAATACTACTATGGGTAATTCTAATCAAACTTATACCGATGGAACTGATGGAGGCATGTTACAAAACTTATTTGATAAAATATCTAAGTTGGGCAACTCGCTGAATTCGAGTTCAAACATAAATGTGTTGGATCAGCTTAATTTGGAACAGATCGAGCAGCTGACACATAAGGATGATTTCAAAGCTACTGATGGGAATTACCCAAAAAATGCAAATGATACTGAGAAACTGAACCTGAATTCCGATTTTTTCGACAATTTTTTGGATGATAATGATAGTGGTGTTCTGGAAGGTGTTACTAAAAAGGTACTTTCATGGCAAGAGACCTTGTTCAACCAACCAATCACGGATTTAGAAAAGCTGAACGAAATGCACATTGGAAAAGCTTATGGAGTTCCTCAAGGATACTCATTCTATGGTGGCGATGAAGCTGGTCCAATGAATAGATCAAATAGTAACGGCTTATTAGGCACATACAATGACGGAAGTTTGAGCAGTGATGCTACAATATCACCTGTCTTACTGGAACCATCCTGCTCTGTTGGTCATATAGAAGGAGATGACGAAGTCAATAAAGTGATTGCTAATGCTGATGCTGATGCAATGGATATTGACAGTAATAATGATAATCTTGACTCTGAACAAAACTTGAGAGCCCATGGGAATGCTATCCGCCAGCATAACAAAATTCCCCGTACCCACCATTCTCATCATCGCCATTTGACTTTCGAAGAGGAATTTAGTGAAGCTACCTTATCTTCATGTTCTCAAGCGTTCTTATTCACAAACAATATTGCAAGATTGGTCAACAAAGGTTTATCCGACTACCCATTTTTTGGAACTCCAACTCCGGAGTTATTACAAAATGATGTATTAAACTTATATGTCGATCAATTCATTGGGAAATTTCTCACACATCATCCATTCATCCACAGAGGTGTTCTGAATGAATACTGGCTAATGAAGGAAGCCATTGATGCTGCCCAAGAGAACAGTATCAGTGTCACGGAATCTGAATCTTACCAGGGAACGAGTCTGAAACTTGTTCGTGACGAGAATTTTGTTGAGAATTTCAAAGTGTCGATTATTTGTTTGCCCTTGTTGATAACGACCATTGGTGCTGTTGTTTCAAACAAGAGAGAAGATGCTGCAATCTTGTATGAAATATCAAGAAGATGCATCCACGTCTATTTGGAGAGTCGGAAAAAGCTGAGAACTTGTGGCGGCGTTGGTGGTATTGGTTTGTCCGCATCTGTGACTGAATCATCACCTCTTTGGCTGATCCAAAGTCTTACACTAAGTGTTATTTATGGTCTCTTTGCTGATGAGGAAATTTCGTTGTCTGTTATCATCAGACAGGTCCATGCATTAAATGCCTTGATCAAATCATCGGGAATAAACCAATTGCGAGTTCCGGACAAGATCAACAGTGATTATAAATCATTTATTAACCATGAGTCGACTATCCGCACTATTCACATGATTTTCCATGTATCTACGTTGCTTTCGACATTGTACAATATTGTTCCTTCGTTGAACATATCTGATTTGAACACGGATTTACCAAGTGCCAGTTTATTATGGGAATGTTCAAGTGCAGAAGAATATTCCAAGTTAATTGAGAATTTTGATTTCCATGCTAAAAATTTTAAAGAGGTTATAAGAGAACTTGTTAAACTTGACTTAGACCAGGTAGACCCCAACACTGGGTTGGTTGACAACCGGAATTTTTTACTTGACTACCATGTGAGTGAGTTTGGGTTGATATGTCTACAAAATGGGCTGCACCAATTGGTATACTTCAAGCAGCTGAGCAACGAGGATGATCCAAATGATAAACAAGTGAATGATAATGTTGCCAATCTTGGAAAATGTATTTTGGCGGATGTCGGTGAAGGTGCTGATATTACCATTGAGAAGATACGTAAGATTGGAGAAGTTTGGAATCTATTAGTGAAGGCGTGCGTTCTTTACAACAAATCGAGTGAGGTGTACAATGATTGCAAGATATTGAACCATTACTTGAATCTTAAGCTGAGTTCAATAGTTAGTTTGAACAAGATCAAGGAGAGCGTTTGGCTAAAGTCATTCTCGGATATAAACGAGCAGTACATTGCGTGTTTCAATTACGGCGATGACGAGTTGAAAGATCAGCATTTCCAGACCGAGTTGATACACTTGATTGAAAACTCGATCAACATTTTGAAGTTGGTTTTCTTCAACGAGGACAACTCTTTGATTGGAACGATTTCGCCCAGCTTTCTGCTTCAGAATGAGACCATGAAGAAGTTGGATGATATATATGCGACTCCTCCTCCACCGCAGCTCGCCTCTTCTTCTTCGAGCGACATATCGCCGGAGGACAAAGAGGAGTTGGCGAACAGCTACAACTACAACAGCTTGAACAAGATCAACTTGAATGTGTTGCACAAGTTGAGCATCGACTCGCAGATTCTCTTCGACGTGATATTGATCATCGTCAAGTTCTTGACAAACTACGAGAACTTCTTCAAGATCCGCATGAAGTTCAACAACCTCACGAACTACACCTTCCTACAACATTTCGAGATGAGCTCGGCGATTTTCCTGAGCGAGCGAGGCGAAGGCGCCGGAGACGACAACGACGGTGTTGAGGAGGCGTTGCAGAGGTTCGACAAGGTGTTGTTCAAATACTACCTCAAGTTCTTCAAGATATTTTTGAACTTGGAGCAGTTTTTGAAGCACAACTACAACTACGAGGACTTTGAGACCGGCCAGGCGTTGAAGGCGCTCAACAACCTGTACCCTAACATCAAGAGCAACAACGGCAGCGGCGACTTTGCCGGCGTGGAGATTGACCGCGTGCTGCGGGAGAGCCACAACAAGTTCCGGGAGGAGGAGCGCACGTTGAACGACATTGTTTCCGACGAGTTGGTTGTGTTCCACGACCGCGACTTGATCATGAGCGAGCTGGTGAACTTCAAGTTGCCGTTCAAGTTCTTGAAGATGGGCGGCTTTTTGTTTGGCTTCATCTACGACAAGAACTTCAAGTTTGTCAACTTCAAGCACTTGAGCGACGTCTTGTTCCACTTGCGGATCTTCCTCGAGAGCAAGGACGAGTACGTGTGACGGAGAACTCACGATCCTCGTTTCCGTGCCACTTGTTTTTCTTCCTCTTCCTCTGCCTCTTCCTCTTCCTCTTCCTCTTTTTTTTCTTTCTACTTCCTGCTGTCCTTTTTGCGGCTCTTCTGCCTCCTGGTCCTACTACATGATGTGATGTGATTATGTGATTATATTATTATTATTTTTTTTCCCCTTTTTCCCCTTTTTCCCCTTTTTCTCTTTTTTTCCCTTTCCCCTTTCTACGATACTTTTCTTCCCGCCACGTCTTCCGCTACACTACTTTATAAACCTGTTATGTCTGTCCATGTTCCGTTCCGCCTTCCGAGCGCCAGCGCCGGACGCACCAACGACCCTGGTGGCTCGACCGGTCTGCCTGCGTCCCTCCCGCCTGCGTCCCGCCTGTGTCCCGCCTGTGTCCCCGGCTGTTGCCCGAGCGACCCGCCTGCTCCTCCCTTATCGGCGTCTCTGACGTCGTCTGCGCCGCCCTCTGTCTCTGTCTGGCGGCCTAACACCGCAGCCCCCGTCGGGTGCAACCCCCTCATCCGTGCCGTCCTGCAGACGGCCCATTCGGCCACCCGGCCGTCTCCGGCCTGTGCGGCGTCCCGCCAAGCGGTGTGCGGAGATGTCCGAAATTACCACACGGGGCCGGGCAACGACGTTTCCCTTGTTGAGGCCGCCGTCGGGTGCCCTGCGGCCTGTGGCCTGATCTGGGGGGCCGATAAGCTTCTCTCTTGACAGGTAACGTGGCCGGGAACAGCAGGGCCATGCAGCCGGGTCCGCGTATCAGGCCAGATGCGCCAGACACCCCGTGGACCGGCACCTGCGACGTGGTTGGCGAGCTTATCAGACGTCGCACCGGTTGGGCGCCCGGAGAATGCCTTGCTGCGGGCAGACGAGGGCAGGGTATAAAAGGCCTGGCGTGGCCCTGGGGATTGCATAGGAGGGGGGCGGGGAGAGAGGGTGCAGGGCAGAGGGAGTAGAGTAATAGAGCAACAGCAACAGCAGCAGCAACAGCAGCAGCAGCAACAGCAGAAACACCAGAAGCAACCCACCCCCGAACAAGACACAATGGCATATCTACAGGACTCCAGCTACGGCAAGGACAACGTCAAGTTTCTCAAGGTCAAGAAGGACAAGTACAACCCGCAGAAGCAGGAGGTGCTTGAGGCGACGGTGAGAGTGCTTCTCAGAGGCAACTTCGACGTGTCGTACACCAAGGCCGACAACTCGCCGATCGTGCCTACAGACACAGTGAAGAACACGGTGTTGGTGGAGGCCAGAAAGACAGACGTGTGGCCCATCGAGCGGTTCGCCGCCCACCTCGCGGAGCACTTTGTCGGCAAGTACGCCCACGTGTCGGGCGTCGACGTGCACGTCATCCAGCACAAGTGGACGAAGTACGAGGTGAACGGCAAGCTGCACGACCACTCGTTCAAGAAGGACGGCGAGGACGTGAAGACCACCAGCCTCTCGTACAACCGCGGCGGCGACTTCCAGCTCTCGTCCACCCTCAAGGACCTCACCGTCTTGAAGTCCACCGGCTCCGGCTTCGTGGGCTACAACAAGTGCGACTACACCACCTTGGCCCCAACCACCGACAGAATCTTGTCCACCGACATCGACTGCACCTGGAACTTCGACAGCAAGAAGATCGGCTCCATCAAGAACGTCTACAAGCTTGCCGACCAGGGCCTCTTTGACCAGACAATGGCCAAGGTGCTCAAGATCACCCTCGACCGGTTTGCCCTCGAAAACTCCCCCTCCGTCCAGGCCACCATGTACAACATGTCCGCCGACATCTTGGACGAGTGTCCCTACGTCTACAACGTCTCCTACTCCTTGCCAAACAAGCATTACATTTTGTTCGACTTGTCCTGGAAGGGCCTCGACAACGACAACGTCTTGTTCTACCCCGCTCCTAACCCAAACGGCTTGATCAAGTCCACCGTCGGCAGAGACATCAAGGCCAAGTTATAGGCTCGTCTCTTCGCCTTCTTCCCCAGGTCTCGGGTTCATTCAACAAATCATACATACAACGTGTAACATAATGGTGCTGGTCATTTAAAACCTGGTATAAGTTTTAAATTCTTTATAAAGTTTTTGTCTCTTTCTTCTTTTGCGATTCCCTCGAGCTTCCACTCTTTTCCTTCTATTTAATTCAGATATAATCGCCGGAGGTGCTGTTCTGCATTATCTCCGGAAACCCTTATTTCCACAGTGTCCCACGGGAAAACAGCACCCCCCATGACCGGATCCATTCCCTTTCTTCCTCGTTTTCTCCCCCGCGATACCTTCCCAACACCTTCAGAGAGCGATTCCCAAAGCGAATGGACGCAAAAGAGTGCCAACGGCAACGACAACGCCTGCAGAACCGGCATTGTCCACCTCGAGGAAGACATCCACCCCCACTGAACACACCTTCGCCGCCACAATGTTTGCTAGCAGAGTGACAAGATCCACCTCCAGACAGACCGCCTCGTCCCTCTTCCTGCGCAACCTCGGACTACGTTTCCAGTCCAACGCCGTAAGGCACGCAAAGCCTCCGGCTCCACCAACGGGCATCAAGAAGTTGATCCAGCAGTACGGCTACTCGGCCCTAGGCGTCTACTTGGGGCTCTCCTTGATCGACTTGCCAATCTGCTTCATCGTCGTCCACTCGGCCGGTGAAGACCAAATCAGGGACTTCCAGGACAGATTCATGACTTGGATCGGATACAAGAAGAGCAAGGACCCGCAGGCTGACCCGGAGACCACTGAGCCAGAGGAGAAGTCGTCCACCTGGATGACTGAGTTTGCTTTGGCCTACGCCATCCACAAGTCCCTCATCTTTATCCGTTTGCCTATAACCGCGGCTATAACCCCATGGGTCGTGGGACGCTTACAGAAGATGGGCTTCAAGATCGGCAAGATCTCCTCCTCGCAGATAACAGCAGCCGTTAAGAAGGGCGCCAAAAAGTTCGACCCAACAGGTAAAAGCTCAAACTTATGATTTTACGACTTATATTTACCTCCTTCTCGTTTGTAGATAGTATATTCACATGTGTATACAAATTCATACTCTAAAACAACAGCAGATGATGTCGCCTCATCTGAACTGCGAGTAGTACTTCTCTTCTGCGAACCTGTCCAGAACACGCCTGACAACTTCAGGAGAATAAACATCCTCGATCTTCTCATTCCCGAGCAAAACCCTTTTTTCATGCTCTCTTTGCTCTTCCTTGGTGAGAACAACAGCATTCTGCATCCCCAATTCTTGGTCAGGGTACCAACGGCTCAATGTCAATCTCGTAGATAACCCGCTCACAGGACTCTTTCCTCTCCACACCTCCTCTATGATGTATTGAACATCGGACAGAGCCACCCATGGAGTCCGCTGGTCCTTGATGTCAATTCTAGTCTGTTGGCCAGCCAAGCTCTGCAGCAACGAATCGTAAACCTTGTATCTGTTCTTACCCTCAATTGGCTCAACCGGGTATCCTCCGGCTTCAGTGACGATTCGAGTAGCAATTGCTAGGCCAAACATCCCGGGCATGGTGCCGAGAACAGGAAGAATTCTCACACGGAAATTCTGCAAAGCACTCAACTCATCGACTTTACCACGTTCAAACTCTTCATCTGCAAGTGGTAAAAGAGAAGCCTTTCTTGGGTCAGGCTTCTCGGCACTGAAAACTGTAGTGATTCCATTGGATATTCCGAGCTTCTTTAATCTTCGACGAACCGCACGTGCGAGTGGGTCTTCGTCAGAAACACTCACGTCTCCTACATTGATTCTTGTAGCATCCGACTTGCAGGCAGCACCCATGGAGGAAATGACGGGGATGTCGTTCTTGTAGCAGAAGGCTAAGAGATCAATCTTAGTGTCGATGTTATCAATACAATCCACAACGTAATCTGGCTTGGATCCATCCTCCATCGTACGCAATAGACGTTCTGCCTTTTCCACACTGAAAAGTTCGTTGATCCCCTCTGCGTCTGACCATGGCGCTATTTGGCCGATAAAATCAACTAGACATTCGACCTTGCTACGGCCAACGTCCTTCAAAGTGGCACACGCGTGTCTATTAAGAGAGGAAAGTGAAACTTGATCAAAATCAACTATCCGTATGTGCGACACGCCTGAACGGACCAGAGAAACAATTGCGTTGGATCCAACACCTCCGGCACCAACAACGATGACACGCAGAGCACGTATTTTGGCCATTCCGGGTGAGGAGAGAAACGAGTAGTTTCTCGTCAACTGTTCTAAGATAAGTTCCTCAGAGTATGGCTCCGGAACGTGCTTCACTGTGTTTTCAGAAGTTCTAGTAAAACCTTCTTTCCTATTGACCTTTCTGCTCACTGTGATTGTCTCAGGAACATCCTTCCCCTTTCCGTTTGGCAAAAGAGTTCGTATGTAGTCCATAACAGTGAACGACGCATCCTTCAACAGATGCTTGTGCACCGATTCGACGGCAAGCGTAGATAGAATCGCCGTCAGTGCTACCAGTGTCAAGGTATTGCAAGCGTGAGATTTCATTTTGTCCTCAAAGGGCTACAACAAAGAAACTTTCCAAATGTAATGTATTTCTCAAGACTGAAAATGTTTCAGCTGATAAGAAAGTATGGAGAATCTCTCCAAGGAAGAAAGGCCAGAAAATTTTCATGCTTGAAAAAGCGTGAAAAAAGGGAGGTAAAATCACGTGATCAGGCTAAGATCCAAAACCAAACGACCCAATGATGATCTTATTACTACCCTTACTGCCGTCGGCAGGGTCGTTGGTCGTTTGTGGCACGGGTGTAATAGTGGCCGTAGTGGTGGCCGTGGGCGTGGCCGTACTGGCAACTGTTTCTGTGGTTGTGATTGTGGTTGTAGAGGGTGTGGCAGCAGAAGCTTTCGATGCGCTGGAGGCAGCGGAGGAGTCGGGCACTGGTGGAGAAGCAGTCTTTTTGGGCCGCTTTGCTGCAGGAGAGCTCACCACTGAGCTGTCAAAGGCCTTCCTTCGTTTCTCGGCGGTTGCACTCCCAGAGGGTGTGGAAACGGCATTGCTGGCGTTGTCATTGTTTGAGCTGGCGTTGTGCCTTGATCTGCTAGATCCCGAATTTCCGGCTGCACTGCTAGCCTTACTCGACCTCGCCGACTTTTCGACCCTAGGCTCGGGAGCAGAATTCTTCTTTTTCTTGGACACGTCTAGTTTGCCGTGCCAGATGAACCAGCCATCAGCATTTGCTCCAGTCTCTTCTTCAAACTCAAGCTCCTTATCATCGATAAACGGATCGTCAACGTCGTATTTACCTATCCGCTTGTTGTTGACCATTTTCCGGCGATGAATCTCTTTGAGAACAAGCGACTCCTTCTCCATGTCACTCATGCCGGGCGTGAACTTGATCTGCAAAGCTTTCACTATATCGTCTTCCTCCTCGTATTCGTTGGGTGCGGCACTCGGTGGGCCTGTCTCTCCATCCAAGTCGGCGTCTTCTTCCTCCTCTTCATCCTCTTCCACGTCACCTTCGGCATCGCCCTCGTCGTCGCCCTCGGCATCACCATCTCCGTCAAAATTCCACAATCCCTTGGTGAATGGTGCCTGCGTCTCGTATTGTCCGTATTTCTCCTCAACCAGTTTCGCAAAATTGTGTTCCATGTGCACATCGTTATGCGTAGACAGAGGGATGTCTATAGTTATTATGAGAGGCTCATTGGGCTCATTTTCCTTCGCTTCGTCGGTCTTCTTACCTTTGTCTTTTTTGTTACTGTTGGCCGTGTCGCTCACCACAGAAGGCTCTTTCCTGCCAGCCTTCTTCGGTTTGTTGTTTCCTGCTGCATCTAGCACTGCCGTTGGTTCCTTGGCAGTGTTAACCACTGTCGGTGGGCTCCGCTCTTTGTACGCAACTGGCTCGTCGTTGGTTGAATTCATCAAATTCGAAACGGACATGGGGCTCAATTCTTTCCTTGAATGATCTGTTATTGCAATGATTCGCATGGACTTGATTGGACTTGGTTCTAAAGGAACAGCCAAAATTGGTGCTTGTGGTACGTTCAGAGATTGTGGTATCGTCGTCGGAGGTGATTGGAATCTTGCATTTGCGCCAGAGACCATCTGTGGAAAAGGGTTTGCGTTGGCCCCCCTCCCTGGTTCATCGTCAGTTGACAACAGCGAAGATATCGACAATGTCTTGTGTGTATTCATTGTCGGCTGGCGTGTTGCGTGCTTAGACAGTACCCTACAACCTTTTGCAAACTTCACTATGAGCTTAGCGTTCCCAACTTGGCTTTGATTTTCAGTTTCATGTTGCGTTCCAGTACAGCGACAAACTTCCTCATTATGTCATACACTGCTAAAAAGCGGATATATAGTGTACACATGTTTACCCTCTGTTACTTCTGTTAGATCTCGGTGACCACCATCAAGCCGATGAACTCGTCAATCACCTGTGCCGCCAAAAGGCCGGTGATGTCGTTGCCGACAGAGTTTGGCGGAGTGCTCACTTCTACGATGTCGCAGCCGACTAAGTTGATACCTTCCATTTCGTCGAGAATGGTCAACACCTCTCTGGTGTTCAAACCACCAACCTCAAGCGTGCCCGAGTTGACCATGTTGGCGTCGAAGGTGTCCAAATCGAAGGTCAAGTAGACAGGGCGGTTTCCCACAATCTCTTTAATTTTCTGGCCCACTCCCCTAGGAGTTAATTTATCAACATCCTTTGAAGTAATCGTCTCGAACCCGCATTCGTGGTCGTGAGTCTCATCTTCGGCAACGATGTATGGTGCACGAATACCAACATGCACAGAGTGGCCCTTGGAGACGTACCCTGCTTCGGCTGCATAGTGCAAGAAAGTGCCATGGTTCAAGCTTGCATACTTTGTGACCCCACCTCCTAAAACTTCAGGGTCCCAGGTATCAATGTGAGAGTCAAAATGGATGATTGCCAAACCGTCGTTGTCGTCTGCGTCCACAAACGTCTCGTAGGCACTCTTGATGTTCATCAAGGAGACAGTGTGATCGCCTCCCAACGTGATAATTCTAGTTTTCTTGAAGTTTGCAGATTTGTCTGTGGTGTTATGCTTGTGGATGGCATGGTGGCCACGGTAGAGCTGGTTGAGAGCAACCCGTGCGTCGAATGGGGTCATTGGAACGTCTCCACAATCGACCAGACGCAAGCCGGTGTCGTATATAGGTAGTCTGTACAACTTGGAACTCTTAGTGTTCCCTCTGATGGGAGAAATTCCTCCTTGTAACCTTCTCGAGCCTTGTCGGACCCCATTGGGACCGAATCTGGCTCCCGGAGTATATGACACGCCAGAGTCGAATGGAGCGCCGACAATAGCGATGTCGATCTTCTCGTCGTAGTTGCCAAAGCACTGTTCCACGGGTAAGTGAGCAAAGGAGACAATGCCCGAGTAGGAAACTAAATTGTCCACTATATCTGAGACATCGTTCTTATCAGGGAACTCGATGGCCTTGGACTTGTAGTATGTTTGGAGGGAGGACGCCGAGAGACCTTTGCTAACAGGAGCAGCAACTTCGCCGGAGGCTAGCATGGCCTTCTTGGCAAACACCACCTCAGCGCTGTTGACAAGTTCCCCAAAGATGCCATCCATGAACGTTTCTGGGAGGTCCTGTGAAATTCCGAGGAATTTCTGCGGAGTGACCAATGCGTTGGATAGCGACAGAAGAGTGGAAAGCAAGACGGGTGTAGAGAGTTTCATTCCTGAGAAGTGGCAACTGGAAGAATACAAGACAATAACGTCAGGAATGATGAGAACTAAGAAGAAACGACGGAAGAGTAGGGGCAGAAGATGAGAAGATATAGAAATGCAACTTTCCTTAATCCGGAGAGAGAGATTGAGCTTCGGATGCTGAATCGGGAAGGTAGATGCGGAAGTCAGAATTAAAGAATTCCGAGGAAATGTTGTTGCATGTCCACTGCTTCCGGAGTTGGAAAGTCACTTACGAAGCCTGCATTCCTTTGCGGTCTTTCGGGTGGTTGGGAAGAGCTTCCAATCACGAACCGTGGCAAATGAGGAAAAATCTGGCACTTCGGTTGACCTGTAGCGCAAAACAAGCAGTACAATGGCATTGGGTCGAGGTCAGCCCTGAAAAATGGACTCTTCGGGCCAGTCTCCGTCTGGTGTAGTCTAGTCTAGCGGAACAAATGAGGAACAGAGGAGCAAGTGTAGCAGAACCCTCCCCATACGTCCAGAACTTGCCCTTCTGCACTGATAACAGTGCCGAAGAATTGTGTCGTGCAGAGATAAGCGAAACTTCTGCAGACGCGGGGAAACGCTGTGAGTCTTCGTCGGCTCTCGCCAAGCACACGGGCTGGCATGTCTGCACGCTAGATATAGGTCGGGGGAGCCCTTGGTGGGCTGAGAGTCTGGCAGTCTGACAGTCTGAAGCAGGAAACAACAAGCTGTTGGAGATAACCATGCGGAGTCAGAAGGCGGCACTAGAAGAGTTGGCGCACAACATTAACAGACTCCAGCCGTTCCATCCGGGATCGTTGATTCTGAACGAACAACACTTTTACCAGAACTCGATCTTGCTTGGGTGGTCGCAGAAGAATGCACACCCGGTGACGTTGCGGCACTTGGCGAACTTTGGCCGCAAGATGACGTCGGAAAAGATCTTGGCAAGCGCCAACTTTGTGAGAACGGAGCTTCCAATTAGATTGAGCTTGAAAATCAAGGAGCTCCAGAGCTTGCCGTACCAAGTCATCAGTAACTACCACCTTAACCAGGTTTACCAGAGCTACTACCACTGCTTCAATGCGTTCCGACGGGTGGAGAAGATTGAGACGCTAGAGGACAACGAGGACTTCTGCGACTTTGTGAAAAACATGCTCGATGACCACTTGATTGTGTTGCCCCATCTTATGATGGGCGCCTTGGAGGTGTCGATCTTGAAGATCATGTCGCAGTCCGACTTGGACAAGTTCATGTCGTCGATGGTGCGGTCGAGAATCAGTAGACGGGTGATCATGGACCAGCACACGTCGATGTCAAAGACGTTCATGGAGTCTCTGCGGCTGCAGAAGGACGACGACGGCGGCGATAACGACATCAAGCCTCCGGACTACATCGGAGAGGCATTCCAGCTATGCTCGACCCATGAGCATCTCAAGCTCTCGTACAACATGATCATAAACTTCTTGCAGGGGCTTTATCCGAACATGCAGATGCCCGAGCTCGTCATCAACGGGGACGACTTGAAGTTCCAGTTCATGACAAACCACCTCAGCTACATCTTCACAGAGATCCTCCGCAACTCGCTCCGCTCGACCATCGAGCAGTTCATCAAGTTGAACGGCAGGGACCGGGGCTTCGCCCAGATGAGTCCGCCGCCCGTGTGTGTGGAGATCACCGACACCAAGTACGAGATGACGTTCAAGATCTCCGACCAGGGCGGCGGGATCCCGCTGGAAAAGCTCGAGTCCGTCTGGTCGTTCGGCAAGAGCCCCGAGCTGGCCAAGCGCTACCTCGACAGCTTCCACGCCTTGCCCGGCCTAGACCTTCCGACCCGCTTGCCCATCATCGAGCACCAGTACTTCCAGAAGCGCAGCGAGCACGAGATGAAGCGCCCAGAGAAGTTGGCCGGCATGTTGGACAACATTGGCCAGATGGAGATGAGCAGCTCGCAGAACAAGAACTCCATGTTGAAGTCCCTTGCCTCCAGGCCCTTCGAGTACACCCTCGGGGTTTCCCTCCCGATGTGTAAAGTGTACACCGACTACTGGAACGGTGTCTTGGAGATGTGCTCCGTTGAAGGCTACGGCAGCGACGTCTTTTTGAAGCTGCAAAAATTGGGCCACCGGGACGAGAGGCTCCAGCTTGACAAGGCCTAGATGCTCTGCTGCCACCGCAACCACTTCCCCCGCTGTGTATCTTCTTTACTTCTATACTTACTATACCATCTTACAATCTATTCGAGAACGGCCATTTTTCGGTCGATCGGCCCGAAAAAGCGCAAATCTCAATAAGCGTGGGGCGAAACAGACAGGATGGCTGCTTCCAGTCGCTGCTAGGGGCTACGGCAGCACAAATAGTGGTGACCGCTTTCATCAGGCATGTCTGGCTAGCGATAGGAGGAAAGGAAGGGTACTGAGGGGAAAGACGTTTAGGAGCAACACTCGCAACACATAGCAATCACAATGGTACGTACAGGGGCAAGTCTTTGGGCTGGACGACAGCATTGAGCAGTAGCAACACAAATCCCGATAGTGGTGGTGGACCGGATTGAGGAGGCCAGCAGTTGCAGACGGTGGCTTTATCAGGGCCTGGTCGGGCTGAGTCGGGTGTATTGCTCCTTCTATGCACTATCAATAAGGCTTGATACTAACACGATGCTTCGGGACTACGGGAGTCCTGGATATTGAACAGGCGGGCGCTATGGAAAACGCACGTAAGGCGATTAAAAACCTTTCGATCGACGATGAGGATGAATCATTGTACGGTCAAATTTACTCGGTCTCGGGTCCAGTCGTGATTGCCGAAAACATGATTGGATGTGCTATGTACGAGTTGGTGAGAGTCGGCCATGACAACTTGGTCGGTGAAGTCATTAGAATCGACCAGGACAAGGCGACGATCCAAGTCTACGAAGAGACCGCCGGTGTCACCGTCGGTGACCCTGTTTTGAGAACAGGAAAGCCGCTTTCGGTTGAGTTGGGTCCTGGTTTGATGGAAACCATCTACGATGGTATCCAGAGACCGTTGAAGGCAATCAAGGAGATGTCGCAGTCCATTTACATTCCAAGAGGTGTCGACACCCCGGCCTTGTCCAGAACCGTCAAGTACGACTTCACCCCTGGCCAGTTCCAGGTTGGCGATCACATCACCGGTGGTGACATTTTCGGTATGGCCTTCGAGAACTCCTTGCTCTCGGACCACAAGATCTTGCTTCCACCAAGAGCAAGAGGTACCGTTGTCTCCGTCGCAGAGGCTGGCTCCTACACCGTCGATGAACCATTACTGGAGGTCGAATTTGACGGTGTCGTGTCCAAGTACTCCATGATGCACACGTGGCCTGTCAGAGTCCCAAGACCAGTCGCCTCCAAGTTATCTGCAAACTACCCATTGTTGACCGGTCAAAGAGTCTTGGACGCCTTGTTCCCTTGTGTCCAGGGTGGTACCACTTGTATTCCAGGTGCTTTCGGTTGTGGTAAGACTGTCATCTCTCAATCCTTATCCAAATACTCAAATTCGGACGTCATTATCTACGTCGGTTGTTTCACAAAGGGTACCCAGGTCATGATGGCTGACGGGCAAGATAAAGTTGTTGAGGATATCAAAGTTGGTGAAACTGTTATGGGCAAGGATGGTAAGCCAAGATCTGTCATCGGCTTGCCAAGAGGTCACGAAACTATGTATAAGATTCACCACATTACTGGTCACAGACGTGATGCAGAAGTTCATGGGTTGATGGATTTCACTGTTTCTGCTGATCATAAGCTCGTTTTGAAAACTAGACAAAATGCTCTCATTACCACTCGCCGCTATGGTGGTAAGGAATATGCCGCTGTTGTTTTCTTCTCTCTGGAAAAGAGCAAATATGACATTGAAATGGTTAGAACTAAGACCAAAGTTTTTGGTTATCACGTTCATGGCAGTAAAGCTCGTGCTGAAGAGAAAGCTGTTAAATTTGCTGCAGAACTTAATGCATCTCCATATATTGATTGGGTCATTGAAGCTAAGGACTACCATCTTGTCAGCGACAACGTTAAGACCAATACAACCCAAATGATTAATCCAGTTTTGTACGAATCTGGTAGTCTTGGCAAGACCTTGGAATCCCGTGGGCAAGAAAAGTCCTCTGCGGCTTATTTAGCTTATATGTTGGGTCTTTGGGTTGGTGACGGTCATATGGATCGTGCTGCTTTCTCATTTGATCCTAGTGACACTGAATTGTTTGCACGTGTTTCTGAATATTCTGAAAAGCTAGGTCTTTCTGCTTCTTCTCATGAACACCTTCACCGTTACTTTGCTAACTCAAACGTTTCAAGTTCTCGTGAATCCGCTTTTTGTCCAAATTCAGCCGGTTCAGCTGATGACATGCAAATTGATTTTGATGTTCAAGTTGTTGTCACTAAAGGGCCTATTACCCCAAAAATCGACAACAATGATTTCTTGGTTGACGAAGATATGGATACTGACCTAACCGATGTTACTTATGAATCCGAGAACAATGAATCTTCATTTGGCTCCTATGGCTCAAGAGGTGACATGACCGTTACTATTCACGACGCAGGTAATGACATTAGAAACAAGAGCAACGTCTCAAATGTTTTCTGGGACATGGTTGAGTCTTTTGGTGTCAGGTATAACACCTCTTCAGGTTACGAAAAGGCTGTTCCTTCTCATATTGCTTGTGATGACATCAAAGTCAGAGAAATGTTTTTATCTGGTTTGATTGATTCTGATGGTTGTGTTAAGCTAAATTCTGATGGTACCAAAAATGCCACTATCACGACCATTCACAAGACTGTTAGTGAAGGTATTGTTAAGATAGCTCGTTCTTTAGGTATCAAGGTTTCGGTTGGTACTGAAGATGAAAAGATTGATTCTAATGGTGTTAGACACCAATTCAGTTACCGTGTTTTCTTGAATGGTAAGGCACTCGCTGGTGTTCTTTCTAACTGTGCCCTTGCAAGAAATTCAGCTGATGCTGTTTCTTTCACTAGAGAACCAGTTTTGTTTCACTTCGACTTGATTGAATCCGAAATGGAAGATTATTATGGTATCACTCTTGATGAATCCTCTGACCATATGTTTTTGCTTTCAAACATGGCGTTGGTTCATAACTGTGGTGAAAGAGGTAACGAGATGGCCGAGGTCTTGATGGAATTCCCAGAATTGTACACCGAAATCAGTGGTACAAAGGAACCAATCATGAAGAGAACTACTTTGGTTGCAAATACCTCCAACATGCCTGTTGCAGCAAGAGAAGCATCTATCTATACCGGTATTACCTTGGCCGAGTACTTCAGAGATCAAGGTAAGAACGTTTCCATGATTGCCGACTCATCCTCAAGATGGGCCGAAGCATTGAGAGAAATTTCCGGTAGATTGGGTGAAATGCCTGCCGATCAAGGTTTCCCAGCATACTTGGGTGCCAAGTTGGCTTCTTTCTACGAAAGAGCAGGTAAATCCATTGCCTTAGGTTCCCCTGACAGAACCGGTTCCGTTTCTATTGTTGCTGCTGTCTCACCAGCCGGTGGTGATTTCTCTGACCCTGTTACTACTGCCACCTTAGGTATTACCCAAGTTTTCTGGGGTTTGGACAAAAAATTGGCTCAAAGAAAGCATTTCCCATCCATTAACACTGCTATCTCCTATTCCAAGTACACAAATGTTTTAGGAAAATTCTACGACTCCAACTATCCAGACTTTGCCTCTCTTAGAGACAAAATCAGAGAAATTCTCTCTAACGCCGAAGAATTAGAACAGGTTGTTCAATTGGTCGGTAAGTCTGCCTTATCTGACTCTGACAAGATTGTTCTTGATGTCGCTAACTTGATTAAGGAAGATTTCCTACAACAAAACGGTTACTCCACTTATGATGCATTCTGTCCAATTTGGAAAACATACGATATGATGCGTGCCTTCGTGTCGTACTACGATGAAGCACAAAAGGCAGTTGCAAGTGGTGCCCAGTGGTCAAAACTTGCCGACGCTACCTCAGATGTGAAACATGCGGTTTCATCAGCTAAGTTCTTTGAACCAAGTAGAGGTGAGCAAGAAGTGGGTACTGAATTTGACAAACTTCTCTCCACTATCACGGACCGTTTCCAGGAAGCTTCTGAGTAAGCTGATTGGTAACTGTGATGGACGTTGAGGTATGTGAAGAGTATTGTGGTTGTAAAATGTTCTTTAACTTTGTATAGAAAAACGAAAAAAAAAGCTGATCAAAAAATCTTGTATCACTGAAATGTGTAAAAACACTAGAAAGGCGTCGCATTTTGCAACACGCGCATAATGTCGGAAGGATCGTAAACTTACACCAAAAGCAATGAACGGAAACGTGTTGTTGCCAGAATGCGGTTATCCTGATTTGGTTGTGATAAGTAACGGTTTCACCAAATCGGTACCAAAAGGATATATGAACTTTCTTACAAAAACTCTTGGTTCCTTGACCGGTACTTCGATTCCATATACTTTTGGATCAATTGTCCAACCCTCACATCTGGATAGTCCCTCTTCTACATCATTATGGAAAATACATGACGCCACTTCAGACAAAGATTCCAGGCCAGTTACCATCTTTGAATTTGATTTAAAACATCCCGGTAACTCAAGGTACGTTCCCTTGGTTCAAAATGCAGTTAAGAAGCATCGTGCACTCGCCCTTTTGCCTGGTGTTTTATCCATTGTTGAAATCATCGAGTCTGAAAAAACTATTTATTTGATCACAGAACATACAATACCATTATCACATATCATCTCAGAGTATTCGGGCGAATTGAAATTGCTTGGCGTGTTCCAACTTACTCTTGCCTTGAAATTTATAAACATAGAAGGTTCCTGCGTTCACGGGAATCCAAGACTGGAGAATGTTTTTGTTACTGATTCAAGAGAATGGAAATTAGGAGGTTTCGAGTTCACAATCAACTACAAAGATGATTCTAACGACTATCTCACATTGTATTCCATGTATACATCACTTACTTCTTCAAAAGGATTGATTGTTCCACCCGAGTTTGAGAGTTCCGGATCTGATTTTTTCAAAGGTTTGGGCAAAGGAATCAAGGGAACCAAATTTGACTCTTATTTGTTTGGGCTTACTGCCTATCAAATAATGACTAATAAGCCTCCCAGTGTTGCAGAAATTATGAGATCGGGGAGTATCAAGGGGTTGACTCTCAATAAACTGGTTGCTCCAAGTATCGGATTGAGGATAACAATTGAGCAATTCATGAGTAATGGAGAGATGTCATACTTCGCTACCAAGGAAATTCATGCATATTCAAAATTCAGTCAGATAAGCCTACTCAGTCTTGATCAGAAACTTGAAGTCTACAAAGCCCTAGTATCTGGTAATACCCCTACTGAGTTTCTTGAAATCAAGGTCATGCCAGAAATTGCCAACACTTTTGATACCATCACTTCCAACGAGAACAACGTTCAAACGACTCTTATTTACCTCATCTACCTTATTCATAGCGAATGTGAAGGTGAATCAAAGTATTTCGAGATGTTTTTCAAACCTTTATATTTCAAAAGTTTCCTTTTGGCTGATCGTGCTGTACGAACTATCATTTTAAAAATTTTACCAAAGGTTATAGACAAGATCTCTAAACATGAAGTCCAAGACAGAATTTATCCGAATTTGGTCTCAGGTTTTGCAGATACTGATATCACTGTTCGTACAGAGACATTATTGTCCATTTCATACATAATGGACAAGATTACCGATAGACAATTGAATAATGATTTATTACGTTACTTGGCTAAACTTCAGGCCGACCAAAACCCTCAATTGAGAGCAAATACAGTCATCTGCCTCACGCGTATTTCGGCTAAAATGCAGTCTACAACACGTATTGGAGTTTTAGTTACTGCATTTGGGAAGGCTCTCAGAGATCCGGATTATGTTACACGTCTGTGTGCAGTCAGAGGATTTGAGTCAAGTATAGATTATTTTACTCCAGAAATCTGTTGCTCAAAGGTTCTATCTGCTCTTTCACCGGCATTGCTTGATACCTCCTCAATCATCAGAAATGAAGCAGAGAAGGTTTTTGAGCTTTATATGAAGAAAATCAGGGATGCCTCGACAAAACTACATAAAATTGAGGAAGATACCCATATATTAGATGATGTATCCAATTTGACCAACCTATTGAATAGCTTATCTTTGGAAAACTTGGGTCATAATTTATTGGATTCGATTTCCAACTTGCACACTAGCACACCATATCCTGAATCAAGGATGGGTGGAAACTCTCTGAATCTGGCAAACAAGTTAACATCAAAAGATAATTTGATTGATGAAGATTTTGATTTGGATGACGATGTCGACGACTGGGGATTTGATGATGGTGAAAGTGAGAGCAAAAGTGGTACAGAAAATGGATTAAGTTCAACCTGGAAGCCTAGCGAGACTAGTAAGCCATCCAATAGTAGCGAGAAGAAGTTCACATTCCCAAGCGCCAAAGTTAATGAATTTAAAAAGACATCATTAGTTTTGGGTAAGAAGAAGACTGCCGCAAAATTAAACCTAACCGTCGAGCCTGTGGATGATGATGATGGCTGGGGTGATGGCTGGTGATGCGTAGCTTTTGTATATTATGCACTTTTTTAAAATAAAAAAAAGATTGAAGTGTAATATCATTAATATGAGAGTGATGATTTCATCATCACTAATCAGAAAAATTACGCTCGAAAAATAAAAAATTTAGTACAACTCCCTATCAGGGGCTCGAACCCTGGACATTTCGGTCGACTTCTTGCGAATTCTTAAAAGCCGAACGCTCTACCGACTGAGCTAACAGGGAGCTAACACGTGAAGTCAACTACAAGCGATATACTAGTTTTTATTATCACGCGAAAGTTTTTTGCTATGATTAATATGCTAGGCAAGTTTCTGTGATCTTACTAGCCTAACCGGAATATTTCACTGTAATACAATTAAGTAAGCACTTAAGGCAATACTAAAATACAACAACTATAAAAGAGATTTCAAATAATTAATACATTAGATGATTTGTTATAACGGAACTTCGGCTCCATTCTCGACGATGAGAATCACAGCCAGCTCATGAAATTACTTCACACTGAGAAGATCGCCCAGGGGATCAAGAAAAGCTCGGGGAAGGATATAGATAAAAAAGCAAGGCATGCTTAGAATATTAAGCTCAACCTATCCGATAAATCAGGCAACTATAGTGAAACTTCTAGTTGCTGCGCTAGCAGAAGTGATAAGGCGTTAAAGCTGGTTCCATTTGTTAGGTTTTGAGACATTAGTCCATGATAGGTTTCCATTTTCTTATGGAAAGATTACAAGGACTTGCATGGAATGGTTCTTACTATGCATTGCACATGTTGGTTGTTCTCGTTGCGATCGTAAAATCTCTTTAGCCTTTGCAGGAAACGGTAGAGCCAGCAACTGGGATTTGCTGAGAAAATCCAATTGAGTTCTTTGATTGAAAAATTTGTTTATTTTAGAGGATTAAAATGAGGCTTTTCTAATCCTGAGAGACCTGGTTGGGCCTATTCATTGAACTGTTAGATATCTGAATTCAACTTCCCGTAATGTTTTTTTCGCAAGTTTCAAGTTTCTTCACTAGTTTCGCTTTTGCCACCATCTTGTTCTTCGCTGAGGTTACTCACAATAGCACCAATATCGTTCAAAGCACAACGGACGAGTCTTTCGGTTGTTGGCAAACCATTTTTGAAGTCTTCTTCGTTGTAGACCATCATTGAATTTGCAGCCAAACTCACTGCTCTAACAATTTGTATCCAGTTAGCAGTTACATCTGCAACAGAGCTCGTTCCTAGTTGCATCAATGTGATCTGGTGGTTTAATGCCTGAAGTAGTTTGGCCATTCTGTTGGTCAATGATTCGATCTCTTGTAATCTTCTGAGTTCAGCCAATCGTGACTGAAGAAGCGAGTCTGCTTCTGCACCAGTTATTGTAGAGTATCTTCTATTTGACATAGTTTCATTGACATTATTAGATCAATATGGATCTCAGAAGGCTAGGTTAAACACATGAACTGGACAAGAATGTGCTACATCACATGAGTGAGATATCCAATGCCCTCATAAAATTGTCAACTTTGTGAACGCGTAAATTTTTCTTCGCAGATTTACAAATGTAAACAACACCACAAGTACTTTTTGACCTTGCTTCAGACATCTTTTTCCACTACACGATACATCGAGATATAAGTCTAACAGATTTGCTAGAAAATTATCTTTTGCTAGACTTTCAATACTGCTGAAGTCTTTCATAAAGACAACTCGCTGGTATATATATCAAACACAGAAATCAGCTTTCGCAAGACTACACATTTAGCAATTTACACAAGATGGTCAAAGCAGCATTGCCACTTGCTGTCACAAGGGAGTCTCTGACTTATGCAGACAGACAGCTTGTACTGAATCCCATTCATAATGATATTCAAGTTGAAGAATTGAAACGGACATATTCTATTCAAAACAGCTTACTCGCCAGAAAAAACGAGGAGCTGCAACTTCGAGTGACAAATTTAGAGAACCAGCTTTTTCAGACTCAAAAGCAAGTTCTTACCCTCAGAAATGAAAAAATACAGTTGAACGAGAAGATGAAATTAAACTCCAAGCATTTTAATGACGTGATAGTAAGCTCGCTTGACAAGCTGATGAGTGAATACAGAACTTTTATGGCTGACGTTGGAGTGGAGGTGAGTAATAAACACATTCCAGCGCATCTTTCTCAAAAAATAGATAATGAAGGGCAATACAAAGCCACAGACTTTGAGCATTACTGGCAAAATATAAATGATGATTTACGGAGGCGTAAAAGTTCTTTATTCAGCTTCAGAGGCAATTCCTCAGACTCAGCGGAAAATATTGACACCAAAGCTGTTATTCCTATATCGGAAGGAGCCTTGGAGGAAGACCAGCTTGATACTTTGGTTGAAAAAGAAGAGGAGGCTCCACTGGAACCCGAATATGAGGAAGAAAACTCTACTAACATACCTGTGAAGAGACAACCCATGATCATGGAAAAAATTGATAGTCATCAGCTGACACATATACCATTTCTTGGAGTTTCTAAGAGCACAGAAGAAGGAGCTCACAAGCCTCTCCTAATTGAGGAGGATCATGATAGTGGCAATGATGAGCTTTTCAACCAACCTATTGTTTCACCACCGGACTCGCCCAGCAAAGCAGATCAGCCTGCAAGGTTGAGTTTAGGTACCGATGGGGAGGCTGGTGTTTTATCTTGTGATGAAGAAAAGGAGGGTGAAGTGCCTGGTGTGGAAAAGTCTGCAGTACAGAAGGTAGCAAAAACGAGGAGAGGCAAGATTCCAAGAGAACTCAGGAATTTAGACACAGAAAAAACCAAAAAATGGCTTGGAATGGATCCACTGGACGATGTTGGGGAATCTACGAGTGAAAGAAGGAAGAGTAGAAGACGGTCGCTGGTGGTGAATTATCAGCTTCCTTCTCTGAAACAAAAGATGAGGAGGTCGTCTGGACGGTTTTCCAATGTCGTTTATACTGATGAGGACCAAGAGAACAGAGTGAAGAAGCCAAAGAGCAGCAAGAACCGCAATGCTTTAAGGAATATAACCAACATAAGTCAAGCTGTCAGTCGAGATAGCCCTGAAAAGAGTGATCGGGAAAGGTCTATTTTTGACTTGGAGAATGCCGATATTTTTGGCGAATACAAGAGTGGAACTTTGAAAAACAGAGGTAGAAGTAGGGACGAGGTCTATGACATGCTCCTATGATTCATGTGTGTAAATTATAAATTTTTTTAATTAAGTGTATCAGTAGTCTTAGTATACAGGAGGGAAGGGGCGGGGGAAAAGGAAGGCAGAGACTCAAACAGCCATCTTCATCTTGATTGGGCCGTAAGGATCGTAGTCTGTGACTTCGAAGTCTTCGTATTTGAAGTCGTCTATGTCGGTGACCTTTCTTTTGATCACCAGCTTGGGGAATTTTCTAGGCACTCTCTGCAACTGCTCTTTCAAGGCCTCGACGTGGTTCGAGTAGACGTGGGCGTCGCCCATGACGTGGATGAACTCGCCGGGCTCCATGTCCACAACCATGGCGATCATGTAGGTGAGCAGGGCGTAGGAGGCGATGTTGAAGGGCACGCCCAAGCCCATGTCGCACGATCTCTGGTACATCTGGCAGCTGAGCCGAGGCCTGCCCGACTTCGGGAAGCTCACGTAAAACTGGCAGAAGACGTGGCAGGGCGGCAACGCCATTTCCTTGAACGCAGGCGGGTTCCACGCCGACATGATGATTCTTCTGTCGTACGGGTTGGTCTTCAAGGTGTGCACGATGGACGCGAGCTGGTCGTAGCCCTGGCCGGAGTAGTCTGCGTCGCAGTCCTTGTACTCTGCGCCGAAGTGTCTCCACTGGAAGCCGTAGACCGGCCCCAAGTCGCCCTCTCGGCGGGAGGTCAACCCCAGCGAGTCGAGGTACTCCCGGGACCCGTTGCCCTCCCAGATCTTCACGCCCTTGGCGGACAGCAGCTTTGCGTCGGTCGAGCCGTGGACAAACCACAAAAGCTCGTGCAGGATGCCCTTCATGAACACCTTCTTGGTCGTCAAGAGCGGGAAAGCTCCGTCCGAGAGGTCGAACCTGAGCTGCGGCGGCGCAAAGAGAGAGTACGTGCCTGTGCCCGTTCTGTCCGGCCTGTACTCGCCATCGTCGATGATTCTTTGCAGCAGATCGAGATATGCCTGTTCCTCTAGATTTCGCCCGTCTGTACTCAACGACTCTGCCATTGTGTTATTGTTTGCTTCGGACCGACAGCACTTCCAGATCAACGGGGAAGGAACGTCCAGCTCAATGCTCTAAATGCTCAGCTCAATGCTCAGCTCAAACCTTGTTTTCTTCTTTAAACAGCGACGCGTGAACCACAGCTGCCACGCGTGCAAGGAAGGGCCCGGGCCCGTCACGTGCCGCCGACGGTCCAGAAAAACGTCAAAGCGCAGGCCGGTCCTGCGAGAGAAAGCAGCTTGTGTGTGTTGCCCTAGCACACGGTGACGGCCACTGTGGCCCGCCGCGAAACGGATCCGCCCCCACGGTGGCGCCGCGGCGAGGTACGACGCACGCGCTGCGGAAAGCAGCTTGTGTGCAGGCGCAGGCCCTGCGCAGGCCCGACGCCGCGCCCCGCCGCCGCTGCCGGTGCACGGAGGCGTCCGGTCTCCCACTCCGGGGCCAATGAAAAGACTGCAATTAGCAATGGTGGTGCAGTGAGGCCTGCGAGTAGACGCTGGCGGTCAGCTGGGACTCCCTGCAGAACCGTGCCGACAAGGAGCTTCGGCTAGGCCGACGCGTCGCCAGCCGGCAGCAGGCGCTGCGGTCGCAGACCCGCTGCCGGGCCGCCGGGCGCCCCCAAGCACAGAGCCCTTTCGCAGCGGACAAATCAGTGGCATGAGAATGGTCAGAACAGGCCGTCGGCGCGTCGCTGGCTGCCCTGGGCCCGCAGGCCTGCTGGACCCGCCCGGCTTGCTCGCTCGCCTGTGGTGCTGCGAGAGCGAGGAATTTTGTTTGGCGAGGGGGGGAAGGAAGCTCCCGTTTTTCCTCTGCCTGTAGCAAAATGCACCACAGAGACATTGTGATTGCAGCTGGGTTGTCTGCGAGAACACAACTCTTCCTTTTTGAAGTCGTTTTTAGGATCTGCTGGTTGTTTCTGTGGGTTTTTCCTGTTGTTTTCCGGCTCTCTATCCACACACATACCAGTACACAATGTTTTCTCAATTTGGTTCTGCTTTGAAGCACAGTGCTGTACGTACCCGCTTTTCCAGCGTCCACACCCCCGACGTCAGGTCGTCTCCATGTCTGCGAACTCGCCCCAAGCAAGGCCGTTGGTGCTCGTGCCGCCACCGCTGGGCCAGGCCTGCACCACACGGGACCTGAACTCATGCGGTCGGCGGCTTACTACGGCCGTCCCTGTGGTTTCTTCTTTTTTTTTCCAGAAAATGGTGCATATCGTCAGGCCCCTGGGATTCTCGACGCCGTCGAGCCATTCCTCGACAGTGCTGGGTGACGGCACCAGGTTCCTGCACAAAGGCTCCCCGTGCGGTTGGCGCCCCCAATTCCAGAGATCTCACTCCCCAAGTCCGTCATTATGCTTTCTTCCAATTTGCGTCCTTGTATATGCAATCACTCACCGCGATTTTTTTTGAAGCTCTCTGATTGGCCAGTTCTCGTTTTCGACGGCTCTGGAGCCCCCGTTTGCAAGGGCTTGGGGACACACACGCACCACAGACATGACGACAACAACCACACAGAGGCTCGCCTCTTCGTTCATGAGGACGGAATACTAACATTCTTCTTGGGCCTTTTTCGCCCCTTGTGCTTATTATAGAGATCTTTTTCTACCTCTGCAAAGAGTGAAGTAACTTCTAACACCAAGAAAGCTGTCAATGCTGCTGTCGCAGCAACCGGTTTAACGGCTGCGTATGTTCTATACCAAGATTCCCAAACTGCACAGGCAATGACTGCAGCTGAACACGGTCTTCATCCCCCAGAGTTCGCATGGTCTCACAACGGCATGTTTGACTCCTTCGACCACGCCTCCATCAGAAGAGGTTTCCAAGTCTACAGAGAAGTCTGTGCTGCCTGCCACTCGTTGGACAGAATCGCTTGGAGATCCTTGGTCGGTGTCTCCCACACCAACTCGGAAGTGAAGGCCATGGCCGAAGAATTCGAATACGACGACGAACCAGATGACGAAGGTAACCCAAAGAAGAGACCAGGTAAGTTGGCCGACCACATTCCAGGTCCTTACGCAAACGAGCAAGCCGCAAGAGCCGCAAACCAAGGTGCCCTTCCTCCAGACCTCTCCTTAATCGTCAAGGCTAGACACGGTGCTTGTGACTACATCTTTGCATTATTAACCGGTTACCCAGATGACCCTCCAGCAGGTGTCACCTTGCCAGTTGGCGCCAACTACAACCCTTACTTCCCAGGTGGATCGATTGCTATGGGTAGAGTCTTGTTCGACGACTTGGTCGAGTTTGAAGACGGCACCCCAGCTACTACCTCTCAAATGGCAAAGGACGTTACCACTTTCTTGAACTGGGCTGCCGAACCAGAACACGATGAAAGAAAGAGATTGGGTGCCAAGGCCTTGATTGTCGCAACCGCATTATACTTCGTCTCTGTCTACGTCAAGAAATTCAAGTGGACCACAATCAAGCACAGAAAGATTGTCTACCACCCACCAAAGAAATAAATGCAATGATTTTAATGATTCATCAAAATGTTAATAACCAACTTACTAAAAATTTACCTACTTGCTATATCTAGGGCTTTGGAAGCTTAGTTAGAACAAAAAATACCTCGAGTTCCCCAAGCCCTATTTCTCACATATTTATTATATAAATTAACCAAAAAAATGTTTGTTTACTGTTAAAGAGGATTTCGCTTTCAATTTGTTTGGTCCATTCTAATCATTTATTCATTTACAAGTCAAGATCTATTTTCTTACCCACTTTTTATTTCTCCCCTTCTCTTCCTTTTCTCTCTTTGAAGAAAAGAAAATGCACTTCTTTAGGAGTCTCTTCAACCCCCCCCCCCCCCCCCCCCCCCCCCCCCCACAACAACATTATTTATTTATTCATTTCTTAAATATTTTTAAATATATCTCTAAAATTTAAATATAGTACTGCACCAGTAACGAACGGTACAAGTTGTGTTACGTAATAAGCTCTTTTTCCTCACACGCTCCCCGTAGGCCACCGGACAGTTGCTTTCGTAACATGTATTTGGGGGCTTTCCAACACAGATTGAGCAGTGCTTATCTATCGAAGATTATAGTCAGTCAGATTATTACTTGAGTGACGAATAACACATATATGTCAAATGGTAGTGCGATACTTAATCCAACGGACAAGATAGTGGATACGATCTTGCACGGGAACAACAACTTTGTATCCACGCTCGATCATCTCCCCTGCGATATTATACGATGTTTGTGGGTCGTTCAGATGATGAACTTGCGTAACGTCCGACTGCAAAAGAGGCTGGGCGAACTACTGCAAAATCCTGAACAGCACGCTGCGGAAATATCTAGACTCAATAGAATCATCCTACGAAATTCGTCCGAGGCAGAATGTGAATCAAAGTACGCCGTGAATATATTGAATACGCATTTGAACACGCTTCAGGATGACAGGGAAATCTACGCAGTGTTGAGACAGAAGCTACCCGGGTGGACCAGTGAGGCTGTTGAACAGAGATGGAAAGAATGGGGTTTTTTCAAGAAGACGTTTTTAGAAAGGCAAAAAGAGGCAAGCACTCTGGATGTCTTCAGCACGTTCAAGGTTGAGAATGAGACTGACAATGCGGCAGTCTCTATAGGACAAAGAAAAGAGAAAAGCAGCAGCATTGGTGGCAATAATAGAGGGGGAGACAATAGCAATGGAACCAAAAAGACAAACTTGAAATTAAAGTCGAGCTTGAGCAGTATTGCCAGTGGTAGTGGAGCTCTAAAAATAAAATTGAGCTTGAAACCTCCTGAGTTTGGGCCTAGCGGGATCAAAAGAAAGGCAGACCTCTCCATATTGAAAAAAGGCAAGGTGCTTGAGCATGACAAAAAAAGAGCAAAGAAGAAGAGCACGACGGATGAAAATGACACTAGGTTGCCAATCGATTTGAAACTAATACCGCCCCCACCTCCAGCTTCAGAGGTCCCTGTTGAGGAGAAAGCTCCTCTAGTTCCCGATGAACCTCATTACTGCTTCTGTGGCGGACCTTCATTCGGTCGTATGGTCGCCTGTGAGAACGAAAAGTGTCCCCGTGAATGGTTCCATTTCAAATGCGTTAACTTGGTACGAGAGCCTGAAGGAGCGTGGTTTTGCTCGAAAACGTGCGAGGAGCAGCATAGGTTGGCAATGCTACGCAAAAAGAAAAAGAAGCGGAGGAATTGGTAGTGCCACGCTTAAATCTTTAGTAAAGACGAATAGTTATAAATACATAAATAAACATAATAGTGTTTTTTTTTTTTTTCTTCTGTTAATGTTTCACTTCTTAGAAAAAAGGCTGCCTCAAATCAACACCCAAGTACTTATGGCGACGAAAATGATCAACACAATAGCGGTCAAGACACCAGCACCTGCCTTATCCTTCGAAGTCACGGTGATTTCGTTCTTATTGGTCGTTTCGTGGGATGTCAAACCTGCGTTCACGTCACCTTTAGAAGTACCACCAGTAGAGTTCGTTAGCGGAGGAGGGACTTGTAATACCAGAGTGTTCTGTATAATTTCGAGCGCAGAAATCTGTTCACCCAAACCGTACCATCCATCCCAGCCGCCGTAGGACCAATTAATACCACAAGTATGGCCGTCCGAGCCCCCAGAGCATGATTTTGCAGCTCCTTCAGCAGATTTGTTGATTATTGTCATGATTTTGTCTCTAAAGCTGGGCACCAAAACAGCAGTTTGGCCTAAGCATCTAGAGACAATCGACTTGAAAGAACGCTGATCGTTGTTACAGTTACCAGTCTCCTGACACATGTGCTCATAAAGGATACCGGTTGAGGCGTTGATGAAAGTCGACTCAAAACCATTATAGATGCCGGTTAAACGGTCCAACCATATTTGCTCGTTAGTGAAGTTGTAGAGATAAGCAGTCCCGGCCATCAGAATCCCGTAGTTATAACTCCATGTGTTGGTTTCAAACGTGGTGCAGTTGTTGTTACCGATGTTGGCACCATCTATGATGTTGTAGCCGTCCGACTTGTTTTGAATGTATTTGACGTCCATCAACCAGTCCCACACCATCTCCGCCGTGTCGATGTAGGTGTCGTTTTGCGTGTACCTGGCCAACCTGGCGGCCATGTTAAACAAGCAGGAGTTTGAGATGGTATTCTTGTAGTCGTACCCGGAGTTCCACTGGAAAATCTGCCACCTCAAGCCTCCGCCACAGTCTGCCGAGTCCCATCTCGACAACATGGTGTTGTAAACACCCTGCGAGAGCGCCAACCACCCAAGCTCGTCCGCAGGAGGGTTTGTAAAGTTCCGCTCGGTGGCCTCCATGACTGTCAAGCCCCAAAAGGCTTGATCATCGTTACCCTCGGTGAACGACTGGTTTTTTGGGACATAGTCTCCATTGGGGCCCTTCTGCGCCATGAGGGCTTCGTAGATGATGTTTTCGTACGTGTGGTTGCCACACCAAGCCCATGTGTCGATCATACCGCCAAAGATCTCTCCTGCCTCCCACCAATAGTATGGTGGTTGGAAAAGACCCACTGCACCTCCGATCCTGGTACCCTCATAGTAGTCCATGATACCGTTAGTGATCGGTGTTGCCGCTGCGCAGACAGAGTCCTTGTCACCGGCCTCAAGCGACAGCGCCTGGACGGAAGGAGCATAAAGCACTGCCCCGATCAGACACAGACACCTGCTCCAAGCAATCCTCGTTTGTTTTTCTAGCATAATATGATGATGAGGGTGACGATGTCCTGTATGTTGTCCGTTCTCGTAGCTAGACTCGTAGATGCTACCTGGGGAGAAGAAGACGCACTAACGAGCAGGAATGGGAACCTGTTCACAAGGAGGAAAAGCGGGGCGTGAAAGAGACAGCAACAGATCCGTTGATATCGGATTCTCAATGCTCTTGTTGATGACGATAACTCTAATCGAACGAAAACCAGGCTCGCCTGCACCTCTAATAATAGTAGCTTGTGGCTTTGCGCATTTCGCGAAACCGTGAGTGGAAAAAAGAGGAAAAAAACTGCTGACGTCAGCTGCGAAAAACAAGCCGATCGACCCAAAATCTGGAATGTGGGGAAAGGTTGAGCCTCCAGTCGGAGGAGCCTACGGAGACAGAAGACGATTATTATATAACACAACAGGAGAATAAAAAAGGGTAGGGGTGGAGTACAATCGGACAAAAAGGTTGCGTGTGGTGAATGAAAAAAAAAGAAGAGACAAAAAGGATCGGAGAAGTGAAAAAGGTACGTTTTTTGGATTTTGAGTTCGTTTTGAGATTCATCATGTTCATGTTCATGTTCATGTTCATGTTCATGTTCATGTTCATGTTCATGTTCATGCTCGTTTTCGTTTTCTTTTAAGTGACGTGAGACAGCTTACTTGGCTGTGTAGAACAGCTCGGTGACGACCGAGGTGGTGTGAGTCTCCGTGTGCACGTCGGTGCTGGTTTTGGTGAAGTGTCTGGTGACGGTTGGGGCCGGGACGGTGACGAAGCTGGAGCTGTCGAGCTTGTCGCCGCAGGTCTCCTCGGTACAGGGGACGCCGATGCTGCCAATGACGGAGTTCTGGATGATCTCGAGAGCGGCGATCTGCTCGCCCAAGCCGTAGAAGCCATCCCAGTCGCCGTCGCTCCAGCTCATGCCACAGGTGTGGCCGTCGGAGCCGCCCGAGCAGGCGCTGGCGGCACCCTTGGCTGAGGCGTCGATGATCTTGTTGGCCCTGTCGGCGAAGGATGGGGCGAGGACGACGACGTCGCCCAAGGCCCTGGCGACGATGGCCCGGAAGGAGCGCTGGTCGTTGTTGCACCTGCCCCACTGGAGGCACTGGTACTCGTATAGCACGTCAGTGGCGTTAGGGCTGAGGAAGTAGTGTTCGATTCCGCCGAGAAACTTGTCGAGCTCGGAGCCCCAGGCGTCGTCGCCCGTGGCGTTGTATAAGTAGGCCGAGCCCATGGTCATCAAGGCGTAGTTGTAGGACCAGATCGCGCCGTTGACGACGGGACATGAGCCGTTGACGATGTCTGCGCCGTCGTAGACATTGTAGTAGTTGCCGGCGTTGTCGCTGTCGTCGGTGGGAGCGTGCACGAAGAAGGCCTTCTTCATCCAGCGCAGAATTCTGCTGGAGGACTTGACGAGCTCGTTGTCGCCCGTGTACCGGGCCAAGCGGGCGCCCAGAGCGAACACGCCTGCGTTGGAGACGGTGCTCTTGTACGTCCAGCCGCTCATGTTGCTCATGATCTGCCACCTCAAGCCGCCGCCGCAGTTGTCGGCGTCCCAGCGGTCGGCCATCGAGTTGTACACGTTGAGGGCGAGGTCGGCGTAGGAGGGGTCGCCCGAGTTGTTGGAGTAGGCCGGGAAGTCTCTCTCGGCAGCCTCGAGCACGGTGAACCCCCAGAAGACCTGGTCGTCGTTGGCCTCAACGTGGGTCTGGTTAGGCACGCCGTAGAAGTCGTTGCTGTCGCCCTTCTGGTGGCTGATGGCGCTCTGGATCGTGGACACGTACGTGTAGTTGTTGCAGATCTTCCACGTGTCGATCATGCCGCCAAACACGAGGGCGCTCTCCCACCAGTAGTAAGGTTGCTGGAACATCCCGACGGTACCGCCGTATCTGGTGCCGAGGTAGTAGTCCATGATGCCGTCGACGAGCTCCGTGGCGGCGCTGCAAACGGAGTCGGTGTCGCCCACTGTGAGCTCGAGGGCTCCGGCTGTCGACAGGACCGACGCCGCCACAAGGGCCAGGGTGGAGTAGGTGCTGGAAAGTTTCATCGGGTGGTGTGGTGGTGCTAGGAGGAAGGATCGTCGCTCCAGAAAGGTCTGTTCCTGGTCTGCACAGAGGCACAGCAGACGCTCCAGACACCACAACTACAACTACGCCAGACAAGAGTAGACAAGACACTTCGAAACAACTCTCGCCAGCCTTGACAGGCCTCTCGTCCACCCAGACCCCTTCCTGGCCTCGGGACCAGTGGCAGACAGACAGGGGCCACGGGCCACCACAGCCTATGCCAGGACGCCGGGAAAGCCTCCTGCCCGCATCCGGCAAACCCAAAAATAAACACCTTTGCGGCAGAAGCCTTTCTGCTGCAGGACGGCCTAACGCGCCAAGGCCACTGGTCGACGCTGGAACGGGCAGCCGATGGTGCCCGGCAGGGCGGCAGCTGCTGCTGCTGCACAACGGGCGCCCGGGCTGCTACAGCGCCGTAACACAAAGCAAAACACAAAGCAAACAGCGACAATCGCACCCACCGGGCACACAGGATCCCCAAGAACAAACTCCACAAAAACAACAACAACAACAACAACAAACAGAACAAACAGAACGAACAGGACAAAACAACGCAGAAACAAAAACGACAAGTTAATTGCGTGCGTCACTAACCCGCCACCGGCTTTACTATAAATAGCGCATGCGTCATCGTCATCGCGGGCGCCCGCTTACGTAAAATGTGCTTACGTACTCTGCTTACCTCAGCAACAGTGCGGTACAACACAAGATTTCTGTCGCAGGCCCTTTTGGCCGAAAGAGGAAATGCCGGGCCCATCGCTGATTAGATAAGATAGCGGCCGGGAGAAAAAGGCGGCTGCCAGGTCCGGTGGCTTCACCCCGCTTGGGCCGGGGGCCAGAGGAGGGCAAACTGCGGCAGACTGACAGGAGTGGTTTGGCTCATGTGTGGCCCTCCTTTCTTCCTGGTACCAGCGGTCTTCTTGTGCTCCCTGCTGACTGGTGGTGTCTGTCCCTGGTCCCTGCTGGCATCTCCAAAGACGAGTCCGCCTGCTGAGATGTATCCACCGCCTGCGTCCCTCCCCTGCGTCCATGCAATGCCCATGTCCGAACGTCCCTGCGGAGATAACGCCACCAGCACCGGCAGCCACGCCGTGTTCGACATCGACGTCGACATCATGCCCTCCTCGCTCTTGCGGGGCACCGTTTTGGGCGAGTGCCACACGGTGCTGCAGGCGTCGAGAGAGAGCCTTACCAACAGCAGGAGGCTCTCCATGCGCCGCCTGCTGATGGACCACTTCAAGGCGGTCTACGACAGCGACCCCGCCAACCACGGCGTGCGCAACGTGATCCACTACCTCAACTCGAAGAAGTTGAGCTTGTTTTTGTTCAGAAAGTGTCGGTCGAAACACAAGATGGTTTCGCTGTTTTCCTACGCAGACTTCTACGACTTGACAAACGCCCTCAATGACAGAAAGAAGTTCAAGTTTGTCGTCTTCTTCGTAAAACAGTCCACCCTCTTGCACGTGTCCCCGACGGAGGTGAACAACTCGCTCCTCGACAAGCTCAACGGAGAGTCCAGCAAGGGCTCTGCCCGCGGCTCCTTTGTTGCGAAGGAGCTCTCTGAGGAGGAAGACAAACCCGACTCCGACGACGAGCTCTACATCAGCAGCGGCACTCTTGGTGGCGCTGCTTCTGCGGCCACCTCCGTCTGTACTCCATCTGCAGAGCCTCTTCAATCGTCAAACCCCTTAGATCTCTTGACCGCCCCCTCATCTGCCAACGCTTCCGAGCAGTTGGACTGCTTAATCGGCATCATCAAGTCATACCTCGACCCAGGCAACTTTGACAAGCATCTCTCCGTCTTACTGGAGGGTATCAACGACCTGAAAACAAACTTGTCCGACAACATAGAACCTCTCAACCAGAAATTGGACGGCTTGTGCGCCTCGATCCTGCAGCTGACAACCTCGCCGGTCAACCCACCCGAGCAACCCTCTCCCTCCTCCTCTTCGACCCATTTGCCGAGATGCAACGTTACTCACTCTTCAGTAATCTGTGACGGTTGCGATCAACCTGTCAAGGGTTTCAGATACAAGTGCGTCCAATGTTATAACTACGATCTATGTGAAGAGTGCGATTCGAAGTGCTTCGAATCTCAAGGACACTCCAAAACCCACCAAATGTTGAGAATCTTCTTGGATGAACGACCAATCCCTTTTGCCAACACCAGCAACCCAACTTCTACGCCTAACGCTTTCGACCTCTACGAGCCTTTCTGGACATGCAAAGATATCTATTCTGTCCCCAACAGCGAGTACAAATCCTATGCTTTCAAGACTTTTGACCCATCTGCAAGCGTCAACAATAGCTCTAACAGCTCGGAATTGTCCGCTTCCATATGGGTTGAGGACTTCCGCTATTTGAATATAAGTCTAAATTCCAAGTTGGACGAATACAATATCCTTATGTCCATCTTCTTTGACGACAACGCCATGCAACCTATCGAAAACCTCGAAATCAAGCTAAGAACTTCCAGCACAGTGCTCCATCTTGATCTTTTTGACTACACCAAACCACTAACTGCTGATCATTCCTACAAGTTCACAACCAGCTGCATAGACGTTTTCTATTTGCAAATCACCTCAGGCAACAAGAAATATCTTTTCCAGCCAGATGAACAAGCTTTGGAAACTGGAAAGTTGTGTGGAGTTTTCAACTTAATTGAGGAAGGCGAAGAGCAAAATTCTGGCTTGAAAAGAGAAGAAGACGAGGAGCAGGAAGAGGAAGAAAGCGACGACGACAACGACGACAGCAAAATGGATGTCGAGACATTTGATGATTTAGATGATACTGACGACACTAATGAGGATGAGGTTAAGGAGGACAATAGTGAACTAGTATTGGAAAAGGAAACAGAATTCACACCTTCTCTTTCTAACTCCTCCGCATTTGAAAAGGTGAAGGCAGACTTCACTTTTGACTCAGATATAGAATCGTTCCATTCTGCAACAAACCCAGACTCGGTGTCGATCACTCAGTTCAAAACTTTTGACCCAAAACATGAGTTCGAAATGCTTGGATACTATGTATTAGACTTCAACACTAATGACTTGGAAGTAAGAGTGAGATCCACGTTAGCTATGGATCCTAAAGAACTTATCTCCTTGTCTATCGTTAATAACGAAGGCACGAGGTTCACCTCCGAGTTAGTCAACCAAGGCGGTGACATATTGGTTGCAAGATTTCCTAACTGGTGTTATGGCGATTTCCAGCTGAACATCAGGGAGGCTACTGTTCATTACAAAGCCTACGACTACGAGATTTTTGTCAGCTCGCTTTCTAGGAGGACAGTTTCCGAAAACTCCACAGAGCCGGAGTTAGGCACTTCGTTCACCGAGAAAGCTGAGTTGGCAATTCCGCAAATCGGAACCGAACAGCAGGAAAGCGAATATGTTTTCATTTCCAGGACTGAAAGCCTGGTAGATGACCACTCTGATTACAGTATTCTTTCGGTGGATGACGATGAGGTTGAGAAGAATTGCCACGTTTAGTAGGGTGAGACCTGCATATTCCACTTCTTCTCTCTTTATTCATTCATATCAAACTTCGGCTTTTTTGTTTGTTTGTTTTTTGGTTTTACGGTTTTGTTTTGTTTTGTTTCGTTTTTTTTGTTTCATTTTAATTTAGCCTGGTTCTTTTTTCCGTCTCCCTTCCCCTGAGTTTCCATTTGTATTATGGAATTGCTATTATGCACGCCCTCTTTCGGCACACTATCTCCCCAGTATAGTTTGTTATCTACCCTTAATATATATCACCTATTATCGCATCGTCGTAAGTCCGTAATTTCACGCTCAAGTCCGGGGAATTTGCCTAAAGCGCTCGGCGATAGTTACTGTTGAGGTAGATTTCTCGGTGAAAAATTGAAGACGCTGCATATTTAAATAAAGCTTGTCCTGCCCCTTCAGGAGAAGCTGATCCCATCTGAGACAGGGCCGGGAAGCAGGGCATATATTTGTTTCCTTCGAAAGCAACGAAACAGATCATTTGTGATAATTATAGAAGATGAATTACTTGAAGTCACTGAAGTCGAGGGTTGTGGGGGATAACTCCGAAAGCAAAATAGCTGAAATACTTCCAGTTTCCTCTGAACCATTCGAGTGCAAACCTAACGAATGTGTCAACGGATTTAAAGAATCATGCTTTTCTCTCCGTAGTGATGCAGCCGCTACTCCTCTCTACGAAACTGCCGAACCTTCAAGTCTGCATTTCTTAGTGTCAACGGGGACAACAGATTGGGAACACGATGCATTTGAGCAAAAAGGAACCATTCTAAACACTTTCAATTCGAAAGCAAACAACCTGGCACGGAGCAGCAATATCACTATCAAGAGTAACGTTACAAACGAGCCTTTGAATATATCTGATCCACAAAGTATTACTTTGAACAAACTTGACGTTTTGATACTGCCATGGTTTGTGTGGATACGTGGAATAACCAAGGATAATATAGACGAGGTTTTCACCAAAATCAAGCAGATCCTTCAAAGTGAAAAAAATGACGATACTGTAAAGGGCAATCAAGCGGAAAATTTAATATCCAAACTCACAAACGTTGAAGGCCTAGTGGTGACCAAGGACCCGAATATGTCAGTCATCCTCTTGTGTTCTCATCGTACAAGGGATAAAAAATGTGGGATCACTGCGCCTATCATGAAAAAGGAATTTGACTCTCAGCTCAGAGACCTTGAACTTTACAGAGATTCGGGAGATGACAGACCAGGTGGTGTAAAGGTGATATTTGTCAACCATGTGGGAGGACATAAATTTGCCGCTAATGTTTTGATTTACAACAAACACGGAGAATTTGTCTGGTTTGCAAGGTGCACGCCTCTTAACGTCAAATTTATTCTCAACGAAACAGTTCAGCATCACAAAGTCTTTCCTGCCAATGTGAGAGCCTGCTCTACATTTAATGCGGTGAAATGGTAGAGAACTATAGCGGTGCCCGTAGACACAAAAAAGGACGCCCGTTTTCTCATCCTCAAATTGTATTATATTGTCGCAAGGCTAATTACTTGTATTTTCCAAATGCTCTAAATAAATAAATAGTTAAATGAGTAGAAAAAAATATGAAAATAAGTAAACAGGAAATGAATTACAACTCGTCCTTCTCTAGTTTCTTGGACTCCTCCTTTGCCTTCATAACGTCATTGGCGTCTCTATAAGTTTCTGGTGTAGTCAACTCTTTGATATGCTTCAACAAATTGAGCTTCATGTTGACCAAATCTTTCTCAACCGAATCAACAGTCTTGTCAGCAAGCTTCTGCTCGAATTTAGCAAACTCGGCCTCAACATACTCATTGTTACCTGCAATGAATTGGTTGACAATAAGTGCATAATACTTAACTTCATTCTTGAATAAAGCATCGTCCACCTTCTTCAAATTCTCAATGAATTCAGAAACGTAGGCTCTTCTGTCAACAATGTTGTAGCCAATGAATTTCGCCAATGACTCCTCCATTTCTGGAATAATACCCGCTTGAGTGTCTAGTAAACCGTTGGTTGCTCTCTTAGTACCAAGCTTAGTGTTGATATACTTAACTAACTCCGTTCCAGTTGTTTCCCCTTGGTAAACCTCATATTTCTGTAGATCACCCTTTTCAACGAAGACAACTGCTGGGTATTCGGAAATTCCGAACATCTCTCTAGTCCAGTCCGTTGGTTCATCACCGTTCTTCTTAACTTCGCCAATGATAATCTTGTCCAATTCCTTGTGGAAAGCTTGAGATAATTCATCGAAAGCCTTCTTGGTATCAATGCATTCATCACAATCCTTCTCTCTGGTAAACAAGATCATGGCATATCTATCCTTGTTCTCAACCAGTTTTTCAATGTTACCGTCATGGACCTGGACAACTTTAGAAGGTGGTCCGACTTTTTTTCCTTGAGCACCAACTTGGTTGAGCAAAAAGTTAGCAAAGTATTCGTACTCTCTTTGTCCTTCAAAGTCAACTGGATCAGATAAAGCGTCAGCACGGAACAACTTGAGAGTTGGATAGGATGCAATGTTGTATCTTTTACCAATTGCTCTAGATTTATCAGCATCGATCTCCACAACTTGGACGTCGTCGACCTCAGCAAAGGAATCGGCCAACTTTTCCCATTCAGGAATCATCTTCTTACAGTGGGTGCACCACTCAGCATAGAACTTGACAAAAGATGTTTTATCTGAATTCAAAACAACATCATCAAAGTTTTCGTCGTTGACGACAATGATATTACTTGCCCATGCAACGGACAAGCTCAATAGTGAGAGTGCAAATGAGAGACGCATCAGTTTTTATCAATTATGAATACGGTTTGTTTCAGAGTCTAAACTAAACCCATCAAGATGTGACCACCTTGTGGGGTACAAAAACCTGGTTATAAACAATATGGATCACCAAACAATAACGGTAAAGTGGCAGGCCCATAAATGCTAAGTCGCCACGTCACGGACAGCGGATTGTCTAAAAGGGGAAATATTCTTGAAAATTTTCTTCAGGAAGTATATCCGGGTTATAGCAAGCCCTACCTAGATACCTAAGTTTGAATCGACTGATTCAATAAAATATATAAAGGAAAACAGTGAATCCAACATGCAAAACCAGACAAAGAAAAAGGAGGTGAAAGTTGGGGCACTTTGCCAGCTATGTCACTGTAGAAAAGCTGTGATGAAACGCCCAAAAAATTTGCAAAAATTATGCAAGGAATGCTTCTATCATGTATTTGAAACCGAAATTCACTTGACAATTCAAAAAGAGAAACTCTTTTATACTGGCGAAACTATTGCAATTGGTGCATCTGGAGGCAAAGACTCTACAGTACTTGCTTCGATCATGAAAACATTGAATGAAAGATACAGTTATGGTCTAAACTTAGTTTTATTGAGTGTGGATGAAGGTATAGTGGGTTACCGTGATGATAGTTTAGCTACAGTCAAACGGAACCAACAGCAGTATCAAATGCCTTTAGAGATTGTCTCCTATAAAGATCTTTACAACTGGACAATGGATGAAATTGTGTCATGTACGGGAGTGAAATCGAGTTGTACGTACTGCGGGGTATTGAGAAGACAGGCATTGGACAGAGGGGCACTAAAATTAGGCATCCACCACGTTGTCACAGGTCACAACGCAGATGATATGGCGGAGACAGTATTAATGAACTTACTCAGAGGCGATACAGCAAGAATTGAAAGCTCAGTGAACGTGACGACAAACTCAGTAGGATCTCCTGTGAAGCGTTCAAAACCTTTTAAATACACATACCAAAAAGAGATAGTTCTCTATGCTCACTATAAAAAGCTAGACTATTTCAGCACAGAGTGTACTTATGCACCGGAGGCATTTAGAGGAACTGCTAGGGTTTTGTTGAAGAATTTAGAATCCATACGACCTTCTTGTATTATAGATATCATCCACAGCGGTGAGCATTTCAAATTGAAACCGAAGAAACCAAAAGCTATGCATATCAAAAAGTCGAATTCTGAGGCTACAAAGGAAGTTGAAGTTCGAGCAGATGGCTCTGTGTCACTTTCGAAAGATGGAAACAGATGCGAGCGTTGTGGTTATCTTTCAATGAATAGAATATGTAAGGCTTGTATTCTATTAGAAGGTCTCGAAGCCAACAGGCCAAAATTATCACTAGGTGAAAGCGTTATTGCTGATTCCGATGGTGCAGCAAAGCTTTCTAAGACATTGGAAAAGCTTACTTTTTAACATCATTATTTATGCATGAAATTGGATAATTTCATTTTGGGAATCTTTATATATATTTGACTCGGTCTAGTCCTCAGTAGAAATCATAAACTTGAATAGTTAAGTCTACAATGTAAAACAGTCAATTATAGATAGTAAGATTTATAGAGTACTCCCTCAAGATCTTCTAACTGTTCTTCAGTAAAGAACTTGGAATCAATGTGCCAAGTATCTTGTCTTGTCTTCTTAAATTGACTCAATGTATCCTTTGCGGCTCTGCTGACTATGCCACTGTAACCAGTACATTTCACTTCCAAGATAGTCAAAACCTCAGGTAACCATTTGGGTGGGGGAGTAGTATATGGATAAGCCTCAACGAGTGCACAAAGCCCAAGAGTAGCACCATGAACTAAATTAGTTTGTTCTACTGTAAGTTTGATGTCTTTCTCTTGCCTATTTTTCCTGATAATTTTCTTGAATTTCTTGATATAGAAATTAATGACCTCTTCCCTCTCAGAATCTAGAAATAAGTGAATGAAAAGCTTTATGTTATAACTGTATTGTTCCCTCAAATAAAGATGTTGATTAAAAAGCATAGAAGAAGTAATTTCCATTAATTTCTTTCTCTGGCCTGATGTTCTTTCTAGGAATCTCACCGTACCGTAAACTCCGAAAAATGCCAAAATGTGTTTGTATTGAGTCAACTTTGGAGTATTCCAGCCCAAATTTGTTTCTAAAAGATTGATTATCTCTTCATTCTGAGCATCACTAAACCTAATACTGCCAAGGATCAAAAATAAAGCATCAACACTAATCTCGGCTAATTTGCAAGCATCCTTGACTTTGTCTAGCTCTAAAGCAAGAGGAAGAATATATGGACATATAAAATCAACAATAGTTGTATTCATTGATGTCTTTAATATTCTCAAGAGTAATGTGCTGAGGCCTTTTATGTGGAACATGAAGTCGGAATTAACTATTTCTTGTGGAGTTTTTCCCTCGTTTTCTTTAGCTAGTTCAAGTGTCTTTGACATGAACAACTTCAGATGCTCAATAAACAAAACGTTCTTCTTATGCTCAATGTGCCCTGAACCGGTTTGGTCTTTTTTCACTTCAGCCATGAATTGGTCAAATGTATCAATACAGTCAGTGGATTCATAGTAAAGAACATCAAAAAGTATAGCAGATACCTCTTTTGAAACACTATCGTAAGGATGAGCTAAAATCGTGAACATTTTGTGAGCGATTTCTTCAAAGTTATGAAACCTATTCATCTCAGAGCCCAAATAACTTTTAAGGAAAGACAAGCGGCATATCAAGCCAAATGGTGATCTTTTGACATTCTTGTCAACTTCAAAATCGCAAATTAGATCAAGGATCTCGGGGGTTCTTCTCATATCAAAGTGACTTGAGAGCCACCAAGAAAAAATAGACCACATTTTGTAAGTCGACTGTGATAAGTCGTTATCAAAGATAGACTTCAATCTGTTAGCTATTTCTTTATCGGCAAACTTCATTGCCACATGGTTAGTTTTGCAAGCAAATAAGATACCTGAAAAAACTTCACCTAAAACAACATGTGTTGACCTCTCATCTCCCTTGTAAATTTTATCTGTGATTTCAAAAAGATCAGTTAGTGTAAAGTCTTCAACGTAGCCAGATATTATCAAGCTGGTGATTGAACTGAAAAAGTATACAATCCCAGGAAAGAAAGCACATGTAACTTCTGATTCATCAATATGCGTTTGCAAAAGCATCTGTAACCACTTTTTGTTTATTTTCGATGCAAATTGCTTAATTGACCGTTCGTCACTATCATTATAACCAAAGCTGGAACTTTCATATGGTTTTACAACTTCAAGTTCTTTGTTCCAAGGTGAAGTAGGAATCCACTCTTTAGTATCAATGAAAAACAGTGGATTCTCAATATTTCTAATTTCATGGAAAAAAGACTGTGAGCAGTTATCTGGTAAGATATCTTTCAAAGGGCCAATCGTAGGATCGCTGGGCTTCAAAGAAAGCAGGTCACCAATATCATATTTACTGAAAGCTCTGGATTGAACAGTATCCATGATGGACGCAATCCAAAACATACCTTTTTTGGATATTTCTGGATGCGACCCATCGACAAATTTTACCAAAGTCAAAAGAACGTCACTCTCTAGTGGTATTTCAATGTGCGATTGAATTGTTGTAATCAATTCCATGACTAATAGCATTAGCTTCCAGTTGAGTTTTTTTGATAAACGAGAAAGTGAGGTGTGAACTAGTTTTGACAACAGTGACAGTAACATAGCTCTCTTTTTGGATTTTGCTAATTTCAAAGTTTCAATCTTGAAATCTACATCTGGATCTGGAGGCCTTATACTTTCAAGGAGTTTTTCGTCCACAAGGCATACGGCGGCTGGTATTTTGACATACTTTTTGATTGATTTAAATAACCTCATGGTCATCACTGTCACTTCCTCTTCATTTAGCTCTGCCGATCTAAATAGTAAATCTTCATACTTCAGTAGCATTGAAGAACTCTTTTCAACTAATCCCCTTAACTTTTTCTTATCAAACATAATCATAATATTCAACAAAATTTCCTTATCCTTATTGAGTAATGCATGCTCCCAATCTTTGAATATATTGAAAACAACACTAGTACAATTCATCACCCTGTTCAAAGACATACCTAATACTGAGGCAGAATGGCTAGCAGTTATGCCATAAGGAGAAGCCGCAAGTGAAACTAGATCTCTGATCAACAACTTGTCAAGCTTTGTGGGCAAACGGGTACAGCAAGATATGTTAATCCTGCTGCAGTGATAAACAGCTAATCGGGAACCCAGAATCGTTCTCGTATATGGAGCAAATACTCCAGGCAAATCAAGAACTGAAATAAAATGTAAGTTATCCGTGTAGAGTTCATTATCACTGCTATAATAACCACAATCATTCAACCATGTACTGATACATTGGATTACTTTTCCAATCAATTCAATTGATCCGTCTTTTTTGACCAAAGCTTTCACCAATTCATGTAAACAGTTTCCAATCAAGTTTCTGGTATGGTGTAACTTCTGGTACGATGGATTTAAAGTTTTTGCCAATACGTTGTTTGAGAAATGAGGACCATACGTATATAAAATATCCGATCTTTTAGTAAGGGTCGAATCCACAGCTTCAATTGAGTCTGTAAGTGTAGGTGTTGGAGCACGTGTTGGAAGCTCAGATTCGATTTCGGTGCTCATTATGGAGAGGTTTGATGTTGAATCTTCTCTTTCAATTTTTAGCTCAATTTCTCTATTCATAGGGTTGATGTCTACCGTTTCATCATCAATGCCCATAAATTCGAATTTTTCTTTGTCACTGTTGTTATTTCTTTCCTTACCTACTTCATTTGATGCCCTCATATGGTGACTTCCAAAATTATTTTTTAGTGCTTCAACGGTCATGGAAGATGTATAATCTGATCTGGCCATATTTGTTAAAGAAGTAGTCGAAGGTAATGGAGTTAGGTTACCGCTATTTTTCAGTTTGCCAATATATTTGTTTGTTGTTGGCTCTGTGTATGACTGATCAAACAAACAGCATACACCTTTTAATAAGCCTTCCAATAATTCAACGTGAAAACCTAACTGATCAAGCTCATCTAAGCCAAGATGGCTTGAACTATTCAAGAAGGAGATCATGCTATCAATGAATTTGGTAGATGAAAGAGACAAAGTTTCAAAATGTCCTACAACTGCATCGACTTCAGTGGAGCCAGGCTTATACCATTTGAAATCAAGATATTTGGGATCAAATCTGATATCGGAAAACTGGAAACCACCCCAGCATTCCGCTGAATATTTACCACCATGCTCATCAAGCCATGTTTGTGATATTAAGCGTCTTTCCAATGGTTTTAAGTATGAAATAGTCGAGAATGCACAATTTGCAATCATTGCAGCACATAATCCTGCTGTTCCTCTCAACTGATATGTGTGTTGTACCAAAAACTTTTCCAAATCATCCAAGTACGGTAAGATCTCAGTTCCAGCCCCGGATATTGCCCCTGCTAGAATTCTTAAGTTCCAAATTAATCGCTGATCTTTACCCAATACTTCTTGAGATCTTGAAAGGCCTGCACCGTTTTCAATTTCAGTAATCACATGAGGCATGAAGAAATCCATTATTCGTTTCAATTGTGTTTTTGGGTTCCTTCTTACAATTGCTTCAGAAATGTTGCAGAAAACAAGGGCCACTTCATGCCTTACATTATTACTAACATATTGGAAAAATTTATCAGCAACAGCGTCAAAAAGGTCATCGCTCATTGATTCAATCAATGCCTCAAAACAATAAGAAATCAAAGCACATGCTTGTGATTCTATGGTGCTAGTATTATCAATGGCAGGTGCCAGCTCTAAGAACTTGAAACAGTTATCACAAAACTGCATCAAAAATTCCTTAAAAGAAGAGGATGCAGACTCTAACGCGGCAAGCTCAAATTCAGAGTCATACTTGAACTTGTCAGGTATTTCAAATTCACCTAGTTGGCTGCTTGCCGGAGCAAGCTCATAAAACTTAGCTTCCAAGTATGACAGATGTTGAGAAGTGAAGTCAATAGCGCATAGTCCGCCATCCCCAGAACCTTCTGTCAAATCTGCAAATGGAATAACAGCAGCAACAATGGTAATAAAATCTGTTGTAAGTATAGTCTTCTCTGGGTCATTTGAGTCAATTGCTGGTATCAACATTGATAAAAATCTGGGAAGATGAACTCTATAAACAGGCAATTGAACCATATACCTGGCCAGTTGAGCTAACTGATTTATAACAATCGGGATTCTGTGAGTCGAATTTACAGATTCAAATGAAGAGTACCAATCAGGTAATAAGCTGTCTAATACCAGGCTAGGTTTGATATAACATAAGGCTTGTAAAGCCTCGTTATAGTGTCTCCTTTGAGCTGCCGATTTTGATTGTGATCCTAGACGTATCAAAGGAAGTAGCGTCTTTACTACACACTCAATAATTTTGTCATCAAGTTTGACAGTATCAGGGAGAGCGGAATAGTTAGGATGGTAAAGCGGAACTAAATCTCTACACTCCTTTTCACCTTGGACTCTAAAATGTAAACTTACCGCTAACTTTTTAACAACTTCTGACAATACCGCAGACCAAGGTCCCGAATTTGATGGGTGTATCATTGTGAAAATAGCATCAACATAAGTTTTCAAAAAATCAACCACTCCTTCATTCTCAAATGCATGTTGAGCACTAAGCGAATTGATAATCAACTGTGAGAGAGTCCTGCAATATTTCACCATTTTGTTGTCTTTATGGCGTATCTGAGATGAAAGAAATAACTGGTTCATGATGTATTTATACTGATGTTTTGTAAAAATTCCGTAAACTCCACGGTGCAAAATAGTGTTATTGGCTGCACCTTGCTTCAAATTTTCAACAGCAATGTTCATTATTATTGAAAGCAAACAATTAATTTCCTTATCAGATTTATGATTGATCCAAAGATCAAACAAAACAGGTAAATAGTGGCGCACATCTGTTTCATCGTATTCGACTGACCCATCAGGATTGATTATTGGTTTCTTGAACTGCATAGGAAGCATCACAGTGAGATGTATCAAAGAAGGTGAGACTGTTTGGACGGTAAGTTTAGACACAATTTTTTCCATTAAAGCAGGAATACAACCGTCAGGGAAAAATGGTTTCACTGTTAATGCAAAAGAAATCAGTTTCTTGAATCTCGAATCCTTCATTGAGGGGCCAAAAGTAGTAGGGTTGCCTAACGTTGTGGAGAATTCAGCATAGACAGGTTCCCATTCCAAGCGAAATCCACTTCTTATAAGCAATTTCTTTTCCCTTGTCAATAGAGTAAGAACCTGCGTGTAGAAAATAATGTCGACATTTTGTCCTCTGGATAAACAAATAGCATAAAAAACTTTAATAAGTTTTTGAGCAATGGATAGCGGAATCGACAAACCCATTTTCAATAAATTTTTCAATTCCTTAGTCCAGTATTTCAAAGAAATAATGGATGCTGATTCGGGTTCTACTTTCATGACCGGAGTAGAGTTTGCAGCGTCCTCATCTTCCTCGTCGGAACTATCGTAGTAATCGCTCATGTCATCCTCATCTTCATCGTCTTCTATAGCTTCACTCTCGTTGTGATGAAGAGTTTCAAATTTCTGGCCATCACCAACTGATCCAACAGCAGAGCGAATATAGCTATCTGAATCTCTATTATTAATGATTACTTCCTTTGCTGCCTCCAAATCTTCCACACTTATCGTTAAGTTACTTTTCAAGTCCAAACTTTTCACCGCAATGTAGATGTGTGAAATAATATGGCTCAAGTACTTATACTGATCTCTGATAGTTTCTGTTTCGTAAGGCAATACTAACTTATTTTTCAACTTTCTAATTTTATCAGTTGCAAAAAATGGTGAATTTTCGTCATGCAGTAAACGTTCAGCTTCGACGTCGTCGTTAGGGATATCTAACCCATAAGCTTGTAACCTATTAAGCTCTTTGATCGTATGAGAAGATGTGAAACTTCTTGCTTGATCGACATCTGCCTGTTTGGAAGAAGAAGTCAAATCAACATTGCAATTTTTTCCAACGTTGATTGGTCTTCTAGATGATGGTTTCAGAAAATTGAATTCGGGAACCGGAGAGCTCATTCTTGTTGAATGTCTATTCAACTGGCAATCTCAAGATCAATTGAAATGACACTGTGTCAAAAAAATTGAAAGTACACTTGACACGAGACTCTTGACAAAAAATTAAAGATTGTTTCTGAGTATTGAACACTATTTATGTAGTAAATAATTAACGTTGCCACCAGTATACCTCAAAGACGGGAGATAAAGATTTCAGAAGCAAATTTCATTTCTGTCTAAGGGCAAACTTTTATGCGTGACGGATTTAGTGAGGAATTACGTAAGATAGACAAATATGCGTGAGATTGAGTTCTCGGAGTTATTAATCTCCGTCATCAAATGAGTACATCTGGCGGAAGAGTAAATAATCAGTACGGGTACTGAGCTGTATTCACGAAAACAGATAAATGTAAAAAAAAGAAATTCAGCATCCTCCCATGCCGGCGCAGTAGGCCAAAGACCATGTTCTTGACATTCCGTTATCGAGCCACGACATTTGGAAGTCTGGTTTGCTGAAAAATTCCCAAGCTTGTTGTGGATTGTAAATGGCTAAATTTAGCATAAGAAGTCCTTTCCAGCCGCCATCGATGGAGCTGGCTAGTGGACCTAATGCCATTTCGTTCCACTCTTCTGTGACAAAGTCAGTGCTACGGATATAGTTACTCATCGGAGTGAGAGGAATCATGTGAATGCCATGGATGTATTCCTTGTTCATACCAAAGTAGGTGGCATGGTCGACTTTGTTTTCAAACAAAATTCCTGAAACTTTGTTACGAATAAAGTTTGGTGGCATTACTTTATTGTCGTTCCTGTAAAGCATGTAAAGGTCCATTGCTCTCTTCTCTATGGAGAGAATTAGTGATGCCACGGTCAGTAATTGTATGTTGTTGGTGACTGTAGCCCATAGCTTGATACCGTAGTAAGCGTGGTAATCTTCACTAGAACTTTCCTCATCCTTTCCGTCACCATGAGCAAATAACCCATTAGCGAAACTATGGCCATTGAAGAAGTCGAATGATCTGAAAACAGGAAAGTACATATCTTTTGAGTTTGGGTTACAGATATCTCTAATAAGAGTCTCAATCCACGGTCTGGCAGTGTTCACCCAATTGCCATCACCATATTGTGTATCTACCAGTGCGACCAATGAAGCTGCATGAATGTGGTATCCATAGTGGAAGTGATGGTCGTTGTAGAAACAGTTGCCAAAGTCACAATAAAAGTTACCGTCATTCAAACCTGATGTGGAAACGATACCTTTCCAGTTATTCTCATAACATAATGGTGCTTTTTGTCTATTTTCAATGAACCTCGAAAAGGCTTGTTTCATTTTTCCAAGCATTGCCAAAGTGAGATCGTCATCCTGTAATACAAAGGCAGCCACATAAAGTATGAAAGCTCCTTTGTCCAGTATTTTCCCTGCTGTATACATTGAGTCGGTGTCTGACTCGTTGACCACATCAAATGACTGAATTTCCTCTTGTGCGACTTTGCTTAGGACAGACTTGGCGTTATCTGAGTAGCCCTTGACACCATTCACATCAGACCATGGATCAAATTTGAGTTCTTCCGGCGGTAACTGTTCCACCATTATGAACTTCTGGATAAGGAATGCAGACATAGAACCCTTACATGTGGAATCAAGGGAGAGTCCATCTGCCAGAGAAGAACGCATGCTCTGATCCATGGAGTTGATTTGATGAGGAAGAAACCATTGAAGCACCTTTTTAGAGCGGGATGAGCCAGCAATGGCATAATTGAAACTGTACGAGCATGATCCATTTTTCGAATCTCCGCTCAAGGTGCAACCGGTTACATATGAGCCAGCAGCTTCGTCGTAGTATTGCTGTGACTTTTCTCCGCACAATTTGGCTATTTGAACAATGATCTGACCATTGTATGGTTGAGCTATAACAGAATTTGCTGATTGTTGGCTAAACGATGCATTCGAATACACTACCCATTCGGTATTATCAAACAATTTCAAAAGATATTTCTGTATTCCATTAGACAAGGAGCCTGACAGAGAGAGGTTTTGAATGCCGACTTTAGAAGCCAATCTTGGGGTAATCCTGCCATCATAAATACCGGTGATAAATCCCATGCCTTGGACAACGTTCACGTGAAGCTCTCCTCCAGTTTTGGCAATCAACTTGACACCTGCGCTGAACCTCTGTAAATCACCAACTCGAAAATCAAAATCCTGTGATTGGAACTCTTCAGCACTAAGCATCATTGAACAAATTCCAACGGGATTAAAAAAATACTTTACCGGATTGGAAAGGGGGTCATCCCCGTAAACTCTCTGCGATGCTTCTGTGTGCGAAATCCCCAGTCCTTTGAATTGATCGTCAGTGGATTTCCACACACTATAAGGATGTGTCCACACAGGTAAGTTTTGGTCTTCTACAAGAAAGTTCCCATAAAAATTATTCGTTTCAATTGGACCTGGCTGATCATAAAAGCTTGGCAATGGCACTGGATGAACGCTGGTAGTTTGGATGGACCCTACTGGAGGAGCCGTAGAAATTGGAGAGTCGAAAATCCCTTGAGAAACAACGTAGGACGCTAATTGAGGTGGCACTGGGTTGCGAGACGCCGGATTCGCAATACTTTTCTTCTCATCTTTGTATTCTGATTTTGTGTAGTCCGAAGTCATGTAGTCTCGTTTTGGAATTGGAGGAGGTGCAAAAGCATCGCTTTCCGCGTACAATGGTGGTGGTTGGTCGGGAGAGCCCGCCGACGGTAGCTGCTCATTCTGGGGTTTTTGGTGGTGGTTGTGCAGTTCCTTGGACAGGCCATTCACGAGGTGTTTAAACAGTCCCATGGTGGTCTAGCTGCTGTTTAAAGAAAGAGTCAAGATGCCGAAACCCACCAGGAGCAGAGCATGGAAGTTCCGGAGTGTGGGAGCACGCATGCATACAGTTTTCTATTTCGGAAGCACTCGCGTAGCGGAAGAGACAAGAGAAGCTTTGCATTTTTCTTGCATGATAGTAATGAATCTTCACCGTTGTCTCTCTTGTCAGTCGTTGCATGGGCAGGGAACTTCATCTTCGTTATTCGTACTGCAGTACATAGTGATGGTGCAAAAAATTGTGAAGGTGTGTGGAATCAAGTCGGAGGAGGCTGCCAACACAGCGATCGTGAGCGGTGCCTCTCTACTAGGAACGATATTGGTGCCCAACCGTGCACGGACGGTGGAAGCAGACACGGCACGGCGAATCAGCAAGCTGTGCTACGAGAAGCGTGTGGAGAAGAAGTCGAGGTTTGTTTCATCCAAAGATTTGCTCCAGCACGCAAGAACTTTGGAGGCGACGGGGCCACAGTGGTTCGAGGAGGTGTGTGAGACCATAACGGAAAACGGGCCATACCTTGTTGGCGTTTTCCGGAACCAGCCTCTGGAGGACGTGATACGGATCAGCGATGAGCTCGGAGTGGATGTGGTACAGCTTCATGGGTCAGAGGATGTCGATGCGTTTGTGGCTGCGCTGGAGTTGCCTGTAATCCCCCGTTTTGTGCTCAGCAAGCCCGGCATAGAGAACGCTCTCTCGACACACAAGTTCCTGCTGCCACTCTTTGACTCCGAGCAGGGTGGAGAGGGAAAGTTGGTGGACTGGCGGGACGCCGCCAGGTTTGGGGGCGATTTGAATGGCCGGTACATTCTCGCTGGGGGGCTCACGCCGGAGAACGTCGGGGCGGCTCTGGCTGTGGGAGGCTGCTACGGGGTCGACGTCAGTGGGGGCGTTGAAACGGAGGGCCACAAAGACATGGCTAAGATTGAGGCGTTTGTCGGAAACGCCAGAAAGGCGGAGGCTGTAAAGGCTGGGCAGGCTGTGTAGGCTTGTCTTCATAAATATTAGTAGTCACTAAAAATGATATAAAAGATCATAAACATGAACGCATGACGCATGCAGCTAGGCGACTAGGCAGAGCCGGAGATGAAGAACCACTTGTCGACAGACTTGTCGATAGGGGCGTCTGGGAGAGGGTGGGCTGCAGGAACCTTGGCAGATGGCTCGTAGCCTGGGGTGTCGGCCAGAGTGGTGTTGGTCAAGACACATCCCTGGGTGTCCTTGACGTCGTGCTTGATCAACTTCTTCCAGGACGCATTGCACTCGGCAATGACCTCCTCGGCGTACTTCTTGTTCTTGCACTCGCCGTTGAAGGCAAAGACGTTTTCAGGCTTGCCGTCTGGAATCTTGTAGATTCTGAACCACTCGTTGGTGGCTCTCAACAGGCCTGGCAAGTGCTTCTCGACGTCCTCGACGTCATCCAACTTGGCTGCCAATGGGTCGTTGACGTCGACGGCGATGATCTTCCAGTCCGTCTCGCCCTCGTCGAGCAAGGCCATGACACCCAAGACCTTGACCTGCTTCACCTCACCTGGGTAGGCGACGTTTTCACCGATCTCACACACGTCCAAAGGATCGTTGTCTCCGGCCGCGTTGGTCTCTGGGTTCACCTCGTTTGGGTCCTCCCAGGTCTGTGGGAACGCACCGTAGTTGTGGATGTACCCCTTGTGTGGGAAGCAGTTTCTCACAAATCTCAACTTGCCCTTCTTGGTGTCCTGGATGATTGGGTTCAAGGTCTGCTCCTTTGTGATCTCCAACTTTGCGTTGGTCCATCTTGGCACCTCCACAACCATGTTCAAGATCTTCTTCGACTCATCTGCATACAATGGGATGTCGTGGAATGGCGAGACTGGCTTGCCGTCCTTCTCGAGGTAGACCTTGTAGTCCAAGGTGTTGAGTGCGCCGACTTGTCTGGTGGAGTAGGTCATCGTTGCTGTGTGTTTTCTTTGGTGCCAATGCTTTCTTCTTTACCTCTCCCGACCTCCTGTGCTTCTGCTGCTCTCTCCTGCTCTGATCAGGCTCATCTTCTTCTTGGACAGCAACGACACCCACACAGACCGCCAGCACACTGCTGGCCCCTCGCCTCGTCCTCTCGCCGGGTCACCTCCCCGTTGCCGGCAAAAAGCCGGAAAATCGCCGCTCGCCCGCTGGCGCAACTGCACGTGATTTCATGAATCGGCGATTTTCAAGCAATAAAGGATTAAGCAGGATTAGAAAGGAAAAGAAAGATATGGAACGGAAGAGAAAGAAAGGAAAAGAAAGGGGGAAGGGGGGATTACACACAGTCAGTACATAATGGTGCTCTCGTAGCCCGGCGGGTACGAGTCGTCCGTCACCTGGACCTTGGCCTTCTCGTCGTAGACAGCGTCGGCGTCGCTGCAGCTGACCCCGTGCTCGCTACACACCACCTTCAACTCCTCGCTCAAACCGAGCTGGTCCCGAGCGACCCACAAGACGGGGGCCTTGTCGTCGGTGATCTCGGGTGGCTGGTAGCGAGGGGTGGCGGCCAAAGAGCTGGAGAGCGGCAGGCTCCAGAACTGCGGCATGAGCGGCCGGTAGTTGGAGTAGTTCACGTACCGCTTTGGGTGGAGGAAGCGCTGGATCACGTAGCGCATGCCGTCCTTGTAGCCCGAGGAGACGTACTCCTCGAAGTTGGTGGCCATGCCGCTGTAGTCGCGGTCCTCCAGCTGCATCTTCTTGAAGTCGAGCTCGGCGTCCTCGTGCCCCGCACCGGGTGCGTGGCCCGGACCCTGGCCCTGGCTCTGGTACTCGGAGGTGGCTGTTTTGGACATGCTGGCGGCAGGAAGCTCGTCGAAGCTCACGCTCTTGCTGTCGCTCTTGGTGCCGACATAGGAGTCGGAGCTCGTGCTCTTCTTGCTCGAGTCGCTCTCCTTGACGAAGTAGCGCTGGCCCTCCTGGAACACCTGCTCCCGGCCCAAGTCTTTGCATGGGTACATGCCCTCGATGGCGCCGATCGGCACGGTGTCAAGGACAGGCTCAAAGATTCTGCGGAAGTACAAGTGGGCGACAACGGTGAGCGCCAACCACACGGCCTCGAGCACGACACAAGCCCAGTTCTTCTGCATCACAAACAAAATGATGAGGACAATCTCGGCAAGGTACACGCCGACAAACACCTCAAAGAGAGCAAGAGGGTAGTTCCGGCCACGGTTGTCTGTTGTGTGGCCGGAAACGTACACGAGTGAGTACATCATGGCTGTGTAGATCAACATGAAGGCGATGCACGTGAAAGCAATGATGATTGGAGCAATGATCGAGTAACAGAGCATGATCACCGTGAAGAGGCCAAACGAGCCGTAGAGCGTCCCCCAGCTAGGAGGTGACAAGTTCACCTGGCGGTTCCACTTCTGGCGTGGGGTCTTGTCCAAGATCCGGCCCAGCACAAACGAAAGAATGAGGCCTACCACTTGGGCGAGCATCCCAGAGCTGATCGAGAGGCCCTGGAGGAGCATATAGGAGATGTAGAAGTTGGAGGCTGGTGGCAAATTCTGAGACAACAACGTCATTGCCATGCTTGGCTGACTGATGATCTTTGTGACCGACGAGGATGCGGCAGAGGTACACGTGGTGACCAAAAACACCTGTATCACCTGGAAGGCGTAAAACCACTGCTGAGTCCACAGATCCAAGTGCTGGAGCGTCATACAGCCACCCTGTTTACCCCAGTACCTGATGATTGGTGGAACCAACGACATCAAGATGGCCAAGAGCACAGAAGGCAAGATACCGGTGATGATACCCATGAGGACCGAAGGCATGTTGTTGATGAACCGCAAAAAAGGAACCATGTTTGTCAAGTTATTGATGTTCGAGATACAACCAACCACTGCAACAGGGATGGCCCAGTAGATGATCATCAACGTCAAGAAGGCCTTGGCGCCAGCTCTCTTGGATTTTCTGGCAACGTAGCCAATGCCAACGTTCTTCCAAATCACGTCTTCTGGCATGAAACTCTGGAAGCGTCTCGACTTCTTGAAGTTGTCGGACTTGTTGACGGCCTGGTAGGCTCTCTGGAGCTCGAGATGCGAAGGGAACTCGAGGAAGACGGAACCAACCTTGGCGAGACTGTCCGAGGACTCCTTGATCTTTCCCTGCTCGGTGTCCAGCTTGCGGTTGAACTCGTCGAGCTCGTCGAGCCCTTCGTTGAACACCTTCTTCGACTTGCCAATGATAGGCTTGTACTTGTATGTTGGGAGCTTCTTTTCTGGGATGTAGCTTTCGATGCTGTTGACCGGGGTCGGGAACTCGACGTCGCTGCCCTTCTCGGCCTTTTTCTCGAGCTTGCTTCTCGTTTTGATACACTTGCTGAGCACCTTAGTGAAGGCGCCCTCGAGCTTGCCCGTGAGCTTGCCTCTCTTCTCCCACGTCTCGCGTGCCTCCGTAGTGTCTCTGGTGATGGCGATTCTGGACGCAGCGGGGAAGAGTCTTCTCAACGAGTCTTCGAAAAGAAGGCCCTGGTCCACGTTGTCGATCAAAAGCACCTTGGAGCTTGGCAAACTGCTGTAGAAGGGCGTGCACTGCATGTTGTGTCTGAAGCCCGTGTAGTACACCAACTCGGTGTAGATCACGTACACGACAAAGGCGAAAAACGCCCACGAGCAGAACAAGTTGGCAAAGACCCGCCACTTGTGGGTGTTGTTGGAGTACGAGATGATGTCGAACCCGGTCTTGTTGCCGCCGCCAGAGGCGTTCACCGCAAAGAGGATGGGCCACAAGATGAGTCCGCCAAAGAAGCCCACGTACGCCCAGAGCAACAAGTACCTGAGGAAAAAGTAGCCGTCCACGCCCACCTGCTGGAGCACAAAGCTCTTGGGCCGTGTGAGGAGGTCGGTGAACCAGCCAAACGCCGAGGGTGCTAGCGGAGGCGCCTTCAAGTGGTCGGGGAGGAGTCTGTTGTCCGTTCTTGGCCGGTACACGTTGAGGCACTTGTTTCTCAAGAGAATGAAGATGCCCACGAAGATGGCGAAGATGACCAAGTTGAAAATAAGCGAGGACACAAACGCCGAGGTGGACGAGCCCGTTTGTTCGACTGCCATGTTTGCGAATGTTTCACTGGGGAGGATCTGAAAGGGATCTGGTTTCCTCGCTGCCTCAGCTTTTCTTGCACTGCAGAAGGACTTTGCAAACAAAAACAACAGAGCAAACGCCAGAGCAAACACCAGAGCAAACACCAGAGCAAACACCAGGCGTCCCAGGGACAGCCCCCCGCAGCAGACCCGGGGGGACGACAGACAACGCCCAGTTTATATACAGTCCGGCCCCAATTGCGGACTGGCTTTTATGCTACCCGCATTTTTGGCAGGTCCATCTGCCAGATGGCCTGGACACGCTTATCAGTTACGCGAAGAAGCTTTTTTCCCACCGCTCGTCTTGTAGTCCTCCCCAGACAATAGGCCCAGCATGATGTCATGGTGAGCAACGCTGCCGCGACAGCAAAACAGAACAGCAACCACGACAGCAAACAAGCTCATCTGCAGTAGAAGTAGGGTTAGCAGACGGAGACAAGACGGCCTGCAGCGGCGGTGCTGACTCAGCGGCGCTCCGGTGTCCCTGCCCCGGTCTTCTTGCCCTCTACCATGGCCCCGTCTGGCACAGCAACCCAGATGGCTCCGACGATCCCTGCGTCCCGGAGGTCATCACCATGGCTGTGTGGGCGTGTGTTTACCTCCCCCGGCGACAGAGAGGGTTTTTTCCCCTGCAGGCGCAGCCCCGCCGTGGGCGCAGCCCTGCGGCGGGCGCAGCCCTGCGGCGGGCGCAGGGACCCCTTCTGTGCTGCTGCAATGTGCTGCTGTGCCCGCCGTCCCAACAGTCGCAGGCCGCGGCTGCGTCGCCGGCCGCGGCAGCCGTGCTGCGTCGGCTTCGGGGTCGTTGTCGACGCGTCGGCGGGGAAGAAGTCGGGCGGGCCGGAGTCAGCCGCGGGAGCGGGCCGGAGTCAGCCGAGGGCTGCAGGGGAAGAAGTCATGGGCATCCGGTCACGTGCTCGCGCCGTTTGCTGACTTCGTTCCCGACAAGGGCATCCGAGACTGGGGCCGGCAACATCTGAAGACGGGAAGAGGGCAGGTGAAGAAGGGTTGGAGTGTTCCGAAGGTTCTCAGGCAGGGCTAGGGTCTCCTTTCGAGTCTGGAGTTGGTGTGAAAGCGCAGAAGAGCGTTCCGAACAAGCTAAGCAAGGTAGCAAAGGTAGCAAAGGTAGCAAAGGCATGTCGGTATCTACAAGGAGCCTGAGACTACTCTCGTCAAACAGGAGGTTCAGCAGCTGTCACAGGTGCCTCAACGTGGGGTCGGGCAGCACGGTGGTGACCCGGCGAAAGTCGCCGACCCGGTTCAGCGACACGCTGAACAAGGGCCCCTCGTTCGACGACTTTGTGAGCGGACGGGCGAAGGACATGCTGGTGGACCCGCTTGAGGCGGCCCGCAAGGACCCGAACGCCCGCTTGCCCAAGTGGTTGCGGGTGCCGATTCCAAAGGGCCAGTCGTTCCACAAGGTGAAGAAGGACGTCAAGGAGCTCAAGCTCGCCACCGTGTGCGAGGAGGCCAAGTGTCCGAACATCGGCGAGTGCTGGGGCGGCAAGAAGAGCGAGGCCACGGCCACCATCATGTTGATGGGCGACACCTGCACGCGGGGCTGCCGCTTCTGCAGCGTGAAGACCAACAGGGCGCCGGCCTCGCTCGACCCGAACGAGCCGGCCAACACCGCCGAGGCCATATCCAGGTGGGAGTTGGGCTACGTGGTGTTGACCACCGTCGACAGAGACGACCTCCCGGACGGCGGAGCCGCCCACCTGCGGGAAACCGTCGAGCAGATCAAGATCAAGTCTCCGAAAACACTCGTGGAGGTGTTGAGCGGCGACTTCCGAGGTGACCTGGACCTCGTGCAGACCCTCGCCAACAGCCCGCTGGACGTCTTCGCCCATAACGTCGAGACCGTCGAGGCCTTGACCCCGCACGTCCGTGACCGTCGGGCAACGTACCGCCAGTCCCTGAAGGTCTTGGAGAACGCAAAGCTCCACAACACACACATCTTGACCAAGACCTCCATCATGTTGGGTTTCGGCGAAACCGACGAGCAGGTGATGCAGACGCTGAAAGACCTCAGAGACATCGACGTCAACGTCGTCACCTTCGGCCAGTACATGAGGCCTACGAAAAGACACATGAAGGTTGTCGAGTACGTCACGCCGGCCAAGTTCGACTACTGGAAGGACGTCGCCTTGAGCATGGGCTTCCTCTACTGTGCTTCCGGACCGCTAGTGAGGTCTTCGTACAAGGCTGGAGAGGCGTACATCGAGAACGTCATCAGAAAGAGAAAGAGAAATGTTGGAACCCCAAGAGAACTAGAAATCGGAGAAGAGAAGTTTGTTTCGAAAAAATTCTTAGAAAATACCAACGCTTAGGGAAGGAGAAAATATCTATTTTATAAACAAGTATTACTTACTCTTTTACATACTTACTTACTTATCGACTACTACTATTATTATTCATTTATAATTTTGTTCTTTCTCTTTACACATATACATAGAAGGTTGAAGAAAGTATTTATATTATTAGGCTTGTTTGGTAAAACTATACACACAAAAAAGAGAAACAATTCTCATCAGTTGGCTTCGGCAGCAACAGCAACAGCAGCATCTTCGACCATTGCTGGCTCTGCCTCCTCCTTGACTTCGGTCTCTTTCTCTGGAGTCTCGGAACCAGCATTGGCTCTTTCTTTCTCCTTGGCTAATTCGGCAAGAATCTGTTTGTCCAAATCAGCAATAGTCTCCTTGATCTTGGCAATCTTTTCGCTGGCTTGTTCTTCATTCTTCTTATTGGCGTCAACTTGGTTCTTCTTGTATTCTTCTAGCTTTTCCTGTAGTTGCTCAACAACCTTTGGTATGTCTTCTTGGGTAGCTGGAACATTGACACCAATAACAGTCAATTGGGTGACAACATGGGAATCAATGGTCTTGTTTTGCTTCTTCTTGTTGTTGTTCTTCTTACCCTTCTTGGATTTGACAGTAGGTGCAAAAAATGTTTCCTCCTCCTTCTTGATGATTTCAGCATCTTCAGGTAATTGGATTTCGGAAACCTTCGTGCTGATTTTATCTAATGATGATGAACCTAAGGTATCTAAAGCGCTGACTTTTTCTTCTTCAAACTTAATGGTAGGGTCTAATGATGAAATAGCAGCCTTGACTTGGCTGATCTCTTCGGTGAACGCTGGAACTTTAGCAGAGCTTTCAAGTTGTTGGATTTCTTCGAGAAGATCCTTTCTTTCGAGGTACAATCTGTAAGCTTTCTCCTCTTCTTCTCTCTTCTTACGTTCGTTGTCCATGTCACTCTTGAATCTCTTGAACTTGGCATCAAAGTCATCTCTAATCTTTCTTATTTCCTTGAGGTGTTCGTACTTCTCATTTTGCAAAGCTCTTCTTTTGTTGAAAAGTTCGTCCCTCTTGGTTTGAATGCTCTTGTTCTTTTCGGATAATTCGTCCAATTCTTTGGTGATCGATTCAAATTGAGTTTGAACCTCCTTGTTGGTAATGCCACTCAAAGAGGCCTTCAACTCAGCAATCTTGGCTTTGTCGGAGTCAACAGATTTTTGGGTTAATTCGATACCAGCAAAATCTTTTTTTAACTTGTTCAAAGCAGTGATTTCCTTCAATGCCTTCTTTTCCTCAACTAACATCAGATTACCCGATTCAATCGAGTTTTCTATCTTTCTGATGTTATTGTCGATGTCTTCAACAGTCTTGAAGTTGTACTTGGAAGTCTTGGCATTGATTTCAGAAATCTTCTTCTTAATATTTTGATCAATCAATCTGACTTGATCGTTAATATTGTGTCTCTTCTTCTTGATGTCATCTTGGAAAGAAACAATCTTTCTCAACTCTGCAGTCAAGGTCTTGCGCTTTTCAGCGTCCGCCTTTGGGGTAGCAGTTGACTCAATTTGAGTCGAAATCAAAGTTATTGAAGCTTCGATTTTCTTGATGTCATCATTCAACTTGTCAATCTTTTTGTTTTTCTGCTCAACATCGGGTTGCTTAATGAACTTTCTTTGCTTTGGAGGCTCTATTTCAGGAATTTCGGAAGCCATTGTCTAGAATATGGCGAACCAACAAGAAAACTAATGTTAGTTCAGTTAAGTTAGTAACGAAGCTCTCTAAAAACCAAGTGGGGAAAAGGAACGAATCCGATCATAATTCACATACTGCGTTTCTGACTTGTAGTTGAGGATTTGATCTAGATATTTGCAACAAAAAGGTACTATTTTGTTGTGCTTTGATCCATTCTGCACATCCTAAACCCCAGGTATTTTCCCAACTAACATCGCTACGTGTTAAACTTGTCCATTCGCTCAGGCGCAACGAGTGGGTGCCCATGGGGTGGGAATCGAAGAAATTAATCGACGAAAATAAAAGCGTGGAAAAAAAACATGAACAGTTAGCAAAAAAATAAAAGCCCGAGGCCGGGTTTGAACCGGCGACCAACAGATTTGCAATCTGCTGCTCTACCACTGAGCTACTCGTGCCTTTATAACGGTAATTTTCTGTAGCTGTATATAGTGAAACTCATGTAAAGTAATATATCAAATGTTTGGCATCTTTGAAGCTCATTTGAGCTCGGCAAGACCTCTTCTGTTGTAATCTAGCTATTCTATTATGAATATCCATTGTATATGTTCACTTTTTCTTATGTTTGTTGCTTATTAATTTATAACTAATATAACTAGCCTACAAACTAATATTCTCAAACATAAATACAAGGGACAAACCTCTTGTATTTATACACTTACACCTTCGGTTAAACTTGCCATTATTCATTTATCATGGCGGCTAACTTTCCAGTTTTAGATTACTTAAGATGCCTTATCATGATAAGACTCTTATCTCTTATCACTCGATCATGATTGGCTTCGGCATCTTATCTCAACACCCCACCATAATCTAAACACTTGTAGATATGTTCGACATTCCAGCTAGACCAACAAACTTATGAATTAATCTTGGCTAACTTTATCAACATATCCGCAACCA